AAACTCCTATTAGATAATAGATTAAACTTATTAGTAGTAGTGATCTAATACTATCTAAAGATTTTATAAATAAGATATTAAATAATAATACTATATCACCTATAGATAAATAATAAGGTTAAGAACCTTAATAGCCTCCTAAGCTAAATACTTATAAAATATATTATAGAAAAATTAATAAAGATATAGGATAAATACCTTCTATAGGCCCTTTTTATTATTTATATATAAACTTATATAATAATAAGAAAAAGCCTCTTTTATCTTCTATATAGTATTAACCCCTATATCCTAAGTAATAATAATAGGGGATTAGTAAATAATAATCTTATAAAGGTAGAGGAATAACTCTAATATATTAACTATATTTAATTACTAATAAATAAGCTACTATTAAACTATATAATAAAAATAAAGATAGTATATAATAGCCTAGTAGTAAAAATAGACTTTAAAAAAGATAATTAGATACTAATTAGAAATAAATTATTAAAAAAGCTAGAGAGTAAGTGATTTAGTCTATATAAAGTACTAAAGATATACTCTTTAAGTATATATACCCTTAAGGAACCTAATAGATAAGTATTATAGAACTTAATTAATAATTAGTAATTAATCACTACTAAAGTAGATAAATTAAACTAGCTATAGATATTAGTAGTAATATAATAGGTGCTATATTAATAAGGTATTATACTATAATATCTAGTTAAGATAAGGAAAATCCTAAAGGAATAGAAACTACTATTACTCTTCTATAAGGAGCTATTAATAATAATAAAAAAAGAATAAAAAGCAGTAGAGAGATAATAGATAATAAAGTATTTAAAAAAGTATTTAAAGATAAGGGGAGGAGAGGTTAATAAGAATACTAATAATAATACTATTATAAAGTATATAATTAAAAAAGCTTAGTAGAAGGCATAATAAAAGAAGTAAAACCCCTTAATAAAGATAATAATCTAATAATAAAAGGACTAATAAAGAAAGATATTAATCTCCTTAGGAAGCACCTTTAAATAGGAGGCACCTAAAAAAATAATATCTAATAATAATATATTTAAAGATAATTATAATAATAATAATAATTAAAAGACTAATCCTAGACTATAAAATACTAATACCTAGAATAGTATTAACTTTAATAGACTATTTATAATAGTTATTTAAATAATTATAAAATAAGATAAGAAGATAAAAAATAAAAAAGAGAAAAGCCTATATCTAATTATATAAATAAGGGGTAAAGAGATTACCCCTTAAAGAGTACTAAAAGATACTAAGAAGAAATTTATTATAAAGTTTATTAAAAGAAAAGAGACTAGCTATAAAGAGCTAATAATAATATCTTAAAATATAAATATTAATTATTTCTTATAATAATACTTCTTTATATATAGAAGATACTTCTTTTATAGATCTTTCTCCTTCTCTTTCTTTATAATAATAGTAGTAGTAATTAATATACCCTTATAAGCCTTAAAGGCAGCCATTTATTAATATATATTAATAATAGCTTAATAAATCTTTAGTAAATTATTAATATTAGTATTTAATAAGAGGAATAAAATAATAAGGAGAGTATTATTATAATTAATAAATTAAAAGAAATTATTAATTAAATTCTTCTAATAAGTATTTATAGCCTCCTTAATCTTTTAACCTATAAAGTTAAAATAATAAATTAAAAACTCCCTAAAATAATATACTATATTCTTATAGAAAATAATTAAATACTAGAGTAATACCTTTAGAGGAGTAAAATCTAGAATAGTTTAATAAGAAGTTAATTAAGCCTCCTCTATAATTAAGATAATAAAAGTACTTAATTATAAGCTAGCTAAAGTAGTATTAATATTAGTAGTAAATAATAAATTTAATAAGGCTAAAAGAATAGTAAAAAATATAGTAGTTAATACTAGATTAATAGTAGAAGTAGTAGAAGTAATAAAAATAATAAAAGTAATAAATAATAAAATCCTCTTCTTCTTAATCTTCTTTCTTTTTTACTACTTCTTATACTTATTCTTCTTCTCTTACTTTTTATTACTATTATAGTTAATATCTATAATATATTAGTAACTAGCAATAAAAAGACCTAAAAGAAATAAATATAAGTTATAATTAATACTTTTATTATAGAAGAGATAATTTATATATACTCTAATATAGTAAATTTAATACTTATTTTTATTAAGCTCCTTAATTAGAGGTATAATATAAGTAGTTTAGAGACTATTATTATAAATATATTTTAAATAAGGATTAACTACTATAGGTCTCTACTTAAAAATAATAGTAATAAAGAGCTTTAATATATAACTTAAGACTAATATTTAGCTACCTTAAAAGAAGTCCTAATATATATAAATAATAAGAAATAAATAAATAAGCTTATAATTATTAAAGAAGGTTATATATACCTCTAAAAAAAGTTTAATTTTTATTATTATTAACTATATTTTACTCTTTAGATTAATAAACTTATAATAAGTAATAGATACTAGACTACTATAATTAGTAATCTACTTTAAATAATAAGAGTCTAATAAAGGCTAAGGGAGAGACTCCTTAATAAATAGTAAAGAAGTCCTAAAAGGCATTAAATACTTAATCTTTAATAATTAATAAAAATAATTAGACCTATAATAAAAATACTAGATAAAGGACTTAGAGTCCTTAAATTTACTATTAGAAGCTATTAATATAAGATAATTATAAGAAGTAATAATAGTAAGAGAGGGAGTAAAGAAGGAATTATTAATAAATAAATAAGAAAATATACCCTTTATTATAAATAAAGAGATTATAAGATTATTTAATAATAATAATTATAAATATACTTTATACTCTTACCTAGGACTAGGTAACCCCCTATTAATTAGTGAATAATTAATAAAGTAATTAAAGAATAAGTCTTTATTTATTAATTATAGGCCTTTATTAAATAAGATCTATAAGTTACCTATTAATAACTAATTTATTTTAATAAGGCCTTAGAGGGAGGGTTAGGACTTTATAAATAAAGTTCTAATTAAATAGAGAAGAATATAATATTATAAGTAAATAATATTATAAACTCTTATATAGTTATAAGTAAGATCACCTTAGCAGAATACTAAGGTGTCTACTCACTAATAATATAAGATCTCTTAACCCTAATAGAGTAGTTATATAGAGTTTTTACTCTATATTAGAGATTAATTAATTCTATAGAGTTTTATTGCCACTAGGTCACTTAGCTTTTAATAAGCTAAGGGGAGGTATATAGATACCTTCCCTCTAACCTATAGTAGCAATAGAACAGAGATTTTTGGGGAGGAATTAGCTTTTAAATATCACACTATAAATATTCTCAAAAAGAATAGATTTAATATAATAACTAAATAGATTCATAATAATAATTCTTTTTATAATATAATTAACAAGAGACTAATTAATATTAAATAAATAAATAATTAAATAAATCTTATTAATAATTTAATAAAGGCTTTAGATTAGGTAAAGTATATTATATTTTAAGAACTAGTTAATCTTTAGAAAGTAGCTATACTAACCTATATTAAGAATAAATTAAAAGATATAAGAAATAATTAATAATTAATAAATAAATAAACCCTTTTTCTACTATTATATACTTTGATTAATATTAAATAAAGAGGTTAGCTTGTCTAAATAGGTGCTTAATAATAAGAAGTATATTAAAGATATATACTTAATTAATTCTAATATTACCTTACTTATGTGGCTATACTATTTAATAACCTGCTTTATATTTAAGCTAATATAGTAATAGTAATCATTATCCATCTCTTCCCTCTTAAGGCCTGCGTAGGCTAATGGTATACCCTTAAGGTTTAACTCAAAGTTTATACTTGTCTTCAGACAAGTTATATTTATATTATTAAAAAGGTAATAATACAAAAGAAGAGAAGAAAGACTCATTAATAATATAAACAAAACTAGTTTATACATATTAAATCAATCATATAATTTATTATTAATATTATTACTATAAAGCCATCTATATTTTATACTTCTTACAGTATTATTAGAAAATAGAAAAATAATCTTTTATTAAGATATTGATATTTATATAATTATAGAATTAATTTTTATCTAAAAAGTAATACTAATTAATAACTCTTTAATATTTTAATTTTAATTTTAATGTTTATTAAATATAGAATTTCTTTATTACAAAAAACATTAATCAAATACTTTATCTTTAATACACTAACTGAAATCTATACAGATTTAAAATAATTAATCTTATTTAGTTTCTATTTCCATTTACCAATTATAAGTTTTTTATTGTACATTACAAATTTTATAAACTTTTTTCAAACTAATATAATAACTTGGGATTAAGCTTTTCTAAAGAGAGAGAATAATTATGAGACTAATTTTTAATATAATATCAATATAATATTAATATCTTTTTTATTCATTACTTATTAAGTATATTATTAAGTTTAACGCTATAAAGTATATTAGAAAGCCTAATATAAATAAAGATAATTCATTAACTTACTCTACTAAATACTCCAATTCCTAATAAATAAATAAGTCTTTACTATTAGACTCTTAAGGGCTAAATAATTTATTCTTATTCTTTTAGATACTTATTATAAACTCTTTATTTCCTTAAGGCTTACTATAAGTAGATTGTTCTGATATACCTTATTATACTAAGGGTGCCAGGTACCCTCTTACAGAGATGCTTTAGCAGGAGGGGCCGGTTAGTCAGTGTTAATGACACCCTAACACTTAAGCACTTCACACATATATATTGTTAACTACACCATGATTTTTGTATTTTTTGAAATATAAATATAGATAGATTATATAAAGACACAGCCAGTATATAATCATATAGCCTCAAGAGATATATATCAATTTATGTCTAATAACCATAGTAAGAAGAGAAAGTATAAAAACAGAAATAGTGAAGTGACTAATTATTTAATAACCAGTTAGTTAATAGTAAACATAATCAACTAATACTCCCTTAGGACTTCAACCTCCTTCAAACCCAACACTTAACAGATAAAGAAACCCAGGGCCCCTGATACTTGCTCTTATGCGTTATCTCAAACCAATTACCCTTATATCTGGACAAGATTATTAGTATTCTCCCAGGTATTCACCTCTTCACCCATAAACATGATGGCTTCTTGTCCCCACGTACATGCACAAGGTCAGTCAGAAAAGCCTCCCTCTATTTTCGAGCAACTTGGTTTAATTCCCTGCAATATTGCAGATATCAAACCGCCTGGGCCATCAGAAGTAGTTTACCGGGAGGACTGCACACAATGTTTTGACTCCATCGTATGTTACATCCAGTTCCTCACACAGTTCAAATCTCATCAACGTCCAGGACGACGAAGCCGGGCTCAATGTCTGCCTTCATTGCTTTGATGGCGGCTGTGCAGGGGAGAGAGAACATGGCATTCTTCACTATAAACGGTTCAAACACCCTCTAGCTCTGAATATCAAGAGGACACGACGGAAAGTTCAGGTATCTATTCGAAGAAGATGGCCTGACAAGTACAGTCTCCACTAATGAGTAATACCAGCGCGATGAGCCTCCTTTCAAGATTTCGAAGCTCGCCATTGCGGCTGAAACCGACGAGGACCGGTATGATACTATCACGAAGATTGTGTGTTATGAGTGTCCCACGACATTTGTCAACGACGGCGACGACCAGCTCTCTAGAACTATCGAAGGGGTCATGAAGGCCATGACCTACTCCAAGAAGGAAGAAATCAAAGCGTGGGAGCAAGAATTTATACCTTGTCAGCATACACTTAACTTGAGCCAGCAGGGAATAAAACAGAGAGAACCCAAAGGTACGATACACTGTACTAGCCACCCTGAATGTGTCTAAGAAGAAAAACAGGCCTCCGCAATTGTTCCATGTGTGATCTTAAAGAGAATATCTGGCTCTGTTTGGAGTGCGGAAGTATTGGTTGCGGGCGCAGCCAATTCGGCGGTATAGGAGGGAATTCCCATGCGCTCGCGCATGCCGATATGAGCTCCCATGCTGTAGCTGTGAAACTGGGTTCACTCACTGCAGACGGCACAGCAGACATCTATTGTTACAAGTGTAACGAGGAAAGAGTTGATCCCAACCTCTCTACTCATCTCGCACATTGGGGTATAAACGTGGCGGACTGCGAGAAAACCGAGAAAAGTCTTATGGAAATGCAGATTGACCACAACATGCGATGGGAATTCTCCATGATGAAATCAGACGGCCATGAACTTAGTCCCGTGTTCGGTCCCGGGTTAACCGGGTTAACGAATCTGGGGAATAGTTGCTATCTTTCTAGCATTGTTCAATCTTTGTTCTCTCTCCCGGAGTTTCAAAAAAGGTATTTTCTACCCATGCACGAACAGCCTGCCATCAAAACTCCAGCACAGGACTTTGAAACTCAAATGCGGAAACTCGCCGATGGCATTTTATCTGGTAGATATTCACGCCCTGATACACACGTTATCGCGTCACCAGATAGCCCCGAGGTACCTCACCAGCGTGGTTTATCTCCTAGCATGTTCAAACATCTCGTCGGTCGCAATCACGAAGAATTTTCGACAATGAGACAACAGGATGCTTTTGAATTTCTGCTCCATTTATTCAAGCTGATTGGCATCTCGAGACACGACGGCATGTTCAACCCCATTGACGCATTTCGATTTGCAATTGAGCAGCGTCTTCAGTGCGTGTCCTGCGCGAAAGTACGTTACCGGGTCGACGAGCAAGATAATATCTCAGTAGCAGTACCCGCACGTCGGCTGTCCGATAAACACGAGCAAATCTCATCATCTGCGAACAGTGCCTCTCTGATGCCGGTCAAAAACGAATTTGCAAAAGTTGCTATGGAGGAGTGTCTCGACATTTTTACTTCTGAAGAAATCGTTGAGCTCGAGTGCCCTTCTTGCATGGGCAAGGATGGCTTTCGCAAGCGTTCATTATTCAGAACTCTCCCGCAGGAACTGATAATCAACGCGCGCAGATTTCAGTTGATCAATTGGGTTCCTACAAAGCTTGATATCCCTGTGGATGTGAGGAATGATGAGCTAGACTTCACCTCGTACCTTGCTTCTGGCCCCAGACAAGACGAAGAGTTACTGCCTGACACGGATACATCGGCTGAACAATTCAAACCTAACCAGATATCTCTTGACCAGTTGATCAGCATGGGATTCCCAGCTGCCCGATGTGAGAAGGCTCTTTTCGCAACAGGAAACTCGGATACCGAGACTGCGATGAACTGGTTGTTTGCGCATATGGACGACCCAGGTATTGACAACCCTTTGCACACAGGGTGTGCTACCAGCAGCAAAGTAGAGCAAGATCCGGCGAAGATTGCACATTTAGGGGAAATGGGAATCGAGGCGTCTCGTGCGAGCAAGGCATTGGCGGCTACAAATGGCGATGTCAACAGGGCCTTGGACTGGGTTTTCAGCCACCCTTCTGACCCCGAGGATGTTGAAGACAACGGTAAAACTGGAGAGTCGGAGCCGAAGTCTACACCTGGTTTCAGCGAGATCCCAGCAAAATACAAACTAACGGCCATTGTTTGCCACAAGGGAACATCTGTTCACGCTGGGTGAGTACATGAGACCTTCTGAACTATCACATCCTATTAACAGTTTATACAGGCATTATGTTGCGTTTATCCGCAAGGTATTGCCGGGAGATACCCAGCCTTCTTGGGTTTTGTTCAATGATGAAAAGGTGGTAAAAATTGAGGACATTGAAGAGATGAGGAAATTCGCCTATCTATATTTCTTCTCAAGAATTTAGTGGCTACCAATGGCTTTTCATGAGGAAGAGTGATTGATGATCTTAAACAGAGAACATGATACATGAGTTAAGATAGAATACGAGGGGATGAATTTAAACTATTACCATCGAGCTTACTTAGCAGTAAGTACCTATCAGGGTAAGACTAGTCTTTCATCTAAAAACCTAGCTATAAAGGCTCTTTATATACCCTAAAACATACGGAGTATTACTTTGCTAGGGACCTAGACCCAAATGACATGCTACTTTCAAGGAACCCACGACGTCGTCATTTGATCGTAAATAAGCTGTATTCGGTCTGATTCCTAACCCGTCCCAAGCCCGACTAAAACCCCTCAATATTTTCTACGTAAGACCGCGGGCGAGTGGGCATCAATCAGTATGAGGGCTGCCCGTTGTTGCGTCGGTAGCTGCTAAAGACCGATCTACCGAGTGGCGCTCTACATTCTGCATAGCGTCTCTAAAAAATGTCTCTCTGAGTTTCCACAAACTATGGAGTAGGGGAACTTGATTACAATCTGCCTGTCAGCTAGTATATGCTGTTCGAGAATACTATTGTATTGCCTCTCATGCTAGAATCAATGCTCTTATCTCACTCATCCTGACAGATGCTTGTGGTTTTCATATTACTCGAAGACGGTTGAGTAGAAAAAAGTTAGAGAATAAAGAGCTTTGCTTGATAACAAAGAGCTCACTATCATAATAAGGAAGGAAGGGGGTCTCAAGGTAACCTTGATATCCTGACACTATACAGATCATCGAGTGACAATCTCTCTGAGGCCTGGTGACAATATGTAGTACAACAGTCAACCAAGAGAAGAGTAGAAATGTGTGTAACCGTCTATCGCAAGATTGAAGGAGACGCTAGACCATCTAGCCACCAAAAATTGTAAAGGACAATTCGTAGGGTTCTATAGGGTCATTCATCCTGTGACACCATCAAACTAGTCGAGAGGTCGTCATCTATATAGCCACCATAAGTATAGCCAATAGGGATAGGGATACTACAATACTTCCCAGTATGGAATAGTATATAGAGATAGTAGTAGCATTATAAAGATACCAATATTCCCATCTAGAGTAACTATGATGTACTCCGTATGCATAGTACATACTAGATAAGATATGCTTCCCCGCATTTTAATAATCTAGGTGGGGCATATATGAGGTCATGTGTTACCAAAGCTTACCTTAGAACTTGTCAGTCCTAAGTAGTTATAGCTCCCCTCTAACTATCTATGATCACTAGACCTTGGTCCTTCTAAAACTTTCTATCTCACCTGACACCAGAAAAGTAGGTTCCTGACATCCTCTTCTATATTATCTACATGGAATCTCATCATCACTAAAGCCATTGTTTGATACTGACCGTTTGTCTTCTCAAATACTGCCTAGGTAGTAGTTACACCACCATAGCAGCAACATATTAGCCAAAGGTCAGGTAAGAGTCATACTTTCTATTTTCAGGCATGTACAAGGTAATCCAGCACCTCTACTATTTCATTGCTAATGGGTTCTAGACTATATACTGATATCTACACACTGAACTGCTATAATACCAGTAGTAAGTTTTGTTTCTAAATAAGCCCCCCCCCCCCTCTTTTTTTTTTATAAAAAAAGCCCTTATGCTCCTTACCTTGTTTATATAGACGTACTCTTATCATAACACTGAATCCATAATTTCACTAGTGACTCGTTCCCACAAGCTTAACGATCGTGATCATACGGTCACATCCGATGCTTCTGGGAACTCGCGAGAGCAACTTCCACGATACTTTGCAAAATCTGGCCCTGTTGATGCTGACCCCCGCAAGACGAAGAAAGATGGAGGCGGAAAAGGAAACTGGTAAGTACCTCTGTATGATTGTTTTACTCTTCGCTATCTTATCCCTATTCACGCTCTAAAGTCATTTCTCTTTCACGATCAAACATCTGCTTTATTTCTGCCTAGCTAATTGAATATTAGGGGTCGGTCAGGTGACGAAATGCAGGATTACAACTACAAGTTCACCAATGCTCGACGTCGCTCTAACAGCAGTAACCACGAACTCTCAGACTTCCGGACTAAATTTGAGACCCTCGAGGCTGAACCAGTCTTTGAGGAGTTGCTTCATGAATCGGGAGAAATCTCGCCTTTCACTAAGGCGATAGGAAACCCGAGCGGCACTACCAATGGCGAAGTCCAGAGCAAAGCTTAAGTTGAGCTCTGATCCATGTACCTTTTTCGTACTGAGTCATGGTCACGATCTGCCTCCTATCTCGTCTATTTTACTGACCGGCGAAGCCGAACAGTCAAAAAAACACATGCTCAAGGTTTATATTGATTGCAGACTGTAAAAGTTTCAGTAATGAGGGGTATCTGTAGAAATAAAACAGACTGGACTGATATCCGTCATAAAATCATTGAAACTCGCCCAGAAAAGTGAGCCCATGATTTTATATGATTGTTACTAGTAGTTTATTTAGATAAAAATAACTAAGTAGTGAGAAGTAATTCAATTGATTGCCAATAGAAACATTGCCATTGAGTTAGATCTAGCCATGGTTATGAAGAACCACTAGATCCGACATGAAGAAGTATTTGATTTATCCACCAATAGCCCAAACGGATAACCCCATCCAGTATAGCTTGTTTTCTCAAAGATTTAATAGTAAAATGTATCTCCCACAAGCGTTAACTGAATTGGTCACGTCTCTGAGCCAGAATTGCTGGTTGGGTCTGAATATTCATTTTGTTAGTATTTGACACTCCCATTGAACGAATATAAATGCTGTAATAGACCTAAAATACATACCACTGGATTTGACAAAGGCCATCATTTCGTTGAACCTAGTCTCTAGATCCGCTTCCTTGACATATTTCTGGAGGATCTGGCGCTCTGTGTCAAGATCTTTGATAATTCGGGCTTGACGCTCTGTCTGATATCGTGAAGCAATAAAATCGGAATCAGAGAACTCAAGGATAGCGGAGGGTGGGAGTGGGGACAGAGCAGATGTCAGCTTCATGTCTTTACCGGTTTCTATAAACGTGATAAGCATATAGATCGTCTGTGTTTCAAGTAGTAAACCAACCTGATTTGTGGCATAATTGAAGTGTATGAAAAAATGATGTATTGAGAATCGATACACCGCCTATAGTTGGCGCATCGAGCTGTCGGGAAATACCTTCCCAATTATCTCTGATCATACAACGTCTCCAGACTAGCCTTTGCAGTGCGAGAAAATATGAAGCATCCTCTTGCTCTGCATAATAGCTGTTGAGTTGAATGACACGAAGAGCCAGGTAAAATGCCTGCTCTGAAATATCACCGTCAGCTCCAGAAGGACGAGGTGGGCCTAGCAACGTCAACAGGTGTACAAGTTGGTCTGGACCGATAACCTGTCGGGACACTATTGCCGTCAACAGGTCGTTTAATATCTCACGGAGAGATGGACGGTCCAATAGGTCTTTATTTCCGAAGTGTTCGATTGCCAAGTCAACCTCGGCTTTATCATCGATGGCACCTTGCAAGGAGGAAGAAATGTAGTCATGAACCATCTTATGGATGGTGCCGACACCGCTTAGCTTATCGACACGGTTAATGCACTCTCGCAATGTAGAGTGCTGTACACCTTTTTCTTGTTCCAACGCAGCCAGCCCGTTGAGTTTGGCCAAAGACAACTCTACTCGATGGCTCCAGATATCTGATTCCTGACCGATTGCCAGTTTCTCCAAGTTTCGAGTAGCAGATTCGTAATCATTTTCCCCAACAACGTCATTGATCCAAACAATTCGTGAAAGATCGGGTCTCTTTCTCAAGAAATTTGTGATGAATGGTTGGAAGCTGTTCATGGAGAACAAGGATCCAGACTGTTTCATTGATATTTGCCGTGTGAAGAATGCATCAGCCCATGGTTCGCCAAACTTCGAAAAATAAAGTGAAATCTTTCGTCCAAACTCATCCGAGCTTTCCTTCCATGGGCTTTGCCTTTTTCTAGTAGATCCCTTTTCAAGGTGATGATGCTGAGTTTGGTCCTGCAATTCAATTACCAATTCAACAAGGCCCGTCATATCGCGCGACTCTTCAGCCAAGCGAATGGCATCATCAAGATGTCCAATTCCTGCTAGTTTAAAAAGATGCCACCGGCGCTGTTTGACGTGCGCCTCCTCTGCAGCCATACCTTCGTCCGAATATTTCGGATCATCCTGGGCTGATAGCCAACGAGATCGTTCGCTGTGTATTTGGCCCAGAACACGGATATGACGGGCAGTGTTTTGCCCGATTTTTCTCATCAGCTGAGCCTCATTTTCATCGACTTTTGAGGGTGTTTGTTGAGTCCAAGCCCTAGAAACATCCAACTCTAGATTCAACAAGTTTCCTGTCTCAATGTAGCCTGTACTTTGTGATGTCCAGAACTCGGGCAGACCCACATAGCCGTTCAATAATACCCCGTTCTCAAGTGCTTCGCCATGAAGTCCAAAGAGATCGACATGTTCATCCCGATATCGAAAAGCTGTCTCCAATAACGACAACAACAGTTCACTCGCTTCAAATATATTTTCGGTCGTCCTGGCACCTGACTTCCATGTTTTTCCTTTTTGAGCCATCAAAGTGCTAAAGGTCCAGGGTATCACGTCATGAATATCCTCTGTATCATGCAAAAACCAACGCCGTAGATTGTCACTGTTCTTATTTGTCGTCTCAACTTGGATCTTTTCGGTCATTGAGTGAATGATACCTGATAGGAATGTTGGCTTTCCATCTCTATTCACAAGCGCCTGCTCGTTCACTTTCCACATAGCTCTTTGAGCAGCAAGCTTCTCGGCGCCCCAGAGTAATTCCCATCGACATTGGCGGGATAGATTCATAGCATGTCGCGTCAATAGAGAGGCAAGATCTTCCAATGCCTTTACTCGTAACCTCAAATTCTGTTCGATAGAAAGCCCTGTGGTCGAAAGAAAGCTAGACCTTGAATGAAGCAATTCACTGCAAATTTCCATTGCCGCTTGCTCAAGCTCTTCAACAGAGAAGTCCAACCCTTCTTTGCTAGCTAGATCCAGCGGATTCGTAGTTCTTGCTCCATAGAAAATAGCCTGCTCCAGTTTGCTCTTTGCAGTGATGTGAACGCTTTCGATCTTGGTCTCGGCATTAATTCGAGGTACCGCATCGATACGAACAACACCAAATCCTTGGACCATTACCAGACATGTTGGAATCGACCTTTCATTTACCATGACACGGCTACCAGCACCCAGTAGTTTGTATTGGTGCCCGCGAAAGTGAATTTTGTCCTGGAACGGTAAAGGCCACCGCCTTGAATGGTTCGGTTGTTGTAAGTCTCGACTCAGTTGACCAGGTACTAGCGATAGTAGGACGACCGACTGTCCTAAAACAATGAAGGCAGTGTCATCAGGTCGTGGAACAAATATCTTTGCATCAGACACGTTTGACTCTGTCATGGAAAGCCCACGTATGTCAACCGCATAGCTAGATATAACAGATGGCCGATCACCTGTCATGGAAACATGTACCACTGTTAAACCAGTACAGTTTGAACTCTGGGATAGATATATGAGGATATAAAACGACCACGGCTCCTCTGCGTCTGGACTCGAGGCTTGAATATCGCGCTTTTTTCTGCTTACGCAAGCGAAGTCCAAGACACGGAAATCCTCTCCACCAGCAACGCCGACAGATTCGGCCCCCAGAAACCTGCACACGTCCTGTTTGATACTCACCTTTTTTTTCAGGGAATTGCCATTATTCCAGTGCGTATCCCAGATCTCGAACCATCCGTCTTTGGTGGCGGTTATGACGTCTCGTTGTCCTCTTTGATGAGAGATTCCAGTTTTGGTTGCAACCGTATCCTTCCTCCACCCACTTCCTCCCAAAACGTGTTTAATGCTACCGAAAAGCCCACTGTTGCCAGTACCGGCAGGAGTTTGTAGAAAGGCGGTCATGAGGCTCGGCTGCCCTTGTGCGTTTCTGACAGTGATATGAGCCACTCGTCCACTGGAAAATGTGACGATGATTCCCGAAGGCTCCGCACAAATGACTTTGATGGCAGATTCATCGGAAAGCATCCCAGAAATATTGCCCTGAATTCCAGTTTGTCTTTGCTTTGACAAGCCAGATAGTGACACACTGGATATGGTCTCCCAATAAACTATTTTTCCTGTAGATGGTGTTATGATCATCATGCCAGGAAGTCCAGAGCCCCCAGAAGAGAGGAGAACTCCTAGCGGAGCTTGACCGATTGGATCAATGCATGATTCAGGAATCGGAATGGTAAAAGCTTCATAATGAGCTGATGCAGAACTTGAAGTTGAATAGGGCCAAATGATAGCGTGGGTTTGCGTCAATACTAATGCATATTCACTGGTTGGTGTGAAAACACATCTGGATAGATCTACTAGCCAGTTAGAATTTTATACAAGAATAAAAGTAATATTTTAGGAGGCTGACAGTCTTGCCCTCCACGCAGCTGATCAGGCAATGTAGGAAGTTGTGATACCACATAGTGCTCGGTTCTTGACTATGTATTTTTATCCTGTTAGTACTATATCTAGTCGCTTTAGGTGGGTATAATTTGATCCATGCTCTGATAACATTTCCCTCTACTATCCATGGTGTTTTGATCACCCAGCAGCAATGTGCTAAAGGGCGCAACTTACTAAGATAATAATTCCATCAGCCTCGCTCCCTGTGCTGTCGTTTATTTTAGCACCTCGTAGCACAAGTTGTTTATGTATGCCAGAGTTGATCGCATGGTCGTTGTCAAATTCGCCGTTTGCCATGAGTTCCAAACCGGCTGAAATACCTTGCTCTTCATTGCTAATCACATTGTCATCTGCAGTGTCATCGTCGCGGCTTTTGTCATGCAGATTAGACCGTTGTCTTTTGGCTTGATGTTGTTTCACCGACTCATCAGAACTCGTCCGCTGGCGTCTCCGGGGATTGCGCAGGGAGGCAGCTGAAGAGAATGGGACCTTCGGTACAAACATCCTCTAATTTAATAGTTGATGTATCGCATGTAGAAGTCGGGGTCCAGATTCAATTTCTGGCGCAGCTTGAGCACCTTAGATGTAACCTGTAGGTAGGTAGGTAGCTTTGACTGGAAGGCGGTGGGAATTTGCAAAGGTTAGAGGATCTCGACTATGCACGGACGGCGGTCCACTATGGCAGAAAAAAGGGAATCTGCCGCTTTTACCCGCCATCCGTGCGCTGCTTAGTAAGTAATTGAAATACCATAATCTTTAATTATTAAATTTTCTATGTTTAATAAATAAAAACTAGTAAGAACTATATAAATATTTTATAATCATTTAGTAAATATTTAAAATAAATTAGTTATTATCTAAAGTTCTAAGGAATTTCTATAGAAATTATTTAAAAATTCTAAATAATTATTAAATAATAGAGAATTATTTTTTTAATAATTAAAATGTTTAAATATAATTTATAAATCTCTAAATGATTATAAAATATTTATAAAATAGTTATAGTTTTTACTAGTTTTTATATATTTAATATAAGAATTTTAATAATAAGAAATATAAATACCTTGGCATTGTATTTTTGAGAATTCCACAGTGCACGGACCTCGGTCAACTATGGCAGAATTTTTTTTTCTGCCATAGTTGACCGAGGTCCGTGCATAGTTGCCACCACCTATATGCTCAAAGGTGACCCTTGCTACCTTACTAATGCACACATTAGCACCTTGGGCTGGTGGTTCCAGTTAGTTACTCTATAGCTACATAGTTAGTGCTCTACTCCTAGTTAACTATAGAGTACCTTATCTTAGGTAGACAGGCAGGTGTATCTGATACCCACTTTTACGACGTATAACCTCTTTCAAATACTTATAAATTATCCCTTTCAGCTCTTGATTGTGGGACATTTGCACTGTAATGTATTTCAATAAACAAAGGGGATTTATACAGTGCTTAATAAAGCTATTGAGAATAGATATGAATTGGATATATAACTACTACCAAATGGACGCTTCTTTACTCTAGTACTATTCCATGATAAAGTTGCTGAAATCCAAATGGTCATATAGTTATGAGCATACCATTCTCGCGTCGCCCAGTACTCTATATACAATGTCTTAATCTCCTAGCAGTAACTAGGCATATTAAATGATATGATATGGTTTGATGAACATTATATCATCTGCTGGAGAAATTCTGCTGTGCGTTAGTATGGAAGGCCATGACTTCTATTGCATCATAGCAAGCTGATCTCAGCATTACCAAGCCCGAGCAAAGAAGATGCTTCGTGGGTTTTACTCCCTAGGTTTAAAATATTTCTAAATAAATTGTATGAAGAGACGTCACTCTGACGAAGACTTTAAACATTGTATATAACACATTTAAGGGGCCGCAAACTCACTGATATTTCTGTCGCGGCCTTGTTATTTCTTTTGGTATTCCCTCCTCTGGCCTAATTAACAACCTAACGACGGACCATTATAAGAACCATGCAAGCCTTTACTGAGAAGCCAGCCCGGGGTGCCGAGTCTCAATTTCAACCTGGTGAGTCACTACTTGACGAAAGTAATTCTGGCGTTCCATAACAACTGTGAAGGCCACCGAATTCCCATTCATCACCAAAAAAAGCCTGGACTAGAGGCGGTAATGCCGGACCCCAAGCCAACCTCCATGTATATTCCCACAGAAGATGGCGGGTGCCAGTCCTACAAAGCTGCAGGAAAGTTAGAGGGTAAAAGAGCCGTGATTACAGGAGGAGATTCTGGAATCGGCCGCGCCATTGCGATCTTATTCGCCATGGAGGGGGCATCTAGTCTGATAATCTACCTACCAGAAGAAGAAACAGATGCCCAGGAAACAAAAAGAAGAACTAAAGAAGCTGGGCATGAATGCCATTGCCTACCTCTTGATATCCGCAGTAAAGAGAACTGCCAAAAAATTATCGACTTTGCCATTGAATCTATGGGAGGCATTGATATACTGATAAACAATGCAGCATTTCAGAATATGATTCAAGATATAAATGACTTATCTGAGTAAGCTGGTCCTCGTTAGTTTCGCTTTCTATTGCAAGGCCGTTGCTGATCATACAATGTATTCTGCTAGAGATCAATGGCAATGCACATTTGATACTAATATCCATCCATTCTTCTATCTTTCAAAGTATGCAATCCCTAATATGAAAAAGGGTTCCACAATAATCAACTGTGCCTCGGTGAACCCCTATATTGGTAGAGGGGACCTATTGGATTATACATCCACTAAGGGTGCAATCGTCGCATTCACACGTGCATTATCTAATCAACAGATAAGCAAAGGTATTCGTGTGAATTGTGTATGCCCTGGACCAAGTACGTTTCTATTAAGATAAGTAAAATTGCCCAGATGACTGAGATCTCTTATTAGTTTGGACACCCCTTATCCCTTCTTCAATGACTTCCGCTGCAATGGAGCAATTTAGTAGTGTGCCAATGGGCCGTCCTGGACAACCGAGTGAAGTTGCAACTTGTTTTGTGTTTCTCGCGAGCCAAGACAGCAGTTACATGTCTGGACAATGTTTGCATCCCAATGGTGGTGTAATTGTCAATGGCTGAGATGATATATAAGGCTAGCACCTATGTACGTCAGGTAGCAGAAGTTTATAGTGGCATTTTCTGAGATCTACAACAAAAAATATATTCACCATTGTTTTTAATAAGTAATACGAACCAGCCTTCTTCAAAGAGACATGTTGTTACATTGTAGGCTGGAACTAGGCAGAATGCTGTCGAATTCCATTTAAGCAGACACTCCACACTTATCACCTTCCTCTATCACAATACTCCCGCTAGTCGAATGCTGGATGATCAACGGCGGTACCACATGCGGGTAATCCTGGTTTGTCTCATCTTCTTTTGGAGTTGAAAGATTCCGTACATCAATGCCTCAGATGTGGGGGGGCCTTATTAGACCAGTCAGCAGGTTCTAGAGAGATAGAGGGAAGCAGAAAGCATACATCCAGGAACATAAACATCAACAGGGACGATTCTATCGCATCCGCGGACCACCGAGTAGCTGTAATGGTAATAGCCGCCGCCATTTGCACAGCTGCCCATGCTGATGACCCAACGAGGGTCAGGCATTTGATCGTAGACTTGCCTAAGGGCGGGAGCCATTTTATTTGTCAAGGTTCCGGCCACAATCATAACGTCGGACTGTCGTGGAGAAGCTCTGAAAATGATACCCAGGCGATCCTGGTCGTAGCGTGGAGTAGAGAGGTGCATCATCTCCACGGCACAACATGCGAGACCAAAGGTCATGGGCCAGAGAGAACTTTGGCGTGCCCAATTTGCAACTTGATCAAGTGTAGTTCTTCAAACATATGTGAGCAAAATATCGGTTTTTAGGTTATGTCTTTGGAAACACATACAGGACATATTGCATGGCGCCTTCCTTCTTTTCCTCGCTAGGCAAGGGTACTTCTTTCCGTACTTTGCCGGATGCAGTCAGGCTCTGACTAGGGCGTCCATGGGGTTCAAGTGCTGAGGCAGATTTGATAACCGAGCTCGAAAAAGACGCAGATTGATAACTGTGTGGGAACGAGGGGATCAATTGTGGTCGCGCTATCTCTGGTGGTGAGTGTGAATTGAAGTCAATGCAGATCAATGTTCTGTACTAACCACCAAGCCTGCGAGGGATATGTGACTTGAGTAAGGGCAGCATTGCGACGGTATTATTTCATTTATAAGTAGAATAAAACCTCGCCACCATAAAACGTTGCCGACAGCTGAGGGATGATGGCAGGTGAAGATGGTGTCGCCGTGGCTATCCAGTTGGAGATTTGGAGCCCCGGGATGACAAGAAGAGATAATCCTCTATCTGATTCGTGGGCTTAGTGGAGCAGCAAGGTGAAATTACAATTCATGTATTAAATCCAAAAAAAACACTATATTACAGTAATAAAGTGTAACATTCTTATGTTACATGCAGGTTACCTGTGTAATAGTTATACCTGTAGTTACCTGGTAACTTACGCAGTTAGACAGGTAACCAACTCCCTAGTAGTTAATGGTTACCTAGCTAACAGGTACTTAGTACCTGGTAACTACCTAACCTACTATAACTACCTAGTACCTACCTAGTTAACTAATAGTTACATTTCTACCTAGGTACCTAGGTAGTCAACTAACTATAAGGCAGTTACTGGCTCCAAGTGCCTAACTACCTACTAGGTAGGTAGTTCAAAACACTTACTTAACTGGGTCTGTCCTCAAACCTGACGTTCGGAGAAGCTACCTAAATACCTACCTAGTAGGCCCCTAGGTACCTTAAGGTAACCAGAGTAACTATCCGATAACTACTTGGTAGACCTATTTGCTGAACCTACATGATTCGATTCGCAAATAAAATAGTCAGGACAGCATCCCATCTTATTCACATCTGATCAGAAAGGTAAGTACCTTGAATGTTCCAGACCCTTCTCTCTAATAAGTACAGTTCTAATAACCACTTAACATAGTGTCATTTGGCCCAGTCAATATTAAATACTACTTTACCTACATAGCAAATAATACTAAAGGGCCTTATCAAGCTGGAAAGAATGCTAAAAATGGGGTGCCCAAAGATCGCCTGTATTGCACTTATCGGCAAAGCTGTAAGTGGTAGCGCTTGCCATCCAATCCCATTGATAGATGCTGACAATCATTCAGGATAATCCTCTTCATATCTCAATGTTTACTCCATACTCAGACTCCGAACTCGACTTTTCTTTCCTTCTGAATTCCTGCCTTGATCTGTTGGAAGTTCGACAGAAGCAGACATCGATTGATCAGGACCTCGGTCTCCTCCATGCCGTTGATGAGAGGTTTGCCGCTTATGGCTGGCAAACCACCACTGGTGTTAAATTTTTGATTATTGTGGATGTAGTTGGAGAATCGATGTCAGCTGAAATGGAAAGAGTAAAGGACATTTCGGTTGTTGGGTTAGGAGACTCAGATCTTAAACCGGTTCGTCCATTCGCTTTCCAGAGACAGAGTCTTAAACGCTAAGGCTTCACAGGTTTTTCGAGCGATCCAAACCGCCTACATCCAGCTGCTCCAGAATCCATTCTATTGTCCTGATGGCCAAGCTCTTGGGGCGAAAGCCACAATCTCGAACCCGGGCGGCCTACAAATCACAAACCAGAAGTTTGTTTCAGAGATTCAAAGAATTGGTAATTTGTGGGTTCCTGGTTTAGCATCGATTTGATCATTCAGTCTTATGGTCTATATATAGATGCATTTCATACTCTATCCGGTAGACTGTAGGCTAAATACTTTCATGGAGATATTACAATGACATATCATTGAGAAAAATAAATTACTTTAAACTACTCCTTGGTATTGTTAATATTGTACTGTTTTGTGGTTATTCTTTATTCTATGGCGTATATATGTTTTGGTATGCCCTGCATCATATATATCTAGGTTTTTTGCATAAATACATAGGAGCGGTTAAATACAAATATTAATATTCTCTTTTCACCGTTTCCCCTCCATAAGTTACAGCTTTATAGCCCATTAAACCTAAATATTGAAAGCATTCATCTAAATCTGGTCCAAGGCAAGTAGAACATCTTCAACATCCTGGGGAGCGCAGATGGCCCACACACCATCACCCTTAGTTTGTACTCTGCCCACTTCTTTCCCAACAAGATTTCTTCCGACCTTACCTGGCCCCAGTCCAATCCAGGATCTTATCCCCCGCTCTCGATCTAGAAATTTGATGCTGTCCCACCACCTGACAGTACTAATGCATTGTTGAGATAACAAATCTTTAATATCAGTTTCCGACTTGAACGGGAGACCAGAGACATTGGAGATGCATGCTATTTGTTTTGGATATGTGATTTGGATTTTTTCTAGAGCGTCTCGCATGTAATCCGCAGCCGGGGTCATGATGGGATTATGAAAAGGGCTCTCGCTTTTTAGCTTCACTGCGCGGGGATCATGCCCCCCAAATTGTCGGAGCTGGATGAGAAGTGTTTTGATCTTCTCAATGCTACCACTTAATACGATCTGATTCCTGGAGTTGATATTCGCAACCATCACTTGGCGGATAGAAGTTGTTTCACAGCCTGTATTGTCATTATCAAAGTGGTTTGGTTGAAAATCAAGAAATTCATAAATTGACTTGAGTAAAGCATCAAGATGCTCTGGTTCGCATATTAGCGCTATCATCCCGTAGTTTTCACCGGATTTCTCTGACGCTTCGTGGGTGCATTGAGCCATAATCTCGGCTCGACGCTGGACTAGTCTGAGTGCATCACGGAACTGAATATAACCTCCAGCGACTAGAGCTGAAAATTCTCCCAGACTGTGTCCGAGTGTGACATCCACAGATGTTCTTGTATTAAATCCGAACTCGATCTCAAGGAGCCGTAGGATCAGTAATGATGTTGCCATGATAGCTGGTTGTGAGTTTTCAGTTTGATTTAGGAGTGAATTTGGACCGTCGCATATTATTCGGGAGAGACGATATCCTAGGATATCATCCATTTCGTTTAGAAAGTGCCGGGTAGAATTAGGAAAGCGTTCTATCCACGAATCAATCATGCCGACGCGCTGCACACCATGCCCTATTGAAACAACGGTTCAGCACTTGTGTGTCCCTCAAATGAGGCCTTGAAGACTTACCAGGGAAAAAAAGAGCTGTCCGCAAATTTCTTGTGATAGTGTGAGGTTTGAGACACGAAAGCTTCGCAAGGGGGAATATATGATATGACATGGATGAGATACAAAACATCCTTTCTTTGCAGGAAACAGAACCGGTATGACATATAACAGCTACCTTATTGCCATGGGAGATAGTCATGACATATAATAGTAAGTTAATCAGACTGCATATATTCAGAGCAATTATGTGACTAGTTCATGAGATCCATTATGTTAGGTTTGAAGGTAACTAACTAGTTAGATAACATCTAGTTATAAAGTAACTAGCTATTGAATAACTAACTATAATCGCGGAGATACATGTATTTATTACCATTGGGCTATATCCTGCCATAATAGGCCTAGATCCTGTTATGTCAGGCTTAGTGCCATAATTCTGCTCCTATTCTATATGAACCATCTAATTATGTTGATGAATACAGTATATTGATATTATTCCTCTAGTTAAAACTAAAAGATCATAACTAGGATATCATTTATGCATTTGCCTAGAGTATAAGGATCTGCGCCTAATAGTAATATACCACATAGCCGCTGCGGCGTAATTTACTGTCAAAAGACTGTAAAAATATAGTAACCTACTTAGGGTACTGTCAAGTCATTCAAAATCGAAGCAATTTCTAATCTTGACTCGGCCCAACTTTACCCATTGAAATAGACTGTTGTTATAAATAAAGCCAGAGTAGTTTTTGTAGCAGTGTGTTAATCATCTTATATACAGAGTAATTAGCTGGTTACTATTGCTAGCTGACTGATCACTTGACGTTACTATTTAGTTACTATCTTACTAGGTAACGTTACCTACTAGTTACTAGGTCGGAGTAGACCTCAATCCTCCCCCAACCCAATCACTTCTACTATCATCAAGATAATCCACACCTTTTCACATCAACATGGTTGAATTAAGAAAGCGCAAAATACGCACACAATCTCCAGCCCCAGAGAAAAGAAAGAAGACAGCAAGTACAGCAGTCAACCGGAGCAGACAAACTGCTAAAACAAATGACGACACTTCACATGGTAACCTCTCCTCAAAAGGTTTACCACAAGTTGGCGATACTATATCACTTGACGGGTTCGGTGGGGAACTTGAGAAAAATGATGGAGGAAAAGTGACACTGAGAAGCCTCCTAGACGAGAGCAAGTCGGGTGTTGTGCTCTTCACATATCCCAGAGCTTCGACTCCTGGATGTAAGTCATATTTCTTATAACCACCAATGCCTGCAGTATTATCCCCATTTATTGGCCACGAAATAGTTCAGCTATCTTCATGGGCTCAATATTGGAAGATGAGAAAAAGGTCATTTCATCAAAATACCAAACTTTGTTCGCATTATTGTGAGATGAATACCATAAAATGAAAGATATATTATTTCCAATTTCAAGTATCATGTTCTCACCATCTCGGAAGGTACCAAACAGGCCTGTTTATTCCGGGATAATCATGATCACTTGACCTCAACTGGCTTTTCTATATATGGCTTATCCACCGATTCACCCAAAGCCAATACCACTTTCCAAACGAAACAGAGCCTTCCTTATCCTCTGCTTTGCGACGTTCATGCCACACTAATTGCCGCGATTGGGATGAAGAAGTTACCAAAAGGCACAACTAGAGGGGTTTTTGCTATTGATAAGAATGGTAAGGTTTTGCTCTCCAAAGCTGGGGGGCCCGATGCAACTGTTGAGGCAGTACAGAAACTGGTAGATGGGGTTCTGAATGGGAATGACCTATAAATAATGGGTTATAAGCGAAGTGTGCGAGATATAGGATGAGCCGGGAGTGATCGATGGTTCAGGGAACCTCTAACATGCGTTTGCTTGGATATGTTAGTTCCAATACTTACGTTTTGTGGAAGGAGCGAGTGCAGCTCCCAGGCATTAACTCTTATAGTATAGCTAGATAGTACCTAGGTACATTAGGATTCGGTTCTTGGGTTAAATTTTCAATATCGACTCAAATGCCGACCAAGAAATCATCGAGTACCAGAAAATCAATTAACTACCTATTGAAACATTTCATAATTCCGTGGTAATGAATAGCTACTACTTCGTAGCACATCACCAACTCCCAGGTAGTTAATAGAGTCTAAAGTTAGGTCCAAGGTATCCACCCACCTACCAGGTAGTTGTTATTATCGAGGTAGTACTCCGTAGGTAGTAGGTACCTACTCCGTAGGTCCTAGTAGAAAACGTGCCAATCATAAGCTATCAAATTAGGCGCTGGTCAGCCAAGACTCAAATGAATACCCGGAATTATGATAACCCGGAAGTTCGGCCGCACCTATCTGATCTGGTACTCTAATTCTAACGCACTGCTCTATCAAGTCGTCATTGTTTCTTGGATTGAAGAATATTAACCTGTATGTGAATTTCATCAAACCATGTCATGTTGAAAATGATCTGTCAAATTTGGAATATCAATGCTAATCAAAGCTCAAAGCTTCAGCCAGCATGTCTCGCGAGGTGTTGAAAGCCGCCAAAGCGGCCTCCCATGTGATTGATGTTCATAAGGTGAGACATTCTGCGAATGCTGCAGAATTCTTTATGATGCTCTCTGGTGCCTGGCTAATATCGGTCATAGAAATATACCGTTCAATCTACTGGTATTTGGGAGCGGTTGCGACGTCTCCTGGCAGTCGACCCAACCCGTTCGACAGGAGTTCCACTGAATGCTCAATTCCGCAACCCCTCGCCAGGAGCCCTGCCGCCTTTATCTTACGATGACCCGGTGACTGTTCCCGCAGCAGACCTTGCCGATAATCCCTACTGGAAGCGTGACGTTCGCAGAAACTACCCCAGGCTCAGCACTGTTAACCAGGCAGATGCTGTCGGCCTCCTTAGTTTCGGCAGCCGTGCAGCCCCCAACGATTCTGCTTTAAAGATTGGGGAGGCGGGTGAAAAGCAGCTTGTGGAGTCAAAACGAGAAGGCGAGGAACGTGGCCTGGCTGCCCTTTTCAACAAAGACAAAAGTAGTGTACAAAATGCATTGGGCGCCAATGGTTTACCTCCAACTCCCTGCAATCTGAATTCTGCATCGAAATACCAACTCGGTGATGAGCATGGCTATCCTGCCGTGTATGTACATCCCCCCCCGATGTGTTCGTCTTCGCAGGCTAATAATCTCTCTTAGGTACCCATGTCGTACCTTTGTCTAGTTTTTTCGCCATAGATAAATGCCAATTGTGTTAAATTTGTACACTGGAGCAATATAATTGTTTTAAATCTAAGTTTCCTTATGAGTTTCACGATAAATACTAGAAATATGATTATTGGTACTCAGATTTATAGCATGCTGTCCTTTAATCCTTCCTTCACTTCTGTCTTCTGCCATCGTAGGTAGAATTAATATAGAACAACCTTTATTTCCTTATACTTAAGCTTATGGGTATTACCTGGGTTCAAAATGGTTTCAAGTCCTATTTTGACACTATATACAACTGGCTCTTGCGCGGATCTGGATGGCTTGGTAGCAAGAGCTGGTTACTTCTAACTCAAATATATTTGCGTTTCTGCTTGACAGTATGCCATATTTTAGAATAAAGTACCATGGTTTAGAAGAACTATTTTATTATTACTGAACACCATTGTTGTGTTGTTGCCTGGACTATAGTGATTATTATGCATGACTGAAACCATCCTCAGATATGTTCTGGGCTGCAAACTTATACATATATGGCATCAAATTGATACCATAGAAATATTCCCACATATAACCCAACAGTCTACTAGATTCGTCATGAAGAATCACTTGAATCTAATCAAAAGGGTTCGTGCGAGTACCCCACCAGGTTAAGAACAAGCTCAACCCTACCGTCTCGAAAACTCTGCTGACTGCACCAACAGCCACAGTATCAAGCGGTCTTTTCTCGGTGAAGATTTGAGAGATGAACTATATTCGTACACTCGAGTCAGGGAAATGATTCTGAACAGGGTGGTTGTATGGAGGACTCACGCTTGGGGCGGCACTAGCCATGAAGATCAAGCTTCCCAAATATGCTGCGCCCTTATAACTCAGAGTACCGGTTGCATTGATCAGAGCAGCCACTCCGTAGGTCTGCACCGCACTTCCAACGAGGGAGCTGCCCCAAGCTGCAGCTGCTCCTGCTGCTTCCTTCGACTTGATAAATTCTTCCTTTGAATTGGCAGCTTGGGCACGATGATAGGTATCCCCAAATACGGGGGCAAGGATGCCCAAAGAAGCAGTGTGAGTGAAAATCGTGCCCAGTGCAATGGCAGAGGGCTTCACGGGAGGCAAGTCTAAGATTCAAAAGGTATGAGAAATTTCCTTCTTGATAAAGTGGTAGATACTCCATTTCAAATATACAATACTCACAGTGCAAAGTAGTCATTTTGGACGTATTTGTTATAGTATTCCGATAATTGAAAGCTAATGGTTGGAACACAAAAACTCTTAAGGAGGGGGATTGGGAGGCCTTTTGAATAGTTCCCTGGGAATTACTATTGCCATTTTGGAAGACCCTGGAAAGACATGCGATGACGTCGTAATGACTATAGAACCATGAAATAGGGAGTTAGAGTTGCAGAATGTCGCTTCGCGATGCGGAAAAAGCCAAGGAGGCAGATCCAGTAGTTGCAGAACTTAATGACGTCAGAAAGATTTCAAGAGCTTTGAACGAGTCATTCTAATCACACCCAAGGAATCATTATTAGCTTCTTTGCTTGGATTTTTTTTATGCCGACAAACCACACCAATCTGGATTGCCGGTTCGATTCCAATGAATGATGGAGTGCTCTATAGTTGTAAAAATTTCTCGGCGTGCTAAACCTGAAAAAATACCTACCCACTATCAATACGCGGCCGCACATAGTAAACTATATCCTGCCCCTCTATCTTTCTATACCTAGCCTAATATATCCGCTTTTCTAACCCGAGGCTCCATCAGAGTTATCTTCTTCATGGACGACATCACCAGTTCTAGGCCTGAGTCACCAGGGATTGATGCTTCATTTAGTTTGAGTGAGTCCCTGGTGCCTCCAAGGGACCTAAAAACGGCAGGGATAAGCAGTGTCACTTTTGATGGCCTACTGGAGGTGCCTCTACACCTCAAAGAAGATCTGAAGGAAGGATGCGGAGGTCAATTATGGCCAGCTGGAATGGTTCTCGCTAAATATCTCCTACGCCAGCACAAGTCCGATTTGATAGATAAAACCATGTTAGTACGCCTGTGGCAGTGAGGATTTCTCTCCTTTTTTTTGCGAGAGATCCAGAGGGACCGGTCTCCTTTTACGAAAAGTATCGCCATGCTGATCCATTCACAGTGTCGAATTAGGAGCCGGCGGTGGCCTTGTGGGATTGGCAGTTGCTCGCGGTTGCGATGTGAATCAAAATTCTATTTATCTCACAGACCAAAAACCCATGCTTGAACTCATGCAAACAAATATTCAACTGAATAATGCTTCATCTACAGCCATGGCAGGCATACTCAATTGGGGAGAAGATCTTCCCGACTTCATACCTACTCATCCAGCGGTCGTTCTAGCTGCCGACTGTGTTTATTTCGAACCCGCTTTCCCTCTTTTGATCGATACACTTCAACAACTTCTGGGCCCAGAATCTGTCTGTTACTTTTGTTATAAACGACGGCGAAGAGCAGATATCAGGTTTATGAAACAGGCCAGGAAGGTATTTCATATCGAAGAGATCCAAGACGATCCCGATTCCGAAACGTATAAGAAGGAGAATATTTCACTTCACCTGATACGTTTGAAGGACACTACTACACATAACTAGGAACCTGGAAAGTGTTGAAAGGATAGTTATAGATAATTAGGTAGCCTAGATTATTGTTATTATAAAGAAACCCAGTTCTGTTCTCTATAGCTTCAATGTATCGGCACCCGCTTTTTGATGCCCATTACCAACACGACTACCATGAATATCCGTCACCTCACCCTGCTTACTGATAAGCTTGACACCTCCCTTCTTCAAGTTTGAAATAACTTGCTGCTTCTCGGATATCTTGTTGGAGTTCTTGGAACCGGCTTCAAAACCAGCCTTCTTCTGCCTCTCCTTCTCCTGCCGACGCATCCTAGACTTTTCTTCCCGTGACATTTCCTCCTTGGCTATAGATGCACCATTCTTGCGACTCACTTCGCCGTTGATTTTACCGTCGTCACCAGGAGTATAAATTTCCTGTGGCGCCAGCGTGGCTTGTTCATTGATGGAATGACTGACCGTTGGACGGGCATCTTCCATTGTGATTGTTGCGACATCTGCAATACTGCTGATAGTTGCCTGAGGTACATTTGGTTTGTAATGCCAATTAGACAGAGTGTCTAACTGAGAACTGATCTCCTTCCACAAGTTGGAAATCTCGCTGTGTTCCCTCATTAACTTTTGATCTTTCTTGTCTAGGAAATTTGGGTCTGCTGTGCGAAGATGTTCAGTCTCATAAAGCTCAGCGAGACTTTGTTGTGGTTTGGTGTCCTCAAGTTCGAATCGGCCTCTCTTTGTAGCTTGGCCATCAGAAACCCCAGGACGACGGCGGATGACTTCATCAAACTCCTTAGCGATAATTCGACGTTTCACAAGTTCTTCGATGCCTTCTGTTAACTCATTTGTAACCACGGGAACGGGTTTGCCGATTCTTTCGAACTCTAGATCTTCTTCGATGAGAGAGTTGGTCGGTCTTTCGGGGGCCCTGGCTTCACCAGCAAGCATCCAATCTTTTTTGGCAATATTTGCCGCCTCCAAACGACGGATTTCATCTGCAATACGTGCTCGTTGTCTTTCATGTGTGGATCTGAGATCCTTATCGCCATCAGGCGTAGCAAAGGGGTCCTCGTCCTCCACTGACATACCATCAGCAAACAAATCACGGTGAACATCTGCCATTGCCCGTTCAATATCGTCTTCTTGGATGGCAGGCTGGGTTTTGGGAAGAGCACGGAACTTCTTAGATGTAACTTTCCGGGGAGGAGGTGCAAAGAAGTCGGCGTACTTGATGTCATTTGTATTGAGAAACCCTGGATTTTCTTCGTCGCCAAAGGAGGATTCGTTTTCATCCTCCAGCCCTGATTCTAGCTCCATGTCGCCGAAGGTGGGCCCATCATCTTCACTACTCTCATCAGAATCATTGACCTCCGCGTCATTTTGGTTCTTTGGGCGGGAAGATTTAGCAGGGATCGAGGATGCCCCTCCCAAAGCATGAGGATCAGCGTGCCAGTCAATATCATCGTCATCGCTTTCATCCTCTGGCTCCCCTTTGGCGTCTAGTTGTTCTAGGAATTCAGTCTGCTTGTTGAAATCATCGATGGAAAAGAAGCCATCATTCAGGCCAAAAGGATCCTGCATGTAGACATCGTCACTGCCTTTCCCCTGTCGTTCGGAGTCGGCGTCTTTATCATGCGAGGAATCATGCGACGGATCTTCCTGCTCAGACCCCAAGATGTCCATATCCAAAGTTTCCGATGCAGTTTCTTGCAATTGCTCGTCATATAACTCGGATTCTTGCTGATCAAAGGTATCGTTCCTTTCTTCGTCATCATCGAAATCGCTGATTCCAGTCTCCTCATCGGATGATTTTGTATCACACGGCACCCTTAAAGAGATATCCCGTTTTACCTCAAGTCCAACCGACTCAAGGATAAGCATGGCCTGTTCCCATATCTGGTCCGAAGTGAAACCATCGACATAAAGCTGTTTTAGTCGAAGAAGCTGGTTCGTCGTATCTTCATCGACTTCAGATCGTTTGCGTTTCCGATTGAACTTCTGGCGCGCATACTGAGTTTCACTGACAGATTTGGCTAGCGAATCGAAGAGACTTTTCGCAGAGTGGACAGTGTCAGTATATACATTGTTTGTCGGGTGAAGAAATGTCCACGGAGCAGACAGTATAGAGTCCAATGCGTTGTGGGCTTGTGAGGAACCGGGCACAGATGGTAAAGTTGCCATTTTCAATACATAATATGCCTAAGTAACAGGCTTGATACCAGCAGGGTAAGGGTTAAAAAGATAATGATTTTTTAAACTTGTATCAGACAGTTAGTACCTCGAGTTTACCGAGTGAACATGGTCTTGGCCTTTTTTTTTTTTTTTGGCTTGCAGCTAGTTACCTACTCCGTACGTAGTTAGCTTGTGAAAATAGATTTTTAACTGGGCGACGGGCGCTCCACGGAACCAGCCGAAAAATCCCGAAATTCGCCTTTATCAGGACTCCAAATAGTACCTATCTAAGGCTTAGAAGGCGACGGACCGACCGGGCGGCAAGACTTTTTTTCACTTGCATCATCCCCATCAATAATAATATCTAGCGATCTTGCTGGGGGGCAACGCTAGACCTTTCTACTATCTTTTCCCATCTTTTTATTCAGCGAGTTTTCTCCCTCATTTTCCTCCCAGAGCATACATAAAATACTCTAGAATTATTTTCAGGTCACCACACGTCCCATCTCTCCCATAAACAGCATACCCTCGTGTTTTAAGGCCGACGCCATCGTTTAACCAAAAGCAACTGCGTTTTTTTGCTAAATTACTGCACGATACTTTTTTTATTTGCCACGATATCGGAAACGCTTAACGTGAAGCCTCAATCGCGAGCCCTCGCGCCATGAAGGTTTTTTCCTCAGACTGCACATTCGATTATTCTTGGGACGAGGTGTCGACTGCGAACTGGCGCAAATACTGCCCCTGGAATGACAAGTCGACCCATGTTGTCGCAGTTGATACACTCTCTCGGACTGTGGACCCGGAGACAGGAATTGTAAGTTTTTCATCTGTTCGAATAATTATTCTGTGATATCAACATGGACATCGATGATTGTACCACGTTTGTAAACTAACTCGAGCTTTCCACTATTCTAGTTACGAACAGAACGCTTGATCACTTGCAATCAGTCGGTGCCACACTGGGTATCCTCGTTGTTCGGAGGCAACCCTACATCTCATGTCTATGAGATTTCATATGTTGATCCAGTCTCAAAAAAAGTCACAATGTGCTCTTCAAACCTTACATGGTCCAACGTTCTCAACGTCCAAGAAACTGTTGTCTACAAGCCTTCGCAACTGAAGCCAAGGACCACCACGGAATTCAAACAAGAAGCCCAGATAACTGCACTATGCGGTGGATGGCAGAAGATCAAAAACAAAGTCGAAGAGGCCAGTATCGAAAGATTTAGCCAGAATGCGAAGCTTGGTCGGGAGGGGTTTGAGGCCGTCCTTGAGATGAGTCGTCGAGTGTTTGGTGAACAACATGAAAAAGAAAAACATATGCAATTATGATGCGTGAGTCCTTATTATGGGCTGCCAAGTCGAGTAGTTGCATTTACCGGCGTTTTCGATTCTTTGCGGAGTTATTCAGCCAGCATATGGGGTGTCTTTATTCGCTTTTATATTACGTTTGAGCGGTGTGTTATGAGCCTTACACTTTTGATGATACAAGATGGAGATGTGGATATCCGTGCCTACTGTATTTGTATCTGCCATTTTATGAATAGAGCTTTTTATTTTCTTCTATAATCTTCCACTCTTTCCAAAGGAAACCCCACATCTACCAGCACAGCTTGGGCGATTTGTATATATGGTTCTGCTCTTCCTTATCCAGATTATAGTATTATCCCATGATCCCTCATCAAGAGGAAATTAACCTGAGTGGGCGTATTTACATATATTTTCTTCCTCTAAACGACTCTTGCCACTCAAAGAGTATGAAGATAGTAGAGATAGTCCCTTCATCGAAATCAGGAAAGAGAACAGTCACAGTATAGGCTTTCAAAGATTATCCTAACAAGCCACCCAAGACGACACGGCTGACACTAGCTATCTCATTCTTTGCGCTTGCACGACTGATTTCTCCAAATTCCCTGACTACACCTGCGACCATTACTTTCCGCAGCTTCGCATCGGCCTTTGAAAACATTTCTCCTAAAGCCACGGTACAAATGGCAGGAGTGGATACCAGAGTAACTAGTCTGGTGTAACAGTCTATCAGCACATCGCAGAGCGTTGCAAATGTCTCGAAAAAATCCGGTTCAAAAGGTAATGATGGTGTTAGGAGATATGAGTATTCTTCCCCGGGCAGAAGCTCGGACGAGTCGGTTTGGGGGAAAGATATGACCGAGGCGGCTGTGGAAGCAGAAGAAGCAATGTTTCCCGACATCGTTTTAAGATCGGACGGATCGCTTGTTTGCATTGGCAACCCAATCTCTGTCGCAGAGCTGGCTCTTCGGGTTTTATTACCGGCGTGGGTTGCTCTTTTGAACATCTGCGGAATGCGAGTTCTGGCTAAAGTAGATGATGAGGTGCCATCAGGTGGGTGCACTTGCTGGAAAGCCTCAAATTCGAGAAGGAGCGCATTGAGGGCTCGTAAGTATTCAAATGGCGTGGAATTGACATCTAGAATGGGAGGCAAGGAAAGCCCGAGTAACATGTAATTGATGGCGCGGCGTGATAATTTCTTGGCCTCGAAATATGGCATACGGTTCAAATCGGTCTTTGAGAAATGGACTGTATTAAACCAGTAGACACGTCCTTCATGTCTATGATCGAGTTAGTGGAGAGCTCTCTTCATTAACAAACAATGGACCCTACGCCTTCCTGAGATAATCAAGGGTCGAAACACGCTTGGCGGCCATGTCATGGATGTGCTGATAGATAGCTCCAGCGCTCTGCGGTCCGAATGCACCTCCTCCACTTATTAAAGGGGGGTGGACAGTACCGATTGTGCTGTCATGGCTTGTGCTAGCAGATTTGGTTGTGTCTCTCCGTGTAAGGCTTGGTGTGAAAGAAGAGGAGATCATTATGGATTAAAAAATTCTATAATATGTGTGAGAACCTGCTCTCCTTGCTAATAACCTTCTGGGTTCACAATATATATTGGGCGTTGACGTATAAATTATTGTTGCAGAAACCCGCTTGACCGCCTTCCTTTATCTACTCAACAGAACAGAGTACGGAGTAATAATAGTTAATGATTGAGGGGCGCTTCCCCACTACCCCTGGATAGACTTCCCTAAACTATCAACACGCTCCTCAATCATATTGGCTCCATTTACTTCCAAAGGGAGTACCACTAGACCACCATTCTCTGTCAATCATCTGTGGCCCAAGAATATTTCAATGCAGTTTGATTAAATTGTTATAAATACGCAAATACTTCTTTCAGCACAAAACCTGGAAGACACGCAAGATCTTTCCTTGTCGTTGACTCTAGCTCTCTCTAGGAGCCTTGACTTCTTTATTGACCTTGCACTTCTCAGTTCTGCACCACAGATTATAGACTCTTCAGTATGACTACACCATTTGATGGGCAGGTTCCTCAGCCAGGGCAATGGCCAGTGGATCCCCAAGAGGATATGCCGGTATCTGAAGGCAGGATCTGGGTTGATGGCTGCTTCGACTTTACTCACCACGGTGAGGGGTTAACTTCCCAAAATGGCTTCATAGATAATTTCTAATAAAAACGCATGGCTGATCAGGACACGCCGGAGCAATGCTTCAGGCTCGTAAACTTGGAAACCAACTAGTCGTTGGGATACACTCAGACGAAGCGATCCTTGAGAACAAGGGTCCGACTGTCATGAACCTAAGGGAACGGTAGGCAGTCGCATCTATCTTTGTATCCATCATCATCGCTAAACCGTTTTTCAGAGTGGCTGCAGTAGATGCTTGTCGTTGGGCCACTCAGAGCATCCCGCATGCTCCGTATGTCACCCAATTGCCCTGGGTGTCTCACTACGGATGCCGTTACGTTGTCCATGGCGATGACATCACCTCCGATAGCAATGGAGAAGACTGTTATCGATTTGTCAAAGCAGCCGGGAGGTTTAAGGTGGTCAAAAGAACACCTGGAATTTCTACTACAGATCTCGTTGGCCGGATGCTACTGTGCACCAAGGGTCACTTCATTAAATCTGTGAAAAGGACGCTCAATGGAGAAGAGGGATCAGGCAACGCGGAAGAGCGAAAAGCGTTTGCCGTCGATCTTCTACAGAGAATCCAAGACTACGCTACTGATGAATCTGGGCTTAAACCCGGACCACAAGTCTGGACGTGGATTGGCTCTCAATCAGCGAAGCTGGATCATATGATCGAGGAAGCTGGTTCCTTTGACAAACTTGTGGGCGGGAAAGGCCCTAAGCCAGGGCAGCGAATTGTATATGTTGATGGTGGCTTTGATCTTTTTTCGTCCGGACATATTGAGTTCCTTCGACAGGTTCTGCATAGCGAAGAGAAGGTCGGCCTTGAGCGTGGCTGGTATGAGTCTGACCGGCAACAGCAGAGGCTCAGAGACCATGGGGAGGATTTTGGTCCTGCTTACATCATTGCAGGAATTCATGATGATGATGTGATCAACCATTGGAAAGGACTGAATTACCCCATTATGAACATCTTTGAGAGGGGCCTCTGTGTGCTACAATGTCGTGTAAGTCTCACTGACAGCTGATTATCAGATTAAATGCTTACTAAATTACGCACAGTACATTCATGCCGTCATTTTCTCGGCTCCTTTCTCACCCAGTCAGTCTTATTTGGGAGCATTCCCCTTTGGCACCCCGAATGCCGTGTACCACGGTCCCACGACTTTCATTCCTCTCACGTATGATCCTTATACTGGCCCAAAGAAAATGCAAATATTCAACACCATTGAGAATCACGCCTTTCAGCATGTAAATGCTGGGGAGATTGTGGAAAGAATATTGAAGAGCCGCGAAGCGTATGAAGAACGGCAGCGCGCCAAACTGCAAAAGGGAATTGTTGAAGATTTGGTCAAATCAAAAGAGACTATGTCTCAATAGTGGGTAGGGAGATGGACTATGATAACATCTTGTGTGATAAATTCAAATAATCTAGGTGTATATTTATGTTGTGGAGGCCATAGAGTATTTCTGAGATTAAATCATAAATCACTGATGAAGTGAGTTGAAGACCTTTCACCGAGCTCATATCAATGAGCATAATGGTCTTTCAATGTCATGAAACGCCTTTTATGCAGATGGCATATGTATTTGATCTTCCACTAACAAGAAAAAGAAGTAATAATCCTTTTTACTTTCATCTAATATTAGTCTGTTTCTGATAGTACAGGTTGCCGTATTTTCCTTCGGGCCCAGCCGTCCTCATATACTGTAAAAATGCGGCGAGAGGGACAGTTCAAATATAAGCGAATCCGTCCCCGCACCCAGTGTCTGTTAATACAGAATGAGGTGTCTCTCTTAATGGAACAAAGCTTCGTATGATTTCCAGCGCAGTCGCCACGCACCTATTGATCGGCAGCCACGACGACGTTCTTATCCTCCAGCAGCTTAGCGAGCTCTCCATTCTGATGCATGGACATTAGAATGTCACAGCCACCAACAAACTCTTTATCGATGTATAGCTGGGGAATTGTCGGCCAGTCCGAGTATTCCTTGATGCCTGCAAGGTCAAGTAGAAAAGAAAAATCAGCAACTGTCCAGAGCTTCAAATGTGAGTAGGAGAGGTAATTCAAAATACCCTGACGTAACTCGGGGTCTTCGAGAACATTGAATGCGACGAATTTCTTGGGATCTACGCCTTGCAGCCCGAGAATCTGGATGCTGGCCCGGGAAAAGCCGCATTGCGGTGTTTCAGGCGTGCCCTTCATGAACAGGACGACGGGGGCAGACGCAACCGCCTTGTCAATCGCAGCCCTTGTTTCCGATGAGAGGAACCGCGCATACAGAGCAGAGGGAATCTGGAAGGGTGCGGGCGTAGGGCGTGTCACCCGAAGGGGTACCGTTGACCATGCTGGTCGCAGAGCCTGGAAGTTCATATGGTAAGCTTCATATTTCTTTGATACATACACTTCTGTCTTTGAAAAAATATTATAAATTTATTGGTAAAAGCTTACTGATGCAAAAACCTTTCTCGAAAACATCGTTGCAGCCACAGGTCGTTGAGTTATTCTGAATTTCTGTCATGGGAGAACATTAGCCAGTTACCCTGCGTCCTATTACAACTCTGCACGCTTGGGCCCCCAGATTAGATAAAGAGCCGTTCGTCACTAGCGCAAAATCTGGTTGACGCAATGGTTCTTTGTACGCAGAGCACAATCGTTTTGTGGAGGGGGGAAGATTCATCTAATTAAGACATTCATTGAATATTGTTTCATATCAATCAAAAAGCATATGTACCGGGCTGAGTTCCTTGATCTATGGCTATTATAATGAACTCTTCTATAATACAACATTGAGATAACCAGGTCTTTCTATTGTGTTTCCAAGCCAGCCTCCAGCGCTTCAGGTTTCTGGTAAAAGCCGAGATATTGCGCTAGATATTCCAGGAACATACCCAAGGAGATAGATCCACCAGTGAGCAAACACCCATTTTTAAACCACCACCAGCAGTTCTGGACACTTTTCAATTGCACTCTTCGGATCATGATACCTAGAGTGGCAAGGGCGCCCCCGCAACTAACGGCAAAAAAGATCGGTCCTGCTCCTGCTGCTACTCCCGAAGCAGCAAGCAGAGACACTTGGACTACCGCCAGACCGGAAAGAACAGCCTTGGTGTTGTGCTCATGGCGCAATGCAATCGATTTGATCCCCGCGGCAACATCGTCCTTTATGTCCATGTGGGCATAGATCATATCATATAGGATGGTCCAAGCGATGCAGCTGGAATACAGGGCGGCTGCAGTCACCAAGGCCTGATGATTGTGGAGAAGATCTACGCCTAACGCCGGGAAGCCCATGATAGCACCCCATGAAAACGTTAGGCCCAGTACAGCCTGTGGATAATTGGTGACGCGCTTGGCAAGTGGGTAACTGGCCACAAAGAGGAGACTCGGGATACCATACCAGAGGCATTCGGTAGGGAATTGGAGCAGGATGCCGAGTCCTGCAAGCAGTTGCGTGCCGGTGAATACCAAAGCCTTCTCGGGAGTTATGGCACGTCGAGCGATAGGCCTGAAACGTGTACGCGCAACATGAGGATCTAGGTCTCTGTCCCACAGGTCATTAATCGCGCACCCGGCGCCCCGCATGATCAGTGAACCTATGAAGAAAAGACTCGCAGTTTCGACGACCTCCAGAAGGCCAACTGTCTGAGTCGCCATTGGCGCAGCGAGAAGGGTTGAAAATAGGCAGGGAAAGAACAGATAATAAGTGCCTGTTGGCTTATCAAGTCGTAAAAGTTCGGCATAAGGAACCCAGGACTTGGGAAGATAAGCAATCAACCCGGTCTTCGGTGGCTCATATCGAACTGCGGCAACTGTCTGGCTAGAACTAGGGTTAATTGCAATGGGGTGTATCGACGGGAATTGTGAATTGTATCGGACTGGTTCTGATGGAGGGCGTGTGATGAGCCGGGGAGCCGGGGGGATAGGAAACGCCTCCTTTGCACCATAATTGACTCGGGTGTGAGGTAACGTCGAATAAAGCGACGAAAGGTGGCGAAGGCTGATCGGCTGTGCCCTGGAACATCTGCAAAAGAGCGCCTGACTTGGTCGAACGGAGGTTGACCAGGACATGATGATAGAAGCGGGGATAGCCGGTAGCAGATATAAGACAGAAGTGCCGAGGACGCGCAGATTGAGCGATTTGCGTGGCTGGATACCTATCTAGTTAGAGAAGCCGATCAAATAGCATTGACGTATGATGATGGGTGATTTAGTACGAGGAGAGCGCCGTGGTACCCTTGAAGCTCAAAAATTCGGCACTACTTCACACTTCACAGAATATCATGAAGATGGTCGGTATTGGTATTGATAGTCCCAGATCCATAACATATTAGAATTGAGTCCAGATGAAAAAACCCGAAGCTCTAGGACCAGTGATTATCCCTCACTCAAGTCCCTTTTGTTGAACAATTATGCACCTCGAATGCCTACCTAGGTAGGTAGGTACGTTTCAGAGATACAAAAGTAGCGATAAACACGGAAATACAATACACCGAGCATGCTGACCCTATCTTAGGGTATTTTTAGGGTGGAGAGTGTAGCCCATTGGTCCATTTGTTGGCTCCTGTACTGCGCTGCTAAACTTTCCACTAGGCCAAACTGGGGTGCGCAGTGCAGCAGCGCGCATTAGTCCGGCCAGTAACATCTCTCTTGATGCAGCAGCTAAGACTGGCTGCATGACCACCAAGGGGATGATGCCCGTGGCATGCGCTGCTAACAATCTGTCGCCCAGCGCGGTAGGCGCAGGTTATTAATGTGTTATTGAAGTTAGCAGCAGCAGCCGACCAGTGACTACGAGGTATATCCATAAGATTGCATCCTCTCAACAAACAACTGCCGTGAGACTCCACCCATCCACACCAGTCATACCTCGCCGAGTCAGTCAGGCCATTCGGCCTGTCTGCAGTCGTGGGGATTCAGGCACGTAGCAGCCTGTAGGACCGTATGTAGCGAGTACCTGAGGTCCAGTGCAAAAGCCGCAGCTGACAAGGTACCCGCCAGACACCAGCCGCTCCCCCAGAACCTTGCGCTTTTTCTTCCTTCCACACGCCCCGTGGCAGCTGCGGCCAAGTTTTTGACGATATGATAGGATGACTGTCGTAAGACACTGGGATCCCCTCACTAAAAACACTCGCTATCCTGTGTTAGTCCCTTTTTTTCGGCCCACGGACCTCTTGGATCTTCTCTCCGCAGACCAGTCAGTGAAGAGCGTGATGTATGGAGTATGCCTGCCCTGGTGGCTTATATGGCTGCAGTTGTCCCTACTTCAAATATTCAAATATTGCCTTCACCCACCTTGAACAGCTTTCCAGCTTGCCTCCAGCTGTCTTTTCAATCTTCCTTGACAAAAAGGTTACTACTCATACTTCTATAACTATCTTCTAACATACCTGACTGAAACTTTCTTACTTTTCTCTGCCATTCGGTGTGCTTTTTATAGGAAAATAGGATTGGAGTGGGGACTATGAGGTGATCATTTGATTCTATTGTCTTCATGACGAAGAATTGTGTGATTGCTTACTTGACTCTACACATCTTATATACTATATTTTAAAGATCATACCATCATATTAAATATACAGACTGTCTTTTTTTTCTCTTCTTCTTGTTGTTATTGTTTTCCTTCCTGGAATACTATCTGATCGCCTCTCTTTGAGATACTACTCATACGACAAGAATATAAACACCTCTATTCTACTCTACACTTTCTGAAACCTCGGTGGCATACCTATCTACAATATGGCCACGGACTGTTTTCCTGACTTTTGTCTGGTTTGTGATCGACAAACTACGAATGGACCCTACTGCTCTCAGTCATGCAGACTTTCCGAGTTGGACCTCACGTCGCCCAAGTATAGCACATCCACTACATCAGCACCGATGGGGCGCCGAATACCAACGCCACAGAGCGGAAATCCCAGGGCTAGTAAGAATCAAAACCCGGATGACAGCCTACGTACTGTGTTGCCCTCCTCGCCAACCCGCGTCTTATCGCCGTCGGCATCTCAGACCTCTCTATCTTCTCTCCGCAGCACCTCATCGCAAAGCGGGTTATCGGACCAGTTTCAAATTGAACTCCAAGGGTACGCCAGTTCATTTGATCGGGTTCGAGATCTCAGGAGGCGCCTCGCGGCTTCTTGACTCGTTCTTCTGGATTCGCAGCGACTCGACCGGACAGCACGTGCATGCCCTCCAACCTCCACCTTCTCCAACTGAACTATTTCACATTTTCGAGCATACGATATACCTACCTCTTTTCTCTTGATGTCCCGGAACGAACGTCTCTGTCGATATACTTGTTGGTGTCTGCACAATAGTACAGTGCCAAGGCTCTCTTCTCCTCGCTGGTCGACTAATTGTATGACCCGAGTTCCAGGCGTTTGCTCTCGGGGCACTTGATCAATACTTGCAAAACGGCGGATACCCATCTCAGCGCGCTTTCTTTGGCTTTCCTTTGGTTCTTTTCCTTTTTTTTATATGGGTGGAACGGGGAAAAAATCTTGCTATTTATCATTCTATATTGGTTTATTATTATTACAGACAAGGCTTAATGGATGCTACTTGGAATACTTCAGTGACAACCTACATTTATGTATGGCATGTGTATCCCTTAGTTGATTGCATAGGGGTTATTTATTTTCACTGCTATTCCAATGCCCAACACGAGACTAATACTGTTTAGTCTTTATGAGAATATAACCCACATTAGTATGGCCTATGTTCCATCATGTTTTATGCAAGTGCCTGAATATCTGTATAGAATTACACCTGGTATAGATGATACCCAATCACCTATTTCTCTCCAAAATTGAAGATTTTAGATAGAGATTAGTAGTGTGGTGTACGTCGATTCTTTATATCCATGTAACTTGATGATTAGGCGGGCTAGGCTGTATATTGATTCCAATAAAGTGATTGTTTTATTTATATCTCTACTTCAATTTATAGGATATAAACCTATAGTTCACTATAGTGCTGATTTAAATTGATAGTAGGATAACTATTGAAATAAAGACTTTGAGTAACTACTCCATGCCTACCTAGGTTAGGTTGGTTAGTTCAGTTCTAGGCATCAAACTGATCTTCCATTTCGGCCAAGCTGCCTTGATAGGTACCTAGACATAGCTGCTGCTAGTCATCCTGTAGTCTGTTTAATTATATATCTCGCTAAACCTCCTCGGGACAAGACAACATGTGCTGCAACCTTCACTTTCTTTGCCTCCAGCTCGAATCGGCCATTTTATACCTCGTTTGTCCAATTTTCCAGCTAGCGTCGGGTATATTTTCCATTTACCCTACGATGACTCTATAAAGGCTGTGATATACATTCCAGGTTCTCTCGAGGTTCAATCCGATCTTCCCAGGGTAATTACTACCTAGATAGTTAGTTATACGGAGTATTTATAATTGACTAATTAATACCTAGTTACTGAACAGGTCACCAGCTGGATTGATCTCAAACCTTATGGAGTACCAGGGAACACTTCTCCAAGCCCTATGTCATCTTCTATATCCTGCAAGGAGTTCTTGGCATTGCTCATCGGCATGCGGCAAGTGAGGCTTTGAGACCCAAGCCTCTAGGGAACCACGGAGCACCAAAAACGGCAATATTTCACCATTAAGGAAGGTCTGCCGGGAAGGAATTATGGGGAGAGTGGAACTGGTGGCCTGCACCAAGTGCCTAGCAGCACCCACAACATCGAAAACCAAACCCAGGCAGTCGATCAGGAGCATGAATTGGTCTATCCACCAGGCAGTCCAGAACATATTAGATCGCTGAACAGCTTTGCTCAAGGGAAAACTCTGCCTTGTCACATGGAGAGCTTATCGCGGGGCCCGGAAGAAGGGGGCATTCGGATGCTTCCCCACGCCGCGGCCTGCCGAGCTTGCCATTGGTGGGAGAACTGGGACATTCATTGCGGCGCCGTCATCGTGACCCGGTCGATTTCGCCTCCAATCACAGCTGGGCACCGCGCTGGACAGGTACATGACGCAGCGGTGGCCGCTCTCCCGAGACCGGGCTGCGCAACCAGCAGTGCCAATTCCAGAACTGCTCGCCGGCTCCTTCACTCCTATTTTTCCTTTTCGTTTTCACCTTTCTTGCCTTCTTCAATGACCCGTCCTTGAATTAATCAAACACTACAACCCTCCCTTTGAACTGTGTCGTGGTTGTTGTTGGCACTTTGCTGGACCTCTTTTTTTCGCGCCCTGTCGTTTTTCATCCCCCACACAGCCAAAACGGGGAGTGGTAGATTGTTTGGGGCCATTGCGCTGAACAGTCAGGTAACGGAGGTGTCCTTTGACTAGCTAGATCCCTATTTGGCCGCCAGAACAACGGCCGACTTATCACAATGGCCGCCCGCCATTCCCGCCGCTTTTTGCGCCCGCTTCTCTATACCTCCGCCGCCGCAGCTGCAGGTGCCGGAGTTCTTTATATATCCTACCGGCCACGCAACATACCGGGTTCTGAAGGCCCTGCCGTACCTCCTCCGGGCTATCGTGAGGGTAAACTGATACCCCCGAGCTTTCCGCTGATCAAGTCCCGCGCGGAGCAGATCCAGGACCTTAGACGCTCGGCGGCGCAAACTGACTCGAGCTCCGACAGCGACGTCTATGACCTGCTGGTCATTGGTGGTGGCGCCACGGGTTCTGGAATTGCCCTTGATGCAGCTACGCGTGGGTTGAAGGTGGCTGTCGTGGAGCGGGATGATTTCAGTGCTGGTACGAGCAGTAAGAGCACCAAACTGGTACACGGTGGTGTCAGATACCTGGAGAAGGCAGTATGGGAATTAGATTATGACCAGTACGTTTCTGTTAGACCAGCCGATGACGGCACCTCGATTTTTAATTCTTTCGTCCTCGATGGTTAGCTCACAAAGTGGAACAACAGGTATAAACTTGTTAAGGAAGCCCTGAGAGAGCGCAAGTACTTCTTGAATACTGCGCCTCATCTGTCACAGTGGCTGCCCATTATGGTCCCTGTGCAGAAATGGTGGCAGGCCCCGTACTTCTGGCTCGGAACTAAGGCCTATGACTTTTTGGCCGGTTCGGAGGGCATCGAGACTTCCTATTTTCTCACCAAAAGCAAAGCCCTTGATGCATTCCCCATGTTGAGAAAGGACAATGTCATTGGAGCCATGGTTTACTACGGTATGTGTTGCACCCCCGCCAGAACGTACCTTGTTGAGCGTTAGGTGGCTAATAACCGTTCCCAGATGGCGCTCACAATGACTCTCGTATGAACGTGTCTTTGGCTATGACAGCTGCCTTGTACGGTAGCACTGTTGTCAACCACATGGAAGTCACGGGGTTGACCAAGGATGCATCGGGCAAGCTGAACGGCGCTGTACTTAGGGATATGATCCCAGGCAAAGATGGCAAGAGCACCGAGGAGTTCACAATCCGTGCAAAGGGCATCATCAATGCGACAGGCCCCTTTACCGACTCCATTAGAAAAATGGATGAGCCCGATGTGAAGGAGATTGTGGCCCCCAGCGCTGGTGTTCACGTCATTCTTCCTGGATACTACAGTCCCTCGGACATGGGTCTAATCGATCCATCGACCTCCGACGGACGAGTGATCTTCTTCCTGCCTTGGCATGGAAACACCATTGCCGGAACAACAGATGCACCGTCGGAGATCACGCCTCATCCTGAACCTTCAGAAAAGGATATCAACTGGATTCTCTCTGAACTTCGCAATTACCTCGCCCCTGACATCACCGTGAACCGAAGCGATGTGCTTGCTGCATGGTCCGGCATCCGGCCCCTGGTACGGGATCCTAAGAAAGAGCGCTCCGAGGCGCTCGTCCGCAATCATCTGATCTCGGTCTCGCCCTCGGGGTTGCTGACGTGTGCCGGCGGGAAGTGGACGACCTATCGCCAGATGGCCGAGGAGGCTGTCGATGAAGCGATTAGCTCTTTCAGACTAGAGACTAGGGAGAAGTCTGAAGTCCCGGATATCAGCGGTGTCGGAGGAAGTGGCCTGGTTTCCGACGGGGCAGTCCTTGATGGCTCCTGCCAGACACACCAAGTTCGCTTAATAGGTGCCCATGGCTATTCCAAGACTCTTTTCATCAATCTTATCCAGCACTATGGTCTCGAAACGGATGTGGCCAAACACTTGACCACATCGTATGGAGACCGTGCTTGGCAGGTTGCAGCCCTCTCCTCTCCCACTAACGCCCGGTTCCCCGTCCGCGGAAATCGCATCTCGACCCTGTATCCTTTCATCGATGGCGAAATCCGGTATGCTATTCGCCACGAGTATGCACAGACAGCCGTTGACGTTATCGCTCGGCGAACTCGTCTTGCTTTCCTAAACGCCGAAGCAGCGCTTGAAGCTTTGCCGAGCGTCATCGACTTAATGGGAGAGGAGCTGCACTGGAATGATAAGAGAAAGGACTTGGAATGGAAAGAATCTGTTCAGTTTCTTTCTTCCATGGGTCTCTCCAAGAGTTTGCTTGGGCTAAGCAGGAAGGAAGTCGAACGTGGAAGGGTTACTGAGCTAGACGACGCGGAACGCAAAACCTCAAGGCTTGGTACGTGTTTAGATCGATTATTTCCCCTCATAATACCACCATTACTGACTGCTATTACAGAAGGACCGGCAGATATCCTCGAGCGTGACGTTCTGTCAACTACTCCGACTACTCCTAACCCATTGGTTCGCCCCGAATCCGAGGCAAACAAATAGACATATTATAGACCAATTTTTGTATATTTATAATTGAAAAATTCACAGGTTTTTCGAATTGCCTTTATCCCGCTTTGCCGATTTATGCTTCATACTTTTCCTAGAGGTTTCCAGAATAAAGAAAAGGAGGGATGCGAAGGAGCTACGCTGTCAACTTTCCCCTCTCATTCACCCCGACTTCTACTTCTTTTCCCTCTCTCCTAGCCCTCGAGTGTGCTGCCGAGATGGGTTGTGGAATGACCGTAAGCATACTTATCATGCGTATAGAAAGGCAAAATGCCCACATCCATCAGATATTTCAAGTGAAATAGAAGTCCACTGCATGCCCCCTGGGCTGAAGAAAGTATTAAGTACTTTCAAGCATGTCATTGAACAAAAAGATAAGTCCCTCCTCGGCTCTTCGGCTAGGGATAGCATCAGATTTCCACCCATGGGGTCTTTCCCAAACCAGCATCTCAATCCATGAAGGTACCTCCACAAGAAACATCGTCACTAGGGACGAGTCTGTAGTGCCGACATTCAGGATAGAGCTTGCCTCAGCAGCATGGGTAGCGAGGGAATTCCTCACCGACAGTGACTGGGGTTTGCGCCATGGCTGAAAAGGCTGCCATGCCAGGCTTGGGTTTCTTGCTGCTCCACAATTGCATATCCAATCCAGTTATGATTTCAACGGGCATATAGGCAGGCATAAACCAATTCGTAGGCTTTCCGATTGTTGATTTTATTTCCATTACAACTAGCACCATTACCTTCCTCGGTACGAGTCATAGTATCTAAAATATCTATTGTATGTAGGCACGTCATGTTCTAGACTCTCTTCGATCCGGGTCTTCTGAAGCCGCACGAGGTAACAAGATTTAGTAAGATAGATGGTAATGGAAAATATACCGATGTGTCCATGGATCCTTTCCCCCCCCTTGCTGCTCGCTGATTGATCCACAGGAAAGAGCTGTTCGTCGCTCGATGCGGAAATAGCTTCCCTTTCAACAAAAAAAGAGAAACCTCGGGCAAGATCGTAGGATCGTAAAAGTAGGAATATATTTTTTTTTTGGAAGATGACGATTCAAACGCACTCCTGTTCGGGGCTATGCTCTCGGGATTTACCCAAACGAGCCTCATGCGCTTAGAGGCTGCCAATGAAATTGGCCATTGGGACGGGTGCACAGAGAGCTCTGCATAGCTGCCTGGGTTCCCCTCTTCTCTCTTTCCCCAGATCAAAAAGGTTTTACCGATCACGGTGTGATAAGGGAGGGGGTAGCTCCCGTGCTGATGAATCCTATCTGACTCGTCGTACGCTTTTGTATGTGATGCTTCATATAATCGTACGACTCGACCGCTTTGCGTTTAGTTATATCGATCTGGAGACCTTGAGAGAGGGACATGTCGAAGACGAACAGTTCGTTTTCTTGAACAACGCCCCTCCCTATATCTTCTTGTGTTTCCTTGTGCAGGACTCGAGTCGCCGTGAAACACAGGCCATGTATGCAAACTGCATGTACAGGTATGGCCTTCCAGTTTGACCCGATGTTGAAAAGGACGCCATTTGGTGTGATTTCATCTTCACGTAGATACCCAGAACCAGTGATCTTATCAATTCCAACCACTGAATCGAAACCACGATCCGTGGTGGGTCGTCGTGCATGTGGCGCATAAATAGTATTACTCTGGTGCGACCAGGGTGGGATGATATCCCCAGTCACCATCGATGATTTCAATGTAACTAATGATCCTTGGAAGTGAGGTGGCCGTGCAGAACAGACGGAGTATTCTTTTTTTTTCGAGCCGGGAGTTTCAAGGAATGATGATGTGTTGGTAAATTGCTCTTAGTTAGATTTCCCTTACATGGTGTGATAGGCCAGGGCGGAGATAGAAAAATAAGAAGATGATGATACCGAGGAAACCGAAAAGAACTAGACAATCCAGATGAAATTATATCCAACGTGAATGAAGAATGAACGGGTTGGGGCTTTTTGATCCCATTAGAGAGACTGCGCTGTAAAGAGAGCTGCCATCGCCAGCGGCTCAAGGTCGGGGGGTTTCCGTTCAAAAGATGATTCGGCCAACTCCCCAACGGAGTTTTTGAATGTTTGGTAAATGGCCGTCCCATGGCTTTGGATGCAATAACGGCGCTTCCTGATTCGAGTTTCGGAGGCGGCAAAGAAAGCGTCGAAAAGAATATATATCCTTCCAAACCTAGGCCAACCAGGTTCAGTCTGAGGTTTCTTTGCCATCCAAAACGCCAGCTCTCTCGGACATCGGTTTCACGAGAAGGTCAAGTGTGCCAAAAGGAGGCCGGAATTGCGAATATGGTATATGCCTGGTGAAAGACTTCCACCGCGTCAGTTTTTATTGGCTATTTCCTCGACCCATCAGAGTTCGACGTTTCACGCTGTTGGAGGTTATCCCAATAACGTGCCACGGCGTTCTGTGCGATAGGGTTCCCCCGGTATCGATCACGGAAAAAGTTGAAGAGGGCAAATTCATCACGAGTAAATATGTAGTGATCGCGATCCCTCTCTAACTTCCGCCAAACCTCCTTGAGAGCATTTTCGAGTATTTCACTTGTAGCTGCGTCGATTTGTCCATCTTCGCTTTCTCTTGCGCGGTCCAAGGCCTCTCGAAAGCCGCCTCGATTCATATACGAGCCTGAGTTGGTCATGGGAATGAATGAACGGACGAGTAGGTGATGATTGCTCGGCCACTTGGTGCAACAGACGACGGTGGTAGAGCCGATAGGAGGTCACACGTGGGGTTGAAAGCGGCCGGGTTGTTGATCGTACGACGGATTTTGGGCCGGACGAAATTCCCAACAATTTTTTCAAACGCGTTTTGGTTTTTTTGTTTTTCTGTCAAAGCGTTCGTTTTAGACTCAAAAACGATCAATACCTACGATTTTTCGAGACAAAGGTTGGCCCAGAGCTTATTTACAATCGGATTTTCTCTCTCGATTGATGAGGATGACAGACAGACAGCCAGAGAGATTCGTTGAGAAAAGTACCACTTACCTCTTCTTCTTAAACCGGAGTATCCTTCTGCATATTCGAGCAGACCGGTGCGTGCGTGCTTCACTTGTCTCGTTGTTTTGTTCGGCAGGATAGAGGCTGACTCTGATGCACCCAGAAAGAAGAACAAGGAGGGTTGAAAGGACAACCAGGGACACGGTGCCCATAAACAACACGACCGCATTATGAGAGAAACGTTCGAATTCGAGTTCGCCTTGGGAGGACCACATGGCAAGTGGGGTTTGCGACGGGCTCACCCGCTGTGGCAGCGGGTAGCCCTGCGCGTAACGGTTTTGATTCACATTGGGAAAAGGTTCAGAGCTAGCTGTGGCTCCACGAAGAGAGTGGATGGTTCGGCGTCTCGGCCGTTGGAACCGAGACCCAGTTCGCAAATTAAAAGGCCACCTGGAAGCTACCTAGTTGAAACACGCTCGGTTCTAGCGAGCGTGTCCAGTAGTGAGTGTCCACTGTCCACTGTCCACTGTCTAGGTAGGTACTCCATAGGAGGTATTATTCGGGAGAGCCATCGGAACAACAACAAAACACTGCATCCGTCGTAGCCGCGTGGCCCACCCAAACGGATTCTCTTCTAGCCCAGGTAGGCAGGAGATAATTCTTGTTGCTCCTGGTACGTAATTTGCTGGCCTCTTCCTACAGCCTCCGGTGCATGAGCTTGGTGGGGGATGGAGGTCCTCGCCATTGGAAAGCCACTCGCCGAGCTTGTCAAAGGCTAGAACTTGCCATCCGAAATGGGCTGGGGTCAGAGGAAGGAGGAACCATGGCATTGCATGATTCATTCAACCCAACCCTCTAATTAAGTTCAGTAGCCGCTGGGAGAGGCATTCCGGAGTATGATAAACTTTCGCCTTGAAATTAGGGGGTCGACCCAAGAGTATTCTGAACTGAAGTACAGAGCTGCGAGTTACTCAGTACACAGCTGCTACTTTCAATCTCTCATGTTTGCAGTAGTAGTGACCGTGTGCGAGGTGTGAAGTAAGTACTACTAAACCTGCTGTTGGACTGCTTTGATTGCAGATGCTCAAGGTAGTTAACTACCTACCCAAGACCTTGCTTCCTTCGCACAACAACTTCACGTTTCAGGGATGCTACGGGCTTTACGGGGTACTTTTTTTTTCGAGCAGATTATCCGCCATATTCTCCTCTTTGTACTCCGTACTTCAAGCAGCAATAATTCAGCTGTGAGGTAATCTGCCCTGGCTCCCTCCATTATCCGGTCATCGCAGTTTCCAGCACCGGCGCTTAGTTTAGCCTCAAGTTTAATTTGTGGGAAGTCAACTTGAACCACAAACAGCTTGGTAGCTTTTTCACCTTACCGTTTGGGCGAACTTCCTCCGTACGGTGCATGGTTAAACGATATCGCCGCAGGAGAATTTATATCCCATCTTCGATCCCACGCGAAAGTGTTTGGAATTGTGTTGATAATTTGAAGAACGACCATAACTCTGCGACGTAGCCCAAACTCTTGTCACTTGCTTTTCCTGTGAAAGGACAACCAACACTGGCGAGTTAGCGGGATCCGCCACATCCATCATTCCACCGAGTTCAACCCTCGACTTCCTTCTACAGTCAAATTAGGTCCACTTGGAAGGATGAAACGAAACGCGAATCGAAATAGGGTTTCTTGAGAAATATTAGTTCTCACCTCCTCGCTAACAGTACCGAGGTAGCTGGAAATCCGGAAACATCGCTCTCTCAAGGGTCGTAAGGACTCGGGGAGGTATGCTTCATGACTGACCAATAGTTACTTTGAAAGTCAACTGACTAGTTAACTCCATACGGAGTACTCCGTAATGGTTACCTAGTTATCGAAACCAAATCACTAGTTATAATTTCTCGCATATGCTAGTACTACCAGTAGTCTCCAAAAAATTGCTGTGGAGCAGTGTTGTGGGTCTGGTCTAGCAAAGCATCATTTCGTATGCATGTACTATGTAGTACCTACCCTACCTAAGGTAGGTAGGTAGGAAGGATGTTAGATACTTGTTGTAACGGAGTGCAAAGCTTACAACTTATTCGGGAGGGCGACTCCGTACTTTACCTCACGTATTCTGGATATTTCCTCGTTGGAATATTTTCTTTCTTCCCCCATCTCTGCCAGCCATCCAGTAATTTTATCTGTAGAGACTTTATCCTGCTTCGTGTTTCGAGGTCTCAGTACGTACGTTACTCTGAATATTCTCGGATCGTAGTATCATTGGGAGAATCGCTATTTCGACCTAGAGCCAAGGTAAAATATTATAATCGTTCAGTGAACCACACTGGGGTATTAAATGCTAATTGGTGGATGAAAAAACCTGCAATTGAGGAGGCATGCTGCATTTATTGAAGTATTGATTTTACTTAGTTACTTGATTTGCCTTCAACCTTGAACTGCAATCGATGCTGGATCAATTACCTTTCCTCGATGCCTCCTCAAAATTCAAATATTCATCCAAATGAGGGGCTATCTGGGAGACTATAGCCTTCCTGGTTGAATATTCCCTAGATAATTGTATCCTCATGAAGACATGTCCGGGATGATTATGACGCTAGGCCTTGTTTAAATGGTAGGTACCTAGTACTTATGATGAGATGTGAACCGAGTTGCTTCATAGATGACTAATCTATTTATGCATGTCTAGATATGGTCTGCATGTGGGCTTTCTTCCCCACCAATTCTAGATTGATTCCTCTCGGTTTCTTCTCAAGATAATTAACTAGTTACTCTTAATTTTATATTGTTGATTACGCAACACCTCTCATCCTAGAATTCAATTACCACCAAACAGCTTTTAAGGAGGATTATCAAGGAAAATCCGCCGAAATGGTATATTATTTCACATCAAATGTGGTCAGCCCCGCCGCTTATATTTATGTCGGCAAAGACAAGTTCGAGAGTACGCTTCAAACCCTCGGCCTCCATGACAAGATCGATCTTAATGCCTTTCAGACGAGGACCTAATCAAGTATGGCCTGGAGCAAGATGTTTGGTACTATGACTGGCTTTCCCTCAATAATCATCCCATGGCATAGACCACTGACCAAAACCTGATTTCGATCCAGGGTTCGTCTCGTTTGATTATGTTCAAGCTTCCTGCCCCCCTTCGAGCCTATTTTGACTGTTGACCAGTTCCACGTCGACAATCTTTCCAGCGCTCACGTCTACCTGCGCCTTCGTGATGGAGAATCCTGGGAATCAATCCCGGAAAAGCTTTTGGAGGATTGCGCCCAATTGACAAAAGCAAATTCGATAGAAGGTCAGAGCGCGCACTCTATATCGACTTGTATCACAGTACTCATGGATCTGGGTAGGGAATAAAAAGGACAATATTACGGTTATCTACACCCCGTGGTCGAATCTCATGAAAGACGGCTCCATGGCCACGGGCCAGGTCTCTTTTCACAACAATAAAATGGTGCGAAAAGTCTTCGTTCGTCAACGCGAAAACCCTATCGTCAACCGACTCAACAAGACTCGTGTCGAAAAATTTCCCGACCTCATGGCCGAGAAGGAGGAGCATTTGAAGAAGAAGCGGAGGGAAGAAAGAAAAATCTCGGACCAAAAGAAGGCACAAGAGAAGAAGGAGAAGAAGGAAAGAGAGCAATTGAAGTGGCAAAAGGACCATGCTTATGATGATCTGTTCAGCGAAGAGAACATGCTACAAAGCAGCAACCAGGACCGAGATGCGGACTTCCTGGACGATTTCATGTGACTACGATTTTTTGGGATGAAAAAAGTAGTTGATCAAGTTGGCAACGGATTCAATACCTTTTTAGATATATTCACACCTTATTCTATAGATAAATATCTCTGGTCGTGGGCGTATCATACATTGTCTAGCTTTATCTACTACATACCTAGGAACCCATACTGAACTAAGTGACCCACAAGATACTAGAGACTTGAAAACCCGAGCAAGTTTATCACGACCACATAATAGCTTAGATATAAGTCTCATTTATGCTTTTGTCTTGTCCTCTGAGTTATTAAGTAATTGAGTTATTGTTGTAGAATACTATCCAAGCTATAGTTGACTACTAGCTAGATGTATGTGTAAATCGGAGCTACTGATTCCGACAGCCGCGCTAGTGATGTTGACAACTTATGGTTCTGGATTCACAACCCTGGTACATTTTAAGCTGTCAGCCATCAAAGGACACGTCCAAGCTATTTGGTGACAGTAACTATGCCGAGCGACTCTACAACACATGCCAGTCAAGGTCAGGCAGTTGCCATTCTTCAAAACCGGGATGCTGGCTGATCATCAACGAAATAGGCCAGAAGTCGAAGAAGAACAAGAAGAACAAGAATGCGGCAAGGACAAACGCACAAGACGTTGGCCGGATCCAGCCAGACAAACCGGATGATTCGGGGGCAGAAGACCAAGATGCGTCTCTTGAACCAGAGGTACCGCGGCGGTGCTCCAAGCCAAATCCAATGATTTCTATACTAAACCTTGCAAACAGGGCGATGGCGTGAACGGCGCACCCAAAGACCAGCCCATTGAACAAGACGAAAAAACGAAAGCCGTCGATGATACCTCTGCCGATCACGCACCCGTCAGCGAAGGAGTCGAGAAGGTTAGTCTCGATAGTCTGCAATCGAAAGATCGGTTCGATGCACTGGTACGGGATCGCGATTCCTTACGGGCAGAAGTCGCAGATATGCGGCGATCGCTCGAGGAGATACAATCAAAGCATCATGCAGACATGGAAGTTTTACATGAAAAACTTGGCGATGCAGAAACCAAGAAAGAGCATGCAGAAACCCAGTTTCAGAAGCTGCTGGAAAGAGTGAATACAATCAAAACCCAACTTGGCCAGAGATTAAAAGAAGACGCAGTATGTCCAAGTCACCCCCGAGGAATCTTGAAAGTTGAGCTTTCGTCTGATGTTCTTTTCTCTAGGAAGAGATAGCCCAAGCAAATACCCGGATCGAAGAACTGGAACGGCAGAATACAAGTTTAAAAGCGCAAGTCGATTCGAAGACCTCAGAAGTAGCAGATTTGTCCAAGGAAGTTGAGCACAGATCTAGAGAGCTTTCCACACTGCGCGATCGAACAACTCTGTCACAACAAAACTGGCTCAAAGAGAAAGATGAACTTCTGGAGCAGGAGAGCTACCTCCAGTCGGAGTTCGAACAAGCAAAAGAGGCAATGCATAATTGGGAAATTCTCGCCATGGAAGAGCGATCTATCAGGGAGAATTTAGGAGAGAAAGTGATAGATCTTGAGGAGCAGCTTTCGGCTTTGAAAAACGCTTACGAGAAGACTATCGCCGAACGCGATGGCCAAGCGGCATCTGTGGATGGTTTACAACGTGCCCTTCAGGAAATACAAACAGGTATTTATTCCAAATGAGGGATGGCGGGGCCTGGCTAACCTTTTTTCTACCTCCAGCCCGCAAACAAGAGTTACGAGAACTCGTAGAGAGCTCAGACGCTCAACTTGAGGAACTTAGACAATCCCTTCGAGATGCTGAAAAGAAATCTTCCGAGGCTGGAAGCGCTCTTCAAGCCGCGCAGGATGAGCTCGAGAGGGTACGGCCGTTTGAGAAAGAAGTCAAAGAGAAGAACCTCCTTATTGGCAAACTTAGACATGAGGCAGTGACTCTGAATGATCATCTGACAAAAGCCTTGAGGTTTCTCAAGAAAGGAAAGGCAGAGGATAATGTTGATCGGTATGTTTATAATGCTTCTAGATTGCAATATAGCCCTCAACTCACGCCGTCTACAGCCATATCGTCACCAATCACTTTCTACATTTCCTTGCTCTTGATCGATCAGATCCGAAGAAGTTCCAGATTTTGCAGCTCATTGCAGCGCTTTTGGGTTGGACAGAGGGTAAGTTATGATTCGAGTCTACGACTTGGAGCCTATTTCTTGCCTTGCATGCACCAAAATCTGACTTTTCCTCCTCAGAGCAACGTGAGCAAGCCGGCCTTAGCCGCCCGGGGGCTGCAACCACATCTGGGAAACTTAGAGTTCCGAGCCTATCAGTCCATCGAACGCCCAGCACGCCTACTTTAGCCACCGATTTTTTCGACAATGGGGCTGCAAGCAAAGAATCTCTTGCAGAGCTATGGTCTAATTTTCTGGAACAGGAGGCCCAGGCTGGGCACGACACTGGTTTGAAGATTAGAAACCACACTGGGAATCAAAAATAAATGAACATGGGTTAATGGATTGTATAGTGATCTCGATCCCGGCGCTGTTGGCTCGCCGTTCATGTATGCTGTCTTTCTTCATGTATTTCTCTGCCATTTTACATCATTATGGGCACATTTTATCAAATTACTTTGATGATTCTTCGTACTTTTTCAGGGCCACATTTGGCCTATATGCTTTCCCGGGGTCACCGCCTTGATTCTGCCCGCTCAGGATAAGACTCAAAGATCAAAGTTATGAATCGCCTTCAGACGATTATACCCTGCACCTCATTTACAGTCTTATGCTTCATTTTTTGAAACCACCAGTACTTCGAAAGTCCCTGGTATCTTTAAGTCAGGTTTCATTCAGAACAATGGCTTCCGCAGCTGGTACGGACTTGGAATTGCCTATTTCATTTTCTATGCGGGGTTTAGCAGATCAACCTGCCAGCTCAATTGATACTGATGAGAATGTCGCTAACAACTTAACCTGGCTGCAGTGCAGAAATACCGCCCGGTCGTCATCTCCGGCCCGTCTGGAACCGGGAAGTCGACTTTGCTTAAGCGTCTTTTCGCAGAGTTCCCCGATACGTTTGGATTTTCTATTTCCCGTATGCGCAAACAGACCCCTGGCCTGATACAAATAGTATCTCTTCTCGAAACTATTGTTCGGTAATGCTGATGGTATATGGATTGGATTTGGTTATAAATAGACACAACTCGCTCTCCCAGACCCGGCGAGCAGGATGGACGCGAGTATTACTTCACAAACAAGGAAGCATTCCTTAATCTGGTGGCAGAAAAGGGATTCATCGAGGTCTGTCTTCCCAGACCTATAATAACATCTCACATCATTCTGACTTGAGATCAACCTAGTTTGCTCAATTCGGCGACAACCTATATGGCACGAGCGTGCAAGCCGTGAAAAATATCGCGGAGAAGGAGAGAATTTGCATACTTGACATTGAGATGGAGGTATGATCTTGGGGCCACCTTTGGAGAGAGAAATTGCCTTAAAATCATTGGTGCTAATTTTGTCGACGCAGGGTGTCAAGCAGGTCAAAACTACGGACCTCAATGCCCGATTTTTATTCCTTGCGCCCCCGTCGCTAGAGGAGCTGGAGGCGAGACTCCGTGGAAGAGGAACCGAAACCGAAGAGTGGGTGCCCCAATGTACAGCAGTTGTGTTTAATCACCATTTTCTATATGCAGCATCTAACTATCAACAGTCAGTTGGCAAAGCGGCTCGCTCAGGCAAAGAATGAGCTGGAATACGCTAGACAGCCCGGCGCCCATGACAAGACTGTCGTCAACGACGACCTAGACACGGCTTATGCCGAGCTAAGGGATTGGATTGTCGATGGTGGAAAGTTCGGATCACAGCAATGATCACATATATTATCTTCAATAAACGATTTGCTGATGGCAAAATCAGCTGTTTTCGGCGCTACATTCTTGAAAAGCATCGGTGACTGTACATACTAATAGTACTCATATCGTCTTCATAGAGGTCGCAGTTTAAAATGTGATATCTTGGTCTCTTGCACATTCAAGTAGATAGATATTGGCGGACTTTGGGTCATATGTTTGAGAACGTCTGCCATATGTCGGGTGGAACGGTTGGGGTTCTATTGTTGGTATCTATGTCGAAGCCAATAGATATTCGTCGGTTGAAGAAGTTACATTGTCAAATGAACTCTTGATCTTAGTGAAAGGATAGTATCTAGAAGAGAATACTTGCATAACCCATGCTACTGAACCTTTCAACTTCGGGGTTCTAGCATGGTTGCGATTGAAGGTACTGACAGTAAAAGAATAAAGTTAAAAGTTGATATTTGGAAAGGCCTGCTGGCGAAGGAAAAGTTCTGTTAGGACAAAAAAAAGACGGAAATGAAAAACGGCACTGAAGAATTCCCCGAAACTGCCTTTGAACTGCTCTGCCTCTTCTCTCCAGGTCTCCATCCGAAAACACGCTTGGTACAACAAAGATTGAAGACGACCATCATTGATCAGCAGCCAGTGTTACAAATTAGTAGCCGTTCATAGTCATTCGTTGGGAATTGCGGCTCAGCTCCCTGTCCGCCGAAGGGCTAATGGGCCGACTACCACCAGTGTGACCACCCGCTGCACTACTCTCCTTCAAGGCAAGAAGTTGCTTGGCACGGAAGGTCTCATAGTGAATCTGGCTTGTGGTTTCGATGAGGTCTTGAAGATGGGTGCGAGTGAGGAAGTTCCTCAAGTACACAAACTCGCAGTGAGTCTCATCCTCGACATTGATGACACCCCAGCGGTTTTGTCTGCCGCGAACCTGCTTGCCATTGACAACAATGGTCTTTTCGCTGCCGACAACAGCGAAGGGAATGATATCCTAGGAAGCAATTAGTTGTTTCCCCCCCCGCATTATAGTTTTAGATGCGGGAATACCTTGATCTGGGCGTTGGTGGCACGCTCCTCATCGTCCAGTTCGTCATTGTCATAGGGGTACATCTTCAAGTTATGGAAGGTAAATTCCTCCTTAATTCTTTCCTTGAAGGCCTGGCGCTCTTCTAGAGTCAGGGAATCGGCCTTGGCGATGACGGGCACGACATTAACGACATCCGAAAGCTTCTTGAGAACGACAATGTCAATAGGTTTAAGACTGTCATATGCTGGTCAGCTTTAAACAGGCGAAGGATTTCGGTCTAGAGCTTACGCGTGTCCAGAAGGCTGGATGAAGAACAAGCAGCAGTGAATACGGGTATCTTGAATGTAACGGTCGCGCTGAGCAGTGAGTTCCTTGCGCAGGTATGCCGAGTGTTGATCCTTGATGTATTTCACGATAGGATCCCAGCTAGTCTTCCGTTAGTCCATCGCACTGCAATTGATATTGGACATGGTCGGAGATGTGTTCAGTACCATCGGTCGTTGTTGACCTGATCACCGTAACCGGGAGTGTCAACAATATTCAGCCTCAGACGCACCCCATTTTCCTCAATGTCTGGCCGGCAATCGTTAGCTAGCATATTCATGTGTGGTATATAACCTTGGTATACACACTATGGGACACGGTCTGGATCTCTGTGGTGGATCGCACAGGTTCGTTCGGGGCCAAGCGGCCCTTGGAATCGATCAGGTGAGAGGCAAAGATGGTGTTGATAAGAGTGGACTTTCCGAGGCCAGTCTGACCTGAAGTTCATTAAACAATAATCGTCAGTCAAGTGTAGAACCAATAGGGCGGAGGGACTGTTTACATACCAACGCACATCACGTTGAACTGGAATCCACGCTTGAGCAGCTTCCTCTCAATCTGAGACGTGATGCTGTCGAAACCGACATGGCTCCGAGGATAGACGACATTGGTCTGGGGGGCCGAAGCCGTGCTGGCGGTCGCAGCCATTATGGATATGTGGAAAGGTGTGCGGTTTGTAGACCCGGGGGCGTAGGAGCAAGATAAGGAGGGGGGAACGGAGTACACAGAAGAATTGAGAGAAAGGCAAGACCGAGGGCGGTCAACAAAACATACAACGATGGAGAGAACACACACACACCTTCCCCAAAGGCAGACAAATCCGGAGCAGGAGTTGAAGAGCAACTGCTTCTTGCTTCGACACTTAACGATCCCGGGCCCCTTATTCTCAGTCGCTGTTGCAACTCAGGGGTGCTCCGACTAGTCTAACCGAGTTTGGGCTAGCGACCTGCGGCAGTCTCCAGACTTGGCCCAGCAGGAACCCAAAAGCTTCAAATTATTATCGATTGAGAGCCCGCTTTTGCATCTTGGGTGCGCCGATTATTCACAACGATCAACGAATTCGAGACACAGCATCTGGCAACCCTCAAGGGTCTTAGACTGTTCTTACCGCTACGGATTACTCCTTCCTGCCGACCACAGTCATGGCTGCACGACTCTTTTCCCCAGCCGCGTCGATTGCCCGCTGGGCTCAATTCGTGCAAAACCCTTCTGTCCTGTCACAGACGCTCTTCCAGCCTGCTACTTTGACCTTGACGATTCCTGGCCTATTGTCGGATATATGGGATTCTATCCTGCGTGCTGTTCCGAAGAAGAAGACTTCGCACATGAAGAAGCGTCACAGGCAGATGGCCGGCAAAGCTCTGAAGGATGTTAAAAACCTCAACACATGTCCTGGGTGTGGACAGATTAAACGTGCACATGTCCTGTGTCCGCATTGTGTATCAGGTATGTGCATCTATGTGCTGTCAAGGCCATATTTTAAACGTTCGAAATCTGACCAAGCGACTACCCGATAGACATCAAGAAGCAATGGGCGACGGCCAAGACAGCATAAGTGAGAATAAAAAAGGGGGAAGAGAAGGAGGCATGAATAAAGTTGTGTGTTTTATGGGAACTGTACTATTAACTACTATATGAGCTGTGGATACACGGTGCATAGCATTGGGCGTCTGGTTATGATAAGAAGATATTCTATTTTTTGCTTTTGAATCCATGTATATCACACCAATTGACTATCCTTCGTAACTCCCCGAAAGCATTCAGATTTATTGTTCGAAAAGCCTATGAATAGATTGAGATGAATGGACTGGGCGCAAGCTCTTCCCCGCCGCCCATCGTGATCTCACCGAGTTCCACGCCCGCTTTTCATCCTCTGTAACCGCTGTGCCACCCAAGCGGAGCAACAGTGGAATTGAGCACCAGCACTACAGTTTTAGATTTCGTGTTCTAAAAGCTTTTCTTGGACGTACCCGAAAATCACAAGAGGATCTTAATTACCCGGGTGTATTCCAGAACGGAGACACCATAATGGTAAGCGTGCAATTTCATTCCTGAATGGGGTCCAAAAATAGTAATATCGGTTCTAGTCAAAACAATATCTTTCCTGGGGTTCCGCAGACAATGGTTTGTGCCCAACTGACATCTCGGATATCCTGGTGAAAGTGATGAGCGCCGAGAGTTGCTGACTTTAACAACAGTACATCCTGTGGACATCTTCTCGCTGGCTGTAACAGATAAGCAGATACTGTCCGCTTCAGGAGCTACCTCGCTCAAGGTGCACTCAACCACAGACCCGGACTTCCCATTAGTACAGTCTATCGATGGAGCTCATGCAGTTGGCTGCCACCATGTTGTGACCAATTCTAGCGGCTCTAAAGCAGTGAGCGTTGGGTTTGGTGGTGAGATTAAGGTCTGGGCTTGCAACGGGGGAACCTGGATGGAAAACACATCAATCAAAGGTTAGTCACTCTTGTAGCATCTAAGTGGGACTCTTTAACTAATCCAATATAGTCCAGGGGGAAGAGTCTGCCGAAGTATGGGCGCCAGCGTTGTCTGAGAATGGGCAATTTCTTGCCGGTGTCTCTCAAGATGGCCGAATCAAGGTATGGGATCTAAACCAGAATGGCGAGCAGATTCGGGACTACGAGACAAAGGGCAGTTTCGGCACATGTATAGATCTAGTAAGTGTGCACACTTTCTGACACTCTTCTTTTCTATTCTGACTGACAAATGCAAGTCCGCCGATGGAAAATTCATAGCCAGTGGCCATGAAAACGGTAGCGTTTACATTTTTAATACTGAAACCGGTCGTATGCCGTTCTCCCTGGCAGGTAAGTTGTCTTGATTTACGGGAACCAAAAGAGATCAGTTTCTGACATCCATGTAGGCCTGGTGAAACCTGTGCGGACAGTAGCCTTCTCACCCGGCGGAAAACTGCTCGCGGCAGCGGGTGACTCGAAAGTGATTGTGCTCTATGATACGTCTTCTGGAGAACAGGTCGCCAACTTGACCGGTCATTCGGCATGGATTCTCACCCTCTCTTGGAGTAACTCGGGAGAGTATCTGCTCAGCGGGTACGTTCAACAACCAGAAGTCTAGCTTCATACATTTCTTGCTAAAAATCTACAAAGCTCCTTTGACGGAAAGGTGAAGGTCTGGTCGATTGACCGTAGGGTGTGTGTTGCAACACATTCGGAAACAGAAAAGGCTGTTTGGAGTGCTAAGTGGCTTCCCAAGATCGGAAAGACAGAGGGCTTTGCAACCGCCGGAGCAAATAGAAGCATTGCATTCTATAGAGAGGCTACAGGTGGCTGATCCCGCAGTTCGGAATCATACCAAGAACCATCTATTAAGATTGTCAACGAGGCCAACGCAGACGAGATGCTGACCGAGATAATTTTACGCGGACAGAGAACCCCATCAAAATGACTCTGTTAGAAAGACTCTGTAGCTGATCTCTTAACACACAAAAATAAAATAAAAAAGACCTTGAAGATAATCAAACGGGTATTTGAATCGCCTAATAATGTAATGCCCACTACCTAGGTAGCAGGAGAAAAACTTCATTTCATGGTTTCCACGAATAATTTGCGCATGCGTTTCAAGAATGCCCCGAAATCACGATCCTCATTTACAAGGTCCAGTTCTCGCTCCACAGCCGTCATGTCCAGCTTTGGCCGCGTGTGGAATACCTCATAGTCACGACTGGCAGTGCCAAGTTCAAACCATGCTTCCGTTTCCCAATTCTTCTCCAGCAAATGTGTATAGACGAACTTTAAGCGGTCTTCCCTGCCAGCTCCTTCAATACGCATGCAGAGATAGTCCTGCCAGAACTCTAGCTCAGGAACGTTCAGACGAGACTGGGCATCCAAATGTCGAGCATGGGCTTTTTGGGCTTCCAGTTTCTGGTTGATAGCCTTCTGGGTCTCTGCAATCTGTTGCCTGAGGCGGTCTCGTTTAGCAAGTCGCGAGTCCCGCTCTAATGTGATGCTTGAGATAGCGGCATGTATTTCTTGGGCTTCCGCAGCTTCTTTTTGAAGAGTCTGCTCATGGGTCTGGGCCTTAAGATTGAGAATCTCGATATCTTTCTGCTTCATACGTTGATCCTCTGCAAAAGTATGCGGTCAGTACATGGCATCCTTGAAACCTTTCGCGTCTTTATCGCCAAACATACCCTGGAGCTCCGCCAAGTTGATTCTGAATTGGTTTCTTTCCTCCAAGACTTGCTTCCTGCCACGCTCAATAAACGCGTCAAATCGAGCCGTGAACTGAGCCATCCGGCTACGAAGATCATCGAATCCAAAATTAATGCTGGGCAACGAGTCTGCCATCGATGGCGCCTCAGCGCTCGTGAGGGGTGGTCGGAGCCCGCTCGTTGAGAGAGACGGCTCAAACGACGATGACATGGCGCGCCGATAGATAGCAAAAGAGATACAATCAGAAATAGCACTGAACAGCCAATTGCAATCTGATCTGATGATTGAGGCAAGTTTGAACAAGCTTGTTGTCGTGGGTAGGTTTATCGGCGCGTTATCGGGACCAAAGTCTTTGTTGCGGCGCAACAACTAGTAAGAAGCTTGGCTTTAGGTGGATGTTCCCGCTTTTTTCGCTTGGGCTTTGCCTGGAGGATAATCGATACATAAAAATCATCCACCGCATTTAAGGATCTGGTATGGCAGTGTTTGTTTGACTCGATCGGTAGCCAGTTTCACTTTAGCCATAACATTTGAGTCTGCCTGTTGAGAGGGGCAGACAGCGGTCACTCTATCGACCTGTCTTCCCGCTATGAATGTCCAGATAAATCACCTGCGACTCTCGAAAAGCAGACAAGAACCCGATGGATGAACATTATGTGAGTGCTCTGCAATATGGGCATATGGGAGGTGTAGTCTATCTTCCAGAATCTCAATCATGGAGCTTCTCTCGCTCTTTTATACAACGTGAGTTGCTCAACTCCTCGCCTTTATCACCATTGGGACCCTATACCAACTTTCGATCATAGCATCTTCTGTTTCTTACGCCGGCGTAACGAAAACCACTGTCCACTCATCTCTTAGTGATTTCGATGAGACTAGGGAAGGAAAAGCCCATGCGCTTCCCAATGCTCATCCTACACTTGCTGCGAGCTTGCCTTTCTTGAAGGAAGAGAACATTTCTCGCCTTCTCACAAATACAACTGAAATATGCGATCCGCAAATCTCTTCGGTGTTTGATCTGGGATATGCCGTGGATATGCATGATAAATATGGTGGCCGCGTGATACCGATTGCAGCATTTGCGTCTGGTGAGTGTGGCAACTCAATTTCTTTCAGGAAAATTGATGAAGAAATCGCGGATTTGAGGCGGGGCATTATAACCAGAGTCCGGGCTCCATATATCGGATCATCAGAAGCTACTGAGTGGATTGGATACGGAGCACCTCTCCGCCAAATCTGTTTTGCGCAAACGGTTGAGGAGAAGGCCACCTGGATGGCAGCACGCTTTTCGCAATCAACCACTATCTTCCGACCATTGTATCGGCCAAGTCCTGTTCCAATTCATGTCCATCGAGACATATCTCTGGCACCTGGTTTACGGCTTCAGAATTCCCGTCTTGATGCAAACCCGCTTGTTGACATTTCGACTGCTAAAACCGGAGGCTTTGCCCACGCAGACGTGACCTTCAATCCATGGTATCCAAAACAGTTGGGTATTGTAGATGAAGGAGGAAATTGGAGCATCTGGGAAATATCCGGTCGTCATACCCATCAGAAAAGCAACTGGAATGCCGAATGTGTCAAATCGGGAGCTTTGCCATGGCTCGAGACAGGTCACAGTTTTGATCTTGATACTCGTTCTCGCCATGACGGGTGGGCAGCTATCGAGTGGTCAGGACACGTGAATAGCTTTATTGTCTCAGATCGTCGGTGCACAATGCTTTATCGGATGGAAGGCGACCTCGTTCTATCATCTACCATCGAGCTTGGATTAAAGCGAAATTCGGAATGGATCTTGGACCTCCAGAGGAGTCCTCAGAATAGCTCGCATATCTTCGTCCTGACCACCTCCCGGATATTTCTCTTACATATCGACCCCGCTTCGGTATCCACGAGCAATGGAAATGATGGCATGCCTTCAATTTATCCTCACTTGGTTTGGCAACATTTCCGTGATTCTGAAGATACGACACTACGGCTGAGTCCTTTGCTTGTAGATGAGGGTATGCTATTCCCTTCATGAGCCCTATATGTAGATCCTTACCAATTATTCTTTTAGCCTTCCATCTGATCCTCTACTCGCGGCTCAATCGCTTCACGCAGATTTTCCCATGTTCCACTACACCCGACGGCCTACCAGGGATGCTTTCAGTTCCGGATCCTTTCATTCTTGATCTCCCTTCATTATCGGAGTACTCGGGGGATTCTACAGCTTTGAAAGACCAACTTCATTTTTCCACCCTTATCGCCCGTGAAATTGAGCAATCCACTCCATTGTCAAATATGGAACACCGCGGATACAATATGGTGAAATTCTTCATTCTCGACTCTCGCCTCGCGATTCATGAATCAATTTACGTCAAAGTAGCTAGTCAAATAGACGAATCCCCAAGCCAGAATATTCTTCGAGTGAAGAAACGCTTCCCCGGAGTGCAGAGACGCCAAAAGGCAGGAGGGGATGACTTCGTTGTGGACGACTTGGATGACTCTGTGACAAGCTCCAGCCATTTATTATTTCAGCGACCCGAGTTCTTTGAGCCGCGCACGCAAATCTCTCCCCTATGGACGCTTGACTATTCTTCTATGTATTCAATTGCTATTGGGAAATCACCGGCAACCTCAAAGAAACCCTCCTTCCAGGGTCGTGGGGAAAAGAGTTTCAGTCAATCTCTTCTCGATTTAAGGAATAAGATTTATCAAGCGGTCACAGAAGACCTAGGAAGAAGCAATACTCTGTATGTGTCAATCAATTGCCGCCCATCTTGTTTTACTACCCAATTCTGATAGATGTCTAGTCTGGAAATTCTCGGGTGTCATCCTCTCTTGGACGATATTGATCAAAATACGCGAGATTTTAAGCTTGCCCTTGCAGAAGCCATGGATAATCCGACAGAATCAAGATACCGCCTTGATTTCGTACCCACTGGATCTGTCATTGGTCTTTCTAATGGACCTGCTGGCATGCAAAGAACCCCATCTACCGGGCTAGACCTTATTTATACATACGACTGGCTGGTCAATGAATGGTTGTCTACTTTGCCTCCAGACATGCCAGGGCGTTCTCGGGTAGTGAAAGAGAAAATCATTAGGGGTATCGTCGTGGATATGCTCATGTCACAGATTCGTATAATGCCAACGCTTCCTGACTCTACGTTGGGTGACAGCACAGAAAGCGCCGGGCATGATTTATCATCCGTGAACATGGAGGCTGATTCTATTCGGAAAACTTCCGATATCAACGACCTCTATCCCAGCCAACCATCCAATTGGACCCCCATGGAGGTCAGCAATGCGGCTTCCCAGCAAACCAAGGACCGGACAACGAACTGTTACGACGCTCTGTCTTCCCTGACTACATTAGAGAAGAGATCCCCTTCTCGACGTGTATCAAGCGTTCTCGCACATTGGACTCCTGGCTCTGATCCATGTACCTACGACTGGGAACGATCAGTTCAGGCTCTGCAGACCGTCGAGGTTCGTACACCAAAGCGAATTGCACGTAGGAAACCCTCTCGAAACCTTGGCTCAGATCCTTCTCTCACCCCGGCTTTCACTCCCAAAGCTGCTCCTAGCACCAGGGAATGGGGCAGTCAACCACAGAACGAGATGCCACGGATCCAAATACAAAGCAGCCAGATGAGAGAAGACGACATACCCATGACCCAGGTAGAACGGGGCCTTTTCGGAGGTCGAGAAGCCAGCAAAAAGGTCTCTTCTAAAACAAGGAAAAAAAAGAGAGCAGCTGGTTTTTGATCTAGAAGGCATTTTTAGATTAATAATGCATCACATATAAAGATTAATAAAATCTATGAGTTTCGAAACAAATGGAATTATTTTTCGTAAACACAAGTATACATAGGGTTCCAATCGGCATGTTGGATTCCGTCATTTTGAGCCCGCCGAGTCTTACTGTTTACACAACGCGATAATCCCTCATTTAGAACTATAAAGTGCTTCCTTGCACCATCCCCTGGATACTACATCATCAACTACTATTATAAACTTCTAGCAGTCGCCCGGGCATCAGCGTGTTTTACAATAGGTAAGTTATGAATATGATACCTCCGTCTTCATCACCCCGCAACCCCGCCATACTGACAAGATGGACTTCAACAGCGCCAGCTATCTATTTCCACGTTCCCACGAAAGATAAATCCCTTAGAGCACCGAGATACAGGCTCTCTATCTACAGATTATTCACCATGTCTGAGCATGTTTATAAGTTTAACGTCAGCATGAGCTGCGGCGGTTGCTCTGGGGCCGTAGAGCGTGTGTTGAAAAGACTGGATGGTAAATTTTTTCTCCTTTGACGCGCACCTATATCAACATCGCAGGCTAATTTATCAATACCGCAGGGATCAAATCTTACAATGTCAACCTTGACTCCCAGACCGCCGACGTCGTGACCGAGCCCTCCGTCTCGTATGATACTGTGCTGGCAACGATCAAGAAGACAGGGAAGACTGTGAATAGTGGGGAGGCAGATGGACAAACAATGAGTGTTTAATATCCAAGGAGGGTTACCTATAGAGGAAGAGGTGTATTATTGACACGCCTGGTAGATGTGTCTTATTTAACTAACGACTCGGTATGAAATCGACAATTAGGCTAGTATCTAGTTTCTATAGGGATCTTGATAATTGTTAAAATATGCAGCAAGCAACAGGGAAATAAATCATCCCACAATAATGATTAATATTGACTTGAAATCTTCAGGGGTATCTTTGCGTTCAGTTCACTAGAAACAAATAATTGAGCTGACCACTTGTGGAAAACATCTCCTTACTCCAAGTTCCGACTCCCCCAACCTTAACCCAATCGACTTAGTCCACTATCACAATACTCTTTCCATCTGCCACGGGATGAGGGCGCTGTAGATTCTCTCTGCTCCCTGTGACGTATGGAGAATAACGGTGTGCGATCACCCAGTCTGGGTTTTCACGGCTGCTGGGACAATGTCAGTCAGTGTATTAGCTAATTTTCAGCTCATAGCAAAGTTCATGAAAATGAAAGGTTTCTCTTGGAAATAACACTGGCAGTGAGCATACCCTTCAGACCGTAGCATTATCTCATGTTGTGTGTTATGTAGGAACGTGTTGTCCTGGTGAGACATGCTGAGATCATCGAGAACGTAACCGTGAGTAGGACGAAGGGCTCGATAATCCACATATGACGAGCCAAAATTGGAATGAGGAGGCATTATCCTGTTTTCAGAAACTTGATAAAGAGTTGGGTCCGCGCCATCACCGCGACTTGCCTGTACACGAGGTCTTTGAGTGGTGTATTCCACGGGTAAGGGTTCAAGTGAATTGACAGGGCGGATGAAGTCATCTGCATATATGCTTCTGCTGCGCGATACATCATGCGAGACAATGATATGTCCTCTGGCCTGGCTTTCTGCAGCAGCGACATGTCTTACACCTGGATTATCAGGTCCCAACACATCCACCCCATAGCTACGTTTCTCATATAGACCATGACGGCCTCTCACATCTGAGGTATGTGAGGGCAGGTGGGTTCGAGCCAAGCGATTATCTGCTGCGATCGGATGATCGACGCTAGAGACAATGTGGGATTGCAAGGGGGAGAAGCGATGAGGCTGAGGTTCATGGAGCTCAGAATTGTGGCGATAAAGGGGCCTGTTTTCATCAAAGTCTCGAACACGCTTCCTGGTGTCAAGCGACGAGTATGAATCGAGATTAGAAGGCCCACAAAGCAAGGATGAGCCAGGTGGCCGCTCCGATAGGTGCGAGTCTAGGTGAGCTCGCTCGAAAGGAACGTCATATCTCCTACTGGTAAGATTGACGGGAAGCAACGTCTGTCTTGGTGGGGGATACCCAGATTGATAAGTTTTGCCTGTAGGTGCCTCTTTGTACATGGAGGCAGGGACGCGATTCTCGTAATTGAGACCAGCAGCAGAGCGATGGTTAGTGGGCATAGGTTCATATTGCGCAAGCCGCCTTCGCTTTGGACTTTGACCCATAATATCTGGCTCAGGGCCCACTCTAACCGGATGAGAAATGCTATCAATTGGAGGGCGCGCCGGCGTCATAGAACGAATGGCAAGTCCTCTGTTCATCCTGACAGTGAGAGCATCCATTCGGTCACTGTCTAGACATCTGGTCCCAGACAATGGAGGGTAAGGAGTCTCAATGGATGGTAAAGCATGGTCTTGGGCAACCAGGGGCCTAGTGAGGTAGGGGATGGGGTTTCCAATATGATGTTCGTCTTGACTCCTACCATACCCAATATCTTTGTTGGGGCCACTCACAAAGACGGGGGCATTTCGAAATCCATCTGGTTGGGTAGAGTATCGTTTCCTGAAGGTCGAGCTTCGCTCAGCAACTGTGCCATCAGTCAAGTCAATGAAATCTGGGCTATTCTGCAAAGGTAACTTGACTGGGTGGTTGAGGTTGAGCGCTCGAAGCTGGCGAAATGTCAGTGGCATCAAAGTCTCAAATTCCAAGGAAGAACGTAAGAAATAGAGAAAACAAAAGCTATACCACACTTACAGGTGACTCAATCACAGGTCTGACGACAGAATCCCCCGGCCGGCTGATCCAGTGCTCTTGATGAGAGCCAGAAACTGGTGCGACGGGGATGTGTCCTGTGCATGGTGCTTGAGGTCCTGGTTCGTGTCTTGGTGGCTGTTGAGCAGTATACGAAGACATGGGATTGTCACCGGCACTACTAGTATTAGTTTGCTTAATAACATTCCTGTATCGATTAATAGCGCGGTCCCAGGCCTGATATCTGCTAAAGCCTCGGCGATCAATCTTGGGGTTCCGGGGGGGATTTCGGATGAATCGAAAGCCCGGGTGAGCATCGTCATCAGACAAGTCCCGCAAAGTTTCTGGATGAGACTGGATGGCATAATTGACCGGTCTGGTTTGAAGTTCATCTGCCCGGGCATTCCTTTGAATGACCTCCACGCTGTAATCTCGATCAGCAGAGACCGGTACGGTTTCCTCATCGATATCCGAATCTTCGTCATCCGATATAACGATGACCTCTCTAAAAACGTCTTCTAGGACAGTTCTTCCATTTTCATCATCTCCGCGCCATTCTACAAGCTTGGCAAGAGTGGATTCCTCGACCGCGCTCCGAGCTTCGTGAAACGAAGTAGTTTTCAACAGCTTGTCATAGTCCGTATAGATGTGACGAATATGAGCAACCACGGCAAGCTGGGCTCGACGAGCTAGGGGCAGCTCAACCGCGGTACCAACTTTACGTTGCCCCTTTTAATGTGAGTAGACATAGAACACAAGGTTTATTCCGATGAACGCGCACCTTTTGGAAGGAGGTCTTGATGATCTGGGTGAGATCCTTTTCTGGTATGTTTGGGAATAAATCTAAGAGGACATCTCTTGCTTCTGTATTAATTGTAGTTTGAGAGACCTCTGAGTTAGCACGCTTGCGGCCTTTATTAGGTTCGATGGCTTGAGAAGACACCACTGCTTTCCCAGTGCTTGTGAGGTATACACCCAAGTCCATACACACGGTAGCAACAACAGCACTAGGAAAATGATACCCTATTCGGTGTACATGTTGAGAGAGATTATGTGTATGCATATGTGGAGTTGTCTGGTATGAGTGTGAGTTGTAGAAGCCTGGCAAGGGTCGAGCGAAATAGCCTACCGTGACAGCAAACACCTTCAGGCCATCATTCCGACACATCTCCTTACACGCAGTTGTGAGCTGTGGATTTCCAGCAGGAATAAAAGTATATCCCGGGGGTGCTTTTGCTTCAAATGAGAGCTGCCGGTATTGTTAAGATAGTCCAAATAGGCCTAGTTTTGACAAGATGACCTACGACGCTTCGTAGCTTTTTCTTCTCCTGTGTCACCGTTTCCATGACCACTTTATGTCTTCGTCTTCTAGCAGCCCGGTTGGCAGTGCGCGGGGCAAATGCCGACGCCGCTCGCCTGGCGACGCGCGCCATGATCTCGAGGGTTGGTTTCTCGAAACAGCCCAGTAGGTAGTCCAGATCCAATCTAACGCATTTTGTGAATATGAATATCCCGCATTCAAACACAGCATTCACATGGATACTTGAGACTGTTAGTGAGTCATTTCTACACAGACGCGTGAGTTTGGAGCGTGATTTGCAGCTTGAAGTCCAAAGTACCGCCGTGGGGAACTGAAGTACCGGCGATCAGCTGCAACCACTTGAGACACGATATGAGAATAAAATCAGGGGTAGACAAGAAGTCTTTTCAGCACCAGACCTGCCTCTCCAGCCAGGGGTTATTACTATGATGACCGAAGAGCAAAATCAAGGGAGAAGAAGAGAGTAAAGGCCATCAGCAGTTTAGGTGATGTCTGGTGGTTTGGCGGCCTAACACGACCAGGCGGCAGAATGATCCTTGTCGGGCTAGTAGTGCGACACCGATTGGCAGATCCATGTTGGACCTGGACCAGCTCTTTATCTTGCCTTGAGATTAATGGTTTTTGGGACAGGAGACAGCTAAAGAGAAGATGTTCACAGACCCATTATTATGTTCTAGCTGACTGCCTTTGACAAACATAAATAGCCCTGAGAATGAGGGTCGCCGCCCAGGCGCTGGAGCTGTTCACAGGACAGCAAGGCGTGATTCATGCCTACCGTCACCTCTATCGACAAGGCCTCAAAGCTATCAAATATTCAACTCCAGCCCGATACGCCCTTTTGAATACTCTTCGATCGTCTTTTCGCTCATCAGCTCGAGAAGAATTGGATCCACACAAGATCTCGAACACCCTCCGCTTTCTCCAACGTGCCACCGACGTTGCCGGCATCGAGCATAAGATAGTTAAGAACTTGATGATAGTCCGCTACTGGGAGCAACCGTTAGTCAAGAAAACGTGGGTGTCCAATCAGTGCTGAGAGGAGGGAAGGAGAAGAGACATAATAATTGTGAATTTCTCTTGCAGACTGAAGACGCTTGATCAAACACAGCTCTCCGAGAAAGGAGGAAATGAACACTTCAATAAGACATTGATACTCCTGAATGAAAGCCTAGGGATGTGTCTCAGATAGACAGAGCATCTTACATGGTAGAAGTATCGCTCTGCCGTGTCGTATATCGACCGAATCGGGCAGGATCCTCTACCCCATACTTTTTTCCAGGACCGGGTGGGATATTCGAGTACATACAGATGGTTCTGCAGGCTCAATGGGTCTCACATTGTAAGTATCTACCTAACTATCTGGTACGAGTTCCAGATGCCGTTGATCATGTTAATAGAGTATACAGGCAAGTTCTCGGCTTGAAGCTGAACAACAATGTCGGCAACTCTATTATCAATTCATCTAATACAATTCCAAGTCATCATCAAATCTGATTTATACAGTATCAATGTAGCAAATGTGCTCGGTTCCTAGGAGATCGCGTGGTCGGTTCATGATCCTCTAAATCCCACTATTTCGGACTGTAGTCTCGCAAATTTCCCACGACTACCCAATTAGTTATGCCAGCGACAGTGCATCTGTTAGATTTGGCAGAACAAAACGCCTGTTTGCTGCCTTCCTGAGGTCCCAAAGACTTTTTGTACGAAAGAAGCCCGAAATCAAGTGTCCCGCCGGCTGGTTATTCAGCATCCGCTTCGGGACGCAGCACGTCACATGTCATTCCCAGGCCCGTTTAACAACCAGGTTGGCCGAGCTTCGGCGCCTTCAACCCCTCCGGTTCAATGCATTCCTCTGCCACTAATGCAGTTTCTGGCCCCTGATGAGCGGGTTCATTTCTTCTCTCCTAATCGAACCCGTGTTTCGGCAAGCCCGTCGCCTCTCGCTCCCTACCAGCTCCCGAGCACTGCCCGACGACCACGGCTCCAGCGCTCACGACAACCTTCCTCCAGTCAACGAGGATGCCCCGAACCCTCGCTCTGGTTCGGCTAGATGTTTTCCTCGAGCTAGCATGACTTCGGCCTCAACCGATTTGTCGGAGGCTAGCACTTTGCCTTTCTCAGCCGAGACAGCACAAAGGCCACGGACGGAGAGTGCACCCCCAGCACCCCCACATATCGAAAATGACAGATGGGAGGATGGACCTTCCCAGATAACTCGTTCGGAGGAACCACCCTCAGGCCATGAATTCGGAATAGATGAAGCGGGCCAGGTGCTGTTACCTGAAGATGATGGAATGGGTGTTCTGCGAAGGAAGATACATGCCATTAGGGATGATAAAAATGTCTCGAGTGCAGAGATGGCACGCATGGTGCACGACCTGATGACGGAGAGGTACAATATGCTGCGTGAGAAATCAGGTCACCGGCCATTGTCCGCCTTGCGTGCTTCTTCGACCCCTCCCGAGGTGGAGCGCTCTACCAGTCTGGCATCTCGCTGGGCCGGGCAATTCCTCGACGATGAATCTACGATTACCTCCACCGAGCCTGGGACTCATACCTCTGATTCATTTAGTCTCACCGCCGAAGACGTAAAGCCTACGTATGCTCCTAAGGAAGAGCCGGAACCTCCTCTGGGGGATGGGGAAGATATAGATCCATGTGAGGAAGAACCATTTCTGGGATGCCAGCATTATAAGCGCAACGTGAAGTTGCAGTGCTACACGTGCAAGAAGTGGTACACGTGCCGGTTCTGCCACGATGATCGAGAAGACCACCGCCTCATCCGACACAAAACAGAAAACATGTTGTGCATGCTCTGTGGCCATGCCCAGCCTGCTGCGCCATGGTGTCAGCATTGCGGAGAGCAGGCGGCGCAGTATTACTGTAACGTCTGCAAGCTCTGGGATAACGACAGTAACAAAAGCATATACCACTGTAGCGACTGTGGAATTTGTCGGATCGGGCAGGGTTTAGGAAAGGATTTTTTCCACTGCAAAGTAAGACCATCAATGATCTTTACGCTACTATTCAACTAATACCGATGAAACAGATCTGCAGTGTGTGCTTGCCAAAATCGATCGAGAATACACATCGATGTATTGAAAACTCCACTCAATGCGACTGTCCTATCTGCGGAGATTATATGTTCACATCCCCCGATACTGTCGTCGTGATGAGATGCGGGCATAGTATTCACCACAAGTGTCTATCTGAGCACTCGAAAAGCTCCTATCGCTGTCCACTGTGCAGCAAAACGATTACCAACATGGAATCCACGTTTCGGAATCTCGATCGGACGATTCAGAGTCAGCCCATGCCCTCCGAGTTCAAGGATACCAATGCGCTGATATACTGCAATGATTGCGGTGCCAAGTCTGTGGTCAAGTATCACTGGTTGGGCTTGAAATGTGACCTGTAAGTTATATCGAGCCCAGTTACAAATAAAAGACAGCGAGAAATAATGTTCATCGTTAGATGCGAGTCATATAATACGGCACAAATCCAGCTCCTCCACGGGGACGACATCGAGTCTACCGAGTCCCATGGCGGAGCCGAAGATTTACCAGGGCCCCGGTTACGATCCTCATCGTGCGGCGACGAGGAAGACACCCTATCTCCAGCACTCACGTCCCTGGACATCAGCACGAACTCGATGCCAGGAGCTAATTTCCTTTCAAGGCTTGCCCCACCATCCGAAGCCCAGTCCGGCTACAGCCTCACACGGGGTCGCGCCGTGTCTCCAGTGATCAGCAATTACTTTGGCCTACCCACGGAGCGAGGAGTACATTCCCTATCCGGTGATAGCGCCAACAAAGATTACAGACAAGAGAGCACCGACGGGTTCAGCATCTGGGGTACCACATTTAAATACCGGTATAGCCTTTTAGGAGGCGGGGATGGAGACTCTGACGGCGAAGGCGAGGGCGAGGGCGAGGGCGAGGGCGAGGACGACAAAGTGGCAGATGGCGCGGACAGTCCATCTGAGGAGGAAGATGAGGATGAGGATGACGACGACGACGACGATGAGATTGATATTTTCGGCCACCGATAGTCCAGAGCAATGATCTGTACGGCGTACAAGATGGACTCTGACCCTAAAATAAGTATATACCACTCAATAAACTCACTTCTACGGCGTATTTTTTATGATCTGCATGCTTGAGATGGGTGTCTAATTCGCGTCTTGAGCTCTCCAGGGTCTCTGTGTGTAAAAGGGAATAGACTCAAATTGGGAATGGATTACATTTATCTCATCTTTATAATGGACACAATCAATATATAGTACTCTCAATAACTTTCAATTGCTGAGATTGTACTTGGGTGTATACGTACTTCTCAACTCCTGTGGAGGAGCTTTGTTCTCCCGCTACCTAGAACAAAAGATCCTGCTTCCACAACAACGGACTGACAACTCCTGACTGTGGGCTCTCGCCCGCCTCAAAGGCAATTATTCTCTAGTAATATATATATAACAGCTACTTGGTATACAGTCTCCTATAGGGGAGCTCTCCTCCACCGGAATCCCACCTCCGCCGGAGAGTCTGCCGTTGATCTCGGGCTCCCACATCGGCGGAGTTGACCACAAGAACATTGATAAGGCCTTGAATCGGTAGGGAGCATAAGTGTCCTTCTATTCTACGGGCCGATACTAACGGCCTTCTAGCTCCGTGGAGAGCGGTGCTATTTATACAGCAACCATGCCTCGGATGGGGTGAGCTCAATTCCTGCTGCACGACACCATGGAATACCCACAGGAAAGCTTCTTGACGACGGTGTTTACCCCGGACTCCTTCTGGGCACGCCGTCGCCAGCTTGTTCGCTCGAACACGCTGCGCCATCAGCTGCAGATGCTTAAGCAGACCGGTCGCTATGAAGCTTTCTGCCTGCATTGGCACCCCCGCTATGCCGACCCCTGCACCGTCTGGCCGGTGCCAAACCACCTGTTCTGGGATTCTGACGTTGCAAAATGGATTGAAGGAGCATGTTACCTGCTTGCCGACCAGCCCGACCCGGAGATCGACGCTGCTGTTCACGAGCTGGTCCAGATGATTCGCGGCGCCCAGCAGCCGGATGGATACCTTAACATCCACTATACCGTAGTCGAGCCTGGCAAGCGTTTCACCAACCTACGAGACATGCATGAACTGTATGATCCAAACTCTTCCGTTGTCTTGTGCAAATAACCCCCCCCCTGCTGACGCAGGTAGGTATAATGCCGGCCACCTCATCGAGGCGGCGCTCGCGCACCACCGCCACTACGGTACCGACGGCCTGCTGGCGCCAATTTTGAAGTATGTCGACCTGCTGGCGGCCACTTTTGGTGGCGGGGAGAACCAGATCCCTGGATACCCGGGTCATCCGGAGATCGAGCTAGCGCTGCTGCGGCTGTATAGAGTGACGGGCAACAAGCAGCACCTGCGACTGGCGCGGTTCTTCATTGAGGAACGCGGCAACCCGCACGGGGGGACCGCTCGGCGCCACTTTTACGATGTCGAGGCCGATGCCCGTGGGGAACGCCCGCATGAGCGGCCCATGTACTTTCCGCTGCCTCGCAGCTACTGGTACCAGCAGGCACATAAGCCCATTGCCGAGCAGGAGACGGTCGAGGGCCACTCCGTGCGGGCCATGTATCTGCTGACGGCCGTGGCGGATCTGGTCCGCCTCGGGCCCGGCGACGGCGAGATCCAAACCACCTATCGGCCTGTCCTGACATGCCTGTGGGCCAACATGATCGAAAAGAAGTCATACGTCACGGGTGGGATCGGCGCCATCAAGCAGTGGGAGGGATTTGGTCTTGACTACTTCCTGCCGCATAGCACTGACGAGGGTGGCTGCTACGCGGAGACCTGTGCGGCTATTGGCGTGATGATGCTAGCTGAGCGATTATTAAGAGTAGGCCGCCCTGCCTGCTTCTGCATCCGTGATGATAGTATATTGATTGGTCTGTATAGATTGAGCTTGACGGGCACTATGGAGACGCCATGGAGCTGTGTTTGTACAACGCCGTGCTGACCGGGATGAGTCTGGACGGGAAGGCTTTTACGTACGTCAATCAGCTGGCCTCGTCCGATACGGATCTCTCAGAGCGACACGAATGGTTTGAGTGTGCCTGTTGCCCGCCCAATGTTACCCGCACGCTAGGCTTCCTGGGTGGTTATCTCTGGAGCCACACTGTCACGGAGAAGTCGGCCGTGGTCAACGTCCACCTGTACACCGCCGCCACCCTGCGGCTGGCGGTGGGAGAGTCGACGCTCGAGATCGCACAGCAGACGGAGTGGCCGATGGAAGGCAATGTATCCTTTACCGTCACCACGTCCGGTGCGCCGGTGGCCGTTGAAGTGCGGTTACGTATCCCAGGGTGGGCTACAGATTGGGAGATATCGCCTGCGCCCTCCAGCCTCGATGTGCGTAATGGATATCTCTACCTGAGTGCCGACTGGGTGAAGCAGCATGGCCAGTTCTGCCTGCGTTGCCCGATGATGGCCCGTATCTCTCGTCCGCACGCGCTTACCCGCCAGCCCGTCGCGTACGTGAGCCGAGGACCGCTCGTCTACTGCGTCGAGGATGTGGATCACCCATGGGAGAAGAATCATTTTAAGGTAAGATCCGCTTTGGAGATCGAGGTAGTTAGCGATGCTGTATACTAAAACTTACAAGGATATTCTGTTCGATACCAAGACTCTCCTACGTGAAGAACGCCGCTCAACGCCCGATCAGTACATTGCGATTGTCGCCGAAAAAGGTGCCCGAGGCTCTCTCGACAACTCGTCATGGCTGTCGAAGATTGTGGCGGAGTCTTGCTACAAGATACGTGATGGAGAGCCACGAGACCTCTGCTTTGTGCCGTACTATCTACGGGCGAACCGGGGAGGGAGGGGACATATGCGTGTTGGGTTACGGGTAGATGTACCGACCTAGGTGCTCATAGTATTAGATAGGTTAAATGAAGATATAGAGTATAGTATATAGTCTGCTGCTGACATTCTCAAGTAGTAGTAATATCAGTACTATTGCTTGTATACAAAGTTAGGAAGATGAGGTACTACCCGCCTATGTAGTAGGTACCTAAGGTCACTAGTAATTTGTAAGAGTCATGATGTACCAAAGCACTTGCTAGTTATAGTTACTCTAATGCAACGTGACGTCGTGGAAAATACCCTTGGATGCCTGAATTCAGGCTCCCCATCCGAAAGCATCTCCAGCCTTAATTTGTCCATCTCTCCCACCTTATCTTGCCCTGCTTTGTCAACGACCTCTCTCCTTCTTGCGCCCTCTCTTACGCCGTCACGACCTGTCCCTCTTTGTCTACCTATATCAGCCGTTTGGTTTTCTCGATGATCATCTCCCTCCTTTCATCTCCGGTCTGAAACAAGCACGGATCTTGGACCAGCACCCTTACGACGACGCTCGTCGACGGACTCTCCCTTAATTCTCTTGGATTCCTTCCACTTGGACTCCCGTCAAGACTTCCACTATCCAGTGTCATAGGCTGTGGACTGAGGCTTATATGACCAAGATCAAGTGGTTGTGTCGAGGTAAGGAGTTGGCCTATAACTTTCTAGTCAACTATCTGATCGATTTGTCAGTCGAGCGTTGTTGACTCTTCCAGAAGATCCTCCCCACCCCCGCTTGCCACAGCTTAACCCTCCCACCGGTGACACGAGCTGAAGAGGGTTCCTATCTCCTGTTCTCCTCTTTCCTATAATATATACGCAGCATACTAGAGATTTTGGATATGATCCGTCGCGATTCCGATATAAAAATCCAGCTTCCTGACGTCACCGTGTCGACGGTTGCAGCGGCTGCCCCGACAGAGACCTCCGACGTCGAGATGAGCTCCGACCCGACAACGCCGCCGCTTGCCTTGCCTGCCCATATTGCCGCCCGTTTCTATCGCAAACCGAGCGTTGCTCGCCGATCGTCTGCCAACTCATCCCGCCGGAGTTCCATCTCCTCGCTTCATTCGCACCACTCGAACGCGTCGACTGGGACCGGTGGTGCTGTTGGTGGCGGCCCCGGCGGTTCGCATCCGGATCAGCATCACATTGTCCAGCACATGCGACGCGCCTCCATTCTAGAGAACCGTAAGGCAAGACTGGCCGACCGGGCCCTGCACGTCGAAAAGGTCCGCTTGCGTGCCACGCTGGCCAAGGCGGCTACCCGCAATCTGCACCGCGAGGAACGCGCCCTTGCTGCCCAGCAAGCGCGTGAACGGCTACTCGCCGAGATCACGGCCAAGTGCGAGGAGGAGGTGCGCCGTGCCAAGAAGAAGGCCGAGGATAACCGTGAGAAGAAGGCCGCCGAGCACGCTCGCCTGCGTCTCGAGATGGCCGAGAAGTTCGCCGAAGCTGAGAAGCGCCGCCAGCTCTACCAGCAGACCCAGCGCCGCCACCGCACCTCCTCCCTGCCCGCCGCTGAGGAGAAAAAGATGGCCCGCGTGGTCTCCCGCTCACTTACTCGCGATGCTGCCGCCCGCAGGATCCAGCGCGCCTGGCGCGCCCACCACGCTCGTGCTATCATCCGCGAGTTCCACGCTCTCAACCTTTCTGTCGACACCGTCCGAGCTCGTACCTTCGATGACGTCGGCGCTCTGCTCTCCGAGGAGCGTGTCCTCATCACCATGGCCCGTGTCCTGCGTCTCTGCGGCCTGCAAGAGCATGAGCCTAGCGGCACAATGGGCGAGCGGGGCGCTGTCCGCACCTTCCTTAGTTCCTATCTGATTGTCACGCATCCAGCCGAGGTCCTCAGCTCAAGTGACGGTGAACAGGAGCAGGACCTGATTTCCAAGGCGCGTGAGCTGCTCCTCACTTTCGATCAGGTCACACTTCTGCTGGGCGCTGCCCGCGACGCCTCATCCGACCTGCAGACCCTCAGCGAGGCTTACCGCGTATTCTTCTCTGCCTTCCATGCCTGGAAGTCGCACGACTCCTCTGTGTTGATAGAGATCATGCTCGCCCAGTTCGTTGAGCTTGAGATGATCTGGCAGACCGTCAAGGACGACCGCGCCGGTGGTGTTGCCGAAGACTACCGCCAAGGCATCCGCCAAAACCAGATCCTTCTCTTGGCCCGCCTGAAACGGCTGGCGGGTTCCGAGCGCGCCATGCAGATGGTTCGCAACGCTTTGAAGAAGGCCAAGCGTGAGCGCAAGCGCGCCGCCTCGAAGCAGCAGGTTATCCCCCGGTCAGCCGAAGTAGGGACTTCGTTGTCGTCTCAGCAGCAGCAGCAGCAGCAACAGCAGCCAGTCACACCGGCATCCACAGCGGATGTGCTCACCGAAAGTGTCGCCTCGCCGATCAGCGAGACTTTCAACAGCGTAGATAGCTCGGCGGTGCTCAAGGAGCTGGAGAAGCAGCGCATTTCGCCTCATGAGCGCTTTACCAAGCTACTGACCGCACTGCCTGAGAACCGCTCTCTGGTTCACGAACTTCTTATCAATAAGGAGTTTAAGATTGACGAGGCCCAGTACACCGAGCCCCGCAAGCAAATTATGCAGCATATGTGCCGTATGATGCGCCGGGATGTCGAGGCTGGGCTCGGCAACAACTGGACCATCGCTATGGCGACGGTGATCCAAGACCGCCTACTGCGGTCCTTGCGACCGGGCAACTCGCTGCACGTGCTGATCAGTGAGGTACTGGACCCGAAGCTGATCGAGAACCAGTGTAAGGCTGGGACTTTCTCCTACCAGAGCTTTTTTGAGTTCATGAGCACCATCTTGCCCAAGCTGTGCGCCCCTTATCGTGATCCCGAGGTCCAAGCGTTCGCTGATGACCGGTCTGGGGATGCAATCGACCGGCTGGCGCGGTTGATGAGGATCATCGACCTGCTTGCACTGGACCACACTAATTTCATGATTCAAGTGGCTGCGTCGCAGTTGATCCAGGAGGCACCCGGGTATGAACAGCGCACATTCGACAAGGGTCTACAGGATGGGTCGATCTCGCTGGGCAAGACGCGGCGGTTCTGGCGCACGACTCGCACCCTCCTCGCCGACGAGATGCGCAAGCGCGACCCGGAAGGCGTCCAGGGCGAACCACAGCCGGCGCCCGGCAAGATTTATGCACAAGGCCTCGTTGACCTGGTCTTTAGCAACGGTTCTGTCGCCGCGGACCTGGTCCCCGAGACGCTCGACCTGGACCGTTCGCGCTTTGAGCAGCTGCACGCGCGGGCGTTCCGCGTCGTCGCCACCGCGGCCATCTTACTAACGGCCAAGAACCTGCTCAAGCGCGACGTTCGAGCTCAGTGGAAGGCCGAGGCCGACCGGCTGCTCTCCCTCGATTTTGCCGACATCGCTCCGGACCGCGTCCAGTCTATCCTGGAGTCGACGCACCCGATGCCCCCCGCGGCTAGCGCCCAGCTGGCCGTCACGATCCGGCGGGTGCTGGCCCCTGTAGCTACGGCGTCACAGACTGCGTTCAATCGTACGGATGTTGAGTTTTGTTCCGAGGAAGGACAGGAGATAGAAAACTCCTCCAGTTGCAGCATCACCTCTGGTTCCAGCTCCAGTGCTCGCCAACCCCCCGCTCCCACCAGCTTCAACGACCCCGTCGCCCGTCTGCTGCTCTCGCGGCTACGGGCACACGTCCTCGGCCGTCTCAGCGCGTCAAGCGCTAGTGAGCGTGTGCGCGCAACCACGACAGCGAGCCAGAGCCTTGCAGGAGCGGGGATGCCCGAGTTCGTCGGCGAGGTGGGGAAGCTGGTGGAAGAGCTCGAGAAGGTGCGTGAGGTAGACTGGCTGTGTCATGGGGAGGTATACTCTAGACTAGATTAAGTATCCCTTTAATGTATAGTCCTCAAGTGAATTCTATTATCCAAGAATCTCGGGTTGGAAGACTTCCTTGCGATCTATTTACCTTTTTGCTTTGCGTATTGTAACTATGCATGTAGTTAGTACTCGATCTGCTATCTAATCACCCCACATCAAGATTCGAGTTCTCAAACCTTGTAAAGAGTCAAACCCACAAACTTACACCACTATACAAATCTACAATTCAACCATGGAGCAAATACACAAGATAACTCTTCTCTCGGATCTAACCCCCCCTTCCCTCGAACGCACCTGGCTCAGCGCCCCGCATCCGACGCTCCCCCTCCTCGCGACCTGCAGCGCCGACAAGACGGTGCGCGTGTACTCGCTGACCAACTTCCGGCTGCTCTCGACCATCTCCGGAGGGCACAAGCGGAGCGTGCGGTCTGCGGCATGGAAGCCGAACACGAAAGAAAATGTACTGGCAACAGGGAGCTTTGATGCAACTGTTGGGATATGGAGGAACGACGAGCAGGAGGATGAAGATGAAGGGGATGGACAAGACCGAGATCCAGAAGAGGGATGGGCGTTTTCAGTGCTATTGGACGGACACGACAGCGAAGTGAAATCTGTGTCGTGGTCATCGTCGGGCAGTCTGCTAGCCACCTGTTCGCGCGACAAGTCGATCTGGATCTGGGAAGACCTTGAAGACGGGGATAATAACTTCGAGACGGTGGCGGTCATGCAGGAGCACGGCGGGGACGTCAAATGCGTCTCCTGGCATCCCGTGGAAGAGTGTCTGGCGAGCGGAAGCTACGACGATACCATCCGGTTGTGGCGCGAGGATGTCGACGATTGGGGGCAGGTCGCGTGTTTACGAGGCCATGCCGGCACAGTCTGGTGTGTGGATTGGGAGGGGGAAGGGGGAGGAAGCACCACCACCACTACCATTCCGGCTGGAGGCAATTCTTCCCAGATATCGGCATGGAAGGAGAAACATGCCCGGTCTGCTCGTCTGGTCTCCTGCTCCGACGACCGGACGGTCCGCATCTGGCGCCGTCAACCAAAAGATCATCACCAGCAGTACCGCCCGTCAGATGTTCCCAGCATCATCCGGCCGACGGGGCTGGAAGAGCACTGGGACGAGGAGGCCGTCCTGCCTACGGCGCATGACTTGTCCATCTACACGGTGGCATGGAGTAAAGCCAGTGGCCGCATTGCTTCTGTGGGCGCCGATGGACGAATCGTCGTGTATGAAGAGCAATTCACGACTTCTTCGGATGATCCTTTGCAAACGACATGGACTGTCATTGACTCCCTGCCTGGTGCTCATGGCATCTACGAGATCAACCATGTTGCCTGGGCGAAGCGCGCCGATCGTGGCAAGCAGGCGGATGAGGAGGTCTTGATCACCACAGCAGACGATGGGAGTGTGAAGGTGTGGTTAGTCTAGAAACAGATCCTCCTTTTTCAACAAGTTCAACATATTTGACTACATTCTCAAAAAATACCTATAGATAATAGACATTGAATGAATTATTGTATGAATTTGTTGAAAAAAAGGGAAAACTCTTATCTACCAATATACATAAACAAGGATCCAAAAGGTATCAAAAATAGAAGACGAGTAAAACATGAGTATCTATCGAGTGGCAGGCTTTTGATGCATATCTTCATACTCCTCCTCACTCTCATCACCAACAGAGTAATGTTCGCGCTCGCCCGGCGGGTCTAACCGGTCGAGCTCCGCCTCGTCAAAATCGCCAGCTTCAATATCTCCGTTGGTCGCGGAATGGCGGTTCTTGTTGCCGAAGCGGTCCAGGGCGGACATCGACATTTGGTTGTCCGCGTAGATGCCGCGGTACGCGCCGCGTTGGAGGCTTTCGCGCCGGCGATTGCGCCAGATCAGGAATCCCCAGACAGAGACGACGACAATTACCACGACGAGGACAGCCTCACCGGACTTGGCATAGGCCTTCCACTCCGCCTCCTTCATCTTTTGCTTCTCCTGTTCCTCCGCGGCGGTGCTGTTGGGGTGCCCGCCTACCGAGGTGAGCGGGAGCTTCTCGCCGTCGATGCGCGAGTCCGCGGGGCTGCCGCCGATACTGCCGATATCGACGTTCATGAACCGGTCGAGCATGTCGCGGCTCTGACGCGGCAGGTCGTACGGCACCATGTGGCTCGAGTTGTACAAGAGCACGTATGTCAGATTACGCGCGAACTGGTACAACCCGGCCGGCTCGCCCTCAAACGTCCACTGGTGACGCGGCGCCCAGACACCCGGCGAGGTCTCAAAGCCCGTACCACCACCCCATTTCATGTTGTGAATCATCTGCTCCGTCCCGATGTGGTTGCAAATCAGGTCGCGGTCGCCGCTGAATAAGAGAACGGGGATGCCGGACTCGATCAGTGAAGGCAGGAATTGCACTGCCGGTTTCGAGTTGCGCGCTGTGAAAGTGCTGCTCACCGCGCCGCTGCATTCTTGCCATCCAGTTTTCTTGTCGGGGTTGATGTGCAGAGCCTTGGTGACTTCCGGGAGCCGCAGGTATGGCTCTACATTCACAAGGTCGGTCGGCCAGTTCATGCCGCAAGAAGGATAATCGTCCTTCAGCCGGATATCATACATGTTGTAGCACTGGTTCGATTGCTTGGAAGCATCAAGAATCTCGCGAAGGATCGACTCGCACTCCGGGATATCCACTTTGTCTTTGCCGCCCGGCGCATTGATGAGTGACAAGCAAAGCGACTGTGTGGCCTCAATGGCTTTGGCCTCTTTACTATGCTCCTTCACAAGCCCTTCTTTGTAGGCAAAGCTCAAGTAAGAAGGATACTGTTCTGCGGGAGAAATCCATCCGTTGCCGATGAGAAGGCCTTTGATCTTCCAACTGGGCCTGTTACTTCCAGTCATGACCCGGTTCCGCTCTTGAATCGCCTTGGCAATATACGGAATATGTTGGCCAGCGTAAGACTCGCCGGCGATGTAGATCTAGCCATATTAGAGAAAGCGACGCAAATGGGAAACATGGGGGGGAGACATACATCGTCGTCTTCATATTGCGGGAACAATTCAAACCATTTCTCCAGGAATGTGATGAAATGGGCCGACATCTCTGTCAGCTCATGAATATAGCTGTCGGTATTGACATAGCTGAAGCCGGTTCCAACCGGCTGATCAACAAACAGCAGATGAGCGAACTCGTCCCACGAGCCCTCGTTGTATTCCAGCGTGTGGTCGTCTTTCAGCCGGTACGGCCCAACCTCCATCAACGCCCCATCCATAGAGCTACACCCCGGGCCCCCATTCAACCAGATGACGGTGCGCTGTCGGTCTGCGATGTGACGGTTCTGGTAATGCCAGAAGAAAAGGTTTCCGTTATGTTCCGCGTCCACTTCAATGTGTCTGTGTAGAGATATTATTCCATCAGTCACGGCGTCTTTCCCCTATCGCGAAATCCATAAACCATTCCCTCCAACTCACCCTGCATGCATCTTCAACAGCGGACCTTCCGGCGCCCCAGGTAAAGACTTCACATAGTAATCTGCAGCCGATTTGGCAGCGGATGGCGTCGGGCTCGATAAGAGGAGGAGCGAGAACGACAAGACCCATGAAGACAGGGAGATTGTTCTTGGCCGCGATGGCCATAACGAAGACGACGAAACCATTCTATCTGCGTATTTCGAGGTAGGGAACCACAAGTTTCGGTAAGCTTTTGTCCTTGAGGACGTTCGAGATGCTCACGTTCTCATGGATCTCTTGCAGTCGCGTGCGCTCCGCCGACTTGAGGGGCTGATGGAATCAGTGGATGGAAAGAGTAGCTGGAATCTTCAACGCTTCTGATTGTACATCCAAGTGAGTCAAGCCCGAGACGATCAAAGAAGGGCTGGTTGGTTTGGTGGGAAATAATCAGGCCTCGGTACAGAAGTTGGGACATTCAACTGGTAGACGGCGTGGCATTGCCAGGGAGGCGGCGGCGGTACTGTCACAGGATTACGGCTAGCAACTGCTGATCAGCTCCACTAACTATACAGACAGTGTATCAGGACGGTCAGGGGAAGTTTCACACCTTACTGCTTTCAGTTGTCTATAGACATTAATTATGCTTATTGATGGATGGATGAGTTATTCCTTAATTATTTACTACTATCTAGTTAGTTATCTGTTTTTCTTTTACTATATAAAAGGAATACTAAAAGGCTTGATCCTCACTTGAGGTTTTCTTTACTGTCCTTTGAGTCTTCTTTCCTTGCCATCGAGATAGTGATCAAAGCTGTATGTAGGACTCTAATTCACAACACACACCTGCTAGTTAGCTCCAGTGACTATGCAACTGATGACTCGAGACTATTAGAAGAAGGGGTGCCCCCCCGATTCACTACTTGAATCTGGCAGTGGTTAAATAATGCCGGGTGTGTTCTATCAAATAAATTTAAAATATGCATTCACTGAGTGCCTAGATAGGATGGTTGAAATATCGACAGAAGAAAGCATATAAGAAATAGAAGAAAGAAAGATTTGGAAGGCAGAACCTGGTGTCTCAAAGATGATAAAAGCGTAAGTAGAAGGAGACCCATGCAGAATTAGTGCGGAGAAAATACTCGAACACCAACGGGGTTAGATAGACAGGGTCATGCATGCACATTGCACAGCCTTATCAGATTGATACATAGAAAGGAAGAATGGGAACGCAAGCAGGCAACGAGGAGAGATATGTAGAATGACGAAGCGAGCTTTGGGAAATCGGCCTCCGAAATATTTGGGTTTTGCAACAAGTCCACAGTATCCTCGGTGAATCAATTGTAGACCCTGCGGCAGCCCCTTGTTCTGCCCTGTCGAAATGTAAAAAACCCCCAGTCCGTTGGCCATTTGCTCCATCCAACCTGGCTTTTCTTTTCCCGGTAGTGAACAATAAGAGGTTCTTCTTTCTCCTCTTAAGAATTTCACTCGCCCCTTCTCTCTCATGCTCTGCTCAGTAGCACACATTACCGGTTGCTCAACCCGGAAATACCTTCTGAATGTAATCCACAGCGCCAGGCTTTTGATACCACGAGCCACTCGGTTGGGCCAGAAATCAACATAGATAGTTTCATCAAGTACGTAGAAGACTCTCGATAATAAAAAAGGGCCGCTGGGGGCCCGGCGTCCCCGTCATCCAGAGAATCATCGCCGGATAGGGACCCCCTCCCGGGCCACCGGCGGACTGACGCTCAAGTCCTTGGGATCCTTCTGTGCCGCCTCCTGCTCCGACTCATCGACGCTTGTCTCGCGTTGCAGGAAACTGGCTTCTTTGATGGGACTCCGGCTCTGGAACCCGATCGATCCAGGGTGGCCGCTGATACTGCCGGGAATCGGCTGTCCTTGCGAGCCGTGGCGTTCTCCGTTGCCAGTAGCGGGGTTGTTGGCGCCCGGTGAGGTGGCCGTCAGGTGTGGGATATTCTCGGGGACAGGGTGGCGTGAGCCGATGTTGGTGACGCCCACGTCGGAAGCCTTGCCGGCCTTGCTGAGAGCGTAGTCACCCGAGTCGAAGTATTTCCGCTCCTAAATCACAACGTTCCTACTTAGCCTCGACATGCGAGAGAGAAGTGGGACTGGTGGTCTTTACTTACCTTCAACTTGTTTTGCAGCAAGTCCTTCTTCGTAGGCATTTTACCATAGAGGCGCAAGAGACGTTGCTCCTCTGGGCTGAGGGACTATAGAGTCCAACCGTTACGCCATGTCAGTTCCCAGATCTTGCCTTATCCGCGAACCAGACCCCCCGCCACGAGACTTACGTTTATATCCACCTTGTTCTGCTGGTGAGGATTCATCTTGAAAATCAAGGAGATGGCGAAAAGAAAAGGGGTTTCGAAGAGCCCTCGACCAGGAGATCCGGTCGGCTAGGTAGGATGGTTTGGCTGCTCGAAAGAGTGGGACGAGCACCCCTCAGCAGACTGAAGGAAGAGTGTTTGGCGTGTTCGGAAGTCGTGGTTCTACCACCGCCAGAGGGGGGAACAGAGGTGATCGCAGTAATCGTGGACAAGCAGTTAAGCGGGAAAAGGAAGCGTTCTGAGTCTCGAGTCTTTCCCTGGTAACTCTTCAGACGGTTTAAGGTTGTCGGCCTGGTGTTGGATGCCCAGCAAGTAAGTTAGCCGTAGTGGATCCACAACGAATGGGCAGCAATTCAACAACAGTCACAGACAGAAAAGAAGCCAGCAGGGGTTTAGAGGGTGTTTACCGGATCAAGAACGAAAGCTGCGGGTGTTGTTTCGGAGCTCCAGAGAAAAAAAAAAGAGCGAGGGTGATGGCAGCTGCTGACAGGGAGCGGATGATTACTGGGACGGTTGTTGTATCGATAACGTCTTGGATCACCGGGAGGGGCGGGGGAAGACAGCCCACCGACCACGCTCGACTTATCAAAGGCTCAGGTTTCAGCACTTGGCTTCCAAGATTAATATTGTCTTTTTTGATTTCGATGATTTTGCTCTGCTACTTCTAGTCTAGGTGAAAGCAGGGAACTGAATTTAAATAAGAGTTGTTTCAGAGTGGTAGAGGAGTTTCAGCAGCGAGGCGGGGCACAAAGCGACGATCCTAGTACCTACCTACCTACCTAACTAACTACCTATGTAGTACAGCCAGGCCTCGCACGGTACTGTGAACAATGATAATACTGAATGCTTAACTTAGCATTCTCTATATATTAAAGGGAAAGAAAGGATCTTCGTGATGCAGTATAGATACGTGTAATTGGGGAATAATTTGATAACTGAATCTCGGATTGGCCCCTCATCGCATCACTGATACTGGTAGTTCTCTTGTCAGAAGATGAATATCAAGGCTTATTATCATTTCAAGTCTAGAACAATAACTTCATCACTCCTTGAAACACGTATACCCGGATTGAGTCTGTATTTTCACCATGATTTGTACAGATAGAAGAAAGTCTTCGGCCTGAGGGGATCTCAGGTGACATCCAGATTAGGCATGGTCATTCCTGGGTCTCCACTAACAGAGTGTGATCTCTCACCAACTTCTATACAAGTGTAGCAGGTACCTATTAGAACTGCCGGTTGCACAGGATTCTGTGGGAAAGTGATTAAAAGCTCTTAGCTGTAATTTCTATAAGGTTTTTTTTCCCTTCGTCTCCTGGTGGTACTACTAGAGTAATTTTCGCTGTCGCTCTCAAGGTTTGCCAACCAACCAGATCCTTCCATCAACTCGAATACCACTAAAAATGAAGCAGGTACGCAAGAATGAGTGACCAGAATCAAACTACCTATGTGGTCGAGCATTTGGACCCAGAACTTGGGCCCTGGTCTGGATTGGAGTACGGGTGTATTGCGCGGGAATCTCACGGGGCAGGAGCCCGGTTCCTTTTGAGCTCTGTGCCTGTTTCACTCCAGCTGCCCGACGACCTGGCCGCCACTAAAGGGCTGGAAGTAGAACACCGCAGTGTCGAAGAGATCTTTGCAGACCGAAAGGAGAGGGTGTGTCTGTTGGATCCAGCTGCAAAGACCGAACTGAGCCCTGCCGACGGGAACGTCTTCGATGTGTTTCTTTTCGGTGGCATCCTTGGTATGGAGAACCCCGGCATCCTTCTCGTTTCTTTCTTCTTGGTTTGAAAAGCTTCGGAGCCTAAAATTTCTGACAAATATGATGACTGCAAAGGCGATGATCCCCCACGAGGTATGTCTCAGTACCCTCGTTCTGATAGATCTTTCTCTTCTTCTTCTTCTTCATCCTCCTCTCCTAACGAACATCTAGACCGTACCTCTGAATTGAGAAAGAAGGGATATGCAGGAAGACGCTTAGGTCCGAAGCAGATGACCACTGACACCGCAGTGCGCGTCACTCGTCTCGTTGTACAAGGAAAAAGTATGACCTCAACCTCGCCAAGTTGTTTACCTCCTTGCCTGTCTGACTTTGTCTTAGCTCCCCTGGAAGAAATTCAATACATAGACTACCCTGAACTGCGCATAAACGAGCATGAGAGCACTGAAATGCCTTTCCGATATGTGAAAGGACAAGATGACCAACCCATCATGCCTGATGTATGATTCCTCCCCCCCCTTTTTTTTTCTTTTTGGAAAAATATCTATATTATCTCATGCCACCAAATACTGACGGAGCAGGGAATGGTGGAATTGATCAAGAAAGATGCCGACAAGGCTGTGGATGATTTGTTTTGAATTATAGTTGAGGAAGATAGATAAAAGTGATTTTTTTTTTCAATATAATATTTTTTTTTGGCCTGAAGGCAGCTTTTCTGGCTTAAAAAGAAGAATAGATGTCCCAGCCTTCTGTAGGCACCCATTCTGTTGTGTCTATTCAGCTACAGTAGTAGGTTCAGATAAGTCTAGTTAAGATTCCAACCGACTGCTTCCTAGGTATATCATCTAGATCTTTAGGTATACATGAGAGATGAACTTGACGCTATTGCAAAAATCAAAAGGGAGAAGGGAGAAGACAGAAGACAAGGGGAAGGTATATGGCCACAGTAACTGCGTGCCATGATGGGCGACGGTATAGAAAGCACAAGTCAAGAACATTGCCAATAAGGAGACTCGTCGTCTTGAGCAAATGGTCATCAGTTACAGGAGTGGTTTCGTCAGCGGCATCCGACTGGTCCCTGATATACTAATCATATTTCATTATAGACCAGGAGAGCCCTACCGGCTTCACCCTTAATCCCATTATCTGGAATCAAGGATGCGGTCTGTCTGAACAAGACGAAGGGTTCAGTGTGACCAAGATTTGAGGGATGAAAAAGACGGTTAAACCGATACATTCAGTAGTATCATCATGATTGATCTCAGGCTGGATTTCAGCACCTGTCGACCGACTAGGACTCCGATTTGCACGCACACAGGTGAGGTCTGAAAAGAGCCTCAACTTAGTTCAGGTGTGCTGGGCGGGAGACGGGTCAGAAGAACTGTGGGCGGTTGTCGTATCCAGCACGGCGGTGGATGCATCTGCATGATCTCGTCAAACAACCAAGCATCTTGCTTGTACTAATAGAAGATAGAGCATCGCCACAATCGTAAAATAAGGGTTGGTGCCTCCGCACGATTCAATTGGACCAATATGCCACCAAGGATCATGGGAGATGGAAGGGAAACGGGCGGGAGTAAGCATAGATCCATAGGTATGTCACTCAGTCTGTTTTCCAGTGCCCTGCCAGGCCATTGTCGATGTCGTCTTGTTCGCCGAGATAAAGCTCGACCGCATACAAGGCCATGGTGCAAGCAAGATTGACCCAGCGCCAGAAATTCCCTCCGCCAGGGTTTTGAATGCTCCACCACTCGCCGCTGCCCCCCATTGCCTGTGATGCCGTCGAAAAATGCTGCATCAGCAGACTGGTATAGACAGCGACTAGGATTGATGGCGAGAAATAGCTGATCAGACCCAGTAACTGACCGGCAGCGTCCGAGTCATCCAACGAAGCTTCTTGAGATAAGGCGCGAGCTCCGGACTCACGGACAGCGGGAATGATCCGTGTGGACGCGTAGAAGACGAAGAGGCGAAATGTGAGAGAGATCAGCACAGAAGGGGTGACAGCGCTGAAGATCGCGGTGACAACGTTGAACGCAGCATGAATAATAGATGGTAAAAGCGAGAGTGCATGTATAAGAGTGGTGTAGGATGCCATAATGATCGGAGGGAGCGGGGGAAAATCTCCGGCCTGTGGAGGCATTGCGGCATGTTCCATCGGGTGAGATGGCTGGTAGTCGGTGAAAATCTGATAGATGCAGAGGACAATATAGGCGAAGAGCAATGAACTTTCCACTGCGTTGCCACGGCCGCTGCCGATACCCCACGTACACAGTATCACTGCACACGTAATGGCCACACCAATCAAGGCCGCGTCGACATTCGAGATTTCTGGGAACTGGAGAACACGCCAAAGAAAATAGACCGAACTCGATATCACGGACGCAGAAAGAACCAACAGGCAGATCTAGCCGCGATGTTAGTCCACATGCCCATATAACACAGAAAGCCAGCATATCATTAACATACCATCCAGCTATCACTGCGCCCGCCTCGATTCACAAGCCAACGAGTGATCTGGCCCGCTGCTTGGATGACCAGCAAGCTGCAGAACCCCTCTGCGAGTTGAAACACCGGTGTAGACCATCTCAAAATCTTATCCCAGTTTCCAATCGTGAGCGTCTCGACCAGTCCGTTGGGTCCGAAGATCCACTGATGAATCGAAGCATCTTGCGCGCGTTTGCCATTGAAGGTCCGCTCCACCCATCCACCGCTATTGTCCGAGTCGATCGAAAACCGATTAAGAGACCAAATCAGAAGGACCGGAATAATCAGCCACTGCGTCGACCGGATCACTGCGATCACCGAGGCACGGAAACGCGAATGTTCGGGAGTGATCACCCTCAGGAAGGAGAGGAGAAAATAAAAGGACGACAGCGAGAGCGAAAAGGCCAGGCCACACGTCTTGCCGCCGACATCAAAGGCCAGAGGTATCGACAAAACGGTGACCGTTAGAAAGATGGCCGATGAGAGAGCCCGAAAAAACCACATCGGGCAGTCAAGCGAGGAGCAACCTGACGCGCCCCAGTGATGATTGAGAAAGGAAAGACGTCAGCGTAGACACCACTCCGCCGCCAGGGGGGCCTCGCCGGAGGGATCACTCGGAAAAGGGGACCGCGAGGGGGGGCAGAGGAAAAATCCTCAGTGGAATGCGGATCGCTTGAAGGGAGTGGTGTCGCCCAAAGCACACGAGTGATCTTATCTTCAGGCGGGATGATGTCTTCACGTGGGCCTTGTACCAACAGGAGCGCGCGGCGAGCGTGTTCAGCGAGGCTCGTGCACGAGAGCCAAGAAGTGGAATATCCTGCGGCGGGAGCGTACTCGAGGGATTGAATTGAGGGCAGAAGGCAGTCAAATAGAGCCAGGGATTCCTCCGAAGAGGACAGTGTCGCGCGATGCTTGCAGGAAGGTTCTTTTTTTCCGCCTCGACAGTCCCCTAGTAGTTAGTTACTAGACAAAGGGCACAGACGCTAACTAGTCCATTATTCCATCAAGATAGCGGTCAGAGGGCAACAGACCAGCAGCTGAGGCTGAATAAGCGATCCAGACAATCCATGCTGCAGGCGTCACGTCAAACTTGAAGGAGCAGGAAGAAAGATTCCATGCACATGGCTGCAGCCTGTCAATAATATAGGATATTTCCTGACTGTTTTTTTTTTCTTAATTTCCAGCCTGGAGCTTTGGAGCTCCTTACCTAAACAGGACTAGCCCAAGGTAATATATCTTACCTGATCGGGACTAGTCTCATTCGGACACAGATAATGCACGTGATTGTAAAGCCCTCTGATATAAGCCCTAGAACAGTCCGGATTTAGCTATCTGAGTGATACCTCGCTTTTGATAGGCAGGCCGTGTTCTGGAGGAGCTGGGGCGCGCCTTTTTTTGAATGTTCCGCCGACTACTCAAGATGGCTGAAGAAAGTGCAGCGAAGAAGCTCAAGATGTCTTCTCCTTTGATCGGCACGCATAAGTACGTTGTGCGAATCTCTACAGATGGAGTAGTTTCCGGGTGAAGAAGGAAGAAGAAGAACAGAAGCTGACCGACCCCTCCCCTCCCAGCGGCCACTTCCATGCCGATGAAGCTCTCGCCGTCTACCTACTCCGCCTTCTGCCTCTATATTCCTCTTCACAGCTCGTCCGCACCAGAGACCCGGCGGTTCTGGCAACATGCCATACCGTTGTCGATGTTGGTGGGGAATACGAGGCAGGGAGCAACCGCTACGACCATCACCAAAGGACGTTTTCGACGACGTTTCCGGGACATGAAACCAAGCTGTCCTCCGCCGGGCTGGTCTACATGCACTTTGGGCGAGCTATTATCGCGCAGCACACGTCGTTGCCGCTAGATGACCCTAATGTCACTCTACTGTACGAGAAGCTCTACACCGACTTCATCGAGGCCATCGACGCCAATGACAACGGTGTTTCTGTCTACGACCCTGCAGCCTTGGGGGCTGCCAATCTTTCGAAACGATTCAAGGATGGTGGAATCACCATCGCTTCCGTGGTCGGCGACATGAATCATTCGGACCCGACCAATCCCACCGGCCAGCCGCAGGATGAGGATACTCTCTTCGCTGCAGCCAGCAGATTTATTGGCGAAGTCTTCCTCCGCAAACTGCACCTAGCCAGCTCAAACTGGCTGCCTGCACGGACCACCGTCGGCGCTGCCTACCAATCCCGGGCGGAGGTCCATTCATCCGGCCGGATTATCGTCCTGCCCCAGGGCGGTGTCCCCTGGAAGGAACATCTTTACAACTTTGAGATGGAGGCCTCGCCTGCGGGAAGCAGCGAGATTGATCCTCTCCAGAAGGTCTACTACGTGCTGTACCCGGAGAGTGCCGCCGAAGGGGCGAAATGGCGTGTGCAGTGCGTCTCCCTCTCTGAAGGGAGCTTCGAGTCGCGGAAACCCTTGCCTGAGACATGGCGTGGTGTGCGGGACACGGACCTGGATGCTCTCATGACTACAGAGGCCGAACAGGCGGGCAAGTCCAAGATTCCGGAGGGGGCAGTCTTTGTGCACGCCAGTGGTTTCATCGGCGGCCACAAGACAAAAGAAGGAGCCCTGGCCATGGCCGTTAGAAGTCTGGAATTATGATCATGGAATTTATACCCAATGGCTCAGGTACGGTTCGAAGAAGGGAAGAAAAAAGTTTTCTCGTGAATCCCATTCTAGCTATAGCAATGAAAAATTGTCCCATCTTTCCAATCTTCCCGGTTTCTGGTCATACCAATTTGGTTCGGTCCAAAAGAGCTCCGCACGGTAATCCATTCCGGCGTGGCGGGAATACCTCACCGGTAGAACACAGCCAGAAGCCATGCCTGATAATAGTGCCGGCATGACATACTCATTTCATCCATTGGGAGAACTATTCAAGTTTGGACATTTTCATGACGTCAGTCCTAGTCCGGCGGGATGGCAATGAAAGGCCAAGAATGACTGATGTGCTCGTGTGTCTGGCCGAAGACATGTCCTATCCTGCGAGGATGCCACAGGCGTGATTCCCGCATACCTTGCAAGAAGATCAGTATCTCCATGGACGTTATTTCCTGCCTGAAGGAGCCCAGGCCGGGATTGGGATCCTATCCAGTAATTAAAAGATGGGTTGGAGAATCTCTCGCCGTATGTCGTAGTCCTTTCAGTGTCGGATCTTCAAGGAACTGATATCTTCAATGCTACCAGTTCCATCGCCCAAGGCCTGAATCTCCTTGGCGTCAGGATGAATATCTGCCGTGTCCTCGCGCTCTCCCAGGACCCGCTGGATTAGCTTCGCCTTAATTACCGCGCCCTTGAAGCGTTCGTCCGCATCATTGACTGCCTCTTCTGTATTCTCCATCCCTAGAGACGCGGGATCAACCAGTTCCAGAAGCAGGGCTAGATTCTTCGCCAGCCGTGAGCTGCTCTGCGGCAACCCAGACATGGATTCGCAGGTGGACGGATCCAGAACTAGATCACCGACATCTGATGTCCCCGACTCTGGCTGCTGAGAAGTGGAAGATTTCTCCTTCCTTGTTGAATCCGCGAGGCGCTGAGTCCAGACCAAGGCTTTTCCGTACAGCCGGCCCAGCTCGACAAATTTCTCGAACCCCTTTTCCACTCCAAACACACTGCCTTCGGTGTACCCGGCTTGTGCACCGTCGGCGGCGCCCAGGTCGTAGCCTTCTTGGTAGAAGTCTTCTTCGAGGTCGAGAAGACCGTCAAGAAGATCTTGCGCGGTGGTAGACATGGTATGCCGAGCAGCCTAGTCAAAAGAAATGCAGAGAAAATCTCTTCTCTTGCCCTCTCTGTGGAAATTCTGGATAGTATAGTAGAGTTTGTTCAAGTTGACACGGAATTTGATGTATTGTTGAAGGAGGTCAGTCAATCCGTTACTTTTTTTTGGGAATCTTTTTGCCCCTCCACTGACCCGCCATCAAGAATATCTCGATAGGAGGACGAACCAGACAATAGAAAGTACAGAATAGCTTGGAACTACTGGGAAGCACAATTCCGGGTTACTCGAGCTGGCACTTTTATCGGTATTATACGAGAAGAAGTTGCCTCTACGCTACCAACACTAAATATTCTTCAAACCTTTCTTCTTAATTGTACTGTTACATTCAAATCGAAGCTGGCTATGGGTTGACGAAACGTTCAACTTTTCTAGGAAAGTTGAAGCCGAGTTTTTATTATGACAGGTGAGGATTTAAATTCCGCAATGATTGTAACAAAAGATATAAGATTCTTCCAGTAAGCTCCAGCAAGACAATTCCATATTCAAAGCCTCTATTCATTCTTCATTTCACATCCCCGCGATGGATCACCTCTTCCGAGCACCAGGTCTGGGTTTTACTTCTTCCTGTGCGACGGGGTGCAGCATAACCTTGTTGGCTAATTGCGGGTTGTTCGCCGAGTAGCCCTTGCTCCAGTCATAACTCACGGCATATGCGAAAATGGTGCCGGTGCGGTTGAAGGCAGTGCTGGAGATAGTTCCTCCAACAGACGGGTATCCCTTTAGACGATGCTTGGCATCCTTGTCCCAGAAGTGGAATGTACCGTCGCTGCCGGAGGTGCTGAAGGTGCCGTGGACGGGATGGAAGGAGATGGCGTTGACGGAGTAGATGTTGTTGATGTCGCGGTTGTTGGGAGGAGTTTCGCGGTGGCACTTGAAACTGAAATTCGAGCTGGAATCCTTATCTTCGACGTATTGGATGGCGCAGCGGCCTTCGATACTGCCCACGGCAAACCCCGTGGCGTCGGTAAAGCAGCTGACTACCCGCGTCTGCCACTTGAGGGGGGACTGCATTGTTTTGTAGAACTTGGTTGGGTTGTCGAGATTGATGATGTTGATGTAACGGTCTGCAGTGCCCACGACTAGCAGCTTGTTCTTCACGTCCATGGTATAGACACGCTCCTGACACTCCACCGCAGCAATGGGAGTCTGTTGTCGAAGATCCCAATACTTAACCGTTTTGTCCCAGGACCCGGTGATGAGGAGAGGGGTGCCTCCGGCAGGATTGGGGATCATTTGACAGCATTTGATCGGGGCATCATGGGCGGCGACCTGAACGGCGGTGGTGGCGCCTGCTCCCAGATCGAGCATGCGCGCAGCCTTGTCGGCGCCTGCTCCCACCACTTTAGTTCCATCCTTGTCGGAATTAGCCTATAACAAAGATATACCCCATTTGAGAATGCAGAGAATGAAGCCTACCGGAGCCCAGCAGCAGCTCAACACGGGAGCCTCATGCTCGAATAGAGCCTTTCCTTCGCTCTGGCCCTGCTCGTTGATCTCGTAGATTCGGACCTTCTTGTCCCACGAAGCTACCGCAAGATGTTCACTTGCTGGAGAAAACTGAAGGTCGGAGATACTATCTTCGGGAGGGGAATTCAAAGCGACATCTTTCGAGATATCGCCGGTCGTGTTGGTTTGGCCAGCCGCTGTCGACGTAGCGCCGACGGAACCGAAGAGAGACATTCGAGACGCAGGGAATTTTCGACAGGGTCAGCTGGTTGGGTATCTGACAGTAGAACAATGCAATTCTTGATAGAATCAAAAAGAACCCCTGCTAATTGAAGCACCGAAGGCAGAGCCCGAGAGCGAAAAGCGGAAATGACAGGAATTGATTCCCTGGTGAGCGCGCAAAGCTCAAGAAACATATCTCAGTAATTCGAGGCCTCCTTCACCGCCTTCAAACACGACAAACACCCCTGTGCTCCGCAGGCAACAACGACGACCAGGACAGATTTTGACAGAGACTGAGATGAAATTTGTCTTGGTTTAGAGAATCAATACTCTCCTAATATCAACTCTTTCTAGCAATGCCAAGAATCACTGTCAAGCAATATTCCACAAGGTTTCCCCCATCTATCTCCGGTCGAGAGCTCTCATCGATAACCCTCATTTAGGGAGCTTCAAACATGATGAATCAATAACTGACATTCGCATGAGATAGATTCGTTCAATGGGCTGGCGAAAGTCTTGATGAAATATCTAATGACGGATACATCTAGGTACAAATCTAGGTTGTTTCTCTCTCTGGGTAGCTGCCCATGTTTTGATACGCACCACCGGAAGGCATCTCAAAGAGCGGCCAATATCGATAGCACTACAGCCGCTGTATAGCTATATCGGAACGAGACGTATCTACTTGAAGTCATAGCAGGAATCTATGATTCTGCCCATAGAAGGGTAACGAATTCAACAACCAACCTCATAAGGTAGCCACGGTGGCTTCGATGATACGCAAAGAGCTGGAGAAGACAATTGAACCCATACATCAAATAAGGATTGAAATTGGGGTACCAATCTCTAGCTTCTAACAGCTTTTGATTTATAGTATTCACCAGTGTTTTGGGGTAGATATACTCCGTAGGTTCACTGATTACGAAGGCAACGGTAGTGTGGATATACTACTACGAACCAGGAACTAGAATCTCAACGCAGTTCTTTGTTGTCATTCTAAAGCAGTGATGGCCGGAGCTCGTTCGTTATCCGACCTACATAGGTAAGGTATCTGTTACTCGGGGATACAAGATGATAGGTAAGCCACCACCACCAAGCTTGGTCCTACAAATTACAGCTCGAAACCATCTCCTCACTCGCTGGGGCAAACGCGCCTTCGATTGGTGCCCTCATACGGGATACTCCGTCCAGGGCGTGTGGATATCACCACATCTCGTAGCAATCAGCCCACCCTCTCGCCATACCGGAATACTCTAGGGTTTGGGGTATGGCAAGCAACATGGCGAACCTGAAGCAAGTCAATCTTAGTGCTCAAACGTACTATTTCGAGTTTCTATTCAAGCTGCCTTACAACCATATTACCATATGTTGACAATTGGCGTTGTGGTACGGGGTCCAATTGTATATTAATGCCACGGAATGATGTTTGATGATATCATCTTTACGAACGACCCAAGGCGAATGCGGCCCCGATTTGATGTACCAAGCCCAACCCCAAGGCGATCATTGGCTCACACCACCTGGTTGAAATATCTACATTACCGATCAATCAGGTGATAGGCTTATGACCTGTCGTGACGCGTAGGACTTCGGTTCTCTTCCCTCCTATGTGGTCACGTGAGGGAGGGGGGGATCCCGGATGATGCCACCCCGTGTCTCGCCCGTGACTTTCACGGGACCGCCGGTGGCCGACCTAAGGTTGGACAACCCCGACCACCTGAGGTCATTCAACTCGGGATGCGTTTTCTACGGTGACAGGCTCCCCATCTCGACTGTACGAAGAAGATCGCCGAGTTGCAAATAAACATCATCAAGCTACACAGAAATAGACCAAGTGGACCATGACTGGCCTCCCCTCCCCCCCACACGGTGGAGCAGAGAATGCGGGGTGCAGCTCTAGTCAATCAACGTCAGGGCCTCGTGTGATTCCGGTTGTCCCGGCCAGCGACAGACACCTGGTTCTGGACCCTTGGGGGCGAGTGTGGCAGGATGATAACTCCATCACACCACTGTCTGGCAAGGACAACATGATCTCTCCCTGGCAGAGGTCGTTGACTCGACAGGGTACTTTGTAAAGAGGCAAGATAGATACTTGGTAGGTAGGCCTCGTAGACTCAATAATGGGGGGAAGGGAGTGATCTGCTTCTGGCGATGACATCGATGAAGTCAAATCCCAAACCTACACTTTTCATTGCTTGGGTCAAAGTACTTCTCATGCGACGCCTTGCCGGAAGCAGACTGCCTGTCTCCCGAGTAGGTGCAGTGCACCCCCCCCTCATGAAAGAAGGTGAGCTGTTGCTGTATCCATACAGAGTGGCCTGCTCATGGTCCAAGGTCACCTGCCCATCCCATCCCCAGACGGCGCCCGTCTCGTCTCGTCCCTTTTTCTTCCCCTCCCCCTCTTCTTCTTTCTCCTCCTTTCTCTCTCCCTCCTTTCTTCCGGTCATCAGTTATCCTATCGATTCTCAACAACGCAACAGCTGCTTTTCGGATCACACCCAAGTAAGCTCGTTCCTGCAGCACTGCCGAACTCTCTTCCCTGTCTCCTAGGCCTGTTCTCTGTCGTTGGAGCGTAGAGATACAATCCTTCCTCCCTGACTAACATTTCTGGTTGAACATCGTGCAGACGTTTGTCAACCATCGTACTTCGTACTCCCAACACTCTGATCTCATCATCATCCATCATGTCAGACGATCTCCAGCTCACCAAGGTCGATTCCGCCATCGCTGGCTTGTCGATAGACGAGAAAGCGCCAGCCAAGACCGAGAAGGAAGTCAAGACGCATCATCATCATCACCATAAGCGGACAACATCAAAATCCGAAGGGGTATGGAATATCAAGGACCTAGGTAAATCTTGGCTATCTATCATAGATGGTGGATGAAACTAATTTGTCTTTCTCTTCTTATAGAAACACAAAAGATCGACCTTGTCATCCCGATCGAGACGCAAAAGACTGGATGGTAAAATTTTCATGATGATGCTGGCCATGTTGGCCATATTTGTCAGGTGACTAACCAGGTTTGATGTAGGAAACTTAATACCTCGCCATCAAGCATCGAAGACAAGGACATACTCAAGCTGCACCTCGTCACGCCTCCGGTTAAGAAGATTGATCTGAAGTTCCCTCTTGGCCTCGAAGTCACTGCCCGGAATCTCAAGGGCGTCACAATCAAGGATGCGCTGGACGCAATCCACAAGCAGTTCAAGAAGAAGGTAGAGTCGACTAGCTTCCCTATCCCATGTCTGTGTATGTTTTGACCTCTCACTGACAATATCCAGGATGATGACGAATTAGGAGACAAGCCCTACCTCGCTGGCTTCGAGTGGGACAAGGAGGAGTGCTGGACATGCCTCATTGTACACCAGAAGAAGGAGCACGTTGCCTCACAGCCAAGTAAGAAGTCCAAGAAGAAGAAGGGCGAAGACGCATAAGACGGCCCGGGTAGCCTGCAGACTCCATATTGGTCACTTCTTAAGACTTGCATGGTAGTCCCCCCCCCCCCCCCCCCCTCTCTGTCCATCCCATCCTTTTCCCGGCTCTTACTTCTCTCTCTGCATTGTTGCATTTCCTGCTCGGCAGTTAGGGTTGTAGAAACATAACCAAAGAGGGGCGCGGGGTTTGTCTATTGACTCATCTTTTTTTAATCAATCTCCTCTTGTCTTGTCTTGTTCTTTAATTGTTGTCATTCTCCAATCGTGGAAGGGGATTTCCACCGGTTCCCATCTGGGATCGCAGGGTGCATTATTTAGGTTGATTTAACTTGAACAGGTTGAGAGTGTGGGCATGTATTATTGACACTTCTTGTTCTGGGAGCCTGTCGGCCTGGAACAAATGCCATTCATTGTCATAATCACCGGTCGAAAGCGACTCGGAATGAACACTCTTATGAAATATTCCTCCTTGCAACAAGTAGAACTTAAGTTCTCGCCAAGTGCTGCTGGTGTTGGGACTCAAAGCTCCTAGGGCGGGAAATACCATTGTCGAGCTTATGATATGAAGCAAGATACCTGCCTATCAACATCTAATGAAATGATAAGAAACCAGTATGTACTATGGGCATAATCCTAGCCTGAAGCATGAGGACAGGACTCGTCATTCTCGTCATACATCCATTATTAGCAAGCCATCAATCTTCGACTCCCTTGCCATGACACATTAAAAACCCCAAAGAAAGACAAAGTAGAGGTGGAAGGAGGAAAATGAAAAAAAAAATGAGGAGAGGAAAAAGGTTCCACGTTCCACACAGTCATTGGGAGTGGTAGGGTCATCTCGTCGTCCCAAATAAGACAAGGATGATCTCGTCTAGGATGGTGAAGATAAGATGGGTATTCAATCGTTGATTATTCAAGGTGGCCGAGATCCGCCGCGAGGCCGCCTGCGCATTGTTTCTTCCCACCACGTTGCCCGCCAGTTCTGGGACCAGGGTTGCGAGCACCAGGCTCGCTTCGCGCCGACTCTTCAGCTTCTCCGATAGGGTGCGCACTTTGGCCTCGCGTAGCACGCCGCCCGGCCACATCGTCTCCTTGGCCAGGGAGAGGAAGCGGAGTAGCGAGTCGTCCTGCACGAGCGACCGGCCTATCTCGCGGACCTTGCGCTCAACAGTGCCTCCTAGCAGCTGGTGCAGGACAACGACCACTGCCCGGCCCCGAAGCCAGTTGTTGCCTTTGTTCAACTCAAACGCTTCCAAAAACAGATCGCAGATCGGCTTGATGAACGGTTCCAGCTCGCGATCTTCAAAGGCGTTGAGTTCCGCCTCCGCTTCGGCGGTAGTCACTGCGTCCTCGGTCGCTAGGCCAAAGTCACGAGGGCTAGCCGTCGTCGCTTGCGGATTATGATTATTAGTATTAGTATTATTAGTCGCCGCAGAGATGAGATTTTGTCCCGCTGTGGACAGCTGGTCCAGAACCCCGAAATTCCCCAGGAAGTCGTCCATGCCGTCCGCAACCGAGTTGTAGATCCGTGTTACCAGGTCTTTGGCCTCTCCTTCCCTGGAAGTGGTTTCGTCGCGAGGGATGATCGCTCGCTGGGAGAGAAAGGCTCGAAGATCCCGGCTTCGACATACCTCAGGGAGAAGCAGTAGGTTCTGGAGATATGTCTCAAGCGCTAGTCGCCGCTTCTGCAGGAATTCCTTCTGCAGCTTCATGACGACCCGTCTCCGTGGAAATTCGAGATGACGGACAGACGGGTATCGCATGCGCAGCTTCTGGTGCAGCTCATGGAATTCGCTGTACCTGCGTGCGACAGCCCAGGAGGCGGCGGGCATCTGCTCTCCTGCGTTCCTTTGCACTTCAACAACATCTGGATGGAGTTAGTCATTTCTCTCTTCTGTTTTCAAAAAAAAAATCGCCAATACTTACACATAGCAAATTCACGACCGTCTTCCTCCTTGCCCACAACAATAGACTTGACGCGTACGGTACTTCGGCCGTACAGGCTGTTGTCACTTTCTTGAATAATGTACTGCTGTCGCTGCATCTCCTTGCGGTGAATCTCCCGTTGGATACTAGCCTTTGATTTTCGTAGAATTCTCAGTTCAGTCGTGTTGTTGGTGAGCTCCGCTTTTCGTGTCAAGGTGTCGATCACCGAATCCTGAGAAACCAATTTGTCGATATCGACGGTCAGCGCTTCAATCGCTTCCGTGAGCCCGAGATCCCCGGGTGCCGCTTCATGAACTTCATCCGCCGGGTCTTTGTCATCGTGCTCGGCTTCTTCATACTCGTCTTCAAGGAAATTCTGTTGGTCCGGAAAGAGATCTTCATCAAAGACTCCAAGGCGAGAAGACTTGTCAACAAGTCCAAGAGAGGCAATGCTTGGTTTTGCTTTCTCCTCGGTACGACTATCCGGTCGCGTGAGCTCAGATGAGTCGCGAGGGAAGATACCTGGCCTTTCATTGCCAAAAAGGTCGGCTGATGGGGGGGCATCACCAATTTTTGTGGTTTCTACCCGGCCAATCTTGGGCTCGCTCGTGATAATATCGTTCAAGGCTGCTTCCATGGTCTCAATTACCCGGCTCTGCCTTGCCTCTTGATCCCCGTTCTGTGAATTGTTCCCCAGACTTTGTGTAGACATTGCAAGAGGATCTGTATCATAGTCATCATCGAATAATGGTGCAGAACGTTCAGAGTCCATCGATCGTCGCGGAGACTGCTCTTCATCGAATAATTTCCCCGTGCTCCGAACATCACTTGATGAAACCGCGGCCCTACGCAGGTCCTTTGGTTTATAGCCTGGGCCCGAATTGGTTCGCGCCATCAGAGGAGGCAGAGGTCGCCTTTCGCGCACCTCAGACACGGCCGGCGTGTTTGCAGCTGGGGCGGTAAATTGTTGAGATGTAGAATTTGACGACTCGTCTGATGCGAGGTATTTGTAATATAGATCGGATTTCTTAAATTTGGGATAGTAGACCTTATCGAGCTCTTCCAATACCGCAGACTGAGTAGAAAGGATCACAGTCCGGGCCCTGCGCCACTGCTCCGGCGTTGCTTTCTTGCCTGCGCCTAAGAATGTCTTGACAGTTTGACGAGACTCTTCAGTGACCTTGAGTTCAGGTTTGGATAAATAGGTCTCACTGATCAATGCCATGTCGTTTCTGTCTGCGGAAGTCCAGGTGCTTGAGCTAGGAGAGCTTTCGTCGCCAAAGTCATCTTCTAGTGGATTGCGGAATCCGTCTACCACAATCCAAAACTGTACGAGGGACATAAGTCGCTGGCGGTCCATGAACTCCATGAAATAAGAAAGACCCGAAGCATTATGCATCACGTCGACCAATGGTGCCTCTGGGGATGTGAAGGGACCGTTGGGATGGACTTCTGGAGGCAAAGGTGTACCACGATATGTACCACCGACAGCAGAGAGTTTTGCAACCTTTTGATCGAGGACCCTTTTTCCTGTCTCCAGGCGTCGGAGGTAAACCTGGTCTTGGTCCACCACCATGCTCTCGCGTTTCAATTGACTGGCGATATGTGCCCGAAACCTTCTGGCATCGGATAGATTGTTACAACGTCTGATCACTCTAACGAACCGCTCAAACGCCCGTTCGGAATCGTTGGGTCCGAGACGTGGAAACGGCTGGCCTTGCTTCGACCGGGGAACAGGCGAGGCATGCTCGTCCAATGCGGCCCGGAGTTTTCGCACCGTCTTGCGGTCTTGCAACGTGGTCTGGCCATAAGCTTCGATAAGTTGGTTCCAGGTATCGGGGTCCGAGAGAAGCGAGACGACTGGGGAGAGCACTGCGCAAGCGAGGATCTCGCGAGCTATAACAGCGACGATCCGGCTGTTCAGGATGGAGTCTAGAAACAGCTTCGGGAGAAGCCCACCAGAAATTTTGCGCAAATACTCTTGTTCCACTAATTTCCGCTCCGCAAAAGACAGGGTTGCCGCTGCATGGAGTTTCCCATCGCGATACTTGCTCGCGATAGCCAGGTCGAGCTCTTCAGACTCGGTCACATTCCGAGTCAGGTTCTTGCCCCGAACCGATCTTTCTGCAACATCAAACTCGCGCAGATGTGTTGTCACAATCGGAACGATTCGTGATACTATGAGAGATATGAGGTCTTCCTCCAGCAGCCTGGCTAGCAGATTCCTGATCGCTGTGCGCACCACCTGGTCCACTTCGTTCACGAATCTCAGCCTCGGACTGATGCTTTTATACCAGGAGGAGATAAAGTCGCGGAATACTAGGGAAAGAAGCTCGTCGATGCTCTCCGATACGATGAAGGACTGCGGGTAGAGGGACTCGGGTTGATATATGGCGGAGTTGCGAAGACTGTCGACTTCCTTCCCCCACTTTTCTGGCGTGATGAACGCAACAGACGATGCCTTTGGATATTTTTCATCTTTCGTACTGCGTGGCCGAGTCGTCAGAAGCACAAGTGCGAACAAGCAAACGGACGAGAGCAAAGCCCCGAGCACCAGCGCATATCCAAGATACCGGAGAACCGGAAGCCAGTGCACGAGCAAGCCCCACGAGATGAATGCGACCACGCCTGCAATAATCAGATCGCGGCTGTTCAGGGCCATGCTCCCCGCGTACATTCTGGTGTTGGTTGGCGCATGACGGTCAGGCCACTGGGTTCACGGGTGGGTTTCGGGCGACATCTCGATGGCCAGACAAACAGCGATTGCGAGTAAAGTTGTTAAGAAATCGAGACGAAACAATATCTCAGCAAAGGCTGCTGAGTTTTTCCGGATGACGAGACAGCTAATCCTGGTCGCCGCAAGGGAAGATCAACGCACCCCGCTTGACAGTCTGGCTGGCGGCTGCAAGCATCGCGTCACTACGTCTGTGTTTACCAGGCTCCATACAATCCCAAATGGGTTGTTCGGGGCGCTGCTTTAAAAGATGCCATCATGTGATCCTCCGGACCTCCAACTTTCAAGTTTTGGGTCTTCTTCTGCTAACTATTTCATTTATTGTACTTATTGTACTGATTATCTACATCCTCGAGTATTTCAAATGGAATTAATCGTCGTCTATTTAACTAACTAAATAGAATATAGTGAACAATGCAAAAGGACTGAAATATCTCGTCGGTATCGCCGCTTTATCGACCTCGATGACCAGATGGCCGAGAAGCTTCAGGCGCTTATTTTCGTGACTTTCAAGCCAGCAAGCATATGTTATCTCTGAAGGATTGAAAAAAGAGCATAACGCTTTGTCTTTCAACAAATAGCGCCAACCTTTTGTGCCTTTCCTTTGTTGTTTGCCAGACAGAAAGCGGCGTCTAGGCGTAACCAACCCATAGAATGTCGGTTGAGAGTCATTGCAGGTGATATAGCCATAGCTACACCTCCTTCCATAGGGGAACTACCTGCCATCGTTATAATACAGGTATCAGATCTCTAAACGAGCAGATGTCTCGAATATCTCAAATTAGGTGCTATCATTGGTCTTTATTAGCATGCTTTCTCCACCCAGAAACAATTGGTATCAACATCACTTGGATCGTACGCCTTTTAGAGCAAAATCTTGCCATCTAACCCCCGGAAGAATGGTATAGAGCTTTAGAAAGCAAAATCCAATTGCTTCTTCGTATTTCCACTGAGGTTATTTACTCAAGTGTGGAGACCCCGTGACCGGGGAATTTGTTGTGGACTCGGGGGAGTCTCGGAGGAGCTCAACGTCATGTTGCTTTGACAGGATCAACTCAACACCTTTCCAGCTGATTCTTCTTCTTCCCTCACCTTCCCAGAGAGTTCTGCGTCCAAATAAGTCAACATGGCGACTCTCTCGAACTTTCTCGATCTCTCCCAGCAGTCTCTTCAATGTGAGTCTCATATTTCCTTCTTCAACCCTTTGGATCAACACGTTACTTGCTGTCCGCCCGATTTGCATGTGATTGCTGATTTATTTGTTTCCACCGACTTGTAGGGTCTGCACTCGCCATCGCTTTTAACCCGATTTTCTGGAAGTAAGTTGTTGAAAAAGTCCTCCTTCAGACATTTATAGTAGAGATAATTTGTCGACTCGATTTAATGACATTACTTTTGCTTTTATAGTATTGTAGCCCGTGCCGGTTTGTGTCTCCCCGTCGTCCAGTTTGTGTACGCCAACTAACCACGAATCCCACGCAACAAAGAATACCGTGGCCACTATCTGACCCGTATCTTCGGCGGCCCATACTACGGATGCTACTTCCTTGCCTTTGTGATTTTCTCTCTGGGCATCCTCCGTGACCATGTGTACCAGTTGGCGTTGGCAGACCAGCCGTACTATGCTCCCATCCACCAGCCTCTCCTGGGAGGCTTTTTGTTCGCTGTTGGCTCTGTTCTCGTGCTCTCCAGCATGTGGGCTCTTGGTCTGACCGGTACCTACCTGGGTGACTACTTTGGTATCTTGATGGACTCTCCTGTCACCGGCTTCCCCTTCAATGTCACCGGGTCTCCGATGTATTGGGGAAGTACATTAAACTTTCTGGGTGTTGCTCTCTACAAGGGCAAGGTTGCGGGAGTGATCTTGACTGCCGAGGTCTTTATCCTTTACTTTTTCGCCCTCCGATGGGAAGAGTGAGTATTTGCATTCCCCCGAGGCAATAGAAGTGCCATGTCACTAACATAAACAGCCCGTTTACTGCAGAAATCTATGCAAAGCGTGAGCGGGAGCGCGCCAAGTCCAAGGGCGGCAAGAGCTCTTAAGCGGGATATATATACTTTCTTGCCACTATCACATGCATTCTTTGTCGAACGGGAGAGGACTTTCAACATCCCCCCAGTCCATGCAGGTGACCAAAGTATATAAAGATGGCGGCCCACAATTCGACCGCCAACCGGACGCTTGGCCGGTGTACCAACCATGCGAACAACACATCTTCAACGATACGGAGGAGAAGGGCCTTTCGGGCGTTTCCTCACACATAGAAGAAAGCGTACGCCTATACAGGGGATGGGGGGGATAGGCAGGAGACTCCTTTCTAATGGACCTTTGGTCGGGTGATTCTCTCGGTGAACGAGGCTAATATTCTCTTTACATGGATAGAGTCTTCTCCAGCTCGGGTCAAACTGGGTGGGTTTAAATATCTTTTTCCTTTTTATTTCTTTCGTGTAAATCTAATTTACCCCGATAAATCTATTAAATCACTTCTTACTTTAGATTATTCACAATTTAGATTCCCTAGGTAATTTTAATACAGTGACTGGTGATGTTAAATTCCACCAAACTCCACGCTATGGACACTTTGCACATGTAAAGAAAGAAAAGGAGAATCATCAGAAAAGCCATCACCTTACTTCCTTCCTCTCCCTCTCTTTCCGGTCGTCCTGCCTTCGTCGACAACAGCCTCAATCTCGTCCTCGTCTGCACCCTTTTTGAGATCCTCGCCTTCTGCTAAACCCCATTTCTCTCGGTCATACCAGTCCTCCCCGTCGCTGAGTTCCCCGACATGTCCTTCAGCCTTGCACCACTCCAGAACGTCGTCCTTCATCCGGCATGCGCGGAACAGGGACTCCAACATGGTTTCGAAGCCGCGTACCGTCTCCTCCTGCTTTTGAATATAGGACCATAGCAGGCGGCGGGTTTCTTCCGCTTCGGTGGGCGGCAGCCCGAAGTTGGGATCCGGCCGGATCTGGTTCGGGACCAGAAACAGCGGGTGTGGGGTTGGAAGAGTGCTGACCGTCGCGGTTGACGGTGACGGGGATGAGTGATCTACCGACTCGTTGTCTTGCAGCATGTTGGTAGCATTGGTCTGGGCCCGGGTTGTCATCCGCCGCGGTGGTTCGGGCGATAATAAATCTCTTTCCTGCATCTCTGTATCTCCTTCATGGGACTCGCTGTGACTGTCCTGATCAGCCCTGTTATCATGTGTACCTGATACCGGAGCTTGTGTGTCCATATGTTGTGGGAGATCAGTGACCATGGCGTCTACTTCCTCGGGTTTCGGCTCCATTGCCGAATTGTTGTTGCTGGCGATAGTTTCACCATTTCTTGCTTCTGCGTCAGCAGTTGAGGCATCCGCCATGTCCACATCCTTCCCGGCGGCTGACTGTAGGTGGGCTTCAGTTGCTCCAACGGAGCTTTTGGCCCACGGGGCGCCAGCTAATAGCTCGTGCTCTTGCATAGATTCTTTCCTCGTTGTAGACGTACCCTGTGCATACGGTGTGCCAGAGCCACTATGTTCGAACCGACTCATGGGCGAACCTGATACAGGCTGGATGATCCGGGGCTCGAAGATCCACCTGTCTTCCGGCGTCTCAATCTTACCACACGGCATCCATACGCTGTCGCCCAGAAACCGTCGATGAAGGTTTCGAGCACGCCAGAGCAGGGCCCGTTCTTGGCGAAGTTTGGCCTCGATGTTCTGGGTCATGGTCTGAAGGGCTTTGGAGGTATACGCTTGCGACATAGAGGGGTGGGTAGGCAGTTCGGAAGGGTGTTTCAACGGGCAAAGAAGAGCTAGACGCAGAGTGAAACAAAAAGTACAAGGTTAGCCAAAGAATTCTATAGCTGGGATGCGAATTAGAGAGCTTGACGAACTTTCCAGCGCTATCTCAGAGAATGGATTTTCCTCCGCCGCTGCAGCATCCGCTTCGGAGTCCTCATCGTCCTCATCGAGCTCATCACCCTCGGAATCATAGCGAGGCGGGTTTCGCTGAAGAATATAGCGCGTGTAGCCTGCATGGTTGATTTTCTTTTTTCTCAACGTCAGTCTCATTTTCGATCGTCAACCAGCTTGGAAAATCCTTCTCACCTGCTTGCTGAGGTCCTCCGAATGAACATATCCAAGCGCGCCCTCCCGCACGTATTTCGCATTCGCCCTTAATTTAGTGCCTCGGTTCGTCGGTTGAGAGATGAAGTCGTCTGATCCAGTGTCTGTTCCCAACCCAGCAGATTGATCGTCAGAGACGGGGGGGAAAGGCGGCAAAGAACTCACGCCGGATAGGATACTACTTACGATCATCTTCTCTTCGTAACGCCCGTTTCAAACCAATGATGGTATCGGTAATAAGAGCTGCTTGGGCCGCCATCGTTGTCAATGGGCAAGTGAATGTGAGACTGAGAGGGCTGAAGACTGAAGGCTGAAGGATGATTCAATAAGAGCTGGTTCCGAGGTTCTTTTTTTCCTTCAAAGTGTAATCTCCAACTGCGACATAGCAGAACAAGATAGCTTCATCGCCCACGAGTGCCAGGATGCTCTTCAATCGCAGCAGTATCTAGGCAAATCTGTCAATGTCTGCTCGCAGCTTGTCTGGGTCGCTTGTCACTCTCCGCCTGACGGAATGGAGAGTAGCTGCGGGCAGCGATCGGCGCCCACTAAACCTATTTGGGGTCCGCGTTCTGGTCGCAACGCGTGATTATTGATAAGGGCTCGACACGTGACTAGCCCTCTAGCCCAATGGCCTTACAGTAGTTAAATAATAATACCGAAGTTCACTGTACTGTAGTTACTCCGTAACTAACAGTCTGACTTGAAAGGAAACCAAGGTGTTTATCTTGCTAAATATATCGCTTTGCATATCTTGATCGGGTCTTTTTTTTCCAATCCATTTACAATACATCAATCATCAGCATCTACCCAGACCAGAATGCCCTTCTTGTCGGATCGCATCTCCTCCGTGGGCAGGACGCGGAGGGTCTTGTTGAAGTAGGCGTCAACCACCACCAGTTGAGGCTGGATCCAGAGGCCACGTCCGAATGCCAGCAGGTTGTACCGTACTGTGTGTCGGCTCAGCGGTACCAGCTTGACAACGGTCGATTTGGGCCCGCTGAACGCAAACTGCTCGCTGGCTTCCATGGTCAAGTTAAAGGTAAGGAAGTGGAGGGATGGGTTCTCAATTGTGTAGTCGATATGGATGAGGCCGGACAAAGATGGCGAGGGTTTTGAAGATGCAAGTACCCGTGGTTCGCCCATGGGTGCAAGGAATCGAGGGATGGCCAGGGTAGTCGTCGTTAGTGATTCGGGGCTGTTGCTGTCACCTGGGCGCCGCCACTGGATGTCTAATTCAAGATCCAGGGAAGTAGGCCGCCGGTCAGCCAGGCGGAGCTTTTGGATGTCAAGATCAAAATTGGAGTCCCGAAGCCCTTCCGGCGCAAGCTCCGACGACGGCTCCCGGCCGACGATGGATTCAGAGCCGATCGTGCTGACAGCGCCACCACTCAGGTTCAGAAGAACCAGCGAAATTTTTTCAATTATTAAAGACTCCTTGGCAAACGATACAACCTTGGAGTTGAGACACCATCGCTGCTGTAAACCGTCAGGCTTTTCTCTGGCCTCATCCGCGATCAAGTAGTCGCTAAAATGGAAAAAGTCCGGCCAGGGCTCTGGATGAATACGAGGCAGGAATTCGTAGTTTGCCTCGAAGGGACGAATGAAAGTCAACTCCACAGTGACTACCTTCACAATTGGAGTCTGTGCATCGGATACAAGGTTGTATAGGGCAGAGACTTCGAGTTCAAAATCGGAAGCTTCGTTAGTGTCTCTGAGGATTACCACTAATTCCTGCGTGGCGGAACTATTCATGACTCCAATAGAGCGTTTGAGAAAGTGTGAAGCTCCTTCAGTCGGGGAGCTACCAGCAGTGTCGGCGGGATCACTAGGTTCTGCGCCACCTGGAAGTTCATCGGGCCATTGGATCTTCGCTGCAGAATCCGGACGACCAAACAACCGAATCTCGGCAGAAACGTCTACCGTCTCTTCTTCTTCATTTTGGATCATAATGCGCAGAGCCACTTGCTCGTTAGTATAGTAGTTACCTCGAAGATTCGGGGTGGTGATGCGAATCTTCGGGGGCTTTGGCAGGATTTTACACCTCCTGGGGTCCCGGGTCATTCCAACCCGTCTTCGGGCTGGACCCTTGCTGGTTTGCTGCCACCAAGACGGTTTATATTGCTCTTGGGTGGTGATGGCATAAGCCAGGTCAAATTCATCTTCTTCCATCAGCAGAGTGATGGAGGCAACCCTTGCTTCTCCAGATTCCCGGGGGATGCAGGTCAGATCAAACACTTTTGTTTGCGAGGGGCTGATCGTCAAATCAGCGAGACCAACTAAGGGCATGAGCCCACTTGTAGGTGATTGGAGAGACGACGAGTCACTAGAGGATTGTTCGCGCAACTGAAGGGATGCGATTCTCGTGGCACTCGTGGTATCAGGCTCGGCATTATGATCAGATTGAAGCTTCACGGGCCGAAGACAGCCCTCGAAGACAATTTTAATCTCCGAAAGTGATATTGGGCCTGATAACGAATGGGCATTCGATGAGACAACGAGTTGAACCTGCAAAGGTTCCCCGACGTTTCCCTCGGCTTTTTCAAAGACCAAAGATGCCGTGACTAGATCAAAGAAATCGGGCGTTGTCAGAAATGTATGAATCAAGGAGAGTACAGTTCAGATCTACTTACGGCATCCCACCACATCCTCTGCCCTGAGAACAACAGAAGGTTTAGGTTTTTCCGAGGGTAAACTTTTGAGGCTTTTGTGCATGTCGTACGTCCAGTCAGGCCGAGGTTTGAAAACTATATAGTCAGCCAAGTCTCGAGCAGATTGACCCCAAGTATCAACTCACTATTGCTGAGAAGTTCCCAGTCAACCCGGAGGACTGTTTCTGCTGAGTTGAGTTGGAAGGCACACTCTCTCAACGCCCACCCGAATCTTTCCATGAGCCTCCACCAACCAGCATTACGCCAGCTAAGGCTTGACCACATTGGCTGAAGAATTTTGAATGCTTCCGACCATGAGCCTATCTTTATATATTCCTCTGCGATCTCTAGGGTTAGACTTTCGACCATCCGACGCTGGTTACGTATCGAGAACTCTTTCAAGGACGCATTCAGCGTATCGATGATCAGACTGGAGTGATCGAATCCTTGACGTCCCGATAGAGGGGCCTCCACATGTGTCTCTGGAGCCAGATACGTATCGTACATGTAAAACTTGTTTGCAATCTGGGACGCAGGGGACTGTCCGGGAGGAATACGATCCTCTTCTGGAATCTGCCTCGCGAGATTTCGTCGAAGCTTGCTGTGCTTCGCCGAACGAGACAGCCAGTAACCCTCATGATGAAGGTGTTCCCACGGGGAAATTGGCTCACCGGAAGGAATGGTCTTCTCAGGGTGGGCAAATGTGAGGCCGGAGGTTGCGGATTGACCAGGGCCGATACTCACGATAGAAGAAGACAGGGAGGGAATCTCGGCACGTCGTATGAGTTGAGCCATGACCATGGACCATCTTGCTTCCCACGCCTCCCATCCGTAGTTTTTTGTTCCCTTGCCCCGTCGATTGATTACACCCTGCGAGCGATATCTGTGGCTGACCCATGACCGCACCGCAGCTGTGGTTTGCCCGGTCCAAAGCTGGCATCGGATAATCCGAATAGCGAGAGAATCTGCCAGAAGCCGCGCATCGTTGAACCGGGGGCTCCAGCCTGCAATATTCTCAAAGACCTCCTGACCGAAGAGGGTTTCGTATGCGCTCTCGTAATTCCTACAGGCAGCATCCATTTCTTGCCGAAATTCTGCGAAGATGCCAAGCTTGAACTCATAGCGCATATTCCACCCTTGGACTGACAACGTCTGTGAAGTCCCACTTGTTGGAGGAGCGGTTGGAGGGGGGATGGTGCTTCTGTTCCGCTTGCGCCTTGCGTGTTTTGACAGGTCGCGATAGTATTCGACAATCCAAGGTTGAAGAGAACCAATTAAAGCGGAAGCAAAGATTCTCAACTCCGCCGTTGTGATGCCTGGGGAGATGAAGAAGATGGACCTGGGATCTAGGTTCGTTGCTCTCCTGATACCCGCAACTCGGTCATCGACATCCGTGAGTTGATCTTCACGGCCATCTTCCGACACAAACACAACCAGGAAGCGAGTCTTGAAGCCGGATGAAAACCATTGTTTCCTCAGTTCATTGATTTCAATCTTGAGCTGGTTATCACGCAGTGAATTCATGTTCGAGTCGAGCGAAAAGGGGAAGAAGTTGACGACGGCCGATGGGACCAACTTTTGGTGCTTTGTTACCCATAATGGGGTAAGTAGCCCGTCTGGGAAAGTCGGTGATTTCGGCGTCAATGGAGAGATTGGAGAATGAAGTACCCATGGTATTCCTGCGGGCGTTCCAGTGTACGAGTCGGTCGTCGGACTTGCTGGTCGAGACGTGGTGGGAGGATCAGCTTTTCGCGGAGGAAGTTTGAAGCTCTGTTTCACTGTCAATGATTTGATTTACACAAGCAAGGTCATTGCCGAAGAAAATGCAGGTTAGGAAGGTCTCCAAGGGTCAGTGGCCGTATGCAACCCCCTCGCCGACACATCCACCAGTAATTGCGACCTAATGAACGGCATGCTTGGATGTGAAGGTATCTTACCCTTCCAATGCTTTTTATCTGAACCCTAATTCCTGATGATTCATTGTGTGTTTCATTCCTCGAGTTCCATGGAGCCTGCGAGGCATCCTCCTCCATAAGCACGGTCCGCAACTCCTCCGCAATCGTTCCGCTCAAGGACGGGAAATCCGAGTATATTTGAGAGCCTCTCTCATTTAGCAGTGGATAGTCGGTATTGCCAGCCTCTGCGGTCTCCTCACATCCTGCTTCGAGACCAGAAAGCAGGATGAGGGGTAAGTTGTGGGCAACATAGTCTTCCGGGTAAGCGTCCATGTCGGACAGTGGTAGATTCCGTTGCACGTTCGGTCACCGCATATCTGAATCTTGCGAGGCAATTATTTGGCCTCTTGATATCGAAAGAAACAGCCGTCAGGATCCAGATAACGAGCTGTGCTGCAGAGGGTATCCTTGGGTTGTTTTCTGGCGGCGGTGTCTACGGAGCAACATGATTATTGGCCCGACGCCAAGCCGGCGTCACAGTTCTCAGCACATGATTTGGACCAGTCTTGCAGCTCTTGCTTTTCGACCATGATTATTGACTACCTTGGATCTGTAGCTGTTCTTCATTGCTCATGTTTTCACCGGTGCTGAATAGATACCTAACAATGAGAGTGCTGTCATTAAACTGACGTGGAGTACGACCATGTACTCTGTACCATCAGCAGAATCGGACCGACCGCAAACACCACAATAATATATATTGAACAATAATCTCCAATGGAAGCAGTGCAAAACTGGTAATGACAGGTAGCTATGAACTCCTTGAACTTTACGTAATAGTCCCCTGGTTTCTTGACTGAGTGTGAGTGGGAGGCCTACACGACACTTGAATATCAAAATAAACGTCTAGAGGACAGCAGCTAACTATTACTGATCTACTCCCACCCTACGTCAATCCAAGCATACTGAATCACAATGTCTCAATTGCAGAGCGATTTATTTCGACATGTCTAACAATGCTACGATGACTGCAGGCCGCCCCGCCACTGACTCGCATCTGAAACCGAGACTTCGTACGATCGATCAAATGCTGTTGGCAACTTGACACTTGACATGTCCATCCCATCCTGGCTGACGTACAGAACAAGGACTCGGGCCCAAAAACGAACCTTCCGTGACACATTATTTGTTATTTGAATGCTGGTTCAAGTGGTCCGTCCATGTGGAGATGGACCCGAACCACTCCCAGGGCTAAAATCCCGTATCCAATCGCAGATTGTCACACCTGATGGAGGTACCAGAGGACTGGGGCACCCAACAAGAAGAGGTTCGGAGAAGACATACTCAAGCTGAATAGCAGTACTCTGTAGTACTCTGTAGTTACCTAGTTGACTGGTTAGTAGTGAACAGTCGACGCTGAATACCTACCGAATATTGAACACTGAGCAGAGGTATAGCCGAGTGGATGACCGAAGTGGTTCTGATTTCATCGATGGACCTCCCCTGAAATTCCGATCTGCGATGCTCCTCACTGCTCCATAGCTGTCGAAGGGAGGAAGAGAGGGAGGGAGGGAGGGAGCATTGACGCAAGTGCTGGGTTTTTCCCTCCTTTCAAGGATTAGGTGCCTGTCTTGGTGCTTTCTACCACACGCGACTGGCGAGAAACTTTCCTTAAACACCCCCCCCATGTCAATAATAATTACCGTCTTATCTGACTCCTTTCGTTGTATTATATCTTGATTGGTTATACTATACTGCTTTCTAATATTTTATTATTATCAACTATACCTAATTTCTTCCATGAGCCCTCTGCAGAGCATTGCCCGCTCTGATCGACTCCCGAAAGGTTCCCCTCATTACTGACTATCATCTCTTGTCTCCTTGCGAATCGTCCTCTGTCCCCCGCGTCGTTATAGTTGAAGCCCCTCCTTTCTTGTCTCTGCAAGGGCTTTTGGTCCGTAAGGGGCATTTGGCTTCCTAGGAGTTCTTGGATCTGCTCGCTCTGCGGGATTCACACTACTCTAGACTAACGTGCATCCACATTTCTCATTGTTATTTGCGGCAGATCATGCAAGCTTTCATAAAGCCTGCCTGCATATTACCTTTTTGATTGTGCGAGCCTCTCCTTCGACCCTGGAGGGTCAGGTCATCCTCCCAACCACCCATCCCCCCCTGGTCATGGCTGCCATGGATTACCGTTATGATGCCGCAGCATCCAGTGCCTCGCAACCCTCCCTATTTTCGCGACGCCGGAAATCGCTCCCATCGCACTCGCACTCGCACTCGCACTCGACTAGCCCTTACACTGTCGATCCTGCATCGCCTGAAGTGATATCGTCCCTAATCTCATCCCTATCGACCATCTCGGAGCCGCTGCAGACCCATTTTGACAGTGTACCTCAGATCGGTTCGCATACAACTCCTTCCTCTCCCAGCTTTCCGCCGACCGACGACTCTCGAAAGAACTTCTTTCGCCGACGCGCGTCCGACCATACGGGTGTTTCGACCAACAATGGCTTGGGATTGAGCTTTGGTGCAGACGACAAGACTTTTGATGAAGCCGCAGGGCAGCCTTTTCTGCATCCGGATGATGCTGCAATTGCCCCTGTAATTCGCATGGCCAGAGGGTCTTCTCCTGGGAAAGCAAAGGCCAGCGTTAAAGCGGATCCATCATCTGTCCGACCCACGTCAAGAGGTTCATACGCGTCTTCGAAAGTAGGGCTGGGGGACGAAGCGTCCTCCTTTGGCATGATTTCGGCGGAACCCGGACCTCGTGCGTCGACCGCAGCTAGCATCGCATCGTCGAGCTCCGGAGGCAGAAAGAGCTTGAGAGACCAGCTAGGAATACTGAGAAAGGCTTCCCGGGAGCTCTCCTGTGAGAAGGATAGAAAAGCGGAGCGTTTGCGCAAGACGAGCAGCTACAACGACAGCTTAAGACACAACATTCCGCGCAGTCGAGCCAGCTTGCGTTCCATGCACTCTATGGCCGATCTGGCAGAAGAAGGCCGACCAGCAGGCAGCGCCATGGAGCCTCATCAGGAGGATGTGCCCACGACGGTGCCAAAGGAAAATGGCCACTCATCCCCATCCACTGCTGAGGTCGTGAATATGTCGATTCCTGGAGGAATTGGAAGCGGGAGGGTCATTCCGACGCGAGAATCCTCTCTACGGCATAGCTACTCTTCGAGCTCCAAGAAACGGGTATCGGCCCGTCACAGTCGATATTCGTCCAGGGGGAGCAAAGATTTGAGACTCGAGACCGGCGTGGAAGCGGAGCAGGTGACTAGAAGGATACAGGAAGTCAAGGATCAGCAGCAGAGGATCAAGTCCGAACTCCAAGGAGATAAGAGTCCCGTTAGGTCGACAAGAGGAGCTTCCGCAAGGCCAACGCATCCGTCGCGAGCCCTCACAGATCCGAACCCTGTTCCCTTGCATCATGTCACCACAGATGACACTAGGTCGAATCTGGAAGAAAGTGCACCTTCTCCATATGTAATGACGGGTAAGATGAGGTCAAGCGCTCGGTCAGCCGGGCCACTTTCGTCGAGGACCCCGAACATGCAGCCCCTGGCACTGAGGAAATCGTTGGAGAAACAAGACTTGATGGACAAGGTGTATTCACGCCGTTCAGTTGAGTCATTGGCGCCTATGACTCCCCTCAGCACTAGAAGCCACAGGCGAACGCCTTCGGGTCCGGTGTCTCCTGGCCATGCCTCAACAACAGAGGAAAGACCATCGAGTTCCGACTCCATTGATCTGGCGGTGTTCGACTATGTTGATTCTCCCAGACTCACTCAAAGAGTGACCCATCCCACTTCTGGCCGTACAATCGCGTTCTCTGAAGTCGGCGATCCGAAGGGCTACGTCGTGCTCTGCTGTCTTGGGATGGGCTTGACCAGGTATCTCATGGCCTTCTACGACGAACTGGCGCGAACCCTCAAATTACGACTGGTTACTCTGGATCGCCCCGGGGTTGGTGAGAGTGGACCTTACCTGGACGAGCCCGGAAACCCCTTGAGCTGGCCAGGTGAGTGATATTCACGAGCTATCAAGACAATGAACATGGTTTACTAACGTAATGCAGATGACGTTGCTATCGTTTGCAATCACCTCAAAGTCACCAAGTTCTCTATTCTCGCACATTCGGCAGGAGCTATCTACGCGTTAGCCACGGCTCTGCGAATCCCACAGCACATCCGTGGCCGTATCCACCTACTGGCGCCGTGGATTCCCCCATCTCAGTTGTCCAGCATTGGCTCGATGAAAGAACCGGTCCCCAACAATGCTGTACCTTACTCGCAGCGAATCCTTCGGGCTCTGCCCACGTCCCTGCTCAAGGTTGCCAATTCAAGTTTCATGAGTGCCACCAGTGCCAGCATTACCACCAGCCTACCCAAGTCTCCTCGACGAAGCAAGCGCAAGAGCGCTGGCAAGGATGCATCTACCCCTGCTACAAACAAATCGACCCCGTCAAAGATACAACAACAAGGTGACGATCTTAAAGCTCTACAGAACATGGAAACTCTTATGATCTCCAACAAGAACTCCACGAAAACCCCGAATAAGACACAAGATGCGGGTGTGACAGTATCCCAGGATCGTGAACGCCAGACCGACTATGATAACAGGCTGACCCACAAGATTTGGGAGCTTGCCACCACGAACGCTAACCCGGCCGTTGACCTACTAATCTGCCTGGAGCGTCGTCAACCGATCGGCTTCCGATACGTGGATATTACCCGGGCGGTTGTCATTCACCACGGGAGCCGAGACACTCGCGTCCCTGTAGACAATGTCCGCTGGCTCGGCAAAATGATGCGGCGTTGTGAGGTACGGGTGCTCGAGGGCGAGGGCCACGGCTTGATGGCATCTGCAGCCGTTATGGGCAGCGTCCTGACGGAGATCGCAAAAGAGTGGGAGGATTGGACCACCGTCGTCCAGGGGAGGCGCAGAGCGACGACCGTCAATCATGGAGCGCGATCCGGTATCACGCTACAAGCTTCCTCATAGGCTACTACACAGTACACCGTTCCACCGGGAAAAAAAGACACCCAGGCAACCCTTCAACAATCACATTCATTACTATATCTAATCTATAATTGCGATATACCCCCGGCGACAAATTGCACTGCAGCAAGTCTTGCAGTGCCTCGTCTCAACCTCATTTCCCTATTTATCCTCACGGCTTGACTGGTGGTGTATGGACTACCTGTTATTTTGAACGGCTCTCGCCATCCAACCATGGATGTTCTATTACTTTTATGGGTACGAGACGACTTATCCATTCTTTTCGAATTTCTGATTTCACCCCAATACCCAAAGATAGTATACTAGCATAGATAATAACTATAAACCATAATATATATTCTTCATTCGGCTCCCATCTCTGTAAGGTTTTTATCAACTATTAACTAGGTAGTATCAACCATCGACTGTGCAGCTGTCTAAGGTACCTTACTACTAGGTACCTTGACTTAGTTTTTCCGTGATGTCACTGGGTTGTGGTCAGCTTCGATACCAAGGGCAGCTCGGAACAAATATACATTGTAAAGATAGCTTCTTCTAGCTGCTGTTACTCCTCTCCCCAAACCATCCACCACCCCCTTACGGTTCATTTGCAGAGAAGGGAAAGAGAACAAGAACAGGGAGCTGTTTGCGCCGTCAAACATTTGCCATATCAGGATCCTTATCGTAGTTCAAGCTCGCTATCGCCCCCCCCCGGAGGCTCTTCCGAACACGAAGCAACGCCAACTCGTTCGCCGGAACAAGGCGCGTACTTCGAGACATTATTTGGGTTCTGATATCTGAAAAAGAACATTGAACCTCTTTTAATTTCAATTTTGACCATATATATAATACCCCTATATATCTATCATCTATCAAACTGTCAATAATCCAGTATAACAAGGGTTGCGAGCCGCCGATAGTTACAACTCAGCATGCCTTCGCCACGGCGCATCAAAGTCCTCCTGGCTGCTGTTTGCACATTGATATTTGTGTATTTATATTTCTCGGTAAAAGAAGAATCCTTCCCTCTAGGGTGACCGTTGAATATTGTCACTACATAGCATGTGTCTAACAGGGGGGTGGTATTGTTTTTTCTAGAGCGATGCAAGCGGGATCCAAGACCAGAAGTTCTACCGCTCTACGGTAGAAGCCATGAAAGTCAAGGAAGCAGAGAAACATTCGGCGCTAGAGAAAGGGGATAAAACGGTGTTTCCGAAACTGCAGCCGGCGCAGCAGGTACAACAGCCTGTCGATAAAGAGGCCGTGGCAGCAAATGCTCAAGCCATGAAGAACACCGTCAACACCCCCTCTTCTTCTTCCAAGGGGGCCAGCGAGCAGAGTGAGGAGATGGAGGAGATATCGATTGCCGGGAGGACGAAGATGACGGTTCCAAAACAAAAGGATACAGAGTCAAAGGATGTCACCAAAGAGCAAGGAGCAGGAGATGACGCCAAGAAAGAGGAAAAGAAAGAGCAAGAGAACGACGCTTACCACCAGGCTAAGGACGAGCTGAATACTATCTTCAAGCGATCGCCGGGTATGTCCTTTCTACCTTTACTATGCTTTTTTTTTTTGAAACCGTTACTAACTTCAAGTTTCCAGTGATCATCTTCTCAAAGTCTTACTGCCCCTACAGCGCCAAGGCAAAGAATATACTTCTCCAGAGGTATTCAATCGTTCCCGCACCGTACGTTGTCGAATTAGACCTACACCCTCTTGGTCGGGAGCTCCAAGCCGTTCTGGCCGAGATGACTGGTCGTCGTACGGTGCCCAACGTCCTGGTCAGCGGGACGAGTATCGGGGGCGGAGATGACATGGTTGCTCTTGATCAGAGCGACAAGCTAGCATCAACGTTCAAATCACTTGGAGGGAATTGGATAGCGGAAGTGAAGCGCAAAGACCCAGAGCCAGAATCAAAACAAGACTAGGACTCCCGTGGGCTACATTCCTTGCACCTTTTACAAAGCCCATTCTATGTAAATCATTTTTAGGTAGTTATAGTGGGAAGTTGCACATATTACTTCAAGTTTAATCTAATCAAAACAGGAATGTTTCTCAGAAGGTGCTGTGATATCAAGGCGAAACTGATGTAGGTTACTCTGCACTATAGCTGGTCTCTTACTCGTATATAGAAGTCCCCGAACAAAGAAAGTCAGTATCATGTCCCACCAGAGTATTAAAAAGCTGGTCATTTAGATAGTTACCTGCAGGGAGTTCTGTAACTATACTTATATGGTTAGGTAAGTAGAGAGGGACTAGTTAACTGTGTACTATGTCTCCGTACTATGTATCATGTTACCGTATTACCGTACCGAGACAACCCTAGGTCGGAAACGCGCTAAACCTTAATAGTCAATTAAGCGACGCACAACCCGCCTCGAATTTCGCTCCACCAAAGCCCAAGCCCAGCCGGGAGTAATTTCGATCTTTTCGACGACCGACCGCACGACGACCACGACAATCTCCCCCTCGGACACACCACACCTCACGCAGCCAAGATGCGGTACATTCACTCCGAGGAAACGCTGCCCATCCCTGAGAATGGTGAGCTTGCGACTTTTCCCCCTGAATTCTTTTGATGGTGTTTGGCAAGATGGATGTTTTCAGGGTTGTGCAACCAGTCGCGCCCATCCATGGGGAGGAAGAGCTTGGGAGAAAAAGAATGGACGACTATACAATTGATCCGCGTCAACACTGGATATTTGATGGAGGCGGCTTGATCATCACCGACAGATTATAGGCTAATGCGGACTTTTTTTGTCGTCTTTTAGTGAAGATTCACATTCGCTCGCGGATCGTGACCGTTGAGGGACCCCGAGGTACGAATATACAACGCAATCTCCTTGTCAGGCTTTGCATCGCAATGCGAATGCGGCGGGCAAAGTTTTTTTCAGAACCCCCCCCCCTCCGCGGGTAAGCAGCTGGGCTAACATGTATTGTTTTGTACCCGTTCAGGCAAGCTTGTCAAGGACCTTTCTCACCTCGCCGTGACCTTCGGCCGCCCCAGCAAGGATGTCATCTCGATTGAGCTGCACCATGGTGCTCGCAAGGGTATCGCTACCCTCCGCACCGTCCGCACCATCATCAACAACCTGATCATCGGTGTTACCCGTGGCTTCAAGTACAAGATGCGCTACGTCTACGCTCACTTTCCCATCAACGTCAACATTGAGAAGAACAAAGAGACTGGCCTGTTTGAGATTGAGATCAGGTATGCCGAACACAATTGCTTTGGATCCCGTGCGGAGGAAGGAGGAAAAATAAAAATAAAAGAGGAGCGGGGTCGCGAATGGAATACCTCCTTCGTCCGACGAAATGGGAGATTCTTAAAAAGAAGCACGTTTTGCTGATGGGTTTTGGTTTTACACAGAAACTTCTTGGGCGAGAAGTACGTCCGCCGCGTGACCGCCCAGCCCGGTGTTGAGATCATCACCTCCCCCAACGTCAAGGACGAGCTCCAGCTCTCTGGCAACTCCCTCGAGAACGTCTCCCAGAGTGCTGCCGACATCCAGCAGATCTGCAGAGTCCGCAACAAGGATATCCGAAAGGTAGGCCTTTTCTTATTTTCCCCCATCACACACACCCATCAGAGGTGCAAGACATTATATCGTCGCTAACATTCTCCTTAGTTCCTTGACGGTCTTTACGTTTCGGAGCGCGGTAACATTATTGAGGAGTAAATGGTTGACGGCGTCTGTCCGCTTGGAGGGTAGTCCACGAAATGTTGGGGAGTTTTTTTCCTTCTCGCCTATTTGCATAGGGAAAGCAGAGCGAATTAAAAAAAATACCATGGATCTTCACAAAAAAGCCCGTCTTTTTAAGACTGTTACGTGTCCACGGAAATATGGCTTGTACTTTTTCTCAGTCGGGGAATGGGTTGTGTAATGTGAATCATACTGTTCGCTAGATGGACAATCCGATTGCAATTTCTCTCTTACAAGAGTCGCCACTGTAAATGCTAGTTATAGATATGCTGGGCATAGGGATCTGAAATTCAGCATATACTAAAATGCCGTCTTCTATACCATATTTGGGGATATAGCCTCTTGTTCTATTTCTTCCGATATAGTATGGAACGACCAATAAGCCTTTTTTTGGTGGTGGAAAAGTATATGGATCATTATCGGTACTTCTATATATATATATTTAGCAGGTGCGGGAGGCAACTTCCCACTCTTCCAAACCCGGCATCCATCATGATTCTTAGATTAATCTACCCATTTAAACCTTGAGAACTGAATAAGTGCATTTCCATTGGCCGATGATAAACAGTCGAAACCGAACCGAAGAGTCCATGAACGTCTAGGATCTATTCCTCCTTGTTCCTGGAGAATGACGTTTGTCGAGAACCCCAAACCCATAATTTTGCACGTGAAAGGGCGTCTCCCGCCATGCCCGACACACCTGCTTCACCGACACACCTTGCCAAGGAGAAAATGAATCCTTGGAATCGGATTTGCGTTGCTCTAATTGCGACTATCGGCATGGCAGTTGATGTAGCGCTGTTCTGGAAATATGTGAGTACTATGTCTCTCTCGAGCTATCCGTCGCCGGGAGTTGGTTCATAAAGGTTGTCTTTATACAGAAACTCCTGTCGTGGTGGAGATCTAAGTCCCCGAAAGCAACTCTTTTACATTGTTTGGCGACAGCTTTGTCGTTTGAAGATTGGGAGGAGGCTGCGTTCCAACTCGACGAGCTGCTGAGCACTGATCTATGGTATACCCCCCGCGCTCTTTATTGGCTGTATCCCTTCGACCTTGGGCAAGAAGCTGATGATAACGACATCAGGCGGCAAAACCCTGTTAGTCGGCACTATGACTATCGTCTCATCTTAGGAAGACTGGAGTCTTTGATGAGTGCCAGAGAAGATGAGGATATTCTGACTCTAGCCAATCTTCTTCGATCTGGGTTGGTTCGTAATTTGGGTAACATCACCTCGCTCAAGCTGTTTGTTCACGCTTACGCGGGTACAAAGCTACTTATCGACGACTACATAACACAGGTGGCCCTCTCGATCCAACATGTTTCCTCGCTGCAGACAGTCCCTAGCTACGAGGGTGGGTTTACCTCCCAGGCAAAGCTGGAGCTGCTGCATGACACCCGCCAGGCCTTTGGGCGCTCGACTCTGCTCTTGCAAGGGGGATCCATCTTTGGCTTGTGCCACCTGGGTGTGGTGAAAGCGCTGCACCTCCAAGGTCTCCTACCGCGGATTATCACGGGGACCGCTACGGGAGCTCTGATAGCTGCCCTCGTCGGAGTTCACACTGAAAATGAATTACTGACGTTCCTGAACGGCGATGGAATCGATCTGACTGCCTTTGAAAAAAGACGTAGAACCAGGATCGCCGCGGAAAGCCACAACGCAGAAGATGGGTGGTTCGCGACTTTATATAGACGTATGAGTCGGTACGTCCAGAAGGGGTACTTCTTTGACGTGGAAGTGCTGGAGGAATGTGTCCGAGCCAATGTTGGAGACCTCACGTTTGAGGAGGCCTATGCACGGTCGAAACGCGTCCTGAATATCACCGTGGCCACATTGAGCAAGAACGGATCGCCCAGCCTGCTAAACTATCTGACAGCCCCGAATGTGGTAAGTCGAGCAGTGAGAGAACCCCCTCCGCATATCCTGCTATCTCTCTGACCCAATTCACTACAGTTGATATGGTCAGCGGCTCTAGCATCCAACGGGTCATCTTCATCGCTGTATTCTCCTGTGACGATCTATTGCAAAGACGAGACAGGCTCGATCGTTCCCTGGCCGCACTCTCAGGAGGCTACGTTCAAGTCCTGGAGACATATCCATTACAAAGAAGGAGAATCGCCACTTTCACGTATCGCTGAGCTCTTCAACGTCAACCATTTCATTGTATCCCAGGCCCGGCCATACCTGATCCCGTTTCTCCAGTCGGAACTCAACCTCCTTGACCGGCGACAAGTCGACCACTGGAACCTCTCGCGGTCCCTGATGCGCTTGGTGATGATTGAAATCCGCCACCGCCTGAAACAACTGGACTACTTGGGTCTGCTGCCTAGCACTCTCGCCAAAATCCTCATCGAGGAGACCATCCCGGGGCCTAACCTGACGCTGATCCCGGATCTTGCACTAAAGGACTTTGCCAAGCTCTTCCAGAACCCGACGCGGGAAAGCCTCTCCAACTGGATTCTCAAGGGCGAGCGAGGGGTCTGGCCGGCGGTCGAGGCTCTTAAGGTGCGCTGTGCGGTGGAAATCGAGCTGGACAAGGGGTACCAGATGGTACGGCGGCGCCGGCCAAGCGACCAGCAGCCGCAATCGCCTCTGGCTAATATGGCGGGACAGCGGCGAGCGGCGAACGAAAGTCTTCGGCGACGACGGCGAGCGAGCGCGGATTCAGGGAGTATTGGAAAGATCTGAGGATTGTTTTATCTTGAGCAACGCTTATATACAAAGTCATGGAGACATGAACAGATAATCCTAAGACTCGAGTAGAGATTCTCAGGCTGGTATATCATGTAGTCATATGACGGGAGTAGGATCTACGCAATAGATCACCCATCCATAAACCTATAATCTCAGGACACCAACATAGATAGGTATAAATTCAGGATGAAATTTGATAATTTAGAGACCGTCCGACTCCGGAGGACCTTTGTAGGCTGGTAGTACGTCAGAACACGGCTACAATTAATGAGGTTAAGAGAGAGGGAGAACTTACACTTCCGCGCATGAATGGCGTACCAGATAGCTCCGATTGCCATGAAACCGACGAGGACGACGGCAGCGTAGTTCATGGAGACCTCTGTGACGGGAAGGGCGGTGGGCATACTGAAGAGGACGAGCTCGAAAGCAATCCAGACGAGGGCGACGATGTTGACGATGGGCCCCCAGACGGGCCCGCAATTCCAGCGGGCGAGGGAGACTTCTCGACGGCCATGGAGCAGGCTGAGAAAGATGGGGATGGCGTAGGCGAGGGCGAGGGCGATGACGCCGACGGAGACGAACGCGGTGAAGGCGCTAGTGCTGCCCAGGTTGATGAGGCCGAGAAGCATCTGCACGAGGGTGAGGAGGACGAGGGACCAGACGGGGACACCGAGGCGGTCGTCGACGCGGGCCCAGACGTGGGCGAGGGGGATGGCGTCGTCGCGGGCAAAGGCCCAGGTGGCGCGCGAGGCGGCATTCGTGATGCTGATGGAGCAGAACAGGGTGATTACCAGCACGAGGAAGACGAGGGCTAATCCGCCGCCGGGGCTGCCCATGACGACGTGAAAGATGTAGGGGAGCGCCTGGCCGGCGGGGGCGGAAAGGATGTCCTCGAGCGCGGGCAGAGTGAAGCAGATGGGCAGGATGAAGAAGAGGCCCGCGGTGCCGCCGACGGGTACGCAGAGGCTGATGGCCTGCGGCACTTTGATGGCCGGGTTGGTGCATTCTTCCGCCATTGCGGAGATCATGCCAATGGCCGAGAAGGTGTACGCGGCTGGTAGTAGGCCAATGAAGAAGGTGAAGTTGCCCCATCCTGAGAGACTCTTGTCATAGTGGCCCAGCGCCCAGGCTGCGCTGTGTCGACCGGCATCTGCCTTGACAGAGAGGGCGATGAGGATGACAAGGATGGTCACGGCAGTCCAGGCGGCGCAGACGATATCCACCTGGGGCAGGTAGCGATTTCCTAGCGCGCAGATCAGCAGCGAGCCGAGGCACACGGCATAGAAGATCAACAGTAGCTGCCAGTCGTTGGCAGACCAGTCCGGGTGGTACATGGAGATGGTGGCCGAGAGCAGCGAGGCGAAGCCAAAGTTGACGGAGAGCGTGATGGTCCAGTTGCCGATGAGCCAGATCCAGCCGTTGATGAAGGAGAGAACGGTCTTGGAGGCGGGCGACGACACCTGGAAGGACCAGTAGTACGGTCCCGCCGACGTGGGATACCGCGAAGCAAGCTCTGCCAGCGACAGGGCAACGCATTCGTCGAGCAGACAGACCACGATCCAGCCGACGAAGATGGAGAGCGGCCCGCCGCCGTAGATGGCGCTGAGGAGGGGGCTGCCCTCGCCATAGGGAATGGCTGCAATCGCCAGCGACTGGAACAACAGCGTGAGCAGCGAGCGATTGCGACGCAGTTCCTGCGAGTAGCCCAGCCGCTCGAGGCCTTCTTCTACCTGCCCGGATGCCCTGCGATGCTCGGAGGACTTGTCATTCTGGCTGTTTGATGGCGAGGAACCCTTTCCATTCGCTTCGAAGTCCATTCTGAGAGGAGAAGGGGAAGTGTAAGGAGCCTCTCAGCGATATAACGAAGAGAGCTCTGCAGCTAGAATCGGGTGTGCTATGGCAGATAGGAGGTGCATCTTGATCAAGGGGACTCTTTGTGTAACAACGTACAACGCCATATCTTTTGTGCTTCTCAATGGCTCTGTGTCTTCCCCGCATTATTCGTCGCTTTTGGCAGCTCCAGGAATGTACTATTAGCTGATATCTAGTAGTAGATAGTTACTAGGTAGATACCAGGTAGATACCAGGTAGATACTAGGTAGGTACTCCATGCACCAAGGGCTATACTAAATCAGCCATGCAGACTAATAGCCACAGATAAGTCACGGTTAAGTCGCAGATAAGTCACAGATAAGTATAAGTAATAGATTTAGTCACTGATAAAATACTCGCTGATATACCCTTGTCTCAATCGAGTAGGCGAATCCGTCGCCCATATCTGCGGGATTCAGGTACGATGTAGAGATAAGACATCGTTGAAGAACCTGGGAGCTTCCCCGACTCCCGTGTCTCTCAACGACCACTCAGCTGGGAGCAATTCAGGCTCTGTGAGGGGAAAGATCATGACTTGTGCGGGGGATGCCTGCAATCGTGGAAATGGAGTACAGCCGCCTCGGACGCGTTGGACTAGAAAATTCATTGTACAGGGTATAGTTGTGGGACAAAGTGTAGGTATGGCAGTCAATCGAAAATGATCCATTCTCCCATCCACCTTGGGGGTAATAGTGGTATTATCAATGCCTCGTACACTCCAATTGCCTGAACTATTGGCTAAAAAAGCTGCATTGCAGCCGGTATCCAGATCATTATAAAAGGTAGGAAGGAGTGAAAACAGAAAAGCCATCCATCACAACACCAGTAGAGAACAAGAACATTAATACAGGAAACACCTCAACAGAACATTAAGTGGCAGAACGAGGACGCTCGTGTGTAGAGGTCTGCGAATGTGCGGTTGTCGGACGAGAGCCAGAGAACCGTCCAAGTGTTGTCAAGGGAACGGAATTCAACGGTGGAACTATTAGGGAGAAGTGTGTTAGAGACTTTCCATAGAGAGAGAGAGAGAGAAAGAAAGAGAGATAGCTTACTGCTGAAACCGTAGCCCTCCGTGGCTCCTTGTCGATCCTGTGGGTCGATTTCAATCCGGATGGCCACGTCGAGTCCACCATGTATATGGCTAGTACTGAGACCATCAGCTGCCTTGTTTGCGGCCCCAGCGCCGACTTCGCCTCGATGAAGTGGCTCATGCCCATCCTTGGGGATTGCCACCTCTGAGAGCCCATTTTCTCCCGCGGGAGCGTCGCTGGTGAGCGGGGTATCGACTTCCGTGATGATTGCGTAGTTTCGCGACGGCATTGTGACGCGGTTGAATGCGGCACTTTTCTCGACACCGCCGGGTTGTTTATCAAAGAAAGGCATGAGGGTCTCGTCCGTGTCTCTGTCCATATTATGGATTTTGTTTCTGCGAGCCAAGAGGTTTGCCACGGCCTTGGGAGGGGGCTTGTTGGTAATGGCACTGCTGATGACGTTGACCATGAACCGATGGTCGTTCTGGCTTTGGATCCCAAGCTTGGGGTTGGAATAGAAGCGTCCGACAGCGGCCAGGTGAACATCCCCTCCAAGAATTGTGACACGAACGGAATGAGTATGCGCGAACTGCTGCAGGCGCTGGATGAGAATCCTGCGTTCCTTCTTGTGGTGCTTGGCAGTGTAATGGTCGTCGAGATCATCCAAAAGATCTACTTGGCCATCGAATTGGTTGAAAAATCCACCGGCAAATCCAAAGCGCCGGTTCAAGAGCCGTATCGGGGCAATGATGGGAGAGCTGAAGATGTTCTCAAGCCAGGCAAGACGCGGATAAGCGATCGGGACGCCGAGCAGTAGAATTAAATGTTTGATCTCTCCGTTGGCTGCTGCCACTTCACGATTGACACGTTCAAAAATGGCATCGTATGTATCGGGGTAGTTCACCTGGTGACGGGTGCGTTCTGTGCGGGCGTCGATGCCTAGAAAAGCAACCCGTTTGCCGAGGCGCATGTATAGATTCCTGCTCTTCTCTTCGACGTACGGGCCTGGCCTTTCCCCAATGATCCAGCTGGGATCTTCCGTAGTCTCATCCAATACAAAGGTGTTCTCTAGCTGGCGAGGGTCGACACCAGCCGTCCCATTGACGGCATGCATGGTCTGCGGAGCGTCGGTGGTGAACGTCGACTTGGGCGGCGCCAGATGGTGTTGAAACAGGCAGTAATACTTGAACGCAACGCCACCGATACCACGAAAGACTGCACACCTCATGAAGTGGTCGGTGTAGGAACCAAAGCCGTCAATGATATCGTGGTCGTCCCAGATATTGATCTGAGGGATCTGGGCGTTCGCGGTTTTGAACGGCTCGGTCGAATACCACCTGATATAGTTGTTGTAGTAGAAGGAATCGCAGTCTGCCCGCAAGGTTTCCCCGAACGGATGCGCGCGTCGCTTGTGCGGGTTACCGATGTCCGTCCACGGCTTGAGCGGCCCTTCGACGCGAATGTTGTCATTGTAGATCTGGTCCCCTCCACCGATCATAACGTGGAAGGGCTTCTTCGCATGTACGCGCAGGACATCATTCCACAGACTCGGACCTATCCAGGCGTCCATGTCGGTGCCAACAGAAAACCCATTGCAGGAATGGAACATCATCCGCATGGACTGGTCGACCGAGGGAACAACAAAGTTCCACGGCTTGATAGTCAGATCCGGAGACGCGTACCGGAAACCTGGAATATTGTATTCCCAGCGGGCTTCATACGCCCCCAAGGGCACAGAGATCGAGAACCGCCAGAACGCCTTGTGGGGGTCTTCATACAGCCGGACGCCATGGTATTCAGTTTCCTGCCTAGAAGACACCTCACCATTGACCGGAGCGCCAGCGTTGGCCGACTCTACGGAGCCGGAGTAGCGCAATTGCAGCAGCGGCTGCTTCTGACCGGGTTTGGTGACAATCAACACGCTCCCATGCCATTCGGAGGAGGTTGCCCCCACGTCCATCGACTTGAAGTTGATGAGGGGGCCGCAGATCACGTCGACGGAGGTATTTGCATTCTGGAATTGGGCCGCAGACGCGGTTTCTGGTGCTCCCAAGCGTCACGGTTAGCACAGGACAAACAGAGTGTTTACAATTCACCAATTAGCTAATACCTGGTAGATTTACGACATCCTGCCGGGTCCCTGGTTGCGCAGCGTACTCAGCCATGGTCACCACGAGCGCAATTCCTCGCAGCTGTCGATATTCTATCCAGTGTTTTGACCAGTAAGGCAAATAATATTCAATAACTCAAGGAGAAAACGGGGGAAAGAAGGCTCCGCACCCTGGACGGTAGGACAACAGGGGGAACTGAACGGGCGAGAACCCAAGGGGTAAACACACAGAGCTGGCAGAGGGGAGGAGCGCACGCAAGAAGAGACGAGAAAAAAAACCCAGCCGCAGTAAGCTGAACCCGCTTGTTCTTGCTTGTGCTCACTGCTCAGCAACGCCAACCCTTGGCTGGGCGCCCAGTTGGCTGTTAATTGTAGCAAGGAGCACCCAATGACGGCGCCAAGTCCTTCTGCGCGGGGAGCTAACAATAATAGAAGATAACACAACCAACCACTGGCTGGATTATCCACCTCGAGCCACGGTCTATGAAAATCATACCACGACTAACTATTGACTACAGCATAAACAATATGGGCAAAGAATCGACGATCAAACGAAAGGCTCGTGGCGGTGCACGAGGGTCTGTGGCTAGTGCTGCATATCGCAATCGTTTGTTATTGGGTCTACAACGATCGACGGGCGATCTCGAGCCGTACCTCACTTAGTTACCAGCTATTGAGACGTCCGGAGCAAGGTTCCTGCATCAAAATACGGAGGGCTGTTTCGTTGCATCTTTGGACAACTTGTGAGTGAGTCACTATCTGGTAGCTACGGAGTATAGCTAACTATCTGGCCCAAGCACTTTGGATTGAGACAGACCTTTGGCAGAATAGAATAGAATTGGATAATTTGGACAGAGGATTTTCGAATCTTGATGGTAATGAGAATAGAATGCACTCTTCGAGGCGGTTCTCTGATCCATAGATTCGCAACACTGCGTTCAACGTTCGAGGGTTCATTCAATTCTACAACTCAGTAGGTAGAGCAACACAGGCTACAGAGTACAGACACAAGGATAGAACACTCTTTCAACCGATCTTGATCATTATCTGGTTTTCTTTTGCTTTTCTCTTTTCCTGGCCCCTTCCTTAAGCTGTTGGGCCCTGCTCCCTCCAACGCCAACGCCAACGCCAAAACAAATTGAAGAAAAAAAGCAGAAAAAACAAAACAGTAAAGAAAAGTTTTTTTTTTTTTTTTTTACAGAAAAAAACAAAAAACAACACGGAAGAAAACCACAAGACACACCAGGGGACGAAGCGACTGATTCCCTCCAGTCGCACCCAGAGCCACGACGCAGCGCGACGCCACTCACGAGAACTCCGAACCGTCCGACACCGACCGTCGGCTGTGTCGAACTCTGGGTGCAACTGAAGGAAACCAGCCGCTTCGTTTTTGGGGAATGTCCCCCCCAGTAGGACATCCCCCCGGCCAGCCGGGCAACGATTTAAAGGAGGCCCGAAGCCCCCGTCTCCGTGCTGGTTCGCTCCAGCATCGAGTCGACGACCTCCTGGGCCGACTGGGGTTCGGCCGCAGGAGAGGCAAACATCTCCTCGAAGCTCCTCTCGACATCCAGGGTGACCTGGTGCCGCCGGGCCTGGCGGACCCGGTCGCACGTCTCGATGCTGGGAGCGTGCCAGGACTTGTCTTTTAGGCTGCCGTCCTCGGCAGACTTCTCGAACGTGTACAGTTCGTTGAGGAAGCGGTTGACATACGCCTTGTGCTTGTAGTCTTCCTTGCTCACGCCCTCCCGCAGCCCGAACCAGGCCCGGTACGACGCCCGCTGCAGAACGAGCCGGCACTCCTCCATGTAGAACTCGTACTCCTGCTTGATGGTTTCCGGGTCGTCGAGGGGATCGAGAAACAGAATGTCCGCATGGTCGACAACAAACTGGCACCAGAGCACCGCGATCACAACTTCCAACCCGGGATCGTCTGCGTTCTCGCGAGCCATGCTGTCGGTGAAGTCCATGGTGATCAGGCCCATCCGCACACGGCCATCGGGCTGTCGGAAGCAAGAGTACAGCAGGTCGCGCAGGCTGTCGATCCCCACGCTGTAAATGTCTCCTCCCTTGTCCCACACATCCTTGATCTTGGTGATGTCTGCGGGAATCGCGTTGAATCGGCGCGCATACAAGGTGTTGTACCTGTAATCGAAATACAAGACGTACTGGCTGCCGTTGAAATGAATCCCGTCTTCGGCGATGGGCAGATTTGCAATGAGAAGCTTCGGCCGCCGTCCAACAAAAGCAGCCTCGAATGTCTTTTCCCGGAAGAATTCGTCGAAAAAGAAGGGGCGGCATTCGTGCGCGTCAAGCATGTACAGACCATTGCGACGCATGTATTCCGTCCGACCACGTTCAATGCTGCACAGGTACAGGTGGTAGTCGATCACTTGCCATGGGTGAAGTACATTGATGTTCGAGACAGCAGGGGCATCAAGACGTTCTTCGTTGGATCCACTGACACCTTCGGGGGAAGAGCCGGCTTCCACGTCGACTTGGGGCTCGGCTTCGGCGTCAACTTCAGTCGCAGCAGTAGTAATCATGTTTTCTCCAGCAGACCCGATGGTGACCTCCTGGGAAGAGCCGGCGTTGATCTCAGCTTCAGTCTCAACTCCAGTCTTGCCATTGCTTTCATGTTCAGCATGAGGAGGCGCCGTGGTGTTCTCGTTTGAAGACTTGGGGTCGCTAGAAAGAGAGATTTGAGAAGATCTCGCAACAAGTTCGTTGACTGGTTCGATATCATCCATGGGCTCCGGGCACTGCTCAATCGCACGGACGCTTCTAGTCATTCTAAACCTCCGGGGAGGCTCGTCCTCAAGAGGCTCGAACGTCTCTCGCATTGCTGCCAGGCTTCTTGACATCTTGAACTTTGCTCTGGGAGCTTGTTCAGCGGAAGACTCATTGTCCTGAGAAGAAATGCCTTGGGTAGAAGTGCCATGAGAAGAAATGCCGTGTGAAGAAGTGTCATGAGCAGAAACATTCTGGGAAATAGTGCGAGGGGAAATGCTCTGGACAGAGGTCGCATGAGAAGTGTCGTGAGAAGTGCCTTGGGCAGAAAGACTATGAGAAGAAGTATCCTGGAAAACAGTGCTCTGAGCAAAAATGCTTTGCGAAGAAGAGCCACAAGAAGAAGTGTCATGAGAAGAAAAGTCGTGAGAAAAAAGGCCTTGCGCAGAAGTGCCATGAGAAGTAGTGCTCTGGGCAGAGATGTTTTGAGAAGAGAATTCATGAGAAGGAATTCCATAAGAAGAAAGTCTTTGAGAAGAAGTGCCACGAGAAAAAAGGCCGTGAAAAGAAGTGTCCTGGAAACCAGTGCTCTGAGCAAAAGGGCTATGAGAAGTTTCATGAGAAGAAAGGCCATGAGAAGAAAGACCACGAGAAGAGAGACCACGAGAAGAAAGACCACGAGAAGAAAGACCATAAGAAAGGCCAAGAGAAGAAGTGTCCTCGAAGGCAGAGCTCTGAGCCAAAAGGCTACGAGAAGCAGCGCCTCGAGCAGAACTACCATGAGAAGTGTCCCCCAAAACAGTGCTCTGAGCCAAAAGGCTACGAGGAGAAGCGCCGTGGACAGACGTGCCGTGAGAAGAAGTGTCGTGAGAAACGTCCTGGACAACAGTGCTCTGAGCAGAAGTGCCTTGAGAAGGGCTGCCCTGGACAGAGTCGCGGTCAGAGATATCCTGATCATCCATGTCCTCGAAATCAGAAGACTGCTCGGCCTCAGAAGCGGCCTGCCGAGCCTTGCTCAGTTCCGACTCGGGGACGGTAGACATGCCGAAATGAGGCTGAGTGAGTCTTGGACTGTCTGGAGAAGGGGGACGGCGGATAGGAAGATGGGAGAAGGCAGGGTTTGTGAAAGAGACGAGAGGATGACGGGTCACGATCAAGCTGTTGCGGCCTGGCAGGTCTCTTCCAGAGGCCAGCTCGTCCAGCTCGAGGATCTCCAGGAAGCTGAACTCTTTGACAAGAGGAAGAGGGTGCTGGGTACGGTTTTCTGGGTTCATCTGGGGTTTATATGAAGGGAAAGATGGATGATAACGAGCAGAAGAAGAAGGCTCAGATGAAGACGAAGACGAAGGCTCAGGATGATACTCAGGAGCAGGAGCAGTTTCAACAAGCTGTTCAGCGAAATGGACTCTGCGACCACGAGCAGAAGGCCGGCGTCTGTGAATAATGGTCTGAACACCCTGGGCAAGACCGGCGGCCGCCCCGGTGCCGGCATTTGCCTGCTCCATAGTGGTTCTGTGACTTTAATCTCACTTAGAATGGAGATGAAGATAAGACAAGATCACGTTAGAAGTGCTTGAATAGAGAGAAAAAAGTCAGGATTTTTTACAAAGGAAGAGGAGAGAGATAGTTAAAAGTCTAGAAAGATCACCAGAGATAAATTTATAAGGAAAAGAAGCCTAGTATCTCTATATTCCCATATATATCGGCACATCTCCAGAGGAGGAGAATAAACAGGCCTGTTCAGGCCTGAACAGGAGACCTGTAAGTGAGAGAACCAGGGGGGAGTAAGTAAGCCTGAACAGGAGAACTTGAAGTGAGAGAACTTATCCCACGTTTATTCTAGCTATTTTACCACATTTTCATTCACTGTTTCTGTTTTCTATATGGGTCATTCACTCCTTTACCCTCTACAGCCAGGATTCTGGTAGATTCACCATAACCAAGCCAGCTACATAGTAGAGAAAGGCCTATAGCCCAAACAAAGGATATAATTCTATGTACTTTATAATCCTGGTATCAGTTATTAAGTCCTTTATTCTGATATCAAGAACACTGTCTTAGTCTGTAGTATTCTGAGTCAAGGACATCAAAACACGCCTGTCTTGCAGACAATATGCGACTTGCTTTGCCTCGTGTTGTCTCGGAACAAGAACTGGTTTACACATCATTATATGTGAGTATGGTATTAAGACATTGAACTATACAAAAGTGGAGATGTACGACGAAGGGAAGTGAAGAAGACATTCATTTTGTCCCGCCTACTTTATCCCACCAGGTCATTTCCTGCTTTCGTTTCTTCTCCCGCCTCGCATTGTACAGGGCAGCCCATACGGCACCGGCAAAGTATCCGCCCAGATGGGCCATGTAGTCGAACTGGCGGAATTTGATCGGGGAAAGGACGCTCGCCACTTCGAATGCGACGATCCCGGCCAGGAACACCCAACCGGGAGCCGCGAAGGTGTTTTGCCATTCGTAGGGGACAAACCAGAGGACGAGTTTATCGCTGTGCATTCCAGAGTTAGTCAAATGGGACTTCGATGGATCAAAAAGTTCACTTACTTGGTATGGAGAATACACCAAGCGGCAACAACACCGGAAATGGCTCCACTGGCTCCCAGAGAGGTCACAACCAGGTTGCCGGTCAGAACACGAGCGGCCAGGGATGCCATTGAGCCAAATGCTCCGGATGCCATGTACAGAGCAAGGAAATTGCCTCGGCCGATCTCATCGTGAACTGTAGAGATGATTTAGCCGAATTAGCCTTGGAGGGCTAGAAAGAGAAGCAGACTTACCCTTAGTCCCCATGAACCACAAGATAGCCATATTCATGGCCAGGTGTTTCACAGTCTGGTGACTGAAGACACTGCCCAGAATGCTGAATGGACGAGGCACGAGCGGAAGACTGATGAAGTATTTGTTAAGCATTCGCCAGGCAGGTGGGAACTTCCACAACAAGAATATGCTCGCGTTCAAGCCGGCAATAGTCAGGATAGTAGCAGCAGCTGGGGGCACATTAGGCCATAAGCGGTCGTTCTTCATCGGCGGTTGATAGTATTCTGCGAAGAGGCAACCAAGCCCAATGGTAACGAAAGTGAGAATCAGAGATGGAAGAATGCGTCGAGACTAGTGTTTCATGATGGAGCAATCAGAATACTGAGGAAATTTCGACACTCCAGGGTTGCGTACCGTGGACATGTTCATATGTTTAGGATCCAGTTCCTTTTCCGTGGCTTGCAAATGGTGCTTCTGAATCCATGCCAAAACAGGGCGTTGACTGGGGTCGGCGCGTGGACGTGCTGTATAGTAAAGTGGTTAGAGATATATCGATTTTTCTTTTAAAAAATTAAATTTGCATTAGTCTTACCTTCAACCACTGCATTTTCCTCGAATTTTTGCAGCGCTGTATTCCGCTCGAGCTGACGCTTCATCAATTCCTGGTCTTTCAGTTCACCCTCCAGCCACTCCTGCCGCTTCTGTTCCTCTTCTTTCAGTATTTTGGCCTCGTTATACTCGCGCACTTCGTTCAGGACACTCTTGCCGTATGGACTGTTGTTTTCGCCGCGTTCGGCGCCATAGGTGCCACTCTGCGGTTTGTACAAGCCCAGTTTCTCCGCCCGCCTGACGAGCTTCTCTTCCTCCTCACGTTCTTCCCTCTCAAAGCGTGCAAGAATCGCAGCATCCTCGTCAACCGGGTACTTTGCACGAAGCCATTTCAGCGCAGTGTTGAAAGTAGATTCGCGAACAACAACGACAAGATCAGATGGTAGATCGAGATCTATGGTTCCGGCGAGACGGCGGCCTTGCACAACTGCCAGAAGGCGATTCCCCACTTCTGGAGACACCTTCCCCTTGCCAAAAATCGCATTGATCTCGGCAGCAGACAGTGGTTGTTGACGAATAGGGACCCCATGTTCATATTCAGGCTCGGCGGGTTCGGGTTCAGAACGAGCCCAATTGAATAACGAGTGCGAAAACTTATATGGTCTGATCGAAGGTGTCAGGAAACGAGATGGAATTGACAGCGCGGTATTCGACAGGACGAAAGATGGTCTGCTGGCGGTGCTATACAATCGCCATGGTGCACAGCTGGGGAGGGTCCTCGGAGCTGGCCATGCGGAGCGGAGTGTTGTTGCTGTGCTCGACGGCAGCAAGCTCGAGGCACAAAGCCCCGGGCATGGTATCCGCCAAGCTACTCCAAATGCATTGCTCATATCCTGCTTTTTGACAATATATGGCCTCTGAAGTGGTTCGTCGTTCCTTCACGCCGGAGTCAAGGGCTTCTCCGGACGTCGAATTGTTCCGAAGTTCGCAGCGCAGCGGTTGGAGGAAAGACTGCTGACGTACCGGCTGATTCTCCTTCAATTTGATTGTTTGTATCAGTCTCACACAGCGTGATATATCCGCCGCCCATACTCAAAAACTAATCTTTAGAGTCCTTGTTCCCTTAGGCATTCTAAAATTGTCTCTAGATTCTCCTGGTGATTGCCACGTGACGATAACACAATCTCGGTGCGATAAGGATAACACGTTGATACCGACGCCATTCCCTTGTCTCTTGGACTCTCTAACGCTTCAGAGTTTCCTGTCCGATAATCATCGCTGTCCTCTCAATCTGGTCTAGAAGAAAGAAAGAATTAAACTGTATCGATGTCTTCAGAGTCCCTGCCCATTTCCCTTGCCGCCTTTGCTGAGGCTATCAAGGAGCTGCCCCTCTCGTCAGTATTCGCCAAGGCGTCCGAAATACACAATTCAATCGCGCATTTGCGCCGCTCAAACGATGAAATCAAAGCTTTTATCGCCGATTCGCATGATACAGAGAGCGAGAAATCAGAGATGGAGAGTTATATTGCAGAGAATGAGCAGGTGATGGCTTCCATGTTGGAAAGGATCCAGCTCCTCAAGAAAGAAGTCGAAGATAGAGGGCAGCAGTGGATTGACATGGATGCAAGCTCAGACGGTCAGAAGCAGGCAGTGGAAGAAGAGGAAGCTCGTTTGGAAGCTCCGGCTTCTAACGGAGTAGTTGGTGGTGAGAATCACCAACCAGTGCCGAATGGCAGTGCGAATAATGCAGTGGATGAAGATCAAGGCGTATACCTTTGAAGAGAGGGAATACTGGGGAATTTCCTGGATAGGAGGAACCACCTATGAATCCGAAATGACCGAAACGACAAATGCGGCTTTTTGTTCTCTTTTTGGGAGTATCAGCTGTCATAGCCACAAGCGACAAACCATTAAACTACTCAACTGACCGTCTCGACCATAAACTATGAGACCTACAGAGAATGGGATAAACAGGAGCAAAGAAATAAGGGGTGTCGCTCGGCGTTGATCCAGAATCAAGAAGGCTGCATACTTCGTCTCCCTCTCTCCATCGCATCATTACAACTTGACCCCATCTTCATGAATTTCTTGTCGGGAAGGACAAACATCTTCATGGGCTGACATTGACCATCTTTCGTTATACCTGGGTGAAACCCGCCTATATGTTTAGGTGTTCCATGTCTGGGATATTTCTGCTTGTTTTCTAGGCTATTCTGTAGACAGTACGCATCAGACGCCCATGCAAATACCGCGAGGGAAGAAAAATGTCATGAAAATCAAGGATAGAATGCAAAGTAAAAACAGAAAAAAAAGAACTATTCACACCGCATGCTAAAATGCTTAAAATCTCTGGTTTGTGCCGTGTCATCCATATCTCGTAGTTTCACCCACCAATTTGAGTAAACAGAGAGAAAATAGAATCATAAAGTTGGGAAAAGCAACAGGCTTCGACACCAGGTCAGAAGACAGCGCTGTATGATTGATCAACGAACAACAGTTATGCAGCTCAGGGCAGCCTCAAGCACTGCTAGGGGTCTGCTGAGCCCAGTGTCCACCGCTCAAGGCCTCGGCGGGAATACGTTGCTGCTTGATGAACAAGTCAATGAGAGGCTGCATGGGCTCCATCTCCTTGTCGGACACAAGTTTATAGTACTTGGCCACAGTGACAAAGTGGACAAAGCACATGTTGAGAATGTCGTGCTTGTTGATGTGCCAGAACGGGTTGAGCCAGTGGGCATGGTAGAGATGGGCGTAGCAACGGAACATCTGCTTCATGATACCCTGGCAATCCTTGTAGAAGGTAGGAGGGAATCCGCTGGACTTGCCGATCCACTCGTCAGTCGATGGTTCGGCGCTTGAATTGGCTGAACTGTGGCCATCGGGATTCAAGGCAGCGTTGAGCGCGAAGGTCTCGGGCACTCCATGTACCTCGCCGGTGGGGAACATGACGGGATCGTGGATCTTGCTGACAATCCACTTTTCGACGCGGTTGATGAATTTGGGGGCGGAGATCTTTGCAGCGCGCCCATCCACCAGCCAAGTATAGGTCAGGCTAGGGACAGGTATTAGTTCCTTCTGGCCGTCTCTTCAATGATCCATGGAGCACTCACCGTCCTGCAGACATGGTAGGGCAAGTGCTCTCGTTGCAAATGGGAAAACCAGTCACACTGTTCGTCTCCTGGATAACCTGGAGCATGCCGTGAAGCAAACGGTACTGTTCAACGACTGTATCCGGATCCTCGATTAGCTTTGCCAGGCCGAATGCGCTCAAGAAGAAGCTTACTTTGATGGGCCAGCCATTCTCCCAACTCAACGTTCTTCGGACAGGCGCACAGAGTCAAGAAGTTTCCCTTCACGTTGAGCGGGGCATATTTCTCCTGGAAGAAATACTTGGGGGCATCGGCATCGCTCACACCGGCACTATCCACAGAGAGAGACGAAGCAAAAGACGGGGACATGGGCATCGGAGGAGCCTGGGGCGCAGGCGATTGAGCAGGGCTGCCGTTGTTCATCTTAGGCGCATTATTCTTGTTGTTGTTGCCCCTACCAAACCCTTGGCGACTAAATGAGTAGAGAGACCAGTCAGTACAATAAACATAAACTATGATAAGATGAGGGGGCATTAAGCATGATATAAAGGATGATAAGTGCAGTAATAGACATAAAGTAAAGAAAGAACAGTAGAATTGCTGGTGGTTATTGCAATTTAACCTGAATCATCCACAGCACCGATCAGGGGTGCAATGAACATATATCCTAGATCAGGCACAAAGTAGTACTTACACACTTTGGAGGAAGTTCGCCATTTTTTGAACTATTTTACTTCACCAAGAGCAAGCTGCTCAAGACTAAAAAAGCCCCAGAGATTGAAACGAATAAATAAGAAAGATCAAGAAGCCTGCGCTTGGGATGGATTCAGGTTGAAACACCACCGCGGGACTGCCGCCAGAATCGCGGTCTGGCCCCGGCGTGCCTCCAGAATGGTCGGAACGGATCATAGTGTATCCGCCCGGACACTGTTTGGAGCTCCGCAGCGTCTGAACAGCAAGGACGATCACCTCGTGGGATAGGACAGCAGGACAGGTGTGATATGGTCCCTTCCGTGTCCTGACAGATTTTTCAAACCGTTCTCTTTCTAGACACATGTTGTTTTGATAACCGGTCAGCCCTTGCGCTTTCGTTGCCTTGACGGTATCTCGTGTTCTCAAACACCAGCCACTACAAGTCGAGGCCTGGATCGACAACGAGTTTTTTGACAATGTCTTCATCTGACGAGGAGGATGTTGTCCGTCGTGCAGGACGGGGCATAGGCAATGGTCGCCAGAGCGATTCTGGAAGCGAACCGAGCGGCAGTCCTCGCGCTGGAAACGACGCAGCAGAAAGCCCTCTTGCCTCCGATGCAGACATCGTAAACGGTGACGATGATGCCGATCTGTTTGGTTCAGATGGCGAAGATGAAGATATGGGTGACTCAAAGTATGTGTTACTGCTTTTTATGGACAATGGTCATTGGTCTCACTTTTTCGTTGTAGCAAAGCGTTACGGACATTGGACGATGAAGAATTGGATTCTGCGGATGATGAGGGTCGCTACGACCGAACTGGAAGCCGTATGGACTACGAAGATGAAGAAAACGGGGATTTCCGAGAGACGGTCAATATTATGGATTTGAGCCTGGGCCGTGCGCCAGAACCAGCAAGCACGAACGGAGAGGTAGGTGGCATGGCAGACGCGCCTCCATCATCATTTTGTGTTGCTATGGGTACTGACTGCGCGACTGAAGATTTATACGATGGCGGTCCCGAATTTCCTCTCGATAGAGACCGAAGAGTTCAATCCTGAGACATACGTCGCACCACCCTACGCCATTGCCGCAACCTCTCTTTGCTGGCGGCACGACCCGAATGACGAGGCCCTGCTTCAGTCTAATGCTCGCATCATTCAATGGGAGGACGGGTCGTTGACGTTGCAGCTTGCGTCGGCGCCACAGGAGCAATATAGGATCGCTGCTAAACCGCTTGCTCCACCTAATAAGTCCGGCGACTATGAATCCAAATTGGACTCGCACGTATATTTGGGAGCTGCTGCTGAGACATCATCGGTGTTCAGACTCACTTCGCATCTTACCCATGGCCTAACGGTTCTGCCCACGACGATGGAATCCGACGACGCTGTCCAGCGTCTGCAGGAGTCTTTGGCGGCCGCCTCACGCGGAGGCAAGAAGACGGCGGACGGCACTGCACCGTTGATCGAGGTGAAAGAAGACCCTGAGCTCGCCAAGAAGCAGGCCGAGCTCGCGGAGCGTGAGAAGCTCAAGGCCGCGCGAAGACGCCAGCAACTCCAGGAACGTGAGCTTGACCGGGGCCGCCGCGTCGGTGTCTCATACCGTAGCGGTGGCGCCGGCCTTACCGTCGCAGGCCTGGAGGACGACGACGGTATGCTTACCACGAGACCGCGTGCAAAGAAGCCCCGGAAGCCCAACCGCCGCGGTGAGATCTACACCGACGATGAGGAAGAGTATGACCGTCGCGGCCGCACCAAGGAAGACGAGTATGATGAGGACGACGGGTTTTTGGTGGGCAGCGATGAAGAGCTTGAAATTGTTGACGATGATGATGATGAGGAGGAACTTCTAGACGATGATATGGATGCCGAGGGTGAAGATGACGAAGAGGTCCTGCCTCCCCGGCACTCGGGCAAAGAAAAGCGAGGGACCCCCGAGGTGAAAGCCTCTGAGCCTGCGACTGCGTCACCTCCAACAAGGAAAAAGCCCCGTTATGTGGTTGACGATGATGAGGATGAGTGAACTAACAAGCCCTTTATAAAATATGTGTTTTGACAAATAACACATAAACATTACTCCATATTTTAATGATAAATCTTGTATAATGTAGGTTGTTACAAATAGTTACAGTAACTATGTCTTTATCTATCATAATAAAAATAGTCTCTTTATCCAGGAACCATAAAAATTACCAGAAAGATCAACTTGATACTTGTTGAGAAAATCCATAAACATTTGCATCATTAGTCTATTTTAGAAATCTGACTTGATATTAGAAGAAATACATATAGCCTCTGTTTTCTGTACAATCTATTCCCCGATATATTTCCAGGGAGATATGAACTATACAAAGTTGAGTGGAACCTGCACTCTAACTGAATTATGCGTAAACACTTCGCTAGCTCAAATGGTGGTCGTTATCCAAACTTGTCATTGCATCAAGAAACCACTCCATCAGGGTACTCGTGTGGTTGGAAATTGAATTTGGAGATCACTTGGCGAGCGAGCCCAACAATCCGAAGGCAGAGCATATCTTGTTCCTCGCATTCTTTGTTGGCATCCTCTGAGTCAGGGTGATAATGATTTTGATGCCTATCATACGTCTCCTGTTCACTGTTTCCAGACTGGTCTTCTTCAGTCTGAAATAGAGGGCGTGACTTTTTTCCAGAATGCCATCTCCGTTGACGTGCTTCTACCTCCTTAACAAGACAAAGAAGGCTTGGAGAATCAAGATATAATTCAAGGTGCCCTTCGCTGATAGGGCTTCCGAGAACGCCAAACCGGATTGTCTGACGAAGCCATCGCTTCCAGCATTCAGGGGGATTCGTTGAGTTTTCTTCGAGAGAGGAAACATAGGCTGGAAGCGCGGTCTGTTTCCCTAGCTCTACAGGATCGGCCTTGGACACACGCAACCAGGAGTCGGCGAGGACATTCAATAAAGTGCCGATGAACATGACATTTTGCGAGCCAGTCGAATATTTTGACGGACATATCTCGCAGCGAATAACTTGGCGGGCAGTTTTAGCAACAAGAAACAATGAGCATATCGTTTGCCGTGAGACAGGGAACGAGCCTAGACTGGAGAGGTGGCTGAGACATAGATAGAGGTAGGCTAGACATGCACATTGGGGGTTGGATCCAGAAGAGCCTGAGCAGCTTGGAGGGGTCATTGGAAGCCCCTGCATTCCCGGAAGGGCTGATAAGTCAGGATAAGGACAGTATGACGTGGCTGCAGATATCGTAGAAAAGTCAGGCCATGGAGTCTCTGTTGCACCGAGTGGCGGCAGGATCGTGGTGGCTTCTGCTTGGGAAGGACATGGCGGGACATCGTCAGGGAAATGTGTAGGGAAAGCCCGAGATGTATTGGCTGAGGGGCCAACCCATACTGCAGGACACAAGTGATAAGCCTCTGCAGCAGCAATTGTATTCAGTTCTGGGGGAGCAGGAGCCATTGTGTCTATCCAGGTATCACCTCCTCCTGTATCAAATGCGCCTCCCATCGTGTCATCTTCCCGCGGCCGCTTTTTCGGGGGTCGTCCCATCTGTTTTTGTATGGAGTAATGACAATTCAGCGACTGTTTGATACAGCGGCTACATCCTCTAGCTTCACCAGAACATTTCAACTTTCTCTTTCCTTTTCCATAGATACTGTCAGTGCCATGTCTTTCATTAAGAAGCTAAGTAGAGGCATCTATAGTGTGTGGAAACCAAATTTGATTGCTTCTTTATACTGCATCAAACAATATGAAGTAAGAAACTGCTGGACTTACTACACTCATCACAAGCTGCATGTCTTTTGAGCGCAGGCTCGATAATGCTGTGGATCTCGTCAGGATATGATGAGACACCCGTAGCTGAGAGTGACTGATCAGACATCTCAGACCCAGACATCCTAGTTAAGTAGGTAGAGATTCAATCATATGCGAGGAGTGAGCCTTAAGTAGATTGACTGCCAAGTTGGAAAATCGAGTCCGACAATAATAAAGAATGACGCTGAATCGCGATAAGATTGGAAAGGCGGCATGGCATGGCATGTAACTAAAGGCGGGCATGGCATGCACAATGCAAACAATGCAAAGGCGGTAGATCATGTGGGCGGTCAGCAAAATTTCCCGCTCCCATCCAAAAGTTTTGTAAAGAAAAAAAAAAGTATCAAGTACAAGGGCAAGAGTCCAAATTTAGCGTCACTACAAGAATGGGGGCCTCAAAGAAGCGCAAGGCTGTCACTCGGGATGTGGAGGAGGAAGCTGGAGTTTTTTCTGGCGATGAATTGAATGCAAACGACCTCGACGGTGCACTTTCCGACAACGCCAACGACCTATCGGATAGTGAGGACGATGGTAGCGATTCGGAAATCGATTTGGTCGACGAGTTCAGTGATGAGGATGAGGATGATGAAGAATTGGATAGTGATGAGGTCCCATCTGATGATGAAGATTTGGTGAAGAAGACCAAGACAACTGCTACCAAAGCCGTCGTTCTTGATAGAACCTCGGAGGACCAAGACGAGAACTCTTCTGACGACGAAATGCCCAATTTCCGCATCGAAAAAGACGCCAACGGGAATGATCGATATGTCTATGATGAGATCAACCCTGATGATAACTCCGACTATTCGGAGGTGGATGAAAATGCCAACACCATTGGCGATATTCCCTTATCCTTCTACGACCAATATCCTCACATCGGTTACAGCATCAACGGAAAGAAGATTATGCGGCCTGCAAAAGGGGAAGCCCTGGATGCTTTGCTTGATAGCATCGAGATTCCTAAGGGGTGGACTGGACTCACTGATCCTTCGACCGGCAAGCCCTTGGAGTTAAGCCAGGACGAGTTGGAGTTGCTGAAGAAGATTCAGCTCAACGAAATTCCACAAGAGGGCTACAATCCATATGAGCCTACTGTCGAATGGTTCACGAGCAAACAGGAAGTCATGCCTTTGAGTGCCGCTCCCGAACCCAAGCGCCGCTTCGTGCCCTCCAAACATGAGGCCAAGCGGGTTATGAAGATTGTCAAGGCTATCAGAGAAGGCCGGATTCTCCCATACAAGCCTCCTACAGAAGACCAAGAAGCCGACCAGTACGTTGCTAAGTATGATCTGTGGGCAGATGAGGCAGAGCGACCAGATCACCCCATGCATGTCCCGGCTCCTAAATTACCGCCTCCCGGATACGAAGAGAGTTACCACCCGCCTCCAGAGTATCTCCCCGATAAGAAAGAACGGAAGGAATGGGAAGAGACTGATCCTGAGGATCGGGAGAAAGATTTTCTCGCGAACGACTTCGGTTCCCTGCGCAAGGTTCCCGGCTATGAGACCTTTGTCAAGGAGAAATTTGAGCGTTGCCTGGATCTTTACTTGGCTCCTCGTGTGCGCCGGAGCAAGTTGAATATTGACCCAGAAAGCCTGCTTCCCAAGCTTCCTAGTCCTGAGGAACTCAAGCCGTTCCCAACCACCTGCGCAACGGTTTTCCGAGGACACAAGGGCCGTGTGCGATCTCTGTCGGTTGACCCCTCAGGAGTTTGGCTCGCTACAGGAGGAGATGATGGGACGGTTCGTGTTTGGGAACTCCTTACCGGTCGTCAGCTCTGGAGCGTCAAGGTCAGCGATGAAGAAGCTGTTAACGTGGTTCGTTGGCGGCCTGGGAAGGAAGCTGTCGTGCTAGCGGCAGCGTCAGGCGATGACATTTTCCTCGCTGTTCCACCGATTGTTGACCCTGAAACTGAAAAGGCTAGCCTTGAGCTGCTCGATGCCGGCTGGGGTTATGCCGCGCCCAACCCGGCCCTGAGCGCTGCAGATGCGAACAAGACGACTACTCCTCCACAGTGGATTCGTCCCTCTTCGACACTTACTGAGGCCGGTGTATGTGCCGTTATCCCTCTCAAATATGTTGTCAAGTCCATCTCGTGGCATCGCCGCGGTGACTATTTCGTGACTGTATGCCCTGGATCGTCTACACCTGCTTCCGTGGCTATCTCCATTCACACAGTTTCCAAACATTTGACACAATTTCCGTTCCGCCGACGAATCAAGGGTGGTGGTCCTCCACAGACCGCACACTTCCACCCTTCGAAGCCTATCCTCTTCGTTGCCAACCAACGCACCATCCGTGCGTATGATCTCTCTCGCCAACTCCTCGTCAAGATTCTCCAACCCGGTGCACGCTGGATCTCCTCGTTTGATATCCACCCCACCTCATCCACCGCCTCTGGCGGCGACAACGTCATCATTGGTTCCTATGACCGCCGTCTTCTGTGGCATGACGTCGACCTCTCCGCACGCCCTTACAAGACGCTGCGCTATCACAAGAAAGCAATCCGTGCTGTCAAATTCCACCCTGGCGGACGCTATCCCCTGTTTGCCGACGCCAGTGATGATGGCTCCCTGCAGATCTTCCACGGGAGTGTCACTGGAGACATGCTTAGCAATGCTAGCATTGTGCCCCTCAAGGTCCTTAAAGGCCACAAGATCACCGGCGAGCTCGGTGTGCTTGACTTGGACTGGCATCCCAGGGAAGCATGGTGTGTCAGTGCTGGTGCTGATGGAACATGTCGTTTGTGGATGTAAATTGATTTTCATACTTTTTCTCTACTGTGTTGTCTCGATGACCTTATGTCATTGTCTTTGGTTTGCATTGATCTAAAATACAGGCGTTTTACATGTGCATATAATATAATCTGACTAGTTCTACGTAAGAAAAAAAAAATTCAATATGGAGTATTCAAGATCACGGAATTCTTGTAATAAACGGTGCAATAAGCCTCTTCTCCTCAGTATTCATGGTCAAGACTTATATCAGGATAAACCAAAACCCTCTTTTATGATATAATCTACATATCTTGAGGTTAAAAAACGGTCCATATGTTCGGCAGGAGTATCTATTCCCTATATAGACAAAACCAAGCCCCTAAACTCCAGCTATAAACATCAAAAGAATAGGACGCTTAGATCACCCCTCCGCTCCAGTCTCTTCGGAGTTTCTCGTATTTCTTCATATCTGTGACACTCGGTCGGATGAACGCTTTGGCTGCGACAAAGTCCTCGAACTTGATGGTGTCTCGCCGCTTGATGGCAGAGTAACCGGCGCGCCGGAGGAGACTGGTCAGATCTGCGCCGCTGAATCCTTCACAATCTTCCGCCAGTTTTCTCAGGTTCTCATCGAAGTCTATGGCCAACTTCCGCACAAGCGTCTGGAGAATCTCCACGCGTTCTGAGGGACTCGGCAGGTTGACAAAGAGGAGAGTCTCGAGACGACCGGGGCGGAGCATTGCGGGATCGATGATGTCGGGCCGATTCGTGGCGGCAATCACATAGATACCTTGGCGGCTACTTCCAAGCCCGTCGAGCTCCGTGAGGAGGGTGTTGACGACTCGCGCCGAGGCTTCGGAGAGGGTGTCATCACGGCGCGGAACGAGGGCATCCAGCTCGTCAAAGAAGATCACGCAAGGGATGGAAGAACGGGCGCGCACGAAGACTTGTCGGACAGCGCGTTCAGATTCACCAACGAATTTGTTCAGAAGCTCCGGCCCCTTGACGCTGATGAAGTTGGCACGAGACTCGTTGGCCACGGCTTTGGCGAGCAATGTCTTACCACAGCCTGGCGGGCCCCAGAGGAGCACACCCGTGGGCGCGGTGATGCCAACTCTAGCGTAGATGTCGGGATTCTTAATCGGCTCAACGATTGCAGTCCCTAATTCGTCGCGGATATCGCCTAAAGCACCGATGTCTGCCCAGGTCGTGTCCGGAATAGTGGCAAACCCTTCTCGCTTCGAAGACGGTTGGATTTTGGGGAGTGCGGTAAAGAAATCTGCGTTCGAGACGAGAATTGTTTGCGATTCCTCTCCGATGGGTGCTTCCTTGGCATGTATAATGAGACGTCGCAATTCCTTGACTTTAGGGCTAATCTCGTCAACTTCCTCAATCTCCATCTCTTCGCCACTGTTGGACTTGAGGATATCCAAATAGCGTTTGATAGCTGCAGACCCAGCAGTCGAAACCAGATCGTTCAAATCAGCACCAACAAACCCAGGCGTTCTCTTCGCAAGGGTCTTGAAATCAAGATCATCTGCGAGACGCATTTTTCGTGTGAGAGCTCGCAAGATTTGTTCTCTGACAGGCTCGGAGGGTACAGTCATGTTGATTTCTTTGTCAAATCTCCCGCCCCGTCGTAAGGCGGCATCTAAGCTGTCCGGACGATTGGTAGCTGCAAGAACGATGACGGGCTTTCCATCAGTTTTGTCCAGGGCAAGATCATCCATGCAGGTGAGCAACTGGGCAACAATTCTCTTCTCCATCTCCCTTTGGGCGCTTTCGCGCTTTGGTGTGATTGCATCAATCTCATCAATGAAGATCAGACAGGGTGCAATTTTCTTGGCCTCTTCGAAATGTTCTCTGAGAGCCTTTTCAGACTCGCCAGACATGCCCGACACGATCGACGGAGCTGAAATAGGAATGAAGGGAATTGCCAGTTCGGCCGCAAAAGCGTTCGCGATCATTGTTTTTCCGCAACCGGGGGGACCATGCAGCAAGACACCTCGTGGTGGTTGGACATTTGACGAAAGGTAGACTTGCGGTCTGGTCATCGGTAGAACCAGGAGATCTGCAAGTTCCTGAACCACATCATCTAAGCCTCCCAAGTCGGCCAGAGTGACATGGGTAGGAGGAGATCGATCGACTGCGGCTTCAGCTCGACGACGCTTAGAAACCGATTCGCCTCCATGGGTTCTTCTCTTGTTCGGGGGAGCCGTTGCTGGGGCTGGTGTGCTGTCTCCGCCAGTAGATTCCGTCGGTTTCGTCGTTAACGGCCCGGATTTCGCGGTCGACCACATGCCTACAATGCTCTTGTTGATACCATTGGATTCCTGGTCCGAGTGATTAGGGTCACTTTAAATCTGTGAATAAATATGCCAGGCACTTACTGGGATAGGCTTCTCCTCCAAACCCTCAAAATCCCCCTCTATGGAGTCCTCTTCATCATCACCCAGAACATCGCTTTTCACGACTTCCAGAACCCGCTCAATACTATCCTCAAGTAGCTTCTTCGGTTTCCTATTGAGGCTCGAGTTCGATTTCTTAATTGTTTCAAAGATGGTAGGAACAGAGAGGCGGATCTTTCCATTCTCCGGCTGGTCATCGATGATTTTGCGTACCACTTGATAGACCTGCACATATCGGCCATTAGCATGTCGCGGGAATGGAATTGACTTGCTATACCTCTCGGTCGAGACCCTGGCTCAAGCTCGGTCTTCCTCCGCCTCTCCTCGAAGGCATTTTAGGCAATGAAACTCAAAAACCGACACTGTCTGCTGTACCGATCAAGCGGCGGTGATTTTCCCATAATAATTCAAGATAACCGGAAGAAAAGATTCGCCGGCGGGTCGACCAAAATTACTGTACAGAATCCCTGTTACTTGTATCTTTGCATGCTCATTGGCTGGTTGATTCAATACCATACTTCATGTTATCCCCGTGACCCCACGTCATTCCCCCGAAGTCGTTATCAAGAACAACAATATGCGACAAGACAACAATGGGCAACGCCAGTAGTACTCACAAGATCTCCGCTCAGGATAGGTAAGCTTTGCTACTATTAATTCTGTTGAAGTATTATGTCTACCTTAATTGCGCCTTTATTCCTCGCAGAGGACCCACGGGTCACATCTGTCCTGCGCATGGGATACCTATCTGTGGCCTTGATCTGATCCGGAAGGCTGACTCTGGTTTGTTTCGCTTGCACAGGGCAATCCTTGATCTCAAGAACCAGCGGGACAAACTGCATAAATACCAGAAACGGGTCACGATTCTCACAGATCAAGAGAAGGCCATTGCCAAGCAGTGCCTAGCCCGGAATGACCAGGGTCGAGCACGACTTGCTCTCCGACGCAAGAAGTACCAGGAGTCGTTGCTGGCCAAAACCGATGCGCAGCTAGAGCAATTAGAAAAGCTCGTGGGGCAGGTCGAGTTTGCCCTTGTGCAGAAAGATGTCCTCTACGGGTTACAGGAAGGGACCAAGGTGTTACAAACGATCAACAAGGAAATGGGTGGTATAGAAGGCGTGGAGAAACTGATGGAAGAGACGGAAGAGGCACGCGCCTATCAAGAGGTACGTAGGCGATCTTGCCGAATAGAGGAGTGTTGCCGTTACAGTTTCCGCAGGGCAGATATGCTAACAAAACGATTCTCGATCATTAGGAAATCAAAAATATGCTTGCAGGTCAACTTTCAAATCAGGATGAAGATGAGGTGGATGCTGAGCTAGAAGCCCTGGAACGCGAAGTCATAAAATTGCCCAGCGTCCCCATTACGCAACCTCCGGTAAAGCTGAAGGGCCTAGAAGACGAGCGGATAGCTGGAGAACAAGAAGAAGCGGAGAAGGAAAGAACACGGATTGCTTTGCCTGCTTAGTTTACAGCCGCTACTCGGACATGTCGCGAAGCTGGGCGGTAGGAGTCCATGGTTCTGCTCATATACTCATGTTGCATTCCTGGCGTTGATGGCATATTTCTCCTGTTGTAATTGAATAATTAGACGAAGAACCGAAAGGATATTTCAATGATTGACTCGGTAATAATCGCAAGTAAGCTGACCTCAACGAGTCCAGCTCTACCCTTGTACCCTAATTGTGACCCGCTCAAACTCCATAAAACAATGGTTTTTCCCATCACAATTCATAAAATCGTAATCAAGTCATCCATAATGTACGCCTGAAACTATTGGCCGGGCATTATTTGCCCGCCTATACCATTGACACCCTGAATCGTGACGTGATCGTTAGGGTTGGCCGCCGCCTCGTAGAGAAAGCTGATAGGTTCGCGGTTCAGAGCCATGAACTGGCCCTTGAACCCAACATAGCCGACCTTGGTCACTTCTTCCTCGCCGTCACTCCAGTTATCCTCAAAGAACAGGGTGACTGACGTAGTGGTGTTCCAGTGGGCGCGATTCAAAGGTAACTCGAATACGCCTGCTCCGGGCACTGGCTGCGGAATATCAACCTTCTGTGTGGGCTTCAGTTCGGAGGCCGTTGAGAAGTCCAAATCGTCGCGGTTCTTGAACAGCTTCAAGGATTTCGGGGCAGAAGAAGTAGGCGCAGTATATATGAGGATCGAATGCAACTTGACTTGTCCAGTGAAACTATTACCGGAGCAAGCTCACATATTAGCAAATTTCAGTACATAAAATTTTGGTAGCAGTTTGGGAGTTCGGCTCTGCGTTATTGCTTCTGCAGCGTAAAAGCAGCGGGATAGAGCTTTTGGCGGGGTAAATAAATCTTGACGAGGGGGGAGGGGGAGAGCAAAGCACGAACGGTATGTACATGAGCAGCTGCTCATCAGCATCGCTTTCGAGCTCAGGATGGTCGTTCAGTCTCTCAGCCCATGTCTTTTTCACAATCGCAGCGCCAGAATTCGACTCGGCCTCTGGATTTATTAAGTTGAAATGTCAGCATCGTTCTTTCCATAGTATTTCCAATCAACTCGAGAAATTCGTCTCCAGATGACTCGTACCGTTTAAGGTAATAATTCGATCAAACTCGATTTGAGAGTATAGGGTGGACTGAATAGCAGGCGTGATATCGTTGGAATGATCGTGGCCATCTTCTCCATGGCAATGACCGCTATGGTCGTGGTGATGGTGACCATGCCCTGGCATTTTGGTTTTACTAGTCGAAGCGTGGTTCGTAGAAATGAAAAACGATAACAAAGGAGAGGAAGAAAGAAGCTACCCATGTTGAAACCTTCGGCGGATCCTCCACTGCGGGATGACGTTCGTTGCTGTATATCCAAGGATGATTATTTGCTTATCCGAGCAAAGCTTTTATCTCTTGTACTCAAGAGAGCGCTAATATTTTCTATGTATTGATGCTATTAAATAGTTCTATTTAGGCTCAATTAAGATGCATAATTATTGGTATGTCCTAGAAACTCTAGGCTGTTGGATGGAATATATGGTAAACGTGCTGTGCCTTCATTTGACCCTATAGTATTCTGGAGCATATTCAAGAAGGTAACTCTTCTCGATCTTCGAGATATCACGAATATAAGTCTTATCCCCTGTTTGTAGAATCTCGTGGAAGATGACCCAGTCCACTTTGCGGTTCTAGATCACGAATTAGGACTTGGAATTGACCACGGAATTTTGAGAGGGAAAAGACAGGCAACTTACAAACATGATTGAGCTGGGATGTGCGTAAAGTGTCAGGTCACCACTGACTGTTTTGAAGGTCCCATCGGGCTGCATCTTCGCAGCGTGGGCAAAGTAACCGGTTGTTAGACACCTTTGAACTCGCTCAGGCTGTCCGCTAAGATCGGGGCCCCGAGAGGTAGACAATGGAGGGTTCTCATCGACACTGATTCCAAAGCGTTCAAGATACCGCTTTAACTGAGCGCGGATGCTGACAGCTCTTTGTAAGGATTTGTAGTTCAGGAGATTGTCACGACACCACTTAGAGTCTTTCTTCCCTTTGGTGACAAAAGCTTGATACACGTTCAAATATGTCAAATGATCGCCTTCCTCGACGGCAAACTTGCGACGCATACTTTCAGCGTTCTTCCTGTCACTGTCATGCTGTACCCACACAGATCCTTGAAGGCTAACCATCGCGGCAATGGACAGAATCTCGTTTAAGCAGCCAAAAGTTTGGGCAGAGAGCAGTACCTTTCCCATCATAGGATCAACTGCAAGCTCTGCCATTCTCATTCCCAGTGGCTTGGTAAGTTTGGCGTAATCATCAATGGTACCCAGGGAGAATAGCAGTTCTAGAGCACGGATGACAAGTTCTGCAGGAGGTGGTGTCAGAAAGTCAAAGCGTACAATATTATCGATCCCCAGCGCCTTCAATTGCATAATGACGGGAGCCAGATTGGAGCGTTGAATTTCCGGAATCGCGACATCCGGCAACTGCTCATAAGCTTGCTGGGTGTAGAGTCGAAAGCATTTTCCAGGTTTTGTTCGTCCTGCACGTCCTGCACGTTGTGTTGCCGACGCCTTCGATATAGGAACCGCAGTTAAAGTCTCGATTCCTGTGTTTGGGTTATAAGCTCTGAGCTTCGCGAAACCGCAATCGACTACATAGCAGATGCCATCGATTGTGACAGACGCCTCTGCGATGTTTGTGGACACAATGACCTTGCGGGTATTTTCCGGGGCTGGTTCAAAGACATAGAGCTGTTGTTCCGTGGTGAGTCCAGCATAGAGTGGTAATGGTAAGACGGATTGTGTCTTTGAGCGAAGAGTCGCTGCATGCTCCGAAATCAATTGGATAGCAGTGTCGATTTCTTCTCGTCCAGTTAGAAACAGCAAGATATCGCCGTCCGCTTCTTGAGAGTGGATATCGAAGACCGTCTTCACGGCTCGTTCCACGTAGTCTTCGGCAGGCGAATCCAGGAAGAGTATATCCACAGGGTACATTCTGCCTTCTAGACTGATAATCCTGCCGACACTTCCGCCAATTTCGTTTGAATCTTCATCCTTCTGAAGCTCCTCGCCGGCGAAAAAGCGGAGGAAGTCTTCCGCTTGTAGTGTTGCGCTACTAATCACAATCCGCAACTCTGGACGCTTTTTTCCGATCTTTTTCAAGATTCCCAGTAGTACGTCCGTGCTGAGAGACCGTTCATGAGCTTCATCCACCATAATGACCGAGTACCGAGAAAGTAAAGGGTCTACAAGTGCTTCCCTGAGCAACATTCCATCGGTCAAGAATTTGATTCTTGTTGCCGGAGACGTCAAATCTTCAAAACGTATCGAATAGCCAACCTCCTCGCCAACTTTACAGCGCATTTCCTCCGCCACTCTGGCTGCAACAGTTGTAGCAGCCACCCGACGGGGCTGTAATCACATTAGTTTCTAGGGAAAACCGAGGTAAAACAGGATCACGAACGTACCTGCGTCACAGCAATTGTTTTGCCATCTACACACCATCCTGCTTGGTCAAGATACTGCGGCAGTTGCGTCGTTTTCCCGCTTCCTGTCTGTCCTACCACAATTGTAACCGGATAGGTTTCAACCAGATATAGCAAGCTCTGCCTGTGTCGCGCAATTGGCAAGAGTGCTGCCGGCTTGTATAGCGACGGAATGAATGAGCTGGAAAGATCCAACTCCGAAGCCATTTTCAGAGGTCGATTAGCCTCATATGGACAAATTATCAGGTCCTCCTTAGAGTTCTCAGGCGGAAAATCCCCAGAACACCGATCAGCATCATCAGGGAACCAATCGAGCCAGAAAACTTAATTCTATACTTTCCGTTTCATCACTGAGGAGATATTTTTCCCTGGTAGGATACTTGGAAAGGCATCGCAGTGAGGCCCGATCACATAAGCAGCAGTTCTGTCACGTGTCAGAACCAACGTCACTGCAGCGGATCATCACTGCAAGTGGCTGTTTAGAAGTGGGATCACCCTGAATTATTTCTGCCTGCACGAGGATTTGCTATAAAGTATTTACGGCCTCTCTCGGCCTCGTTGAACTTCCCTGTCTGGTTCAATATCACCCCGCGCAGACTCTACTACTCTGAATATACTACTGCTGGGTCATACTTCATGATGGCCGAGGAAGACAAGACGGTTTGTTGTCCTCCCCCGCCGCCTCATACAAAGCACATGCTAATCGCGAACACAGGCGCCCAGCAATATCATCCCGGCTGCGCTGAGTAGCCCTAGACCGGAATCTCCTACGACTGCGCGACCTCTCGATTTTGACGATGAGCCCCAAGAGTCAGGTATTACGACGGTACCTTCAACGACAGCGTCGCAGCCCCCCCCCGCTAAGCCGCCCCGGCCATTGAGCCCACAACAGCAGGCCGAGAACACGCTCAAAGAAGCCTTTCCTACTATAGATGCTGGTGTCGTCAAGGCAGTGCTTGTCGCCAGTGGTTATCAGGTGGAGCGGGCGTTCCATGCTCTCCTCGGTTGGTGATAGTTTGTTTGTATGCGATCAAGTGACATTTTAGTAATCTCCCCTTGCAGGCATGACCGACCCGAGCGCTCAGGAAGAGGTTGCGCCTCCGAAACCCCCGCGTCCATCCCGGATTCCGACATCTACGACCCAGAGACAGTTGGAAGCCGATGAACTATATGCTCGCCAACTTGCTGAACATTACAATTCTACCGGACGGCATATGCCGCCGCAGGATGATCGGTATCCAAGGAGGGGAAGCGAAAACTCTGAAGAAAGAGATTATAGCTTCTTTGATGGTATGTCAGGTGGTGAATATGTCTAATATGCTACGATAATGGCTGACGGCCTGGCAGATGATCTGCCTGTTATTCGCGAGAACATCCGCAAGGGCTTCTTAGAAACCCAGTCCAAAGTGAACACATGGGTGCAGAATCTTAAAAAAAGACTTGACGGAGATGATCTGGACGATATTCGGCGTTCGCAGCAGAGGCAAGATGGCTCGCAGCCCTATAATACCCGGCCTAGACGCAGCGGCGACACGAGTCGTCGAGCCGGGGATCGTAACCACTACGACGCAGACCCGCAACTTTTGGGTGACGATTTCTCTGCACTTGAGCTGAGGGATGATGAAGGTGAGCCAAGCCTTTACATTTAGGGCCCCTGTCAAACTATCAGCTAATTGTCTTGCCAGCTCCTCCGCCGCGCCCAGCCAGACCCCTAGCGAATCCGAACTTGTTCAAGACGTCATCTCCGTCTCCGGACCGACGCAATGTATCTTTCCAGCAGAATTTCCCAGCCGAAATGGATGATCTTTATGAAGCGTCTCAACCCAATGCGCGCGCTCCCTTTGGTGGAAGCAAATCCAGCAAGTGGCAGCCGCTCTCGGCGGCTGACCCGTCGCCCGTGGTGGAGAACGATCCGTTCAGCTTGGGAGACAGTGAAGATGAGAAAGAGACAAAGCAGAAAGACCACGCAGAGGATGGGGAACGTATCAAGCAAGCTACGGCCGAAGCCATGGCTGGCGAGATCGGGGAAGAGTTGAATGGTGATAATAAGGCGAAGTGATTCAAATGGTTAACCTTATCCTTTCCAAGTCTGAAACACCCCTTTTGTTGTCGGAGTTCCTACATATCCCTCTCTTGTACTCTGTTATATCGAATCCAGTCTCATTGTCTAAGACGACGACTTGCTGGAAATGTAGTCTATTTACTGAGTCTGGCTTTTCACCAGACCATAGCACCATAGCACCATAGCAACATATCACCACTCTCATTTCTCGTAAAAACAACTAGACGGGTATCTATAAACAGTATAACGGGGGAAGAGTGGGAGGAAAGAAAGAAACCCACACCCTAAAACACTTAATACGGTGCTCTCTCTATCTATTCAAGACTCCATCTGCTCGTTCGGCAGACCTCGCTGCGAGACAGCGTTCTCTTTGCGCAGATCCTGGATCACAGCCTAGATGACAGTCATAAGCTAGACATTTTATCCATTCAAAAAATAAAAAAGAAAACATAAACACCTACCGCCAGTGCGTCAGGGTTAACACCGTTTTCGATGAGAGAGACACAAAGCGAGAGCTCCGTGCGATCGAGATTCGTATTCTTCACGAGAGAGAAAATTAGGCGTTGTCAAGACTCGAATTTCATAAATACAAACCACGTACTAAGAGATTGGAGATCTCGTGGAGGATGTCGATGACTTCCCGGGCAGCCTGTCGCTTGTCGTCGGGCTGCGGGGGCATCTTGTGAGGAATGCGAAAAGGTGGTGTTGTTAATGCTTCAGAGTTAGATCTATTCCTGGCGTTTCTATTTGTGATATAGTTAGATAGGAAATACATAATAAGATCTATAGACTCTTACCTGAGTACCTAGGTAGGCAGTGTTCTGGTAGGTAGCTAGTAACTCTGGGTGTGTAGCGGAAGACCTTTACGAAGACAAATTAACATCTCACACTCATCTTTGTACAAAGTAACCACTACACTTTGATTTATTTATACCTCTAGTTATCTAATCACTTCATTATACAGCAAGTATTACTCGTAGTCTACTGTCGAACTTGCAGTTTTGACAATCCCTAGCCTTTCTGTGGGCATTTCTACAAATCCCATCGAGAAAATGCCCGTTGGCCTGTTTTATCAGGCGTGAATCTCGAGTCGAGAATCATTCACAGCAACACGTGATTTTTATATTTCCAAATTCCCCACACATGCGACACGTTCAGAACATTCCAAGTTCTTACAGCACCTTCAAGGCATGCTTGATTCCTTCAAACCTTAGCTTGTCTGGTCCCCTTTGGCAAATCTTGATTTGCAGGGATGTCCGGGGATTTAACCATATCAGACATTCATTCCTTGAGCCGGGGGGAAGCCCTTGGAATTCTTGGGCAGATCGCACGCGTTGAGAAGAAGACATTTCCCGGCAATGAGGCCATGGCCTTTGGAGAAGAACTTTGGCGGAAGAAGCCCAATACACGGGTCTTGTATGCTACATCGTCAACTGCAGCAAGTGCTGGAGCACCGCTGGTTGCCTACGCGGTCTATGTTCGGCAGAAAGGGGTCGCCCTTTTGCACAAGGTGTGCGTCGTCGAGGCCTATCGCCGACAGGGTATAGGGAGGGAGTTAATTGCGTATATCGGGCAACGCCTTCGAAAAGAGGGTTGCCAATACATCCAACTGTGGGTGGACCAGGCCAGGGAACCAGCACGGGCCCTCTATGCACGCGCGGGCTTCGAGGAACGTGAGGTGGTCGATGATTATTATGCCCCGGGGCGGACGGGGATCAAGATGGTTCTCGACCTCGACAAGTGACCATTGAGTCCAACGGGTCTTTTGTGTTAGTTATAGGGTGGGATTCCCTTTTGTCCCCTGGCAGCTCCTTAAAAAACCCTTATCTGCCCACGGGGGGGATGGGCGGCGCCCTCTGGTTGTACCCCTTGCAGGGTCATGAATTCCCCGCCGTGAGCCCTATCGCGCGCCAAACCCATTCCATCCAGCCTTTCTCATACTTCAGTGATGTCAAGAATATCTAGGTATGGCTTTAGGGCGAAGGGGTCGTACCTCGCGCGCCGGCCTGTCGCCCTTGGTCGCGACGAACTTCAGGAGAGGAATCCCTCCCAAAGGCGTGAAGATGTTGCGAATTCTTTCCATTTCACCTCTCAGCATCTCTCAATGCAGCTGTTGTTTCTCTCATAGACACCCATCTGAACCGGTTATCTGCCAGTCTGGAGGTTCGGGGATCTGAACAGCGCGCATCGCATCAAAATCAGGAATCAGGATTGCTGCTACGCTTGGCCTTTGCAGAGTATTCCTGTCTGACTAGGCTTTGAATCTTTCTGTCTGAGAATGGCCGTGTTCTTGATCATCCTGGCTTTGCTGTTGGCTGTTGATGCCACCCCAACGGTCAACTACCCCGTCAATGCGCAATTGCCTCCTGTCGCTCGAGTATCGGAACAGTTTGAGTTCGTCTTTTCCGACAGCACCTTTACCAACAAAGGGTCGGGAACGAAGTACTCGATATCCAACGCGCCGTCATGGCTTCATTTGAATGAGAGCAGCAGGTTATTTTATGGGACACCGCAGTCCAAAGACGTCGGGCCTGCAGCCTTCACCTTGGTGGCATCAGATCAGTCCGGGTCTAGTGATATGGACGTCACCTTCGTTGTCATGAAAGAGAAAGGCCCCGGTCTCGGAGAGTCATTGCTTCCATCCCTGGCAAATTCCGGCTCGACCGAGCCGCCATCATCGATCTTGTTATATCCAGGAAATTCTTTCAACTTCGCTTTCGATCGCGATATCTTCACCAACACCGACTCGAACACCATATACTATGCAACATCTTCAGATAACTCTCCTTTGCCATCCTGGATTGGATTCAATGCCGCGACGCTCCGGTTCTCAGGGAACACGCCCTCGTCGCCCTCTTCGGGACCTCAGACCTACACGTTCCATGTCATTGCTTCGGACGCGGCTGGATTTAGTGCCGCTACCGCTAGCTTTGATATTGTCGTTGGCACACACGTCCTGGCCTTCCGGAACAGCACCGAGACTGTCCAACTCACCCGGGGACAGAATTACACCAGTCCCAGCTTTCGCGAGACCCTGACGCTGGACGGCAAATCACCCGCAGGCGACAATCTGACCACTATCAAGGCGGATTCTCCGAGCTGGCTTGCCTTTAACACGGCCTCTATGTCGCTTAGTGGCGTGCCCCCGACCGACGCCCAGGACCAAAACGTGACAATTTCGGTCACGGATGCTTATCAGGACGTCGCGAAATTGATGGTTTTTCTGCGATTCTCCAAGTCATTACTTGAGGGCGTCGAGGACTGCAACGTGACGATTGGCCAGAATTTTACGTGTGCCCTCAGCAATCCTGGCTTGAGTAACGGCAGCGTCCAACTCGATGTGAAAGTGAGCCCCGACGCAGCTTCATGGTTAAAATACAATCCTCAGAACAAGTCACTATCCGGACATGTGCCGGCTGATTTGAACTCTCAGACAGTTTCTGTAAATCTGACTGCCAGCGAAGGCTCTGCCACGGAGACCCGGGAATTTCCTGTGTACGTCCAAAAGTCAAAAGACAGCCAAGGGGACGCTGCTTCTTCGACAGGGTCTGGCAGCAGCGGGATCCAAAAGAAGAAAGCCGGGGTGATTGCCATCTCTGTCATTATCCCATTCGCCGCCCTGAGCAGTCTCATAATCCTGTTCTGCTGCTGGCGTCGCAAGCGCAAAGCTTCCAGGGGCTTGGAAGGCGGAGAGGGCCTTTCAAAGGAAAAGCTCCAAATCTCTCGGCCTCAGCTTCAAGAACTGATGCACTGCCAGCCGTTCGAACAAACAGTCGCAAGGGAAAGACCGAGAACAAGCGGTAGCCCGACCCAGGCTCCTGACCCCCCGCCGCGGCTGGAATTATCACCGCTGTGGACTACGGATTCTCTCGAACCCAAAGCGCAGATGCAAGATTCAGCAAACGTGTCGACCCAGAGCTCTCAGCCAAGAATCAGCTGGGGATTCATACCTATGAGTAGTACCGATGTTCGTGAAGACAAGGAGAATGAAAACCCCGCGTCGCCGTCCAAGGAAAGCAAACGCCTCTCACAAACGAGCCCTCTCGTGCGTCGACGGACCACCAACTACTCCCGCAAACGCGAGCCTCTCAAGAGCATCCAGCCCCGGTCTTTGAAACGCGACTCTGTGGCGTCCTCGAGATCCAAGCGCAACTCCAGACGATCGAGCGGTATCCAGTCCGTCTCCTCCGGGTTACCCGTACGGCTGAGTGGTGCTGGCCACGGCGCAGGCGGGTTCGGACCTCCTGGTCACGGAGTAGTGCGCGTCTCATGGCAGAACACACAGTATTCTCTACGCAGTGACGACAGCAGTCTGGGTAATTTAGCGCCGCTGTTTCCACGACCCCCACCGGCGGCTCGGATGCGCAACAGCATGTCGAGTGTACCAGACGCATCAAAACGGGTGAGCCTGCGGGCCGTCCAGCCGTCGCATTCTATCATCTCTGAATCTGGCTCTCTGGAGGCGTTTGTGCACAGCCGAGCCAAGCATCGCAACTCGACGAACCCGCTCTTCTCGGCCAACATGAGCCGGCGGTCGTCGTCTGGCATGCGAGCGATAGAGAAGGCGCGTAGCGGGCGCAGTCGGACCAACACGCTGGCCTCGATCTCGACGGAGACGGACGAGAACAGCAGCAGTAGTGGGGGCGGCGGTCATTACCGGAGTGAGCGGCCGTACTCGGCGTCTCTATACACACAAGACCACCGACAGTCGACCTACATGCGCCCCATTTCGCAGTTCTCGCACATGCTGCCACGGATCCCGGCCTCCAAGGAACAGAGCCAGTCGAGCCTGGCGCAGGGATACAGCGAGATGGTGGCACCGCTGCCCCAGTTCTGGAGCGAAGCCAGTCTCGGATCAGGACGATTCGAGTCAGGCGACTCGATAGCCGACTCGGAGAGCTACCACCATTTGATCGATGAGAGCCGCGACCCGCACGGGCAGCGCTGCTGGTACCCTGTTTCCGCTAACATCAACAACAATGGCAACGATGCCGACGCGGGCCCCGAGGCAGACAAGGAGAACCAGCAGCCCAGTCAGGACACACCGACGATTGTCGAACACAGGCTGCCCACCTCACCCGCGATGCTGGAGGAGAGTCGCGTACGACGCATGAGTTTGATCCGCGCGGTCGGCAAGGAGAGCAGTCCTGTGCCGTCGCCGGAGCACACACGACGCTGGCGGCTGGCGCAGAACGAGCAGGTCCGGCGGGTGAGCATCGAGGAGCACGGGGGGTTGCGGCGCGACCTCAACTCTAGTATCCGGGGGGATCTGGCGTTTGAGTGATTTGATTTTCATCTCATATAACCCATAACTCTTACAGTTCCATTATTTGTTAATATTCTGGCCGGTCTATTCTTTTCTAGGGTTATCACTAGCAGATAGGCATTTTTATTGTTATCACACTACCTTTTCTTCACTGGATCATTCAATAATAGGATGTAGTTATTTCTGTTCACTAGCTATCTCAGGGTTTACCTAAAGTGACCAACTACCAGTAGTAAGTACGCTATTCAGGCACCAACTGTATCATGCAGCCTTAGCAACTCGCATCCACAAAGACATAAGTCCAAGGTACCTAGTACCTCTTTCTTGTCCAGAGTACCTAGGTAATCCAATACCAGATAAAATTCTGCTAAGTCATAGGTACCTCCTAGCTATGTAGTCAGCCCACTTCCGGCGTACTGACTCGTAACCACGACTCGCGTCGGAGCTCCGGTCCATTGGAAGGACAGAAATAATGCACAGATCTTTTTGAACATACTTCTATTCAATGATGCTTGATAACTGGTAGTCGTTAAAAAAGTCTACCTAGTACCTAGGTACGATATTCCATGTACTGTAGAGTCACCTGCTCTGGCCCACGCTAAACGTTTTCGTCATCATCCATGAGCCTGCCAACACGCGACTCGCAAACTTTTTCGTCTGCAGTACAGAGAGAGCTTGAACTTGTTTTCTACTATCATTCACTAGAATCCCTGGTACTGCCCACAAATAATAAATACCAAGGGAGAGAAAATAAACGACAGATGAGAGAAGACTGATTCCTTGCGCATTCATTGTCTTCCCCACATTGATAGATTTCTGCGCCTTGAATAAGACGAAATACTGCTGCTTCTCGCCGCTTCGCTCTGCCCTTGCCCTCGCCCAGATCGGTCCTCTTCCCGCCCAACCCTCTCTGCAAAGCACTGCCTCTTCCCCCCCCTCCCCCCAATTCTCTCCCTTTGGATCCTGCAAAACCTTTTCCTTTCCCTTTCTATTGCATGCTGTGATTTCCTCTTGAATTCTATCCTCTCCTACCAGCAGAAATCATGGGCCAGACCTTATCAGAGCCCGTGGTCGAGAAGGTGAGCAGAAGAACGCCTGCAAGCGAGCAAGAGACTGGTCCCTCCCTCCCTTTGCCCGCACCCCTCTCCCAGTCCTTAATACTCCCTTCCCCCCCCCCTCCCCCCAAACAACCACCTTTGTGGAGAAAAGCACAGTCTGTTTATTTTGCACATTGCTGGTTCCCTACTGTCCATTCTGTCTTTTGTGTTTGGTGTCAGCCCGCAGAAAGACTGGCAGCTGAAGTTCTTTCGCGGGCGCTCTGGATGTGGGGAACCAGGATGGGAAAAACCCCTCCTCGGCGGTACTCTGCGGATGGGACTGTCGTCACAACGGCCTCGCCTCTTCAATCTTAACATCTCTAGAAATTCTTTCCGTTCTTTTGCATTCATCTGGGAAGCATATGGGGTTCTAATTGTTCTTGGGCTAACTGGATGCTTCCGATAGTCATCTTTCGAGGGGCAAGATGAGTGTGTTCTGTACGGTCTCTCCGCCATGCAGGGCTGGAGAATTAGCATGGAAGACGCCCACACGGCCGTCCTTGACCTCCAAGCGAAATACCTGAGCAGTTCCGGAACCGCCACCCCGGCTGACAAGCGTCTTTCCTTCTTCGGTGTTTATGACGGGCATGGAGGAGACAAAGTGGCACTGTTCGCCGGTGAGCACGTCCATCGCATTGTAGCGAAGCAGGAGGCCTTTGCGAAAGGCGATATCGAGCAGGCTCTGAAGGATGGCTTCTTGGCTACCGACCGGGCTATCTTGGAAGGTTCGTGATTGGGCAAATCCCCTCCCCCCCCTTTTTTTTTCCCTTCCCTCCGAGCAATCGCAAACCCCATCGGCTGTGGCTGACTGTCAACTAGACCCCAAGTATGAAGAAGAAGTGTCGGGCTGCACAGCCGCTGTTAGTGTCATCTCAAGAAACAAGATCTGGGTGGTATGTTGATTTCACCTTCCGGAATTCATGCGTATACGTTCCTCATCCTCGAATAGGCAAATGCTGGTGACTCGCGGTCGGTGCTGGGAATCAAGGGTCGTGCAAAGCCCATGTCTTTCGACCACAAGCCTCAGAATGAAGGTTCGTGAACGGAACCAATCTCCACCCCCCCGGGCGTCCAAAGTGAAGATTCCCATCTAATTTCATGAATTACAGGCGAAAAGGCAAGAATCAGTGCGGCTGGTGGATTTGTTGATTTTGGTCGTGTCAATGGCAACCTAGCTCTGTCCCGCGCGATTGGTGATTTCGAATTTAAGAAGAGTGCCGGGCTCTCTCCTGAGCAGCAAATCGTAACCGCATATCCGGATGTCACTGTGCATGAGATCACTGAGGACGATGAATTTTTGGTTATTGCCTGTGACGGTATGTCCCTCCCCCCACCACCTCCCATAAGCCAGTGTGAATATGTGACTAATTTATACAGGTATCTGGGATTGCCAGTCCTCCCAGGCGGTCGTCGAGTTTGTTCGGAGAGGGATCGCCGCCAAGCAGGACCTCCACCGAATCTGTGAGAACATGATGGACAACTGCCTTGCTCCTAACAGCGAGACAGGCGGTGTGGGCTGTGACAACATGACGATGGTAATCATCGGCCTTTTGCATGGCAAGACCAAGGAGGAGTGGTACAACCAGATCGCTGAGCGAGTTGCGAACGGCGACGGCCCTTGCGCTCCGCCCGAATACGGCAAGTCTCGCGATGGAACCCATCCTATGACCCCCACGAATTCTCACTAACTACTCGTCGGGGGGTACAGCTGAGTTCCGCGGCCCTGGAATCCGCAATGAATTTGGCGAAGGAGCGGACGATTACGATCTGGATGAAGAGCGCAGCCGTGGTTTTGGCGTCCGCTCTGGCAGAATCATCCTCCTGGGAGACGGTACCGAGGTCTTGACCGAACAGAACGACGACCAACTCTTTGAACACAACATCGAGGAAGAGAAGAACGAGGCCACCCCGAACGAAACCTCGGATGCCGCGCGAACTGAACGCGAAGGCACGCCGGGACCTCAATCAAACCATGCCATTCCTTCCTCAACCACTACCGAATCCCCATCTTCCTCCTCGACTACCACGACGACCTCTACAGCAGCAGAAGGCTCTACTGTGGCTACTGAGAAATCCACTTCTTCATAGTCATAGATGGGTCATTGTGATGCTTCATTTTGTTTCACCTCCATATCACAACATTCATCAATCTATTTGCTCTCCCTACATTTCTTTAGTCGAAAAGGCTGCGCGTGTCTGTGTGTGTGATTCTATGATAACTTTTCTTCTATTGTTTTCCTCTTTCCCCCCTTCTGTTTCTTTTTTTTTTTTTGCTTCTTAAATGTTTCAGCGTTATCTTCCTCTTGTCTTCATTTTTTTTTTACATCTTCACTAAACCCCTCTTTCCCCTTCTTTCTTGTGGATGTGGTGGGACTAGTGTGAGCTCATAAAATACCCCTCTTATATTGTCATCTATTCCTAATACTTAGGGAGGATGTACAGAGAGCCAAGGAGATATCCCTTCCCCTTTCAAGCTATTGCTAGCTACTTTTATGACAGTCGATGACCGATGCCCTCTCAACACTCGTCACGCGCACATGCCCACTTGTTTGCACACGATACCGCCAATGGATCTCTGTCTCTCCTACTCCCATCATGAGCCCAGTCTCTCATAATCCCGTCTTTTCCTGTTATGTACGACTGACTGATCCACCCAACCCAGTCAATCTTTGCCTTGTTACAACCGCTGCTTGAGGCGTTACCGCTCTACCAACGTCTGAAAAGGGGACCTGTCACGTCCAGGAGCTCCGGGTACACTTCCTTGACTGTAGTGGTGTTTTCGGTCCAATTTAGACTCGATGGATATCGGCCATGTCACTCCCGTCTCGCTGCTTTCTCGACCGGACAGTCCAGTGCTAGCACGAGTCCGAGCTGACAATGATGTATGAAAGCGGTTGGAATTCCGGTAGACGAGACCTACGAGAGGATAGCCATCCGAACGAAATTTGAATGACTTCTTCCAATTTCCTCTTTTTCCTTGATGTAGATTTTCCCTCCTATGCCTGCCGAGTACGCTGTCGTGCGTGTAACCACGGCGCGTCCAACGAAAGGAAATGCACTCATCAGAATGACACGTAACTACTGTCTGACCAAAACTAAATCTTTTTGACTCCAACTTTTCCATCTATTGATTGCTACAGTCTAGACCTCGTCCATGTCGGCGGCAGGCTTGCTCGTCAGATTTTGTGTTCGTCTGCTCCACTCACTGCACAGCGGACGTCTCGGGCCCGACAGAGCGTAGCGTAGCGCAACCCCTAAACTTGACCTTGATTGACCAGAACCCCAGAAGCGTCATCTCCAGCGACCGGGATTATTTCCTGCGGTCTCTCATCTTCAATTTATTTCCTTTCATCCGTTTCCTTCTTTCATTTCTTCTATATTACATTTACTTCTTGTACTCCTTTCTATTAATCCTATCCTCTCTTGTCCTTTTTTTCCCCTTCTTCCCGCCACGTTCCTCTCGCAATGTCGTCTCCCGGCTCAGTGTCCGGCAAACGCAAGCGAAGCGCCTCGCAGCTTCTGCCAGCCCACGGCATCCCCAATTCCTCGACAGTCGACCTGCTGCAGCCTTCATCTCGCGACGCATCCGGCGAGGATGCAGACGGAGACGAGTCGATGGGGCCGACGCCGAAAACCCGGCGAGGCATCGCGGAGACGGTCAATAACAACAACGCGAGTGTTCCGCCATCGAAACGAGTCCGCACGCATAACCCCACGTCTGGTGCTATCACTTCTGCCGCTACTGCTACCTCGAATGGAGATGAAGATCCCGGCGAGCCGTCCGAGACTACCGAGGCCAGCAGTGACATCGAGTTGCAGGCGGCCAAGAGCAGACCTGACCTACACATCAAGCCGCCGGCGAACCTGCTGGCCGTGCTGCATGGCGAGACGATAAAGCCGCCCGAGCGGGCTGGACTGCAAGATCCCGTGGGCTACCACACTAATCCGCCTCCGACAGGGCGGGCGGTGCGTGTCTATGCGGATGGCGTTTTTGATTTGTTTCATCTGGGGTATGCTCTCTCTTTTCGGCTATAAAAACTTACGTATCAATTGACTTCTGCTAATTGCACTGTACAGTCATATGCGTCAATTAGAACAGGCCAAGAAAGCATTCCCCGAGGTGTACCTGATTGTGGGCGTGACGGGCGATGAAGAGACACACAAGCGAAAGGGCTTGACGGTGCTGAGTGGTGCCGAGCGTGCCGAGACGCTCCGCCACTGCAAATGGGTCGATGAAGTGATCCCCAGCTGTCCGTGGATAGTAACCCCGGAGTTCCTTGAGGAGCACCGCATCGACTATGTCGCGCACGACGACCTGCCCTACCAGGCTGACGAGGGAGACGATATCTACGAACCGATCAAGGCCCAGGGGAAGTTCCTCGTCACCCAGCGGACAGAGGGAGTCAGCACAACTGGTATCATTACACGGTGAGCCTTTTTTTTTTCAATTTCCGTTCTAATCAACGATTTCTTTTTCATATGTATCTAATTTGTTTCAGAATTGTTCGTGATTACGACCGATACATTGCCCGGCAGTTCAAGCGCGGTGCCTCGCGACAAGAGCTGAACGTCTCGTGGCTGAAAAAGAACGAGCTGGAGATCAAGCGGCACGTGGCTGAGCTGCGCGACAACATCCGCACCAACTGGACAGCTACGGGTCAGGAACTGAGCCGCGAGCTGCGCCAGCTCTGGCAGAACAGCCGACCGGGCAGCCCTGCGCCCTCTGCTCGCAACAGCTTCGACTTTGGCAGCACGCGCGGCGGAGGCCTCGTCAGCCCCACGGCGGGCAAGACGCATCTCTCGCGCGTCGAAGCCATGGGCCGCTCCGATAGTCCGATGGGCACGGGGCGCAACGAGGACTTTGCCACGGGATACAGTCTTGGTTTGATCGGGGGGGTTAGAGCGTGGGTACGTTATTTCTTTCTTTATATTCTTCAAGATCCTTATTGACAATTCCAGATGATGCGCAGCCGCCGCTCGCTACTCGAACAGCCGAGTTTACCGCACTCCCTTTCCGGTAGTGACGAGGAACAGGACGAGACCGAACAGAGCAACGGCCTGGAACCTGTGTCACCGGAGCTGCGTGGCCGGACGGGGGTGCCTACGTAAGGCACACTGGCGGCCTGTCTCTTTCTTACCTCTTGTCTAAATCCTGTTTCTTTTCTAATATGCAATCTCACCTCTAATACGGGTAATCATGCCGATAGAAATCGATAAAATGGTGATTGGGCAGCATGTGCTGAATGGAGTTTTGGTGTATTTATCAACCCTTTGGAAAAGAAGAGTTCCAGATGAAGTAATGGTTTATTGTAGATATCTATCTATATCTGTATCTATATCTAATCTCTTATGGATTGCGCCTGCGCGATGATATAGGGGGCTATGCCGCCGTGATAGCCAGCCTGGGTTTTCCGGTACCCCGTGCCGATCCTACACTGTGTTGGGTCAGTGACAGCCTGTCTGAACAGAGGACATGCTGCAGATCATCTCGTAAGGTAGCCGCGTCGCGACACAGGTCCGCCTCGAGGATCCTCTTAGCGAAGGCGTCGCATTTTGCCGTGATCCCCAGCTCGAAGGAATCCAGGCCGCGGATATCCAGCAGGGGGGCGACCCAAGGCTGGTCGATGGAGAGACGCAATCGTTTTTTGTTTTCAAGCAGTAAACCTGTTACTGCTTGGTTCTGGTTCTGGTTCGGATCGGGGATGCTTCTGAAACTACCCAAATCGAGACTCACCCGTAACTCTTCCAACCCCTGTAGAGCGGCAACACGGCTCCAAAACTTCACCCACAGCCTGTCGTTGTGCGTGTGGGCGTATATGGAGGACGGATGTTCTTCGCCCGTCATGGGTTGCCAGATGGTCATGTACTGGACTGTCAGGCTGTGGATGCAGCGGAGCTGCGCGGGACTCACGCTCGCCAAGAAGGCGATCAGCGTGTGCAGGTCGTCGACGTCGAAGGTGACGCGAGAGTAGAGCAGGGTGGCGGCTTCGGCATACACGGCGCGACAGGTGCGAAGCAGCGCGGGGCTCGAGTTGCTGAGTGAGGAGGGGAGACATGGATGAGTATGCGGGTACAACGCGGTGTCTCCTTTATCAAAACGGTTGGTAGTAGAAGCAGTAGAATTGGTGTTGCTATTATTATCGTTCCATCTCGCTCTGGTTACTGGACAGCACCGCCGGTGGCTCTGCATCGAAGACTGGACGTGCTGGCAACGTACGTGCCGTATCTTCCCCTTCAGCTGGACGAGGTGCACCGTCTCATTGCCAAAGACGTATTGGTAGATCAGTAGACGGATCTCGGCCGGCAGCTTCTGCAGCAGACTGCACTCAGACTGGGATGAGAAGGGCTGATCGAAGAGATTCACGGGTGACGCGGGAGCATCATCATCATCGTCATTGACCGAGGGAGAGCAGATCTTGCGTTCCTGGATCAGATCGCGCACGGTTTCTTGCCACCGACGGCCGGTCGGGTAGTAGTGGAAGATGGAATAGGGGTCGCGCAGCAACCAGGCGTCGAAATGGCGCATTTTGTAGAGTCTTAGTACCGAGTAGATATAGAAGTATAAGTAGTGGTAGTAGTAGCAGTAGCAGTAGTAGTAGAGTATCAAGTCAATAGATTTCCCACCAGACCAGCCGGTATATCTAGTAGACTTACCTTAGAATCAGGAGTCTCAATCTATCCTTATGTACTTGGGTGGTAGGTTCTAAGGTTAGGTACTACCTGGTACTCTGCTGAGGTCGTGGATGTAATTGGTGGCTCCGGCGGGAGCTTCCGCTGTATCGGAATCGGAATTTCTCGGCGGACGCTGCAACTAATGACGTCATGGCAGTAATTTGCACGAAAGTCCATAATTACCTACCTAGGTATGTATGTAGTGTACCTACTGTAGTAGGTATTAACTGCCTTGTTTTAGATTTTAGGAAATACCATCTTAATGGAATTGATGAAGTTATTGTACTGTATCCATTGTACAGCTGTAACAATTATATGATCCGCTCTGTCGCAATTTACTGATAGCAGATCACTGGGCCACTGTCTCATCTTCTACCCCAGTCTCTCTCCGGTCTCCAGTCCTCTCCAGTCTCTCTTTATTTCTCCGTCTCCACTACGGAGTACCTCATATGTGCTGGCAGCTGGGGGTTGAGTTGGAGGGACCGGGAATTGGAAAGTAGAACTAGGATGATTGGTGAAGCGTTGTCAGTGCAAGGCAATCCTTACCGTACAGAGTCACAACGGGAACCTCACAGCTGTACTATATATGTGGTAGCTGCTTGATATCCCAGTCATCACATATATACTAGGCATTCTGCAGTCCATCATATTACTCCCTTTTATTACTAGTGTGCTGTAATATGATATATCCTAGTACTAATGCCTCAGATCTACATCCTCCACCCCCGTCTCCTGCCCGGTGACGTCGCCTTTGCAGTTCTCCGCCGACATCTGCTGGATCTCGATACCCTCCTCTTCACATGATACTGGAGACTGTGTTTGGACATAGCGTTCCTCATGTGCGACCGCGACGTACACAGCACTGCCTAGAATCAGTCCGGACCCGGCCCAGCTCAAGGCCGTGAGCGTCATGTTCCAGATCACCTTGTCGTAGAACAGGGCGACCAACATCTGCGTGTAGACCATGAATGTGGCACGCGAGCCGGCCGATGACCGTCGAGACCCTCCTCCTCCTCCTCCTCCCCCAGCACCCCCTGAAGGAAGTCCTTCACCCGGCGATGGCGGTGCGTAAGCCAAGCCCGCCGTCAGCAGGAACTGCATCACAAATCCGCAGATACCCAGTCCCAGCAACAGAGCCCATTCCGTCACATTCCCAGGCAGTCGAAATGGAATCGACGGGATAGCAGCTAGTGCAATCGTCGACACTGCCGTCGTGCACACGGAAAAGTACGTCACAGAAACGAGCGGATGGGCACGTTGCGCGATGATTCGGATAGCAGCCAGCGCGCTCGCAGACCCTAGCACCCCGACCATGCTAACCAGTACAGCCAGAAGGTGGTGGTATGTGTTTGTGGAATAAGGGGTACCAATACCGTCATCGTCTGGTTCTTGCCTCGAGAACGGCCGCGCAATCAGAACCACTCCCAACAGGGAGACGAGCCCGGCGAGCAGTTGCTTGCGCGTGAAGATCTCCTGGGGCAGCAGCACCGAGCACGCATAGCAGACTAGGATCGGGCTCAGGAAGGTGAGCACAGTCGCCTCCGACAGGGGCATGTACCGCACCGAGTAGTAGAAGCTAAACACGCCGAAGAAGCCGCCTCCAGCCCGGATAAGTAGGAGAAGTATTGTCTCGCGGGTCCCGAGCGGGTTTGGGATTTTCTGATGCCACATATAGACCACGCTGACCACGACAGTAATAGACATTCGAACGAAGAGAACCTTGAGAAATTTGACTAATCAGCCGGCACACCTTCCTCATACCTTGTTTTTTCCCCCATACCTGAAATGGATGCATAGGCTTCCCATGCGGCCCATCAACTTCCAGCAATTGCGTCATCACGTTCATGGATGCTCCGAAGAACTGCGAGATGGCTACCAGCACCATCCCCTTTCCCTGTAGCCAGAGCGACCAGACCCATGACCGCCATGTATTATGAGAGGAATAAGGAGAAGAACCGTCAGAGCCGCCAGTTAGGTGTCCCGGCGAGACTGACCGGAGGAGTGGCTCGTGTGAACTGCTCGCCTCCTCGTCTACTATCCCCGCTGGATACTGGTCTGGAGGGGACGATACCGGGGGGTGAAGAACGGTCTCGTCTTCTTTGACTGCATTTGCAGAAGGTACATCTAACTGGTCTATAGTCATGAAGTGACAGCGGATACACAGCCTGTAGGTACGAAGTATATAGAGAATAATCAGATAGTATATAATATTTGGTATTATAATCAAATAAATCTATTGCCACATTTCCTACAGCAACGACTCTCTGACTCATAAAATAACCGAACACCGCCCGCTTCACGTCTTACTCTCTCTCGTATTTTTATACCCTCTGATTCGCAGTGAGCTGGCAGATATGGCTGGTTCGGACAAGGGTCTGGCCGTGAGGGGTTGGGTTCTGTACGAAGAGCTCTCTCTCTCTCTCTCTCTCTCCCTTTTTCTGTTGCAAAGTACGGATAATGCAAGACCTTTCCTATAACAAGATTATACAGGGAGTAATGTATACATACATCTAGTAGGTTTCTATACAAATGTAAAGGTATCTCCGCCTCTCTCCCGCAACATATTCCCCACTCGCTTTGTCCCAACCACTCTCTCGAGCTTCAAGGCATCCCACTTGGAAAAGAGCACGCGTACGCCCGCCTCGGCCGCCTCGCTGACCCGCGCGGGATCAAGGCCTAGAAACCCGACGATTTCTCGGTAGAAAACCGGATTCTCCGGCAGGCCGTACATCACGATCTGCTGGACGCCCCGGATCGCGAACCGGCGGAAATGGTGCACACGCTCGGTGTATAGGAGCACTGAGTGCCGGCCGTTCATGAAATGGGTGCGTGCGCGGGCGATGTCTTTGACGTCCGTGTATTCGGAGATCGCGCCAAAGGAGACGTTGGTCGTCTGCGTCGACGTGGCGAAATGGTTGCGCACGCGCACAAAGTCCAGGTATGATGGGATGACAATAAGAATGCCGCCGGCGCTGCTGTTTTTCCCACGTCCAGTCACGTTGCGCGCAATCGAGGAGAGGACGGTGGTGGTGAAATGCTTGAACCGGGCGTCTGGGTCTTTCGCAGGGGAGACACTGTCGAAGCGGGCGAACGTCTGGCGGACTGGCACCGGTAGAGGGATCTCGGAGATGGCACCGGTATACGTCGGCGTTATTTTAAGCTTGCCAGAGACGTTCTGCATGTGAGAAGAGTACAATGAGTTGATCTCTGGCGTAATGAATGAGGACAGCACGATCGTCTGGCGCACGTGGCGAGCGTTGTTGTCCAGATACCAGGACCGCACTCGACTGAAGTCACATCCGTGCGCTTCCTTCGGCTGTAGGTTGAGGTGTTGGAAAATGTAGTCAACATGGTCCCAGTTCTGCATGAGCAATGCGTCGGCATGGTCGACCACTACAACCTCTACCGAGGACAAGAAATCATGATCCCGTTTTTTAGCACTAGTGATATTAGTGATCCACTTCGTGTCTGGATACAAAAGGAATACTCACTCTGACTGATCCATGATGGTGCGCAAACCAAGAGGGCTGGCCAGGATCACGTCCGAATTGTAAAACTGCGCAAAATACTTCATTGTCTTTCGCGTGAACTTGAGGCCTAATCGGAACATATCGTCGTCGTTTCCACCAAAGAGATCCTTGAAGTCATCCGTCTTGTTGTCCCAGGTGTTGTCATCCTCAGCAGAGAAAGCATCAAGGAACCGCTTCCTGTTCTCCTGCTGCTCTGGATCGTAAAATTTGGAGATTGACTCCACGACCCGGACGCAGGCTTGTTTGGTAGGTAGCAGAAACAGCACCTTTGGCCGAGTGAAACCTTGGTCCCGGAGCTCGAGATCGCTGTCTTGCTCTTTGGCAAGGCGGGCATTGTTCTTGAGAACCCTGTCGCGGGTCTTGAGAACGTGGTTGACAACGTGGAGGGCGATCATATCTCGAAGGGGACCCGAATTTGACGGGCTCCTAGATCCATACAGGATATCCTGGTAATCAAAAATATATGGGGCCAAATGTTGGGAGTGTCCCTCGAAGGTTGGAATGAATTTTGTGGCCGGAGAAACGAGTTTACTTTTGAGCTGCGACTATGGTGAGCAACAGCTGTTCATGACATACTGCAAAACAAGGGCTGTCATACCTTAAGACCGCTCGTGTTCTTGACGGCCGAGAGTAACGGTGTATCTTTCTGGCCCGCTTCAGGTGTAGTATGCACCAGTCTCAACCCGTCCGAGAGCTCCTTCTTGACGACTCGCCACTTTTTCTGCAAAGAAGCTCCGATCGACTGAGATAATTCGCTCTCACTCGGGCTTGTGAAGTGGCTTTCGAAAGGATCGCTAGCTAGAGTCGGGTATCAGTGAGTTTGTCCACGGTGATGAGTAGAAACCACACGTACAATCATCGTCTTCATCCATGGCATCAGCACCTTCAGCATCTGAGTTCTCATCATCAGAGGCGGCCTGGTCTTGCAGCTCATCATCCTCCGACAACGCCTCGTCCGCCTCGCTTTCACTGCCATGCTCATTTTCTTCTTTCGAGTCCAACGTCACTGCAACTTTCGTCTCCGGCTTGTGCTCCATCTTTCTTCTCTTGCGGGCTGGTCCCTTGTTCTCGGTACTCGGTTGAAGTAGCTGTAGCAGCTCATTGTATGGCCGTTCGTTTTGGCCTTCCTCGTCACTGTCGGACGAGTCTGCCTCGACAAGTTCCTCTTCAGCTTCGGACCCAGCTTCAATCTGGTCATCGAACCCTTCGAATTCCGACGCAGAGCCGTCATCAGACCTACCACTTCTAGTTAATCAAGCAAAATAATAAATCAATATAAAGATAGAAACGCTTACTCTACTTCCTCCACTCGCGATGTCGTAAAGCCGTTTCGGCGGCCAGTATGTCCTCGGAAGCCCCTTCCACGGCCCCTTGAAAATCTCCCTCCACGACCACGAGGGGGAGCCATATTTTATCTCAGTTTGTGAGCAAGGCCTGCCTGGCAATCTGCTCTCTCAATACTCCTGCAGTCCAAAGCTCTTTTTTTTTGAAGTGTTTGCAACGAGGAGGTTTTGCTTATCTTATCTTAGCGCGAAATTTCCCACTGCGCGCACAACACAATTTGGGCCTCTCAGAAGAACGCAAAGCGGGCGGAACAAAGGAGCCACACTCCACCACGAACGCAGAGCCTGTCCCGCCAGAAAACGTCCAGAGACAGGCACCTCTCCTGCTTGCCCCCAGACCCCTCTTAACCCACACTATGGCTGAAACGGATTCCTTTCTTCACCTCGCTCGCCCTCTGGGTCAGGTCGCAGTGGGCGCTGCTCCCAGTACCGCGCCGCTGAACGTGGTCATCCAGCCTCAGGTACGGTTGCCAGTGCTCAACGATGGGATATCTACTGCGATGGACTGTCACTGATTGTATCCTATTAGGCTCTGTTCTCCATTCTCGATCACTCTCTCCGCCGGAATGCCGACCAGGAGCGTGTCATCGGAACCTTGCTAGGAACCCGCTCTGAAGATGGAACCGAGGTGGAAATCCGCAGCACCTTTGCGGTGGGACACACGGAGACGACGGACCAGGTCGAAGTCGACATGGAATACCAGAAGCAGATGCTTGCGCTGCACCTGAAGGCCAACCCCAAGGAAGTCCTTGTCGGTTGGTACGCCACATCGTCCGAGCTCAACACCTTCTCGGCTTTGATCCAGAACTTTTATAGTGGCCAGGGTGACGGCACCTGGCCCCATCCTGCCGTCCATCTGACTGTGTCGACCGATGCTGGCAAGGATATTGAAACCCGTGCCTATATTTCGGCGCCGGTGGGTGTGACCGCTGAGAGAGCCGCCGACAGTGCGGCTTTTATCCCCGTGCCCCACGAGGTCCGATACGGCGAGGCGGAGAAGAGCGGTCTGGAGGCCATTGCCAACGCCAAGGAGGTTGAGAACCGTTCCACCACCATCTTCACTGATATCGAGGCTCTGGAACGCGCGATTGAGGAGGTGATTGGCATGATCGATCGGGTCTCGAGATACGTCGAGTCCGTTATCGACGAGGAGGCCCCCGCGTCGACCGCTATGGGCCAATTCCTTCTCAACACTCTGGCTCTTGCGCCTAAGGTTGAGCCTGCCGATATCGAGCGGGATTTGTACGTGAACACCCTAATCCCCCCCTATAATATGCATGCATATGCACTGTGAACTGACTTCTCCCACAGCAACAACCACATTCAGGATGTCCTGGTCGTTTCCTATCTGGCAAACACCATCCGTACACAGATGGAGCTGTCAACCCGTCTTGCAACGGCCCAGCTCACTCTAGGAGGAGGCGAGTCCGGTGCCGGCGGTCAGGGCGAGGGTGCGCAACGGGGTGGCCAAAGGGGTGGAAAGGGTGGCCGTGGAGGTCAGCAACGCACCCAGGAGCGTGCTGCTCCTGAAGAAGCCCGTGCTTAGACAAAGGGGAAAACAATCAACCAAAAAATGAGCTTGTATGGTTCTTTCTTTCTCGCTTCCTTTTCCCCACCAATAGGGGATCTTTACTACCATATCCTGTCATGACCTCCCCTTCACCTTCCCTCCTATTCTTTGGCATTTGCACTTTTTGCTTGGGATGGCAGAAAGAACGGCGTATCGGAGTCATCTGGCCTTCTTCAGACCGAAGAACAAGAGAACGCAACCCCCGAGAAAGAAAAAAGAGAAGAGGTTCCTTTTCATGCGATTTTTTTACATTTTTGCGGGCTTCGAGGGAGTCCCTCATGAGGGGGAGAGAAAAGCACAGCATCTATCTCATGTAGACCGACGTTTACGAAAGTAGCCGCGCTTGGAGCGGCGTATCTACCGTCATGATAAATGGACATACTGTTTTCTTCGCTTAGAAATAAGAGCCCAGAAAGCAATTCTAGTAATTGAATTTTACTCGTGCGATTTTGGCAATTATTTGCTGAATTGACCGTCCACTATCCATGCTTTTTCTGGACTTGACCCGATAAGTATTTGAAGATAGTACCTAGGTAGTTAGTGTATATGACCATGTCCGACCAACGCCGTTGCCATCTGAAACGCCTTCCCGACCGAGACAGGGCACCTGATTGTATTCGAAGAAAAGACGAAGAAAGAAAGGGCAAAAGAAAAGAGATTTTTTCAAACAACAACCTTCCGCTTCTTGGGGGCGTTATCCTCAGTAGCGTCCGAATCGCGACGAGCCCCGCGCTTACTCTTCCCTTTCGTCTTCTTTGCCCCCGGGGCGCCGTCGACGCTCTCCCCGGGGTCTCCAAGGCCCTTTTTACCTGCATCTTTCAGATTGGCGACTTGGTCATCATTCTGGTCGAAGGCCTTGCGCGCCTCTTTGAGCTCGCGTTCCATCCGTAGTAGCTCCTGCACACGACCAAGCTTGTTCGGATCCCGGCGCAGCGCAAATCGGAAGTCGTCAACCTTAATCTTCTGCCGGCGGGCGTAACTTGCATACTGTGCTGCCTCGTGGCACATCTCGAGGATGAAATCCGTGACGATCTCGTCAAGCACGCGGACGGTCTCAGGAAGCGGTTCGGCAGGGTAAGATGGGTGCGGCTGAGGATCACCGTAAGCCAGGAGAAGTAAGCGCACTAAAAGGATTAAGAAATCAGCTCTTATGCTCATCACAGACCAAAGTAAAAATGCATACACTCGTTAGAAAAGTTCATCTGCCCCTTGTGCCGAGCGGCACGAGCTCTGGGTTCCGCCATGGTGGCCCGTTTGCTACCGGAGCTAGCCCTCTTGTTACCGATTTCAAGGGCTGGTTGTTCGATAGGAGGATCAAAGAGGTTGTTGCGATAGCCTCCAACGCTGTCGCGCGAAGTGTATGCCGGCACGTATCCAGGAATATGAGTCGGAAACGATGGCTGGATGACCGGTTTCAGGGACGATGCAGAAGCAACAGCTCTCGCAGACCCTTGAACATGGCCTGCCGGTAGCTGGAGCGGAGCAGCAGGAGCACCGGTAATAGGAAGAGGAGTTGCAGGCGGAGCCGATAAGAGAGTAGGATGGAATGCATTCTGGTCCCGAGTATTCTGACGGTGCTGGTCCGTGCAGGCGGGCGGAAAGTTAGGCGGGCGTGGAGGGAACACTAAGCTTTAAGTTAGCTATTACATATCACCACCTCGCTGTTGAGCACAGTACTTCTCTTGGTTTAGTGGAAGATAATTTCTTCTAATATTGAAGAAAGTCGACTTACTGTTTCTGTCTCTGAGGTGTTGGCCCTGAAGTTGAGGTGGAGGAGAGAGTAAGGCCAAGATGGTAGGTGAATCAAGTGAATCAAGTGAAAGACAGGAGCTCTCAAAGAGTGCTCTCCTTGATCAATCGTATGTGAATAACTTTGGCTAATATTGAATAGTCTGCCCTCTTTAACTTCCAGTCTCTTCTCCTCGTCTTGCTCCTCATCATCTGCACAAGTACCTATGCACACTCAATGATGCCTGGAATTATGGATCGAAATCAGAATGGGTACGTTGCCCTTGGGCATACAATAATGCTCGTTGCATTAGGGAAATCAGTGTGGTGTAGATTGTCAGGATACCTGCTAACATGTCATGTCCGGGCAGGTTCTTTGGGATATTTTGGAAGTGTGCGCGGATCGGCGAACGCCTGAGCCCGTATGTCAGTATATGTTGCGTTTTGATGGCTGTGAGTTTACCTTACAAGTGTGGCAGGGAAGCTGCGATTATTTCTCTTATGAATCCTGACTAACATAATGGCTAGATCTCGATTTTCTTCGGTGGTTAGATCCTGTACACAATACACTGGGCCAAGCCTCACACAATACACTGGGCCAAGCCTCGAGCTTGGTAGTCTACTAAATGAATGGCGATTCACAGTTAGAAATTTAAGTCATGATTCTTCTATGTCTGTTGTACATATGCAATTATTATACATGAGAAAATCTAAAATAGCACTGCTTTATGCACCGCAAAACACCTGCGCCTGTTTCCTAGGAGTATATATGCCATCGCAAAGCACATGGTTCGAGGTAATTTTCGAAGCTGAAAGGGGTATTATAGATCAAGACTGAAGTTGCATCTTCAGATTCTGGAGGCCGCGATCCAGTAGATGCTCGTGTTCCTTTTCCGGTTCCCCGGCGAACTCGCTTGGCTTCGCGAAGGGGGCTAGACGGGCATCCAATGCTTCGGAATTGGCATCCAGCTCATCGACGGCAACCCATAGACGCTCCGGGTCACGGAGGTAGCGAAGGCTCCGCACGGTGTACGCGTCAGCAGAGTATCCGTCTTCTTCCATGGACTTGATCGCCTGGGCGACTTCGGGGATCATCTGGGCATTAGCATAGCCGCTGATGACGTGGTTCCAGGTGACCTCATTGAACTGGATATTGTACTTTGCCATCATCTCCTTCACTTTCTCCGCAGCAAACAGTTGCTTGTTGAAGATGAAGGCGCTAAGCAGGATGGACCAGGTACGCACGCTCGGTTTGGCATGGATGAACCTATTCCCGTTTTCCCCCTCGATGACTCCATCTTGGGCAATGTGCGAAAGCATGTCCTCAACAATTCGTACGCAGCGGCGCAAGTTGCGAGGCGAGTCGCGAAACGCCACGATAAACTCGTTGTAAATATGATCCGTTTCTGCCAGAGGCGCAATCATCTCATTGCCTTCTGTCAACAGGGCCCGAAACCTCGAGTAGACTCGATTGATGTTTGAAGTCCCTTTCTGGCAGCGGAAATAAGTTGCTAGCATGATGTACATAGCAATCCTGGATGGTGGGCTGTTCATGCCCCTGATTGGAGGGGTATAATTAGGCGGAACAATAAGAAGCTCCTTTAACGGCGTGATGTCATGCAGCTCATTGTACATATTGAGCATTGAGGAGAAAATTTCAGAAGCATCGGCATCGGTGTCCATATGTTTAGCGGTGAAGACATAGTGAGCATGGAATAGCTTGCTAGAGAGGAATGGATTTTCTCTTAGCTGATCCTGCGATTGGATTTCTTGCAGTAATAAATCCACGCGATGACGCTCGCCACGGGCAACGGCATCACAGAGAAGGGTCATATAAGTGTAAGAATCGAACTCGTGATTATGGCTCTTCATGAAGTCGAGAACGTCGAAGCCTAGCTCCGGGTCTCCGGTTTTGAAGGCATTTGATAAGACAACGTTCATCATGTCTCGGTCAGGACGAATCCCGAGTTCAAGAAGCCTTGGAAGGATATGAAAGTTGCGTACTCCATCCTGTGTCTGCACCGTATCCAGAGTAAGCAGCTTACAGCAGGTACGCATCACCACTTGGGAGTCCAGTGCAAACTCCTCTTGGTCAATCGTACTTAAGAGCTGCAAAGTTTCCAGAGCCTTGTCAACGTCCTTCATTTCCATAAAGCGACGCATGAATACCAAGACGGTTTCGCCTGTAAGACTGGTCTGGCGCTCGTTCACCGTCCGGAGGGCAAGGACCAGGCCTTTGTGACTGGCTCGCTGCAGGAAAAGCCAAATACCTTTCTGTGTGACACGTAATATCGGCCAGTCCCTGGGATCGAGACAGAGCTCGATGACCGAGTCGTATGTATATTCGCCCTCTTTCCATTCGGTGAGTGCATCCCGGTGGAACTGTTCGAGGTATATGAAGGAGTCTACAACCATGTTGAAATTAGGTATATCACTGCTCTGGCAAGTGACCAACAGAAATTTCAACATAAGGTCGGGAGACTGTTGTAGCAGGTGCAATGCCAGCCGTTGCCAATGAGATGCTTTGGCAGGCCTATTCATTTCTTCCCAGGCCTCCTTAAAACTGTCTAGGCCGTCCTCCTGTATTTTTCGGAAAAGATCCCAGTCACTTTCGTTGAGTGCAGGTATTAATGCAGGATTGCTAATTTCGCGGTCATCGGACTTGGCTGAGAACAATTCAAGGCATGCCGACTTCCACTGTCGAAAGCCTAACGGGCGGCGGTAGAGCGATTTTAACCTGATGCTGGCATCCAAATGTATCGACCGTGCCGTCATAGGCTTCCCTAACTCTTGGGCTTGTCGATTAAGCTGTTCAATTAACGCTTGAAGACGTAGACGATCATCTTTCCACTTTCGCGTTGATGGTACGGATATCGTTTTCACATGGTCGGCTTTCATCGTCGCGTTCGCAGGCACGCTCGTATCATCTTCTGCCTCCATCGAAAGCGTCTCTTGTCCATTTTGATATTCAAGAGGGAATTTATAAGGAGTTTCTAGTCCTAATGTATCGGGTATTGTGATATCTCGGTAGTGACTGGAGTAGGCAGGCGAGGGACGGGCGGCGGTGCTCCTCAGATGGAGGATACTCTGGGCGACGCTTTGCTGGGAGGCTTCCGGTGATGGCAGATCATTGTCGACAACCCTAAGCTTATCCAAACTATTGCCGCTTGAACCTGGAGCACCGCTCAACAGACGGCGCAACGTTAACGTCGTGCCTCTTTGCCGATGCCATAGTCTCGGACTCGTCCAGGCGGACGGAGACAGTCCAACGTTCAAGCGGGAACGAAGGATGGCGTTAGGACAAAATGACATTCAGAACTATTTAGCCTGAGACATTTGAAAATTGAAGGAAAACCATGTGAAGAGGATTCACTTTTGTTGAGTGCAGATTTAACATGAAGAAAAGCGAGCAACATCGATCTGATACCCTTCTGGTGGACCCAAGTCATGATTTTCTTCCACCCGGAGGTGTGGCTGGTGCGCGGGATCTATCGAAACGCCGTGGCGCAGGGCGGGACCAGCTTTGAGATCAACGAACATTTGCTCGGTTTTGCTAGAATCGGTTCACAGAGCTACAGACATCTATTTGGCCATTCTATACTTTGATTTACCTGGGCGCTTACCTTCGCCTCGAATATGTCCTCTTCACACGCCTCTCTAGATGCTGCGGCGACCGAACGAAAAGCAAGACTTGCGAAGCTTGCAGCATTGAAACGAAAGCAACCAGAGCCAGAGACGTTGAGTGAGGCTCGAGCTACGGAGGAAGAAATCGGAGACGCGGTACCATCAGTTACGACAACTTATATATCAGGTCGCAACTATGACCCGGAGACTCGCGGGCCGAAACTTGGGTTCGAGCAAGCACCAATCGATGGGCAAGTGACATTAGAATCCCAGGCGGCCGAAATCGCCAGAGAGACTGCAGAAGAGGCGAAGAAATCAGATGAAGCAGATCAGCCGATTGATCTGTTTAAGCTACAGCCGAAAAAACCGAATTGGGATCTGAAGAGAGATCTGGACGAGAAGATGAAGATTCTCAACGTACGGACAGAGAACGCAATTGCGAGGCTTGTGCGCCAGCGGATAGAGAATGCACAACGGATTGCAAGGGAGAAGGGTGCGCCTATGAATGGAGATGACCAAGGAGAGGAGGTCGGCATTGAAGGCGAAACACTGGTTGAGGGAATTCATGTCCGTGAAAGAGAAGAGGCCGAAGAAGAACGACGAGAAAAAGAAGAGGAAGAAATGATTTGATACCCTTATTCGAGACTCCAGCCTAGTTAGTCGGCAGATCCAGTTTTTTACCTTCACCTCCTTTTTTTCATGGGCGTGGGTTCTTTGCTTGACTCAATTGTACTCTACTATCGGACGTTTGCAGATGGACGAGGCCCATTCATATTTCAATCATTTAGGCGTTCAGGATATAGGGTGTAAACATTTGAATACAGACAGACAAAAATACACATCTTAGTTATTGAGATTTAAGGGAATGTTGAACATATAGCTAGAACAAAAGTGTAGTTGAATAATACATGGATGCCGTAGTATATCACGCGAGCTTGATCCCACCCGAAGAACCAAACAGGGCAAGAACACAAGAGGGAATAAGAAATCGAAGCCAAACCCCAGATCCGTAACACCTGTTTTCATGTGAAAGTCTTGTCTACCTTCCTATATTCATAGCCTGAGTCAGAGCAAGACGTTTGCTATATGGGCTCAAGCTGCGTTCCCTTCGAGGTTGAGGCGGAAGGTGACTTTGACCGGGCCCAGCACGCATCCCATGCGAAGAAGCTTCAGAACGCTGGTACGGCTGGTCTGACGGTGATCGGCTGGTTCGATAAGACGGCCTCCTGTCTGAAATTTGGAACCCACGCCCACGAACGGCCTCTGGAGTTAACGAGCGTCGCTCTTTGGCGGCTCGACTCTTGTCCAGGCTGCTGCGACTCCGAGTCCTATCTCTCCGGTTGCCTTCTCCAAAAGAGTCCCTTGGACGACCTCGCTCCACAGGGCTTGACTCCCGACGTCGTCGCCTGGTATTCTTATCGCGAGGCCATTCTCTCGACCTCGACCGAGGTTGATTGGCAGAGGAATAGGAAGCATCCGAATACTCGGAGGGCGAGTCGCTGTACCGTCGCTTCCTGGTCCTAGACAGTGCACGTTCATCGTCTTTCTTCGAATCGTGTTCGCGCTGTCGATCAGGCGATGCTGAATGCTCTCGGCTGGTCGATATCGTTGAGACAGAGCTCACGGAAACTGAAGAGTTTGACCGCGAGCGCCTCCTCGACCGACTTCTCCCATCGTGAACCGCTGAGCGGGTATGTTCAGTCTCCCGTTTGGCTAGTAGTTCATCTGCGACTCCTTTACTAAAGGCGGGTTAGAGTTATATCAATGTCTTCCGAAAATTCGCTCAGGACCCAGGAAAATCGACGTACGTTCGCAGGAGATCATTGGGGACCTCGGTCGAAAGTTTCGGGGCCAGCTTCGGATTCCTCAGCTGCTGCGTGCGCGATGGCCGTGAGGCATACGGCCTCTCCTGAGGTGCTGCCTTGCACTCATAGCTGTAGTGCCGTACAAAACAGTCAGCAGGCGTTATCTCCAACAGAACGCAAGGTAAGGCATAGACGTATCTCTCTTCAAGCATTTCTGGCACAGCGTACTCGCAGTAGCCCTAGTAGGGCCTCTGACCCCGGGCGCATTATTTCTATACCGGTTCATTTATGAGCACGTCCCCATGCGGGTTTGAGTGCGTGTGGCTAAATAGGTGAAAAAGAAAGGCCGCGGTAAGGTGAAGCTGGAGGGTAGAAACGATCCACGACACGTCTCGCAAAAATCGAGAAAATCACCCCCGAAAAACTTCGTTCTTGTCCAACTGCACTACGTTCACTTTTGCCTCTCCTTCCTCCTTTTTTTCTCCTTTTATGACAGCTCTAAAAAAACAGGCGCAAGGCCAAAACCGCCTACGAATTATTTCCCCGCTGGGCGGCTGTTAGGCAGGGCAGAGCGCTTTACCCGCGCGGCAAACCACCCACAAGGAACTTTCGACTCGGCCAATTCTTGGTCTCAATCAACGCTGCTCGTTCTTTCGACGACTTCGTCCCCGAAAGAGCCCATCTTTCGCCAGCGAGGATTGAGCACTGTTCATCCGCATCGCAGTCTCGCTTCTTCCTTTTTTCTACTTTCGTGCGGGTTTATCTGCAGAGGACTACGTAGGAGGATCCCCCCACGAAAAAAACCATGAATAAGCTGTTCTGACACTCGTGTAAGGCTTCTCTTTCAACCTGCTTTGTTCTAGTCTCAGCCTTAACCTCCACGTCCCGCCTCTTGACACTGCCCGTCGGATGTTTATTTATTCTAACATCTCGCAAGTTTTCCTTAATGGCGAATGCGCTTTTTCTGAGATATGTCGTCTTTCTTTTTGGGCTTGTGTGAAGCGGGATTTCTGAGTTGCCTGACCTCGAACCGAGTTTCGGACTCGTCTTTTCGCAAGGCTGTGGCGGTCTGATTGCAACTGTGACAACTGAGAACTGTGGAGATACTGTGATTTTGAAAAAGAAGGCCACATCGTTTTTTATCACACGTTGCGGCAAAACTATCACACAAAATGGCTTCCACGAAATCGGGCGGCGAGCATCGCCTATCTTTCGCAAAAATTGCGGCCATGCCTCCCCCCCCGAAGATGCAGCCCTCTGTTACGCCTGATCGCAATAGCTCTGATGCAGTCGACCAAGGATTACCCCATCTTGAATTACATGCTCCGAAAGCTGCGTTGTCTGCTCAAGATGGATTAGGAACTGCCCCGCAAGAAGACACATCTTCCATTGCTAGGGAAATCAATGGTCTTGAAAGAGCAGTCGAATCTGTTCAACTAGAAGGAGCAAAAGATCAAGAGGAATCAGAATCTTCTGTTGAGCCCCAAGCGAACGGCATCCTCAAGCGCGAACAGTCGTTTGATGATGACCGTACTCATCTTTCCAACTCATCCACGAAACCCACAAGTTTTGATTCTAAGAGCATGGCCTCTGTGACCACCTTTGCAATGGATGAAAAGGATTCTCTGCGACCTGATGACAGCGCGAGCGTGCAGGCTGTGGATGAGGAAGAGTCGCTTTCTGGCCCTGCTTCAGGGGCACCAAACTCTTTGATTGGCTCCGAGTCAGGCGCACGACCGTACAGAGACCAATTCCGGGATGGTACCGTGCAGCGAGGTGTGCTTCTTCCTGGCAGTGGGCGAGGATTCAATGATGGTCTCGCGCCGCAAAATTTGATTGTCCCCGCCGATTCTATTTCCAACAACTTCATCGTTCAGAACCCTGAATTCCCGGCCGGCCGAAGCCTCCATGGATTCCCGCTAGAACCGGATGAGAAACTACTCGAAGCGATGAAATCCCCGAAAGACCGTCTCTTGATTCTACAGCTCGAGGAGAAGATCAGACATTTCATTCAAGATTCAAAGTAAGCTCTAGAAACCCATGCTGATTCTATTCACTCCTAACATTATGGTCTTTTCTAGCGAGCAATCTTTGGAGCTACCTCCTTCCAATGGATTCGGAAGGCTCCTTGCGCACAAACTTGGAGACTACTATCATTTGACTCACTTCGTCGACAACAACGTTACCTCGGTCCGTCTTCACCGAACGCCATTCTGCCGACTGTGAGTTGTTTAGTCCTCTACCCTCCCTATAATCAATCTCTGCTAACATGATCCCAGACCGACTCCACTATCTGTTTTGCACGCCTCTACAAACACAACTCCCCCGCCCATGGTACCTACGATGAAGATCATGCGCCGGAATGGCCAAAATGGGGAACGTTCCTTCACCGACGGAAGCACCGCTGCAAGCTCATCTGCTCCTTCGAAGGCTACTTCGGAAGATGGGGAAAGCGGTAACGATGGAGAGCCGACGGGTTCATCGGCTGGTGCCACGCCTGCCAAAGATCGAATGACCCTCACCCGAGAAGAACGGGAGGCCAAATATCAGGAAGCTCGAGAGAGAATCTTCCGTGACTTCCCAGAGTCGAAGCCTGGAGAAATTACAAGTGGAGAGCAGAGCGCAAATATGTCTCGATCCAGCTCAACGAGTGGACGCAAGAAAACATACCGACAAAAGACTCCCCACGACGACAGCTTTGAGGCCCGATCTCAGTTCAATGCATACTATCCTGGCATGCACTACGCCAACGGACCGAATTCGTACAATGTCGCTGTAAATGACGGATCATATCCCCAACAGCCTCCCTATATGGTCGGACCTGGTGTGTCAGCGCCTGGAATGAGCTACGCTCAGAATGGCCAGCAGAATGTCATGTATCCTGGCCCCATGAACATGAACACCGTGCCTCAATACCAGATGGCGGCGTCTCCTCAAATGTCACAAAATGTCCCTTGGCAGGGCGGAAACCTCCCACAACAGTCACCTTATACTGGGTATGCTTCGATGAACCAGTCACCGGTGATGATAGGCCAACAATCCTCTACTAAGTCATCTCCTGCGATGAGCAACTACGCGCTTCCAAACCCTGTGCCCTATCAATCTCAGGGCCCCACCTGGCCCTCGCCCCCTTACCAGGGAAATTTCCCCTCATCTGCACATCGAAACCATCCACCGGTTCATTGGCCTAACTACCCTTCTCACGCCGTGGCGCCCAGTACCGCATCATACTCTTATGCGCAATTCCCGGGGCAAACGATGAATCCTGGAATGCCGAATCATGCCGGTTCCCACCAGGCCGCTAATTTTGGACGTTCCCCTTTTAATCCTCAGACACGGTCGTTTGTCCCGGGTGGTGTTCCTCCGACCCGCCATCTAGGAAAGCATATGCAGCCTGGGGTCATACCTTATCACAATGGTCAGTCTCAGTGGACAGGTTACCCAGATCCCGGCATGAAACCCATGGAACCTATGATGGCCGCCGGCTACAATGCAGGCCGCCCAGGCCCACCTGGAAACAGGGATTCCATTGCCAAATGGGGAACTCCATCTCATCTACCCCCGAAACCACCGCCCTCTGAAGTTCCCTCCGAGTTTGAGATGAAGCATCGCAGTAGAGCCACTCCGAGCGTTCCCTATGCAAACAACACCACGGCCGTGGCCAAGAATGGACCGCTTGTTGTTTCAGGCGGGGTGAACTTACCAAAGCCAGCCTAGCTGTTGTTCTGTCATGGAAGATATAGGCCGATCTTGGTTTTCTGAATGCAAGAAAAAGTATGATGGCGTATTGAATTAATAGGTGGAGAGGAGGGAATAAATGTTCTCATGGTGACCTCTGCAGCATAGATATGAATAGAGAAGATCAAGTCAGACAAATTGCATGCATGGCATGGAAAATACAAATGTTTAGACGTTCAATATGATGGCTCTGCCTTTGTTTCCTTTTTGAATACAGCGTATTTTCAATTGATCCCTAAGAGGGTCGGTAGATGGTTTGGACTCCTGTCCTTGCCCTGATATCAACGAATAACCCTGCGAGTTCTTGAACCCAACTTGACAATTGTTCATTCCAATTTTCTCTCTGGTATTGTCTTACATCTGCTTGATCCTTTTCAGAAAGTGTTTAGACCAATCGAGCATGGTGGGCAGTGATGATACAGTAGCTAGGTAACTTGGTACCTAGCTATGGCCAATTTAGTAGGGTTATTATTGCAACTCTTACAGAATTCAAGGACTAGCTATCTTTACTGAAGAATATAGCCTAGCAAAAAAACAACCAGATTTTATATATTTACGCATATTCTTTAAGCACGGCCAAAGATAACCTGGTTTTACTAGGCAGGATCAATGCTTCAGCTTCCCTGTTTCGATGGATGTCATGTCTTATAAGATAAGTCCCTTGGTAAAGAAGCAAGGATACCCAATGTCATAGTGAGAACCGCTTTATTTTATACAGGGATTATATGACACGATCTCGACTTTAGTCCATATGCAGGAAGAAAAATGCTCAAACATCAACTCCAGAAACCAAACTGATTTTTCTCCACATGGGGGGAAGAAGTTCATCGGCCAGATGCGAAATAGCCAGAAGTCTGCATCTGAAAAGAAAAGGGATCAAGCTAGAAGTACAAGTTGGAAGATGCAATTGACAAGCAAAGGAGAGGAAGTATAGAAAGAGGGAAATCGCCATCCTCAAGCTCGTACATCTCCCTCATTCTCCTCTGCTTTCACCTTCCTGAAAGCCGGTTTCTTCGGCTGCTCCTCCAACCCCAACTGCTGGATAGCTTGCTCGAGCTGCTCGACCCCGTCTTTGCGGAACTGGGTCACTTTGCGTACATTCGTGACCGTGAGTTCGTTCAGTGTTTCAAATCCCTTCGATCGTTGTCGGGCCACAGCGCGCGCCGTCATATTAAATCGCATATCCTTGGGTCCGTCCACGAGCTCGAGAATAGCACTAGGCGCTTGGTCGTCCTTCTTGGGCTCAACGCGCAGCACCCGAGTGTACCCGCCTGGACGTTCGGCGTAGCGCTCACGAAGGGGTCCAAAAAGTTTAGGGACAATATCATGGGGGGTCTAGATTGCTCGGCGGTCAGCTTAATCCTCACCATGACACGGAGCATCTTTCTGTAGAATGTAGGAGCAACGATTTTCACATACATAGAAGGTTTCAAGTGCTCTCCTCCGGCTTGCTTCTGTGTTCTTCTTGCCGAGGGTAATGAGCTTTTCGGCCAGCCGCTGGGCCTCCTTCGCCTTGGCCCATGTCGTGGTGATCGACTCGTGCTTGAAGAGCGATGTGACGAGATTGCGGAGCAGAGCCTGTCTGTGTGATGACTTACGGCTGAGATGACGGTATTTTGCTGCACCGCCGGCCATTGTGAGGATCTTGTAGAGTAGGAAGTAGGGGAGTCGGTTCCTTTTTTTCCCGTCGTACGCGGATTCTGACGAAGACCTGAGATTCGATATCGGACAATGGAAAAGGCCAGAGAATGGTCTCTGTAAAAAACTCTTTAAATTGCCAGAGCAGGCCTAGTACAAGTCGGAAAGGGTCCTAGATATTATTCTTGTTGCTGGAGGTTCGCCGGGAAACAAAAGATTCGATTTCTGGAGGTTGCCGGCCCGGGCCAATTAAAAGCGTCGGCCCGGAGCTTGTCAATGTACTCTTTTTCTTTGCTAAAAAAAAAGACGAACAATCACTTCAACGCTATTCTTCTGGTTTCCGAGCGATTCCCAATGCGCGTCGAGTGTTTTCTAATATCTAATAAGTCTGCTTCAACCGACCAGTGACAGAACGCCGGACTGCGAACTTGCGAGCCAGGGCGCCTTTTCCTGTTTCCCCCGCCTTCGCCGTTGGAGACAGCACAGTACGGATAGTAAAATCGACAGATATCGGGCTGATCCAGCTCTAACTGGGCAGGGATAAGCTTGGAATAAAACATGGGTTTCTTTACGGGGTTTGTACGTGCTCCCTATGAAGCCGGGACCGTTCCGTAACTCACATGCTAATGCGCAATAAACATGCAGTTCAGTGGCTTTGCCTTGACGACGTGTGCTTTATATCTTACCGTGCAAGTCCACCGCTCGAATCGCCTTGAGCAGCGAAGCCTGATTCGCGAACAAACGCAAGCAATCGAATGGCTTGGGTCGCCTGCGGGCGCATACGACCGACGGTTTGCGCCCAAGGAACTATCACGTTTACGGGAGACGAGGGATGGGGAAAAGACGTCTACGACACCGACTGTGCAAGATCTCTTGAAGCACCGATGGAATAAGGAGGTGGAGACATTGGCGAAGAAGGCATATGAAAGCAGTTGGGAAGATGCGAGACTCATCGCCGTCGCGGGATGGAAGGCTGCTGTCAGGTTGGTGAAGAAGGAGTAAGCCCTCTTCTAACACTTGAACCCTGAGAAGCGGAACATGAAAAGAAAAGAAACAAAACCCACCCTATCATTGCTCCTTATGGTTGGAAGGAGCCAAGCCCTAGATACCCTGTGATTTCTGAAATAATGAGCTGTACTGTTTATATTTGCGTCTTTATGTATTCTTCCTGCTAGTGAGCCTCTTGTTCTTGGATATACACTCTCTATCTAAGTATATTCCTTGTATCTTTGGAAGCCTCCGAAATTGGAGTGACTCCTGTGGCTCTACCACGCTATGAGCGGGGTCGGCAATCAAGTACCAAGACAGACCAGTAGCATTATATAGCCTGAATCGATTGCAATGAGCAGCGTAGCGGCGATTGAAGGTCCGTGAGGTGAAGCCTTTCGTGCTGAATTGGTCTGCAGGTTGTGACCTGAATGAAGTGAGGTGAATAAATTTGTAGATTGAAGTTTAAGAACCTGTTTTCAGCTGGTGTTGGTCGAAGGTGCAGTACCGATGCTGTCCGAGTCGCTCCAAATATCCTTGCTTTCCCTCTCCACGATCCGCATGGCTTGCGCAACTTCCTCCAGTTTGGCAACCACGTCCAGGACGCCATTGTTGACCCTGTTAAAGTACCGATCGTTGGCCTCTCGTCTTTCCCGAGCGAGCAGAATATCCTTCTCGGTCTCTTCATCCAAAGTCCTGTGAGATGCGCTCTCCATACCTGCTCGGTCAGTAGTCCCGCCAGCTGCGCTCTGAGAGCCCTTCTTGACGGACGATTGCTTGTTGTGATCAGTCGTACTTTTCGAGTCAACAACCTCATCTTCGGCTTCGCTCCGTGCCCATGCCTGTGCAAGCCTCAACTGTCTCATCCGCAGATCTTCCAGCGCTTCAGAATGCTTCTCGCCAAACACATGCTCGCTCGTCACCGCGCTCAGCTCGACCTCAGCCAATGCGTTCTGCATCTCCTGCCACACTGCGTCCGATCCATCCGCCTCCCCCTTGGATTGAGTGCGTGTCAGGAATGGCGAAAGGGGTATTTGCGAGTCGATCGACCCAAGCCTGCGCGCTGAGCTATTACGCTGCAGTGGTGGGGCCTGGGTCCCAGTTGGAACCCCCCCGGTCGGAGGTGGCGCGAGGGACAGGTTTGATGCATTATGGGATGGCGGTCCCTGGAAAAGTGCTGGAGGAGGCAGCCGCTGCGAGCTGACTTTCCGCAGTTGGTCCGCCTTCGGGCGAGAAGTCATAATGGGATGTTGTTGGTTGGGATTATTGCTATCGATAGTTAGCAGTTAAGATGGTCGTCAACAACTGTCGTCGGGCGATAAGTGCTTATCTTATCGCGCAGGATAGTGGTCTGATGTTTCTCCGGTTCCGATCCCGTATCTCGCTTAGCGGGCGTTAGGGCGAGGAACGCACATTTTCGACTCCCGGCTTTAGCGAGACCGCCTGGGCGTGAAGGACCTCTTGATCTTCGACTACCTCGACATCCACCCGGTCAGGCCTTTTTGACGATATCAACCAAGTCGGTACGTATACGCTTTTTCCTGCCCTTTGATTTATATTGCACTCCAGGATCCTGTCAATTTTTCATCCTGTTCTATCGGTCACGAGTCCAGCCAAACCCTCAACACAGCCTCTATCGATATACAAATACTCCCCCAGAGATTCAGGCGATTGTTGTGGTCATGAAAAAAATAACTATTGTCAGAAGAGTCTCTAACAACTTTGTTTTATTCCAACAGTCAACGCACATAAACCGCCAAAATGGGTAAGGGACAACCCCGTGGTCTGAACGCTGCGCGCAAGTTGCAGAGCAAGCGCAAGGAGGCTCGTTGGGCCGATTTGCACTACAAGAAGCGCCTCCTCGGAACCGCCTTCAAGTCTTCTCCCTTCGGTGGTGCCTCTCACGCCAAGGGTATCGTCCTGGAGAAGGTCGGTGTTGAGGCCAAGCAGCCCAACTCTGCCATCCGCAAGTGTGTCAAGGTTCAGTTGATCAAGAACGGAAAGAAGGTCACTGCTTTCGGTGAGTACCATTTGTCTATTCGGTGAAGAAAAACACCGGGGTAGACGGGGAAATATCATATGGACATAGTGGACTGATTTGCCGATTCTTATTCCTATAGTCCCCAACGACGGTTGCTTGAACTTCATCGACGAGAACGACGAGGTTCTCCTGGCCGGTTTCGGTCGCAAGGGCAAGGCCAAGGGTGATATTCCTGGTGTTCGTTTCAAGGTCGTCAAGGTCTCTGGTGTCGGTCTTGCCGCTCTGTGGAAGGAGAAGAAGGAGAAGCCCCGCTCGTAAATAACCAACATCAACATCAATTTTATTATTCAATACACGATGGCTGGGGTCGAGTGGCGGTGCCATTCCATGGAAGTCAGGAGATAAAAACCGTGTGGGATACCTTTTCTTCGTGCTCTGTGGTCTGGGAATCTAAAGATACAAGTTTCCTCTTTTTTTCTTCATGGGTTCAGGACGGAGCATAGCCTCCAACACAAAACAATCTACACACCTACGATCAACATCCTTAAAAATGATGGCGCCATGATTCTTTACATGCAAACTAAACATAGTGTTTAGATTTTTATGTGTGCTGTGGTAACCATAGGCGCCCACTCTATAGAACATTGGGCTGTAATTCTGGCTGTAATTCTAGCACTCCATACTACATAAGAGGAACGTTAGTTTATTCTTTAGTGACATCCACATGTCATTGGGTATCGTCCTTTTGATTTTGATTTCTAGTGTTTATTTTGCGTCGAATATCATTCCACTTTTAAGAGCTTTTTTAATCATCGAAATCATAAGTCTAGAAGCTGATATCCTCCTTCCGATAGTGATCCGACACGATGCGATAAAGATATGATGGCGCATGACCGCCCCTGCAAGAGACATACAAATTAGTGATCTGCGTCAAGTTAACAGTGGAGACATAACGGGGGGTACTTACAAGTTGGTAATGTAGAGATCGATCAGCTCTGCAGGGACGTAGTCGTATAGTGGATTTTGGACATCAATCTGGTCCACGAGGTCTCCGTCTTCGTACCCGATGACATTGCTTGCGTCGCCGTACTCGATCAACGAGTCAAAATCAAACGGGTATACGGGGCTGAGCTTGTAGACTCCGCTGACTACCACCACCGGGGTCTGATGCACCTTGGCTGCCCGGGCAATGACCCGCGTACCGGCGGCAGCAACCAGCCCGCCGTTTGCAAGGACAGAGTGGGTGCCCAGAATAACCTTGTTGACCCGGGACATGAGTGCAAATACCGCGGAATCAGGGATGAGGATCACGGTGATGCCAAGAGCGATCAGCGGCTTCTGGAACGACTCGAAGCTCAAGTTGTCGTCCTCGTCAGACACGGTACCGCTGACGGTGGCATGGGTTGCGTCATGGTTGTTCGGATACGATTCGGCATGAATGACAGTAAACTTGCGTTTTGCTGCAGCTTTGAGCAGAAATTTTTGTACAGTGGTGGAGGACGTGTGGGTGAGGATGACCTCGTTTGAGTGGATGTGGTCAAGTGCATACGCAGCAATTTGATCGTCGACCTGACCCAACTCGTCGATGATTTCGCCAATTCCGTCAAGGACTTCTGCGCGGATGTCTCGAACTGAGCCATGTCCTGTTACTCGGCCAGATGGGGAACCCGGGACTGGTGATCCTGGGAGAGACGATTCGGCCTCCGGACCGGAAAGAAGGCTGAACATCGAGATTGGTGCCGGGTTCGTCGAGTGCGAGGTTAAAGGAGGCCGCGAAGATGATCGCTCCGAGCCCTCATGGCGAACAGAGAGGAAGTCTCTATCCTGGGGAGTGGATGGATCTAGATGCCGGTTAACACCTGGGTGAATCGAGCACCGCGGTCAAAACGATCATAGCCACCGACCTTCAAGGACACGAGGAGTCTGTGGCTGGCTTTCCGAGCCTGCATCACTTAGGGCAAACTCGGCATCGCGATCATCCTCTGCCTCATCGCGAATCAAGCCCAACACCCGCCGGACAATATTCCCCACCACCATCTCCCTGGGCTGTGCGGCCATCAGCCGCCTACCCACACTCTGCACCCGTTCGATTAACTTGTTCGCATCCGTAGTCCGGCAGAACGAAATCACCCGAAGTAAAAGATAAGCGGTTGCGGTGGCGCATGATCTCGAATGACGGATCTGTCGTCTCTTGAGCAACCTAGGGCTCTGTCAGTCACAAACCCCCCTCCCCCTCTCCCCCAAAAAAAAACCCTGGATGGCCACCGAACGTACGAGATCAGATTATCAATCGATGTGTCGATAGGATTTGTCTTGAGCGACTTAAGAAACGACGCTAATCCTGGCGTCAAAGGCGCAGAAGTTGCCGGCATGGCTATAGATAGAGCTTTGTCTAGAATTTGTTAGTCTTCTGAGTCATGGCTCTCTGCCAGAACACTTACCACAAGCCTTTCTTACACAGGATTAAAAAAAAAATAGCCTGAACAGATAGAAGCTGTCAAACAATAAATCCGGCGCGTAGCTGCAGCAGTAGCTCCTGGGCCGTGGTGGACGCGCGCGAACCTGCTTATTCTGCCGTGGTGGGATGAGGGCGAGTTTGTTCAGGAAAGGAAAGGAAGCGCTCGGCCCAACCGGTTTGGCTGTTCCCCCACACCTCCATCTGCTGCAGCTGCTCCCTTTGAACACGTCGCGCAGCGATCCTTTTTTTATTCTTACGGATTTGGGGCGGTCTTTGTTCGTGGGCAATCTGTGGCCTTATATTTCTACGCTCTTGTGGTTGCTTTTAGACCTCCTCTTCCTGGTAGCTGGTTGTGGAAGGGGTCTTGCAGGGCACGCCGACGGGCGCATTGAGGTGAGTGACAGGGCGACTCAGACTAGTTGGGAGAGACCTACATATCTGCACGCCATCTGTTTGGTCCTTCTGTCCTGACCGTGCGTCCGGCACAGTCAAAAATTGGCGCTTCGCTGGCTGACTCTTCTCCTTTCGATCATAGATATCGGCGGCCGCCCTGAACTCCTATGGGCGTTGTTGGAAGATGAACTCGCTGAATATCCTATCGTCGCGAGTCATCGGCCAGTCGTCCACGCCCAATCGAGTCCGGCAACGCTCTCGGTCGCAGGAAGAGAATCGGCTGGCGGGCAACTCGCCAACGGAGCGAGGAAAGATACGATCTTACAGCGAGGAGAACTTCCGATCACTTGGAAGCGCCGAGAAAAGCTATGAGAACACGCCGCTGCTGACGGATGGACACTGCCCAGACGAGAAGACACTGTTGCTCCACGAGCTACATAGAGATGGCCCGCTGGCGACGCGGAGCACCTTGCAGCTTTTCGCCCAGCAGCTATTTGACGCGATCGCAGAAACCATCAAATTCCTCCTCTCCACCTTGACGAGCCCCGGGTTGTATGCTGCTCAATGCTTTCAGGAGGATGATGGGCGTTATTCGCTAATGGCCCCTGTGCGAAAGCTCAGGAAGTTGGTGTCTGGACCCTCTATGGACGGCTCCTCTCCGTCAGGAAGAGGCGGCAATAACCGGACGGACAGGAATAATAACGGTCACGTAATCCCTCCAAGGAAGCTGAGAAGCCATACCTCGCGGGAATCAATCCTCTCGGCTACTTCAGAGTCCGAAAATGATCGAAGAAGTGTCAAAAGCCTGTCGATGTCCAGCAAGCCCCGGTCAACAAAATCGAAAACAAAGTCTCCAGGCTCAGAAGAAACGTCAAATGGCAACGCCCCTCGCCGGTCGATAAGGATTAAACTAAATAATGAAGAGACGCTGAAACGACAGAAAGAACGCCAGCAACAGCAGGGTACCGACATGGGGCAGCCGTTGCATGATGGCGTCTCGCGAGTCCACTCGACCGTGAACCCGAATACTCTAAAATCACCCACCTCGCCGTCTGTCCACAAGCTGGATAGATACCCGCATGCTCCCGCTCCACCCCGGCCGTTGATTCCGCTCCGCGTACCATCCTATACAGCTGCCTCACGCACTTCCAAAGCACCCCAGAAGACCCTTGTGCTGGATCTAGATGAGACTTTGATCCACTCGCTCGCCAAGGGCGGCCGAATGTCGAGCGGCCACATGGTTGAAGTGAAGCTAGCTGCACCCATGACGACGGCCCTGGCCCCTGGAGGGCCAGCGACGACGCTAAGCCCGCAGCATCCCATCCTTTACTATGTGCACAAAAGGCCGCACTGCGACGATTTCTTGCGGAAAGTGTGTAAGTGGTACAAGCTAGTCGTGTTCACTGCCAGCGTGCAAGAGTACGCCGATCCGGTCATCGACTGGCTTGAACAGGAGCGCAAGTTCTTCCATGCCCGGTACTACCGTCAGCACTGCACGTTTCGCAACGGTGCCTACATTAAGGACCTCAGTTCAGTCGAACCGGACCTCAGCAAAGTCATGATCTTAGACAACAGCCCAGTGAGCTATATTTTTCATGAAGGTATGCTTCTTTTGTCCCCCCTATTCACCAATCCCTCCATCTCGCAGCATTGGCATCCTCACACTATTCTGGCAGATAACGCCATTCCTATCGAAGGGTGGATTAATGATCCCACGGATAACGGCCTGCTTCACCTGATACCCATGCTAGAGGCACTTCAGTACGTGACGGATGTACGAGCTCTCCTAGCACTACGTAGAGGCGAAACAGAGACATGATCAGAGAAGAAGAGGGGAGCAAGAGAAAATACATACCAACTATGTTGTTGAACTATTATATTCTATTTGCAGCACCTCTCTTCCTGCGTCTCCATCTATTCTTCTTTTTCCTGTGTTGTTTTTTCGCCCAAATACCTAATGTAAAGAAATGGTGCATAGCGTCATGTCCATTTTTTGTCCTTATTGTTTCTATGTCCCATTCCCTCTCCTGTTTATCCCTGCAGTTGCTCTTTATTCATATTCTCCCCCCTTTTTTTTGCTTCTCCCAAGCCAAACAGTGTATATTCTTTTGTAATAAGTTAGTATTATTCCATCTCCTCTACCCTTCTATTCAATTAATCAGCTCTTAGCTACTGGTTTGGTTTGGTATAACATAATGATTCCTCGATGCTGTATCTGTAGGAATGACAAACTTATATTTTCTTTCACAAGAACCTTGTATGAAATAGTAGAGAAACAGCTTTACTGGAAACTTGATTAATGTATGACTTGAGTTTTCTTTGAGTTGCTTATAGGCATAACTCTATACAACTTTATACACAGAATCGAGATTTGCTGCCTACAATCCCTTAGCCTGCTTGGCCTCAGCCAAGGCCTCCTTCAATGCAGCGATGGCATTGTCAATGTCGTTGCGGCCAGTGTCAGTCACGCTGACGCCCATGTGGCCAAATCGGATATATTTGGTAGCGATCTCCTTGTGCAGGCCCGCTGCGAAAATCACACCGCGCTTCATCAAACCCGGGAGAACATCCGGCGGCGCCAGGCCGGAAGGGAGGTAGATGGCAGTCATGCCGTGGGCCTGGCTCTCAGGCTTCGAGGCCAGCTGCGAGAGGCCAAGCTCGGCAACCGCAGCCTTGACGCGGTCCGACGCCTGTGTGTGGGCCGCAAAGCGCTCTGCCATGGGGCGGGCGGTGATCTGGGATAGGGTGGTGTGCAGGGCATGGACGAGCTGAGTAGCCGGAGTGGCAAAGTACGAGGGCTTCAGGCTCTCGTAGTTCTGCATGATGGGCAGCCAGTTTCCAATCGACGCATAAAAAGACGCCGGGGGTGTCGAACGCGAGTTGTAGCGGTCGATCGCGCGGCCAGAGCACATGACGATGCTCAGACCGGGAGGACAACCGATGGCCTTCTGGCTGGCCGTCAGAACGACATCGAGATCCCATTCGTCAAAGGCAATCTCCTCGCATCCAACACTGCAGACACCATCGACCACTACCAGGGTCTCGGGGCTGATCCGACGCACGAGCGCGGCGATGCTCTTCACATCGTTCAACACACCGGTCGATGTATCCACGTGGGTGATGGTGATGACCTTGTACGACTTCTCCTTGAGAGCCTGTTCAATTTCGCCGAGAGATGGCCGCTCGCCGATGGGCGCTTTGAGCTGTGTCACATGGACCCCATATGTCTCCAAACAGGCAGCAAACGAGTCACCAAAGTACCCCGTGTGGAGGACCAGCGCCTCGTCGCCCTTCTCGGCCAGGTTTGAGGCGACAATGTCCCAACCCAACGTACCGCTACCGGCGATAATGAAGGGTTGTGCGGTCGGGCTTGTGCTTTGGAATAGCTTCCGGACAAGAGTCAACGACTCGCCGAAGACCTTGACAAAAGCTGGACCGACATGGCTCTCTCTAGAAACCAAGAAAAAAAAGAAGGATTAGGGCCAGGAAGCAATAGCTAGCGAGCAGGCAACTACTCACGCATGGTGGGACATAGACTGAAGGACCGCATCGTCAAATTCAATGGGGCCGGGAATCAGCAAGGTGGGGTGAGGGGCCTGAGAAGACGGCATCGTGGCGGTAGGAACGGGGAGGGGCGGCGACGGGGGAGTAATAGCAGAAGCAGAAGCAGCAGCAGCAGCAGCAGCAGTAGCAGGTGAAGGGACCGGTCGCTCGAGGGGTTTATATTCAATGTCGTCTGGTTCGGCAGAATTTCTCTCGGTCGAGAAGGGGGTGTAAAGCTCCGGCAGCGGCAGGCGCTGATCCAGATGCCTGGAAATCAGACTCAGGCGCTGCGTCGTCCCTTTGGTCGCCAGCGTTCCGATGGACTCTCGGGAGAGCCCGCGGGGTAACAGCCAAAGAGTCCCTTTGGGTGGAAGAAAGTCACGGAGATTGCCGCCAATACGCTTGCAGCAGTCGACGAGGGGGCGAAGTGACTTTGTGAGTCATCCAGGTACCTAGTAGTACAGTAGGTGGTAGGGAGTTTCACTGGTAACTACGGAAAGAGAAGCCGGTTTATCTCATAACTATCGCAGGCATCGGCAGGCAGCCGGACTCCTTCAACGTCGGAGAAAGTCCAGCCGCGGCAGCGGCCGTCTGAAGCTTATCGACATTAGAGACGATGGAAGCTGGAATTTTTTACTAAATGTAGTTACATTACGACTGTTCGCCTCTAGACGAGTAGAGAGTCAGAGATTCGACCATGTTTTTGTAACTTGTGGTTCCGCAATGGCCTGGATTTGGAGTTGATCAGATCACAACTGTTCGAACCGGCCAATACACCCAGCAGAGCCCTGTATTCTGTATTCTTAAGGGTAACAGGTACCTAGTACCTACTTACTTGTTCTATTTGAACTATCGTGTACCTAGATTATTTGTAATAGAAATTATTGTACACCACCAGCCAGCGTAGATAGAGCCTCGAGTCCCCTGTGGGGTACATACTCCATACGCTGCAAGTAAAGACAGCATTATTTTGTTCGCTCGCAATCTATTTCTACTCCTCCTACGTCAGAAATAATAGCTCAATTGTGGTAATGGCAACAGATATGCATGTCATATCAATTACGCACGTATATCTGTTTTGCCTGGCTCGTTATCAGCCTCAATCGGTAACGTCACAGAGGTGCCCAGTAAACTGGCTAGACCAAAAGCGGACTTGTGTTTAGGGCTTAGGGCCAGCTTATCAGTACAGCCTTCGGTGGCCTTAGGCCCTCAGCAGACCCCAAACACAAGCTGTCCCCGCATAGCTTCAAGAGGGACTAATAATAACACGCCTCTGCGTTTGCGCTTGTTTCTTCTCAAACCGGTTCGCTCTGGAATGGGTCGTTGGATGCTCATACGGGATTCAAGATGACGTCGCGTCTTGTTCTGGCCATTGGTGACTTGTTCATCCCGGACAGAGCCCCCGTATGTTGCCTGGAAGCCCCCTCCCCCTCTTTGAGATTGTCTTCTCGGTCGCTATGCTGATATTGCCAACTAGGATCTCCCCGTCAAGGTATGCGCGCGTGTCACCTTCGGCTGCTTCGTCACTAACAACTGGCACAGTTCCGGAAACTCCTGACGCCGGGAAAGATCGGCCAAATCCTCTGTCTAGGCAACCTGACCGACCGAGACACATACGAGTTTCTACGTCAGATCGCACCAGACCTGCAGATGGTCAAGGGCGACTTCGATGTAGACTCTCCAAATCTGCCGCTGTCCAAGGTCGTCACTCACGGAAGCCTCCGCATCGGCTTTACCCATGGCCACACTATCGTCCCTCCGGGAGATGCCGATGCCCTGCTCATTGCCGCGCGCCAGATGGATGTAGATATCTTGCTATGGGGAGGCACACATCGTTTCGAGGCCTTTGAGCTGGAGGGCCGCTTCTTTGTGAATCCAGGCAGTGCAACCGGGGCATTGAGCACCGCGTTCTGGCCCGACGGCGAAGAACCCACCCCGAGCTTCTGTTTGATGGATGTGAGTCTTGATCCAACCCTATGTCTGAGGAGAGGAATATATCAGATCATGCTGCCTCTGCAATCCGTGCTAATGAACCCGGAAGATCCAGGGAGATGTCCTCGTTCTGTACGTCTATCAGCTCAAGACCGACGCCAATGGGGCTGAAACCGTGGCCGTTGAGAAAGTCTCTTTCCGCAAGAATGGCATGTCCGCCTCGTGAGCCTGTACTTCTCTGATACCTCCATCGTCTGTATATATCCCTTCCATGCACACGTGCGCTTATGACAGCTTGTTTTGTGTCTCTTCGGCAGTTTTATGTCTTCTAAATTTAACCCAACTCAAAAGTCTCACTTAGGCCCATTGTTCTATTGTAAAAAAAAAAAAAAAAACAATACACATAGAAAGTATTTATAGTTCCGTATCTCCCATAATAATACTGTAATATTGAGACCAGCGTGAGCTTGACGCCGAGCATAGACAATAAGTTAGAACTCATATTTTATTCGGGATATTTTCTAGAAATATTCTTGTATAAGAACCATGATCTGCAGTCAGTCATAGAATCCTGTGGCCTAAGAGCTCATCGTATTCAAAATATTCAGCTCTTGTAGCTCCCTATACACCTTAGAAGTTGGCGTAGGTGGGCCTCTAGCGCGATGACAAAAGATTGCTAAGCCGGAAATGGTAGCAACAGTGACTTCGAGCGACATCCCATCACGAAAAGCACCGCATCTCAACTAGATACTTTCTATCTGATAGCTGTGCACAAAGCACGTGTTTTTTTGCTCTTTTATTGGATATCGAAAGGGGGAGGAACCAGGGCTCTTTACTATTCTAGTCTTTGTTTTCTAAACAGACGTTTTCTTGCTTCGTGGGGGTTGAGCTCATCACCGCGGACACCGGCGCGTCTCTTTTCCGACCCCAGCTTATCGAATCTTCAGTATTCTATCCGACTTCCGGCGAGAAGCACAGCTTCCCGGTACATTCGAAGCTTCACCATGGCCACAGAGGAGCCCAAAGTTGAGGACCAACATATTGAGACCCACGGGGAAGGGGGCGATGATGAGGTACACATCAGTAAATCCCATGATGGAGCTAGGATTTTGATACCTAGTTCCATACAAGGGGAAAAAAAGAATTTCCCTATACTCCCATTTCAATGTGAATATGGACTAATGCGCGTCGTTTTTATAGGAAGAAATCGCAGCGATGAAGCGCAGGGTAGCAGAGATGGAATCCGAGGCTGCCAAGTTGCGCGAAATGCAAGCCACACTGGATCAACAATCCGAGAATCTACGGGAGGACAAAGAGGAGATCGATGCCCGGAGCATCTTTGTGGGAAACGTCGACTACGGCGCCTCGCCCGAGGAGATCCAGGCCCATTTCCAGAGCTGCGGCTCGATAAACCGTGTGACCATCCTCCTTGACAAATTTACCGGTCAGCCTAAGGGGTTCGTTTTCTCAACCTAAGCTCGATCCTCTCCGGTTCGAATATTGGTTAATGCGCGATACTGATTGTTTGCAGGTACGCCTACGTTGAATTTGCAGAGCCTAGTCTTGTTGCTCAGGCTCTTGTTCTGAATGAGAGCGTCTTCCGCGGTCGAAACTTGAAGGTTAGTGATGGACGCAACTCTACTCGACCGCCCCCTGCTTCTCACACTGACCCCAATCCAGGTGGTCCCCAAGCGCACCAATTTACCCGGCATGGCTCGTGGTCGGGGCCGAGGTGGCTTCCGCGGCGGCCGTGGCTATGGCCGAGGTGGCTTTCCGCCGCGTGGAGGGTACCGTGGCGGCGGCTTCCGCGGACGGGGGCGAGGCTTCGCTCCGTATTGAAGACTCGTCCATTTGGATTGTCTAGGTCAAGACAGTGTGTGGTTTCTTATGCTTGTGGGCGCATTACGGCCTCGCGCTGGAAAACAAAACGTTGGCGATATCTGGCGTGGACACAGCCGGCGAACATATTCGGGTTCAAAACGGTAATACTTCGACTCATTCATATCCTGATTTCTTCGGAGTTGGGGACCTGGGATGTACAATAACTACCAGCAGACTGGGAACTGAGTGATGGGCCTGGCCACCTTAATCCCATTCTGGGATTTTAATCATCGTCTTCGTTACTATCCATCGATATATTTTGGGGCAAACCCCCCCCCCCCAAAAAAAACCAACTAATCAGTTCGTTCTCGCCATATTGCATTCAAAATCTGTACCAAAATAACTTGTATCTGCTCCAAAAATTATCAAGTCCGAGGCCATTGGTGCCTGTATTTGTATACTTCTGCAGCATGCTAAACGATTGCATCAGTTGCAATGCCTTATGCGCGTACTGCGTAAGCCGCACCTGCAGTGATCTTTAAATATTTGCTTGTAAACTGCTCTTCATATATCAGCCCCCCCCTTTCTCCCTGTTCTCCCTGAAAAGACAGAAGTACCCTGTAGTCGATTCATATCTCTATCAATGGTGATATGTCGGCCGCAGACGCGGGGTCCCTTCGGCGTGATCGCATAGCCACCCAAGCGAGCGGGTAGAAAAGTTGAACCTCCAGAACCTCGAGTCAACAAACTGACAGGCAATCTTTTTTTTCCTGACACAAGATTATACTAGAAGAACATTCCTCGATTTTTTCCTACATTAGCGGTATTGATCCCACCCTCCAATCCATCGCGCTCTTTGCCACAGCAAACCAGGAGGCCTGCTCCGCTGAAACCCGCCAAACGGGCTAAGCTGCTTCTGCGGTCGACCCCTCGCTAAGTCTATTGGCCCAAAGGCGTAACGTCAAGACTGCTCAGCCCCAAGTCAACGCCTCCTCCAGCAGTGCCATCAAGTCCCATCAAGTTCACCAGCAAGCAGGTCTGCCGTCTCATCGGCCCGTGTATCTCGAGACGTGTTTTCATTTTTCCAATCCGCTTCGTTTCTTCCCACGGCTGTTCAGGGGGGAGGTTATCCGTCTCTCTTAGACAGGTGGTGGATGTGTGCACAAGGACTCTCATCTTCTAGGCTGACTTGATCAGCACTGAAGCACCTATCCAGCAAAAATGGGGTCGAATCTGCCAGCGTAAGTTCGCTTGCCTTGCAGGGCGAAGAAAGCGCCCTGCAAGAAAGAGGGGGAAGAGAAAACCGTCTAGTGTTCCAGAATGGCTAACCTGATGATCGATACCAGTCAACCGAATCTCCGGGTCACAAGTGAGAAATACCAACCCCTCTCCGACACCGACAAGAAAAGATAGCGGTGATCATCCTATACATATTATATGGGGCTGACTTGGTACTTTGTTTTCGGGGAATTTTAGTCATTGCAGCGGATGGCCTGTACAAGCGCGATGTTTTCCGTAAGTTGAGCACGGGGGACTAATGATCTGAGTGATACATGGGTTTCGAGTCTAGAGACTGACATGTATGGTTCGTTAGGATTCCCAGATCCCTTCGCGGTAGCCACCGTGGGTGGTGAGCAGACCCATACGACCTCGGTCATCAAGAAGACGTTGAATCCATATTGGAATGAGATGTTTGATCTGTGCGTCGCTTGTCGCTGTTCAATAGTCTTGTCTTTGGCTATCTCGTGCCCATGCTGATCCATTGCCTACTTTTTTTTCGAACCATCTAGGAAAGTCAACGAAGACAGCATTCTCGCCATCCAGATCTTTGACCAGAAGAAATTCAAGAAGAAGGATCAAGGATTTCTCGGTGTCATCAATGTCCGCATCGGAGATGTCATTGACCTTCAAATCGGTGGTGACGGTAAATCCTTCTCCTTTCCAATTTTGATTCTTTTGAACGAGTTATGAGGCTGATTACTTGACTACTCTTCCTGATCAGAGATGCTCACCAGAGACCTAAAGAAGTCAAACGACAATCTCATCGTCCATGGAAAATTGATCATTAATCTTTCCACTAATCTCAGTACGCCTAACCCCACCCAACAGAATGGCCACCGCGCTCAACCACAAGTATCAACGTCGAGCGGCCTTGTCCCTCAAGTTCAGGCATCCGCTCCCCAACCTCCTGCCGGCCCAGGCCATGCCGACTCTTCCTCCTCGATTCCCTCGGTGCCATCAGTGCAGTCGGCGAATCCACAGCGTGTCCCATCTTCCGCAAGACCTTCTTCGACCGTCGCTTCCCCTAGTGGCGGCGCCGCCGCCGCCGCTGCCGCTCAGCCCAATGGAAACAGTTCCAACTCCCGGGCGAACCTCAGTTCGTTTGAGGATAGCCAAGGCCGACTCCCTGCTGGCTGGGAGAGACGCGAGGATAACTTGGGAAGAACGTATTATGTGGACCACAATACCCGGACCACCACGTGGACACGGCCGCCGTCCAACTACAGTGAACACAACCAGCGATCCCAGCGGGAAGCCAATATGCAGTTGGAACGGAGAGCCCATCAGAACCGGATGCTGCCCGAAGACCGTACCGGTGCGAATTCACCGAATATCCCGGACACTCAGCCACAGGCTCAAACCCCACCCGGGGGAAGTGCCAACGCTGTCTCTATGATGGCCACGGGAGCTACCATTGCAGGCACTGGCGAGCTCCCTCCCGGGTGGGAACAACGGACAACACCAGAAGGCCGGCCATATTTTGTTGATCACAACACGCGAACCACCACCTGGGTTGACCCCCGTCGACAACAGTACATCCGGATGTATGGTCAGAACGCAAACGGCGGCAACACCACTATTCAACAGCAGCCTGTTTCTCAGCTGGGTCCTCTGCCCAGTGGATGGGAGATGCGTTTGACGAACACCGCTCGGGTGTACTTCGTGGACCATAACACCAAGACAACCACGTGGGATGATCCCCGTCTGCCCTCCTCTTTGGACCAGGGTGTGCCGCAATACAAGCGTGACTTCCGCCGCAAACTGATCTATTTCCGGTCCCAGCCCGCGCTCCGCATCATGTCTGGACAGTGCCACGTCAAAGTGCGCCGCAACAACATTTTCGAAGATTCATATGCCGAGATCATGCGGCAGAGTGCTTCGGATCTCAAGAAGCGGTTGATGATCAAGTTTGATGGCGAAGACGGCTTGGATTACGGCGGTCTTTCTCGGTATGTCCCGGTTTTGTCAATAATTGAACAACTAGTTGCCCAGGTTCTTTTTGATTTTGACTAACTTCTTGATTAACAGTGAATTTTTCTTCCTTCTCTCCCATGAAATGTTCAATCCTTTCTACTGTCTTTTTGAGTACTCGGCGCACGACAATTACACACTACAGATAAATCCTCACTCCGGTGTGAACCCAGAGCACCTGAACTATTTCAAGTTCATTGGTCGAGTCGTCGGTTTGGCCATTTTCCATCGTCGGTTCTTGGATTCCTTTTTCATCGGCGCTTTCTACAAGATGATGCTTCGGAAGAAGGTTACTCTGCAAGATATGGAGGGTGTCGACGAAGACCTCCACAGAAACTTGGCGTGGACCTTGTCAGTCTATTATTCGTTCAAAAGAACCTCGAAAGCTTTCCAGCTGACAATAAAAAAACAGGGATAACGATATCGAGGGCATTGTCGAGCTTACATTCTCTGTTGATGATGAGAAGTTTGGAGAGCGTACTACAATTGATTTGATACCCGGTGGTCGGGACATCCCCGTCACCAACGAGAACAAGGCGCAATATATCGAGTAAGATGTCCTTTATGCATCACTCAGGGAGTTGAACAAAAATCTAACGCATCATTTTCACCAGACTGGTTACCGAATGGAAGATCATGAAGCGCGTGGAAGAACAGTTCAATGCTTTTATGTCTGGTTTCAACGAATTGATCCCGGCCGATCTGGTTAATGTCTTCGACGAGCGTGAACTGGAGCTGTTGATCGGTGGTATTGCAGATATCGACGTGGATGACTGGAAGAAGCACACCGACTATCGCGGGTACCAGGAGTCGGATGAGGTCGTTCAAAACTTCTGGAAGATTGTCCGCACTTGGGACGCCGAACAGAAGTCTCGCCTTCTCCAATTCACCACTGGTACCTCCCGAATCCCCGTCAACGGTTTCAAGGATCTGCAGGGCTCGGACGGCCCAAGAAGGTTCACGATCGAAAAGTCTGGCGATCCTGGGGCGCTACCCAAATCTCACACTTGGTATGTCAATGATCTAAATGTTTCGTGGGTTCGCCATCTGACCGGTTTTTTCTTCTCAGCTTCAATCGTCTTGACCTCCCACCGTACAAGACACATGAGACACTCGAGCACAAACTCACCATCGCTGTGGAGGAGACACTGGGATTCGGTCAGGAGTAGACACTGACTTCCACTGCGTGGAAAAGAGCGTGTCGCAGCTGATGCCAGCCTTACTACTTACCACCTACATCATATTTTCACTGTAATAATCGTAGCAACAAATGCTCATGTCAAACTCTGCTCTTCGTCGTTTCTCGAGCAGAACGAATTTCATACCTCCTTTTTCTTCTTTTTTCATCCCCATTTTCATTCCCATTTTCCGTCTTCATTCCTCCTTTTCTCTTGCTGCTTTCGTTCCTAATCCTGACCATGGGGCTTGCAGCCACCCATCAAAGGGCTGCTTGTTGAAACGGATACCGCATCCTCTGGATCTAATCCTCATCTGCCTAATCTCGCTCGATTGCTGCTATTGCCTCGCTTCTCTCGATTGGTCGTTTTTTCTTTTGCCTTCGCCATGTCAGAACCGTGTACATATTTCTCCGTGTATCATCTGTCTTGTTATTCTATTACGGTTACGCAAAGAAGTTTCAGATATGTCGAGATGGGTCTAGAGTCTTGAATCTTGTCACTACAGTGTAGTCACTACAGTCTACCAGAGCCTTGTACCTGATGGTAACACAGGTGAGTTTCCAAGTCTATAGCTTGGATCCTTCGATACTATACTATATATTAGCCTATAAAATAGCTATTCTAGATTATACTCTGGGTAAGATTATTTAATATAATAAAATCATTCACTTTTTTTTGGAAATAGACTTGGAGATGCCGTTCAAGAGTCAAAAATCCCAAGTGACAGCACACAGAGCCCAACAACGCCAGATAGAGGGGGGGGTTGGTTATCTGGAACTTCTACTTACCTCCGGCCCGCTCCATCACTAGCTTCAAAGGAGATTCATAAAGTGGTGCTTTTTTAAGACTATCAGATAGCCATGTCAGCTTCAAAAATCCGTCATGATTACTATAAAATTCTCCAGATCCCGCCCACGGCAGATACTCAGCAGATCAGATCCAAGTATAGAAGTCTAGCAAGAGAGAAACATCCTGATAAGAATCCAAGCTCCAGTGCGACCTCTGAATTTCAGCTGGCAGGCAGGCCCCACAGTGAATGTTTACTTCTAAGTTAAGCTTTGTTAAATGAATATTAGATACTCGAAGCGTACTCGACCCTCACCGACCCTGTCGCTCGCAGTCTCTACGATGCACAGTATAAGCAGGCCAATCTCTCGAGCAACGCGTCGACTGGAGAAGATCCTCAGACAAGGAACACAGCGGGAAGTGGGAATGTTGGACATCTTGAAAGAGAGCTCGAGCAGTTTCGGAGACGGCAGGCTTCGCTCAGTTCTCAACTGCATACGGGGCGGGAACACTTGGCCCGTTTACAAGCTGAAGAAGCCCAGTTACAGCGCGAGATCGAAGCAATCGCGAAAGAACAAGCTCAAAAGGCAACCTGGTGGCACTACCTGACATCATCTCTTCTGATGCAGCCGTCAGAGACAGAAGAGCAAAGGCATCAACGAGATCGGCATAGGCTTGATAAGATTGCTGCGGAGAGTGTCAAGAAGTGGATGATCAAAAGACAGATGGCTGAGATCCAGAACTTCGAGAGAGAAGAACGAACCCTTGACAGAAAGATCAAGTCAACCGAGTTTGAAATCAGGAGAGATATTGCAAGGCAACAAGAAGAGAAGATACGTAAAGAGCAAGAGCTTCGTTATCAGGAGTTCAGGGAAAGAATGGCAGAACAGAGCAGGAAAAGAGAAGAAGAAGAAGCACAGCGAGCTTCTCGGCAGGCGGATCGAAGGGAAGACCAGGAGAGGAGACGGGCGCAGCCAAAATCAGCAGCCAAGGAAGGGGATTCGACGTATCATGGAGGCAGGCACAAGTCTCATCACCATGGGGAAGCCTGCCGTCATCAAGGTTGGTGGAATCGAATCGAGTACGGCGCTGCTTGCAGTCGCTGCTTCACAGTGACTCGGCGTTTTGCATTCAAATGTCGCACTTGTGATAAGATAGCATGTGCATCATGCAGAGATATCCTCAAGGGGAAGTGATCATACCCTTAGAATCACGTCTTGGAATATATAAGGATTACGATTACATGATATGATATTTAAGTCGATCTCATCCTGTTCTGCTTTTCGGGGGGGGGGGGATCATTGTGCCTGTATTGAGATAATAGGTATCTTTATAAAATTCATGATCATAAATAGCCGTAATGGAATATGTTATCTCGAATATACATACATGGTCTAGAATAAGATTTTTATATATGTGTGCCTTTCTATCCCCTTCTTACTCTAGACCTTTTGTTGTCTAGAGCTCTCTGCTATGTTGGCTACTATATCTAGATCTTTCGCATTACTCTCCGATCAATCCCGAGACGTGCCAGTAACATCAAGCCTGCTGAGCAAAGCGCCATCGATCCGGCATAATAAATTGCAGGGTGGAAAGCATCAACGCCTGCCTTCTCGCCTCCACTGGCACTCAGCAAGTATCCGGCAATAGGGGCTCCCTAAAAGCAGAAAGACAAAAGTCAGTGATCAGAACATTAATATGGAGCATGAGAGAAAAGATCATTACCAGAAGATAACCGCCGCCCCAACCTGTCACCACCATGCCCATGGCAACGGACACTCGAGCGGAGCCAAAGACATTACCCACGACCGTCGGCATGGTAGCAAAGAAGCCACCATTTGCCATGCCGTTAATGATGACGAAGACGGTGAGCGGTCCCAAGGAGTTGGAGACAGGCCACAACGCCAACGCACTCAGAGCGCTCAACATCAGAGATGAGAAGACGGTGTTCAGGGGCCCAATCTTGTCTGAGCTGAAGCCGCAAAGCAGACGTCCGATGGCCGAGGAGAAATTAAAAGCAGCGACCAGCCCTGCGCCCGCGGTAGAGGTCATCTGCAGAGACTCCGCATACAGGGGCAGGAAGAACGGGGGCACGAAGAGGGGGAACGTTGCGAGGCCGCCTCCCACGAAGATCAGCACAAACCGGTAGTCGCGAAACAGACGCCATTCGACAAAGGAAGTCGGGAGAATTGGAGCGCGCGCCTGGATCAGATACGCTGCAGGCAAGCCTGTCGCCAGCGTTATGAGTCCCAGCGTCCGAAATGTCCATGCAATGCCAACAGCCTGCAACAGGCCATTCGCCGCAAAGCTGATCACGGCTCCTCCAAGGCCACCGCCAGCGAAGACAATCCCATTGGCGATGCCTCGCTTCGCCTTGAAATACTGGGTGGGCGTCACTGAACTGACCATAAACAAGAGACTGTTCCAATTACTATTTCATTCCAAGGTTTCCCTTCCCGCATGTTACTTTCGTTCCAGGGTTTCCACGTACCTGCCTCCAATCCCCATTATCAACCCAACAGTGACGAGCAAGCCAGCGACATTATCTGTGGTGAACGACGCCAGAATCTGGCCCAGGCTGAACAGGCAGATCCCCAGTAATCCGCTCCGCCTGGGGCCCAGTTTGCGAAAGATTCGTGCATTGAGCATGGCCATAAAGGAGATGCAGGCGGTGGTAAGCGAGCCGACAAACGCCAACGTGGAGGCAGAGGAAACTCCCTCCTGGACAAGCACCGCCTGGAAGACACCCCAGCAGTAGTTCATGCCCACAAACCAGAAGCAGAGGACTGCAGATGCACAGACGACAACCCATCCGTACCCGCCGTCAGGCACCTCCGAGTCCGCCACAAGCGATGCTTGCATCACATCGTCATGATGGTCTCCTGTCAAGTAGGTAGTACTACTGCTGTTCGCTGCTGCTGCGGTGGTTCTTGTGACGTTCCTGTCCGCAGCCGGTTGAAGCTCAACCGCGGTGGTGGTGGTAGCCATCAGGTTTGGTTAATACCTAAGTTTATCTCTTATGTTTGTGATTTGAGGGAAGGGAATGTCAGAAGGGAAAAAATGGCGATAAGGTTAACACAATCTACCTATCCATGTGGGACTCGGTGATTTATGGATTCATGAGTCATATTATGCTTAATCTAACTAGGTTTATGGTTTATGCCTCAGTTGGTGAGATTCGAAGATTAAAATTTTGATTCTATTCTCTCTTCTGACGATAAAACTCGTAGCCTATCCAGTAGCTTGCTATATAGGATATCTAGGGACAAAGACAGCATAGTGCCAAGGTGAAAAGTTCTATAATGATCTTATAGGCAGAGTTTCGGTGGATTGTGGATAAGAGAATTCAGCTGCGGAACGGTTTGCCTCATATGATTGAGTATAAAACAAAATATGCTATTACCTACTTACTACCTACTGCGAGAGGTTTCCTCCGAGGAAGAGTATGAGTAAAGTACATCCATCCTATCCCATTCTAGAAGTATTATCTTGGATAAGAAGTTCGAAAAAGAAAAAAAGAATGGGATGAGCCGGGATTGAACCGGCGGCCTTTAGATGACACTTGGTGTTACTTGGCTGAAGTTACAACTTCAGTCTAACGCGCTCCCAACTGCGCCATCATCCCAGCGATGAATTCTGCTCCATTCTAGTGATATTAGACTAATTGTCTGACTTCGACAGTACTGTGAAGATGGTCCCCCAGAGTACGGAGTAGTACAACATAAAGCTAATGCAATTCTAAGATCATTGCTGAAAATATTCCGTCTAGCTGCCAAAAGTATAGCTGCTCATTCACCTGGCGATCGATTATTAAGGGGCTAATTAAATCAACAGTGAACAGGCATAAGCATCGATAGTCAGATACAAGATTAAATAGCTGCTGTTGGAATGATGAAATCTCATCATCTTGATGCTTGAAGACGGACATACCTAAATGTACATACAAGACTATACCTTTTTTATGCAGACTTATTGATTCACATGTGTATTAGGTGAACCCTACTCCGTAGAGAGAATGGAAAAGAAAGATAAAAACAAAAAAAACAATGGGATGAGCCGGGATTGAACCGGCGGCCTTTAGATGACACTTAGGTGTTGACTGGCTGAAGTTACCACTTCAGTCTAACGCGCTCCCAACTGCGCCATCATCCCATGATATGATTGGGCTTCACTCTTTGGCAATATGAAGTAAACTTTTGCTGATCGAACAATTGTACCCATTCTCTAGAGATCAGAATTGTAAGGTTTTTTACAATTTCTCATCATGTATAATTTATTAGCGCTGTTCAATTCTCTGACTATGAATGAATAGTAATAAGTTTTCCATCCTCTCGTCTCCTCCGAATGCGCCGTTCTTCTTGAACAGATTGCTCGTAGCTCATACCCTCAAGGGTATCAACCAGTGAATTCATGCGCCTAGGCACATCCCAACCGTTGCAAAAAAGCCATCTATGAAACTCCTCCCCTCCTTTCTGCTTCAACTCATCACTGGCCTTTATCAAAACGAGTAATCGGCTCGAGGGGTCTGTCAACTGAGCTCGTTGGCAGTAGCGCAGTGGGCTAGGTGTCTCTGTAAGAAAGAGCTGTATATGTACCAAGTCTCCAGGAGATATTGGGGATTTAAGCTGTCGGTTGACTATGAATGTGTAGTCGTTAAGGTTAATCTGAATAGATCCCGCCACTTCTTTGACTCTTTTTTCAACTCCATGTTCAAGGAAGGTCTGGTAAGCTGTATACTTCTTTTGTTGCCATGCATTTGTCCCTAATCCGGATGCTCGCCTTTGGTTGTCCAGGTAATACTGTCGCAGTCGCTTGTCGGGCGAGTTGCAGAGGCTATGGTAAGCTTTCCTTAGTTCCTCGGCGTAATCCATTTGCTTGCATTGGCCTGAAAAAATAAGCTGGATGAAGTCCTCTCGTGAGGGACCTTTTGTCGCAGTTTCGCCCACTTCTCCGGGGAAACGTTGCCAGATGGGTGGCGCAATATTCAAATGAAATCCAGCCCACGGCATTGAGGCCTGAGGTAGGTATTTCTCCAGGTCTGTTGCTCTCAGTGTTTGGAGAATACAGGCCATCCACATCTCCTCTAGGTTAAGAATGTAGTGTCTGGAAATTTGCGGCAAACTTGCTTCATTGAAGATAGCCAGGGTGACGAACTCCGAAGCAAGCCCTCCTTCCATATCCCAAACATAGTAATGCAGAGAAGGGTTATCCCTTCGATAATCTGAGTCTTCGTGGTCGCCAATGCGTTTTGAAAGGTTGATGGCTTGTCCAACATACAGCCAAAATCGATCTGGGTTGTCTTTCTTCCATAGAATATGGAGATAAATTCCAGCTTCTTTGCATTTCTGTGGCTCTCCACCAAAGGATCTCAACCTTCCTCGGAGCATTAGTCAAAAAGCGCCAGATACAAGAGGCCAAGGGACGGCCAGCTTACCTTTCAAGAGTAAAGCTTCCATCTTTACAAGCTTCTTTGACTGGAGGGATCAATGCGTTCCAAAGCACTTCTTGTAGCTTTGTTCCCTCCTCGGACTCAAGAAAGTCTGCGTATCTACCCCTGTGGAGGTCCTTTATTCTCGACAATAGATGAGCTAGCACGGCATCGCAGTCGACGTCCCTGAGATCCGGCACAATCAGGTTTGGAACTTCAATAACAGTTGGAGTATCCCTAGCTTTTCGTACCCATTCTAGAGGAAGCTTTTTAAAGTCGTTGGTTGCTGGTAGCTCCCTCAAGAGCTGTGCATCAGGGTTCTGGGCCTTCTGGTGGGGTTGATTGTTGGGGGAATCAAGAAAAACTTTGATATGTTCAGTTATTTCCTCGGGCAATCCACCAAGGTGCTTTATGCGCCGGCTCAGTTGAGATCTCATGTTGTCTAGAGCCCTCTTTTCTCTATTTTCCTGGTCGCGCTGTAGCTTATTTTCTAGCCTTTCCCCCTTTATCCTGAGCTGCCGCCGACTGGGGCTTCTCTGTCTGGTCTTCTTGCTCGGATAACTATAGAAGAAGTAGGAGTACATGTCTTCGGCTTTCCTGACGTCGCCATGGAAAAATCGGCTTGCTGTATGGGAGACTTGACTGGCCAAACCTCCATGCGACGTCCTCCACGATCTGCCTTCTTGCTCTCGACTAGTGCTCGTTCCTGTTGGACTCGTCACAGTTCCCAGGAAATTCGTTGGGGTCTATTCGATCCCTTTTCTCGGGCTCAAACCTATCGTAAAGGAGGAAGATAGCATCTTTGATATGTTCTCTGTATCCCTAAATCAGTAAAGGAAGTTCTTTGGCTGTGGATCTAAGCTCTTCCTTCGCCCTCGGACTAGGCTTTTGGCCATCAATATCGATGTCTATGTCATCAAGAATATGCTCGATGCCTTTATGGTAGTCTTCTAGGCTCTTGGGGGTGAACGACATGTTGGATTTGTCTATATTATTGGCTGTTCAGGGGGGGGATACAAAGGAAGAGGTGAGAGAGGAAGAATAGATCCAAGATAAATCTTGTCACAGGAATATATGACCATATAAAGCTCTAATTAATGTCTGGACATTTTCAGTGGCTCAGCAGTCTAGTGGCCCCCTAGATTTTGTCAAGAATCTAAAGATAACCCTCACTTTTGCTACCCTACTCTCACTTTCACCCTCTATTATATTGGGTTCCTGCTATGGATCGGGGCTATATGTAAGCACTGGATGATACACTAATGCTTCATATGCACACTGCTGCTTAGACGGTTGGTATTCAGTATAGATACATATGTGAAAGGGGCTTGTGTTCTCGTATTTTTGTGGGTGGCTAGGGATATCATTGATATATATATGCTGCAAGGCATCGTATTTTTCCACGCTATATATTTTGGCTAGTCACATATATAACGTCCGAGTCTACGATGAGAAAGTCGAGATAGTGTCAATTTCTACTATTTGCCCAAGAGAGCTTTAGTATTAAAAGTATTAGCTATATGATATTTTTTCAAGTCATATATATAGCCAAGTATGCCAACGTTCTTAAGGTAGGTATTTAGGTACCTCAGGGATAGGCTATCAGGCTTACAAACTGTATTCATTCATATAACAATAAGCTGAGCCCTATTTCATCGCTGGGATGATGGCGCAGTTGGGAGCGCGTTAGACTGAAGTTGTAACTTCAGCCAAGTAACACCAAGTGTCATCTAAAGGCCGCCGGTTCAATCCCGGCTCATCCCATTCTTTTTTTGTTTCCGTTTTTAATTATCCACCCAAAATACCACATGATAGCACCTTATATTATTATTATGATTATTGATATTGCTATTACTACCAGTCCTGCAACCTATGCCATGGAGTACTGCAAGTATCACAGGTCATTCTGTTTATACCAGTCTCTGGTTGCACGAATGCAGTCGGTCAATCTGCCATTCCAAGTATGAGAAGCACCTGTCTGTTACCCATTGATCTAGGGTCAAGCACCCTGTAAACACCGGCAATTAAGCCGACATGTCCTGTAAAAATCAATTAAGCAGAGATGCCTCGTAGAAATCAACTAAATGGGCGCCTCGCCTGATAGTACTTGCTAATTTACAGGGGACCTGCCCAGTAAATAAGTAAATCTCAGTGCACCTGCCCTGTAATAAAAAACCCTACGCGGAGTAATATCAACAAACCATCTATCTGCAGAAGTATAAGCAGTTTGTTTTATCTACGTACAGGCGGTACTGTCTCACTTACTGTTATTTGGCACTAAGGATTTGGCATGGAGATCATTTTGACAACCTGAACCACACACACTTAATCAAATTTATGTATTATATAACTAGAGTATAAATAAACCTGATACAGGATTTTCAACATATTACACATGGGTTATATCGTCTTGAGACGAACCACCCCAGCCCATGCTCATCCCCCATGGATGCTGTCTAGACAGCGGACATACAAAATATAGTTAACGATGTCTCAACTTTATATCTTGAACAGGGTCCTTCGGCACCCCACACAGGATGGGGTAACTCCCTCGGCACCGTTGATCATTGATGAACATGCAGTGCATGGTTTATTGCTGTACAGACCAACCACCCTCATATGAGCCGTTGAAACTACTCGCTCTCGACCCCGTACTCCGAACCCCGAACTTCCTCCTCGAAACAGCCCGCTCTCGGTTATCCTCAACGGCGACAAGATAATGGCATACAAGCTGTTCGAAGACGAGGTGCTTGGACCTAGGAATCGTTAGTAAACAAGTCCTTGCCATTGTGAAGAATGCTCTGGGTTCGATAACCTTTTCCCGAAAGCAATGTTTACCGAGCCGCCGACTGACTGGATGGGAAGAATGCGTTGCCGATCAACAGGGGCAGAAGCATCCCAACCCCCTCCAGGCAATGTGGCGCTGCAAATCTCATCATGTCTTGAAATGAGTCTAGGCTGAAAACAGGACACAGAAGATGCAGGGACCTGTGCCTCCAGAACGTTGACTGCCATGGTTTTTCTCCAAGGGTCTCTCTACACACCTGTCTTGACCGTGTACGGATGACATTCCCCCCCCCAAAGGGACCTGTGATCTTTTCCCCCGCCACGCACATAGGCTTCCGATCTCAGGTATGTGAGCTATGAGACAAGCGCCTCTGCCTGCCTGGCCCTTGGAAAGCATGGCCTTGATCGGTTGCGGAGTGTCGGTGACTTGTCACAGTGCCCGTGGGTGATCTGCCTATATAGTTCATGCAACTTGTGAACGAGCCGATAGTTTCTTTTTCACGCTTAAATACCTCGTTGAGCACCCCCGGTTTGACAGAGCATTATCATCGAGGACCTTTAAAAATACCCAACCGCCTTTGTTGAATTGCATACCCTGTCGTTATACCCCCTCTCTCATCATGCGTTATTTCACTTCTACCCTGGCTATCCTGGCCATCTCTGCAGGCTTTGCTGCCGCCGACGTATCGTCTGCCGCTGTTGCGTCCGTCCCAACCACGGTCACCACCACTGGATATAAGTGCGCTGCTCAGAAGTACGACCCCCCATCCCTCTCACTGCCCCAATGGAAAATGACCTGGCTATTCAATGTTCATAACTGACTCGTGTTCTTTAGCATCCTTGACTCCTGCCTGGTGACAGAGAAGAACCAACTAGCCACCTGCGAACCCAACGACTGGAAGTGTCTCTGCACCCAGAGCAACAATGTCTTGACGTGAGTATTGCATTCAGGGAGAGGAAAGAGGAAAAAATACGATGTTAATGTCGATTTGATAGATGCTACAACAACTGCCCCAACCACCCCGACCAATTCGGCGCCGAACAAACCACAGACTCCTACTGCAACGCCGCCAAGGCAGCAGGTGACTTCAGCTCTACCACTGCCGAAGCGCCGACGAGCACCGTGAGCTCCGACTCGAGCTCTAAGACCAGCGGGTCGACGGCGACGACGACCGGCTCAGCGGACTCGAGCTCCGATTCTTCCTCGGACAAGGACGACTCATCCTCTTCTTCCTCGGCCACCAAGTCTGTCAGCGGCTTCTCGGCAGCGACTTCTCAGGGCGCCGCGCCGGGGCTGGCTATCGACACCGGTAGCCTGCTGGCTGTCATGCTTCTTGGTCTCGGTGCTGTGCTGTAAGCAACAGTCCGGATGAGCCTTACGTTGATGAGTGTGCTGGTTGGCACTGAAAAAAATCTTGGAACTGAGTTATGTCTTCTTTTTTTTAATTCTCTTCTTCTTATTGGTTCCTACTTTGAAGAAGGGAATGACCATGTACCTTATAATACCTACCTAATAATAGACCCTCGTCAACCGATGAGTTGAGCTTTCTATCTAACAACTAGAGCCAAGTAGCTAAGATGTGAAGAGATGATTGGAATTCTATCAAAGCTCTATATTTCAATTATCATGACGACCGTACCATCTATAAACATAGCCCCGGGTATGCACAAAATATGTATCTATAAGATATATGCACATGAAAAAAGAAATCAATGGACAGGCATGGGGTATCAATGCTCCGTAGAAAAGAAAAAGAAAAGAAAAAGAATGGCAACGCGATCTAAAAGCGGGTGTTATGACGGGTAAACCAGCGGGAGACAAGGGCAAACGAGGGAAATAGTTGTCGCGATTTCCAGATGGCAATGAAGACGCCTGCTAGGGCGAGGCTGCTGAGGAGGAGCTCGGGGAGATACATGTCGCTGAAGAGAAGGAAGGAGGAGGAGGATGAAGAGGGGGACTGAACGGACACGTTAGAAGATCGAATACAGTCTTGTGTAGATACAAAATGGACAGACTTACATATTCAGGATCTGTTTCAAAAACATTGGTATAGCCTAGATCCTTGCCGTCAAAGCCGACGGCCGCGACGCGGAGATAAGGATGAGCAGTCTGGGGCAGGTCGAAGCAGGTCTCGAAGCCCGTTTTGGGGATATAGTCTAGGGTCTCGAAGTCGGCGTCCTGCGCGTGCGGGTCGCCGGATCCCTGGAGGACCCAGCCGGCGACTTCGGTGGCGCCGTTCCAGCTCACGTAGAGGCGGTCGCCGCCGTCTTCGAGCTGAAAGGTAGGCGGGTAGCTGGGCGTGCCCACCCATTTAGCCTTTTCGGTGCGGTAGGATTTCACCCAGCCGAGGCGGAAGAACCAGCGCGGGCTGAAGTGGACGTCGCACAGGACCTCGCCGTCGGCGGTGAACTCGGTCCAGGCTGGGGTCCGGCCCCAGCCGACGAAAACGTTGCCAGTGTCGGGCATGACCTGTACGGAGCCCTGGGATCGGCTGAGCCAGCCGTCCGGCGGGTTGAAGACCTGCAGAGTGGTGGCCGTCATGGCGTCCAGATCTAGCGAGATCATCAGGCCCCGGCTGTGGTCTGTGGTGATCTCGTCCTCGTCCGCACCGTTGTCGAAGACCGTCACAATGTTGTCGGGATGCCAGCGTGCGTGGTGCTGCCAGCTGAATCCCGTTGCTGAGCCGTCTTCGGAAAGATCCTGGAACATGTTGCGTTTACCGCCGAGAACCCAGCATAGATCGCCCGACGGTTTGACGCAGGTCAGGGTATGCATGTAGCGCGAGGAGACGAGGTAGTTGCCCTCGGCGTCCTTGTCGACGCTGTTGATGTGGAAATAATCCCACGCGCTGGCCTTGGTGGGCTCCCGACCCTTGTCGCCCAGCGGCGAATACGCCTCGTCCACGGCGTAGTGGTCCCGAGCCCGCCATTGGAAGACCACTTCCCCGGTCTCGAGATCAACCTCCTGGAATACCCCGTCGTAGATCCATCCATCGGAAGGTCCGCCCACGGAGGTGAGGTCGGCAGGCGTCATTTCGTAGATGGTCATCAGGGCTGTACCATTCTCGGTGAGTTTGAATTCATGGAGATCTCCCATGAGCCCATTCGCGGCGGTAATAATGTGTGCGACTTCATAGGATGAATCTAGCTGTGAGAGAGGAAGGGTGTGAGTATGATACCTTCACGGTATAGATAACAAAACCCCGGTTTATATTCTTGTTTGCTCACCATATAGTATTGGCCATTGCCTCGAGTGCCGTCATCCTCGCCGGCCCAAAAGGTCAAGTAATCCCGTCCCTTGTAGTGTTGGACTTTGAGATCCATCACCATGCCATACTTGTTCTCCATCCAGACCAGATTGCCGGCATTGTCGAAGATCAACGGACCGGGTTCCGGGTAGAACATCCCGCGCGGCGTGAGAAGGATGTGGCCATCTTCACATCGCGGATCTGACTTGATGACATTGAGCTCCGGCGCTTGGAGATCGAAGGACTCGTAACTGACGGTGGGATGGATACCGAAGAGGCCGAGATCATACCAGAAGCTGTGCCAGGATTTCGCAGAGGCCAGCAGCGGCAGGAAGAACAGAATCGTCAACAACACCATTGCTCTCGGTGAGGGTAGCAGAGAGGAGGGAAAGACGCTTCCAAGCCCTTGGAGAGAGATCTTCTATGCGATACAACCGATCGACCAGTCGAGACATGGGAGGGGGGGGTGGTCGAGAGCAAGGAGGGAGTCTAAACTTTCCAAGGAATAGGTCATTGAAGAGGTAGTAGTGTAGGTAGGTTAGTGGGTAGTAGATACTTGATATCTAACTACTTAGTTAACTAGTAACTAGTTACAACCTTATCATCACTTGGTTAGTTGCCTCTTTGCACAATTGATTGTTTTGTAGTTCGTCAATCAGTCAGTTTAGCCATAACGCTAGTTAGTGGAAGAAGATGAAGAGGAATGGAGCCAGTTGGCGATTAGTTCCCTGGTAACAAATGGGGATGGAGACTCGTAACTACCACATACGTATGTTTTATGGGAGACTCCATTAAGGAAATATGGGCTACCCACTATGGAGTACGGACTGTGACCACTTCACTGTTTCTCCTATCCAGATCCAGAGGGAGACAAAAAAAGATCTGGTTTTGGAAGACGATGACGAAGCCATCCACAATTAGATACCAAGATAGGCTTGACGGACGCCACAAAGGCCCCTGAGTGGATAATCGGCTTCAGAAGAAGCACTTGGACCCAGCAAATCAATGCCTTGTTCCGCCAAGGTCTATCCATATACGGAGTACGGAGTACTATAACTAGTAGTATACAGCCACATGGTTCTTGATCAATGAACGATGAACAGTATTATTTGACCAAGGGGGTTTCAGCCACCAATCGATAGAGATTAGACAGTGAGACACACCAGGGCGGGCTACCTACCTACCTGCCTCCTAGGTTCGGATTTGAATGACTTCATAAAGAACCACCAAAGCCTCTTGAATGTAGTATTTGACACGCAACCTCCATGCTCGGGTGTAATTCCTTGATTGTTGATGTTCGTCTGATCACCTGCCCGGAATGTGATAGTGCCTCAGTGCTACACTGTGAAACCAACGGCCCATTATCTTGGAAAACTAGCCTCTAGAGAAAAGCCATGGATCCATAGAGCAGGGTCTTGTTCTCGCTGGAAAAGGGGGTTGATTGGATATTTTTATCTTGGCGTGGGGAGGAGAGTGGAGAGGTATCGGTAAGGACGCCGGTGCTGTTCCTTGCTGCTACTGGAGTAGAAATTAAGTTAGGATGCGCAGGATGAGTGTACGGAATAAATATTCGGAGTACTTACGGAGTACTAGGTAGTAGGTAGTAGCTACATGGTTAGGTACTGACCTCGAGTATTAGCCGTAGAAAAGAATCTCTCCCTCTCCTTTAAGAGGGAAGGAACCCTCAGGGGGTTTAGTCCAGTTGACATTTAATGTTGCATTCTGTAAATACACCCAAGGCGAAAGAAGATGCAGGATTGGCAGGACGGTAACGCGAGTGAATTTCAGAAACAATTACGGAGTACTCCCAGGTACCTGGCAAAGTTGACGTATGTAACTACGAGGTAACTAAGGGTATGTAAGTATGTACGTGTAGTTCTAAGGAAGGTACGTAGGAGTCCCGCTATTATTTTCCGCACTCCGGCCGGACTCGGAGTAGTCCTTCTACGGAATAGCTTCAAGTCGGGCTGGACAAATGAAATGCCGCCAGAGTATCGAAATTAACGATTGATCGGCCTATCAGAATGTCGGGTCGAGTGTGGGTCGGCTTGCCGCATTTTCGTAATGGCTTACGCAGGCCAACCCACTGAATTCTACGAGTATGGAGAGGTACGGAGTAACTACTAGGTACTAAGGTACGGAGTAACAGGTGTATTGCTGATGTCCCTGCCACCTTCTTTATTGAAGAGTTTATATATTATACTCTACTGCAAAAGTGATCCTAACCATCTGCAAGAAGGATGGATGTCATCTATACAAAATTTGATCTAGGGCTTCCTAGTAAATAAAGTGAAAGAGTATGATTTACATAGATCAATGCTGAATCTATACGGAGTATAAGGGTGTTTTGATCGGTGGCATGGGCATCTGTAGCAGAATAACATTGACACGAACAGGCAAGACTGTTTCCAAGCCTATAATGATAAGGTAAGGTGTGGAAACTGATTGAGGGCCGTCTAGATGATTTGCTCGTGTTTGATGTGCGAGAGGGTCGCCTCTCTAGTCCATGTCAAGGACTTTCATCTCAGCAAGAAGAGAGTACAATTGCAAATTCACCAATCATTCGCACCACGCATCCTCAAGCCGGGGACGTCACTTTCAGAGGCTTTAGAAGTCCCTTCCGCCGTTTTAACCTTGGGGCTTGTCTCCCCCTTGTTCTGAGGTTTCGAGGGTCTTTGGATAATTGGGATATTCTCAAATATCCACGGGACACGTGTCGCCCACTGGGCTAGCAGGAACCTGTTCGAGGTTTGTTTCTAGCTCCCTTCTTCAATTCCAGTGTCCTCTTCAGAGACGGGTGCAGCCACATCACAGTCGAAATCGAGCTCGTTGTCCGTCACATCAGCGGCGCCGCTGATAGCGACGACTCAGGTTAGAATCCACAGAATGTGCCTTCCCCCTTAAGGCCATGAATGTTGGTGCAAAGGCACAGAAGACTGGTATAAACCTTGGTGCCGTCGGGTCCAAGTGCCACCTGCTTCCAGCCCTCGATCCTTCTCCTGGTTCAAAAGAGCTCCGGGGTACCCCAGAAGTCTGTCTGGGAGTTGCTCCCTTCTCCTTTACCCAAGGAGTATGGGTAGATGTGCGCGACTTCGAGGGGCTCTCTGGCTCGAGTTATCAGGCACGTATGCTGGTCTCTTTCTATACACTGATCATTCTTAGTAGATGCTCTATCAGAGGGAAAGGTATAACGCAGACGACAGTGTGTCTGGCTTGAGAAGCAGTGCTGAAGAACTCTTTAAGGATGCGCTGTTTTTTCCCGGCATATATGTGGTAGGCGTGTCAGGAATGACTGCAGGAGGATCGGCGAGCTCAGACGGCTCCAGATCCTCTGAGATTCTAAGACCTGAGCGAAGCCTAGACTTTCTGTCGACCGTGACATGGGGGTGAGGAGACAGATAGGAAAGCCTTTGCAAAGAAAGATGAGAAGTAGTTCAGAGAAGAGGATTATAAGAAGAGATTCGTTTAAAGTGAAGGAAGAGGAAGTGAGAAAAGTGAGCCTGGAAGTGGTACCTAGGGAGCATCTACCCTTAAAGTCATAGGAACCGAACCTTCTTTACTATCAACTGCCTTCACTACCAACCTCTTTCTTCTATTCAACAGTGCTTTATTCTTTTCTTAATTTTTTTTATAGTTATTTTGTTTAGCTTCTTCCCTCTACCCACTGTCCTTCGATGCCTATACCTAGTAGTTAGCATAGCTACTCTGTACTCTAGGGTGGGATCAAGTTGGGAGTGACCAACTCTATCAAAGTGTAATAACTACCCAACCTATCCATTTTTAATGATCTAGTTATATCCAGCAAGGTCATATCTTTCTACGAAATGTTGATTTAACAATCGATATTCGATGACACTCAATAACCATTCTACAGATGATCGAATCCTTCTGTGCATTGGACGGCAAAACACGGTAGTATTTCTCTACAGACTACTGCTGCAGTGAAATACTCGGCCTTGCACTCTGTTGAGACGAATAGATATATAGTAGATTACTAGACACTAGATAGTTAACAGGAGATATTAGCAAAGGAACGCGCCATACCCTAAACAACCCCACCAGAATGTCCATCAATGCTTGTTTTTCCCCCTCTTTGGCCGGGTTGCCCGCTCGGACAGCTGTTCTGTCTCATGTTTCCGTTTCAGCTGTTGTGCTTCTTTCGTCGTGGGAGTCGACTCAGCCCCTTCCCGACTCTCCTCATCGGGCTTCCCCTCTTGCTTCTCCCCTTTCCCCTGAACTGCTGGACGGAAATAGCCCGCAACCTCAATGTGTCCAAGCACAAAAGCCACTTTTTCAATGTCCAGAATAGACACGGTTGGATCCTCTTCTTCTTCACCCTCTGGAGAATTCTGGAGTCGGGACCTTAGACTCTGCACCGCAGTATAAAGGTTAGAAAACTCCGGCATGTTATACTTGACGGACAGTTCTCCGTTGGGGCGCTTGTGCTTCGATACGCTTTCGGGCACTTCCCCCTTCTCAGCGGATGGGAATACTTCTAGACACAGCCAGAGGTACACTTCGTCACTGTAGAAGGGCACCTCGTGTTCGGGATCGCGTGCGGCAGTCCCCGCCGAGAGAATCAGCGACGCAGTGGCGGGGCCGACTCCTCGCAACGCTTTGGTGAGGGTATCCATGCTTGTCTTTGGGAACGACAGTCTCAAGTTCTTATCTGTCGTGTCGCTTGGAATGGCCGCAAAGGCTGCTTTCGAAGTCTTGCGAACGGTGATTTCCGAATTCGACTTGGCCATCCCGACAAGTGTTGGACGAAAGTGTCCATGTGTTCTATCAGAAAGTTAAGCTTATATAACTAGATAGTAAAATATGTGTGGTAACTCACACTTTCCATTCAATCAACTTGACCAGTTCATCCTTGTTGATGTAGACATCTTCCCCAGACCCCCTCTCCTTGATGAGCGCCGGCAATGTGACATATCGCCACTCGTCAAGCTTGACGCCAGTCTCGATGGCATCTTGGATGGATTTCTCTTCAGAGTCAGAGTAAACCCGGACTTTATCCTTCTGTGCAGCGGCTGCTGCTTTGGCTTTCTTGCCCCTGGGTTCGAGTTTTGCTTTCGCCTTGCTTCTGAAAACTTCCCGCACAGTGCCCGGGTAACAAGCCAGCAGGCGCCGAAAGGTCGAGAGACTGATCTTCGATGGGTCAAAGGATTCTGTGATAGGTCCTGCCGACATTTTCTTGACAAGAGTCCGGATCAGCTTTCAAAACAATCGTTTCAACTTTCCTTTTCAAAATGTTTATTCCCTACTGTTAGCTCTGCAAATACATAATTATGCGAACAAAAGATGAAACTCTGGCTGTCTTAATTACCAGACTTGATATGGTAGGGGAGGGAGTTGAAGTAAAGGTTGTCAACAGATGTTTGACATAGCATTGTACTGTCCAATACAGATAGATTACGGAATATTCAGTATAATGGACTGCTCAGTGGTTACCCAGTAAGTAAATCTTGTATTGGAAATACCCAGTGATAAGATAAGGCTTCGAGAGGGTAGAGAGAGTATAAACTAACTGTATCAGACTGCGAACCTCATTTGAAAATCACTAAACATCTGTCTGTAGTACCGTACAGCCACTTTACCAGAGAACTTTTGGCTCCTTTTTGGCTCCCTTTTTACCAATCGAGATATGGATGTACAATGATGTAACAGTCTGTTCTTTCTTATTATATAAACATATCTCATACAGGAAGAGAAGAGAAGAGAGTACGAAGAAACGGAAGAAACAAAAATAAGAGTGTTCCTCAGCACTCAGGGGCCGGGGTACCTTTTTTTCCATTCCCAGGTACCGGCACGGCTCTCATACGCATAACATCAATGAGAAGTTGTGAGATCGATCTCGGAAAACGACAAATATCTAACTCATCCCTTCCTTCCCCCCCTCAAGATAAATCTTCACTTCTTCTCGACAAAACTCACCCGCCGCTCGTTCTTGCCGCGACCCAGCGAGACAATCGACGCAGCGGCGATCAGACCGTCCTTCTTCTTGGCCTCGCGCGCCTTGAGTGGCTTCGATAGCGATCGCGGGTGGCGGTTCGTGGTCGACGTGGTCGACGTCGTGTTACCTTCCTCGTCCTCGTCCTCGACTTCGATGTCGTCAAACCGGCGGTCATCCTCGTCCCCAGCCTCTGAGGGGCTCGGGCTCGGACTTTCCGATTCAGACGCCGCCTCGTAGTCGTCCTCGTCGTCGCTCACCAGACTCGGCGCTTGATTCGATTCCAATGTGTGAGGGCTAAAGTCCGCCCCATGCGCCAAATTCTCCAGATGCCCAGGCGGCGGCGCATGGTCCGTCACCGGTGAGACTGGGCCGTAGGGAGACGTGTAAGGGATGGAGCTACGGGGCGTCAAGGATTCCAGCAGATGAGACGGTTTGTTATTGTTGCTGCTGCTGCTGTTGTGGTTGTGGCTGTCGAGTCTTTTGCGACTGTCAGGTCGTTGCGATGACGTCTGAGCGACGGTTGTCCTCATCGGCTGTCTACTCCCTCGGCTGCTGACCGGCAGCGGCGTCTGATCAATCATCTTTGAATCCGCCAAGGGCTCCGAGGGTTCACCGTCCGACTCCTCGCCTGCCGAAGAATACGCATCAAGGTCGACCGCCGTCTTCGCCTCACCGACCAACTGGCCGAGATCCAGACCGACGCCGCGCAGTTGCATCAGTGACGATAGATGAGGAGCGTCCGGAGAGGCAGTAAATGATGAAGCGTGACTAGCCGACATAGATGCACTCGCGGTCTTCTTTCGATGAGCCGCATAACGTGGGGTCGGGGTTGCGATCAACGGTACCGCCGCCTCAGATGACTTTCGAGGCGTGGAGCCTGCAGAAACCTCTTGAGAGGCGGAGCCCGAGTCGATGGCACGAGCCGAGCGAATGAGGGGGTGAACAAAGGCGGCAGATGCGGCATTACTGTTGGTGTTGGTGTTGTTGTTTGAGGAGGAAGAGGAGGAAAAGGAGGAGGGCTCAACCTTGCCGCCAATAATCGCGCCAGATTCGTCCACCTCAACGGGTTCCCCCGAAGCCATAGCGGCCGCGTCATGGCTGGCGAAGTTGCGATTGTGTGCGATACGACAGTGGTTGATGAATCCCTGGGTGCTGGAGAAATTATCTCGCCGGCAGTCCAGGCAGATCAACTTGACCATCACACCATCCGACTTTCGTCGGATGATCATCGGGCCTGCCTTGTCCTTGGGTGCTGGGTAGCCACTGGGCAGAGACTGCAGTCTCGCCCCGCCTGCGCCTCTCTGCGAGCGGGATGTACCCAGTAACAATCCCATATCGCCCGGGTTTCCGCGAGTCGACCGGCCCTCCGGGATCGATGGATGGCCGGCGAAAGGAAGTTCAGGCGCCACCTCGCCTCCGTCAAAGCGAGGATCAGGAAGCAACCACCTGGCATAGTGGCGGGTATAGGGTCCATTCGTCACACCCCAGGGTGCCGGTGATTGCGGTGCTGGTCCATTTCCAGGAGGAAGCACGGCCGGACCGGTACCGCTGCTCACGGATTGCGAGAGGGCCGCCGTCACAGAGGACCCCGGGTAAGGGATCTCGGCGCAGCGTCGGAGCTGTTCCAGGGCGACCTGGCACTTGGCAATCTCCTGGTCGATCAACCGCAGCTCGTTGTGCTTGAGGAGCACCTCCAGGCTCAGCTGAGCTTCCAAGGTCTCTCGCAGCCGGTCCCGATCCACCCTGGGCGGGACAGCGGTGGTAGCGCGATCGCTTGTCGAAGCATGGGACATGTTGGATGAGGGTATCGACGTCTCCGTAGAAGTGGTCGTGTAAGCCAACTCTGGGGTCGTTGCAAGCGATGGGTGTAGATGATCGGCGGTGCCGGTGTTGGTGGTCGTCCTCATTGTATTGGTAGTAGTAGCGGTCGCCGCGGCGGCGGCAGCGGCGGTGGCAGCAACAGCAGCAGCAGCAGCGCCGACGTGTCGCAGTTTGAGAGCCGACGGCGCATCGATGCAGGCGACCGAGTCACTACTGGATTCAGAGCGTTTGCGTTTGAGCGGCGGCAGCAGCGCAAAGCTGCTACTGTCCATGCCGGATGGAGGAGGACAGTGTCCCGGGGCAGCTAGCATCTTGACCTCCTCCGCCAACGCTTTGTTGCCTCCAACCGAAGAGGACCAGGGGAGCAGTCGAAACATGCCATGCGAGAAGACAGCGAGCGAGCGAATTTGTTGCAAAGGGTAGTTCGGATGAAGGCGCGCGACCACGGCCACGAACGGCCTGTGTTTCTTCGCTGTGGCGAGAGGAAAGCGAGACGATTTATTTTTATTGAAGAACTATTAACACCTGCAGGTACAGGAAAGGGTTGAAAAAAAAAGAGCGGACGTCGTTGTTCGACTTGGGTGGTTTGTACGTTGTGTCGGGTTTGCGACCGTAGGGCCACGGATCAAAAGGTTGGGGCCACCGACCGATCGACCGACCGACCGGGGGAAGGGCGGAGAGAGAGACGACGACAACACGAGACGTCACACCTAGACGCCGACCGCGTCACAGCTCGAAACTAGTGTCTAGCGAAGGGGAGAGGGATGAGATATTTTTAATTTAAATCAGCGATAAAAAGTGTGATCCCAGGGGGGTTGCGATCAAGGCTCGAGTATCCCGACCGAGGTGTGGTGGTTGCCTTTGTTGTGTTGGTGGCGTTGAATAATAGAAAAGGGAGGGAAAGGGAGGGAGGCGGTGGGAGGGTTTGTGATACTTTTGGTCCAAAAAGGAAGATAAACTATTTATTTTATTATTAAAGAGGAATAGAAGAAAGAAGAATGGCAAGGAAGAGGCAAAGAAAAGGGCGAAGGCGAAAAGGGCGGGAAGGCAGAAAGGAAAGGAGAAGAGGAGGAGGAGGAGGAGGAGGAGGAGGAGGAGGAGGAAGGATGAAGTGGGCAAGGCAGACAGAAACACGAGATTTAGTCATTAACCAGTATACAGTGGTAACTTAGAAACTAGTAGTAAGTTCTAGTGATTCAATAATAGAGATACTCTGAGGGCCTCTTTCTGATTCAGGTATTGTCTTGACAAGAGTAACTAGTAGGTAGCAGTTTGATCGTCCGTAATCGGTGGAGCCAACGATGATGCGATGATGGAGAGTGGAGAGAGTCTAGCCACAGATTTGTCCAGACAAACAAGACTCTATAAAGTTGGTCCCAAAAATAAATGTTTCAGTAGAGTCTACTCCGTACTTGATATGGAGTACTAGGTAGTTAACTTATAATATCTATGGTCAAATCAGGATAGTTGATAGATAACCACTACACAAATATTAATCAACCAATTCATAGATAACTTCCTAGAAATATAGGAATATCAAAATATAGAATACAAGCCCTGACCTGAGCCATGGATGAGGCGAGAGCTGATTTGCCACTCGCCCTGTCCTGGATGTTGTCATGCCTGTCTGAGATTACCTATCCGGGTTAGCTTGGAGGTACTTGAAAGTTAGCATGTCGTTAGTAGGAGAGATTTACTCCGTATATCGTACTCTGTCCACTGTCCAGTGTCTACTCTATATCCACAGTAATCAGATTATTATTTAACTACCTTAGGTAACTAGTTAACTAGTTAGTTGGGTACTACATATGAGAACGATATTTGCATCTATCTACCAGGTTACTTATCTACTAACTTTCGTAGTACTAATGTTATGATCAAATGCTGTAAATACAGGGTATCTAAAATAGAACCTGTCAAATAAACCTACTGCAGTTCAGGAATCCTCTCTGTGGTGCTACCTAAGGTCTCCGTAGTGCTGCCTACCGCCCCTTCATCCGACTGTTCTGCCGAACAAAACCCGGTACTTGGAAGGGCGGTCTAGAAAACGGAGAGCGACATGGTATATCCTTGGTATTAGTTAGTTACTTACTACCCCTTCCAGTCCCTCCAACAGACAAAACACAAGAAACAGAATGGTCTTTCAGCGACATTGATCAGTACTTTACCCTAGATGGATCCAGAATAGCCGTGTAGCACTCTGAAGTGTGCATCGGGCCTATTCTCACTGATTTCGTGTCGTCTTCTGCCTTCATAACCAATGTACATGTCCAGGCTCTCAATTGCTCCGTCTAGCCCAGGGAAAACGAGGCAACAGCGTGGGTTCAAGGGATAAATACTCCGGAGTCCAAGGCAGCCCCGCGGTTTTGCTCTCAAGGAAGCATTCATTATTGGATAGACAGAACACAGAGCACTGAGTACTATGTAGACACAAGAAGCATCATGGACCGAGACAAACATCGTTGCTAAAATCCTGCTATTCATCCACCCCTGCCTTCTCCGCCCAATTACAGCTCGCTACTCGGTATCTACTAAAGGCTGTATGGCATGATATTTGATTCCTTTTGGATGCAGACGTAGGAGTACTGGCATATTCGGGCAATCTCTTGCATATATTCCCTGCCAGCCAGGGTTCAAGATAAGAGGGAACATTCACGTCAGAACATGGCACATGCCTCCACCTGGACGTGACTTGCTGAGCTGTAGTAAAAGTTTTAACTTTTACCTCAGAGGAGATCTGCACCAAGATCCATCGGATCATCAACGACCATGCGAATCGGTATTCTCGCGCAACTGCGGGCTACGACGTATTGTCCGCATTGCATCGCGTCGCAAGCACCTGGGGCGTCGGTCCAGAGAAGGTGCTCTATGACACTGAAGCGCGCATAGGAAACGGTCGTGAAACACGCCTGATGCATCTGCAGACCGCTGATGTGCGTATGCCCGTCTGCAAGGCCCGCAACGGGGACTGAACATCTATGTAGAATATCTAGACATCCATCTGTGTCTAGATAGCAAAAGTCCCTGCTGCGGCATACAATCTGACTGTTATAAGCCATGACCTATAGGTACCATCCAAGTCGATGGATGTCTAGATTCTAGGTATTATCAGGAGATCCAGTATGAAACCAGAGTCATCACCCGAGACCATATCTGGTATCATTGTAGGAACGAGTATTCCAATCCAATAGCTTGATTTCATATACCTAGATATGCTCAATTAGATTGGATCGAATGGACAGACCGTGTCAAACTCATAGAAATGGTACATTCTCATGATACATCAGCCCTGATGGAAACATTTCAGGGAATCCAAAAAGTGAAAGGAAAAAAAAAGAACCCCCTAAAGACCGACTCCTGAAAATCAAAATCGCCATGGTAGCACTAGACGCTTGTCTTTTGTGAGTCCAATGGCTAGTATCCGTCCACTTCCAAGCCACCATATTCATCACACTGTCGGAGACTGCATAGGCTGATAGGTAGGGTAGGCTGTTGAGAATTGGTAGGTTGGTAGAAAAACCGCCATCGAAAAAGAAAAACCCGTGGGTTCATGCTGTCAAGTCTATAGATCACCCGATTGTCCGAATGTGAGAATTGGGTTAGAAATCTCCCTCCTTGACACGCAGGATGAAGTTGACAACCACGGCTGCCAGCAACGAGACGGCTAGCACGGTCGGCCCGAACCGGTCGTCGATGCCACTCTGCCCCCGCCGACGGATGCTCTGTGCCCGCCAGTGGAACGTCACCAGTGCATAGATCATGGCCGCCATCGCGATGATCGTGAAAAGACCCGCGGAGATGCGACCGATGCGGTCGCCAAAGTTCAGCAGACCGACCGCCAGTCCGCCTAAGATGACAGTGAAATTGAGCCAGGAGAGAAAGGTCCGCTCATTGGCAAAGAAGACCTTGGGTTCAACACGGGTGGGGAGCGCAATACGCTTGCCTGTAACTTGTCAACAGCAGCCCATGACAAACAGAATCCCCGCCCCTTGTTAGAGATGAGCGACGGACAGCGCGGGGGTCGAACAAAGGGCTGGCAGGAAGAGGAAGGAGGATTTCACAGACCTGGAGCGGTTTGAAGAAGTGGCTGGCTCGACATTTTTTCAAAGAATGAAACTGCTGAAGCGGTTGCGAAAAGAAGTCGAGAACCGTGCGTCACAGAAGAGAAGCTCCAAGATAAGGGATAGTCGGAGAGATTGTTCGGAGGTGAGAGGAAGGATGGTTGTTGATCCTAGTTTACGCGAGTGCCGGTATGCTGTTGGAGACCTGCTCAAGATCGAATTGAGGGAAAGATGAAAAACCCGTGAGAAGACCTCGGTGCGAAGAGGCCGTAGACAATAATGCAGGCCGGGTAGCTTCAAACAGCAGGATGGACCTATGGACTGGTGGACTCCAGTCGGTCGCCCCGAAGGGATTAGCCCAGCGCTGTCGGCTGCCATTCTGCCCCATTCTACCGCTGAAGCCCCCCCCACGTGCCCTCAACCCGCTGTCTCGATTGCTGGACGGCAACAGGTGGGCCTACGAGGTCTGGCCGATTAGCTGCCTCCCTGTTGCTATTACGTACTCCATAGCTGTAGTTGCTGAGTCCCTGTACGGAGTAGGTCCAGAGGTGCTCGACATGATGCGTTTCGGGCCGGATGATTTTCCGTCTCTTCTGCCCTCCTAGGATGTTAATCCAGGCTAAACCTCTATCGGACCCAGCCGGCCACAGCTGCCAAGCGCCAGCCGAGCCTCTCTCGGAGATGCTTAGCGCCCGTCCAACCATTGTTGATCCCGCGGCGGCAAAGCCTCCAAACATACGGTCCTGAACAAACACACACGGACGGGATACACCACCGCCTCTTGACCTGCAGTAAGCAACACCCCCCCCCCCCCCCCCCTGCGTTGATAGACCCCATCGGTGCGTGTTCTCGAAGCATAAGCTGACAATTAGAATAGAACAAGACTGTTTCTGACGGACCTTTGGATACTCTAGCGCTTTTCACCCCAGTGCGTATACCTACCTTCCTCTCCCCGCATTGCCCGAGTCCAATTCACGTCAATAGCTCCTATTGTCTCCCCGCATCTGGTTATCGCGCTGTAACAGAGCGCCATAAATAGACCTAGAGGCTGATTTCCGTTTGGGGTTGCTAGACTGCAGCTATATCTACTCGAATTGGGTAATTTCGCCATTGACTTGCAAATAAAGGCGGAAACAATACAAACACCACACACAGAATGGCTGTCGAGACCGCTCCTACTCTTGTACGTGCTCAGGCTATTACAATATGCCATGTGTTAATTTCACCTGCAAGCGAATGATGAACTCGCGCTGACATTTCTTTTCTTTCGATTGTAGCCCGTTCCCATTGAGGATCTCACCAAGGTCGCGAATGAGGTGCGTCATCTAGTGTTAAGGAAGAGCAGTCCTTCTTACCCCACAACAATTGATCACCGAACTTGCATCCGATATCTAATTGATATATATATGTATATATATAGGCTTGCGAATCTGCACTGAAGAGCTGCGAGAGCTACGACCACGCCCAGGTCGGCGAATGGAACTCCCAGATCATTGTAAGGCAATGAACTGCAAGGAATTACTAAAGCCCGGGATCACTAACATATGGTTTTTCTTTCCCTTTCAAGAACCACATTCTCAAGGCTCTCATCACGGCCACCGCCCCCACCACTCCCTCCACGCAACCTCCTTACCGCTTCACCGTCAACAGCACGATCGTCCAGCAAGGGCTCATTGACAAGTCCGCCGCCGCAGAGGGGGCCGCCAGCAACACCGGCAAGCGCGGCATGCACTCCGCCTCCGGTGCCTTCTGGGACGTCAACCGCGACGGCATGTGGACTTTCAAGTACCCCGGCGCCGAGGAGCGCGGGCTTGATGTGGTGGTCAGCGTGACCTGGTTCGCGGTGAACTAGTGCCAGGTGTGAGTGATATAGGGCAAAAAAGATATAACGCGGAAAAAAAAAACTACCTCTCTTTCTTTCTCTCTTCTCTTATATATTTCTCACTTTCTCACCTCTTACTTTCTCATTTTTTTTTGGTTCTTGTGCTCTATTCTACCTTCCTGGTTATAGTTTGCCTACTGCTGTCTCTTGATGTCATGTTAAGCGTCGAGTTCTGCAAGTCAACATCACTATACCTACCTAACATACTTCGGGAGCATATTATTCATGGGAAATCAATATTACAAAAACGCTGTGCCTTATACGTCTATAAGTTAGGCTTACATGTACAACTATATATCCGGTATGGAGAATCCAAGATTCGTTTTTTTTTTAAAAAAAAAAAAAACTCGTTGTATCATAATAACTGCGGATTGTATTACATGAAGAAAAGCAGTGGGTTTGCCTAGCGCCGTTCTGACCGTAAATATATTTGATTCCCCAAGCAAATTGCCAAACGCCATGCTAAAATGGTTAGAAAGACGACAAGGATATAATTGGCAAAAGATAGACAGAGAAAGCATGCCTCCCTAGGAAGAAAAAAAGTTCTAGCGAGGCTCCGAGTAGTCGTTCAGCGCGACGCAGACCGCACCCCGGTGGTGTCCGCTATACTGGCGAATGATTTGACCGGACGCCAGTTCCCACAGACGCGCGTAGTGGTCGCTCGACACAGTCACTAGGTACGCTGAGTCGGCTGAAAACGCGCAGTCCCACACCCAGCGCTGGTGGTTGGCAAGGGTGGTCTCTAGGTAGAGAGTTTTCATAGTAGGATCCATGGGAGGCCCGTCCGGCTGCACGGGGAAGGCCAGGGTGGGCTGAGGCTCATGAATTGGCCCACTTATGCCTTCGACCATGTGAAAGGGGTTGAGTTCACGCTGATTGGCTTCTTTATTCACAGGCTTTGGATTTTCACCGTTGTTACCAGTGGCACCGCTGGTAGGAGTGCCTGCATTGACTTCGGGGCCCGCGCTGGTATTGGCATCAGGTTTGGCAGCGGCCTGCGCAGCGGCAGCCTTGGCTGGCGGGTAGTCCAGGTCAAGATTCCAAACTTTAGCAGTATGGTCAGCAGAGCAGGTCGCTAGATGCTTCACGTCAGGAGACAACAGAAGGCGGGTTAAGTAGTCCTTATGAGCTTGGAAGGTGCAAATTGGAATGATACGCGTAAGCTCTGCGTCTTGGATCATGCGCCAAATGTAAACATTTCCCTACCAAAGAACCAGAACAGTTAGTTTACTTCCAGTTGAAAAAATGCCAGAAAATATACCGGGATTATCGTACCTTCTTATTACCAGCACACAGGAGAGAGCCATCACTGGCAACGCTGACGCTATGAACCGCAACGTCGTCCTCTGGGATCAACTGGTGGGTGCAGACGCTTTCGCCGAGATCCCAGACGCGGACAATGCCAGCGCGATCGCCGCTAATCAACTCCCCCTGGTTCGGATGAATCACGACATCATTGACGGCAGCCTTGTGGACATAGTTACGCTGGAGACTCCCAGTACGAGTATCCCACACCTTAACAGTGCCATCCTCGGAACTAGTCACCATCCATTTACCCTCACAGTGAAACGCAACTCCAGTGATGTTGTTGGTGTGACCCTCGAACGTCATGACAGGGTTAGGATTGGTCGACTTGATATCGTAGAGTTTGACATTATTGTGGCCAGCTGCTGCAAGGTATCGTTTATCGGGGGTGATGCAGAGACGATTCACTTGTGAATCGGGGTGCTGGATGGTACGAGAACATATCCCTGAGAGCGCTTCCCAGAAGCTGAGCGCATGATTAGTTTCGAAAACACCACCACAAGCCATATCCATGACCCTTCCATTTATTAGACTTACCGAATGGTATGGTCATAACCCGCTGCGAGGCATTGTTAGCATGTTTTCAGAACCGCTGCGGCAACAACCAAGACCATTACTTACCAGTGCAGAGGATGACGCTCATCTTTGCTCGCTACAGTTTCAACTCTTGCAATCTTGGCACGTACGCGCTCCTGTAATTCGAAACACTCAAATTTGGCTCTGCTAGATGCAGCACGCGCGCACACACTCTCTCTTCCAGGTCTGATCCCACTGGGACTTGTCGCTGCCCTCGGGGTGGGGGGGATGATGGCCGCCGGTAAATTGAGGTTGTTGACCGCCTTCGGGATAGCTCAGCAGCTTTTTTGGATTCCAGAGAGCAAGCACGTGAGCGGTATTGAAGGCGGTGTGGGAGGCGGAAGGAGGAGCAAAACAAAAAAAACAGAGGCAGGCAAATAGTTTCGCCATAACATCTCTTCACAGCGCTAGACTGCTGCCTCTTTCACGTTGAAAAATTATGGCAAATATGTATTAAAAGGCTGCTGTGGATGTGCGGTATGCTGGCTATATTCTGAAATCTTTCTGTGGCCTTGAAACTCTTCCCATCATTCTCTGACGACATTTAGATGTCACTAGGACTAAATCAAACCTCCTAAGAAGGGCGACTGTTCGTCAGCTTGACGGCTCGAATCTTACAAGCCCATGTGTTGAAGGCTTTTCCTTCGAGGTATCAAAAGGCAGGCTTTGTGGAGTCTACTGCTCTTTTTGAGTCATCAAGATTAGTGTTCTTGAGACTGTTATCCACGGTTATTTCGCCGCTTCGCCGGTGGTGTTCTGCCTAACCCACCTCGCCTACTTGCAGTGTCAAACGACCTTTCATCGCATCACCATACCCCTCCCAAAAGGAAACATCTAGACCGGATCTCCTACATGTGAATTCCCGACTACCCACTTTCTATCGAAGTTTGTACGACTCATCGTTTTCTACCCTTTGAACGGTGCTAGCGACGCTCGATTACCGCTACCCGTCGCTGTGATGGACTCGAGCATGGTTGAAGGTATTTCTACCTCCCCTAAGCACTGCTCTCCCAAATCACCCTCTTTCCCCTTGCCCGGACACTCTGTCCCTGTTGATTCTTCATCATCTGTCATGCCGTCGTTTCTGCTCGTGAATGATCTGGGGCTTACACCTTCCCCTGGGTCCCAGCTGCAGCAGAGGGATGATTCTGTTCAAGAATCCTCCCGAGCCGAGGGACCTCAGCACAGCCAAGTTTCTGCAGAGAAATCCATAGCCGACACGCCCGCTGACTGGGACACATCATGGCTCTGTGATGACTTTTGGAGACAAGTTACAGATGGCTATTCCCTTAGTCTTACGGATGAACAAGCGCTGTGCTTTCCGGATCTTGGAGATTCTGCTTCTATTCAGAATAGCGGGCAGCTCATGGGTCTGTTGAACACAGGAAACTCGGGCGTCACAGACAGTATTTTGCAGATATCTGACCCAGAAAATGGTGGTTTGCAATCAATTTCTGGAGATCCGGCTGACCTTGACAAAGCTTTCCTCCCAGACCCACTCTTTGATGCGGAATTCGGCCTTCATGATTTTGATTTATCTTTGACTGCCCAGAAACGGTCCGCGGACGAGGCTTTCCCCACGGATTTGAACTATCCAGTACCCCTTGAAAAAAGGCGAATCATTGAAGTCCCGCTCGACCAAGGCACTGCACCTTCAGTGGGCACTCCTTATTTGTCTTCTCCCAACTCGTCCCATCAAACCGGATCCGAAACTACAATCACTACACCTGCCGATACCGAGAGGCCGCAGACGCCGGATTCGCTCTTCGATTCTAATGAGGATGACTTTGGTGATGAACCGCTCTTCACAACAAGATCTGAAGAAAATGTGGCTCTAGATCTACCTTCGGAATACCCTACCAAGACTGGCTCTCCTGCCATACAGCTTAGCGTCACTGACCACTGTCCCACTATTGCTTACGATTCACAACCGGTTGACCATGGGTCCCACTATAGCACGGCAATTGGTGCTCAAGTTACAAAGGCTTTTGATACTCCAACACATGCTAGTGATATGACGGGGAAAAGGTTCGCTCTTCAAAGCCAAGATGTTGCTGCTACGAAGATAAACGAGGTTTTGAAACGCCAACATAGCCCACGTGATTACGTATCCCCGTATCCGGTGAACCGTGGTCTCCTAGGATATCTTCCATCTGCACCAGCGGTTCATGTCAAGAGCATTGAAGTGGCGCCGGAAAGCGTCTGTTTACGGGTGAAAGCCCTCCAACTCCGGATCAAACAGTTGACCCATGAGTGCCAGAAGTATAGAAGCCAATGGCTCGAGTCAACGACTATTGACAACATGACGGGAAAATCCAAGGTGGAGCTGCTCAAGGAGGAACTTGGTTCTGTCCGTCGTGTATCCGGCCATCATCAGAGCAAGCTGAAAGAGGCGAGACAGGAGGCTGAAGGATGGAAGAAGCAAGCCCAACACTATGCAACGATCTACAACGAGCTTCTCTACAATGTCCAACATAAGCTGCCGATAGCCACCTTCGTTTCGCCTGCCCATGCACCTCCGTATGCGCCAGGTTTGCCACAGGCCCAACACCTGGCACCCGTTTCTCGCCAGCAAATACCTCTACAACAAATCCCTGTTCAGAAACTCCCTCCACAGCAATTTTCTCCGCAACAATTCCATCCACAGCAGATCCCTCAGCAGATCCCTCCTCGAGAGCGGGTCACCGTGGACTTGACCTTGGATTCTGATACGGAATCAACCCCTGAACCGCAACAGACCCCTTCCGAGCCCAAGCAAACACCAGAGAACGCGGAAGCGCTGAAGAAAATTCGTAATAAGAAGTACCAATGGCTCGACAGAAGCAACCACCCGCAGCATCCAGCGCTGGCGCCAGCAGGAACTCGGGATATAAACGCAGATCGCGGACCGCCCGTTCTCAATGCAGATGAGGAGTTAATTCGCACTTTGGACGAAGAATTGGCGAAGGACCGATAGTTTATTTGAAGCACTTGGTTGGCGACGACGACCCCTGTTGCTCTTTGTCAACGACATGATTGGACGATTTTCTCTTTTCCTTTTCTAAGTGTTCGGTGATAAAACGGCATTCTTAGTATCAGCATAGCGAGGCGATTAAAGAGTTGAATTTTACTTTAAAAGGGTTAACCGGTAGGCGTGCAGATAACTTACATGATAAGACTTCTACTTAGTTAACTATAGTCTCATCTCAAGAATGAATAATTAATGATCATGAGTGGTTGCATCTATAATTGTATAATAATGCAAATAATAATCTAGGCTTCATGACTTCGTAAAGAGTGTCGAGCTTCTTCGCTTGTCTTTTCTTTTTTTCTTGGCAGGTATAAATAACAATAATAATGTGCCTGACGTCTCGCTTAAGGATGAATCGAGGAGAGATCCCTAGGAGCGAGTAGAGTAAATATCCAGATGCAAAACTGTCTTCCCGGTCCCCCTTTTATTGGATATCTATGAATTGAAACCCCGCTATGCATGTATAGGAATGAGAGAAAACCTCTCGACGAGGTCGATGGTCTGTTTCAACAAGCTGTAGGTTATGCGTGCAAAAATCCAAGAAGCCTCCCAAAGCGGTATTGATGGGAAAAAAATCTTTACGAGGCATTAGCCGTTCGTCCGCTATTCTCAGATGGAGAGGAAGAAGGAGGATTCTTTTCTCTCATTTGACGAGCAGAGTCTTTGTTCTTCATGGCTTTCCGAGCCTTCCTTCCACCGCAGCACGCAGCACAGCAAGAGCCGAATTGGAGGATGAAGGCAAGCAAGGAGAAGGCCGAGGCGATCCACATGAAGACCATCATGCGGATTCCCAGCCATGCTTTGATATTGAGCTCCTCGGAGGCGGAAACGAAAACGTTGCGGAAGAGAACGAACATGACGGTTGCGACGATGGAGGCGGCGACGGTGAACAGGGCGACGAGAAAGGTAATGATGGTGAAGGGAAGGGACCGGAGCAACACAAATGTATGGCGGTGGTGGATATGCTGGGCTTGGTTCACTTGAGGATCAGAAGAGAGTGTCTGTGGTGGACGCGCGGAGACGGCAAAGGGCGATAGGAAGATGAGTACGAAGGACAACAGGGTTGCTGTTATGAAGAGGCCAAACATCCACTCGGAGGCAATGCGAGCAATCTTCAGCGCACTAGTGATCTCAGCTGGCAGGGCAACTAAGAACACTGTTAGAACCCAAACTCCGACCCATTCTAATGCAGTTTCTCTTACTGGTGGCTCCGGCGAGCAGCTCGCTGAGCAGAATCTTGACCGGATTGAACGCATAAAGGGCTTTCGGCTTAGAGCAGTCTGTGATGCCCGTGTCATCGTAGCCCTCGCAAAACCCCCATAAGCCCACCTGGTAGAAATCATGTAGACCGATGGAGCGTGCAATCGAGTTGATCAGGACGGCATTGGGCACAGAGAGCGGAATGATATCGGACAGATCAATCTTGAGGAAGTACGTATCGCGAAGCACCGGCTTGTTCGATAGATTTCCGATGAGCACCAGCAGTAAGAATATCCAAGTGATGAGGTAGAGAAGCGACCGGATCAGCCGATGCCACACCACTGTCGACCTTCGTCGTCCGGCCATCGGCCGCGGAGCCGCCTTGCGAAATTGAGGGAGCTTTGCCATGGACGAAGCCAGCGGTGATGCTTCTATCAGACAGAGACCACGGTCAGACGAGAGGAGAGAAAAATGTCTAACATCCGATGAACCACGCTCGAGCCAGGTTGTTGGATGACGTGGGGACAGGAGACGGGTTGACTGAAGAGACCCCCTCGACGTCGCTGGCTCTGTAGCTACCGCGATGGACCAGTGATCTTCATAGGATCAGGGGTTGCAAACTTGGCAGAGTCGCAGAGTCTTTTTTTGGGACCGAACCCTGAGCGCCAGACGGTCGAGATCATCGTATGTACCCAGCAGTCTGGAAAATCGCCAGCCACTATCGATCCACCTCAACGTCATGGGCGGCACGGAAATACTCCACTTGAATCCACTCAGGGCACTGCCTCGATTTTTTTGGTAGCCTAAAGCGAAGGACTGATGGTCCACTATTCGGGCTGTCTGGATGGGCAGGGGGCGATCATCATATTGTACGGAGTACTCGGCAGTTGACAAACGCATGGTTTCCTGATTGAGATCTTGCGTTGGGCCGCCCCCGCCGTTCAAACGTCTCCCTCTCTTTTTTTTGTGCCCAAGAAGTCTTTTCCCCAATTTGAAATTTGCCTTTTTTTTTTTTTTTTTGGCTCGCTATCCTCGCTATCCATGCAGAAATATTGATAGAGACAGTCTTGGAGTCAGGATGCGGTTGTTATTGCTTCTCTCGCTGCTCGGGGTGGCTCCAGTATGGGCCAAGGACAAGACCACCACCTCCTCGTCTACGACAGAAACCGATGCCACCACGACGGGGTCATTGCTGACCGTTGAAGGCACCATCTCAACCGTCTCTGCAGAGGCTACGGTGCCTACTGGGGACTATCTTTCGTACACTAGCACCATCACTCTGTCTACGGATTCTGCCGGAGAAGTATATACCTCCGTCGTGACGGGGAATGAGACGGGGACTGCGACAAAGACGACGACTGTGACGACAACGTCAGGAAACTCGACGGAGACCACAACCCAGACCACCACGTCAGTATCAGTGACAGTGCTTGTGGGAGGCCAGACAGCAACGGGGAACTCAACAGCGAATGCCACCTCAACAACCTCAGCCGCAGCAACGTCGACCTCGCAAGTTGTCAACACCCAGCCTTGCAATGGCTATCCGGAATTCTGCGCCCGCCAGTACTCGAATATTACCATGGTGACAGCTCACAACAGTCCGTTTGTGCGGCCGGGAAACATTGCATCCAACCAAGCCTTGGATGTCACCTCGCAGTTGAATGATGGTATCCGCATGTGTAGGTACCCCAATTCTATCAACCTTTCTTTTCCATGGAAAAGATGCTGACTTGAACCCCAGTACAATTTCAGACGCATTTGGTCAACGGTACCATGTACCTGTGTCACACCTCGTGCGAATTGCTTAACATGGGGCCCTTGGAGGATTATCTCACCACGGTTGCCAAATGGATGAAGAAAAACCCCTACGATGTAGTCACCATTCTCGTCGGCAATGGCGACTATGTTGCGCCGGGAAACTATACATCAGCCTTCCAGAACTCAGGCATCCTCGACTACGTGTACACGCCGTCAGTGATTCCCATGTCTGTGGATGATTGGCCCACATTATCCAGTATGATCCTCAACGGGAACCGTCTTGTGGTCTTCATGGATTATGAAGCCAACCAGTCTAAGATTCCGTGGCTGATGGACGAATTCACGCAAATATGGGAGACACCCTTTTCTCCTGTCAACCGTGACTTCCCATGCACCATCCAACGGCCGCCAGGGCTATCTGCGAATGCCTCAAAGAGCCACATGTACATGGCAAACCACAATTTGAATCTCGAGGTCAGCATTGCCGGTCTAGATATGTTGATTCCTAACACGGCGCTCCTGGATGTGACCAACGCTGTCTCCGGCTATGGTAGCCTTGGCCGAATGGCCAACAACTGTTCTGGTAAGGCCCCCTTATACTAATACGTATTCTAATCTTCACGTTCCTTGCTAACTGGCCAAGAAAAATGGAATCGTCCCCCGAACTTTCTCCTCGTTGATTATTACAATTATGGCAATTTCAACGGCTCCGTCTTCGAAGTAGCTGCCAAGATGAACGGAGTCAATTACACTGCTAAATGCTGCGACGTGACATCTGGAGCCTCAATGCCCATCACCGGGCGACGCACTGCCGTCTTCATGACGTTTATTGCCGGCTTGCACCTCCTCTCGTATCTTTGATTTGATTATTAGCATTATCACTACTTTTTACCCTGTTTATATTACATCTTGATCGTGTGCATGACCTAGAAATGATCTGGCTCGGCGTTGGGGTTTCACCTATTCTCACGGATGAATGATTTGTCTGCAAAGCAATTCATGTCGATGTCAGTCTACTCCGTATATCTGTATCATATCAATACAACGGATCTCTAAACTCAATATTATCAGCCCTTCTGAATATCAGAGAGTAAGTAGTTGGACAGTAGAAATTAGCTCTCTTCCTACACGACTTCTAGTCAACTTGGTTAAAGGTTAAACTGGGTCATTGGCCAACTGGCCAACTGGCCAACTAGAGTAGCAACTACCTAGCTTAGGTACCTAGGTAAGGTACCTGTTAGTTAGTAGTTGGTTTCCCAGAGGCTAGCAGGAGGTTAGGTAACTAACTAGTTAGTTAACTAGAGGAGGTACATACGTATTATGTAAGTCCCCGGCTGAGGCTCTCCGCAATCAACCACCACGATATTTTGACCAGTATTGACTCGACAACCCCCGCCCATTGTCGTTCCTTACTCTCGAAGAGAACTCAACCTCAGAACAAATCCACCGAGAAAAAGAAGAAGACACACCAAAGACCGCCGTGGATTCTAGAGAAAGGACGACAACAAGCGAAAATGGTCGACATCGTCCCTCTCTCCTCGTACCCCTCTTACATCGATCTGCTCCCCTCGATCCAAACGTGCAACATCACGAACCTGCCGGAGAACTACTTCTTGAAATACTACCTCTACCATGCGCTGACCTGGCCGCAATTGAGCTTTGTGGCCGTCGTACGCCCAAAGAATGGCTACGCCGCGGGTCCCGGCAAAGAGTACCCCAAGGTGGTCGGGTATGTGCTCGCAAAGATGGAGGAGGAGCCAACGGACGGGCTGGCACACGGCCATATCACCAGTTTGAGCGTGATGCGCACGCATAGACGGCTGGGGATTGCCGAGCGGTTGATGCGGATGAGTCGTAAGTACACAATATTATGCATCGTGTTTTTTTTTCTTAATTTTAATCCTAATTTTTGCTAGAACGAGCAATGGCCGAGTCCCACCGCGCAAACTACGCCTCTCTGCATGTGCGTATGTCCAACACCGCGGCTCTGCACTTGTACCGTGACACGCTGGGCTTCGAGGTGGAAAAAGTCGAGAGCAAGTACTACGCGGACGGGGAGGATGCGTACGCGATGAAGATGGACCTGCGCAGTATGTGGATCGACTGGGCGGAGATCGAACGCGTGGATAAGGAGAAGCTGCGGCAGCAGGAGAAGGAGCAGAAAAAGACAGACGGCGACGGCGACGACGACGGCCACCCGGACGAGGGCGACGAGGTCGGCGAGCTCGGCAAGAAGGACGCCGACAAGATGATCCGGGTCAAGGTCGGGCGTGCACTGGGCGTCGGGGATCTTGTGGAGCGGAACGAGGCCCAGGGTACTTCTTAAAAATTTTTTTTTTTACTAGTTGATCAGGAATGATGACCACGGCCGCATTCATGAAGCTAGAGATATTCCAAAAGAAAGAGAAGAAGAACATATGCAATCGACTCTGGTTGTATTTCATGACGAGTCAATCCGACACTGTACATCGAAGTCTATGGGCCTCTGAACACATAAATGACTATTATGTACTATGACAACGAGAGAACCGCTTATATGCAATTCAAAATGTAAGAAAAGAAAAGAAAAGAAATCGTCATATCGTAGACCCCGGGAACTTCCATCCAACTATTGCTTTCTGTCTTCCGCCTGCTCCGCTCTCTTCATCACTCCACTCTGCTGTCCACGATCACCGCTCCACGGCGTCAGACCTGACCCTCTCGCAAAGCTGACGTCTGGGCGACTTGTGGCCGGAGAGGATGGCTGACTGGCCTCGCGCGTTGTCTTGCTGGTCTTATCCTCTTTCTTGCTCTTGTCCTTTTTCTTCTGCTTCTCCTCTTTACGCTGTTTCTCTTCCTTCTTCCGTTGCTCTTTGGCCTGTTTGAGCAGCTCCTTGACCCGTAGCTTATGCTCTCCGCGCGAAAGTCCTTTCGTGGGACCTGTTGATGAAGGGGTGCCCACGCCCTGAGAGCTGCCGTGCGAGGAATTCGTGCTGGGTGTGGTGAGAGATCCAATCTCTGATCCAGGGGTTGACTGCTCGATAGGGCTAACAGGCAACGGCGCGGTCCTGAATCTTTCAATCGGGTTCTCGTCCAGGCGTAGACTGCTCAGCTCACGACTAAGCGGCACAGGTTCTTCAGAGGCTTCTTTTTCTTCTTTTTCTTCTTCTTCTTCTTCGTTTCCCGGTTGAGTCTCAGCATCGGTATCCTCGTTGCCTCTATTGCGTCGGGACCGTCGCTCCTGGCGGCGCAACGCCCGTCGTGACCGCCGCTGCTCGCGATGCTCATCCCGAGCTCTGCGCAGCACCTCCCGGAGGGCCTTCTTTGTCGCCCGCATTTCCTCCTTGGTAGCTCGCTTGGCAGCCCACTTTTGCTGATGTTGCTCTGGGGATTCCCATCGTCCTCCCCGGCCCCCATGATGATAACCCCTGCCGTGCCGCCAAGGGCCAGGCCTATCAAGCCCGTTGATCCGGGCCTGGCGACGGTATGCATTGAGTTCCTCAAGTTGGCGGTGCAGACCCACCGCCGTGTTATACAGTTCGCGGTCGTGCTGGCCATCCAACGAGAGAAGCTGTGCCCGAATATTCGCGTAGTCGGAGGCGCTCAGATCAGAAGTCGTTAACAGGGAATCAACGGAAGAGAGCGAGGACTCCGACACACTCGAGCTCATAGAGTCACTACGGTGTCGCCGGGCCTGGTTGTGAGTGGCCATGTTAGGCTCTGTCAGTGCTCTTGCTGGGGCTGGAGGTATGACGGGCGATGCGCGTTCACTGTTATTGTTCGCAGCCATAGGGGTAACCTGGTTCAGCTTGTGCTCCCCACTCAGTCGACCGGGGTCGTAGGGTCGCGAGTTAAAGCCGCCGAAGAAACCTTCGACCTTCCGTCCGCCATGGCTCGTGTGCTTCTCAAACCACCGACCTTGCGCTAACGCGTGTTCTTCCACTTTTTGCCCGTATAGCTGAGCCTGGGCGCTGATCTGATCACCGTACTGTTGGGCCTGCTCGCCGATCCGCTCTCCGTATTTTTGGGCTTGAGATGCTAGGGACGTAATCCATCCGAGAGGGCCATTTGCATTTGAGGGAGGGGGGTACTGTGATGCGTATGGGGGTTGACTCCATCCCCAGTTATTCCACTGCGGTGCCGGCGCAAGATTGGGTGGAGGCGGAGGCGGATATGGAGAGTGATGTCCGGGTAAATGGTGAGGAGGTGCCCCATACGGGAAAAAAGGGCTGTGGTGGAATGGACCAGGAGCGGCCTGGTTGGAAGGGAAATTGGGCATTGTATTTGCTCGATGGGCAAACATGCCATTCGGCCCTTGCGCGTTGTACGGCTGGCCCTGAAGTCCAACAGGCCAAGTGTCTTGTTGCGATGAAGCCCCCCCAGCGGATTCCCCAGACACGATACTCTGGCCGTCCTGGGACGCCTTTGTTGCAGCGGGGTAGCATTTCGGGCAGAGCGGCGACGCAGGTGCGTGCTCGGGGTCTGTGACGTAGACAAACACGACGCGAGTTGCACGAGGCTCGAAAAAGTTCAGATTCCACTCCTCCACTACGGCTGCAATCCGAGCACTCCGCTGGTCGTCTGTTTCCTGCGGTCGGTCCTTGCGATCCCGTTGGATCTCCGCCCGAAGTCGTCGAGGCAGGTGATCGGAGGCGGAAGCCAGACCCAGATGCGAAGGAAACAGGAACTTGAGGAAAGTATCCCAGTCCTGCTGGGCGATCTCATCTCTTCGGGAATTCCAACAGCGCGGCCGGCGAGGGAAATCCTTCGACTGGCTCCGCGGGTATATTGTCAGATGGTGTTGGAGAACGGTCCGGCTCTCATCGATGACCGTCGGCGGTCTCTCCGTAAAATAGGACGCCGCAGAGGAGAAATGATCCGGGGGAGCCGTGTAGGCCACAGACTGATGACCGGAAGCAGGTCTCGCCTGGTCGGCTGTCGGACTCCTCTCCAAGGCTTCTCGACGGTATTGCAACGGTTGGGCAGAGTTCGCGAGCGGATCAACCGTGGAATATGGAGGAGGGGGGACATCGTCGGAATCCATCGCTGAAGCGGAGCCCAGAGCCCAGGAATGCAGTAAAAAATGTCAATCAAAAAGTTCTATCTTCCTATCACGACAAGCAACGCGAGGTTATCCGATCGTCCCAAGTCATCGCGTGGAGGCCCACCAAGTGCCGCCTGGCGAGGTCTGATTCGTATCACAACGAGCTCTGGAGTCAGAGGGGAGGCAAAGTCAGTTCACCAACACGACAGAGGGGAAAAAAGGGCAGCTAGCTAGTACCTTGGACTCCGATCTTAGATCTGGGGAAGAGACGTATGCTATGTTGGCTGCGGGCGGGGGAGAAAGTTGAACGTCGCCGTCGGAAACGAACTGTTTGGCCCGACACAAAGACAAAGTCCGATTGGGGGGAAACCCATGCACGAGAACCCGCCTACGAAGGGTAGAGACAAAGAAAAGACAAAGACAAGGCAATACCCGACGGATTACACGATCCGAGTTCTCATGTCATAAAAACTCTAGCGGTTACTATTATATTATGTGACATATACGGAGTATCAGTCCCAAGCGTCTCCCCATCCGTCATCTTCGTCCAAATCCTTGGGTTTGGTATCGATCTTTTTCGCCGGGACCACGACAGTCTTGGGTTTCGTCGACGTCGTTCGTGATGGGGTTAAAGGTGTTGATGTAGGCTTGTTTAGGCCCTTGGGTAGCGGTTTCTTAGCCTTGGCTTTGGACTGTGCGGCAAGCCAGCCAGCAAAGTCGGGTTCTCCACCATCATCGTATGGCACAGGGGTTGACTTCTGTGGCTGTGCATTGCTACGGAGTTTCGTATCGATTGCGGCCGAAAAGGGGTCGGCGGCGGCGGTTTCTTCGTCTTCATCATCTTCTATAGCGCCCCAGGCATCGTAGACATCTTCCGTCTCCTCGTCGTCTTCCTCCTGTGTGACCATTGCGGGTTGTTCGGATAACGAGCGTCCCAGCAGTGCAGCGGTAGGACGGATGGCAGGAAGGTCCGGCTGCGTTGTAGACGCCGTTTTAGAAAGGCGAGGGACAGATGCGGGACGAACGGTCTCCGCCACGGCGGCACTGCCACCGTTGGCTGTCGGCTCAATCTGACCATTGGCGGCCGCGATCTTATTGGTAAAGGACGAGATCGCCCATCCAGACCAGGACTGGTCATTCGATGTTCCTATCCGCGCGGTGTCAGGGGCTGCTTCTGCGGTGCTAGGTGGTGGCAGTGCACTGTCGGCCATGGTGCTGCTGAATTTTCGGATTCGGTGAAGGTAAACATCGAGTGTCTTGTTTGCTTGATCTCTTACTAGCCTGGAAATGTGTCAGCCTAAGATATTTTATTTCGAGGGTAATTTGTTGATGGCTGCTTCGCTCACTTTTCTTTGTCCAGAAGGACAGGACATATCGCAGGAAGAATCTTCGATGCACAATCGTCCTCGGTGAAATACTCAATTGTCGCTGCCAGTGCCAGCAAACCGGCGCTACGAGCATGGACAAAAGGGTCCCTGGTTGCCCTGCTGAAAGCAGCAATAAGGACCTTGGATCGGGTCTGCCGTGAAACATTAGCAACGGTTTTTGAAGAAGATGTGCCAAAAATTGGTATCTATCCCACGTACGCCTTGTCCCAAATTTTTCGCAATCTTGCCCAGGCAAATAGTAGTATTCGTACGAATACCTGCCTGCTCATCGTTTGCTGTGCGTGCCAGGAACTTGAGCAGGTCTCCGTTGATTGTCCGGTCACTTAGCTTGCCCACCACCGAGAGAACAGCCTTGACAGTCTGCTCGCGAACTATCGGGGCTACATCTGTAAAACCAGAAGTCTAGAAAAGGTTATGAAGAGAATTCCGAGTGGGAAGATCGGGAACATACCATTTGGGGGAAGATCTTGTCGTTCACAATCTTCTGGGAGAGATTGTCAACCATCAAGGGCAAATTGTCCAGTAAGCACACCCGAAGTGCCCGGTCCGGGTTCCCAAACAAGCGGACAATCACTGGGGTCAGCCTTGAATTGTACTCATCTGGCGTGAGTTTGGTGCCAATCTTCAGGATTGCAGAAAGGACTTTGGGACCACCGCCACCAAACTCGACCGATTTCAACAACTCAGGCAGGACTTTCATTTTGAAGAAGTCCTCGGGAAAGTCTTCGGACAGCTGGTCCAGCTCGCTGTATTGTATTAGCTTATAATCGACCAGGAAAAATAGAGCAAGATGCCTACTTGATAAACTCCTCCCTTTCTGCCTCATCCTTGAGACCCAAGCTTTCAATGTCTTCTGTGAGTCGAATCAAGGGTGTTTGGAAAAATCCCCCGCTCCGCTTTCCTTGCTCTAGGAAATGCGAGGCACTCAGCCTAATCTTTGGATTTGCAGTGCACAAGCGCTTATAACTCTGCTGCATGCTCGGAGGGATGTTTGTGGTCTTGCCAGCCTGGTCTGCTCCAGCAAAGTGGCCATTGAAAATCTCGAATATTAAGATCCCAAGTCCATACGCATCAACCGCTCCAAGCGGATGGCGTTTGACTGCGTCCCACCCGGCTTTGACTATCTCTGGAGGCGTGTATCTGGCTGCATCAGGTACCAAGCTGCCGTATGTCTATCCTGTGTGTCAGCTACTGATAACCATAGCCTCAAGACAAACAACTCACGTATATAATGGCGTCGTCTTCTTTCATCGAACTGAGAATGTCGAATCCGCCGAGCCTCCATTCACCACTTTCACTGGTGAAGACCGACGAGGCTCGCACAGCACCATGCACGGAGGAAGCGTCTTCGTTAATGAACTTGAGCGTAGACTGTAATTCACACCCATATATGGATCAGCAGCTGCGATGTTGATGTCCAGGATTGCTCTCCCACCTACCGCGATTGTATATATACCCCATTTAGCGGTTTCTTCACTCAGACTTTTGCGCTTCACATGCCACAAGAGGGGAACAACACGCTCGGTCATAATATAGAGGCTAGTGTCTGTCTATGCTCCCACGCGTTAGACACCAGTCCACTGTCCTGTCCACTGGGCAAATGTACCTCAATAGTGTCCAGCACTTTGATGACCCCCGGGTGCCTCAGCGTTCGTGATTTGCGCACGGCATTCTTGGCTAACGGTAGTCGTGACTTGTTCGAAGCGACATCAAACGTGAACACACTGCATGCTGATCCATCGTCCTATGCGAAAAGGTCCGCGTTAGTTGGTGACGTCTGGCGACAGCAGGTGGAAGAGGACACAGGCATACCCGTTTTGTCGCATTGTGAAGCGTCCACAGAGAGTCGCCGATGTCCACTCGATCCCCGAGGGCGAATGGAAATGAGCTACCTTTAGCAATCGCAGATGCGACAGCTGACTTGAGGAAATCCATGGTGGTCGTCGGGGTTCTTCTGCAACTTGTCTCAGACAAGACGAACAACCGCTGTTTGTAGCCAAGGCAGACACTGTACAAGATGGCGTCTCAGTTGGCGGACCACCAAAGCATGCTGCAACGCTGAACAGAAGAAGGAGAGTAAGGAAAGCAAACCGATGGTTTCGAAACAGTTGATTTAATATTCAGAGTGAGACATCCGTCTTGTATCCCGATAGCTGTTCTCACTCCCGCCCGTGATGGCCTCAGGCAGCAGGTATTGCCCCGCCCTAATCTGGTTTAGGCCGGAGATCACCAGAGAGCTGAACGTGGTTTCGTTTCCTGACAGCAAAACAATCTCCTTGTTATCAGCTCTCCGCCAACCAGTTCGACAAGCCTGGTAAGTCAAAGTGATATTCTTCCTCCCCTTTTGCTCTTCCAAAACTACACATTCTATTCTGCTCGAATCTCCAATGATGTCACCCTGGTAAAAGGTCAGACCGCGCCACTCCCGGGCTGTACTCCTCCCCGAAGTGTGCTCTCCCTCCTGTTTTCTCCGCGTGTACCCTTCAAGACCAGATGCAACCCGACCAGTGAAGACCGGACGAGCCACTGAATCCCACCTCCCATCTCCAAAGGGGAAGATCGCATCGAAAAGCTTCGGTCCTCTTTCTCCCTCTCTCTCTCTCTCTCTCTCTTGTCCAGACCTCTTATCTTGCATCTTGCAAGCACATGTTGATCGTGAAAGGGTACAAGGCCCAAAGCCACGAGATCTACGGCATTGGAAAGAGAAAACAAAAAGCATCTTGCCTTGGAGGAGACGTGTGCACATCATTCAGCCGCAATTTGGGGTTCCTGATCCGCTCCGTTGCCATGAGGAATTCCAGGAACCAATGGCTGCGGCGCACAATGGCGGCTTGGATAGGTCCTCAAGGGCTTCTGAGCGAGAGTTGAGACGGGTCCGAAGTGAACTCGATCCGCTTGTGCTCCCTGACAAAGACGGGCGGGAATGTGGAATCGGGCTGTTGTTCCATCTTCATCGGTTATGCGAATGGGTATTGATTTGCATGTTGGAGGGGGGTGAGAGAGCACCGCGGATTCAACTCGGGAGAATCGAATGACGACGAAAATATAAACTGAAAAGACCTGAGGAGAGATGGGAGCGGGTTTTCCTTTGTCTGCCACGTTGCTCGTTTCGTCAAGCCTTATGACCATACGATGTTGGCTAACTGATTGGACTCTACAGATAGACGTTTCATACGGTGTACACTTTATGATCTTGAGGCTAGACTCTGAAATTCGGGTCGGGCTGTGTGTGTGTGTGTGTGTGTGTGTGTAGTATCTACAGGCCGAAAATATTATAAATGCCATTTACTGTTGTTGAAATGTCCTTCTTAGCATCGTCTCGTAATTGGTATTCTCAACTACTACCATCAACTCAGTACCCCGGCCCCCTGTCATGATCAACTCCACCGTCGCACGTCTCGTTTCAACTCCTCTCCGCCCCCCAAATTGCAACGGCATGCATACCGCATTGCAAGACTTTCACCTGTATGGACCGAAAGCCACGTACAAACATCATCAGGCTCGGCCACACTCCCAATGTCAAATAATAGAACAAAAACAATATCAAATAAAAGAGAGAAAAAAAAATACTAAGTAATAGACAGCACAGGACCTTCATCCGCCCCTCCCCTGATGAAAACCATCACAAGTCTCATAACGATCTCATTTCAGGACGGTGTTGAATCCGTCCTGCAAAGAATGAACAGCATTGGTAAATGTAAGATGATCCTGGTGACAGTAACAATGTTGGGAGGCAAGTAGGCCTTAAGGATCAGCGCCCCAACAGTCCAGTAAATGCATCAATGAGCTTGCTCGAGAGTAAATCTCTTGCGCCAAAAGGCCACACCTTGCCGATTTCGCCGAGAAGGATTCTTTCTTTTGGGGTGGTTGTTGCCTCAATGATGTTGAAGATCAAACGAAAGGATGCGTGATTTTAACAGACGGTGAGTTGCACATGGGAGTTCGTTTAAAATCCTTCTTGGTCCCCTCCTGTTTAGCGCATGGCAGAATGTAGACTGTTAGGGGTTGATATTTATAACGTACTTGAGTGACTAAGTACGTGGTCAACATAACTCCAAACACTATGAGCGTAAGGTAGTAAGGATCGAAGTAGAATGTTGACTAAAGATACGCGTAGTGGCTTCGATGGAATCCATTGAAACTTTGACCTCCGAGGTATAGAGGAGATTTCGACGATGAGATTTTCGCAATGCCCAGTTAGACAAGCTCTTCGCCAAAATTTGCAAGTTGGCCCAGGGGAGGTCTCGCCAGCTAGGTTTAGGACGACAAAGGGTTCATTTCACTTCATCTGCTGTTTCCGGGGGATGCGGGGCAGAGGTGGAAGCAGATGAAGATGATTGAGCAGGCCCGTGAGATGGCATTTGATTCATCTGGTTGAAGCCATTACTCGGTCTGCGACTTTGGTGGTGAGGGAAGTGTTGTTGTATCTGATGAGGACTAGATTGGAAAGGGGGTTGCGGTTGTGGGTAGCCGGCTCGAACCGGAGGAACTAAGTAGCAATCAGTGGACCGGCCCTGGCGTTACGAGCCAAATTGTAAACTCTGGCTTTCAAATTTTCTTTTGTGTCTCTAATCTATCTGCGGTGGAACGTACTGTGGCCTGGCTGCTGGGCAGCATATCCTGCTTGTCCATGCTGTCCAGGCGACATGAACATGACTGGCTGAGGAGGCTGCCCCGGCTGAGAGCTTTGATGCATCATCATCGGTGCTCCTCTGCTTGGACTGGGATATCCGCTGTGCGGCTGGGGGGGCGGGCCATGCTGTGGATAAGCGTGGCCGGGGCTCGGGGAGTACATTTGCATCTGGGGACCATAGGGCGCCATGCCTTGTGGGACACCCATATACGGACCACTCGACGGTTGCTGTACCATCATGGGGGCACCCATGGCGGCCGGGGGGCTCACGAACTGGGGGGTGCCTGGGTAGTGTCGCATATGCGCCGGTTGGGGCCCACTCTGGTTCACATAGAACTGCGGGACGGGTTGACCGAAGGCAAGCTGTGCATGATGGGTCATTGGAGATGGATAGGCGACGTGACTATGCTGAAGCCTGGGGGAAGGGAAAATTTGCGAAGTGGAAGCGGACATCTGCATACGATGATGGTCATCAAAATGAGGAGGTCCAGATGCATGATGTTGAGGATGAAGGTGATGGGGGCCAAGTGGTGGACCTGAAGAGGGGGGCATGTTCGGGTTCGACTGCTGGTATTGGAAGGGGAGCTGGTGTGGCGGGGGTACCTGAGTATTGGAAGACGGCTGATTCTGAGGGGAGATCGACGGTGTAGCCGTCGTGTTCTTGAATATATCCAAGTATGATTTACCGTCATTCGCCGCGGGCGCGTCCCAAGTCGGGAGTGTCTTGTAAGGCGGGGGGATTCCACCGTTGAATGAGTAGTCCTTGTCCGCTTGTTCAACACTTTCCTTCTTCATCCGTTTGATTGGGTTGAAGTTCTCGTTGATGGAGAGCCGCTCGGCCATTGGCCGAAGCTTTTTGGCTCCAAAGAAGGCAGATGGACTGGTTGTGCGAGAGACTGAACGGCCTCGAGTGACCGATTGGGGGCTAGCCGCAGCAGTAGTGGTAGCAGCAGCAGCAGCAGTGGCGGCGGCGGTGGTGCCGCTGCCGCCGCCGCCAGGTGTGAATGAGCTGGCGGCAGGGTTGGGCTTGAACTCCATGGCCTTGACATTGAATTTTGTAGAGATGGCCGAAGGAGGGGTTTGCAGCTTGGTCGGGCTGGAAACACCGGACTGCTGCTCTCCTGCAGGACCCGTCGGGGGTCTGGCGTCGTTGATGGGTAGAGGAGCCGGGGCAGAAGCCATCCCGGTACCCTTGCGCTGTTGAAGATTATCGGCCAGTCGATGACTGAGCATACCGGTGCCCGGGCGACTAGAGTTCATTGGCTGTTGCGGGGCTCGGCCGCCTCCTGGGCCAGTGGGGGGAAATACAGGTCGACCCCGGGGGAAGCTCTGACGGTCGTTCTGAGCAAGGGAAGGCATCGTCCCACTGTCATAGCGGGCAGGGGCAGGGGCCGGAGCCCTGGGCGCCGGCTTCTGGTCAGCCGTCACAGGAACGGCTTTGGAGGGGGCCTTTTCATCCACCTGCTGCTGCGCTCGCTGGATAATCTCTTCTTGTTTGTGAGGGTCTTTGGCTAGGATAGGCACCAGGTCTTTGGGAACGGGTGTAGCGAGTTTGAAACTCTTCGAGAATTTCATCAGTTCGTTCAGCTTGACAGTCCGATCATAAGAGGCCTGGTTTCGGCGGCGCTCCTGCATCTTCAGTTTCTCGCTGTTGGCAAACTGACGGAAGTGATCCAGCACCTCTGTCTCCACGTTGGCGGTAGCATTCTCCACAGCCGGCCGTTTGGGTAACGTGGTCGTGGATGGAGGGATCTTTGCCGCGGCGGGCTTCGATGCTGCTTCGACGGGTGGTTTGACGGTTATCGTGGGTTGAGCGGCGGCCGGCTGTTGTGGTTTCTCTTGGGGCAACTCCGAGGCAGACTTACCCTTACCCTTGGAGGGGTCGGACGCCTGTTCCATCGGGGTTGTCGGTGTCGACTTGACAGGACCGGCAGGCCCTGTGGGGGCGGCAGCAGGGGCTGGCTGTCTCCGCGCAGGAGGCGTGTATTTGTTCGGCTGCCCGGAGGCAAGAGGAGGGAATTTCGCATCATCACGGCGGACACCGCTGTATAAATCTTCCTCATCGTGGCCGGTGCCTCCAATGGGAGCCAGGTTTCGTTCCTCGCGGACGTGGGCGTTGTCCACGTCACTAGTTTCGATCTCACGGGCAATCCGTGCGGCCTCTGCCTCCTTCCGCTTGTATGTAGGATCCGAACGGTCGATACGAGTGGTATAGAAGTTCTCATCGTAGTTGCTCGTGGCTCCGAACAGCCGCTCGTTCGCCTCGAACTGATCCCAGCCACCAGTAGCATGGCTTGAGCTCTCGAGAGACATGTCGATGTTGGTGTCCGCTGCGGGCTCCCAGCGCTTCAAGGTGCGTTCGCGAATGGCGAGATTGCCAGAGATATCGGTATCTGTCCGGAAACCGGCCGAAGCGCCTGAAAGAAAAGAGGGTTAGATAAATTATCAGAATTCAATGAAACAGAATCAAGTGAAGCATACCGTTTGATTCCTTGACAGTGACATCAGCCGTGGTCACATTAGCGACCGAGATATCAACAATATCCTTCGAGTCGAAAGACATGCTGTGATCCGGGGCGGATCCAAGAAACGGGGTCGCAACGGCGCTGACCCCGTTTGACCGAGCTGAATCCTGTTGCGAGGGACGCTGGACCATCTTCAGCACAAACGACGAATCGTTGGGTTCGGTGGACGCCGATGAGAAAATTCCGGTGAAAATGTCTCCCGTCTTGGTGGCAACCGTCGCGTTGAGGCCCTAAATAAACACCAGAATCAGTTCTATTCTGCATTGGGGTGATCGTCGTGGCCAGGCTTACAATAAAGCTGGTAAGCAGGAAGAGCAGGCGGTCATGCGCATGACTATCCGGGGTGTTGGACTCTTTCAGCTTTGGCGACGCGGTTGAACGTTGGTGAGCCATGTGGCCGTTGTGTTGCGAGAAGGAAGGCTTCTGGGTGATGGGGTTTGTGGCCTGAGACCAGGCCTTTTGGGAATTGCTGCGCCTACAGACAGACAAAAACACAGTCAGCTCGGTCGATTGAACAAAACCAGGGGTGGGCAATGCAGATTCGAGTTAAGGCTAAAGCTCTTGCTCCATTCTCCTCTCGCACTCCCAGAGTCAATTGGCTTGGGTGTGCGATACCAGGGCATTGGCGCAGAGAGACCTCAGGCGAGGCACGTGCTGAACAGCAGTGTAGCAGCCGAAGAACCCCCTCCCCCCCCCCCCAAAAAAACCACACAAGGCAGATCTTCGCAGGAGGGGCCTCCACTCGCAATCTAGGGCGAATTTCCCCGGGTGATGGAAAATATGACAGGGGGGGAGAAGGCGCAGATGAAGAAACAGCCCACGTACCTCGTTCCAGCATCGACGGGGCTGCCGGTCTGTCGTCGCCCTCCGTCAGGCGCTCTGGTACTGGCGCTGGGCCGGAGAGACGGCCTGGCAGCGGTGGAATTCTGTGCAGAAGAACCGACAGCGGTACCGCTGGCCGGGATGGAGTTGAAAGTAGACGCCATTCTGGGTTTGGGGTCGTCAGAGCTTAAGCTCGCGTCGTGGAACTTCGCACGACGCAAAGCCGGAGAAGGGGAGGGGGGAGGGACGGAGCGACGAGACACACACACCGCCCTGCACGTACACACGGCAAGAAGGCTGTGAGAGAAGAAAAAACAGTAGGCAGACGTAAGAAAAGGCTCTGGAAGGGCCAAATAAGAATGGACACACCGGCGAGTGACAAAAAGAAGAGACGAGAGGGCACGGAGGGGAGACGGAGGTCGTTTAGTGTGGGTTTGTTGGAGGTTTGGGGCTGGGCCAAGTTGAGAGGCCAGCGGTTGGCTCTAAGGCTAGGCAGGGTCCATTATTACCTAGTACTAGTAGTACTACAAGAAGATCTTCAGGACAGTGAAGTCGCCTCTTATTTGTTTGAGGATTAATTGTATATAAAAATGATCAGGTTCGACCCAGTTCTACATAGGTATTATTTGAGAGTCTTTACGCAGTTTTAAGTCGATTTCTCGGTCATCCTGTGATGAGCTCTGGTTCTTAGTAAAGTACCACCTAACAGTACTGCATAGACAATAGCAGTTATAGCACTCAAAGCTCAAAGTGAATGATTTATTATTAGTCGAAGGACCTCCAGGTCTTATTCGGTTATCCGACCTATTATTCTATATTTGTCCTAGCTATGAATGCAAGGTGTCTCAGTGTATTGTGTATTAGTCCGGTAATTCTTTCCATCTTGTAACTAAACTGAAACCTGCCACTGAGCATTGAGTTCATATTCAGATGGAGATAAATGGAAATAAATAGAGAGAAGTAAAGAGCATACCACTCATACCTCTACAAATAAATCTATAGTCGTGTGTTACTGCTAATAGTCCAATAGGTTTCAGGTAGCAATCTTTCATATTGTGCCATTGTCTGAGGGGTCATTTAGGTATAGAGAGGTACGGAGTACTTAGTTATGTAGCATTGACAAGAGCCTGTCCTTTTAGCAGATGTTTCAAGTCGGAACTGTTCTATACTTACCTAGGTACCTGGTACTCCATTTGAGGCGACGACGTATTATCAACGTATTCAACAGGATCGGATATTTTTCATGGAACCTATCACAATTATTTTTCCTACCGATAAATATGACCACTCTAGGACCCAGATCCATGAGAACAGTTGTAATCAAGTGAGTTGGGTAGAGCTGGAAAAGACAGGTGGAAGTAAGGGTTCCAATAGAATCGTATTGTACGAGCGTGCAGCGAGAGCATGATGGCAAAAACGAATCCGTGAAAACCGAAATCGAAAACCGAAATAGCTGATGATTTACCGAACTCGAAGTGACTGCAGTCGAGTTTTCCCCCTCGCGTTGGACATTTGGAATTTATTCTTGGGCTGTGGCGAGCAACCTGGGTACTCCGTACCATTCATGAGTTAGCTGGCTCCTCTAGATCCAAAAATTGATCCCTTACCGCTATTTGCTTTAGAAACCAGGGTGGAACATACCTAGCCTACCTACAGCTCTGGATCGAGACAGCAGAGAAGGCCAAAATCTGGTTCACACTGTTGGGCCCATACGGGACGGGCCGGAGCCACGACTGAAGCAGATGGGTCTTTTCATATTGTCTTATATCAGTCTCTCAGGTATACAGAGCTGATACCGCAAGCTTTCTTGTCTGTCGTCCAAATGACGGGGAGTTGCTCGGTGCAAGAAGATTCCCAGCGCGGCAGCGGCTTTTTGAGGTTTTCCGAGTCCATTTAGCTTCACATGATCAATCATGTGATGTCGTCTGAAGTTGCTGTGTGCATTCCGTCAGTCGTAGAGGATATATCCTTCTGTACACAAGGCTCCAAGAAGATAATATCGCATCGATATATCCCACCGGTCAAGATGTCTCGGTTGAAGCTCGATACCGTTCTAGAGACTCCTCAATAGAGATGATCGAAGTCTTGGTTACAACGAAAACGACAAGTCTAGCCACGGGGACGTTCTTTTCGCTATCACCTTCTTTTTTTTTTTTTTGGAGGAGTACCACACAAACGTAACTCGGTAGCCTCTTTAGCAGGCTAAGCCCGATAATGTATAGAGTACTACTACCATATGTAGTAAAGACTAGTTACGGGGTAAGGAGTAGTTAAGTCATCACTAACTAATAACCCCTGTCATTTGTTTTGCATTTGATTGCAAGACGATGATCCTGTGGGGCTATTCAGAAGAACAGACTGGTAACAATGAAATGTCGGCGACAAAAGTACCCGACTATTGGACGACGATCATAAAATCCAAGACCTGTCAGAACCCGCCATCAAGTCTGCTTTCTTCCTCTCATCTTCCACTCTCCCCCACTTCTACCGCCGAGAAAGCATCGCTGTTGACCATGACAGATTCAAAAACCATTCCATCCAAAGCTCCCGCGGGGAGGACAAAAGGTATCCCTGCTGGTCTGTCTGTTGAATTCAGGATCGAGGCAGACACATTCCCCACTGATGATGGAAACCCCTCTCCCACACACGGGGACGAATTATCCATGTGCTCGACGTCCGTTAGCTCAAGTGTCCTGGCGCATGAGTACAAGCATGGCCGGCGGTACCACAGCTACCAGGGCGGCTCGTACCTGTTCCCGAACGACAAGGAGGAGCAGGAACGCCTGAATATAAACCACCACATCTACTACCGCGCCCTGAACAACCGGCTGTTCCTGGCCCCGATCACGCTGGCGGGCAAGCGCGTCCTCGACGTCGGAACGGGCACTGGCATCTGGGCAATGGAGCTCGCCCATCTCCACCCGGAAGCCGAGGAGATCGTGGGCAATGATCTCAGTCCCATCCAGCCACGCTGGTGCCCCGCCAACGTGAGCTTCATCATCGACGACATCGAAAAGGACTGGGTCGAACCCCGGCCATACGACTTCATTCATTGCCGGTACCTATGTGGCTCCATCGGCGACTGGCCAAGGCTGGTCCGTCAGTGCTTCGAGAACCTGCAACCGGGCGGCTGGATCGAGTTCCAGGAAGGCGACTACACCATTTACTCGGAGGATGGGACCCTCGCTCCGGACAACTACATCGCCGTTCTGATGACCCATCTGGCCGATGCATGTAGGCGGGTCGGGAAACCGATCGACATGGCCCCTTCCATCAAAGCCCTGGTGCAAGCCCAGGGGTTCCAGAACGTGCGGGAATCCATCTACAACCTCCCCTTGGGGAAATGGCCCAAGAATCCTCGTATGAAGGAGATCGGTGCCTTTTCTGCCCTGCAGGTCGTCGAAGGCGTCGACGCCCTCACGGCAGCGCCCTTCTCCGAGGTTCTGGGCTGGAGCAAGGAAGAGATCCGCGTTCTAAAAGATGGCGTCCGCAGGGATTCAAAGCGGAGAGATGTTCACGCCATGTGGAACTTTCACGTCATCACGGCTCAGAAACCAAAATGATACCTTGCTTTTTTGAATTATACTGTCTTTCGGTGTTGGTGCTCGGCTCGGTGCTCGGTGCTCGGTGCTCGGTGCTTTATAAGGAATCTATTGGGCTTAAAAATCTACTTGTGTTATCTCTATATTTCTATATAAAAGAATAGATCTTATCTTTTACATGCATACGTGAAGATATATAGACACGCAAATATTGACCACGCCGCGCTGTACAAGACGAGCCCCTAAGGACTATATGCTCACTGGCTCACCTCTGCAGAATCATCAAAGTCAACGACAGTGGTGTTAATGTAGTCGGCGTGCCAGGTAATGCCACCGTCGGCGCTGGTGAAGGACGAGGCGGTCACATCGTACAGCCCCATGACGGAGGCGAACTTCTCGTCAGCGGAGCTCAGAGTGACCGTGAGATTAGAGATAGCTGGACAGGTTAGCAAAGAAGTATATATTTTCTTTCTTTTAGAATGAATGTCTCACTGTAGCCATCGATGGTTCCGCAACTGCCAGAGCCAGTGTAGCATTCATTGCTAGAGTACAAGTACTGGAGGCCACTGTCGAGAGCTGCTCTTGTTAGAACCATAATGATACATACAGATGTCTCTATATAGATGAATACTCACCTTCTGTCTGGTTGGAAATCACCTTTCCACCCATGGTGACAGTCTGCACAACGTTGTCGCCGACGACAGCAACTATTTAAGGTATAAGTCTGGGTAAAAGCTGGCGAGAATGAGTGATGGGTGACCTACTCTCAAAATCGACTGTGGTGCCCTGGGGAACCGTCACGTAGGGCTGTCCGATTTGGCCAGCTGTGACTGTCAGCAATCATCCGTAAAATATCAAACCGATATGAATGTGGGTTTTCCATACATGGAGTATAAGTGCTCGCCGCAACACACCATTCAGTTTCGGAGGCAGGGCAGCCCCTTCGGTACCGTCAGTCATCTTTTCGTTCAGGAAATTTAGAGAAGCATCTACGTACTGGGATTCCTGGTTGGGAGACCAGTCGAAAACGGGCTGGTAGAGGTTTGCGTAGTCGCTGCCAGCCGTGGAGGAGGCACCGACCCAGACGGCAACCCAGATCTCATCATCGGGGTTAGACACGGTGTATCCGCAAGGCACGCTGGGGGGCAAAATGGAGTAGGTGGCTTTGGTGATGTTGATGCCTGAGCTGGGAGGGCCCAGATAGAACAGACTGTCGCCAAACCACCATTCATCGGCGTCGCTGGTTGCAACAGCGCCAGTGATGGCAGCAACGAATGGGAAAAGACCGTAGAGGAAACGCATCTTGACAGGAAGAAACAGGTATGTATATATTTATGGATAATATAGAGACAAACTTAAAAGGAATCGAAGTTGAGAGCCAGCCTCAACAGACAATGGTAATGAACGACTGAAGGAAGAAGTGAGTTGTTAGATGCTAGCATTTCTGCAGACATCGCGAATAACTGTCGGTTCAAATAGTTTTTTGAAGTGAACGAGCGCAATCGAGCCGGTGTATCCGAGAGGAATCCGATTACGGATCAAGGCAGAGGGGTTGTTTCAGAAAGAAACAGTCAATATAAGAGTCCTAAGGAGTCGTGCCGCTCAATTCGTGGTGTGAGGTTTCGAACCCCGAGTCCCTCAGTTCCACCTAATTAACTATGGTGATCAGCCCTATACCTGAAACGCTCCACCATGCTTGGTCCCAATCTTTCTGTTCGATTCATACCTGGTTGTTTTCCATATCCACCATCAAAGGGTGCCTTACTACCTATCAATTAGCCAAAGCAGGACGATCCTGCTGCTGATTGGAGCCGGGGAGAGTCTGGAATGATATTTAGAGTATATTCGCATTCTTGGCCCTTAGTTCGGGTGGATTTCGTCCTAATTGAGCCTATATATTTCCTAGATTGTACTTGCTCTATTTGAGTAGTGTTGGGACTGAGGTATCCAAATCTGAGCCTGTCATCTCGCACATCAATTTTCCTGCTGGTTCTGCATCCGGCTCGGGAGAGGTTGCTGATACCCAGTGGACAACATTCTCAGCAGGCAGAAGACTAAGTCTTGATATAAAGACATTCAAATTGCAGCTTTAGATAAGAGCAATCTCATAACAAGGTTGAGTCTGGTTTGCAAGTCCTACAGAGGTGGTAAAGAGCGCCAAACCAACCTTGGCTATTCCATAAAAGGAACTCGGTCAACGTCCACGACAACTTCAGTAATCCTGCCTCTACGGAGATCATCTTCATCCCAGACTTGCCGTAATTCATTGATTGAACAGTTGAAGTACTGACCATGGTTGAGGAATTTACTGATCCTGTCCCATGAGGTTGCTCGCATAGTACCCTCGTCGCCCGTCAATACTTGGCTAAACCTTCGTCCTTGTCCGCAGGCTCTCAGTCCGCGTGCAGTTATGGGCTGCCTAGTTGCTGGCAGTACTTGCAGACAAATGCATTACTCTTCTAGGTGTTGCTGCTGTCGTGTACTCCCTGTGACCTCTCTCGATACTAGGTAGTCTCTCGGTATGACTTCTGTTCTCTTAGGCGAACAAGACAGATTCGTTACTTACACTATCTCTATAACATCAATATGAACGGAAATGAAGAAAATCTACGAATTTTGTCTTCTTAGCTCTGCCATATCGAGATCATTTACAAGTTGATGAGAACACTGGGAAATGACGACGATGATAATGATGATGATAACAGTGAGGAGGTCACTACCGGCTCCTGCTGGACTGCAGCGAACGCAGATCACACCGAGTCCGGAGGTGATGCCGCTTGTATACGTGCGGACAGCTTCATGCGCTGTTTCTAGCAGCTCGTCACGTTGGGCCGCCTCAAACAGGTCATAAAGCATGGCTACCTAGGTAGCCAAGCGCCTTGGTCTCAGGCGTTCCTGCATATTATCAATTCAATGATTCCCGTGTATTGCTGTCGGTGAGTGAAAGAATTCTACCTTCGCTACATACCCAACTATCCAGGCAGGATGGTTAACCTTTGAGGAACAAATATTACACTTCTTCATCCAAGACTTTACAACAAGATGTGAAATTCTACAAGTTAAGCATACCATGGAGTGATATAGTGACTAATGGTTAAGCAGTATGATAGTACCTACCAGCTACTCGAGACAGCAATACTAAAGAACAAGTCTGGTCCCAGACACTGGCCATAGGGCAACTGGCAGCAGGTCAGACGACAATAAGATTGATAAACATCCCAGTATCACCATTTAGGTACCTAGGTATCTATTCCATGCATAAGCTAGGTACCTACCTGGCCTAGTCACCTCGTATCTATGCTGATGGTGTCATCGTACCGAATATACCTTGTTGTATCCAATCCTGAAACATATCTGTACTGAGGATATAGTTACCTAATAATGCTGCAGAAGTATGGCTGCAGAAAATATTAATAGAAATTCATGAACAAGGAATTATCCATTTTTTTTTGCTAATTATTACTTAGACTCCCTTTATGTATTATATATTGATAATCTATTTACCTAGTCAACTACCTAGCTACCTAGGAATAATTATTATTATCACCTGGGAAGAGAGGCTGGTAAGACATGCATGTGACTTGCCCAATGGAATCTCGGGCTCGCCAAACTCTCCCGGACTTTCTCCCCCTACCCAAGAAGGGCGGCCTTATAAGACACACGGAACGCAGGGTTGAGCTCGATCGCGATCTGTCATCAATATATTTAATTAATACTTATTTGATTTTGTCCGGGCATCAGATCTCAGTGATAGTTCCTAATACCGACAGCGAGAGACAACAGGCAGCAACGTGGATGTGTATCGACCGCCCTAACTTCCCAACACACATCCCACTCAGCTGAGGACCAGCGTGATGGCCTCGCAATCCGCTGCTCCACGCATTTCGTCGGGCTCGGCGAGATCGCAGTCGTCTGCGTCTCGAGGGGTCGTGGTGAGTTTCTGACTTTTCGTTGATGACATCTGTTTATTTGTTATTTTTTGTGTCTTCCGCTGACTTGACTGGACAAGCCCGATAAGCAGATCTCCCAGATCGAAAAGAGCGTCACCCATCTGCTCGTGGCCACCAAGCAGCTCCTCGAAACCCTGACCCAATGGTCACGCAAACAGGCATCGGAGACCGAGGTCTCGGATGTCTACGTGCGCCTCGGATACGAGTTCAACCTCGCCTGCCGCGCGTTCAACGCCATTGGAGTTGATACCTCTGACCTTGGCCCCGTACCGGATCTGCTGCGCACCATCCTCGAAGACACCCTCAGCCAGGACGCCTCACCGCAGAGCCTCGACCGCTATTTGCCTCGTATCCGTGACATCATCATAAACCTCCTCCAGGGTCTCAAGAAGAAGCAGGCCCGCCTGCGCTCCCGTCAGCAGAGAGATGACACTAGACCGGGGTCAGGCCGACAGGCAAGCGCGGGAAGCATCTCGAGCACGCAGGTCGGGGTAAATCAGGCATATGAGGAGGCCGCGGCCACTGTAACTTCGCCGCGCCGCCAACCGGGGCGTCGCTTCGGGAGCAATGGCTCGCTCGAGGATCCGGCCGTCCCCCCTCGAACCTCCTCTGCAAACCCATCGGTTGATCCTCGTGGAGCGAGCTTCTCGGAACGGGAAGCTTCCCGGCGAGATGTCCACAGTCCGGCCCCCGGCTCGCATCCACCATATCCAGAAAACGGCTCGCCGTCGACTACAACAAAACAAATGCCGATGCCTACCTATCCGACCCCTCATCCTCCACCGCCTCCACCGCCGAAAGAAGACGATGCCTTGGGGGCTCTCCAGCGAAGCGGTGAGCTCGAGCGCCGAGCCTCGAGGAGGTTCTCTGCCTATCAAATCCAAAAGCATCTGGGCGCCTCGACAAATGGTGTTCCGGTTCTCCCGTCTCAGAATTCGCCTGTGCCTAATCGAGGAAGAGACGTCCGTGAGTCATTGAATGCGGTTCGGCTACGGGGCTCTGTTGTCCATGGGAGACAGAAGTCCGTGAGTCGATTGCATGAATCAATTTCGTCCAAAACCACCTCGGTTCAAGTGCCTCCAAGGATTCCGGACGACGACGAAGAAGAAGGAAGCGCTCGCGCCCGAATCCGCGTTGACCCTCCCAATGAGCTTCCGGTAGACAGCTCCCCGACAGCCAAAACCCCTGAGGACAAGCTTCGTCAGCCCTTAGAGAACGAGGCGCGAGACGAACCGATCATTGGCGCGAGTCAGCCAACTTTACCGCGCCCTGTCGAAGAGCCTGCGCTCGCAGAACCCTTCGAGCCGGTCAAGGCAAATGGCCCTGATGGGAGAATGGGCCCAGGGACTCCCAAGACACAACGTCAAGCCTCCATTGGGGTCGCCTCCACGCCGCCGCAGTCATCACAGTATTCCATTGAGCAGCCGTCTCCTGGGAAGGAGATGACTCTCTTCTTACAGTATAAGACTAAGATCAAGAAATATATTCTTCCAGAAGGCCCAGTGGGCCTTACTATCGGGAGAATCCAGTTAGCCTTCATTGAAAAATTCGCCTGGAATGTTCACAACAACGGGCTCGATCTGCCGGAGATATACATCCAAGACCCCATTTCCGGCATCCGACATGAACTTGAGGATCTGAATGATGTCAAGGATCGCTCTGTGCTGGTCCTAAATGTGGACACATTGGATGAGGTTAAACGACATTTCGACGAGAGCTTAGGCGGTGTGCGCCGCTTGATTGAAGGCGTGAAAGGCAGCCTCGATGGACAAGAGAGTATTATCCAGCGTGTCTCCGACCGTCAGTTAGAGGCAGCAAAGGAGATGGCTCGCCTCGCCGCTGCTCGGCCAGTGCCCATGCCCATCCCCAAATCTACTCAATCCGGGGAGGCTCCAGCTGCGTCCTTATCCGGAAGCAGCAGCCAGATCGCCGAGCTCCAGAGCCTGCGTCGCGATCTTGCCGTGCTCCGCCAGACCTACGCCACCTTTACATCCGACATTGCTACGTCTATGAATGCGGTTCGCGCCAAGGCCAGCAACATCAAGAGCGCAGCTGCAGATGTCGTCGTGCCTTCGTTCGAAGGGGATGCGGGCCGCGCACGTGTTAACTCTGGCAAGAAGGACCTGGCAGACGAGTCCGAACGGCTTGTGGCTCGTGTGGACGACCTTCAGGACCTGGTCGAGGACCTCCGTAAGGACGTTGTCACGCGAGGTGTGCGACCCCTGCCAAGACAGCTGGAAGCGGTCAGCAAGGACATTGCCGCCGCCAACCGTGAGATCAAGAAAATGAAAGACTTCTTGAAACGCGAGAAGCCCGTGTGGACCAAGATCTGGGAGAAGGAGTTGCAGCTCGTCTGTGAGGAGCGTGACCAGCTGACAATGCAGGAAGACCTTGCCGCCGATCTCGAAGACGACCTGGACAAGGCTGCTCAGACGTTTGCCCTGGTCGAGCAGGCAACAAAGCAGCAGTCAATGACGAACGAAAGTGGCAGCAGCGGGCCAGTTCTCCGCAGCACATCCCGGAACCTGGTGATCGAGCCGGCGGTTGATCCCATGAAAGCCAAGGACAGTCTCCTGGGTGAGGTGCGAGCTTTGCAGCCGAACCACGAATCCCGTGTTGAAGCTATCGAGCGGGCAGAGAAGGCACGACAGAAAGAACTCGAGAGTCGACGGGTCGAGCCTTTCCTGAGAGAACTTGGCTCTTTCGTCAGGGAAGGAAAGCTGAAGAAGAGCGGCGGGGTAGAAGAAGCCGAACGGCTTCGCCGCGCCAAGGACGAACGGAACCGCAAGGAAAACTGGGAAAGACAGCAGGCGAGAAATGCTGAGATTGAGAAAGCTGCCGCCGAAGAAGCCGCCGCCGCCGCCGATCAGGCGACAACAGAGTCCACCGGTGAACCCGACAGTGAATCCACACACCCCGAGTCCGCCGAAGACACCGGCAGCCATGAGGCAGATGAAGTCACCCCATCCTCGGACAGATCGCAGTCCCCAGCGAACGAGCCGGTGCAGCAGCATCAGGAGGAGGAGGAGGAGGAGGAGGAGGAGGAGGAGGAGGAGCAAGAGACGGACCACAACCATTCAGAGTACGAGTCTGCCAAGGATGAGACTCCTGCAGAGTCGCCGGGTATGTAGTTCTTATTTCATTGCACCGAACTACAAATCCATCAACCTCCCGTTCGTGCTTGATAGGCGCCTGACATGGAGAAAACAAAATCAGCATCCTCGAAAAAACGATCGTCGTGGTTGCCCTCCATTTTTTCCGGCTGAGACTATCTATAACTATTCTCTCTCTCTCTCTCTTTGCATGATCATTTCCATCTTTCTATCCAATTATATTCACGAGCGTCGGCCATCGACCCTTTTATTTCTGCATGCTATTCGTTTATCCCTTTGATCCTTTCACATTTCATTTCCCCTTCCCTTTTGCATCACTCCTGTTTTCCACGCGTCGCCGACGATACCCCCGCCACAGCAGTGGCCTGTTATGATCATCGTGATGAGCAGGCGTGATTTTGATAGCGTATACTATGACTTCACTTCGCATTGTCCCATACCAAGATATGTAATAGACGAATACTTAGTTCCTATGTAGATTGGGAGAACCAATCATGTAATTATCATTCTACAGGGATGGGCAAGGTAATAGTGGTACCCGATATGCAGTATGCAGTACGGAGTACCATACAAGACCCCAGCCATCGATTTATTATTGATCAATGCTCTCTGGGATTTCCTATTTTTAAATCTTACGTATCTGACCTGGTCAAGATGATCGAGTTTCCATGATCTATCGTACTTGTAAGTACTCGCCATCTGAATTAACCACATAACCATCTTACTTAACCACTACCTAGGTACCTAACCTATACCAAGCTCAACTATTAGAATGCTTCTAGCACTCATATTCATCACACCGTTTCTCATCCAATCGAGCTCCGCAGAAGCTCGCCTTAATTCCTCCATAGATGTGGACGTCGACAAGATCCTCGCCCTCCAGGCCGCGCTGGAGACCAAGCTGGCTCTGACGCCCGTGCAGGGTGTGAAGAAGATGCACCCCGACGAGGGGGACAAGTTCTTCTTCGAGGACTGGAGATTCGTGAGCGGTGAAGCCGAACAAGATCTTTATGACTCGCTGCTGGACAGGAAGGTACTCAACTGGACCTCCAGATCGTACACACCTCACTTACCGTTCTCTGGTGTCGATTCTTCTCGCCATAAACGATCCTTCCAGTGTCCGACGGGAACGACCAGCTGTGAATCCATCGACCGGGCAGGTTACTGCTGTGGAACAGACGATGTTTGTATCCTTGTGCAGGAAACGGGGTCTGGCGATGTGGGCTGCTGTCCCGAGGGAGAGACCTGTTCGGATATCATTGGGAGTTGTCGAACAGGCCTTACGGCCTGTCCGGAGTCGGTGGGGGGTGGGTGCTGTTTGCCGGGGTATGAGTGTGTGAGTGGTGGTTGTATGTCTTCCCTATGGATCCGGACTGCTTGATGTTTTTCGGGTATTGATTGATATAGGTGCATTTGTTTCTACAGTGACTGTGACGGTGCATTCGACCTCCTCTACTTCGACATCAACGTCTACTACATCTTCAAAAACTACGACAACTACTTCATCTACTATCCCAAGTACGACATCGACTAATCTGATCGCGCCAGCGCGGCCGACAGAGTCGACTGCGTCCACATCTAGTATCACGAGCACCAAAGCCACCAGCACAAGCACTCATAAAACCACCGCGTCCGTCTGTCCGACCGGTTTCTATGCCTGTTCGGCTGTCTACCAGGGCGGATGCTGCCGTACCGGGCGTGACTGTGACACCACCTCATGCCCGATCACCTCGTCGTCCACGATCGTCTCCGACGGCGTCACTGTCGTCGTCCCCGTCACAACCTCTACCAACAGCGGCGGCGGCGGCAGCGGCAGCTGTGCCAGCGGGTGGTTCAGCTGTGCCGACACTGTCGGCGGGGGCTGCTGTCCGACAGGATTCGTGTGTGGTGCGAGCTGTACGGCGACGGCGTCTACGGCGACGGGAACGGTGGCCAAGGAGCAGGCAGGGAGTGCTGGAAACGCGGTAGCTCCCGATGGTCTCTATCTGATGGGGGCATTTCTGCTTATTGGCGCTTTTCTCCTGTAAATGATTAGACGATAACTAATGACGAATGAAATGCTCAAGAATTAAGAATCACTGCCAGCTAAAACAATATCTACTCGGTTATTTAACTCGGCCCCGTGGGGGCCAGTGGGGAGGAACTAGCGTGACACCGTCCCTGAGTTCGGCGACGACTTCCACCGCCGGGATCGGCAATGTGCAGTGATTTACTCCTCTCGCTTCACAGCTTTCTTCCCAGACCTTTGTGTTCTTTTGTATTTTGTATTTCTTTTGTTTCTCTGCTTGTCTTCTCTGTACTCCACTCTATACCTTTATCGCTGCAGCTTGTCTCACGCGCTTGACTGTGATAGCCACCATGTCGACCGGCAACCAACAACCCCTCCCCTTCGTCTACCAGTTCGCTGCTGGTGCCGTCGCGGGTGTCTCCGAGGTGAATTCTTCCTCTGATCTTGATCGGATCTCCAGATTGCTGAAAAATTGCTGACTCGTCCTTTGTAGATTCTAGTGATGTACGTCGTTGATCGCTGCTTTGGCAAACCCCTCTCCTACGAACGGTTCCGGTTCTAACCGATGCTACGATAAACAGGTACCCGCTGGATGTGGTCAAGACACGAGTGTAAGTGGAAGCGGTGACAATTTTCCGTCTCAATCGGGCGTGCGACTGACGGGCTGGCGCAAAATCATACAGTCAGCTTCAGCAGGGTGGAGGCACCGGCGCGGACTCCTACAATGGCATGTTCGATTGCTTCCGCAAGATCATCAAGAATGAGGGGTACGTCCTTCCATTGAGCAGTATGTATTCTACAATACGGGTGTAGTATACTAAAAGCCTTAGATTCTCCCGTCTGTACCGTGGTATCACCGCTCCGATCCTGATGGAGGCCCCCAAGCGTGCGACCAAGTTCGCGGCCAACGACAGCTGGGGTGCCTTCTACCGCAACCTGTTTGGCGTTGAAAAGCAGACACAGAGCCTGGCTGTGCTCACAGGTGCGACGGCCGGCGCGACGGAATCCTTCGTTGTCGTCCCCTTTGAGCTGGTCAAGATTCGTCTGCAGGATAAGGCGTCGGCCGGCAAGTACAACGGCATGCTGGACGTTGTGAGGAAGATCGTGCAGCAGGAAGGTCTGCTGGCGATGTACAACGGGCTGGAGGCGACCCTGTGGCGCCACATCCTGTGGAACGCAGGCTACTTCGGCTGCATCTTCCAGGTGCGCGCGCAGCTGCCCCCCGCGGAGCCTGGCAACAAGGGCCAGCAGACGCGCAACGACCTGATTGCGGGAGGCATCGGTGGTACCGCCGGTACCATCCTCAACACCCCGATGGACGTCGTCAAGTCCCGCATCCAGAACAGCCCCAAGGTCCCCGGCCAGCTGCCCAGGTACAACTGGGCGTGGCCTGCCCTCGGCACCGTCATGAAGGAGGAAGGCTTCGGCGCTCTTTACAAGGGCTTCCTGCCCAAGGTCCTTCGTCTTGGCCCTGGCGGCGGTATCCTCCTTGTTGTCTTCACCGGCGTCATGGACTTCTTCCGCAAGATGCGTGCCGAATAAAAAAAAAAAAGCTTGAAAATATTTCTTGAACCGCCACCACCATCATCATCATCTCTTCGTGTTCTCTTGTCATGACATAGTTATATTTGATGCTATCTGACCATGTTTCTACTTCTGTTTCTACATAGGTATCGTCAATAAATATCAACGATAGAAATAGATACATATATCTGAAAGGCAAGCAAGCTGGTAGATAAGATGCCTACAGGACCTGTTTACAGAGTACCTAAGTAGCTAGAAAGACAAGAATACCCATTCGTCTCATGATACCTAACTAGCTATATGCTCTGTATGGATGAGTTTCAACTGACAGTGAATCGATTAAAACATACAGTGCTACTACAGTACTTGACTAGCTGCTATTCAATAACTACAATACTCAAGGTCAGACAAATGGGTATCGATTCGAAGAGGCGGTAACTACCACCACAGTACATCATGTAGAAACCATCGAAAAGAGACTAGAATCAACCGCAAAAAAAGATAACAAGTAGAAAAAAAACAGGAATTAGGTCCATAGCGTAATATTGGACAAAACCGTTGCAGATAGCATCGCAGATAGCGTCGAAGAAAGATAGCGTCGAGACCCGAATTATGTATCAGTAATTGTGATGCGAGAGAGCAGGGGGAAAAAAAAAAGAAAAATGATGGAAATCAACGCAAATGAAGGCAAGAAAAATGAGAAGAAAATAAGAATAAAATAGGAATAGAGCAGGATATATGTGGCAAAGATAACGCGAAAACACATAAAGCATATTAAGAAAGAATATAGGGCAAATGGAAAAGCAAACTCTCAAACAGACTTGACTATACGCCTGTCTTCCTCCGATGACGCCTGGTATGCAAATATCATGTCATGACTAACTTGTCGTCCCCCCCCCGCGCTTCGAAGACTCTTGGCTTCGGTACTCATCAGTTCATGTCCATCGAGTACTCGTCTTCTTCCTTGAAGCTGATACCCGCATGGCCCGAGCTGTTCCAGTACTGCGGCTGGCCATGGCCAGCGCTGTTAGCTCCGCTGCTGGCCCCGCTGTTGAAGCCTGGGCTTAGGCTTTGGGGGCTCAGGGCCCCAGTGCCGGAGACGGGCTCGCCAGCCAGGTTGGTGTGCTTGGGCACTCGCAATCCGCTACCAGGCCCCCGACTGTAGCCAAAGGTCGACGCGTCGTTCTTGTCCATCGCGTCGAGCAGCTCGCTGCGCATTCGCTTCTCTTCCTCTGTCTGCTCGAACGGCCAGCTGGCGCCCAGGCTGCCCAGCAGCTCCGCCAGTTCGGCCTCTTGTTGCATCTTGACATGGAGAGCCCACATCAGGTCCCGCATCCAGCCCACGGCGCCGTTGAGGATGTCGCCCTTGTTGGGACCTTTTTCCTTTTCCTCGATGGGCAGGCCCATGGTGATGTTGCCGGGCGTCGCTCGCCGCCCGTTGCCGCCGGCCAAGAGCGAGGTGGCCGTGTTGTTGGTGGCCGGTCCCCCACCGAGGCCCGCGGCGGATAGAGTGTTGTTATTCACCAGCTGCTTGCGAACCTTGTCATCTTCCAGCCGGTGCTGGGGCACCAGGTGCGATAGATCCTGGATCCGTTCATTAATGTTGTCGCGCCGCCGGCGTTCAACCAGGTTGTGCGAGGCCCGGCGGCGACGCCGCTTCGCTTCCTGGGACTCGAGATCCTGGCCACCGCCCCCGGGAAGGTGGGTATCAACCTTGGCCGGCAAGGAGGCGTGTTTCCCAGACTTGAGAATTTCGGAGATCCCGGCGTGGTGAGAAGGATGGCCGGGGGAGGAAATGGGCGATTCCATAAACGAGTGGGCGCTGCCCGGGGTGCCATCCCATTGGCTGGAGAGCGTCTTTTGGTGGCGGTGCTGTAGGCCGGCGGTGCGAATGGGCTGAGTGGGGAAGCTCCCGGACTCGGGAGTGCCGAGTGTAAGGGCGCCGAGAGCGGGGGTCTTGGGTGTCATCGGGGTTCGGCCGTCGGACGAGGTACGGTCAACGGCCTGCAGACTGGGGCGGGCCTTGGAGTTGAGGTAGCTCTGCTCCAGGTGGGAGCCGGCGCTCTGCAGATGAGAGGAGCTCTGCGGGTTGAGACCGCGGAACTGGTCGTAGTTGAAACTCCCATGGATAAAAGGGCTCTGGATCGGGGCGCCTTCCGGGGTGTTGGAGTACATCTGCGAGATCTGGTTGGGGTGGCTCATGGGCATGCCGATTCCCGAGTGCTGCGGCGGCGGCGGCTGGTCTTGCAAAAAGTTCATACCATTGGCACTCTGGCCGTTGATCTCCAGGTCTAGCAACTCGTCGGTATCGATTCCGGAGTTGCCGAAGTTAAAGCTCGATGACATGTTCTGTCCCGAACCGAAGGAGTAGGGCAGAAAGCCGCCATTGTGTTGCATGGTGAGGTCTGACGGATCGACACCGTCAGGCCCACTGCCAAACTGGTTCCCAAACTGCTGATGAGGTAGCGAGAAGCCTGAGTGAGACATCATGAACTGGTTCGGGTTGCCGTGGCGGTCGTCAGGTTCGTCTTTGATGTACACCGCACTTCCGTCAGCCATCTCTCTCTCTCTCTCTCTATCTCTCCACGGTACTAAGGAACAGCCCAGCGATGACAGTCGCAAGGGCAGATTCCCGTACCACAAAATATATTTTGCCAGTTCCTAGCAATATAGAAAGTTCGGGAACTGTGAATAACCAGAGGCCATCAGCGGTTAACCCTGCCGGATTTTGTTCCGCGCGAGAGACAAGTCATACCTTGATCTGTTCCAGAGGATATGTGTACTATATTCTTTCTATACCCAGAATTGCGGTGGGATCGTCACAAGATGTTGCGCAATTTTGTATAGGGGACGTAGTAAGGGTTTGAGTCAAAAGGGCGTTTCGCAGGGGCGGGGGTTAGAGCGCCTAAAGAATTCCCATCTGTCAGCCGGATCACCGACCAGAAGAACTACCCCCATAAAAACTCCACACCACACAGTCGATGGACTACCTCGCAGAGAGTAAGTGATTCGTGGGCCGGTGTGGGATGCCGGGCGACACTCAAGTCGGATTCCAAAGCAGGCGATCCGGAAGGGTCTGACTGGTGCAGGCAGTACCGGGTAACTAGACGACTGCACAGTAAGATCACAGTGGCCACCGCTCCGATGCTGCCGATCGCCGAAAGGGATCCAATCTGAATAAGGAGGTCGAGGGTTAAGCGAGAAATGTGCCGAAGAAGCAGGCTGCGGTGAGTGGTGTGGCGATGAGCTGAGTCCGCCGGGCGGGTGCCAGTAGGAGGAGGTAGAGAGGGATGGATGGGGCTCAGGAGAGGAAAATGGGAGGGGGGGAGAGCGGTCAAGCGGTTGGATTCTCAGAGGAAAGTCAAGGGCAGGGAGGCCAAAAATAGCATTAAACCACGTCTGGAAAGGCCTGGGTAGAGTCAGCGAGTACAATGCAATGACTCTCGAGTCGTGAGTTGCGGTTGAGCTCCAGCCAGAGGGAGAATCTCGCTTTCTGTCCTCTCCGACCGTGGCGGGGGCGAAGCAACAAAAAGCGCTTTTTTTCTGGGGAATTTTGGGGCGCTGGTTCGGGCGGGCGGTGAGCAGCTCCCAAGACTGGGCAATTGACAAAGAACAGAGGACCGTCAACATCAACAACGTCAAGAGCCAACACCAACATCAATCAAATACGATCCTGGATCGGACGGTTTACTCCAAGGCAAATCCACACGGAGCATCATGGCACAGGCAGCCGGGGATGGCGGAAACCGGTGACTCCAAGGCAGGCAGGGCTGAGCGTCATGGTCTGACAAGGCAGAAGAGAGATTCCAGTCCGATAAGGGTGCCCCTCCGTGCCGATAAGAGAGGGAGGGAGGGAATGAACAACAACGACTGAAAGGACAGAAACATACTTACAGCTGATAAATAGGTTTGAACGGAAGATGAGCGGAGAGGGTAGTGGTATCTGGGAGGAAGATCAGATATCAGTTCTCTTTATCTATCCAGTGTGGACAGGAGAAATATGACGATCCACGGCCAGCAATGCAATGTACGGAAGATACGGCAGGACGACGTACTCCGTACGGAGTATGGATGTACGGCGTACTGTACGTACTCCGTATATGGCTCGGTGGCCGCCCACACGTGGCAGGGAACAAGGGAAGCAGCAGGGAAAAAAAGCAGAAAAGAAAGGGAAACAAACGAACGGGCCTCGAGGATTCGTGTTCGTCTCAAGGGGCTCGAGCTCTGACCGGTACGACGACTGGATGCGATCGCGAAACCGTCTCTGCAGGTTCGAAACGAGGAGAGGGAATGGGGCTATCTTTATGGCTGCAGAGGCGCCCCCTGCGGCTCTCATTTGATATACGGGACCAGAGGTCATGCAGGGCGTCGATCTTCACAGCAACGAGGCTTGACTGACTTCCTACGGGAATTACTTCTGGGTGCTGACTCCTTATCTCTAGGGAGACTTCACATGGGAGAAGGGGGTGGGCAGGCAGTGCAGCAAACAATTGGAGGAAACCCGGCTACAGGAGAATAGTGGAACTATTCACATACTATGGGTGGTGTGGGTGGGTAGGTGGTAGTACCGGTCGGATATCAATTGCACATCCCCCAGCTACAGATACCAGGAAACTAAAAATTAATCCCATGAACAGGCAACAAGGTGTCTGTCAGCTGTCACTAACGTCATGACTCACCTTAGTTTACTTATAGTGGTGGTGGTGTGTGTGTGTGTGTGTGTGGTAAATATCAGATGGCCTGTGGGCATACCGTAACTAGAGGGGTGGGGAATGACATGACCGGTATGGAAGTTTACGAGGAATATCATATCTTGATCTAGTATATCCATACACACACACACACAGAGAGAGAGAGAGAGGGAGAGAGAGAGAAAGGAAGAAGATTGCTATGTATAGCAGGTGGGCAAACCTAAAGCTTTGGCCATATGTTTTCGTTTCTCGTTGCGCGCTATCCCACGCAAATCACCGTTTTGACATCGACTCTCCTCCGTTTTATTCCGTAAAGCAGTGGTGGAATGTGGCCAGTAGCCACTCATCAGACACAGCCAGAGAAAGGAGAACCCCGCCAGCCAGGATTCCTGGCCGATCCCGCAAAGATCTGAGCGCAATGGTCGATCCCCAGCGATGACGATACTCCGCGTGTCCGATCGTTCTGGCGCGCGCTGCGGTGTCACTGTTATGTCGTCCCGTTCCGTCAAGGTTCGGCAATTCCACGGTTTGATGCAAGGAGTGGTGCCAGACGGTGTCTTCGTGGGATAACAAGGACCCTCTACTCCATACCCTCTCTCCCAGGTTCGCTTCCGCCGGTTGATAGGCTGGAAGAACTGGCCAGGGGTCTGCAAGTGTAAAACAAGGCAGGTGAGACAGATAGATAGAGACTTACAGCTCCTGCTAAACACTAACCAAGCCCCCTCCCTCCTCTATACTCTATGAAAAGGACTGATCGCCGCAGGGTGTGCACAAACCTACGGCAGATACGAAGTACTCTGTATGGATAGAGTAGTGGTAGTGGTAGTAGTAGTGGTAGAAGAGGCAGCGGGGAAGATGGATAAGAATAGAGTCGGCCGAGAAATCCACCCAACCACGCGCGTAACGGTCCGAAGCCGCTTGGTCCCGTCACATACCGTACGATACGGAAAATACAGGTGTAAATCCGTACCAGGTCTTTTCCGCTTTGGAACTAGTGCTTGTACTAGTCTACTTCGGGCACTCTGCGTAATGCTCAGCTCGCCCTCCGCGACGCCGGACAACAGTCCATCATCAACTGACAGGGGATAGTAGAGGAAGAATCTCAGACGCGATCCAAGCTGAAGGGAAAAGGTAAATCAGTAAGTGGGATGCTCTTTGCCTATCTGAATGTGTCAGACTCACCTGCCCACCTTGTTTTGCTGTCTTCGTTCTTGTTTGCTGTTTATCGTCGTCGTGGTTTCTAATTACGACGGTTGTTGCTATTATTGCTATCCCACCCCTCTTTCTCATTCCTCCCCTCCCTTTGCTCATGTCGCAAATCACGATCGAATACTCTTGTACTGACTTTCCAGCAGGTCATCTGACCATCAAAAAAAATCCTGCAGCCTACCAGAACCGTCATAATCTTACCCCTCGTCTGCATTCTTTTTACGCCTCCACACCCTTCCTTTTTGCCAGTCTTGGGAGGAGACAATCAACGCACCAATAATCCCGCGCCTCAAGTTGCACGGTCTTGCCCAAACCGCTTGAGTTGCACTGCCGGAGGTTTTCTCTTTCCCCAGGTACTCAGAAGATATTGTCTATTGAGGGCTCTCTTTCAATCTACGACAAAGACACAGGCGCAGGTACACTATAACAGTCACTATCACAAGCGTCGGCAGGGGTTTTCGACTTAGACGGACCAAGCCCCAAGCGCGAGTCATCTGGCCTGTTGGATTCCACATCCCGGTATCCTCCCTCCACACAGACACACATACACACACCATCGTCGCAGATCATCTGCACGCAGATAGTACCCGTCGTGCATAGGCCCTGCAGACCCTGTCTGGGAAAGAAGCTTCATCTGCAGGTAGAACTGGGCAGGATAGCAACAAAACATGGCAACTAGTTCATTTCGCGATTCGGTCAACTCCCTGGGCTGGTCGCGGAGAGACCAAGATCTGCCGGCCCGCGCCAACAATTCCTCTGCCTCCACACCATTTCTATCCAGACTCCAATCCCTAAACCCGTTTGGCCAACGGGATGGCTACTTGCAACTCCCCACCCATGAAGGCCCCGGCGCGCCTCTGCCTGCGCCCACTCGACGAGAAGAGGAAGAGAGCTTCCTTGCCTGTACGTTTTGAACCTTTTTTTAGTTGCCCTTTTTTACGCTCCTCCCCGAGCCCATGACCGGTCTAGCCGGAGATCTGCGGCTCCCCGTCCAAGGTGGTGCACAGTTCCTGCGTCTGAACGAAATCATCGGATCTCCTGGAGGGTGTCATGCTTGCTAAGAGACAGGACGGGGGGAGCCTCTCTCAATGAGTCCCGGAATGACTGCTATGTCTCAGCCATCTGATGACAGAAAACAAGATTCAAGTTTGAGGCTGACTATTTTTGACTTTTCCTCCCTTCTTCTGCAGTGAGTCGATGGGATCGTATGCTTATCTTCGCTGCCTGCAACGCCGGTGCCGCCATTTGTTTCCTGATCTGTTTTTTTCTCTTCCCGGTACTATCACTCAAGCCGCGCAAATTCGCAATCTTGTAAGTTTCCCCCCCCCCCTTCCCCTCTTTATGACCCTGGTCAGGACTTTTTTTATATTTGCCTTCTTCTACCTGTTTGTGTCGGCACCCACAATCCGCGTGGCTTGAGCATACGCAAGCCATCCACACTTCTTATCCCATGGAACACGAATACGACTTTACCCAAAGGCAAATAACGGCATTTGGGCAACTCGCCTCAACTACTCAGCTGATATCCCTAAACTAACCGGTTTTTTCTTCACACAGATGGTCAGTCGGTTCCGTTCTGTTCCTACTATCATGGGCTGTCCTTATGGGACCGATGACCTACACCAAACACCTGGTCTCGGGACCCCGGCTACCCTTTACGGCCATGTACTTTGGCTCGATCGCCATGACTCTGTATTTCGCCATCGGAGTGAGTGTTCCCCCGTGTGTTCCGTTTACCAGGCAGGACAGTCTATTCTAACACAACTATAGCTCCATTCCACGCTGCTCACCCTCATCTCATCCATCTTACAGCTCGCCACACTTGTCTGGTACCTGGTCAGCTACTTTCCAATGGGGAGCACTGGGCTGCAGTTCATGGGTCGCTTCGGTGCGCAGCGCGTCTCTGCCTGGATGACTTGATGTATATATACTTTATTTTTACTATCGCTAGCACACTTACACTGAACATTATATTCATAATCCATCATGCATGTGACTGGTCATTGTATCTACTATGTAATGTATTGCATGTTCTTTTTTTTCATCTCCTCATCACAACAGTAACCACCCCTGACACAACCTTCACACCGGGAACCTCTGCCTCCCAGATCCCCGTGCCCGGCCCTGAACCCCCGGTCACCCACCGCTGCAAAAGGTCGTTGCTTTCCTTGGGCTTCACCTCCGGCGCGGCGGTGCCCACCGTGATATGCGGGAATCGATTGGCACAGACCCACTCCTGCTGGAGGGTTTGCTGGCTGTCGTCTGCGGGCAAGATACGCGCGATAAAGGCCATGACGCGGTCGTCCCAGACGAGCCGTTCGATGCGGACACGCAAAGAAGCTAATGTGGGGGTAGTTGACGTCGTGGGTGTCGCAATATTCTGGTGCTGGATTTCTCTTATCCGTGCGATGTATTGCTCTGTATACCGCTCCCATAGATGCGGGTGCTCCGATTTGGAGGCGCGATGGATCAGAGTGACGTGGAAGGCGGGCTGCAGGCAGCGGCTGTTGACGAGATGGTGGTACATGCGTGTCTTCTCGGGGGAATTGCTTAGGCTTGGATCCGAGAAGATAGAATGCAAGACGGTCAGGATGTCGGTTGTGGGGACGGAGATGGAGAAGTATTCGATCTTCTTGGCGAGGGTTTCAGGGTCGAGGAGCTGTTGCTGTTGCTGGCCTTGTCCTGCTCCTGCTCCTGCGGCGGCGGCAGGCTTCTTCTCCTTGGGCTTCTTCGGGCCATATCCGCCGCTGAGGTCTACATCGACGTGGTAGTCGGTCATGGCGGCTGCGATGGCATCGTCGAGCTCCTGTGCTGAGGGCACCCGTTCCACGATGGCAGGGTAAGCGGCGTGCAGGCTGCGGACGATCTTTTCGAGGTTCTCGCGAGACGAAGAGGCCACGTTGAGGTTGATAACTTGGTCGAAGTGTCGGTCCGGGTCGCGCTCGGTGTTGACGCCTTCGAACCGGGTGAGGAAGCCCTCCATGATCCCGATGACCTCCTCACTGCCCTTACTTCCGGCCCGGATGGTTTGGTGGTTGTCGCCTCGTTCCAGTACGCGTCGCCGGGTCACCTCTCTGATGCCCGGCAGCAGCTCGCCCTTGGGTTCGTGTACCCAGTGCAGAGCCACGAACCGCGCATCTGATAGCACAGGCAGCACATCGTCCATGAGCTGCTGTCTTTCCCGCTTCTGATGGTTGTTGCGGTCGGCAATCACGACCGGGTGGTCGGACAGCAGACTGCAGACGTCAAACGCAAACCTCTTGGGCTTGTTCTTCTGCTTGGGGATATTGTCGTTTTGGACATGGCCCCAGCCAAATAGTTTGACGAGAGCAAGCGCTACCGTGGTTTTTCCACAGCCGAGCGAGGCGATAGGGGCTAGGATGACGTTCTTTGTCACGCCGCCACTGCCTTCGCCCTGCTTTTCCATGGCGATGATATCGGATCCCTTCAGGCCCCGTTCTTTGAGGAACCCATCGCGCATCGCGATGATGCCGTGGTTCTGATTGTAGAGCTTTGCAAGTTGAGGATTCTTGTTGAGCTGCCGGCGTGCGTATTGAAGATACTCTTCAGTGATCTGCTTGTGCTTCTTGATTCTAGGGAGTTTGCCGCCAATGACGGCCTTGGTGCATTCACGCCACTGTCTGTACATTAAATAGGGCTCCTCGAACTTGTACTTGAAGAACCAGTCGCGGTAGGGGCGTTTACCGCCGTCTTCGCTGAGCTGACACCGAATCACAAACCCTTCGGTTTCCCGACCGTTCCAGGTCCCCGTCTGGGCACATTCTTCCAGGAAGCTTTTCACGGTGTGAATCTCATCAAGGACAAGGAAGTTTGCTTTCTTGAACCCCCAGGCATCAGCGAATTTGTGCACGTCTGCACTGGGCAACGTCGCGAATTCGGGTACGTTGAAGTTGATGCCGTGGATGTAGATACCCGATGCAGCTTCATCGTAGGCGAGCACATGCTCCTCGAAGCTGTCATCACATAGTTCTCCAACGGCGGTAGCATTCAGTCTGCGCAGCTCTCTTGCAAGATCTCTGGCCGACTTGCCAACCGAGGAGACGTGGTGCTCGACCCATCGTTCGCCGGCCTGGGCATGGCTCACTTCTGCGTCGCTTCTCACACCGGTCGAATGCTTGCTGCAGACCAGCAACGTGCCATCCTCCAAGCCGGATATGAAGATAATGCATCCATTCTCTTTCACGCTCAGCTCGTACGGACCCCGTGTGTTCTGTTGAATGTTCTGCCATACGGTTTGGTGCACTTCATCCACATTGAAGAACTTGTCGTACCCCCGAACCGCAATCTCGGGTGTCCCATCCTGCCTTTCTGTTGTGAACAGTCCTCTTGCATAAGTAGGAAGATCTCGGCGCTTGTAATCCCAGTCCATGAACTTCCACGAGTCCACCGTCACATCCTTCGTTCCGGCTACGGCGAAAGTGGACTTTTTGCATGTGAAAGATGACTTCGCATGGCCCCTGGATTTCCCGCTGGCAGCTTCCAGGCTGCTCACCAGCAGTGCAACCTCGTTAGGGTCCTGCTGGACCATGGCTGCTGCAATTATCTCAGTTGGAGGTGGTGTTGGATTGGAGCACACGAGGCGAGTTACGATAAGAAGAGGGGATGCGGTAAGGTGGGGGAGGAAACAAAAAAAAACCCGTCACTGACTCTCTGACAAGCTCTACAAGGACCAGCTTCCACCTTTTTATCTCCCTTGCACTCTTCCACACCAGCACTGAGTGACTCAGATTGCGTCTTGCAAACTGCTTGAGAACCACTGCGGGGCCGACACGAGAGAAGGATCTACGCAATAATTCTTCGCGATTGCTTTGTTACCTGCGCCACCATCTGCCCCTCCCACGCCGGGGAACGTTTCAAGACAGTGAGGCTGACTTATTTCTCTTTTTCCATCCTTAGAATGACTCACTAAGAACCGCTTTGACAGTCGTAAAAAGATTCCAGAGCCCACTCAGGCCAGCCACAATGAGTCAACCGAACCCTTACATTCTCGCTGCCGATAACCCTTCAGCACTGCTGACGTTGTTACGCGCGAATCCTGCCATCGCCTCGGAGCAAGACGACCATGGCTATTCGCTGCTGCACGCTGCGGCGTCCTACGGACACATTGATCTGTTACGGGCACTGGTGAAGGAGTTTGGCGTGGACGTTAATATGCTCGATGAGGATTCCGAAACATGCCTGTTTGTCACGGAAACCGTCGAGGTCGCCAAGTGCCTGGTGGAAGAGCTTGGTGTGGACTATCACCGCACGAACGACGAGGGCCTGACGGCGCAGCAGACTGTCGAAAGCGATGGGTCGTTCCCAGAAGTTGCACTGTACCTCAGATCAGTCACTGGCGACTCATGCGCCTCGATGGCGCCTATCCAACCCGCCGACGCCTTGAACCCTGCCCCGCCGCTGCCTCCGAACATCCAGATGAACATTGGGACAATGTCAGAGCAGGAGGTTACGGGCGAGGTGGACCCTGAGTTCAAGCGGCGGATTGACGAGCTGGCTGCTCGCGAGGACTTTCACAGCGAAGCGACTCAGAACCAGCTACGAGCTCTGGTGATGGATGCTATTAGAGGCGCTGATATTGAGACTGGGGATCGAGATGTGCGACAAAGGACGGAATAATCGTGATGCTCCGGTAACTAGCACAACACAACACAACACAGCGCTCTGCATCTTGGTTGGCAAAATTCCGCCAAACACTTGACCTTCCCTTCGTTTGAAGTTGACTTCATACCCGAAGGTTCAATGGTTCCATCCCTCCGCCTCGGTCTGGGTCAGGACTCACAAAACCTGAATGACTCTGGGTCTTCAGACCTCGTGGTCCTTGTGCATATGCATTATGCACGAAATCAATACCCAAGGGTTTATGAATGTGTAGTGTGTACGACTTGACATGGAATTAGAAGATACGGAATTCGTCACCATTTTGCTAGCATTACAGATAATGACCATGATGTCCTTACCATCATGTTGATTGGTATCTTGTGGATAGTCTTCTCTCGCCTAGGGTCTAGATAAAATGGAGTAGTATATAATTAAATCGTTTATAATATCTCTCTGACCTATGTAATTTTTCTTGGACTCACTATACACGAGCCAGCGCTGACCTGAGCACTCTACTCTGTATTTGTCCCCGCACTAACTTATCAATTGTCCTTCGAGTCCAGGATTAACAACCACTTCCATCCCTCGGTGATATATGCGAATTCGCTGACAAAAAAAAAGAAAGAGACAAGGATATTAAAGATAAAGAAATGTCACAATCTTCAACCCCTTATCCGACTCCATCTGCCTTCTACACTCCCACTCCTCGCGCGACGCATTCCCCCCTCAATCCGGACACGCCTCCGCCTCCGCCTCCAAAGCCAAGCAGTCACGAAGCAAGTCGGAGAGGCACACCGCAGGCTTCAATATCCTTCCCGCCTGGGTCTCAGCAACAACCTCGAGAGGGGTTTCCCGGTCCAGCCGCGGGGCCGGGCGCGAACCCAGCGAGCATCCCAGCTGTGCTCCCCGAGCCGCCCTCTATCGAGGAAGGGTGGCTCCCGGAGATCATCAAAGATAAATCGTACGGCCTGATAGTCTAGGGAGAGATAAATTAAAAGAGAGCGGGGGCTAATCATTTCATAGGACTGTGGATCTACAATCGATTCTCGAGCAGCCCGAGCTCATCTCCGCTCTGTCCTCCCTCCACCCTTCCTATGCCGTACACCAACAAAACCTGCGAAGCTGCCTAGCCTACAACCAGGACCTCGTGGAGAAGCTGACGGAACTGCAGAGCCATCTTGCGGAGATGCGGACCTCGACCGAGACCCTCCTGTTGACAAATCAATCGCTGGAAGTGACATGGCGCAAGAAGCAGACGGAGATGGACACCGCGCTAGCCCCTTGGTCGCCAAAGGGGCTTTATCAGCGACTAGGTTTATCTATTGCCGAGCAGGAGGCCGTCTGTCGGGCTGTTGAGGAGAGCTTCCTGGAAGGCGACCATCTCGGGCGGGCCTCAGAGAAAGAGGTCACGGACTGGGTCCGCCGCGTCAGGGCTGAGGCAGCCAAGTTGGCGGCCAGGAAAGAGGCGAAGGCGCGGTGGGATGAAGGCAGAGTGGGTGGATGGAGGTGATTCTTTAAGGTATGGGCACATGTATGAACTAGAGTTTATTGCACACTGTTTTATCATGCCATTGATGATCACCATTAATATTCATACACAGATATCAACTTTTTATACTACTATGGCTACTCCTCCTCCTCCTCCTTCGCACCAGTCTGAACTTGAAACCCCCTCATACATGTCAAATAGAGCTATACGATCCGAATCCCAGGGTCATTGTCGAGTTGGTATATTATATATCGACCCCTCGAGTTCCCGATGACTGTGCAAGACCAGGTATCGCATCCCCATTTTCGATATCTTCTGGTTGTCGCACACCACCCCTGCTGGACCAATTGTCATCGCCGACAGGGCTAGGAAAGCCAACCGCCTTGAAGAAGGCATTTTTGCGACTTCTGGCGCCCCACGACCAACCTGCCCCGCGTCGGATGGGCAGATGATACCATTTAAACCCGATCCAGGCGAAAAATATGCCCAAGGCGGTCCCAAATAAGATGTCGAACCCATGATGTCGGTGATTATACCAGCGCGAGGCTGCGATGAAGGACGCGGTGCCGAGTGGAACAAGGGCGACGATAAGCATATAAACCGGCGGCGCGGCCCCTTGGCTTCGGATAGCTAATCTCCAAGCCGAAGACGAGGATCGTGGCAGGCTGTTACTCTGGGTATCCGCTTCTGTTTTTGAGAGATAACCGGGTCGAGACGAATAATAGGGGAGATACGGGAACGCGATTTGGAGTTTGGAGCAGAGCCAAAGCGTCAAATAGGTCATCCCTGCGAAGGAGACTAGGAAGAAGCACGTCAATACTATATTCCAATATGAAATGTCGTTCGGCTGTTGGTTTCACTTACAGCATGCATGGCCACTAGGAAAGCTTGCAAAGCCATCCCCTTTGACCATTGAGGTTTTGTTTCGGCAGATCTCCCAGGTCACCAACGTCGGGGCCCCGCTCAGCTCTGTTCCCAGGCCACTGACAGTATATGTCTTGATCTTGGATAGGTCCGGGTCACAGCGAGCCAGAAAGTCCGGCCGCGGTTTACCGATCAGGTCTTTCAACCCCTGTACCGTGAGGAAAGCCCCCGCCAGTGCGACTCCCAGTCCCAGCCATCCCGCATTCCACTCCCACAGCTTGCGCCTCCACATCTGGGAACGAGAGCCATTCCCTTCGACAGCCGCGCCGGGCACGAGCAGGAAACTGCCGACCAGGATGATCACCGCTGGGGCCATCACAGCTACGAGCGCCAGGGTCCCCGTGGTGACGGTCTCGTTTGCCTGGTACGGATAGGAGATGCTCAGGTCAGCCAGCGAGAATGGGTTATGGTTCGGGGTAACCTTGGAGAAGGCATAGCCGACTAAAGCTGTAGCGCTGCAGAGATGAGTTAGCAAACACCGACTGGAAGTTGAGAATTTTGAAGCAACTGGCATACATGATTACAGCCCAGTCGATGATGTACGATAGCACGACCAGCTTGGAAAACCTGGTCAGTAACCTCGACATTGTGACGGTAGTAGCTCTGTGATCGACAAGGTCATCCCAGCAGTCCCCAACTCCGTCTCCTTGCGGGCTTCCTCTAGACCTCTCGAGTGATAATATTTCGCGTAGAAGGTTCGATCTCAGGACTGCAACGATCAATCCCTTGAAGGGCACGTGGCTAGCTGTCTTAGTCAGAGTCCAGATAAATGCCAAAACTTTGCCCACCTCTTGCCAATAACTTCCTACCTTTGAAGTCAAATACGTCGGTATCTATATATTCCTGCCAATTGTGATGCCTAAGAGTCAGTGCGCAATTAAACTCAAGGCAATCGAAAGCAGTGAACTTAGAATAGCTTACAGCGTCATTCCCAACGCAGCGTATTGGTTCCTGCTTAACCTACCAGAGTCAGACCATCTCATCTATGGATGGTGATACACGGTGGTCCATAAGAGTACCTTGGATTTATCTGACTATCTGCAGATCTTCTTATTTACAGTGAACTCAGGCATCTCTCAGCCATAGACTACTTACTAAAAACTAGTTCACTAATAATTATTAACTAGCTAGTTAATTAATTAATTACATTAGGTCGCACGACCGCTAACTACTTTTGCTTCCCCTCAAGATCAGTGAAAAACTCCCCTCCAAAGTCCCGGCTGCTATCGTTGAACCGGATCTTCTTGTTGATCTCTTCGATCTTCTCGACGTCCTCGGGCTCCAGCCGAAAATCGCCTTCGAGATTTGCCTTGATGCGCGATGGCGTCTTGGACTTGCAGAGCACAGAGTGGCCTTGCGCGACGCCCCATGCTATAAGGCTGTCAGTTGCACATGAAGAAGAATAGCCAGAACAAAAATGATGGATAAAGAGGGATATGACGATAGGCCAAAGGGAGCTTTAAAACGAACCAAGAGCAACGTGCGCGGCGTTCTTGCCATATTTCTTCCCGATCTCGGTCAGAAGGGGTTCCTCGATCAGTTTTCCGAGCTTGGTCTGGCCGGTGTAGATGGCGTTCTGGTTGCCGAAGGAAGAGTAATGCGTCACATGGATGCCCTTGGATTTGAGCCACTCGGTAAAGGCCTTCTGCTGCAGCCAGGGGTGGCATTCAATCTGGTGCACGGCGGGCACCACCTTGGTGTTCTGCAGGAGATGCTCCAGTTCGGCCTTGGAGAAATTGGAGACGCCAATCGCCTTCACCTTGCCGGTTTCAAGGAGTTTCTCCATGGCTTTGTATGTCTTGAGGTTTATTCATCAGTCGTCTTTTTCCATGGGTCTTTTTGGGGGGGGGGGGGGGTAGAAAAAAAAGCGAAGTACATACATCGACACTGTCAACATCAATCACTATATGCTTGCCGTTCTCTTTCGGAAAGAGATTGTCTCCTCGTTGCCAGGCGATCGGCCAGTGAATCAGGAACAAGTCGACATAATCCAGGCCCAGATTGTCAAGGGATTCTTGGAGCGCCTTCGGGACGTCGTCTGGGTGGTGCATATTGTTCCACAGCTTTGTGGTCACGAATAGCTGCTCACGAGGCACGCCGCTCTTGCGGATGGCGTTGCCGACATACTTTTCTGTGCCGTACCTGGGAAAAGTCAGAATCTCATATGTCTTCCTCCTTTGGTGGACGAAAACAACCCCGTTGCACCTACACTCGAGCAGTATCAATATGGCGGTATCCCGCCTTGATCGCTTCGCTGACGGCCTCTTCCTGGGCATGCTCATCCTGCCAGGTTCCAAAGCCGATGGCTGGGATCTCTGCACCGGTATTGAGCTTGAATCGAGTAGACATGCTTGTGAGTCAATCAGAAAAAGAATCTGTATGGGAACAAGAATTTTCACTCTTAGTTAATGTTTTAAATGCTGGCAGAATCGAAGTAGGCCCTCATATACATGGCGACTGGCGACGTCAATTTGACGCATATTTCAGGGTAGAATCCAGCCTCGCACGCCTGGAGGCGGATATGACGTCGGAATGAAGAACCGATTCAATGTGGACCTGCTTCAAGGAACACAGCTGCAGGTTTCTTCTAGAGCAGACCTAGATTAAGCTTTTGTGTATATCACTGTTTGTTAATTTTAATTATGATTATCTTTCCGAGGTTCTCTGAAGGGACTGATCCAGAGCTTTATATATCAGTATCGTCCACACTGTGCTATAATACTGCAAATTAGAAAATAAAAGCTTGTCTGAAAGCTATAGGCATCTTTACTCAAGAAAGATAGTCTGTGTTGTTTAGAGTATTGGCCAACCAGTCTCGAAAGTTCAAAATAATCCTTTTGTAGATGACCAACCAGCAGCAGCCTATCTACCAGGTAATCCTCGCCTTTCAGCATCAGGACAGCCTCCTATAGCTTTAATCTATTTTGCCTAATGAGCTGGTCTAGAATACTAAAATACATTTTAGTTATACAGCTTCTTATAGGCTCAAGTCACTGTACAACTGAAGTTTCAGTGAAAAGTGTACTCTCAGAATTGGACAACTCTCACTTCTAGATCAGCCACCAGTTACTTTTCTATTCTCTCACTTTATATACATGTTAATTAGGAGAATACTAATAAATATAAATACCCCTCTTTAGTTCTTTTTCCTTTTTCTTCATCGACACTTCCTTACTCTGCTCTTTTACTACCTATACTCCTAACATCTGTCCTTTTATATCTTATAAATGACTGAAAGGCTCTCTACCCCTACTTCTGTGCTCAAGATGGATATTGAAAGAGATCATATCTTAGATACTGCTGAGCCCTTAGTCAATAATACCCTCCTAGATAGCAATGTCCTTTCAGGTGATGACTCTTTACACAAAGGAGAATCTTCAGAAGATGTTGAGATCCCTCATGTTGAAGAGCTGTCTGGAGTTGAAGAGATCCCCCGTCTAGATGAAAGCCAATCTAGTAGTCATCTTGTGGCCTTGCCCACAGAGGTACTATATTGAAAAATTTCCTAAATCCCCTGATTTGAGTTGAAAAACTGACCTGTTGCAACCCAGCTCATCCAACACATCGCCTATCTACTGCCGACCGATCGAGATCTTGCAAACTTCACGTCTACCTGTTCCTCTATTTCTTTTCAAATTCTTCCTGCTCATTCGTCGGTTTGGAGAAGCCGCTTCCATGCCCTCTACGATGTTTCTCCCAATAGATCCAGCCTGGAACTAAAGAGAGAGTACCAGATCCGTTCCATCGTCTTGCGAAACCCGATCAGCTTTCAGGATGGAGAGACCGAGAAACAGACGCTCTGGCTGGAGACGATGAAAACCCTGATTCTAGAGGCCCTCGAAATCCCTTACAAGAATGGACAATGGTTCTCGAAGAACGTGGAGACAATCCGTCGCTTGCTTTGCCATACCAGATTCCTCGATAGACCCGTCGTTGGATCTGACGGTGTTACTATCCCTTCAGACTTGTTCTGCATTAACCAACTGGTGGGTCAGATAATGAATGATGGTGGGCTTCAAGTTGCAGTCAATAAATAGTGCTAACCGAAAGTGTGTTCAATAGCTATTAACTAGTCTAGCCCTCCATCCTAAAATGTCCATCGGCTGCCTGCGAACAGACTATGATCTCGACATCATCTACAGCTTCCATGGTCAACGTGCAGAGTTTATTCAGAATGGAAAGGTCAACTTGCAGATCTTGATGCACATTCGGAATTTCTGGCACCGCCACGTCCTGAACCACGATGAGAATACATTCTTCTACCTTTTCATCAACCTGAAGGAGGATCGACTGCCGGGTCTCTTGAAAAGTCTCGAGCTCAAGGACTTGCCGCTGAGCCCCTACTGGCTAGGCTTCACCTGTGAGTAGCAACCATGAAGACCGTATTTGAAGGAACACAATAAACACTGACACAACGGATGGTTCGTGGTTTAGCCTGCCTTCATCCGCTGCCCGACGGTCTGGAGGAAGACGAAGAAGAACGCCAGACCTGCGCTGATCTCGAGGACCACGTGGAGTGGGTACCTCTCTGGGTAAGCCTCACATTCGTTCCAAGGCCCACGCTTGATCTAAGCCCTTTGATACTAACTGTATACTCAAGGCCATGTCGATCCATATCGACAGAGATCCGGCAAACTGGCCCCCCGTCTTCCAGCAGGTTCTGCCTTTCATGGACGGGCCGGAGAACCGCGTGTACTTCAAGGGCACGCGGGGGGAGAAATGCGCAACGGCGAAGGTGGAAGAGAGATATCCTCTGCGGGGGTTCGTCGAACCCTTCAGGCACCCCCAGGGAGAAATCCCTGGGTGGAAGCGAGTCTGCTGGGCCGTCTACTACCCAAAGAGTAGAGAGCTGCCTTTGGTCCCGCATGACGCGGTCGACCAGGAGATCGACTCCTGGTTTCCGCAGGAAGTGTGGCCGCCCACCGGCATCGAAGACGACTTCTACGAGCTCTACTTCTTCGAGGGGGTAGTCTTGCCCGGCGGCCGCGTCATGCTGGGATACTGGCAGGATGCCCTTTGGCAGGAAGGGGATGGCCCGTTTATCTTCTGGGACACCGAAAGGGCATTTGCAGATGAGATGATTCCAAAATCAAGTTAGTTAGGCAGTTAGCCTACGTATAAGTATTACTCCGTACTATCAGGCCATGAAGGTGCCAACCGTGCAAAAAAAAAACAAAAGCAAAGGATGTGTCAATGGTAGTCCAAATCGGGTATGGCTCCAAAACGTGAACTTCGCTTCTGCGCAATGCCGCTCGCCGTAGCGCTAGTATCCACCCGTATATTTTTCTCGCAACCCACAATTTTTTTTTTCTCTTTCTCTCTTCCAACATCTTTCTTTCACTTGCAGCTTCAAGCAGCACAGTGAAAGCCGGAAGTGTCGAGGTCAGCATTCCTCGACACTTCCCATCGGCTAGCAGGATGCTAGATGAAATGGACATCTCATATCTTGCTGTGCATTGCTCAATAATATAAAAGGTAACTTGCTTATTTCCTTTTTCTCTCTTATTCCTCCTTCTTTCCTTTTCGTGATGACTCTATGACACGCTAAGGCATTCCTCAAACTTAATTCACCATGTGGAATCTGTCGTAACTTAAGTTTCAGCCTTGTCTGATCGCTTTCTACAACCTCAATGCTATTTTCTTGCTCGTTTTTGGATTCGAGATGCAGCAGCTAACAATCTGCTCCTAGGTACTGAGATCTTACCCTGAATCCCTTCCATCACGCCTGCCCTGTTTCTATGAGGAAATCTTGAACGAACGGGCGGACAGAACGTGTACATCGCTCTGCATCCATTACATACAGAGCGTACAAACTCTGTGGGTGTTAGAGGGGTGTATAACTTGTTGAGAACTCGTCACCTGACTTTTTGATCAAAAATTTTCATCATGATGAAAAAATCACATAATTTGGGTTGAGGCATCGACTAACTTGTCCTTGTCTCTAGGTACATTTATTTTGCTCTTGTTTTTGCACTATTCTTTCCCGCATGATCAACTATTACATGATGAACACTATTCACACTGTTTGAACCGGTCGCTTCTGCGTCCCGGATATGAACTCACCATACAAAAATCTGATTTAATGAGGTGAGTCGTCTTCTGGTCTTGGTCTACGCATTCTCTGGCTAATTGTGGCTGACAGCCTGACTCTAGTTGACATGCTCTACACTTTGACTCGATTGTCACACGCAATATGTTTCTGTTCTGTTGCTGACCCCCGACGTCGATAGGTATTGTCGAGAACACGCATTTGTAAATTCTTCACGAACCCTCCTATGGTAGGTCTTCCACCTTGTTACCCCCCTTCGCCTTGTCACCTGATGAACTCAATTTTTTCGCTGTGTTCTTGCTGAACTACATTGAAGAAACAAAAAATTTCACCTTGGAGAACTGATATCTCCTCTTTTGCACTATATTGCATATTATCTAGACTTTCATATACTGACTGTTCTATAGATTCCGATACCCTCATCATAGTTCATAAATAATATTGATACCTGCAAATATCCCTCGCACGTAGTTGTCTAGTTAGTCCTCGAGACAACCGTAGTCATTGTACAAGATGTCTGTAGTCACTTGAACAAATTATGTTTCTTGTGCCACCCCTCCAGACTCTCCGGCCCATACAGCTCATGTACCTGCTTCTTCCCCTCCGGCCAGCGCACCCAAGCCGGCTTCGAACCCGCCATGATACAGACCATCTCCTCCGGGACGGGCAGCTCCGTATCGATCGCCGACGCGAACGGATGGATCAGTTCCGGCCAGTGGTGATCCCACACCCAGAGCATGGTGCTGCAGTTTGAGCAGAAGCTGCGCTCGGACGAACACGGCGATTCCTCTGCCGTACCTCTATCCTTGACTGCAGTATACTTCCTGTACTTTTTCAGCATGTAACACTTGCAAGTCATTTAAGTAGGTACCTACTTGATAAGCTCCTTCCCTGTGATGATTTCAAGGGAATCAGCTATCCCCCCCAGATTGACACTACCGCTGTATCCGCCGACCTTGCGACAGATGCTGCACGCGCAGAGCTGGTAGGGCACTGGCGTGTTGGAGTCGAGGGCGAACTCGACACCGCCGCATTGGCAGCTTCCGGAGAGTTTCCTGTTCGTTAGTTATGGATGTCGGTGGGGGGAATAAACTAATGTAAGCGTACATGGGCATGATTTATAATATCTTGCAAGGGTAGATTCCATATATTGTAAAGTTGGGTTGGTTGTATGTGGTCGGGGTGTTTTATATATGCAGGCGTCATCAATATACTACACTACATATGTAGTATAGAGTAGTACTATAACTATAGTTACTCCTATCTCCGTGTTTGCATCTCATTAGTAAGGCTCTACCGCCAATAAACTGTTCTCTCATAAGCCATCAATCAATCCGTCCGGTCTACTCCGCGACATCTTGTTCCTTGTAAGCTTCTGACTGGTGAATGCATGTTTGTATTGTTTGCCTTCTTGTTTGTACTGTTTGCCTTCTTGTTTGTATTATCTGCCTTGTTTGACGACAGCAGACTACTTCAAGACTTAAGAATTATAGGCACTGGAGATAGCTTCTGCGTGTACAGTATAAGTATTCTCTTGGATTGATGCGAATTCAGTTGAATAATCCCAATCTTTAGTGAAGAGAAAGGAGAGATGAAGCGAAGGGAACAGAACAAAAATACAAATAGTAGGATGACCCTTTTATACCACTTTTTTTCATTTTATATTACTATCTAGACTGCAACTCCATTAAATGCATTCAGACCTAGATTGTGGAATGAAATGGCACCCAGATGTCGGCTTCCCTTGTAGGCAGGATACAGATGAAATAGATACCCACAATATGCATTTCGCATTACTTGCACAGGATAATTAACAGACCATGTATGCAAGAAAAAAAAAAAAAAAAAGAACAAGGGTACGATTCAACAAGGAACGAGAACCAAGGGAACAACGATGTCGATGCATTGGCTGGGACACCACCGCAATGACGGACGAAGAGAATCAAGCGGAGAGACGTCGACACTGCGCTGTGGCCGTTAAAGATGTCTAGTTATCAATGAGAAGATAATTGAAAAGCAGAAGAACATTCCCGGCGAGTTATTTTTTTTTCAAAGTGGAAACTCCATGATGCAAACATAAATTTTTGGGTTTTGATGAAACTGAAACAAGCTGTGTCGTTTCTTCTTCTCCGGCTCGAGTCTTAAAAACACACGCACACAGTGACAAGGATATTAAAGCCAGATGGGAACAGGAATCTCTCTATGGTCGTTGGGGAATAATTTTTTTGGCCCGGTGCACCTGCGCAAGCAAGCATCAAACTCGAGGGATACTGCCTAGTAAATCATGCCCGGACTCCAGAAAATTTGAAACCTCCCATGATTTAAGCAAAGTGGGAAATCATAGTGAATAAACGGAAGAAAAGGCCCAGAGTGGATATTCCACGTAGAGTCAACCTGAGAGAAAGAAGAATAAAAAGAAGAGGAAAAAAAAGAAAAAAAAACCCCGGAGAAATCACAAATGCATGCCGTAAATTGTCAGTGTCAAACAGAGAAAAAACATGAAAGAGGAATCTGGACATAAAAAAAAAGGGAGAAGAAAGGGAGAGGGGGGGGGGGGGGGGACGAAGACGAGGATAATAATAATAATAAAAAAAATCACTTTTCCAGCTCGGCTGTCATATGCGCATCGAGTACAGAGTCAATCTTTTCGCGGTTTCTTGGATCCAACGAACCACTCCGCCAGGCCGAGCGAAGAAGGTAAAAGGCAACATGCTCTGCCCGGGTCGTGGCTTCGTCTCGAATCAAGTCAACCAAATCCCGTACAACTTGGTCAGGCATGACACTGTTCCTCGACAGGGAGGCGCCGTAAAACTGAATCAGCCGGTGTAACCCAGTGCTGGCGTTGCGAGTAGAAAAATCATCATCAAGGGCTAGACTCCTAAATTCATTGTACATCTGTGCATTGAAATTGCGGACCAAAAAATGCGACCAAAACTGATACAGAATGTCCATATCATGGTCGACTTCTTGGGATTCCGTTCGATTGCGATTGGCAAGGGCGTTTTTCCGAAACACATGGTAAGGTTCGAGGACAAAATCGGGAGGGAATATCTCAAACGAAACGTCTTCTTTATTCATCCAGAATGGCGTGAGGTAACTGGCAGGTTCAGGGGAGGAGGGAGTCGAGATCGTTGGGTCGTTGGAAAGCAAAGAGATGGACGAGACAGAGCTATACGGATAGCACTATTAGCTAATCTAGTTGATAGATGAAAAGTTGAGAAAGGAGCAACAAACCTAGAGGATCTCACCGGAATTCTGGATCGAGGAAAGAAGGTGTCTGGAGATGCTTCTAATCCACCCGCTGTTTGGAAAGGGTCAACAAGTCTGCGGATAAAGGGTTGGGGCAAACGATTCAGAAGAGGTGACGGCGACAAGCCGGAGAGACCTGGCTTGCGCAACACAATCACCAGCTTCTCAATCTGATCGTCCGGGAAGGTATAACTATCAATGGGGATCCTCACATTTACATTCTCATTCGAAGCCGTCACAGAAGTTGACGGCGAAAATTCAGGGGCGGCAGAAGACAGAGTGGTGCCCGAGGCACGCAGGCCGCTGGTACCGTTGGGCAACGGACCATCATGGGCGATTCCATTCGGGACATCGGCTTTGTCGTCTGGGTTGCCAGTGGAGGGAGGAGGGCCTTGATTCTGTGCGGACGGGTCGCGCTGGTCGACGGGGAGGACCCACTGCTCCCACCTCTCCCTCGGGCGTAGCCGATCAGCACCATCCTCACCTGCCAGATACTCGACGGTCCTCAGTTGACGGCAAACATGGCGCAGGAGCTCGAAGTCTTCGGTGAGGCTCTTGACTCTCTTGAAGCTGGCAATGAAGGACAAGAGAACAAATCCCTGGGAATCCATGTGTCTACGCAAGAACAGGTCCTTGCACAAGTTATCCACTGAGAAGTAGTACTCCCTGGTAGATATTAGAAAAAAAAAAAAAAAAAACCAAAAAACCAAAGGAAACGGGGATGAGAAATTTGAAATACTCACATTTGCATGGAGAGCATGTTCATCAGGGAGTAGGGCTCCATGTAGTGCTGATAGGGAACGGGACCCATGGGGCCCGGGTGCATGGGCTGCTGGTAGCCATACATGGCGTTCATGTCCGCCGTGAAGGGGTAAGCGCCGTACATGGACGCCGAGTTGGGCAGCGATGGGGATCTCAGCGGCAACCGATGGCTCTGCTGAGAGTTGATCGAAAGTCCATGCTGCTGCTGTTGCTGCTGCGAGCGCTGGCGATCACCGAAGCCAAACGACTTCTGGGGCGCGAAAGGGTGGTGCGAGGCGTGGCCGTTGGAGAACTGAGCATTCTGAGCATTGTTGAACGCGGCATGACCGCCTCTGCCGCGGTGTGAGCCTCGGCCCCCTCTGTCCGCACGGGATTCCCGGAAATTCTCTTTGTCCTTGTGGCTGTCGCCGTTGGCCTCGCGGTAGCCATCGGTAGACTTGGACTGGGCTCCTCCCGCACGAGCACCGGAGTGGGACTCGCCCGAGGGGTTCTTCGTCGCGTTGTCACCACCCTTTTGCGAATTTTGGTCTTGGTTTTTCGCGAAAGCCTTGCCATGGCGAGGGAAGGCCTCTCCGTTAACCTGTCGGCCTCCAGTCGCCGCATTGCTGCTGTCCTCAGGACCCTTCGTACGGTTGCGGTCGCCCGCGTGGGCGCCACGGCGAGCGTCAGAGACGGCTGCCGTGTCCGCGCTATTTGAGCGCCTAGTCTGCGCAGGGAGGGAGTTGGCACGAGCAGTGCTGGGTTCATTCCGGCCTCGATCAGCGGCGTTGGCCTGTTTAGGCGGGTAGTTCGGCGTGGTCTGTCCGGAGACAGCCTTGTTGTCACCTGCCCCAGGGGCGGTGGAGGCGGTGCCGGTAGCAGCAGAAGTAGCAGAAGCAGCAGCTCCATGGGCTCCGCCCCGAGCGCCGCCTTCCCTGCCACCACGAGCTGGTCTTCCTCCTCGACGGGAAGCGGTGGGTAACGGTGTGTTGAAGACAGCGGAGGGTACATAAGGAACAGGCATCCACTTCTCTTTGCCCGATTTCACGGTGGAGGTCTTCTCCGTGCGGTCAGACTTGTCCGTCTTTTCAGCTTTGCGCTTCTCTTCTTCGCCCCGCGCAAGGTGCGGCGTAGGCCACGAGGCAGCATCTCCTACTGGCGAGGCATTCGAATCTGCAGAGTTAGGGTCAGCTTGTACTCGACGGGTGGAACGAGTTCCAGATTTCCTGGAGTCTAAGTTGCGATGAACGTTCAGCCAGTGAACACTTTTTCCTTTGGATGTAAAGAAACAAGATATTCGTTTGTAGAGGAGTGCTACGTACCATCTTCCCGGGCTTTAGCGCCGTCAGCCTTCTTGCGGTCCTTGGCAGCCTCGGTTGTGTTGTCTGTACCCTTCTTCTTCGAGACGGTCTTGGGCGAGTCATGATTCTGACTTTCGCCGTTTGCTGTGGGGGCTCCCGGAGCGTTCTTGGTGCTCGCAGCCTTAGTAGTGGTCGGAGCGGCAACGGGCTTGAGAGCCGCGATTGCCTTGGCCTTGGCTTCCTGAGCCTCCTTGCGCTGTTGCCAGATGTTGACGGTGGGGATGGGAGCAGCCCGGAGCTCCTTGGGAGGCGGTGCGGGCTTCTCTGACGCAGCGGTAGCGGACTTGGCCTTGGTGGACTCTACCTTCTCGGAGACGGATGCCTGAGACTGCTTATCCCACGTCGAGTCGGAACCCCCGTTGGGTGTGCTGGTGCTGTCGTCGTCTTTCGGCAGCGTCGAGACGGTGGCGACGCTAGGTGAGGAGGTGCCGGAGACGACAGACTTGGATGCTGAGACGGCTGGCTGTGGTTGACCGGAGGTCATCGTGGTCTCGTTTTCCAAATCAGCGGAGGAGGGTTCTGGCTTCTGGGCATCATCGGAAGCAGGCTGCTGCTCGGCCTCTGGTGTCTGAGTATCGAGACTTGACTGCGGTTCCGTACTGGCGGCGGTCTTCTGCTCATCAGAGGCAGGAGGAGTGGCAATGTCTGCGGAGGCAGGCTTTCCCGATTGTGGTGGTGTAGACAAGCCCTTGGCGGCTTGGGCGTAAGAGAAGACGGGCATCTCGGATTTGCTAGTTGTGGCTGCCATCTCGAGACTGCCGGAAAATATGGTGCGACAAACGCTGTGTTCTGCCAGAGAACTAGCTTCCTGCCTTGGCAAACCGCAGGGAAAGAAAAAAGGCACAGGAAGACACTGGTCCTGAAGAACTTCACGAATCAATCAACTTCCAGCCTCTGGCAACCCCCGAGCTGCAAACTCCTGTCACCACTTCTTGCGACGGATCAGTATAGACTCTGGAAGATCGGTTCGACAGTGTCGGGTCAGGAAATAAGATTCGTAGGGTACGAGAATGTGTTGAATTCGATTTCCTTTTTTTTTTTGGTCTTTTGTGGGACGGGTTCTAGTGTACGAATCGCATCTGCGTGAGGACGAATTCCTGAGAACTGTAAAAACTTTGTTAGAATTGGAGAGGAATGGATAGAAAAAGAAAAAGGAAACCCGATATGCCCACAAACAGTTCTCATCAATAGTGAGAGGAATCAAGAGGAAAAAAGAGGGGGAAAAGAGAGAGAGAGAGAGAGAGAGAGGGAAAGAAAAAAGAGAGCAAGAAAATAACCACCCAGAATGCAGTGTGATCCGAACCTTTTATTTAGCACAAAGCAACAATCCAACACGCGCGGGTTTCAGCCCTCTCTGTCCGAGGTATTTTCTTGGACGGCTGGACGGCCGAAGGAAATCACGGCGCGGGTAAGAAAGGACAAGGCAGTGCCGGGCCCCCTTTGGTGAAGCGAAGCTGTATTCAGGCGTAATTTGCACGTGGTGAGAGGCACACACAAAAACTCTCCGGCGGATGTCGGTCAAGCGGCGTTAGAGGAAGGAAGACGAAGAAGAAGAAGAAGAAGAAGCGGTGCGAACGGTCGACTGTCCGATGAGGGCGAGATTCGCGTGTCAAGGCGACAGGACCACAACCGTAAGTCGTCGAAAAGAGAAAAACAGGCGACGTTCCGAAGAAGGTAACCTTTTTTTCTTTTTCTTCCCTTGGGGAGATTTTTTTTTTTTTTCCCTGGCAGGACGATCCGGAGTTAGACGGAGCGCAAGAGCACCGAGAGAGGCAGAAAATCAAACCTCAGCAACACAGCACGCTCGTAAAAGACCGGCGACAGGATAGCGAGGAGTGATTGGGATGGCGAGAGAGTGTAAGGAAACGGCAAAAAGTGCACCGGGGGGAGGGGGGTAGAAATTTGGGGAGGGGAGGGGAGGGGGAAAAGAGGGAGGAGAGGTGAGGGGGAAGAGTTGAGGTGGGAAGAAGAGAGTCGAGGAAAGCAAAGCGGTGGTGCAGTCCGTTTGGTTTGTGGTGTGCACTCAGTGTGTAGTAGTGTGTAGCGTATTATTGTGCAAGCCCAAAAAAAAAAAAAAAAAACCCCCCCAAAAAAAAAATTAAATGTCGTTTTTCCTCCCGGGTTGCCGTACGCCCGCCCACAAGTGAGAGTCGGTGGGCTTTCAGGGCTTCTGTGGGTAACAAACGGGGGCTTTACTCTATAAGTCTGGTAGGCTTAGTACCGCATTACATTTCAGATAATTCGACTGACTCAAGGTGTGTAAGTAACAGGTAACTACTAGGAAACTAGGGAGTTGACTATATTAGGTACCTAGTATACTATCTAGTAATATGCTCAGGCATTTATATGTAGTATAAATCCCTCAAAACAATGCTTCCAACGAAACTCTGTATTAGAATTGTAACTACCGTTACCGAGTTGAATCCTCGCAATTAAACCAAATGATAACCAGCATGGAATTGAAGCCTATCGGACTGGGACTGAAACTGAGGGGTTACATACAGGGCTTACAACCATTTCGGCCTCCGTGACTGAGTACGAGTTCAGCCCAGACCCCTCCTGCAGGACTGTGTATGTAGTATGTACTAGGAACTAGTTAACTACCCAGTACCTAGGTACCTACCTAAGAGGTACTAAACTACCTAAGTACTTGCTAAGGTATCTATTCACAGGGAATCAAATACCTAATAGAATCATGTTGGCTTCAAGTATGTAGCTTTCGTCAGAGTATAGTTCTTTGTGATAATAATGCATTGTTAGGACACAATGTAGTATCTTTATCAGATAGTTACTCTGTACTCCGTACGGAGTACTCATAGACTCGTTGTCGTGGGTTGTCGGCCATACTAGCCGCTCTTGTTTATCTTAGTCCAGTTCATTCAATGTGTCAGGAAATAGAACTCTGGCATGTAATTAGTGAGAAGGAATATATCGGCTTAAATACTCCATATATAGGCTTTGATATTGATACCTCTGTATTTTTCAGCCTGGACCTGGCCTGACTGTGCTACCATTGGTATGTGTAACACTGAGTAACACAAGGACTTGAGAAAGGTACTATGCACTACCTAGGTAGACTAGAATTAATATTCTATTTCTTAATCATATATTCTAACTATCTTGATATTATAAGTGCACTGTATTATCAGGTTACTACTAAGGTAGGTACCTGTACCTTGTAAGGTACCAGGGTATTATACAGTATTGATACGCTAATCACCTGCAGATGCAGATATCAGCAACACGTGACGGCCATCGCTTCCTAAGTTCCTCCAGGTTCCGAGGTGTCCCGTGGCGGCTGTTTGTCTGGCGGTGCTAACTAAAGGAAGGTAGTCTGAGGAGTGGCTCCGTAGTTGGTTACGTGCCGTTACGATCCTGTCAGTTCTGAGTTTAGTGAGTTTAGAGCTGGCGAGGCTAGTTTATTTGTTAGGGCTGGGCAGTGGGCAATGGGCATAATGGCATTGCGGGTTAGTCACGTGTTGCTTACATAATAATTATAGAGTAGGTTGATAAAGCACTATAACTATAGACATTTGAGTCGTCTGCATTCAGTGGAACTACCTTAGTTACCCAGTAGGTATGTAGTATAATATAGTATTCTCAATACGACTACCAATGCCGGAAACTCACTAGAACCTGTTCGCGAGGATCCAGATCAAGAGACGATTGTTGCCCCGTCACCAACCCAAGACGCATCAGGAGGTGCCAGACGAGCTTCCGTTTCAGATTCTCCCGCACGGGGATCTTCTCGAACGCGTCCGATCCGTTGAAGTACTTGAGGAAGATCGGCCAGTACTTGCGCACGTAGAGATCGGCTCTATTCAGCGCGTCCGTCTTCGACCCGTCCGTAATTAGCACCTTACTACCGGGGCTCACATCCGAACCCCGACGATGATGCTGATTCGGCTCGGCGGGAGCCTCGGGGAAGCGCATCATGATCTCGTCGAGCCAGCGCGACTCCACGGCGGAAGCGCGGTGCGGATACGGGATCAACGACGAGATGTTCAACCGGATGGTTTGGTCTAGAATGGAATGCGAGAGGTACAGGCTCTCCTCCGTAATGGGCGGTAGGGGTATCGGCGTCATGTCCCCGCTACCGTGGCTTGCGAGAGAAGAAGAAGAAGATGATGATGGAGAAGAGGCCGTCTCGTCGTAATCATCGTCAGGAGTGGAAATGTCGCCATTTTCATTCTCCTCGTCACTGGTTCCATCCTCTCCTGACATACTCGACGGGTTCTTGCTCTGCAGAAGATACCGGTCGATTTCCTCTTTCCGCACCGCCCGCTCAACCGCCATCTTGATCTCCGGCGGGACCTTGACCCTGGCAAACGCCCGCAGTTGCGTGATCCATCCGCCTCGAAGTAACCACGCAACAATTGCAAAATAGGTCTCCTTGTGGTCTTTGCTGGGAATGAAGTTGCCATATGGCCGTGGTGTCCCGCTAAGCGCGGCTAGCATTTTCGGTAGGCTGGGTAGGGTGGGGAAGGCCTGCGCGTACGCTACAGTAGCCACGTCCAGCTTGCTAAGGTCACAGTTGGGTGACACGATGTAGGTGTCCCGTTGGTGGATCGGGGGGATGGCTCGAGCTCGTCTCCAGTAGACGAGGTGACTCGCCAGCATTTGGATAGTCGACAGCGAGATCCCCGAGGAGACAGAGATCTGTGCAAAGGATTTCGTCGGTTTGGAATGGCGGATATAGTGAGCCAGTGTCGGCGCGAGTGCACCGCCTGATGCTTCGATATCCTTGAGGATCGTCGCCTCGTTATCGAGGAGGAGCAGGGCAAAATGTTTCGCGAGAACTTGGTGAGGGGCTGCTTCATTCTCCCCTCCAGCCATATCGTCCGAGGGAGTCACACTGTCAGCCGTAGTGAGCCAGAGCCCCGGATACGAGATATCTGTCGGTCCTGGCAGATACGCAGTCGAAGTGAGCGGCGGAATCTGTAGTGAGATCGATACTTGCTGGTTCAGGGGGACGGAAGCGATCTTCGATGCCGAAATACTGTTAAACACAATCGATATTGCCCGAGCAAGAGAAGACTGGGAAAGCAGTTCGGAATAAAGATTGTTGGCGGGGACCTCTACATACAAAACTGTGGTTAGCAGGCGAGATATGCTTCGGGCAGGCTCTATATACTCACGCAGCTCCTTTGCCTTCTCTTTGATCATGGAAATCCGCTGAGACTCTCTCCAGATGTAGTTTGTCCGCGCTTGCTCCCACTTCAAGGCTTTTGAGAACTTCTTGATGATATTATCGTAGATCTCCCTGATCCGCAACGAGTACTCCAGTAGAGGCGGATCTAAGACAAAGACAACATTGAACATCGTCATAGAGTCCTTGTCTGTATCAGGAGAATCCTCTCGGCCATCATTGGTATTTCCGGTCTGCGTCGTACTACTCCCCGATGATGGAGTAACTTGCTTGTCTGTCGTTGACTCTAGACCCAAATCTCCTCCCCCCTCTTCGCCCTGCGTATCTGCAGCATTCTCGTTATGACCGAGCTCCCCCCCTTCCCAGTCTGCACGGGGCTTCTTCTTCTTCCTTCTCTGCTTCCTCCATGTGCCATCGTCACGAACAAAAACGGGCCATCCGATGAACGCCAGATCGTTGACACCGACCTCAAACCGCCGTTTATGCCACGCCCGGGTGGGACTCAACAGCTTCTCCCAAATCACAGCAGGTAGTCCAAGAAACGTTCCCCATGAGGGCCCAGCATTTATCCCCTGTGATGCGCTCTCCGGTCGATCAGAGTTACCACCACCACCACCACTTCCGATTTGTTCATCTTCAGCATCCTCCGAGACTCCGCCCCTGTCTCGTCTCTTGGCCGACGCCCGACCGGAACCTAACGAGCCAGGGCGCTGTGAATCTCCACCCACCGACGATGCCGACGCCGCAATGGTATCATCTGCTCCTCCTCCTCCTCCTCCTCCTCCTCCTCCAACCAGACCGAATGTACTACCCCGTCGCCCCGACACGGCACTATTAGCCAGGTAACTATGGACTTCCTCGTCGTCTTCGTCCGAAGAGACCCCACTGTCAGAACTAGAGCTCGACTCGGTGCTCCTCCCACCTGGCGTGGCCTTGCTGCGTGAGGATCGCCGCCCCTTGGTTGCAGACGCGGACGCGGGCGTGGGCTTCACACCATTTTCGTTGAGTGGGTTCGGCGGGTAATGGAAGACTAGGCGGGGGCCGGCGCGCGATCGAACGATCAGGAGGATGGCCACAAGGCATGGGTCTGGAGGTCGGGCTATGGATGACATTGGAGGGGAGGAGGTTAAGATACAAGGGTTGGATACATTTGAGGGAGGCACTGATTAGCTAGCATGAGGAGGGTACGAGGATCGTCGAGATAGTAGATAGCTTCCCCGCATGACTTTCTGACTTTTTGGCAGACAAGCTGAAGCGGGGGAAATTGACTGAATAGCAACAATTGTTATGGCTTTTTAGATTGATTATACTTGTTTTACTTGAAGAATGGCTCGTTTGTATATATAACTATTTTTTTATATGGTATTTCATTTTTAAAAGTGAGGAGTATTATACAAACCCAGCCAGAACGCCATAGCTCGAAAGAGCCGAAGGACATAGGAATCCACTATATATGACAAAATCAAGATAGTCTTATAATAGAAAACTCATTGATTTCCACTTTGCGAGGACGGATTGCCCTTTTGGTCATTGAAGATCAGTCCTAGGTTTTTAAAATCGTCGGGCGCCATCAGATTCCTGAATCAACAACACAGATATCAGCCTCGATCCATTATTATCATGACCATGCCTGAAGCAAAAGTGCACTGTGACAGACCTGTCCATTCTGCATGCTAGGTATCCCTTGGCCAGTTTCCGGCATTCTTCGTCGTTGACGCCTCGTTGCGTCTTCAGACACTTCAGGTAGCTGGAGATCAGATGTTTGCATTCTCCTATCGTTCTGTTAGCCTTACGTTCGTTCCAAAAATATTCAGAACAACACGGCTTGGTAGACCAGGGAGAATCAATTGCAATTACCATCGTGGTCAAGGGGGAAGCTACCACGCTCCGGCCTGGAGAGTACAGTTAGCAACGTCGACTTATTCGCTTCAGTTCTGTTTTCTCCGATCCCAAGGACTTACGGTGTCGGTTTGATGTTGGTTGCACCGCCACCCGGTGCGCCGAAACTCATCTTGTCCGATATTCGTGGATAAATGGTGGTTTATTAGTATTTTTTCATCTATCTTCAAGTCGTGTCTTCCCTGGGACCAGCTGATTCTGGACAAACAATGCAAACAAATCTTATCAGTACTTCGTATTCTGTATCCGATCTTAGGCAGGATATCCATGCCTGAGGCATAAGAAATTACTAAGCAGACAGGCTGAGAGCAGCTCCCTGAGACTCTTTTGAGACCTTGGAAGTGCTTCAACTTCAGACTCACCGAGTCTTCCCCCTCACCCAGCCCAATAAGCAACCGAACACAATGGAGATGGCCTCCCGACAGTCCCAGCGACTGCTCTTATTACCGGAAAATGCGTCCAGGCTGCTCAGCCATCCCTCTCGCTCATCCGCGTTCCGCCTGAAGAACGGCTGCGGACGACCTCTGCGCCATATCTCGTCTTCGGCGCGTGCCCTGGCGCCGGACTCCTCCTTCCTGGGCTTCTCGGCTGGCTCTTCGAACGGTGTTGGCGGTGGTGGTATCCCGCCCACGTACTTTACCAACCGGCCGTCGCTGCCAGCCAACACAGTCGTCCGCTTCGTGCCGCAGCAGACAGCATGGATCGTCGAGCGGATGGGCAAGTTCCATCGTATTCTTGAGCCGGGACTGGCTATCCTGATTCCCTTCCTGGACCGGATTGCTTACGTCAAGAGCTTGAAGGAGTCGGCTCTGGAGATCCCGAGCCAGAACGCCATCACGGCGGACAATGTCACGCTTGAGCTGGATGGTGTGCTGTACACGCGAGTTTTTGACGCTTACAAGGCGAGGTAGGCATTTAGATATGCTATACGGGATATTTTTGTGGTTATGGTATACTGATTATCTCTAGTTATGGAGTGGAGGATGCAGAATATGCGATTTCACAGCTCGCTCAGACGACGATGCGGTCGGAGATTGGACAATTGACACTAGACCACGTACTCAAGGAACGGGCGACGCTGAACACGAACATCACGCAGGCGATAAACGAGGCGGCACAGGACTGGGGAGTGGTCTGCCTGCGGTACGAGATCCGGGACATCCATGCACCTGAGGGAGTGGTGGCCGCCATGCACCGCCAGGTGACAGCGGAGCGGTCGAAGCGGGCGGAGATTCTGGACTCGGAGGGTCAGCGACAGAGCGCCATCAACATTGCCGAGGGTCGCAAGCAGTCTGTGATCCTGGCCTCCGAGGCGTTGCGGGCGGAACAGATCAACCGCGCCGCCGGTGAGGCGGAGGCGATCCTGCTCAAGGCGCAGGCGACGGCGCGCGGCATTGAGGCCGTGGCCAACGCCATCCGGGACGGCCAGGAGAACGCCCAGAGCGCGGTCAGTCTCAGCGTCGCTGAGAAGTACGTGGAGGCCTTCTCCAATCTGGCCAAGGAGGGCACTGCCGTTGTCGTACCGGGCAATGTCGGCGACATCGGCGGTATGATTGCCAGTGCGATGGCTGTCTACGGCAAAGTCAGCGAAAGCCAGGCCAAAGCCCTGGCCACAAAGACGCTGGGTGTCTCGTCCGCTCATGCCTCCGAGTCGCCTACCACCACCGAAGCTGAGCACCATCATTCGTCGTCGACTGCCGACAAACTGCCCGAGACCGACAGTGTCGCACGTTCCGGGCAACCCGAAATCGCCAAGAGCATGCTCGACGGCTTCGACCAGGCGGCCAGCCAGAGACGGTGAAGTGAAAAATTAAACGAAAAAAGTGGTTGATTCTTCACTGCGTCTGATTTCTTACTAGCAAGCATTCTCCGGTGACACCAACGACATCATGCATTGAATCTCCTTTTCCTTTTTACCCTTTTTTTCCCACAATGTCATCCATCCTACCCAACTTGGAGTTCGGCTTAAGAGCCTGTCTCTTCAGTTACGGATTGGATCAATAGTTGTAATAGGTGTACTGTACATAGATGAGACAAAATGTATAACAGCGTTCTTAGGCACCATAGGACCTTTTACGCTCCTCCTTGAGAACAGCAAATAGTAACACTCTGGTTAGTAGTTCTAAAGTGCAACTGTACGGAGTAAATAATCCCTTTCGTAGAAGCTCGGCCCGGTGGAGTGACCGCTCTTGATCTGGAAGATCGCGACTTTTTCGAGAACGACAGGCGCGCGTTCGTTACCGAGACTTTGTTTTCGCGTTTTAAGACGAAGGAGACCGCTCGACCGTTGTCTTCCCCCGATACATTCGACGAAATAGTGGAAAACCCCGATTCCGAAGTTATAATATCCTCTGATCGAGATTTACTGCCCCGACGCAGAACGTTCCGTTTCCTTGCCCGACGAGGGGCGTGGTGGATGCGACTGCAATGCGAGACAGCTCTGGGACCTCCACGTCAACGTCAACTCATCCGTGAGACAGCACACAGCGAAAGGAAGAGAGGGAGAGGAGGAGAAAGCAGAGGAAGGGAAAAATAAGAGACAAGAGACGAAGCGAATAGCTGACTTGCGATGCATATCATCAAACCGGTGTGGTTAACGCATGGAGGTGTGTGAAGATCCCCTCGTGCTGTGGCCTTGAACCGAGCTATTTGCCCTATACTGACCTGTTCTTGGTATCTAGGCGAGAAGAAGGATTTCGAGGTCTACAGCTGTGATGTTTCACCGGATGGGAGTAGGCTGGTGACAGCCGCAGGAGGTGAGAGACAGACAGCTAAACGCAATACCTTAGCAACGCTTTATTCGATTCTGACTGACCTGTGAAGATGGCTACGTTAGGATATGGTCGACGGACGCGATCTACAATACTAGCAACCCGGAATATGTCAGCAAGCCGAAGCAGCTGGCGTCGATGAGCAATCATTCCGGCACGATTCATACTGTACGCTTCTCACCGAATGGGAAATACCTGGCCTCGGGGGCGGATGACAAGATCGTATGCATCTACACGTTGGACTCTAATCCGCCGTCACACACGTCGACGTTCGGTAGGTCTTGATAATCTTGTTACATGAGCTGTGTCTCTAAAAGACCGCCAGGCTGATGATTGCGGTTTCATAGGCTCCAACGAAGCACCCCCGGTGGAAAATTGGCGCACGATCCGGAGATTGATAGGACACGACAACGATGTGCAGGATCTGGGATGGTCATACGACTCGTCGATCCTCGTCTCGGTCGGTCTCGACTCCAAGGTGGTTGTTTGGTCAGGACACACATTCGAGAAGCTCAAGACCATTTCGGTCCACCAAAGTCACGTCAAGGGCATCACCTTCGATCCGGCCAACAAACACTTTGCGACTGCGAGTGACGATCGCACGGTTCGCATTTTCCGTTTCACCTCTCCACCACCCAATGCGACGGCCCACGATCAGATGAACAACTTTATGTATGAAGCCACGATATCGGCCCCTTTTAACAACTCTCCATTGACGGCCTATTTCCGTCGTTGCTCATGGTCCCCGGACGGGATGCATATCGCTGCCGCAAACGCCGTCAACGGTCCTGTGAGCTCGGTCGCCATCATTAACCGTGGTTCCTGGGACGGTGATATCAACCTCATCGGGCACGAAGCCCCCGTGGAAGTATGTGCCTTCTCCCCGCGACTGTACACCAGCCAGCCTCCAAACCAACAAGCGCTGGATAATCAAGGCCATTCCCTGCAAAACCCCGTCACCGTGATTGCATGTGCTGGGGGGGACAAGTCTCTCAGCGTCTGGATCACGAGCAACCCCAGACCCATCGTGGTGGCACAGGAGATGGCCGCCAAGGCTATCTCTGACCTTGCCTGGACCCCGGATGGACGATGCCTCTTTGCTACCGCGCTTGACGGCACCATCCTTGCCGTCCGGTTTGAGGACGGGGATCTTGGCTACCCGATGGCCATGGAAGAGAACGAAAAATCACTCACCAAATTTGGAACTAATAGACGGGGTGCCGGCATTGCAGAGACTACCGACGGGCTACTTCTCGAGGAAAAGAGCAAGGCGGGCGAAATCAAGGGAGTGGAAGGGAGGATGGGCGCTTTGATGGGCGATGGGCATGCAACGGCGGAAAACATGGCGAAGGAAACACCCGCATCATCAGCCCCAGCACCTGCACCTACAAATGGTACAACCCCGGCTGCGGGACCATCTCCGGCCGCTGATACCCAGAAGACACAAACGAATGGGACTACTGGCGTTGCAGTGCCTACGGCACCAGAGCCGGAAAAGCCAGACCCCTACCAGGCTAAGCTGGAAAGATTGAAGCAGCGACCGACCTATACGAAGGATGGCAAGAAACGGATCGCTCCTTTGCTGGTCTCCGGAGCAGGTGGTGCAGAGTCGTCCCTGCCACAAGCCCGACTTATGGCTTCGGTCAGCAGCCAGGTCAAATCGGACGCACCGCAGTCAATTGTGGATTTGTCGAAGCCATTTGACGGACTCCCCAAAGGTGGTCTTCCTGCCTTGCTCTTTGGCAACAAGCGCAAACTGGCCCAGATTGAAGATGATGAAGAAGGCCACACCGAAAAACGCGTGGCGCTGGCAAGCCAAAATGGCGCAACCCCGATCCTGACAAACACACTGGATGGCCTTCTTCCCGCTCAGATCCAGCCCCCAGCCGTTGGACAACAACCAACTCCAGAATTCATTCGACCGGCAGTCACAAACCCTTGCATGGCCATCAGTCAGCTTCGTCTTGGGGTACCAAAGGTCCGCAATCTGATCGTACGGGCCATCGACTCTACCGGGAATCCAACAGAGCCTCCTGGAACGTCTGGTGATTCTTCGACCAGTAGTAACAAGAACAAGCCCGAACTGGTCTTTGAGGCTCGAAACCCCTCTCCTGCCAGCTTGACTGGGAGGGCCGCCGATCGGGAGCCCGTCCGTATCACACTCTCGCGCGGAGAGCAACCACTGTGGCAGGACTTCCTCCCCAAGACTGCACTTCTTGCGACAGGAAACTCGACCTTCTGGGCTGTGGCCTGCGAAGACGCATCGATCTATGTGTGGACGCCGGCTGGCAGGCGCATTCTCAATGCCCTGGTGCTGGAAGCCCAGCCTGTGATTCTCGAGTGCAGCGGCCCGTGGCTGTTGAGCATATCCGCCGTGGGCATGTGCTATGTCTGGAACATCAAACATCTCTCATCCCCGCATCCGCCAGTGTCCCTTCAGCCCGTACTGGATGCAGCTATTCACACCCTCGGCGCACATCCGGCAGCAGTCCCCGCGATCAGCAATGCACGGGTCAACTCCGAAGGTCGAATCATCGTTGCCCTGTCGAACGGTGAAGGCTACTCGTATTCTCCAACGATGTATACATGGCAGCGACTGTCCGAGGCATGGTGGGCAGTTGGCAGTCAGTACTGGAACACTACAGATGCGCCGGTGGGGAATCTACAGTCGACAACGGATAGCCAGCAGGACCAGCAGACCAAGACGGCTGTGTCGGCGGGTATCATTCCATTCCTGGAACGCAACACGACCAACGAGACCCTTCTGCGCGGCCGAGCGTACTTTCTCCAACGATTGATCAAGGTACTGCTTTCTCGCGAGGGATACGAGAGCTTCGAGTCGAGCGTTTCCATCGCTCACCTGGAGAACCGTCTCGCAGCGGCACTCTCTCTCGGCGCCAAAGAGGAGTTCCGGCTCTACCTGTCCATGTACGCCAAGCGAATCGGAGCCGAAGGACTGAAGGTGAAAGTGGAAGAGCTGCTAAAGGGGCTCATCGGCGGCTTGTTCGAGGAAGAAGGAGAGACGGGCTCCCTGCGACGATTGTCACCCAACGAAAAGGAAGGCAGGAACTGGCAGGAAGACTCGGAGACTCTCTGTGGCTGGTCACGGGAGGTTTTGCTCAAAGAGGTTATCTTGACTTTCGGTATGTTGTTCTTCTCCCGTTTTCGCAGTCATCAGTATTACCTCCCAGTTGTCCGTATCATTAACACCGCTCTAGGCAAGTTCCGGGATCTCCAGCGGGTGACGGTTCCTTACGCCAAGCTCCTCGGAGTGGTTCAAGATGAACATGAAGACGGCGACGCCATGGAGACGTGATTCAAAACGTGGTCTGCTTGAACTGTTCTGGCGTTTAGAGGTCTGTTGTGGGTAGGCTTAAACGGGGTCAATGGTTAACTATATCTGTGTGGTCTTTTTGGCGGTGGCCTTCATCTTCTACAATTGTATTATATACGTGCCTCTGCATGCTTTTCAAATCCAGGCATCCGTCGAGAGCCATTCACCCTTGATCCTGTCGTAGGAAAGAAACCCTTCACGATGAAGACTCGGAATGGAGAAAGTAGGGCTCCGACACTCACGTGACCAAACCTCCGGTCACAAAATGAAGCCCAAAAAGAAAAACAAAGATCGTTTGTCCAGGAAGAAGGGAGCAATTCGACGCCTTGTACATTATTATTAGAGTGTATTATAAGACAATTTCTTATTAGAGCTCTATATAATCATAATAATCCGCAAGCCCTTCGCTAGCCTTTCGCCAGCTTCGCTCTTTTGAGTCTTCTCCCCCTCTAATAAATTTTTTTTTTGCCCCGTGTGTGGGCAGCCGCCATCACGTCGTCTCCCGTACACTCGCCCGCTTTTCTCTTCTTTTCTTTACCCCTCCGTTTTGAACGCTCCGCAGCTGGTCCTGCTTTTGTTGCATCGCGTCTCTTCGTCGCCCGCGCCTCGCCTCCCCTCTTCACCTGTCGCAGTTACGCCAGCAGTAGGAGCAAAAAGAAAATGCCTCCGAAGAAAACCCAGGTGCAGGAAAAGGTCCTTTTGGGCCGTCCAGGAAATAACCTGAAGAGTGGCATCGTATGTGAGCATTGACCCCACTATTCCCAACCTCTTTTTTTTTTTTTTTTTCTTCTTCTTCTTCTTCTCTCTCACTATTTAACCCCTTTCCTTCCTTTCTTTTTCCCACCCCCCTTTCTCCTTTTCCTTTTTTTCCCATCGCACACATACACATTTCTATTATTTTCTTCTGTACTCATTACAATGTAGGTCGGTCTCGCCAACGTCGGCAAGTCGACACTCTTCCAAGCCATCACCAAGTCCACCCTTGGTAACCCGGCCAACTTCCCATATGCCACCATCGACCCGGAGGAGGCGCGAGTTATCGTTCCTGATGCCCGGTTCGACTGGCTGTGTGAACACTACAAGCCCAAGTCCCAGGTGCCGGCCAACTTGACCGTGTATGATATCGCCGGGTTGACCCGCGGTGCCTCGACCGGTGCCGGTTTGGGCAATGCATTCTTGTCTCACATCCGGGCCGTCGATGCCATCTTCCAGGTGGTTCGTTGCTTCGACGATGCAGAGATCATCCACGTCGAGGGTGACGTGGACCCCGTCCGTGACTTGAATATCATCAGCGAGGAGCTGCGTATCAAGGATATCGAGTTCGTCGAGAAGGCGCTCGAGGCGCTCCAGAAGCAGACCCGCCGTGGCGGCCAGTCTTTGGAGATGAAGAAGATGAAGGAAGAAGAGGCCACCACTGCCAAGATTTTGCAGTGGTTGAAGGATGGCAAGGACGTCCGCAAGGGTGACTGGGGCCCGAAAGAGGTATGCTTTGATTTTTCTTCGTTTCCCCCCCATTTTCATCCCTCTCTACTCTATGTTATACCCTTGCTTTATGATGAATAAGAGCTTTGCTCGAATATAACCCAGCTCGTCGAAGGTCTCGTTTATCTCACGTTGAGGCCATCATGTGATAAAAAGTTATATCTGAAAACAAAAGCATTCTTGATTTTATGTCTTGAACTTGTTTACCAATGCGCTGTTGCAACGATGACGCTAATCATTTCTATACAGGTCGAAGTCATCAACCCTCTCTTCCTCCTCACCGCCAAGCCTGTCGTGTACCTGGTCAACCTCAGCGAGAAGGACTACATCCGCCAGAAGAACAAATACCTTCCCAAGGTGTTCGAATGGATCAAGGAGAACTCGCCTGGCGACCCGTTGATCCCCATCTCGGTCTCCTTCGAGGAGCGCCTGACGCGCATGGAGGATGAGAAGGCCGCCGAGGAAGAGTGCAAGAGCCTGAACACCAAGTCGGCCCTGCCCAAGGTCATCGTGACCATGCGCACTGCCTTGAACCTGGCCAGTTTCTTCACCACCGGTACCGACGAGGTCCGTCAGTGGACCATCCGAAAGGGTATCAAGGCGCCGGCTGCTGCTGGTGTTATTCACACTGGTATGTTTACCTTCATTTTTTGTTTCCTATACTCTCATAGCATCTGCTAACGATATCCTAGACTTTGAAAAGACCTTCATTCAGGCCATTGTATACAACTACGATGCGGTCAAGGAGCTTGGCGACGAAGCTGCCGTGAAGGCTGCCGGAAAGGTCATGACCAAGGGCAAGGACTACATCGTGGAAGACGGTGATATCCTGCTCATCAAGGCCGGTGCTGCCAAGCACTAAGTAGTCATATAAAACGTCTTTTCTGTTTTGCTCGGGCTGTGTTTGATTTTTCACTCATGATTCCCTCCTGACAATCAGATAGAGAAATGAATGGTCAAAACGAATAATTGGAATGAACAAGTATCATACAAAGTAGACATACAAAAATAGACTATGATATGGCTATATCGTATAGTAGTAGTGATGCCTTGAATTTTAGCTTAAGTACATTTGTGATCCCCGCGTTGACCGCAGCAAGCCTACCGCGCAGTTTGCACTGTTTGTCTGATACGCCGAAGTTGTCGATTGAGCTCTGCAGAGCAACGATTAAAACAGCAGCAATATAATAGTTCGACAGCGGATCTTCTCTTATTATTCCTGTGTTTGACCTAGCCATCTCTCCTGGTATCTTCAAAATGTTCAAAAAGGAGTCAGTATATCCTACCTCAAACAGCTTTCATGACGAACCCCTTGTTTCTTCATATAATGTTTTACCCCTCTTGAACGAAGAATCAAGCTAAATAGCAAGCACAGTATCCCCCCGAGCACACGATCAAAAGTCAAATCGTCCGTTGCGCGTGGCCTCCGACAAAGGCTTCTAGAGACATACCCCGGGTTTGAGCCGTATATCGAAGAGATTCTTCCGAAAAAGGCACAGCTCGACGCCGTGAAACTGTAAAAAACCCCCTCACCTCAACAAGAAGAAAAGATTCAACAAGGCACTCTTTATATCTGACGAGGAGTCCTAGTCCCGAGAGAACAACCCTGTACACAATCGACAGCTCGCCAGTCTTCTACCAGCCCTTTGATGGGCCTCCGATCCCGCACCTCCGCCTGCTGCACGCCTTCCCATCCGCCCTCCCCACCATCCAGATCGACCGTGGCGCGATCCGGTTCGTACTCTCTGGCGCGGCGCTGATGGCGCCCGGCCTGACCTCCGCGGGCGGCCAGTTACCGGATACAGAGCACGCGCTGGAGAAGGGGGCGGTGGTCGCCGTGCGGGCTGAGGGGAAACAGGAGGTCTGCATGGTTGGCACGTTGAAGATGGGTACCGAGGAACTCAAGGAAAAGGGCAAGGGAGTCGTCATTGATGACGGTCATTATCTCGGGGATGGGTTGTGGAGGATGATTATCGATTAGGGTTTCTTCCCTACAATAAATGCAATACATACAAGCATGCTATGATGATCCTGATACAATACAATTGAAAAAAAGCTATTATGTTGAATATATACTGCGCTGACGATGCTAATCAAACAAGGATGAAACACTGTTAATGAGACTGCTCGCTCGCAAGAGAAAGAGAAGAAGCCACATCGTCAACGCCGGAACTATCAAGAGTCGCGCCTTCGTTGCCTGCGCTAGAGCTAGATGCGTTGTCACTGGGTGGGCGATAGAAGTCTTGGTTAGACTCGCGTGAGATCGACGAGGTGGGCGACAGGGATGACCAAGATGAAGGCGACCGCAGTGGAAGCGTGAGGCCTAAGCCTTTCATGCCAGCACTGGAGCCATTCGCCCCGGTGGTCGCCGATGAGGGAGAGTCGTTCCTGTTCCGCAGGCCGACTCGTGCCACTGCGCGTCGCAACATCTCACCGGATGAATCGAGAGCTACGAGGAATCTCGCAAGCTCCGCGCAAAGCTCCCAGTCACCTTTATGCGACCCCAGGCTCATCAGGCGGACAACGTAATTTTCAACCCTCGCCTCGTGGCCCTCTGCCTCGTCATCAAAGGCTTGCAAGACAAGAAGATAGCCAGCCGCAGTTTTCAGCAGATTGAGCCTGAGAGCCTGTTCAAACAAGTCCCTTGGAGATGGGAGGTGGGTAAATAGCGTGCGCCAGGAACGGAGTTCTGTTTTTCGTGTGCATTGAACAATAATGTCCAGATACACGTTTGTTGGTAGCGAGGCCTGGAGGAAAGAAATCACGGAAGGAAGAAGAGGAGGAACTTGGTCCTCGACTGGCTCATTCGCTCCTCGAGCTTTGCTTTCGCGATCCACCTCGTCGTCGAGGACGTGGTGCAAGAGAATCTCGAGAGCATGCGCGTAATATGAAAGGTGGGAGTAGTGGTGACAAAGTGACAGAGCGCCCGGCATGTCAAGGTTGGTCAGACTATGCTGTAAGAAGTAGGGGAGGAACAAATGGGTCTACCATATCGCCATTAGTCTGGAGGATAACATATCGCAAAGCTATGGTGAAACATACCCTGATTGCGAACTTGAGCACCGTAAACGTGACATCCCGTCGTTGAATCATTTCGGACTCAACGCCCAAGACAATTCCCTTGTTCAGAAGAACCGACAAGGGGTAGAAGTCCAAAGGAACCTCCAGTGGTTTCGGCACTTCCTCTCGCCGAAGGATCTCTTGCACATCGCCCCAAGCCAGAAGCTCTTTACCACAAAAGGTCCAAAGTGAATCTCGTAACGACGGATTGGCGCGGTACATTCCCAATGCCATTTCCGCTGAAGGACTGGCAGGAAGGGACTCGTCTATTGGCGGAGAGAAATTGAAGGAAAGTTGATCGCGCATCAAGATGTAATATTCCACATCGTGAGATACAACGCGCATATCATATTTCATCTCGCCATTATCGGCCACAGATGGTTGCAACAACACCAAATTTCCATCGACCAAGAGAAGGACAGAAGCATTCTTGACATCTTGGGAAGGATCCCCGTTTCCTGGATGGTGTTAGCAAGGACCATGAGAGACAAAGTGATCTATTAACTCACGTAATTGATTTTCTGGGAGAATCCAGCTGATGGCTCGGACTCTGGTAGGTGCTCGGACGATGCCATTGAAGGCGATCTGACCAACTGGAACCAAGGTTATCCTTGGCTGCGTTGAATTTATAATAAAATGATATAAGATGTTATCGTAGGTATAGACGAGCAGAGAGTCCTCCCCCGATGGCCCGATGAAAACCACTGGTGAAGGCAGATATTCTATATGCAGTATAGATTGATTGTTGAGTGGAAGCTCTCTGGAGTATAAGCGCAGCTAGATCAATGTTAGCCTTATATGGAAGTTGCTTTGCTGGAGAAGGGAGATTTTACCTCATAAGAACCATCACTCTCGATGGCCGCAATCAAAATATGGCCATACCAACACATCCCACCCCGTACTGCGAAAGAGTTCTCGACCTTTGAATCCTCAAACACTTTCCATCTGCCACTAGACACGCTGTAATGAGCTAAGCCTCGTCTGCCCGCAATGGCGACATATCGGCCGTCTTGGGATACCACCGATGAGCGAATCGGCCATTGCGAGTGTAAGTAGCTTGGCGGGTATTGTGCATGGTGCCACAAAGAATCCTTGCCAGATATGGTCATGAGATCAGGTAGATCGTGGCCACGATAGATAATAACTTCTGTCCCAGTTTGTAGTAACCCTCTAGCCAGATTTGCAGACGAAAAGCAGCCCGTCAAAGCGCTCCTGGCTGTTTCTAAAATCCATAGGCGACGGTCATTCTTTCTTGATAGGATGATATCTGAGCCTCCACCAATCCAGCATCCGTGAGTGATACCAGTCAACCAATTTTCGGTGTTTGTTTTGGCAAGGGATCTGTCCGCAGAGAAGCTGTTGCCTCCCGGTTTTCCAAACACGCTCCAGGTTGTCCATCCTCGTTCGTAACCAGCAAAAAGGCAATACCCGTCTGGCGAATAACTTAAAAACTTCAGCAAACCAGTGGTTCCTGTAGAGGCCGGCGGCTGAAGTTTGAAGGAAAGCGGTATATTTCCCATATAGTCTTTGGCCGTGTAGACGAGGACTTCGCCGTTGGCACAACTCACAGTCAGTAACGAAAATCGCGCGTTGACGGCGACTTGGACTGCCTTCTCGCCATCATCAGTAGGCTCATGGAAGCAATGGCCCTGAAAAAGCTTCTTTGCAGCCTCTGATTCTTCCTGCGGCCTGTCGGGAACGCGCTGTACCGCGTAAGCCTGCCCGGTGCTGGTCACCCATATGAGGAGATTCATGGCTCTGTCATACACCATCTCCACTATCGATACCTTTTTCGATATCCCTAGAATGCGGCTTAGGAGCTCTGATTTTGTCTGAGTTCCGCTCGCATCCGGCGTCCACCGGATACACTGGATGGCAGCTGGCTTTACCGTAGCTACCACCAGCTCGTTGTCGAGCGCGAGTGCCTTTACAATCCCGGATTCAATCTTTATGGCCATCCGAAAGTAAACACTAACGTCTCGAATGCTATTCGCATCCTCACCGGCAGAAAGGAGCGCGAGCTGTTGCCGACGGGGATGTATGGAGTGGTCGAATTGTTGCTGGTAGACTCGGGTTTTCGGGTCAGAGGCGATCGTGTACGTCAAGAGAAACCCTTTTGTGGTCTGTACAATAAGAATTGTTGAATCCGGGTGCATGAATAGTGCGGTATTCGAGCCGTAGGTCTTTAAAGAAGATGAAGAACGAGTGACAGCAGCCACCACGGCTGTCGGCTAGCAATTGATAAACCAGTCAGCTACACGCCACGAGCCAATACAATAACCAAAGCACATACTCTTGTTTGCCATATGACTATGGACGAATGTGTCATTGTCACAAACATCTGGCCGTTTCGCGAAACGCAAAGGCCCTCAATGGGCTCGTTGGCCCATTGCTCCGACTCGGCATGCGGCGTCTGTTCTTTCGGCTCATCGTCCTTGTCTGTCGATGCATCCTGCGCTGTAGCATTCTCAGGCCGTGCATCTTGAACTATCTCGTCCGCCGAGAAGCGCGGAATACCCGGGCCATCGACCGCATAGACCCGGGGGACTCCGTTGGGCCAGTACATGGCTCGACACGGCTGTGTAGGTATCGGAGAGCTGGTAATCAGGCTCACATCGGGTCATCTTCGTCAGAGACAGCTGCTATTTGCTCAATGGGATAATAACCATCCCAACAGCGCCGGCTACGCACGTCCACAGCTTGAGCAAGACCTCGCCGTAAGCCACGATGGACCCTCGAGGTGGTTTCCTGCTGGCGAACGCCGTCGAGCGACGAACGCTGAGCTCTGACCACAATCACGTGCGGATATGGCTGGCCCGCGCTAGTCCGTATTAGCTGCGGTTGATTTGGGAAGCTTCTGGATTGCCCCCCGCATCCAAATCTATTTCCTCCCATTTCTTGCCCCTTTTCTTTGCATCCTCGTTTTGTATTTCCCGGCGATTGCAACTTGGACCTGCTGCAATGGTGAGTTAGATTATCAAGGAATGAAATTTTGTTGGTGGCGGTTGTTCGGGATGGCTAATGGTTGCTTTGCAGGCCCCAACCGACTCTAAGAAGCGCCTGGCGCTGGCGATCATCGATTTCCTCGGTGCGAGCTTGAAGGATGGCACGTTGACGGCCGACGATGCTGAGTCTGTTGAGATTGCGCAGTCGTGTATTGCGGACACCTTCAAGGTGGACCCCACCGATGAGGCTGCTATGAAGGATGCTGTGGGGGGACAATCTCTGGCTAGTATCTACAGTGTGTATGAGAAACTGCGGAATAAGTCCTCCGGGGACTCTGCCGCCTCGGCTAAACAGGAGTCGACACCCAAGACTGGCGCTCCCACTGCGGAGTCGGACAAGCTGAAGTCGGAGGGCAATGCGGCGATGGCTCGCAAGGATCACACCGCTGCTATTGAGCTTTACACAAAGGCGCTGATCATCGCTCCTTCGAACCCCATCTACCTGTCCAACCGTGCGGCTGCGTACTCCGCTTGCGGCCAGCATGAGAAGGCCGCTGAGGATGCCGAGTTGGCGGTGGTGGTGGACCCCAAGTACTCTAAGGCCTGGAGCCGACTTGGCCTTGCCAAATTTGACCAGGCCGACTACAAGGGTGCTCTGGAAGCATACGAGAAGGGAATCGAGGCTGAGGGTAACGGAGGCAGCGAAGCCATGAAGAGAGGCTTGGAGACGTGCAAGCGTAAGATCGAGGAGACAAAACTCGGCAGCGAACCTCCGACGGAGGAGATTGATGATGCAGCTGGCGCCTCTCGCGGCGCCGGCGGCATGCCCGACCTGTCATCTCTGGCTAGCATGCTCGGTGGTGGCGCTGGGGGCCGTGGTGCTGGCGGAATGCCCGATTTGGGCAGCTTGATGAGCAACCCCATGTTTGCCAGCATGGCCCAGAACCTGATGAGCAACCCTGACATGCTGAGCAACCTGATGAGCAACCCGAGATTGAGACAGATGGCCGAGAACTTTGGCAATGGCGGCGGTATGCCCGACATGTCCTCCTTGATGAACGACCCTAACATTGCGGAAATGTAAGTATCTGGAAGCCTCTGACCATCCATGTATCTTATAGCTAACGCTTTTCTTCAGGGCCCGGAACATGATGGGAGGTGGCGCTGGTCGCGGGGCGAACATGTGATATGCTAATTTACTGGCTTAAGCCCTCTAAGGACGCTCTTTTTAAGATGATGAGATTTAATTCTACCTAGAATTTCTTGTATTTGTTTTGTTATGAGCCATAATCATGACTGATTATTATCGGTTTTTAAAACCAGGGTTCTTCTACAGCTACGAGGCGTAAATAAGACCCCCCATAGATTGAATGATTACCCAGAACGGCTTGCAAAGCAAAATGAAGAATCCAGCATTTGGTATTGGATGGTATGAGTAGAGAGGAGCATTGATGCTAAAAAGAACAGAAAAGAATAAGCAAGATACGGTTGTACGCCGTGTAACGCCAAACAACTTAATCCCAAGCTCCGTAGTCCAATGCAAAAGGTCTCAGGTGGAAAAGGGTCCTAGGTACACGTATTTTTGCTTTTCTTCCTTTTTTTTGTTTCCCCAAAAATGCAAGCTGTTGTCCAGGAGAGAGATCTCGGACAAGTGTACAGGCAGAGAGGGCGAAACCGGGCATAGATACATGAAGAAGAGAAATTATCGCATGAGCCAGTAGATAGGGCATATGATAGACATGAAAAATGAAAAGCCGGCTCCGCCTAATCTCAAATTCTATAGAGTAAAGAGGAAAAAGTCGATATTATACAGTCGAGGAATCGAATCAGGAGGGAGGGCCGCGGAGGTGAATGCAAGCATGTACTGGTACACAAAACAGAAGAGGGATAACAGTGGAGACTCGACAAAGACGTGCGTGAAGACTTCCGTGGAAATGGCGAAGCGACCGCATTTAAATGTAGTCACGGGCAGCCTTCTGCAGTTCGATCAACCTCCATCCTCTTGTTTCCGGGTTATTGACGTCTTCAGGTATCCGCGTCAGGCCAATTGCATAGGTGACGAGCTGGACCTTGTCCTCCATGCCAGCTGCAAGTTCCTTTGTCTTCACGTTCCGGTAGACGTGGACTTCTTGCGTACGGCAGGTCACCACGAAAACGGGAATTTCACCGGGCTCCAGCATGCGAGCGTGGGAGATGTCGACGCCACGGATATCGAGGATGCGGCCATCGGACTTCAGCCCAGCGGTGGTGTATTGTTTTGACAAGGCAGCGTACACGTGGAACTGGGCATCAGACAGCCAGAGCTTCAGGGTCTCGACATCTCCCTTGACATAGGCGTCAAGAACTTCAGGCAGGATGTATTCACGCATTTCACGCAGGAAGGCCTCGAGCTGGAAGTTGGGATCCATCTCGCGGAACTTCTTGATCACTCTCGCGGTCTCATTTTCAGCAAAGAATCCTGCGACGCGATCCGAGATGCTGCGTGCAGTGCTGATAAGAGGGTTTTCCGATTCGTCGTAGGTATTCTTCATAGAGAACAGCTTCTGCATCATAGGGTTGGAGTCACGGAAGTCGCGCCACGATTCCTTCCAAGCAGCGTCCTTGTGAAGGGTTACGTTGGTACCGGCACTGCGGCGTTATCATGTTAGAAAGAAAAAGAAAGTTGAGGACAAAAGTGTCTCGAAACGTACTTGGGATCCTCAACCATTGGGGTAGCCTTGGCCTGCATCTCCTCACGCTGCTGCCTTTGGCGGCGGCGCTCCTCCTTCTCAATCCAGCCTCCATAACGCGAGCTGCTACCATCGTCAATAGCGTCCTTGACACCGCCAACAGCCGTTTTATAGGCCTCGGTCTCTCTCACGGGACGTGTCATCTTATCAAGGCCTTCACCTGTAGCAGACACGCCCTTCCGAAGACCTTTGACCACCGGAGTATTCCAGGTCCAGGTTGCCGACTTGCCAATCGCCTGGCCAGTGGTTTTAAGCGCCTCCGAGGTCCGGGAAGCGGCAGCACCAGATGCAGCTTCGTAGGCGGCACGAGCCTTTCTCACCGATTCGCTCTCCGTGAACTCGTGTGCCGACGAAGCCAGGGCCTTGGTGGACTCGTTCCATTCCTTAGAAGCCTTGAGTTCCGACTGGAAAGTCTCTCTGAACACCTGCCATGGAGTCTTGTCACCGTGGGGCGGAGGTGGCGGAGGGGCTTCCTTCTTCCCTTCTTCCTTGGGTCCATCCTGAGACTCCTCTTTGCTCTGCTCGTCCTTTGCCTCGGACTTATTGGCCTCATCCGATTTCTTTTCTTTCTGCTGTTCCTGCAGGCAAGCAGCCGACTGGTGGAACGATCTGGAGAGAGGGAGAGCGGACCATTCTGTCGTAAGAGGAGAAAGTGGGAAAGCACTAGTCTGAACATTCGTTCTCCTGCTAAAGGGCGAAACGGCGCCCGTCGAGTATGAGGAATATTGCCCGACCAGATGCTCATACGAAGAGCCCTTGCAATACGCAGGCCTCAACGAAGATGACTGCAACCGCATGGTAGCCCGCGCGGTGGCGGCCGGTCCCATTCTCGAAGCCGAGAGCATGCTCACAAGCGGGAAAAAATCGTAAAAACAAAGACAAACGATTGAAAGAGGAAGGCTTAAAATAAACCGGTCAGTCGCTGGTCCAAAAGAAAGGGGTTGAGCTGGACGGCGCCGTAGAGGTCGGAGGTTGAAAATAGACTTGGTCTGGGGAAGGGAAAAAAGTTGAGATCGCGACCGCCAAGATCCGAAAACTCGGCCTCGCCGTCCTTTTTCGCAGTGCCCGGCTCCATTCCAGGCCTCTCGGGCAACCTATCCAGTACGTGGTCTGCTTGATTATTGGGAGAGAGGAGGGTCTTTTATTTTATCTTATTCTATTTTATCACCTCAGAGGCTCCTGTCTGGGCGTGTTTCCTCGGTCGACGAGCACTCAAGTGTCTCTCCGCGTCCGCTACTGCTTGCCACCATGAACACTCAATTCGCAGGCGTGATGGCCAAAGCCTGGCCATCTGTGAGCCGTCAATGCCAATTAAGAACGGCATCCTTACGCCTCGCGAGACCTTTCTCGTCGCCACCGTCGAATTCTCCCCCGAGCGCCAAGGAGAAGAGCCGTGAAGTCGAGAGGCTACTGGTCAGCTCCCAACAGAACGAATCGACCAAAGACACATCGCCGCTGTCTGCTATCACGCAGCTTATGCAGGGGAGGCCGTCTCGATCTAACCGGACGATTAGTGACGATTATGCGCGGATGGCCGAGAGTCTGGAGGCCGAGATGCTCAAAAACCCCTACGCCGACCGCGTGCCTCCTCATCGCCTGCACGTCTACTCTCACAAGCACAATACCGTCGTCAGCCTGAACAAGCCCACCAGCGAGACAATAATGTGCATGAGCTGTGGCCATCTCGGGTTCCGCAAGGGCAAGCGTGCCGGTTATGATCCCGCGTATCAACTCACCGTCCATGTTTTCAATCAGATCCAGGAACGGGGCCTGATCCCAGAAATCCAACGGCTGGAGGTTGTCTATCGGGGCTTTGGACCGGGCAGAGACGCTTTCACAAAGGTTTTACTTGGGAGCGAAGGAAGAAACATCCGGCCCATGGTCTGTCAGGTTGCAGACGCCACTAGGCTTAAGTTCGGTGGTACTCGGAGCAAAAGGGTGCGCAGGCTGTGAGGAACAATGAAAAAAGAAATACCTTTTCTGTCTTTTCACAGCGTCGAGCTCGCCGTTTATATTCTCTCTGTTCCTTTTTCTTGTACACTAAATGCATGTGATAGCTCTGGAATATTTAGATATCAAGACGCCTTTCCTACTTTTCCTTCTATCCCTTTCGTACCTTGCTCTCTCCTCTATTATTGAATAATACTCTATCCTCTCTCTCTCTCCTAATTTAACGAACCCTGGTCGTCTTGTGTCGTCTAGTAAGAAGAATGCTGCAAAACGTCCTGATGGGAAAGCTGCCGAATGCGGATTAGCGGCTGCGGATCTGCTTGATTCTCCAAACCAGCATTTGGCGATAGTTCCAGCTATCAAAACCCATCGCTTTAATCCTGTTGGTCTCCAGCTTCTGTTGTTCCTTGCGCTGTAGCTGTTATTTCTTTTCGGCGGAGGGTGTGCTCTTGGAGTTGCCTTGTGCTTTGTCGCGTTGAGCTTGTCGTGTCCTCCGTGGCCCGTTGCCTGCCGGCGAATGCGCGGGAGCTGATCCTCCTCCAACCCACCTTGCGAATAGTGACACCGCAGGGCGCTTTGCAGTACACACGGCTTGATGAAGATACCGAGTCTCTGACGGGCTGTCCGACACCGTTTGGATGCACCCACTCAACCCCTTTCTCCGTGCCTTCTTCCGAAGCACTGTTCCCGGACAATGTCAACCAGTCGAGAACCATGTACGCAAGCCGCGACTCTGGAGATAGTTTCGTACAAAAACTCACAAGATGTCATTTCTAGGTCCTCCTTGTTCCGACCACGGAGTCGCTGATCGGCTCGCGCGATCGGGAGTCCAATCTCTACTACGTTGATCTGGTCGCTTCGGAAGAGTTTCTGGGAAGTCATGTGTTGCGGGTGCCGCTGTCGAGTGGACCGTCAGGAGGGAAAGACGAGGGCAGTGTTCGTGACAGCAGAGGGAAGGCGAAACAAGTGACCACTGTCAATGGGAGGACGGTCATCATCAAGGAGAATTTGGTTTACAGCAACAAAGGTGCGACAAGGCGTGGCCGACTGCGTTGTGGCATTGCACTGAATTACAGTTTCTAGGCTTCAAGTCTCTAAGCCAAGCCCAGCTACTCTCCGATGCGCTCTATCATACATCTGGAGGCGACTCGCAGCCCTGGCTCATCTATTACATCTCTCGGCCGCTGGTTGGATCCTACGACCCCGCAAAGATTGTGCCCGCTGTGTTGCCTGGGACTCTGACGGCAATGGCAACAACAACGGTGGCAAAGAAGACCAGCACCTCTCCGGATAAAAAGATTGGCGAAAGCATTTCTTCTCCGCCAAAGAAGGAGATCAGGACCTTTGGAGAGCTGCTGGCCAACTTCCCAATGATCGCGAGGCAGATGCAGCCAGGATTAGAGAGATTGTTTCGAGAATTCGGTAAAGAGCTGGGAAGACCGCTGCCACCTCCACCTTCGAGATCGCCGTCGGTCTCTGAAGATGGCGAGAGCAAGCGAAACCATACAGAAATACTCTCGGACGAATCCACTTCGATCCGCAGCTCCTCGACTCAGGGGAGAGGGCGGCTCCCATTTAACTCCGAAGAGTATTTTGAAGATGATGAGGACCTGATGCGTCGAAGCCTCGAAACGGCCGTCACAGCGGCAATTGATCTTTTCCGCTTGGTGGACAAGCAGCAGCTGTCTCTTCTCGGCGCAACCACCGACCTGACGGGCCCCCTCGTCGAGCGGTTGATTGAACGCTATATCGCCGAACAAGTACATGACTCTCTTCTCTTCCCGCGGCTGTGTGGCTTTCGCCAGCCAGAAGATGCAGAGCTGGACGCACGGATCCGTCAAATGGAAAATATTGACGTCTCTCAGGTCGGTATTGCCCCCGAGGGCGGGCGTGCTGGCAAAAGAGAATTGCTGAAACGCTTGGGGAGAGGCGTGGAGGAGTTTCGAAAAATGTCAGAAGACAAGTGTCCACAGGACATGTTGAACACCCTTCTGGCCACCGTCAAAGTAGTTTCGTTTCCTGGAACATACGACACAGCGGATGCTATGCCTTCTGAGAAACAAGCGTCGCCTGTGACGATCAATGCGGATATATTGGTATCCTTACTCTTACTAGTTGTGATTAGATCTCAAGTCCGCCATCTTCAGGCCCGACTACTCTACATGCAGCACTTTATCTACATTGACGATGTCGATAGCGGTGAAATGGGCTACGCATTGAGTACGTTTGAAGCCGTACTCACCTATTTAGTGGCGGATTCGGCCGGTGTAAGGCGAGCCAGCTCTCGCAATAAACGCCTATGGAATGCAACGAAGGCTGGCCGCTTATCCGACATGAAAGCTATTTTGGAGCAGCAAGATGAGGACCCTGATCTGATGGATGACCCATTCTGCGAGAACGAAACGACTGGTCAATTCCAGGCGGACGAGCACGAGGACATTGATGGCCTTGCCAATGGAGTTGCAGCAATGTATAGCTCTCCGGCTGATAAGAGTGTCGAGTCGTTGCGCTTCGAAACCACTACCGAAGCTCCTCCATTGTCACACGTTTTCCCCTTCCAAAAATGGGACTCTTCGTCTTCGAAGGAAGTTCGGCGGCCAGTGAAGAAAGTCTCGATGGACGTCCGAAGTTTATCGGAGTCGTCTGCTGTATCTTTCTTATCTCGTACAACCACCATTAATTCAATGACGAGTGGGATAGAAGGTGACAGCTCGATAGAGACCTTAACACGGACACAGGATCCTGCTGGCGACACGGTTCTTATGATGGCAGTCGAGAATCGGCAGGCGGAGGCTCTGCGCTACCTCCTCAGTCTTGAAAAATATTTTACTCTTGAAGAGATGCTCGAAGATACCAACACCGAAGGAACCACTCTTCTCAGCGCTGCTGTTCAGCTCGCTCACACCGATATAGTGGAGATACTTCTTGAATTTCTGTTTACCAAGGCCGACAAGCTGGCAATTGCCAGATATCTTACCAAGACAGACATACATGGCCGCACGGTCGGCCACTATCTCTTTAGCACGCCAAACTTGATGTCAAAACTCGGAAGTCTGTTACCCTGGCGCCAGCAAGACAAGCATGGACAAACCCCACTGTTCGCCCTTTGCCGCTCTTATGACCATTCGGACTATCGAGCTATGGTTCATCAAGCCTTATCCGAGGCTCAGAGGGCTCAGGGAGATAGCAAGCCACTACGACTTGATGATCATGTAGACTCCAAAGGCAACACATTGCTGCATATTGTGAGTGATCCAGAGATAACGGTACGGATTCTACGAGATAGCGACTGCGATCCAAATGCCACCAACGACAAACGATTTACTCCCTTGATGATGGCCAGCAAATACGGGCGTGTGGACCAAGTGCGCATGTTGTTCATGGACCCGCGGGTTGATGTCCATCTTAAAGAAGCTCGGGGATTGACAGCGGTCGAGCTTGCAAAGGATGACGAGGTCCGCAACCGGATTGATGATCTGATTCTCCTTTCCACACCGTCATCTGCGTCGGTTGCAGACTCTTCTGGCCGTGTCACAACCGTCGTTCGGTCCTTTTTCGTCGAGGACGCTACAGTTCGCTTTGTCATAAAGTCCGGTGCCCCCAATCCACCCTCCGACTCGGTTATCTCCCGTCCAGGGTCAACCACCTATACCGTCACCACCTGCCGGCGGAATTTCTCTGATTTTGAGAACTTGGCCAAGTGGCTTGCAGTTGAACAACCTGCCTCGTACCTCCCTCCTCTCTATGAATTCCGCAGCCCTTTTCAGATCCACTCCAAACCCTCTCGTTCTGTTCTGCATCACTTGCAAGAGAGACTGGACAAGTTTCTCAAGATCTTACTCTCTCATCCAACCTTTGCGACGCATGAGATGCTCTGGGAATTCTTCCTCGTGCCGGAGCTTCAGCCGGAGATGATGGCGGACCGGTCACGGCGCAAAGCTCTTGTTCTCTCAGAATCGATCGCGGACGACTACGAGCCGGTCACCCTAGAAGGAATGAGAGACACAGAACAGTTCGTCACACATGCGCAGGATATGGTTCGTGCAGCCCATGTCAACACCCGAAGTTTGATCCGTCGGGGCCATGCGTTGCAAAATGCTTCCGCGGATCTCGCTGACGCCGTGTCGCTATGCTCCGCCGCCCTGTCTACTCTCGGGGCACCCACCCACGCTCTCCCTAAATCGCACATCGACGCCTTTTGCCGCTACGCTACATGCCTATCTACCTCCACGTCCGACTCGTCACCTTTGCTCCAGTACCTCGCCGCCCTCATATCCATCGACAGCACCACCTCCGCCATCCTCAAGTCCCTGTCCCGTCCGACCAACCTTATCTCGACCCTGACCTCCACGAACCGCAACCTGTCCCGTTCGCGGTCCTCGCTTGTCTCCTCCTCTCTTCCGCGAAAATTTAACCTCAATTTCGCAGGCCTGGAGGAATCCCGCCAGAAATCTGTCCGCGACCTGGAGCAGAAGGTTCGCGAAACGGAGAACCAGGCGTCACGGCTCGCGCGCGAGATCACCTGGAACAAGGATGTTGTTGTCGGCGAACTTGCCGGATGGACCTCGTGGCGGGAACGGGTCGGCCGGGACGCCATCCGGTCCTTCGTCAAGGCAACCCTCATCCGGGAAAGGGAGCGGGGGAAACGGCTTGAGCGGTGTCTGCGAAGCGTGCAGGCCATGGAGATGGTCACGGATGAAAGCAAGACGCATGACTTAGATAAGAGTTGACCTGGTTTCCTCCCCTCCCTTCCCTTCCCTTTCTTTCTTTCTGATGAAAAATTACTACCTTATGAATATAGATAATCACTCGTTCAATCCTGTCCACCTAGACTAAGTAGTATATAACTATTCGCTGTCATAGAAATAAAGTAGTCATTCATAGTGATAGAAACTCCCTGGGTTCGAATATTTAAGCTATCTATTAAAAAATACTACATCAAAGAATAGAAGTGAACTCCGCTTAAAAAAACAGCAAATTCTATTGAGTGTGGGTATCGTCAAGCTTTGGATAGAGGGGACAACATCTAGTCAGTCCATGGGATCATCAAAAGTCCAGGATGATCGCTTGTAGACCTATTTCCAGAAAGGCGAGGCATAGAATCGTCGATTCAAAAAAGAAAATTTCCTGAGGACTAGCAGCCAAAAAGAGGTTCATCTTTCATTTACTCTGGATGGGCACTTGCGCCGTGACGAAATTCGAGTGATTGTGGGGACACACTGCCTCCGTCCGAAGACGAGCGATAGTCCTCTGGGTGCGGCATGGAAACAACAACTTGCGGCGTTGATTCGGATCGTTGATGCGTGGGGGAAATGTACGGGTCGTATGGGGATTCTGGAGATGGCATGACGCCAGTAAGACTGCGCTCTGAAGAACGCCGACTTTGTTGGTCCGTTTGATCATAGGCCAATATCGATGCATCGTCATGGTTATAATAGACCTGGGTGACTGAATCGCGATTCCCCGAGCGCTCCACGATAAATGTCAGAGACGGCGAACGATTGCGGTTAAACATGAGTGACTCTCGATCTGAGCTCGCATCGACAGAGAGATGCCTGTTCTTTCCAAGGCCTTCTTCAGCCAACGGTACCACGGAGTATGATGATCCGGCATCATCGTCTTTCAATTTTTCCAGCCTTCTGCGACGTAACCACTCTCTAGTCTTTTGATAGAGGAGGAAAAGCACAAAGCCAAGAGCGAGTGCTGCAAAGGCTCCAACCACAGCCGAACCAACAATCATGCTACTCTTTGACACGCCTTTATCACTCTCAGACGTCTCCGTGGGGGTGGCAGTGGAAGTCGAAGACGTGGAGGAAGCCGTTGTGGTCTTGGTTGAAGTGGTCGATGACGATCCTGTCGAGGTACTAGTGCTGGATGTTGTACTGGTGGTCGTGCTAGTAGATTGGGACGTTGATGAAGAGGAAGAAGTGGAAGAAGTGGACGTCGACGTGGAAGTAGATGAAGTAGATGTCGACGTGGAAGTAGTGGTTGTCGATGTCGACGTGGAAGACGTAGAGGTGGTAGTTGACGTCTGGCTATTGTCGCTGTCATCGCGTTGAAGCAGGTGACCCGTCACCTCGTCCACCAATTGCCTGAATGTCTTCACGAAGTCGCCATGGATGATCCCTCGAGCTTCAACCTGACCTGAAGATAGTATCACGGGGGCAGTGGCCGAAGGGAGGGCGGCAACAGTCATCGATGGTTGAGGCGGCGGAAGGGCAACTGCAGAGAGCACCCCTAGCGAAGCAACGAGGAGTACCGCGCGCATCTTGAGGTGAGCCAAATTTGCAAAGCGACTGACGCTTAGGTCTGAAAACAAAAGAACAAGCGCGAGACTAAAGCAGTATTGTTTCGACCTGATGGGGGAGTAGCGTTGAGTAGATCAGCTGTCGCAGACCATGAAACTCCAGCGCAGCTTCCTCGCTCATATATGATGAGCCCAGCAACTGCTGACTCGTGTTCCGATGATGGATCAATAGACACATTTTGACAGCGTGAAATTAAAGGAAGGAACACCGCCTCTTCTTCGACAACCATAAGATCCAAACATGGATAGCCCATGGCATCCACAGCCATCTTACAGGGCTAATTACTAGCTAGTTAGTGTCAGCCCTGCCATCGCTTTCGTTAGCTCCGGGACAAAACATCATGTTCAATTTAAAGAAGGCTGTGTTATAGTGATGTGGAGAGCGGTTGGTTGAGACGCCCAATGACAGCCCTTGGGGGCCAAATCCTGGTACATCCCAAGTACCTAATAGGTACTAGGTAGTAAGTACAGAGTAGAAGCTCACTCATGGCCTAATATTCTTCTAAGCTCAAGCCTCACGGGCTAGGACTCTGCCGGCACTGTCACTTATAGTAGTGTATACAGCGCAAAGTGTACACTGTACAGAGTAACTAGTAGGGAAGGGTCTTGCGGTGATGACGACCCCCCAACCAATCACCTGAGTATAGCAGTATCCTAATCTCGACGTGGCTATGCGTGCTTTCCGACTCAACTTGGTCAAACAATAAGCAGATATGACCAGCCGCTTTGCCCCGACCTCGACTTCACCCTGTAGCCATCACAGGAAGCTGTTGTCTTTGTTCATGTAAAATTATCATTCAGCAGCCACACAGCCTGTCAGGGAAGTGTGAAATGCCGCAATGCCTGCATCATGGGCTTCAAAGACCACACTCATAGCCCGACGCGGGGTTGGGGAAGGGTTTTCGTGTTTGGGTGGCTGAGGCTGCTAAAAATAACAAACCGCGCTAGATTTCAGTAGTTAGTACAGATGGAGCAACGAGAAAATGATTATCAGGTAAAGGAAGCTATTATTGGGTTTGAGTAGATGCGGCTATCACACAATATGATGAGAAGAGCGATTAGTAGTTGGCAGGTTATTTTGAGATTTTCGAATATCACGAGCTGCATGGATTGACTTGATCCCAGATCGGAGTAGTACTATCACGTGGCCTTGTGTTACAAAGTAACATGCGCTAGTCTATATTAGTCGTTAGTCGGATTATGATCTCACATGCAACAGTACTACGTCATCGGGCCGCTTCCTTCCTATACAAAAGCAACACACGGAAAAGACGTTGATTAAGAATTCTTTTGACCTTTTGGCTACTCCATATTGTCAGATACTACACATACAATATAAGTCTAGACTTTGAAAGAAGAATCCATCTATTTTACCTCACCTGGTGCTGGCTACCCTACTAACCTCCATCTACTCCTACTAACTAAAGAACTTCACCATGCCTCTCGTCGTTCCTGGAATCAACTCCTCCATGGGAAACAAGACCGATTGGGCCAACAAGCTCATGGGCAAGAAGATTACCGAGGCCTCTGCTGATATGAATGTACAAGATCCCTCTCCTCCGACCCTGACAAGGAAACTGACTCTAACTGCTATATAAAAGTCCTTTGCGAAGAGGGATCTCCCCGAGTCCCATCGGATTCTGCGGCCTGGAGACATGGCGACGAGGGATCACAAGCCAGAGAGGTATGTATATGTATAGCTAATGCCAATCCGGCGTTTTTGAGTAGAGAAATCGAGAATCAGGACTGACTATATATGTCTTTTTTTTTCTAGACTGAATATCCACCTTGGTGAAGATGACACGGTCCGCGATGTCAACTATGGTTGAATTAAAGATACGAAATACCTATTAGTTGTCAATGCCTGATCGGGACAGCATGTATCATAAATGACTGAATGAGTGGAGTGTTCAGGGTTGGAATATATCGTTTATTATAATCTATAATCTATTTGCAACCACTTCCACAATCCTGGTAAGCTGGCTGGCTAGCTGTCTCTACTCTTCACTCGGCCTTCCATCTTAAAAGAGTCATGGAGTGCTTGGGAAAGACGTAATTGCCTTTACCATCCCATCTGCTCTCCGCAATCCCAACCTCCTGCTTGCCGTTCATATTGCAGGCCGCAAGGCTGCTCGCAGTGACGGTGAACACGACCACCTCGCCCGTCACGCCGTTGACCCTGCTCTCTAGATCCTTCTCGTCGCTGATGTTCACAATCGCCGCGTTGACGTAGCCGTCATCTCCGCGCGCAGCGCTAACGTCCAACCAGGGAGTCTCCTTGACCGCGCGCACCCACTCGGGCTGCGTCTCGCCGTCATAGGTGCCGCACGAAACGTGGGCGGCAACGGTCTCGCCTCGCATGTACTTGGAGAAGAGCAGCAGCGGCCACCAGGTAGTCTGCTTGGTGACCCCGTCTTTACTAGTCATCAGCGGGGAGATGACATTGACGCTCTGTGCGATACAGGCCATCCCGACATCTTTGCTCTTGCGGATGAAGACGTTGAGCCATACGGCGACCGCCAGCGCATCCGAAAGTGTGTAGCTTTCCTCTGCACCCTCGCTGCCGACGGCACGCATCGGGTCCCAGACGTTCCATTCGTCGAAGCAGATGGTCGGTCGGGGTTGCGTCGGAGGCACTTTATTCTCGACGATGGCAAGGTCAATCAGCGATGAAGCGAGCTCGATGGCCCGCTCGGCGGCCAGAGGAGCAGTGACGTTGGGGAGATGCTTGTCCGAGGACGTGTACAGGTGGATGCTGTGCATATCGATGAGGGGCACAGCACTGGTGGACAGAGGCGAGTTCAGGGGCAGGATACAGTTCTTCAAGGTATAGTAATCCCACGAGGTGACTCCAGTCTCTCCGCAGAGAATGAGAACAATGGATGGGTCAAGAAGCTTTAGAGCTGTTATGGTTCGGTTTAGCCATATACACTCTAGGATCAACCAAAGGCGCTTGTCTCCTACCTTTTGCCCACTGATAGGCCTTGTACGCATATTGCTCCTTGGTCGTCTGCTCAACTTGCCATGGTCCCCAAACCTCATTACCGAGAGCCCAGTATTTCACCTAGATATAATTGTTAGTGTTCGATGTTTTTTTTCTTATGGTAGGAAGGCTTTCAACATTCCAAGTCACTCACATTATATGGCTCCTCACGGCCGTTCTTCCTGCGCAAATTCGCATAATAAGTATCCCGAGTTCCATTACAGTATTCAAGCCAAGCCAGTGCTGATGTGACCATCTGTTAGCTTTGACAAAGTCATATTCAGACTGAATAGCGCCATGGGTTACCTTCGTCCAATGTTCCTATACAACTCCAGTCAGCCCAAGTACTATTTACGGTATGAACAAGAGAAAATTCGGTACCTGTTCCCATGTTCAAACATAGGTAAGGCTCGGTTCCAAGAACCTCGCACCACTTCATGAACTCATCAGTACCAAAATGATTGGTTTCCCTCCCCAACCAAGCCAGTTCCGGCCTAACCATGATGGTCAGAACTGAAACCACACGCAAAGAGACATATCAGACATACCTGGCCGGCCGTTGCTCCTTGGGGCCGATGCCATCCTGCCAGTGATACGTCGCGCAAAAGTTACCACCAGGATAGCGAACGACAGGGATATTGAGATCCTTCAAAGCCTCGAGCACGTCCTTTCGAAAGCCATTCTCATCAGATAGAGGGTTTCCGGGGTCGTAGATGCCTCCGTAGATACACCGTCCCATGTGCCTTTTTAGCAAAGCCAGTCAGTCAAGCCACTGGCTAACACTCCTAGTTCGACGCGACCTCGGCAGTACGGAGTCTCTGAAAGAGAACATGGCACCTACTCAGTAAACCCCGAATAGATATTCGGATTTATTTTAGAGAGGCGTCTCGCCGGGTCGATCGACACCACGGGGGTCTCAGCGTCACTGAGCTTCGTAAAGGTCGTCATTCTTGTGTGTGTGTGCGTGTGTATGTTTTGTTCCGAGGTATTTCTCCGGGAGAATATGGTTCGTCTTCACTTCACAGGCTCGCAAGCTTGAAATTAGTAGAACCTGGACGAGGAGAACAACCCACTAGATAACTGCGCCTGGGTGGCATGTCGCAGCCGCTCAGCATCGATTGGGAAATTTCCCTGCGGGAGGGACAATTTCCCGGGCCACGCACATATTAACCAGCTGCCCGATCATCCTCTCCCTCACCAATTCCCCTCGTCAGCTTGGAGAAGAGGGGCAGACGCTCCGCGGTGCTTTGTTTCATGCAGATAGGGAGGAACTAACATGTTCTTCCATCAATCACGACCCCCGCATCCATGCAAGCTCCACTTCCCCCACAGCCATCACAGGCTGCCGGTATTTGGGGAGCTCCTAATTGTCTGTGGTGAGGGCCTTCTGTCCAACAGGCTGCGCAGAAATAGCCGATATTTGCTGATCTCTTAGCCAGTCGTGTTGGTTGGACCCTGGTCTGGAACCCTGGTCCCGGAGAACAATGGTACTACTGCGGGAGCTCCCCAGATGCCAATACCGATGGAGTGATGCTCAAGTTGAGGAAATCCCGGTGGCAGAACAGACTAAAGAGATGGCAAGGCTGTATTTCCGGATGTTCTTTAAAACCCGGGGTTCAATCTTCTGGGGGGTCTGAAATCTCATGGTCAATCCTCGTCTTTTGCCTTCAGGCTTCCCAGACGAATCGAGAGCAACACCAAGCATCAAGATACCATTGCAGCCATGCGTTTGTCTCCAGCATGGTACCAGGTAGCTATGCTCCGGCTTGCCTTATTGGTGTGATTGTCTTTTCGATGGCTGATGGGTCGAATAGTTCCTGGTAGGCGTTTTCGCCTCTCTCGGCTCATTTCTCTACGGCTGTAAGTCTATACTGGCATTGCCTGGAAAAGGAACCAATCAAAAGGAATACTGGATTTTAACGAATACTGTCACTGCTCCCCAGACGACTTGGGTGTTATCGCGGAAGTTGTTGCAAGTGGCTCCTTCACGGCTAAATTCGCGACAACCACGGTGCAGAGGTGTGCGGCGCCCCAGCGGTCTGATTTACCTGGAACTAACATTTCTCTAGTGGATTGGTGGTGTCCATGTTTACTGCTGGTGCCTTCGTCGGTGCAGGCTTCAGTGGTCCTTGTGGTGACTGGCTTGGTCGCCGAAAGACCATCTCTGTGGGATGCGTTATCTTCTGCCTTGGTGGCGGTCTGCAGACCGGTGCGCAGACAATCGCATATCTCTATAGTGGAAGATTCTTTGCTGGATTAGGGTACGTGTCTTTTGATGAGCCTCGATCTCGGGTTAAACACGGCCTCTCTGACCTGATTCATACAGTGTTGGTTTCCTCACCATGATCGTTCCACTGTACCAAGCCGAGCTGTGCCACCCTGATATCCGCGGACGTGTCACTGGTTTGCAGCAATTCATGCTGGGAGTTGGAGCTCTTTGCGCATCGTGGATCAGTTATGGTACCTTCATCGGGTTCTCAGATACCGATTCCGCACAGTGGCGGATTTCGCTTGGGCTTCAGATGGTTCCTGCTGTCTTCCTGGGAGCGTTGATCATGCTCTTCCCCGAGGTAAGTTGCATCAGCCATTGACCTCTCCTCTGGAGGTAGTTGCTCATAAACGAAACAGTCGCCTCGGTGGCTCATCGATCATGGCCGCGAAGAAGAGGGTCTTAAGACTCTTGCGAAGCTCCATGCCCACGGAGACGAGAACGACCCCTGGGTTCGTGCTGAGTATAACCAGATCCAGGAAAGCATCACCTATGAGCATGAGAACGCCGCCAGGTCGTACGCAGAACTCTTCAAGTCGCGCGCCTCGTTCCGCCGCGTGTTACTCTGCTGTTCGATCCAAGCATCAGCTCAGATGACAGGTGTCTCCTCCATCCAGTAAGAGAGCCTCCTTAGTTTGGATGATTCTTTTCCAACCGGTTTTGTGGCTCTTCTCTTTCTAACATGTTGTCATTTCTTTGTCAGGTATTACTCAGTCGAGATCTTCGAAAAGATCGGTATCTCTGGCGCCGCGACATTGCGCTACCAGGCCATCAACTCGATCATTGCTTTGATTGCCCAAGCTCTCTGTATGCTTTTTATTGACCGTTTTGGCCGTCGTTGGCCGATGATCTGGGGCAACCTAGGCAACATGGTCACGTTCATCATCTCGACGATTCTGCTTGCCAAGTTCCCTGCAACCGCAAGCAACAGCGGTGCCCACTGGGCCTTCATCATCATGACCTGGCTGTACAACTTTTCCTTTTCAGCTACGGTCGGTCCGTTGACTTGGATTATCCCCGCGGAGGTCTTCGACACGCGCACTCGTGCCAAGGGTGTATCCATCGCCACCATGACCTCTTACGCTTTCAACACCATGATCGGACAGGTGACGGACACTGCCATGGCCCGCATCGGCTATCGGTTCTATTACCTTTACTGCATCTGCAATCTGACCAATGCCATCTGGTTCTGGCTAGTTTTGCCGGAGACCAAGAAGTTGCCTCTCGAGGAGATGAACTACCTGTTCAAGAATTCTCCTTGGATTGTTCCCGGCACCAAGAGAGAGGACTTTATCTCCCACGACCTGGAGCACAGATTTGAGGAACAGGAAAGGAAGCAGGATACCCAGGCACTTGAATCGAGATGATTGATGGATTAAGTGACCTAAGAGGATTCGATGTGACTAATGGCTGTAATGGAAGAGGATGAAATGGAACAGTAGACCGATGTGGTCTCTTAACACCAACGGTTTTCACACAATGTTTGGATTATCCCACTGCCCTATATATACATATACATATATATATATATATATATATGGACAGTTTTCAATGCAAATGAGTCACCACTAGGGTTTTGACTTCAATCAATCTGATACTTGCTCTTCTGTTTTCTCAATAGAACCCTGAGTGAATGAAATGTCAACGGTAAGCTTAGACAGCCCAGTGCTATGAGACCAGCTCTTACTTGCGAGTAGCTAAAAAGCAGCCGCATTGTACTCCAATTGGATGGATAATACCCGCTATCAATCATCCCACAGTCAATAATGCTTCTGTCGCAATGCAATCCAGGCTGCTTGAGCTGTTCTGATCGGTTGACACATTGAAGGTTGGCAAGATGACGGACTTAGTCAGAGTCGCTATATGCATCCAATCCTAATGACAGAGGAGCGGGTTTTGTTTCTTCTTTGGAAATCGATCGGTCTTTCTCTGGTGTGTTTACATTGCCCACCGGCTTGGCAGTGCGGACAGCGGGCTTATTCGGGGTATCCGAGGTTGCAGACGTAGTGACAGGCGTTGCACTTGCGTTCTTCTCGGAAATCTTGATGCCCGGGACTTTCTTTTGGTCACTTGGAGAAGAGGAGGTTTCTCCGGACGTATCTGCGGGAACCGATCTGCGTTTCTTCCCCGCAAAAAGCAGGTCTTTGTTTTTCTCGCGTCTTCGTTTCCGTGAAGATATCGCCCATTGTTCCTCCTCGGTAGGTAGACCAGCATCTACAGACGTGCCCTCGAGCTCGTCTTTTTCGGCCTGCTCGCGCTGGCGGCGGAATTCTTCCAGCTGTTCAGCCGTCTCTTTCTTCACTGCGGCTTCTTGAGCACGGGTAGATTCAAGAAGAGAGTCAAGAAAGTCAACCTCATCCTCATCTAAAGACCGGAACTGGTTTTTTAACCTTATCTTCTCTTCAAAGGCATCCTGTTTGGCCACTAAATACCAATCGAAGTTCCATCTCAGTATGTCAGCCAACACGCAGACACGCTTTCGTAGTCCAAGCGGGAAGGCTCACTCTTGTTCTGTTGTAGCACCTCATACAGACTCTTTCCTCCATCCTGTTTTCCCAATTCAGCTTTCCGTCTACGTTCTTCCTCCAGCTCTTGTTGCACACGAAGCCATTCATCGTCACGTTTCACTGGCTCCTCCGTGGTCCCTCCGGAAACGAACCCAGACGACATTTAGACTGTTTTTGTGGGGAAACCCCTGGGTCAAACAAAAAATTATCTTTTAGAGTCCCACGACAGGCCTCCGAAACAAATTAGACCCTCAATACTGTGGTTGTTGTCAAGTGAAGAGGTACAAAAGCTGCAGGTCTGTTCGGAAGCTGCAAGATCCCGGCAGAATCAAGCGGTGTGGCCCGCCCATGTTGGGATTACTTCAGTCCAAAATCACAGACACATGGAACTACGCTTCTGTCTAAGAAGTAAGTAGTGTGTCATTAATTCGGATTCTTGATACTATTGATCTCCAAAGGTATCAAATGCTAGAGTATTCACTCTGCAGGTTATAATCTGACTTGCTTTGATACACCAAGACGGTACTAAGAGATTTGCATAGAAACTTAGGGAATGACAGGAAACCCCCCCGTATAATCAAGATATCGACCTTAAAGATAATGCTTGAGATAGTCTAAACCAATAATCTTTGTTTAGATCTGCAAGAGCCAATGTAAAGTGATTACTAAGGCTCAGAAGCCCTGCTGGTGACCTGGCCTGTGGAGGCCATGGCGGGGGATCAACGCTCTCCTGCATATAAAGAAGACCGAGCCAGTCGTCGTTTGTCTGGTTTGGCTTATCGTGCATATTGCGTGGTATAGAGACTTTAGGATATTACTATAAAAGCTCTGGAAATCCACTCCAGTTTCTCCCCTCCATTCTACTCAGTTTCGCACACTTTTCTCTTCGACATTCTCTCATAAGTACTTCTCCAACTCTCAGACGTCGATTTTGCACAATGGAAGCCCTTGAGCATACCAAGTAAGCACTGGAAAAATGATAGACGCCTTGTTGGGGAAAGATTCTGGAGCGGCACTAAGATGACCTCTTCGATTCAATAGGAAAGTCTACACCCTCAACACTGGAGACAAGATCCCAGCTATTGGCCTGGGAACTTGGCAGTCTAGGCCCAACGAAGTCCGAGAGGCTGTCAAGAATGCTCTTTTGAAGGGCTATCGTCATATCGACACGTGAGTACAGTCATTCAGCTTTCCAGATCGTCGAGAAGATACAGAACGTGTTTAATCTTGCTTTTAGTGCCTTCGCGTACAGAAACGAGACAGAAATCGGCCAGGGCATCAAAGACTCCGGTGTTCCTCGCAGTGAGATCTGGATCACTACCAAACTCCACAACACATACCACAATCGTGTGCAGGATGGCATCAATTCGTCTCTGGCGAGTCTTGGAACTGATTATGTCGACCTTTACCTGATCCACTGGCCTAGCTCTACAGACCCAAACGACAGGTCAAAGCATTTACCTGACTGGGATTTTATCAAGACATGGTCAGTATAGATACCTACGACACACAACGCGAAGACTTTGCTCATGTCAATATAGGCAAGAAATGCAGAAGCTCCCGGCCACGGGTAAAGTGAGAAATATCGGCGTGTCCAATTTCGGAATTAAGAACCTAGAGAAGCTTCTCAAGGACCCCAGCTGCAAGATCGTGCCTGCCGTGAACCAGATTGAGTTACACCCAAATAACCCTTCCCCGAAACTGGTCGCGTACAACACGTCGAAGGGCATCCACTCCACCGGTTACTCGTGCCTGGGGTCCACACACTCCCCCCTCTACAGGGACAAGACCCTGTTGAAGCTGGCCGAGAAGAAGGGCAAGACTCCCCAGCAGGTGCTACTCGTTTGGGGCCTGCAAAAGGGCTGGAGTGTCATCCCCAAGTCTGTTAACAAGGCACGCATTGATGCGAACTTCGACATCGACGGTTGGGAGCTGACAGCCGACGAGGTAAACCAACTGGATAACCTGAGGGACCGCTTCAAGGTCTGCGGTGACGGCTGGCTTCCCATCCAGGTGTTTTTCGGAGATGACGAGTGAATTTACAAGATACAACAGTGATAGAATCTTGGGAAATCATGTCAATGGATCTTTAATTCACAGAGTGAGACAAGATATGCCTAACCTAGAATTTCAAGTAACTGAAAACTATCTAACATTAATGTAACTTTCAATGAATAATTATAATTTTTCTGTAGCATATTGTCGCTCATCATAGACCCGCAGCAGCCCTACTATGATGTCATGCCTGGTGTTTAATGCCTGGGGCATAAATGTGGCGTTCCAAAATCTGATATGACATAAGCCTACACCGCCACACAAGATGCGGAGTCATCTCTATCAGCCCCGGTTATCAGGCATCCGTCACTTGAACTACTCTCTCCATCCTATCTTCCCCAATTCATCATCGAGATCTCATCGAGGTTGTCCTGTTCATCACCGCCAGGATGCCACCTTCAAGTGGGCACCTTCTGCTGCCAAAGTTTTGGCGAGCAGCCAGGTAAGTTGATGTTAATCTTTCGTTTCAGGTCGTCGTCGTGTCTCTGACGCCACTACTATCTAGGTATGCCTACGAGAAAGCCTATAAGGCCCTCAAAGAAAAGCTTCCCGACCCGACACAGCAAGTGGCACTCCGCCTGCAGCCTTCCTATGCCTGGATTAATACTCGGCGGCCGATCAATCGTGCTGCGGCTATCCGTCAATCCCGCGGTCGATATTTCTCCACGCGAGCTGCCGGGGGGTTTGTCTCGGCTCTACGATCTGGAGTTCGCGGCGATCAGGCAGCCTACCAGAAGTCCCGAATTGCGTCTAATATCGGCCGTCTTACCTCTCGGGCACCTTTTGCCTCGTCGCTGCGTCCCAATCTGACCGGTGGTACTCTCGGTCGGACAGCGGGAGGTTACGCCGTTGGCGCGGGTCGCTTTGGAGGGGCACGGTATTTCTCCCATGGCCCAGCTGCACCTGCACAGGTCATCAGCCAAGTTTCTGCCGGAGTCCGTGCATTCTTTGTCTCTGGCAAGAAGGCCAGATTCGACGGCATTGACCCTTACACTGGAGAAAAGCGCTACAAGATCGTCGGTGCTCTGCAGGACCAAGCCGAACGCAAGATGGCCGCCATCCCGCGGACTGCCCCGGGCTCTTCGATTGACTTCCAGATTTCTCCCACCATCACTGCCTTTGGCATGATGGGCGGCCTCCAGAAGAAGTCTACTGCGGTTGATATGGAGACTCTCAACTCGGAGGGCCTCATGGATCTACTTTCTGTCGACTTCGCACGTGCCTTGAAGGATCTCGCTGCAGTCCTCAATGATTTGAAGCGTCTGTCCACGCTTGGTGATTTGCCTATTTTATTGCAGGATCGATCTACTATCCGAGTACGGTTCCCCGGATGTGATGCGGAGACCGTGGAGCGGCTTTGCGACGAAGTTGGCGTTCAGAGGGGCCTGATCCTCCAGGACGAAGACTTTGATGTCCACAACCGCACGGACCTCGCTCTTCTGTACCCCTTTGCGCCGAGCGTGCCTACGTCCCCGGTCTCGGATTACTTTGCCCTGGAAGAGTCAAAGCTTCGGTGCTCGCCCGACCAGCTCGACTGGAAAGCAATGATCTCGTCAGAGGATGAGACGCCGTTGTCCCCATACTACATGCGAAGCCCGAGTAACAGGCCCAGTTTCGAAGACAAAGAGTTGTTCGGTAGTAACCCATGGAATTCTTCGCCATCAGGATACTCTAGCATCAATATCAGCGAACTTGGAGATCAGGCCTTCTTCCCGGAGTTCTCAAGTGGAGGGATGCCTGAGACTGCATCCGAGTACGAAGGAGCCGAAGGCATCTACAAATTTCTTGCAGAATGCGATCAAGCCGCCCAGCGTCGCTGATTGCCCCTATCATTCTTTGATTAACTATATCCACAGGCCTCGACGGCCATCTTTTTCTTTCGTTGTCTCTTTGGCATATTTCGGTTTTATGTGCCCTTTCAAGGTTTTTTTTGCGCCGTTTCTCGTGTATGAGGCTGATCGAGAACGCCTGTCAGTGTTTCTCTTGGCTTTTTGCATACACAAATCTCTACTCACAAATTGATACCATTGTTTTTTTCAGGTTCGTCTTGTAGAAATAGTCAGATGTCCCGTTCCTGATTTCGAAGTGGGACGTATTACAACCCCAGGGTATCAACCTCGCAGATTATTCGATATTTAATAGCATACAGAGATCTGTTTAGATGGACATAGAAGGTCCTGGCGGGTCTAGCCGTGGCTTGATACCGGATAATGACGAATTGGTGGTAGAGTCGGTCGTGTGTTTATGTCGGAGTGTAAGGCTGGCGCAGAGCCTCATTAAGTCGGTAGAAGACGAAGACAACATCAAAAGTCATGTCTGACATGCCTGAGTTCCTTGATTCAAAGCATGTTGAGCCAACCGGGTCTTCTGTTTCTTGGCTCTCCGTACTCGGGCCCTCTGGTTCTTTTGACGATTAGATCTCTTCTTCTGGCTCGTGGATTTATTTGGATCTGCCTTGGGGTCTTTTGCTTGTGCTGACACACTAGCAGCAAGCCGGAAGGTCTTTTTCGTGGTCACAATTCGGGCCTTGTCGCCATGGAATAACGACGGGAGCCATTTTTCGGAATTATATACGAGTCGTTCACACATCGGCCCTGTTCCCATCCAGATTTCCAGGTCGCCATGTTCCAGATGATCAGTCCCTATCCTGCGCAACACCATTCCCGGCAATTTTTCATTCATTTCATGTTCAAGAAGTTCCATCAGCTCTTGAGATATATCTATCTCCAGCCACTTGCGGTAAGGGCACGGAATGCCCTCCCAGCGGATCAAGAGTCGAGTTATCGATAGCCCTTCCTCACACACTGGAGGAGAGGATTCGAGTGGAGAAGGCAGTGATAAAGGTGCACTGCCGGGGGAAGGCTCTGGTTCGGGGTCCATGACCCCGTTCATCCACTTTTCTACCCGTCCGTCTGTGCACTTAGCTGGTGCGTTGTCTTTGATCATTTCGAGGGTGGTTTGATTAGGAGCTTGTTCAGTTGGTATCTCTTCAGGATCTATATCAACTTCGCAAAGAAATAGTTCGACCATCTTTGCCAGAAATTGGACATAATTGGTAGGAGACCCTATAGACTGGCCCGCCGCTCCGAATAAGACAGCAGCTTGATCACAGTATGAGCGTAGATGGGCGGCTGCATTCTTGTTAAGAGAAGCATTGTTCAAGGTTGGAAGATCTGGCCAGGCATCAGGCATAGTGACAAGCCTTAAGCACAAGTTAAACAGTATAATACAATCAGAAGAGCTGTCTCAATAGTTATAGATTAAATGCTTTGTTCAACGCGTGCTGTAAATATGGCAGAACACGTCAGCCCCCTGAAGGCGGTGACATATCAGCCTCACCGCCAACCCCGCGCTAACCAGTCTGGTGAGATTCACTGATAACAGGAACGTAACCTGAGCGCACACTTACTCTTGGTGGTGTCACTGCTGTCGGCAGCTTGCTCAAGTTCTCTCTTCGACCGACAGGCCATTTCATGCGTTGAGTCGAACATCACCGACCATCTGTCCAGTTCTGGGAGATTTTCTGGCTGTGGGTTGGCAAGGCCCTGGTTTCTCTCAGTGTCTGGGACAGAGCAGAGCCAAAAACATTTCTCTAGAGAGCAGCAGGTGTTGGCAAAAACACACGACATCCGAGTCATGGAGGAATTCAACAGTGAGACAGACAGTGACTATACTAGCTACTGGAGAGACTGGGTAAGTGTATCTCATCTTGCTATTTCCTTACCTAGCTTGATCAGCCAATTCTGCATTTAGCTGGGTTGCGGGGGGGAGGGGGGGAGTGAGCGATTGTGAAGAGAGGTTGCTATGGGAGAGCACCAGTGAGGTGCAACACCAGCTGGGCAGTGATGAGAAATCTTCTGGGAACCGTCAACCTCGAGAACTCTTCCTCAAACCCTTCTCTCGCTCTCTCTTTCAGCATGGCTACGCCGTCCCCGTCTCGTCTTTCCCCCGGAAAGATGGACGACAACGAGAATTTGACTTTCGCTCAAATGCGAGAGATAGTCCATGCTGGTTTGAAAAAGCCTTGGCTGACTCCTCATTGGCGTGTGCAGTTCATCTCCTCCCGTGGCAACGAATATTTCTGCGAAATCGACGAGGAATATCTGACTGATCGCTTTAACTTGACTGGCTTGAACACGGAAATCCCCTACTACCAGTATGCACTTGATCTGGTCACCGACGTGTTTGATCTAGACGCCGACGACGATCTGCGCGAGCAGATCGAGAAGTCCGCTCGTCACCTGTATGGCCTTGTCCACGCGCGCTACATCGTTACCACCCGTGGCCTCGCTAAAATGGTAAGTTCTATCTTCAAAGGGAAAAACAGCTTTTGCTCTAGTTTTTGCTAACTTTTCTGTGTAATCTTTTAGCTTGACAAGTACAAGAAGTGCGACTTCGGCAAATGCCCCCGTGTCTTGTGTGAGGGTCAGGCTCTTCTCCCCATGGGCCAGCACGACCTGCCCAACATGAGCACCGTCAGACTGTACTGTGTCAAGTGCGAAGACATCTACAACCCCAAGTCTTCTCGCCACGCCTCCATGGATGGCGCCTACTTTGGCACTTCTTTCCACAATATCCTGTTCCAGGTGTACCCCGCTCTCATTCCCGAGAAGAGCACTCGTCGCCACGAACCTCGTATCTACGGCTTCCGCGTCCACGCCGCTGCTGCCCTTGCTCGCTGGCAGGATCGCTTCCGCGAAGAGCAGAAGACTCGCCTGCGTGAAGCCGGAATCGAATTCAATTACGCCGAGGATACCGAGGCTGAGGAGGAGTTCGAAGACGATGAGGAGCCTTCCGCGTCGAAGACTGAAAAGGTTGAGGGTGACGCAGCGTCTGGTCGCATGGATCTCGGAAATTGAAGCAAGCTACACGGTCTTTCACAGATCTTCGTGAAGCTTCAAGATTTCTGTTCCCGGTCGGCGTCATACTCGGCTTTTTTTTCTTTTTCTATTCCTCTCGTCTTCTTTATTTCTCTATGAAGAGACCAACAGGCGTACCGGGGTTTACTATTCTCTTATGTGTTTTTTTTTCCCAATGATTTTCACTGTTGTGGCATGATGATGACGAACATTGATGGCGTTGGCGCGCACTAAAAACGGCCGGCCTTTTCTCTTCTAATGTGTTGCATGTAATCAATAGGCTAGTCTATGACAGCATTCATATGAACCCTCGGTATTCATTCTCCTAGTAATGGTTGTAAACCCTCCCCTTTCCCCTAAGCGAGTCTATCTACATTTTCTGCAACTCTGTCAGAGTGAATGCGATGGCCCTCGCCAGTTCTTCTCCCTTTTCCCAGATCTCATCATGCCGGCCTTTTACCGGCAGCATGACCGTTCGCCGTGTCTCCTCCTGTGACGCAGAGCTGGTCCACAATCTCAACGCTTCCTCCATCGCCTCCGCCTGCGACGTATCCACCAACTCGTCTTCCGCCGAGTAGGCCAGCACAGCCAGCTTCCCGGCCGTCCAGCCACCTTGGATGCCATCAAACCCCGAACCAACTTTTGCCGGCGACACGGCATCCCACAACGTCTCGTCCGGGCCGAAGGCGCCCTCGAAAAGGTCCTGGTACGCGCTGATCCCGCTAAAGTGGTCGCGGAGTAACCTACACTCATAAATGCCCGCCACCCCCAGTATAGCTGACGGTTGCGCAAGATTTCGATGCCGGAAATGATCATCATATCCGCCCAAGTGACGCATAACAGTTTGAAATGCAAGGGTCGCTCCGCAGCTATGCCCGACAAGCACGTACCGCTCGCCGAACCCGTACCGGCCCTGCAGAAGGGCAAGCGCCGATTCGACATCCGCAAGATGGTCCGGATGTCTCGCGTTTCGAAACTGGCTTGGCGGTGTCGCTACTGGGTCCTGTGGGTGCTCCGGGTGCGCGCTGAGCCTGTACTCGATAGAGGCGAACGCGGCGATGTGCGGCAGGACGGTCGAGGTGTATGGCTCGGCGGTGCAAAGCAAAGTCTCGGCGGCGGCGAGGTCGGCGAATGTTTTACTTGGGTCTCGCCAGGCGCCGCCATGTATGAATCTGATTTCATTTCTTAGTTGACTTTTTAATTTCGCGAAATGGAGCAGTTGTCAATTGCAGTTTTACATCACCCAATAGCCTGGTTGGGGGTCATCGGATAGAACTGTCACTGAGACCTTTTGGAGGACATGATCATTGCTATAGGAGAAGATTTCTTGAGGCATATCGATCAATATTATTATAATCTTTATAGAGCGATGCTATGGGGATTGAATTCAGTCCTAGATACCTCAGATACAGTAGACGAAGTGGAGTGCGACACGTTAGGCAGTTACTAGCACTTGGACTACATTTATAGTAACAACCACAGACGACTGTAAAATAAGAGTGATTTTCATTGATAATATCTCAATTAAGGTATTCAATTATAGATTTATTGAATAGACAAATAGTAATCATAAAATTACTCGCTAGAATATATAGGTAGTTACCAAGGTGCCTAGTTATCTGCAAATCTTTGAAGATGGTACTAAGCGATATCTAACATAAATGCCACTATTCGCCTACCCAGTCCAGCGAGAATAGTCAAAACAGTGAGATATAATAGTTCTCCAAAGTTATCATCAAACAGCAACATTATAACTATAGGTAGGGCTCATTTTATAATAATACTCCGGAGTAATGAGTACATGGGCTCTGTATCTTGAATACCGTAATTATACGCAGAATCCAGACTTGGCGCGCTAGTCCCGTTCTGACACTAGGCGGTGGGAAATTATTCACCATGTCCACACAAACCGCCGCAGACTCGTTGACCCGATCATCTTTGGCCGTAAAGTGCGATCTCTAGGCTCTACATTCATCATGGCGGAGTAAGACCTTTCGCTGGCGCATTTGGGATGCGGGCTGTCAGATGCTAATGGATTTTTTGCAGGAACCAAGTCCCCCTCACGGCCGTCAAGGTCGAGGCGCTGGTACAGTCCCCTCCTCCCCCTCCCCATATCCAGTCGAAAGAAACCCCCCTCCTCGCCAGTACTATGGTTGCTGACACATTGCATATAGGTGGTCATGAAGATCATCAAGCACTGCACGCAGACCTTCCCGACGACTGCGACCGGTTCGATCGTCGGTATGGACGTTGACGGCACCCTGGAGATCACCAACTCGTTTCCCTTCCCCGTGGTCGAAATGCCGGCCGACTCGCACTTTGACGGCGCGGCGCCAAACCCGGCCGCGGCGGCCCCGCGTGCAAAGGCGAACGTTGCCTACCAGGCGGAGATGGTCCGGATGCTGCGGGAGGTCAACGTCGATGCGAACAACGTTGGCTGGTACACGAGCGCCAACATGGGCAGTTTCGTCAACATGAACGTGATCGAGAACCAGTTCTTCTACCAGAAGGAGATGAACGAGCAGACCGTTGCCCTCGTGCACGATGTCTCCCGCAGCGCCCAGGGCAGCCTGAGCCTGCGAGCCTTCCGTCTTTCCCCCAAGTTCATGGCCGCTTTCCGGGAGAACAAATTCACAACCGAGGAGTGAGTCTTTGCAATGAACAACACTCCTGGTAGGGAAACTATGTTCTGACTATCTTAGGCTGCAAAAATCCAACCTTAAGTACCAGGATATCTTCGTTGAGCTCCCCGTGGAGATTCACAACTCCCACCTGATCACGAACTTTATCCACCAACTCCAGACTCCCACCCAATCCGCCCCGACGGATCTCCCTTCATCTCTGGCTGCGCTTGAGGCCGGATCCCTGGCTAAATCCACAGTTCTGTCGCCCAACTTCGACAACCTAACGCTGAGCATCGATCCGTTCCTGGAGAAGAACTGCGACCTCCTTCTCGACAGCATCGAGACCCACCAGACAGAGACCAACAACTTCCAGTACTACCAGCGCTCTCTCGCCCGCGAGCAGGGCAAGATCACCGCCTGGCAGACGAAGCGCAAGGCCGAGAACGCCAGCCGGGCTGCTCTCAAGCAGCCCCTCCTGCCCGAGGACGAGTGGCAGCGTCTGTTCAAGCTGCCCCAAGAGCCCAGCCGACTGGAGAGCATGCTTAACAGCCGCCAGGTTGAGCAGTACGCGCACCAGGTTGACAGCTTTGTCTCTTCTACCACCGGCAAGATGTTTGCTGTCAAGGGCAACCTGCTGCCGGGCGAGACCGCTAAATAGAAAAAACCACCTCCACGGGAGGGGGGTTCTTTCATGCTATGATGTTTCTGGGGCTTTTGGGATTGATTGTTGCATGACCTTTACGGCGTAGGAAGGGAAAAGCTGTATCTCTTGCTGTTAATACATAAGTCCTGCCTTATTCATGACGAATAGAGTGATTGACAGTTTATTATCTTTCTGTTCTTTTTTTTGCAGAGTAGAGAGAAGTCTAGGGCTTTTTTGGCTGCACGTGAACCCGATGACCTCATCATGTGTTGCATCGCAGCAGGTTTCCGAATTGATATGCTCGAGGAAGCAGTTCAAGTTCCATTTCTTGTATCTTTTTTTTTTTGTCTTTCTTCATTGCATCAGCTTCTGTCTGGTGAATTCTTCTATGTATAACAGTAACTTTGACGTATGGGTCGTAAGTGTCCAACCCAGAAAGCCTTTGCAAAATATCCCACTAACTAATAGACCAGGCGGGAGCCTTTGCCGCTGTGATGGTCGATTTCATCGTATACCCCTTCGATACCCTGAAGACACGCATCCAGTCACCGAACTACGAGACGCTGTATAAAAGCGCACGTACGGGCGCAGTGCGCCGTCATGTGCTGTACAGAGGGTTATATCAAGGCGTGTGGAGCGTGGTAGTCTCAACCATACCGTCATGTAAGGAAAGATTAATTGATATTGATGTCTCTTTCTGGCGATTGTCTAACTTAACCAGCAGGAGCATTTTTCACCACCTACGAAGCCGTCAAATATAGCCTCAACAACGCCTCGTCAGCATCGACTGCGCCGCACCAGAACCGCCTCCCCTTCACCCACTCGCTCCCTTCGCCAATCGTGCACGCCCTCGCCTCCTCGTCTGCCGAGATGGTGGCCTGCCTGATGTTGACGCCCGCAGAGGTGCTCAAGCAGAATGCCCAGGTTGTGCAAAGGAATGGTAGCGGCGGCGGTAATGGTGGAAGTCAAAGATCGCAGTCCGCCACCCTGCAGGTTCTCTACCGGTTTCGACGACATCCCTGGAAGCTGTGGAACGGGTACACGGCGCTGGTCAGTCGGAATTTACCCTTTACAGGGCTCCAGTTTCCTATCTTTGAGTACATCCGGTCGAGGATGATTGAGTGGTGGAAGCAAAGGCTCAGCGATAATAATGCAAAAAATCCCATGTCGAACAACAATCACAACCCTGTCCTAGAGCGTGCCCTGCTGACAGGAATGTCGGCCTCGATGTCCGGGACTATCGCTGCCATCGTGACGACGCCAATCGACGTGATCAAGACGAGAGTCATGCTGGCAGCTAGCAATGATAGCATAGGCACTACAACAGCTCCTCCTACTACTACTCAGGATTCAGCAAAGAGAAAGGCAGAGATGAAAGGGAAATCTCGAACAATAACGGTTGGGAAACAGATCTTCCGTGACGAAGGCATCAAGGGTCTCTTCCGAGGGGGGGCGATCCGGGCGGCATGGACGGCCGTGTCTCTGAGTATGTATCTCAGCCTGTATGAAGGCTTACGGTTCCATCTGGAGAATCGCCGCAAGGAGCGCGAGGGCAAGGCTGTGCGGCCGAATCTAGATGGGCAGGATGAAGCCGAAGAAGCTCTTATGACATGATCTGAGAGATAATACATAATATTTTTTATAGAATAACAAGGCTATCATATCATGGTCATCATTAGCTAACTATCGAGTAGAGTATTTCTTGCAGTCATATAATCGGAATCATCGCATATCATATCCTAACATAAGTCATAAACTCCCCCCATACGCCATCTCGCCCTGGTTGATGCATCTTCAGAAATTAGAAACTCGTCAGCTTCTTCAGCCAACTCGGCCGTTTAATCGCCGAGCTAGGCAGTGGTGCATAACGATCGTCATATCGGTCATAGCGGTCGTACCGGTCGTAACGATCATCGCGATCATTACGGTCGTTGCGCTTCAAGCCACGGTCTCGCTCGTAATCACCACTGCCCGAACTGCTCTTAATCCCTCCACGTTCCTCTGCGCGGCGTGCATCCCGCCGGCGTGCACGCAACTCGTCAATCTCCTCGTCTGTCATCCCAGGGTATTTGGATCGACGGCGGGCTCGCCGCCGCATCTCCCGCCGGGCTTCTTCATCCGAAGAAAGTGTGTGGCCCTGGACCACCTCGTCCGCAAGAGGGTTGTCCACGACGGTAGGCACAATTGGGGGAGGTTCGGGGGGGTCATCGGCTTGGGAGTGCACCCATGACGAGGTCTTGTTTTTCGCACCAGTCATCATGGGGTAGCCCACCAGCGGCTCGCCTGGGGGTGCTCTTGATTTGCGGCGTCTGGTCCGCCCGCTTTCCTCGGCGTAGGAACGGCGGGCACGGCGTTCACGCTCGGCCTCGTATGCTTCAACCGGAGGCATTCCCACCATGACTCTTTCCTCGGTGCGGGAAGGACGGCGCCGCGAGGAAGGAGGCGGCGCATAGCGAGAAGAAGACTGCTGATCGCGTCTCTCCTCTTCTCGCATCCGTCGGCGCTGCTCGCGCCGTTCTGCCGCCTTGGCCTCAGCGCGGGTCTCGGCCTCTCGGGCCTCCTGCTCCTCTCGAGCTCGGCGCTCTTCGTAAGCTGCCTGGCGAGCCGCTCTCCTCTCTTCTCGGCGTCGAGCTTCTCGCTCTTCATCCTCTCGGACTCGTCTCTCATATGCTTCGCGGGCCTTCATTTTCTCCCGTCGCCTTTGTTGCCGTTCCTCTTCTTCCTGGTCTATACCACGAACCTCGCCCTCCCGAGGCAGGTCATGCGGACCATGTCGGGAAGCTCGTTTCGCCCGACGCGCCGCTTTCCTGGCCTCGGCGTCTTCGGGTTCTGTATTGAACCCCGGATAGTCCGGAGCTGCATCGGTCACGAAGCCTTCCACGTCGGTGTCTGGTCGCACGGATCGTCTCCGCCGGTCATCGCGGCGGGGACGACGCACATCTTCGCGCTCGGTCTCAGTCGCGTACCTGACCTCGTCATCTCGATGCGAGCGAGACTTGCGGCGTTCAGGCATTTCTGGACGGGTATTCTTCCGAAGAGAGCCAAAAAGACCCATGAGGCCACCACCACCACCACCACCACCTTCCGGCTTTCTCGGCACGGTGCTCGATCGCTTCAACCGTCGTTCGCGTGGTGTCTCGACAAAGGCCATATCGTCGGGACCGGAGAAGATCTCTGGCGCGGGCCGGTCGACCATGACCGCGTCGTCTTGGAAATCTTCGCCCTTGCTTCGCGACTAATGAAAAAAAAAAAATGTCAGCCATTTTATTTTTCAGATATTTTTTTTTCGACTTGAGTAAGGGGTATTTAGTCGCAGCTTCTGGCTGTTCTCACCTCTTGTTGCCTTCTCCGAGACCGACCCGAAGACCTTGAGTGGTCCTTAGGATACTGCCCTTCGACATCCTCCTGGTTGACCATCACGATATCTTCGTCATCCAACGGATACGGATCAGGAGCAGCTTTTCATCAAAGATTAGTTTTTTTCCTGTCGATATATTATTGCACAAGGACTCACCAGATCTCCGTCGGCTCGTTGGCGGCCTCTCCTTCCTTGGTCTTGAAGCGCTAGCGCCCATTATCTTGGCAGCCTTATCGGCAGCGTCCGGCTTATCAACGGGCAGAGACGCGATTCCACTCTCCTCGACAACGTCCTCCGACTGTCGTCTAGAGATTCCTTTGGCGGCGGAGGCACCGGTCCTGCGGGATGACTTGGTCCTGGTTGGCGGAGTGCCTAGGATAAAGTCGGAAAACCCGGTTGCCGTTCCACGAGTAGGGCGAGAAGATTTCGCTTCTTGTCGCCGCTCCTTGTCAGAGGAAGATGACTTCTCCTTCTCGGCGGATCCTTCCTTGGATTTGGAGAGGCCTGAAGCGTTTGACTTGGACCTTTCCAACGGAGGAGACGGCGAGGGATCCTTGGTCCTTTTCTTGGGGACCTCAGGGTCGGGTTCGGGCTTGGGCTTAGAATCGTCCTTGGGTTTTGACTCCTTCTTGACGCTGGATTTCTTCGGAGGTGGTTGAGCCCCCCAGAAGCCCCACGAGGAAGCAGTACCCGTGCGTTCGACGCGCATCCGTTCTTTCTTGACAGACTTCGCAGGCGCAACGGGTTCTGGCGGCGGCGTTGGAGGTGCGCCGGCTTCTTTCTCGGCGGCTTCTTCAGCTTCGCCAGCAGGAGGGTCTTCAACAGCCGGTTCTTCGGCAGCAGGCGACTCCTCGATAGGCGGTTCCTCGACAGGTGGCTCCACGACGGGTGGTTCCACGACAGGGGTTTCCTCAACAGGAGGCGGGGGAGGAGGCGGCGTCTCTTTCACTACTGCAGCCGCAGCCGCAGCCGCCTTTTTCGTAAGCTTCTTACTCTTTTTCGTCCCCTTGACAGGAGCTAGAGCAGGAGGCTCAGGCTTGACGACCGGTTCCGGCTCCGGTTCCGGCACCGGTACAGGCTCAGGCTCAGGCTCTTTCACTGGTTCAGGTACAGGTTCAGGTTCTGGAGGGACCTCTGGTTCTGCATCGAAATCATCATCGAACACGTCCGGGAAGCTCCCCGGGACAGACTCACGCGAGACTTTCTTCTCGGAGATGGCTTTTTCAATGACAGCGACAGGCTCCGGCTCCGGCTCTGGCTCCAAGTCTGGTTCTGGTTCTGGTTCTGGTTCTTTCTCTTTCTCTTTCTTCGATGAAGATGTGCTCTTTGACGATATCTTGGTCTTGGATAGTTTCTTAGATGAAGTAGTAGTAGTAGCAGCAGCAGGAGGTTGCTCCCCCGGTGGCTCCGGCGCAGGCGGGGGCACCTCCTTTTTCTCCTTTTCCTTCTCCTTCTCCAGCCTTAGTCGCTCCTTCTTGGCTTGTTCCAACACACGGATGCGTTCCGCGACTGAGAGCTTGCCAGTTGTCTTGGTCTTGGATGTCTTCGCTGGCACCGCGGCTGGCGCGGCTGGCTCGTCAACAACAGGCGCGACAGGCGCCTCTGGCTTGGGTTCTTCATATACATCAATGAGTAGATCCTCCTCTGCGGGTTTCTTTGGCTCGGGCTCAAGCTCAGGTTCAGGTTCAGGCTTTTTGACCTCCTCTTCCACGACTTTGGTCTTTTCTTCCGACTTGGTCTTTGTAGATTTGGACTTGGCGCCGGAGACCACCCCCAAGCTGCCCCAGAAGCCTTTCGCCGCTTTGGCAGCAGGTTCCTTGGCTGCCTTGGCTGTCGACTTGGTGTCAAAGGCACCCCAGATATCCTCTTCATTTGGCAAGTTTTCTGGTTCCGGGTTCAATGCCACGGCTGGCGGAGATGGCGCCGGGGGGGGAGGTTCATCTGCGATCTTGCTCTTCTTGCCTTTCTTTTTCTCTTTGGAGGAGCCCCAGAACCCCCACCCCCCATCTTCAACAGGCTCTTCAGCAGGCTCTTCAGTGACCGGCTCCGGTACGAGGATGGGCTCGGGTTCAGGCTCGGGCTCATGTACAGGCTCCGGTGTAGGCACCGGATCCGGCTCCAGGAGATCCACGACTGGTTCAGAGACAGGCTCCGGGGCAGGCGGAGGAACCTCTTTCGCAGGCGGGTCAGCATCAGGGAATTTGCCCTCGCGGTCCGGAATAGGAAGACCCTTTTTCACGAGGGCCTTCTCTCTCCTCTTTCTATCTTTGGAGTTTAGATTCACCCAATTATCATATAGTGGGTCATCTGGTACAGTTGGTTCCGGTTCAGGTTCAGGCTGGGGTTCTGGTTCAGGCTCCGGCTCTGGCTCTGGCGCAGGTTCAGGCTCAAGCGTAGGTTCAGGCTCCGGTTCCGGTTCTGGTTCAACCTTCTTCTTTTTCTTCTCCTTCTTGGAGAAGCCCCAGCTCCCCCAACCGTCGTCATCAGCTTCCTTCGTGTCTGTAAATGGGTCGGGCTGAACAGCCGGAGGCGGGTCTGGAGCAGCTGGGGGAGGAGGTGGTAATGGCTCCTCCACAAGTCCCTTCTTCCCTTTTTTTGTCTTCTTCTTGCTTGCGGACGTGCCGTAGGAGCTTAGCCAGTCGTTTTGAGTGGCAACAGGCTCCGGTGCAGGTTCAATTTCGGGTTCTGCCTCTGGCTCCGGTTCTGCCTCCGGTTCTGCCTCAGGCTCAAGTTCTGGCTCGAGCACAGGCTCGGGCTCAAACTCAGGCTCAGGCTCAGGCTCAGGCTCAGGCTCGGGATCTGGGGTTTTCTTTTTCTCCTTCTTCTCCTTCGTTGCAGGAACACCCCAGCCCCAGTCATCGTCATTGGTCTCTGCGGGTGTCTTTTCTGGCTCTTTCACCTCTTCAACCTTTGGTGGTTCTTCGATGGGCTCTTCAACCAGTTTACCCGCCTTTTTCGCTTTCTTCTTTGCTTTCTTGGAGATTGGTGCCCACGCGTTGGCCTCCGGTTCTGGCTCAGGCTCGGGCTCTTTCACTGGTTCGGGCTCCGGTTCAGGCTCCGGTTCAGGTTCAGGCTCCGGCTCAGGTTCAGGCTCAGGTTCAGGTTCAGGTTCAGGTTCTGGCTCCGGTTCTAGTTCAGCCGCTGCCTCAGCCTCAGCCGCTGCTTTTGCGGCTTCTTCTGCCGCCTTTGCAGCAGCCTCTCTAGCCTCTTTTTGTTTCTTTTTCTTTTCTTTCTTGGACAGACCCGCGTACGGGTCTACCTCTAGCTTAGGCTCTGGTTCCGGTTCCGGCTCCGGTTCTGGATCTTCTACCACTCCCTTCTTCTTCTTTTTCTCCTTGGTTCCCGCCAAGGCCCAGATGTCGTCTGTTTCCTCTGACTCCGGGCCCTTGGAGAGCTCATCGACAGCTGTATCTTTCTTGGTCCCCCAAGCGTCCCAAGCATCCGATGTAGCCCCGGCAGAGTCGTCGACGATACCCTTCTTCTTCTTCTTGTCCTTTTTCCCCGTACCGGCGGTAAGGCCTTCCCAGATGTCCTCGGGCTTCTTCGTTTCGGTACCTGTAAGATGGTCAACGGGGTCATTGTTCGCCGTCGAAGTAGCGGATTTGCCAAGGTCGCCAAAGTCGAAGCGGGATTTAGACGCTTTCGTTGTCTCCTTCTTACCACCAACTCCGGTTGTCCAGGGATTCGTAGAAGTATGAGCAATCTCATTATCAGCCTTATTCTCGTCCGTCCCGTTCGTCGTCGCCGTAGTATCGTCGAGTGAGCCTAGACCCCATTTGTTGCTGCTCCCGGTGTTCCAGGAACCACCCCATCCTCCAAAGTTGAAGCCAGAGCTAGCAGGTTTGGAGGAAGGCGCATCGAAGGTGAGGTCGAGCTGCGGAGGGGCATCGTTGAGACTGATATCTTGGAAGGAATTTGTCGGCTCTTCTACCGGAGCTGGCTCAACCGGTTCGGCCTGTCAACATTAGCAAGGTATAAAATAAATAGAGTGGGATGTCGTGAGCTACCTTTCCCTTCTTCTTCTTCTTTTTGTTGGTCACCGTAAAGCCGCCCCAGCTGTTGTCCTCAGGTTCATCGGCCCAGCTGAGATTGTTCTTCGCGGCCGCTGCTTCGGCGGCTTTTCGCTCTTCTTCTTCCTTAGCTATCCGTTCCTCTTCTTCCTTGGCTTTTCGCTCTTCTTCTTCCCTAGCTATCCGTTCCTCCTCTTCTTTGGCTTTTCGATCTTCTTCTTCCTTAGCTATCCGTTCCTCCTCTTCTTTGGCTAACCGCTCCTCCTCTTCCTTGCGCTTTCGCTCCTCCTCCTCTTCGGCTTGTTTCTTCTTCTTCTCCTTCTTCTTCTTGCCGGTCGAGTTCGAAAAGTCATTCCAGTCTTCACCGTCACCGTCGCCACCACCTGTACCGTCGTCGCCGTTGTTGTCGTCGTCGTTATTGTTACCGTCTCCTGCGTCGTTGGGTGCATCCCCGCCATTCTGACCTTCATCCGGTGGAGGTGATTCTTTCTCTCCTTCGTTGTCCGAGCCTGCCGCGTTGTTGTTCCCGCCACCGTTCTTGTTTCCTCCGCCTCCACCTCCACCTCCGCCTTTGCCTTTCTTCTTCTTGCCCTTATGCTCTCGGATACCGCTCGGGCCGTCAAAGTCAACGATCCGCTTCGTCTGCGTGTCCGTTCTTTCCGGCGCTGATTCATCGCATAGGTCCTTTGCGCGCGCAAGCGGCGAGTACGCGGGGGGTAGGTCGGCGATTGCATCTTCGTAGGGTGGTGGTGGGATCCCGAGGTCTAACCGATCCGGCATGTGAAGTTCTACCTCCACGGCCAGTATCGCCTCTAGATAGTCTCTCTACGCAACTATCAGTCTATGGATCTCCTCGACGTAATGAGAAAAAAAAAACCCTCGTACCATCTTGACTGCAAGACTGTTCCCCGCACATTTCGACCGGGCTATCTCAGCCTCATATTTCAGGTCCATGCTCCCTTCTCCTGGAGATCCAAATCGCATCCATGGTTGCAATGGCGGGATTCCGCCGACAGCATCCATGGTTGAGCACACACACATACACGGGAGCGGGCTATCGCAGACTGGAAGGCTGGGGACGACACATCGAGGGTAAACACCGCTGGGCTCGACCTCGTCAAGGCGAATCGGTCTAGAAGGATATCTGCAGGCTATATATAAGAGAGTGATAATGAAAAAAAGAAGAAAACTGTTCTTCGAAGCAGAGTCACGACGCAGACAGATAAGGCGCACGATACGATAAGAGCAGAAAAGGCGGTGCTGTTGAGCCCGTGCGACAAGGAAAGAGGCAATAAGAGGTATTCTATCCCAAGGTCAGAGAGCTGATTCCGACGACACTCCTGAGAGAGAAAGGAGTAGAGAGCAGGGTGAAGCAAGCCCGTTGGTGAGTCCGATTCGACGCAGGGTGTCTCCGACTCGAGGAATGCGGGAAGCTCCTGGGAACCAAACAGAATGAAGGGAAGAAAATAAATAGCAGAAAAAATAACTAGATCAAAAAAAGAAAACCAAACGAAAGAGAGAATTTAGATAAAAAAAAATAAAAAACGTCAAGCAATGGAGTATCGATCTGCGACCGCCGTCCACTCTAGGCTTGACACTGCGACCAGGGAGGCTGGGCGAGTCGGGCGAGCCAAACAGCAGCGAAGACGGACGATGGGAGAAGGGAAACCAACCGGCACGCAGGCACAAGCCACTCACCTGAAGCATAGACAGAGTAGGAGAAATAGTAGTAACTAGGTAACTAGTAGTAGATACCAGGTAACTAGCTTACCAGGGAGGAGGTCTAGGTACCTAGTATTGGTGTATTCGAGGGTCAATGCTCCAGTTGAAGGGTGCGCACTGCGTACGGCGTAACTCTGCGTATCACGTTCGCCCGCCCAGGATCGCTGCGGCCTATCGATAACGAGATCACCCCTCCCTGCGCAACCAGGGAAAGGCGAGGGGGACAGGGGGGGAAGACCAGGGGAGACAGGGGAGGGGGAAGGGGAGAGGGGGAAGTGTGGGAAGAAGGGCAAAGGATTCAAGGATTTAATGTGGTAATGTGTCAGCAGGTACAGGATTACTCACAGTGAAAATTAAGATGAAGTATTCGAGATTCTTGAAGTAGGTATTCGTGAAGTGACTATTGTTTTGTTGGAAGGAGGAGGTATCTTGTAGGAATGACAGCAACCAGTGCTCTCGGTGGGCCCACGTCTAGTGAGAGAAGAGGCGAATAGTAAAGAATGAGTCAGAATAAGAATAGGAATATATGCAGTTGTGGTGGTATATAGAAACAAATATTGAAAAGAAGAGGAAAGAGAAGATAGTATAGAAGACAGTATTGTGGACTCGGTATAGAGAATAGAAAAAAATATACACTGCAATTCATTCAAGTCCTCGAAGATAACAGGTTGTTATTATAACCATATATTAGACTCACACTCTCACCGCATCACCAGAAGAGCCTATAAGAACTGCAACAAGGTATACGCCCTAGTTCAAGGTTGCACCCCGTGTCCATATGTAGGATATACCTAACCGCTGCGGAAGATACTTGATACGCTGCATGAGATGGATGTACTTGTAGACATGATTTGCTTGATGCAGGGCATTAGTGGTGGACAGGCGTATTATCGGAGCTACCTAGTAGAAAGTACTGAACTAGGTACACTGTTGGGTACAAACTTCTATATAGTATGAGTAGAATAAATTCTAGAACTTCAGGATAACTACTAGTTATAGTATATACTTATTCTACCAGTAATCTATCAATTGAACTAGAGTAATAGGTTAAATAACGCATTGTTTGCTAGCATTCATGATCAATAGAAAATTTTTACAGTCTCAACTTCTGCATATGCAGCCCAAGCCGCTCTCACCGCTACATTCCTCGACAGTAGTCCAAAATAGCTTGACATCGTGGCGAGTGGGGAGTCACTCCGTCAACTCCCCCACCTATTGACTCATTGAATTTGTAAGAGCGCTGTAGAGTGGAAGTAGCAAGTCCCAGAGTCAGAGAGACCGTTCTTATTCAGGTATCACGACGCAGTATGAGGTACACGGGTAGAATACAGAGAGAAAACACAACCCGTCAAAAGGGGGGGGGGAAAGATAAAAGAAGAGACCAGTCCCAGTCTTTTAACCACGAGATCAATCAACACCAAACAACCCGTACCACAAGACCAGACCAGAGTATCCTCAGAACCTCATCTCAAGCGCTTTCTTCCTTGACATAGAGAGGCTCCATGCCATACGTGGCCAGGTACTCCCGGTAATAGCGCTCTCGGTCTTGTTCCTGCATGTCGGTGTATTTCTGCAGACCCCTTGGTCAGTGCGGTTCTCTTTTACTCTCAGACACACACATGGCCGCAAAACATACCTGCTTCTCCGACGCGGTGAGACCCTTCCACTCCTCCGCAGCCCGGGACGTGATATCCAACACAGACATGTGTCGGAAATCTCCACTCTCCTTCCTCTCCTGCATGTAGAACTGGAAGCTGTTACGCAGTCGCTTGACCAGCCGGTCGTCGGTCAGCGGCACCGCTTTCTCTCCCATCTTCCTCAGCCGCGCTCGCGCCGCGTTGGCTTCCTTGATCTGGAGCGGCGTATGCCTCTTGATCCACTCGTTGTAGGCAGTGGCGTTTGCAGCCTTGTTGGACAATCCAGCAGCAACAAGTCGCTAGACCTTGTGATTAGCCTGTAGGGGGGGAAAGGGGGGGGGATGGCAAGAAACCACCTACCTCTCGTTCTTCGGGGGAAATGTTTCGCGCAAGCTCAATCGCCTTCTTGAAGGCCTCCTTGCCATTCTCGGTCAGATTTCGGGCCTCCGGCAGCTTATCGACGACCGCCAGCGGGAAGTACGACATGGGCAACTTCTTTGGCGGTTCCAGCGCGGCTGCCTTGAGCTCCTTCATCTCCCTGCGTATAGCAGCGACCCTCTCTCGCTCAATCTGAGCCTCTGACGGCTGCTTCTTCTTGGGCTTGGGCTTGGGCTTGGGCTTGGGCTTGGGCTTGGGCTTGGCTTTCTCCCCCGCAGCACTCCTTGTTGTCTTTGCTCTAGTCTTGGTTGTGGAAAAATCGGGCTCGGCTTTCGAGCGACTGGTGGTTGTCGAGAAACCATTGGCTAGGATCTTGGGGAGAACTGCCACTGACTTGTGATCTCCAACCGTGCAGCTTGGAAGGCGGACGTTGCTGGCCAAAGAAACGCGTCCGACGGAACTAGGTGCAGCAGCAGCGGCAGCAGCAGCATGCTGGAACACGCACCTGGTGCGATAAGCTAGCCGGAAAGGCATCGTCGCTGTATCAAGATCGTATGTGCTTATAGGGTGCTTGGTTTGTAGTAGATGATGCGTGACGGTCTTGATGGTCAGCGTGGATAGCTTGGTTATCTCGGCCCTGCCGAAACCAGGGAGGCTGGGTCGCGTCCAGCCCCATTCGTTTGGGATTGCCCGCAACGGGACAAGCGTGGCACGTGATGTTTTCTTAAGTAATCACCTATGTGCTACAAGGCGGTGTGTCACGTGTGGTTCTTTTTTGCCATCACGGGATCGTGCCTGGCTTATATGGCCGACTTCAACTAGCAAAACTCCCAGCGCATGGCCAAACCTGAGCTCGCCACCTTGCAACAGATCCAGGAAGCCGAGTAGATTTCAGCCGGAATTGACGCTTTTATGCTGTTGCTTCTTGAAGGGTGATGATCCTGTCAACTATTGACATTCCCTGACCGAGCTTTTTCTCCCGAGTTCTTCAGTAATACTCACTCATCGTTGGCCTGCAACAATGGCTCGCCACGGGGATACTCGCTCACCATCACCTGTAGGCAGCACGTACTCTTCGTCCAAACGGAGTCGCAGAGATGAAGATCGATATGAGAGAAGCAGACGAGATGATGGACGGAACCATCGCAGATCGCGCAGCCCCGACGTATGTCACCACCCTCTGTTGCATAGTCCCTTGGGGTGGTCTCTAACCTGGAAACAGAGGCGATATCGTGACCGTGACCGTGACCGTGACCGCGACCATGACTCCTATCGAAGACGTGACCGATCGTTAGACAGACGCAACGAAGACAGCTACCGGCCTAGCCGACGAGAACGGTCCCGAGACCGTCGCCGATCGCGCGACCGCGATGACGACCGAGACTACCGTCGTCGAAGCCGTGATAGGGATCACCGGAACAGGCGAGATGACTCCCGCGATCGGGCTCGAAGGCGGACAGATGATTCTGCTGACTTGAAGCACAAGTCCAGACGGGATGACAGCCGAGATCGTGCGTCGACCAGGGACGCAGGCCCCAAGTCTAGAGAAGTAAGATATATACCAAGTATCACATTTATTTAACATGACCATCCAGCTAATCAAGTTCAAATAGGCCTCTAAACCATCAACACCCGCATCGTCGACCGCTCCGACAGATGACGAGAAGAGAGCCGAAAGGTTAGCAAAGCTGGAGGCCTGGAAAGCGAAACAGGCGGCCGAGAAGGAACGGAAACAACGAGAGCTTGCAGCAGCCGGAGGCACACGAAGCATCTTGGAAGAAATTGACCGGAAATCCGGCATCTCTCCTGCAATCAGCTCTCCCCAGTCCCCCGCCACTCCTGTTAGCGACGCCACCCCTGCTCCGTATGCTGGTAAATTCGATCCCAAGACGATTGTGAAGAATTCAAATCTAGCTACGTCGGCCACACCCTCCGTGCTGGGGACGGATGTCACCGTCCCTCAGCCCGTCAAACCGGCCACCTTATCTACGAACACCACACAGACCCGGGCCAACAAACCTGTAACTTCTGCAGGTGTCTCTTCTGGTAAGCCATTCCTTATTTTTTATTCTCTTGAAAATACCGCTTACTGTGTTATAGCTCCTCTGAAATCACGTGGGAATTTGAGCGGTTTTGGTCTCGGAACCAAACAGACTGTGGATGCCGAGAAATCGACTACGTCTCGTACACTGGGATTCGGCGAAGAGGAGTCCACACGGAAGAAATTAGAGAGACTGCCCACCCCTCCGCTCGAAGACTCAAAGGATATAACCAATGCCACTGATGCAAATGCCGGCGGCGGCGGCGACGACGACGACGACAATGATGATGATGACGACGATGTCGACATGCAAGACGGCGGTAATGAAGAAGAAGATGCGGCAGCCGCGCGAGCAGCTGCCGAGAGACGGGAGGAGCGTCTTCAGAATCAGAATCTTCAGTCTCAAGATGATATCGCGATGACTGATGCACCAAAGGACCAAGTCGACCCCAACGCAATGGAGGTCGAACCCGCGCCGGAAGAAGAAGAAGAGGAAGAAGAGGAAGAAATTGATCCTCTGGATGCGTTCATGTCGGAACTCACGGAGCCTGCGGCTGGCAGGAAGCTCAAAGGCGCTTCGTTCGCGCGGACTAAACAGCAGGAACCGCAAGCCATGTTTGGTGACGAGGACGACATTAACGTTACCGCGGTTGGAGACGGGGATGCAGAAGACTTCTTGGCAATTGCTAATAAGACTCGCAAGAAGAAAGACATCCCTTCCGTGCATCATGAAACGGTCGAATACGAGCCGTTCCGCAAAGGGTTCTACACAGAGCCTCTAGAACTGGCTCAAATGTCCGAAGAAGAGACTTTGAGTCTACGGCTGGAGCTGGACGGGATCAAAGTTCGGGGTATCGACGTTCCGAAACCTGTCCAAAAGTGGTCTCACTGCGGAATGGGCGTTCAAACACTCGATGTAATCCGAAAACTGAACTACGAAAGCCCGACTTCGATCCAGGCGCAGGCGCTCCCAGCGATCATGTCCGGGCGGGATGTGATTGGTGTTGCGAAGACCGGGTCTGGCAAGACAATCGCGTTCCTCATCCCCATGTTTCGCCACATCAAAGACCAAAGGCCGTTGGACCATATGGAAGGGCCCATCAGTTTGATCATGGCGCCTACTCGAGAATTGGCCACCCAGATCCACAAAGACTGCAAGCCGTTTTTGAAAGCGTTGAACCTCCGTGCTGTCTGTGCGTACGGCGGGGCCCCGATCAAGGATCAGATCGCCGAGCTCAAACGCGGTGCTGAGATCGTGGTCTGCACACCGGGTCGTATGATCGATCTTCTGGCGGCAAACCAAGGCCGAGTGACCAATCTCCGACGGGTGACTTACGTGGTTCTTGACGAAGCCGATCGAATGTTCGACATGGGTTTTGAGCCGCAGGTCATGAAGATCCTGGCCAACATCCGGCCCGATCGCCAGACGGTCTTGTTCTCTGCCACCTTCCCGCGCAACATGGAAGCCCTTGCTCGCAAGACTTTGACCAAGCCGGTCGAGATTGTGGTCGGTGGCAAGAGTATGGTCGCGCCGGAGATCACGCAGATCGTGGAGGTTCGCAATGAAGACACAAAGTTCGTCCGTCTTCTTGAGCTGCTGGGCAATCTGTACTCGGACGATGCGAACGAGGATGCCCGAGCCTTGGTGTTTGTAGACCGGCAGGAATCGGCCGACACTCTCTTGCAAGAATTGATGCGCAAGGGTTACCCATGCATGTCGATCCACGGAGGCAAAGACCAGATCGATCGGGACTCGACCATTGAGGAATTCAAGGCCGGCATTTTCCCCGTGCTGATTGCGACGTCTGTGGCGGCGCGCGGTCTCGACGTGAAGCAGTTGAAGCTCGTCGTCAACTACGACGCACCCAACCATCTAGAAGATTACGTCCATCGTGCGGGGCGAACGGGACGGGCGGGCAACACCGGCACGGCGGTGACGTTCTTGACGGACGAGCAGGAGCGGTACTCGGTCGACATTGCCAAGGCCCTCAAACAGAGCGGGCAATCCGTGCCAGACCCGGTTCAGAAGCTTGTGGACTCCTTCCTGGAGAAGGTCAAGGCAGGGAAGGAGAAAGCCAGCGGGTCCGGATTCGGCGGCAAAGGGTTGGAACGACTGGACCAGGAGCGCGATGCGGCGCGCATGCGCGAACGACGCACCTACAAGACGGGCGAGGAGGGCGAGGAAGAGGAGGAGAAGGAGGACAAGGCCGACAAGACGGAAGAGCGCTTCGCCAAGGCGGTATCCTCCATGCAAAGCGCCGGCACCGCCAGCATCACGCTCCCTGGTGTCCCCAAGGGCATCGATCTGGATGGCAAGATCACCGTGCATCGGACCGAGAAAGAGAACCCGCTGGGCAAGAACCCTCTGGACAAGGTCGGCTCTGCTGTGGCGGATATCCATGCGCGCCTGAGTCGTGCGGGCGTCATGCGGTCCGGCGTTCCTATCGACAACCGCGGTCCAGACGCGGGAGCATTCCATGCTACCCTGGAGATCAACGACTTTCCTCGTAAGTTTCCTACTTTTATATATATACCTGTGTGTGTATATGTGTGTGTGTGTGTGTGCTAACGACTGTAGAAAAAGCCAGATGGGCGGTCACGAACCGGACCAACGTCGCCAAGATCCTGGAAGCAACGGGCACGTCGATCACCACCAAAGGCAGTTACTATGCGAATGGCAAGGAGCCCGGCCCCGGGGAGAATCCAAAGCTATATATTCTTGTGGAGGGGGAGACGGAGCTGGCGGTGACAGACGCGATGCGTGAGTTGATGCGCCTACTCAAGGAGGGAACCATTGCTGCCGTGGACAGCGATGCGCGGGCGCCGGTGGGAGGGCGATACAATGTTGTCTAAGAAAGAGTAAATGCATGAAATGTACACCGCTAAAACAGTACGTACTGGGTAACAAGAGGAAAAAAGAAGAAAGAAAAAAAGAAAAAAATCATAAAAACATAAAAACATAAAAACATCCATTCATTCCCATCTACTCGTGGTCACCGTATCATCCAAGCGTCGATTCGCCCTCTCGTCCCGACTGGCCTCGGACAACGTCTGGGCCTGTGTCTGGGCCTTTTGCGCCGCAAGTTTGCTCCCCAGTTTTCCCTTTCCGGATGTGGCTTCTGCTCGTTTCTACCAAAAAAAAAGATTAAGAACATTTCTTCGGCTTTGAGATTGGTAATTGTATAGGTATATATATCAAGATCTTTTACCTGAGCGGCTAGGGCGGCTTGGGCCCTTGCATCGGCGGTATCTTCAGTCGCGGGGGCGCCTAGTGTTCGGCCCGGGGTGGAGAAGTTCGCTTTCGAAGGGAGGGGGACACGACTTGGTTGCTGTGCCGGTTGTGCTTGTGTTGAGGAAGAACCCAGGACACGACCTGGTTGAGTGAAGGGGTCGGCTTCGCTGCGGGAGGAGCAGAGGTTGCCCATTCTCGTTTCCTGTACTCTGTGGAGCGTGGACTGGGAGGGAGAAGGGTATGTGTTTGCGAGATGAAGGATATAGAGTATAGTATTCTTATGGTTCGCTTATGTAGTAGATAATTGTCTATGTAGGTGCAGTCCGGAATATTGCTGTAGTCGGAGTGACGATCCGGCACGTGGCAGACCGCCTTGTACTGTACCTACCTAGTACCTACCTAGGTACTAGGTAACTAGGTAAGGTACTCCGTAGTGTTGCCTATGGCTTCTCTATGGCTTCTCTATGGCTTCTCTATTATTTAGTACCTACTAGGTAGCTAACAGTCTGCTTGGTAGTTACTAGGTAGTAGGTACTTCATGCTGAGAAGCTATTCTATAATACTAGTCTTATGCTCATAATGCTACTACAAGATACTTTATGTATTACCTTAATTATATATATTATTATCATGGTTAATCATACAACAGTAATATGATTAAATACTAGGTACTCACTAGTTAGTTACTGGCTAACCTCTAATACTGTTGTTAGTACTGGTATACTCGGTTAATACCAGTTACTCCGGTTAAACTGACCGCCCACATATTCTACTCCGTACCTGGAACAGAACTACCATACCTACCTAATTAAGGCACTGAGTACGGGAACCATACTATCATTCCTACTTTACTAACCAAACCTACATGCCACTCCAATGGAGATGCTGCCGCTGACAATCGTGTGGCTCCCATTCGTCCAGCGGGGCCTGGAAGGGGTTTGCTTCGTTTGCGTCGCTGACTAAACCACTTGCTCAGACACCCCGGCTGTCCCCAAGGTCCCCATCTCGAACATTTCCTGTCCAGAAGGTCCTCAGGACCAGCGCCGAAGTAGGCGTGAGGGGAAAAAAAAAAATACGGAGAGGGAGTGGGAGAGAAGAAGAAGCAGAGGAAGGAGAAGAAGAAGAAGAAGAAGAAGAGAGGAGGGGAGGGTTTTTTCTTCCCTCAGGCGTGCCTTTTAACTACCTACTCCTACCCCGCCTGCCTCTTTCGCCGAAGGTCCTCTCTCTTCTTGTCCCTCATACACACAGACGGACCTGTCCACTGCTGCCATTGCCTGCTTGATGTGCATCTGCGTCGCCGCTCGCTACTCTATCGAGACTGGGAACTAGTCTGTGCATCCGCTTGAGGTCCGGGGGATCTTGTTCACTGACCGTTGCTAGATTACACACTAGTCGATCTCTCTCTCTCTCTCTCTCTCTCTCTCTCTCTCTCTCTCTCTTTCTCTACCTGTCACTACCTCCCTCTATAACTACCCTTCTTCTAACCTACGCTCGACTTTCCTCTTGTCGATTCTCCCTCTCTAACTATCCTTCTTCTTACCTACGCTCGACTTTTCTCTTGTCGGTTCTCTGCCATGTCTCAGGCACAAGAGGATCCGTTTTGCTTGGAGTGCCACTGGGAGGCGTTTCATCTGGATAACCGAGCGTTGGTGGACTCGCCGTCGAAGGATAATGCGTCACACATTCAGTGGGATTGTACCGATCATAATACAGCGCTGGACTACTGCGATCTGGAGGAGGCTTGCTGTGACTTCGAGGACTGCACGTTCAAATGCGACTCCATCTGCGACGGGTTTCTCGAATGTGATGCGTCGACTGCCTGCTCCATCTCTCACTGCGAGGATACGCATTGCAAGAGCCCGGGACCCGTGTGCTTTGACGAACACTGCTTTGAAGATCACGATGGGAACAACACGGGCCACGACACCAACGACAGCAACCCCAATGCAGACGACCACGCCCTCGAGTCGCTGTTGGGACTCGGCGCTCCATTGACCTTGGATGCGAATGATCTACTGGCCGCCTCGACGGCAAATGTTCCTCCCTCGGAGGCGATCGCCTCCGCAGCCAAAGCAACGGCAGACGGCCATCACGCGACAGATTTCCTCCCTGTCGTCTCGTCGACACTGTCGGCTCATCAACAGTGCAGTCACGGCCATTATGTTTCGCATCCAGTCGGCTGCCACGGGTTTCCCAAGGAATTTGATAATAGAGATGGCAACCCCGCGGCTCCATCATACAATGACCCCACAAATGTCAATCCGGCAGAGGTCTTTCATATGCTAGGGATGTGCACAGACTTTTCCACCTGTCATAGTTTCCATGTACCTGAAGATCATCAGTGTTCAGCCAGTTTAAATAAGCCGGAGGATGACTCCTCAACCCCTGCGCCCTTTGCCTGTCTCCATCCTCCGAGCTTTCATCATCTCCACCACCACCATGTGAAGGATACGACTGATACGACTACTACTACTACTACTACTACTACTTCTACTACTTCTACTCCAAATACCCATGAAACCGGTACTAGCACCCCCGTCAGAGGAGTCTGCCGCTCGCACCACCGCTGTCGAACCCATATGCATGCACACCCTCACCCGTACTCATCTCACCCCCGACATTCGCGGTCAAGCGTTAGCTCTCATCTGATCTCCAGTCCAAGCGAAACCCCTCCGCCTCTGGACTCTAGAGCGTCGTCAATCCTAGCCAGCCCCAGCTTCCCTCCAGATGACATTGATGTACACATCTGTAAATGGACTAACGTGGTCCACGGGATCAAATCGGCCTGCGGGGCGACCTTCTCGGATGCTGGTGCGCTCCAGGATCATCTCATTTCAAGCCATATGATGACCATGGATGGGGCTAAGGGCAACGGCTACTACTGCCGCTGGGATGGCTGTCACCGTCCAGACGAGCCGTTTTCGCAAAAGTCCAAACTGCAAGGCCATTTCCTGACCCACAGCAACTGTACGTCTTTCCTTTCGTCTTCGCATTCCGATCCCCTCGGGCCGGCCTCCCCCCTGCTGACTTATTATTCTTACAGACAAGAACTTCAAATGCACTGTGTGTGGGAAGTTTTTCGCACGGCAGGCAACCCTGGACCGCCATGAACGCAGCCATCGTGGGGAGAAGCCGTATAAATGCAGGGAATGCGGTAAATCGTTTACAGACAGCAGTGAGCTGAGTAAGTCCCCCTCTCCCCCCTTTTGGTCTCTCAGGGTTCCTCGTCAAAGTTAACGAGTATAGAAACCCACATGCGCACTCACACCGGCGAAAAACCCTTCAAGTGCACCTACCCAGGGTGTAATTTTGAGACTGGCGACGTAAGCTTCTTCTTCCAGAAGGTCGAACTCTGCTACCTGATGTCTAACTTACAGTCACTACAGTCGTCTAACATGTCAAGCCACCGATTGAGTATGATTCTTCTTTCCTTCTCTTTTTTTTTCATGATTCTAGTGCTAATCAAGGGTAGCTCACGGTGAGCGGAAACATAAATGTCACTTTCCGGGATGTAATAAAAGCTTTACCCGACCAGGTATGTTGTCCCTGCTTTTTCCTTATTGCTCTATACTTTACCTTCTCATCTGTCTAATCATTATAGACCAACTGAAGCGCCACCTGAAGACCACCCATAAATACGACGCTCCGGGGTTAATCTCTCCTTCACCACTCTCCCCCCTCTCTCCTCTTGGGGATCAGCTCCCGCTCGCCCCGTTTTCCGCTATCTCATGAGGTAGTCAGGGGGCCTCGCATACCAATCATCTACCACTGACAACCTCCACGACACGAATATAACATCTACACCATAGCATTTAAGACATGCCGGTTCTTTCAAAAATTCGAAATATCGATCCCAGAGCTTCGAAGCTCATTTCCACGGCGTTGCTTGTTCCCTGATCGAGTGATCTACAAAAAGAAGAAAAAACGGCTCAGGATCCCACATCAACGCCAGTGCCCCAGGCCAGCCAGCTGAGCCGACCCACAACAGCAGATCATGGCCCTTTTATCATCTATCCGATGAAGGCCTAATCCGGAATACATGGACTACGTGCCTTGATGCGCATGATGAATACACTACTGACTGGTAGTAACTATTCCCTGTAGCTGAGTACAGCTGTGAGTAGGGGGTCACAATAACCAGATTTATAAACCATCAATAGATGTGTCAAATTATGCACACAGCTGCATTAGATCCTGTAAAGGTACCTTATCCTCCTACCCAAGGTACCTAGTACCCATTAGTTATAAACTACCTAAGTACTCTGTAATGATGTAGTAAAGGTACGTCGACACCTGAAATATCAGGCCTCCACCAAGCGGTGAGGGGTACGGAATGCGGAAAAACTATTCACCTGCAGGCCAATGCAAATCGCAGGCCAGCAAAAGCGACCGTGTCTGATTGACCCCGCCTGGCGGGTAACAAGTGCTGCTACTTTATCAGACTCTTCCATTCTTCCCTTTCTCCTCTCCTTTTCCTCTCTACACCTCCCTCCCCCCTTCATCCTGGTGAGTCGATTCATCGGTCTTCTTAAATATTCTTGAGAAACTCTCTAGAATATTTCGATCCAACGAAGCTTGCTAATATTTACTAGAATTCTTTTCTTCAGTTACCTCTCTCCGCCATCATGTCTGCCCCCGCCCAGAAGTTCAAGGTCGCCGACATCGTACGTGTCCCTTTTCTCTCTTCTGTTTTCTTTCTTCTAATTGTTTCTCTTTATAGTCGCTGGCTGCCTTTGGCCGCCGCGAGATCGAGCTCGCTGAGATTGAGATGCCCGGTCTCATGGCCATCCGTACCCGGTACGCTGCCGATCAGCCCCTGAAGGGTGCTCGTATCGCCGGTTGCCTGCACATGAGTATGTTGTTTTTTTTTTCCTTCTTCTTTCTCTTCATCTCATACAGCAATAAGGCTGACCTTCCAGCCATCCAGACTGCTGTCCTGATCGAGACCCTGACTGCTCTCGGTGCCGAGGTCACCTGGACCAGCTGCAACATCTTCTCGACCCAGGATCATGCTGCCGCAGCCATTGCCGCTTCGGGTGTCCCCGTCTTCGCCTGGAAGGGTGAGACCGAGGAGGAGTACAACTGGTGCCTGGAGCAGCAGTTGCAGGCCTTCGCCAACGGCCAGAAGCTCAACCTCATCCTCGACGACGGTGGTGATCTGACCTCGCTCGTCCACCAGAAGTACCCGGAGATGCTCCAGGGCTGCTACGGTCTTTCCGAGGAGACCACCACCGGTGTCCATCACCTGTACCGCATGCTCAAGGAGGGCAAGCTGCTGGTGCCCGCCATCAACGTCAACGACTCGGTCACCAAGTCCAAGTTCGACAACCTGTACGGCTGCCGTGAGTCGCTCATCGACGGCATCAAGCGTGCGACCGACGTCATGATCGCCGGTAAGATCGCCGTTGTCGCCGGTTACGGTGATGTCGGCAAGGGCTGCGCCCAGGCTCTGCACAGCATGGGTGCCCGCGTCCTGGTCACCGAGATCGACCCCATCAACGCCCTCCAGGCCGCCGTCCAGGGCTACGAGGTCGTCACCATGGAGGAGGCCGCCCCTCTGGGCCAGATCTTCGTCACCACCACCGGCTGCCGTGACATCCTGGTCGGCCGCCACTTCGAGGTGATGCGCAACGACGCCATCGTCTGCAACATCGGCCACTTCGATATCGAGATCGACGTCGCCTGGCTCAAGGCCAACGCCAAGTCGGTGCAGAACATCAAGCCCCAGGTCGACCGCTTCCTCATGCCCAGCGGCCGCAACATCATCCTCCTCGCCGAGGGCCGCCTGGTCAACCTGGGCTGTGCCACCGGTCACTCCTCCTTCGTCATGTCCTGCTCCTTCTCCAACCAGGTCCTGGCCCAGATCGCCCTCTTCAAGGCTGAGGACGCCGCCTTTGGCAGCAAGTACGTCGAGTTCGGCTCCACCGGCAAGAAGCCCATCGGCGTCTTCGTCCTGCCCAAGGTCCTCGACGAGCAGGTCGCCCTGCTCCACCTCGAGCACGTCAACGCCAAGCTCACCAAGCTTACCCCGGTCCAGGCCGACTACCTGTCTCTGGGTGTCGCCGGTCCTTACAAGGCCGAGCAGTAAGTTTTCTTTTTTTTTTCTTTTTTTTTACCCTTTTCTTTTGTTTTTTCAAAAGGAAATACTAACTTTTATAGCTACCGCTACTAAACGGCAGGCATATCGTCGAGATAATCGGCAGATAGATTTCAACATGATTCCACGATGTTACGATTCGAGTTCTTGATCAACTACGAGCTCAAAAGCATTTTTGTCTTCAACGGCAATAAAAGTGGCATAACTAAATGGGAGGGGTTTCAACGTTACATGATGGTACAGGCGCGGGTCCACCTAGGGTAATTGCATTCAACAGTGCATTTGGCGTTAGCCATAATATTGATAGTATACAATAAATTTACTTCGCTTTGGTCAGTGTGTAATCTAGCTATGGTAGTTGAAGATTATCTATTACTTTTCCACTTGATAGTCATCTGTCTAAATGTAGGTACTACTGGGTAATACGGCGGAGCGAACACGGATCCCAAACGGGTAATTTTCCGTCTCCAGCGGAGGAGATGAAGATTGTGCTCCAATCGGACTATTTGCTCGGCTGCGGGCAAATAGCAGTCCTATTCACTCTTCTATTAGCAGATTAAGCAATTCCTAAGGATTTCTGTTAGGTTAGTCATTTGATAGACTCGAAGTTACGCCGCATTACCCCTCGTGACTGCCCCGCGGAGGAAAGTATATAAACCCCCCCCCCTACCCAGGATTTAAAAAGCAAAGAGGATCCTTTCTCATACAAAACATGTGGTCACCGAGAACATCGATTTCAATGTCGTTAGGGAGGCCGCTGGAGGGTAAATTCGGGATTGTCACGGGGGGGTCTAGAGGTAGGTACCTATCTATCTACCTGAACAACCAACCCCCTATCCTTTTCAATTTGTTAATGTAGGCTAAAAAAAAAAAAAAGGAATTGGCGAAGCGATTGCCCGGAACCTCGCGGCAAAAGGATGCTCGCTGCTGCTCAACTTCACGTCCGAGTCATCTCGAAAGCGGACGGAAGAGCTGTGCAACAGTTTGACAGCAACGTACAACATCCGCTGCGTGGCGGTGCAGGCGGACCTGAACAACGGGGCCGAGGCGGTGGCCACCATCCTCGCGGAAGCCAAGAAGCAGTTCACGAGTTCGAAGGGGGTGTTTCGGATTGACGTGCTGGTCAACAACGCAGGTGTCTCGGCGGACCGGACGCTCAACGATCCCGTCAGGGGGGTTATCGACGCCGAATACTTCGCCTGGCATTATAATATCAACGTGCTGGCCCCGCTGCTTCTCACGCAGGCGTGTGCGCCGTACCTCCCTACGGACCGGAGTGGGCGGATCGTCAACATCTCCAGCGTTTCGTCGTCGCTCGGGTTCGAGGGACAGTCCGTGTACGGCGGGACAAAGGCCGCCCTGGAAGCCATGACGCGCACGTGGGCGCGCGAGCTGGCCGACCGTGCCACCGTCAACGCTGTCAACCCGGGCCCCGTCATCGGGGATATGTATTTCAAGACGGGCGAGGGCTTCTGGAACCAGATCCAGGGTTTCCAGGATAACACGCCCGGGGCGAAGCTGGAGGATAACCTGGTCGAGAAGACGGACGAGCTCTCCGACGAGCAGGTGACCCTCATCCGGGAGAAGATGGGGGGGCGTCGTCCAGCGTTTACGAGCGAGATTGCCGGTGTCGTCGGCATGCTGTGTACTCAGGACGGGGGGTGGTGTACTGGCAGTGTTGTCTGTGCTAATGGGGGGATGCGCATGACTCCATAGGACACTTCTTTCTTTCTTTCTTTCTTTCTTCTTTCTTTCAAGTTCTTTCTTCTTTCTTGACTACTGCTCTCTTTCTTCTTTCTGATAGATCTATCTTGTTCTCTTTGTCTTATCAACAATGTTAATCAACAATGGTTGTCAACAATGGTTGTCTTCGGTTGGCAAGGTATAAATAGCAGTACATCGACATCGACATCGATACTCATTAACACTCATCAATACTTATCAACACTCATCAGCACTCGTCACTACTCTCTATATCCCCGAAATGAACGGTACGTACACCCTCCACTCCACCTTCACCCCCCTACCACCTTGGTTCTCACGCGATGAAAACAACGACCCCATCCTCGACATCCCGCTTTGCACCCCGTGCGTGTTCTTCGACATCGTCTACCCCTACAAGAACCAGTACGAGCTTATCTCCCACCTGCGCCGACTCGCTATGTCCCGGTATGCGATCATTGGTGATATCGGCGAGGAGCGGGGGGTTCTCTCCGTTGGTGTGCAGGTTGCTGGCTACTTTCCTACGCTGGATGATATCTTTATAGCTCTCTCGGAGCGGTTGAATCAGTTGCATACCCTGGTGGACATGGGGATTTTGGTTTTTCAACCTCCATTGGTCGATTAGTTTGCAGGGCGAAGCTCTGCAACGTCTTATATATAGTTATAGTACCTACTACCTACTACTTAGGTACCTTGTAGTATAGTCAGTTAACACTATACTTATGGATAAAATAAAGAGAACTATAATATTTTCTATCCATTTAATATGTTATATACTATATAACTACCAACAGTTAATTTGATAGTTAACCACCTAAGTTAACAGTCAGTGATTAGATAAGTGGATAGACGTCATTAATCTCCCGTCAGACAACATTCTAACACTCACACAACATGGCTTCCCCTATGTCTCGAACTGCCCCCTCTGTCATGAAATCAATCCGTCTTCGACCCTGTCTCTTGTCTCGCAGTGCATACCGTGCAATTCCTCGACATGGCATCCATTCACCTACCCTGTCAGTCCGGCCAATGCCGAGGGTACACACAGCGCCACTGAAACTCACGCCGCTGTCTCTTTCTCGAGGATTGACTTCCCTCCAGGCCACTGGAGGGAAATCCGAAGCCGATCTTCTCGTCGAAGAGCTCCAGGAATTGTACCACTCCGCCCTTCCCCCCCTTCCCCCCTAGACAGACAGACAGAATAAGTTAAAGCTAACCAAAAAGGTACGAGGCAGCGAAAGACGAATTCGAAATCGCAACCGAAAGCACCGACTCGGCAACCATCTACGCCGCCTCGGACCGGGAATCCGCTCGCGACGCCCTCAACCAGCTCGTCTCCGTGTACACGCTGTACACGACGCCCATTGAAGTGTCGGGGTCTCCCACCAAGGTAGACGGCGCACAACAGCAAGAACAGGAGAACCAGATCGAGGACCTCGGCGAGACGGATCAAGGACAGCTCATCACCACCAACTATGATCCCACGGAGATCGCGCAGGGGGTCCGAGACGAGGTCAAGAAGAGGGTGGGCCATCGCTTGAGGGAATTGGTCAATGCCGTTGAGAACCTCGAGGAGAGGGCGCATGCGGAGTAGCTTTGTACCTTATCTGTTACTGGTAGTATAAGTAGTAGAAAGTCTGTCTTGTCTGTATGTATATTCAGTGCAACCTCTCTTTCCTACTAGATGTAAAAGCAGCTCTTGTTTATAGAACCAAATATCAGAGCAGTCTTCAACAAGGTCCCATAACTCAGTTGGTTAGAGTGTGGTGCTAATAACGCCAAAGTCGTGGGTTCGACCCCCACTGGGACCACCACTTCTTTTTTTTTTTCAACATTATTCTTTTTAGTAGTATATATATATATATATATATATATATATATATATATATATATATATATATATACATACACTTCATATACTTCTTTAATTATTGTTAGATTCGTCTCTCTTAACCATCTACCAAGAAACCTATATGCTCTAGTTATATACATGCTTGACTCCTTTGATGCCGCAAAACGAACAGAAACAAAAGCTATTCCCACTTCTCGAACCTCCAGCCCGCCACATCATCCTCGATGACCAGCTTCAGCGTCGTGAAGACGATCTTCTCGTACATGGCTCCCGCGGCCGCACGAGCCTGTTTATGCCAGGGTCCTGTACCGCCTAAACGAGCATCATTTCTATCTCGCCAGATACCTTAACATATCAGCATATCGGCATATTCTGTATGGAGTAGCTGAAGGCTAATACAAGATGAGAGCTAATACTTACAAGTCGCCAGGTTTCGATTCTCCGCATCTTTACTTCCAAACCAATACTTGAGCAGACCGCCGCTCGCGGTAGCTTCCTGATGGGAATGGGCGTCCAGTTCGTGCAGACGAAGGAGGTCCGCGTCGCCCTTTAAAGTGGATCGGAACGTGACGACGTAAAACGCCTGTTGTCGCCATTGATAGGTTTCCGAAAGGGCAAGCTCGCCAAGCAACCCGAACACGTCGTCCCAGTTGAACGACTCCTCGTACCCTGCTGTGGCGTAGTCGGCGCGCGAGGGGGTGAAGATGGTCAGCGCCTGTGCGAGGAGGCGGTTCGGCGTGTCGAGTCTGTCCAGATCCAGCAGGTGCAACGGGTCGTTATACGGCGAGGCGATGAGCCGGTGGTCGGAGAGGGTGGTGATGGCCTTCCTTTGGTCTGGTGAGAGGAGGGGGAGGAGCTGTAGGGACGCCGCGGCGTGGAACTTGAGGGCGTCGTACTCGGCTGTCACTAGGCTGTGGTGAATGAGAGGGGGGGGTTGTTTCGTCGGTGCTTGAGACTGAGATATGTCGTTGCTGACTGGCACGTCGCTGATTCCGGGGGCCATAGTGGTATGGTAGTATTCTATATGCTGCTAAATTGATGGTTTATAGATAGAGACATGTATGGAGTGACAATGGGAATCTTTGTTCTAAGGTATAGATAGGTATTCGTACTCCCCAGAGAACTAGTAGAAAAAAAGACCTAGAATAGAGATACACCGCTGTTCCATCCAATTTCATTCCTTTGAGCACTTCCAGCGGCAAATCACGCAATATTCGGTGCTCACACCGTGTCACGGTAGCGAACCACGGACCCAAACCGTTGTCAGGTACGGAGGTCAAATCACAGTACATTGGATCATTGAATTGATTACTCTAATACGGAGTAATGTATCCAGTGTCTGTTCTAGATTTCAAACACGTATCTGCCGTACCTGACCCTAGTTGGAGGTAGTATGTACTCTGTAGCACTATAGTTGTTACTATACTAGTTGCTAGTTGGGATGATATCCCTGCACTCTGGCGGTGAGACGCGTCTCCTGCTGTCTTTCAAGATGATTAGAATTCATCCTGTTCTACTGGTTTGCTTATTGATCACGTTAGTAACTTAATAATTGAACAATGAATTGAGTTTTCGGGTCTGAATTTTCTACGAACCTTCGATTGAACCGTGGGTCGGTTATAATCGGTAGAACAGAGATTAGACATACATAGATGTAGGTCTAGATGTAGGTCTAGATGTAGAGTACATAGTAGCTTTAATTAAATATCAATACTGCTTGATAGTGCTTGTGATATTTTCTAATATCCGTGAATGGTATCATACAACCGAGAACGCCAGTAATGCTTTTCCTCCCAAAGGGGATTATTTCGGAAGCGGAGGAGGCGCCATTTTGCCTTCACCCGTGTCCACCTTCTTCTTGGGCGGCAGAGCAGGGACCTTGAAGCCTCCATTCTCGCCAGAGCCGGCGGCCGGAGTGGTGCTGGTTTGGCCGCCAACCTGGGTGAACGTCCCGGACCGGAACCAGCGGTCTTCCTCCGCCTTGCGTTTGCGGTTCAGCTCGGCCTGGACCTTGGGGTCGACAAGCTCTAAGCCCTGCACGGGGGTAAAGGAAATAGTGCTCGCTGTGCCGGCCGTGCCCGTCAGGGTCGGGCCCACGCCCGAAGTGCGCAGACCCTTGGCCTGGAGAACGGTGGCGGTGCCGCCGGCACCCTGTCCAAAACCCCGAAGCGACGAGGCCGTACCGCTGACAGGCGTGGCGGTGCCCCAGCCCTTGTTCGACTTGCTCAGCTTCGCCCGCGTCCGCTGGTCGATCTGGATGGCGCGGATCCGCCCATCATTCTCTTGCCCGATCATCCCCAGTCCGACAGTCCCCTCGCCGGTACCGTACCCAACCTCGGCCTCCTCCTTGCCGAAAGCGACTCGGTTCTGGGCCTTGCGGAGCTCTGTCATAGCAATCGCTTCTTTAGCCTTTCGGGCTCGGCGTCCGCCTCTTTTCCGTGAAGGTTTGTCGTCTGGCGCCGGGAGCGCTTTCACCCCAGAATTCGGCGGGGGCTCCGTCAGTTTGTCCAGCCGCTGGAAGCACTGCTGCTTTAGATCCTCGCCCAGCGAGCCGTCAGTGCTGAATCCCGCCACATCTGCCCGGGTGGCGAGGACCATCTTCGACGAGACAATACGGATCGCCTGACGCTTGAGGTCGTTGGGAATTCCCTGGATGAGCTCTGAATCGTAGAGAAAGCCTTGTGCCCGGATGCCGGTGTTCGTAGCAAAACCCAGCCCGTCACGTCGCCGCGAGCCCTGCGCTCCTAGATTGCACGCGGGTATCTTGGCCAGCTCCCGCAATCCACCGGTCTGGTTGAGGAACTGGGCTGCCGTCTCGGGCCCAATCAAGGCTGCCAAGTTTGGCGCAATTTTGTTCATGCGTGACTGGATGCTCTCCGTGAGCGCCCTCCGTTCACGATCCAGCCTCAGGATCTTCTCGCACGTATCCAGAACGGCTTTTAGCTCCGACTCGCTCATCTCCCGCCCCCGCGTAGTTGTGCCCTCCACCGCCACCACCATCAGCGACGGGCCATCGAGGACCGACTTCAGCGGCACGCCGACCATGTTCTCCGCCGAGGAAGATAGCGCTTTGATGTCGTCCAACGGGCCATTCTTCAGAATAGCCACCGTCTTTGCGTAGTCGATCGGAGTTGTCACCAGAGTCTCAAGTTCCGGGAACCGAACCGAATAATGGTCGCGTAGTACCTTGTGGAGACGTGTGAGCTCGTCCTGTGTAGATATCGCCGTCTCAAACTCATTCGTGGCCTGCGGAGGCGCCTCCTCCATCACAGTTTCCTCCTCTTCCTCCACTCCTCCTCCTCCTTCGCCTTCATCTTGAAGGTCATCGATGGCCTCGAAATCTTCATCGTCCTCCTCAAAATCCCGCAGTAGGTCCTCGGCGTTCGACATCTTATTTGAAAATGCCCCAGAAAACACGGCTTGAGACTGCGACGACCCGCTGTTCCAAGTCCTTCCTGAGAGGTAGCAGATGGCAAGTCGAACTTGGAGAAAGTTGCTTCTTCAGACGATGAGCTCACGGGCTGCTTAGTCATCCAGGACCGAGGTTCGGGTGGCGGTTTGTGCCCCAAGCGCAGATCTGCGACTTCTCTTTCTTTCACGATCGTGACGGGCGTTTCTACAGCGACAACCGGTCTTGGGGACGAAGAACGGTTGAGTTCTTTTTGTTTTCGACTGGGAAGTACCTCAATATTAACAGGTGGTTGACTTTGTTTTGTTGTTTTGGTCGAGGGGTTACTTAACTGGCCCTACCTACCCGAATTTGACCTTTTCGAACCCCCCCCCCTAGCAGCTTGCTATACATACACAACCTACGATGGAGTCGTCTCGTGGCCCGCCGAGGGTCAAGAACAAGGCTCCGGCCCCGATCCAGATCTCAGCGGAGCAGCTGCTCCGTGAGGCGGTCGACCGGCAGGAGGAGGCCCTGCAGGCGCCCACGCAGCGATTTGCGGACCTCGAGGAGCTGCACGAATATCAGGCGCGCAAGCGGAAGGAATTCGAAGACTATGTACGCCGTAACCGCATCAATATGAACAACTGGATGCGCTATGCCGCATGGGAGCTGGAGCAGAAGGAGTTTCGACGGGCGAGATCGATCTTCGAGCGTGCGCTGGACGTCAGTGCCACGTCGGTGGTTCTGTGGATTCGGTACATCGAGTCGGAGATGAAGAACCGGAATATCAACCATGCGAGGAACTTGCTAGACCGTGCGGTGACGATCCTGCCGCGGGTGGATAAGCTGTGGTACAAGTATGTCTACATGGAGGAGACCCTGGGGAATATCCCAGGCACCCGGCAGGTGTTTGAGCGGTGGATGTCGTGGGAGCCCGAAGAGGGTGCGTGGAGTGCATATATCAAGCTGGAGAAGCGGTACAGCGAGTTCGACCGGGCGCGGGCCATCTTCCAACGGTTTACGGTCGTTCATCCCGAACCACGCAACTGGATCAAATGGGCTCGGTTCGAAGAAGAATACGGAACCAGCGATCTGGTGCGTGAGGTTTACGGTGTGGCCGTGGAGACGCTGGGGGAGGACTTTATGGACGAGAAGCTCTTCATCGCGTACGCCAAGTTCGAGGCGAAGCTGAAGGAGTATGAGCGGGCCCGCGCCATTTACAAGTTTGCCCTGGACCGACTGCCGCGGTCCAAGTCGATGGCTTTGCACAAGGCGTACACGACCTTTGAAAAGCAATTCGGCGATCGGGAAGGTGTGGAGGACGTCATTCTCTCCAAGCGCCGGGTTCAGTACGAAGAGCAGCTCAAGGAAAACCCCCGGAACTACGACATCTGGTTCGATTTTGCTCGGTTGGAGGAGACCGCGGGGGATCCGGAGCGTGTGAGGGACATCTACGAACGTGCGATCGCCCAGATCCCACCCTCACAGGAGAAGCGCCACTGGCGACGCTACATCTACCTTTGGGTGTTCTACGCCCTGTGGGAGGAGATGGAAAGCAAGGAAGTCGAGCGCGCGCGCCAGATCTACCAGGAATGCCTGAAGCTCATCCCGCACAAGAAGTTCACCTTTGCGAAGATCTGGCTGCTAAAGGCACAATTTGATGTTCGGCAGATGGACCTTCAGGCCGCTCGCAAGACCCTAGGCCAGGCCATAGGTATGTGTCCCAAGGACAAGCTCTTCCGCGGCTATATCGACCTCGAACGCCAGCTGTTTGAGTTCCTTCGGTGTCGGACCCTGTTCGAAAAACAGATCGAATGGAATCCCTCCAACAGCCAGTCCTGGATCCAATATGCAGACCTTGAGCGCGGTCTGGACGACGCCGAGCGGGCGCGTGCGATCTACGAGCTTGGGATCGAGCAGCCGACGTTAGACATGCCGGAACTGGTCTGGAAATCATACATCGACTTTGAGGAGTATGAAGCCGAGTACGACCGGGTACGGGCCCTGTACGAGCGCCTCCTCCAGAAGACAGATCATGTCAAGGTGTGGATCAACTACGCTCGGTTTGAAATCAACGTCCCCGACGAAGAAGAAGAAGAGAAGGAGGAAGAGGAGGAGAGGCCTGTTAGCGAAGAAGCCAAGCGTCGGGCCCGCAAGGTGTTTGAACGCGCACATAAGGTTTTCAAGGACAAGGATCTTAAAGAAGAGGTACGTAGCTCTTCTTTCCAATTTTCTCTTTTTTTTTTCTTTTCCTTTCCTTTCTTTTCTTTTGTCCTTTTTGTACTAATGATTGCAGAGAGTGGAACTGCTCAACGCATGGCGGTCCTTCGAAAACACGCACGGATCGGCAGACGATATGGACAAGATCGAGAAACAGATGCCTCGCCGGGTCAAGAAGAGACGCAAGCTGGACGACGACCGGTACGAGGAGTACATGGACTACGTCTTCCCTGCGGACGACCAGTCGGCGGCCAATCTGTCGAAGCTGCTCCAGCGCGCTCACCAGTGGAAGCAGCAGCAGGGGCAGGCGAGCTAATGGAGGTTATTCTGCGCTGTATAGTAATAGTCATAGCAATACTACTCATGGTATGGAGTCAAATAAGTACGAGTACTATCTACAGGTGTCTACAGGTATCTACATACGTATAGCAAAGCTTATCACTATGAGTTACTCCGTACTCTGCACTCTGCACAAACTCAAAGTATTCTGCTGGCTTGGTTGCGCATTGATCTGCACGAATATTGGAATCCGAAGCAATAAGAATCTGCAGGCAATCTCCGGAGCATACCTGTCATACAGTTTGTTTATAATTAGGTGCATTGCGGGGCGCATATTCCGGATCGATTATTGCCCATGTGTCAGACACTTACTACATAGTATGTACGGAGTAGTAGACTCTAGTAACTACGGAGTATGTACGGAGTACTATCTACTACGTAAGTACTCCAGAAATAGCCAAACGTGGCATGTTAGACTCTGTAACCACTACTTCTCCGTGTTGTGTCATCTAATGATGATATACCCAGGGAAAAATACTCCGTAGTTAGTAGTAGTTAGTACAGCCAGGGGTATTCAGGACCGTAACTATAACTAAGCGCTGTCATCAGCCACCGAGTCTGAAGATAGCAAATCAGACAGGCTCGTTTGGTGATTTCTGACGACCTTTGATCGTGATGAAGAATGGAGTACGAGGTCATATCTTCACGGCCTGCAGCCCATACTCATGCCCCAATTTTGATTCCATCGACTCCATCGAGGGCAGAAACGAGACCGGTGGTTGGGGAAAACAGGGCGACTCCACATCCTGGTCAACCGTGGATGAGTCGTTGTTTAACCTGGTTTTGAGGATTTTACCCCTGGCTGGTCAGGAGTGTGTCGCGTCTTGCAAACAAACCGCAACAAACAAAGTACTCCGTAGTCCGTACTCCACGAAGCAGTAATAGTATAATTATCTCCATGAGGAATCGATCAGAGCAAGAAATAGTCGAGTTTTCTGTTTGTTTTCCCTTCCTGTTAGTCTCTGTAATGACAGGAGAAAAGCAGCAAACAAACTTCAGGAATTGCCCTCCGTCAAGTGGATTCACATCTTATCAAACTTCTCATAGGACGCAAGGCGTATGTAGTAAGTAAAGGTCTCCCTAGTAATGCCTTCCCCCTCTCTCTTGGATGACGACAGCGGAGAAGACGGAGTACGGAGTAGTCTTGACTTCTAATAGTAGCAGCAGTTGGTTAGTTATTAGTGAGGATTCAACTAATGCTTAATATCTCTCATAACGTGATCTCGACGAAGCGCCAGAACGGCTTAGCGCAGCTGGCACCAAAACTTCATCCAGATCATCCTCCTTTCCCCCCCCCCCCTTCTCGAGTCGTACCCTTTTTTTTTCCCTATCATTATTGTCGTCCATGTGCTGTGCACGTCTTCTGCCTGAGAAACCCCTCTATTTTGTTTGTTCTTTCTCTATTTCTTCCGTATCTCTCGCCAGGAATTGCCCTTGCTATTTTTCTTGCCAAAAACCAATCCACCGTGTACGGAGGTCTAAGCTGGGCCCGCTGTTTCACCTTCCAACCTCGCCGCCCACGCTCTCCTCTCCTGAGTGAGACCAGGCCCTCTAGTCTCGCACCCTCCCTTTCCGTATGAGAAGGCTGGGAAATCGTACTCTATCTATTCCCCTCAGTTAGCTGGGGACTCAGCACCACGTCCAGATCTGACGCTCGTTGTCTCGCTCGTTCTCTTCCACCCAACGGTTGACCTAGGTCGCGTTCTTTCGTTCTCTCTGCTGGTTTGAAACCACTGCGCCTGGGGGAGGGTTGCGTCTCTCGCTTTATCTTTGCCTCTCACTCCCTCGCTGTCTCTCCCTCTCTCTCGCTCTTGCTCTCATCTTGGGAGGGGCGCCGTTGCCACTGATCTTTACTTTGATATCGAGACTGGTCTGCTGATCTTCGCACGTTCTCTCTCCATCATACGACTTGGCTTTTGAGGCTAAGGCTATCGGGTAGCTAGCTGGTCTATGGTGGTCCACTGTTCGACAAAGTTGTCTGCCAGGAAATCATCGTGTTCAATTGATAATCCTGTACCTTGATGGGGTTGCTTGCCTCTGTTTGCATGTTCAACCTTGGGAGAATAGAGTCTTGGTGACCCGCGCAGCCTTTCGACAGAGCTGTTGTGATATTTTTTTGGGGATATTCCGATTAACCATGCAACAATAGTACTCTGGCAGTTACTCTTCTCTCTCACTCTCTGACTATTAAATTATACCTCTACGATCATTCCGGCTGGTACTTGGTTTTTTCTTCTTCTTTTCTTCCGATCATTTTCTTCGCCCACCATGGTTGTTCCGACTCCGCCCTTCAATTTAACGGGCCACTGCTCGGTCATCTATGACGAGAAGCTTTTCGTTTACTCTGAGAATGGGTTCGCCTCGATTCCTCTCAAACGCAATGGTACCTGGTCAACGCTCGACACGGGAGTGGCCGTCTCTGGCGCGGCCTGTGTCAAGGGGGCCCTCGAAGGCGACGGTGCAAACGAGGCCTTGTACGTCGTCGGCGGTACCAGTTCCTCTTCGAAATACTCCGGTTTGCAGAGATACTCGTTCTCCGCCACTGCCTGGGAGACCATTACCCCCGCCACCGAAGTGACCAAGGATCGCGTTTACCACGGCGCGGTCTATCTGAACGCAACCGCCTCGATCCTGGTATATGCAGGCTCGCAGGAGGACGAATCTACGGCTTCGACACAGACATTCGTCATCTCGACAACATCGCCGTACACCGTGCTGTCGTATGACTCGAATGGAGCGCCGCCGGCGACATTGCCAATCCTATTGCCCTGGAATGGGCATGAAGCTGCGTTAGTGGGAGGGTTTTCCACCACAGACGACATTTACTTATTCAACGCTTTCTCGGGCTGGCAGAACTCGAGTATGTCTCTGACAAGCGCTCCGTCGAGCGGTTACAAGTCTGCCCTCCTCAGTAGTTCGAATGGAAGCAAAATCCTCGAGACCTTCAACATGGACGTCTCGCCAAATACGGTCACGAGTGTCGTGCTCCTGAATCCCGGTGGTACCCCCGCCAGCCCCGGCGAAACGCCAGGGGCTTCGTCGTCCACACGGAAACGAAAGCGCGAATCTACTCTCAGCGACTATCCAGCGTACGATGGGACATATGCATCGACGACCAAATGGACCGAGTATTCCCTTGCACAGGGGGATGATGGCCTAGTGGTGCTCTCTAGCGGGGAGAGCAACGATTCGATAACGGTTTTCAACCAAACCTCGAACAGCTGGGTCAATGCAACCAAGCTGTTTTACGGAGATGAAGCCGTCCAACAGATTCTCGGATCTACCACCTCAAGCGCGTCCGCTTCCGCGTCAGCGACGGCAACAGGCAACTCGACCGCATCGGCGACCGGGAGTTCGAGCAGCAGTGACACGGGGACGATTGTTGCGGCCACGCTAGGCAGCGTTTTAGGATTTGCCGCCATCTTGATTGTCCTGCTGCTGTTTCTCAAACGCGTCAAGAACCAACGGAAACAGATCGGACAACGCAATGGCGGCGCCAAGAATGAGGACCGATTGAGTTTCCAGGATCAAGGCATCGAGCCTCTGGCCAAGTCGGCATATCCTATGGCCAAGACCGCTGTTCCGGTGTCCGCAGTATCCATGGACTCTCTGGCAATCTTCTCCGGCACGGCAGGTGACGAGAAGCCGGCGGCCAAATCTGCAGGCCGTGGGTATCTGAAAAACAGCTCGCTATCCACGGTCCAGTCCGGAGAAGAGATGCCCGTCGCGGGCGCAGACAGGACGATACAGCAGCCATCGATCACTGTCTCGCCTATAGGTGGCGGCGGCGGCGGCCGTGCCGGCGACCGCCGGACCGACGAAGGATGGGCCCGTTATTTCCAAGACCACAGTGTGACCAACCTGGTGGGCGCGGGCTCTGCACGGGACACGATGTCGTCAGAAGTGACCAAATCGGATTACAGAAGCAGTGCCTGGCCGATGTCGAACCTGAAGCCGCTCAACTTTGGGTTCCTGGAAGGGCCGCAGCCGCTGGGACAGGTGACGACCGGCAGCCCGACGACGTCGTCGGTCCCATCCGACCGAAATGGCCGTAGCCTCATCATCCCGCAGAGCCAGTCGGCGCGTATCTCCAGTGCGAGTTCCGTGAGTATTCTCTCGGACGAAAGCGAATATGACCGACGGGACCAGTTTTCCTCGGGCATCCCCGCTAGCATCCATGAAGAAGACGCGCAGTACCTGGATCCGCACCATACGAGCTGGCTGGGGCGGCCGCCCAGCAGCAGCTACAGCCGGAGCTACTACAACCGGGATACCCAGCAGATGTCGACGTACGACCCTCGAATACCGGGGGAACAGTACCAGGTCGGTGCGCATTCGTATGGCCGCCAGTCCAGCATGTTGATTCCCGACGATTTCGATGAGCCCCCGAGACGAAGCAACATCAACTCGGACATGAGCTGGCTCAATCTACACGCCACCAAATGACCCTCTCTCTCTCTCTCTCTCTCTCTCTCTCTCTCTCTTTCCTCGGCTAGATGGTGTTGTGGAAAAATTTTGTGCTTGTACAGCTGGTTTCTTCTGTCGATTTGGATATCCCATATGTTTTGGACATGCATGAGCATTGTTAGCGTTCATGTACTATTGTATAGTTAGATTAATTATGACTTGTCATAAATAAATAGTATAGCATAATTATTAAGCTATGTAAATTAATTGTGCTGCCTGGGATAGGATACTAACTAACTAACTACTAGTAGACTTAGGGCCTACTCGGTAAAACCACCTAATTGCCCCTACTAGCCTGAGGTTGTTTGCTTGCTCGTGGCTTACGTGTCCAGGGTCTAAGCGAGATATACTCTGTACAGTCTACTCCGTGAATCTTCTAAAATATCATATACTAGTTATACTACTTACTAGTTATATAAGTAGGACTACATATATATTTATGTAGAAGATAATTAGAGTACTTATTACTTGTGTTGGAGTACTACATAAGTATGTACAGAGTAACTAATAGGGACTAGGTAACAATGTACTAATTATGTATATGTAGTACCGTAACAGGAGTACGCGTTCGGTGACGTGGACCGGCACGTTTAAGTGGACTTGGCATCTGGGACGAACGGACCCTGGCGGGCGTACGTGGATATCCACGTTGCGGTGGACCAGGAGTTGATACGGAGTACATAGTAGTAAGGTACGGAGTACCTAGGTAGTCAACTAGTAGTTAGATAACTAGATAACTAGTAGTTAGTAGTTAGCAGTTAGTATGCTCGGGAGTAATTACGGAGGAGGACGATTCGAGGATAGTTATAGAACTAGTACTATCATTTAATTACCTACTCTACCACTCAGTGCTTGTGTATTACTACGATATACTACCTAGGTCTTCACCAACTAGATCAGGTACTGTACGGACTCTACGGGACTCTATTTACAAGCTTACTACCTAGGTACATAGTAGTATTAGAATTAGTACCTAGTACCTAGTAGTATTAGAATTAGTACCCAGTACTTTTTTACTATACCTAGGTAGATTAGTACCTTAGTATATACTGTATACAATATAACCATACTATACAATACTCTTACCTACTAGGTACTCTCTGTATTCTTTGAAATCACTAGCCATGTCAGGCTAGTGACCAGCCACGCATAAGCATACGCATCCGAACCCTAAGTGCTCCGTATCGAGTCTCACTAGTAGTAGTATATCCAGGGCTCTGAAATACCCCGTCGATCCTATTCACACCGGTGCAAGTGACACCGACAGGAATGTTGTAGGACATATTGAACCCCCCCCAGAACAACCACATCTTCCCTCTACAAATATGCCGATATACTCGTGTTCGTAAGGCTGAGATCGGCTGGAAAAATCGAGAAGGTGGTCGATCGCCTTGGCTATCTTGGCGTCAGGGTCTTGAATAGAGTACTACCTACATAGGTAGGTATTACTAACTAGTTAGGTACATAGGTACGGAGTACATAGGTACACTGTAGTTCTGTAGGTACTAGGTACGTAGTAGTACTGTCAAGCGGATTTACGGAATACTCCGTAGGCAGGGTCACTCAGCTGCAAGGGACCTGGACACGTTCGATCTCAAGGATGAAACAGTCGGAAGACGGACGGAATAGCCAGTCACTACTAAAGAGAATGTCGAGCGAGACTCCTTCTAGGGACAGGCTATTTCGGGCGGTGGATTGCCATACGTACGGCGCCCCACTCCGTTTGAAGGGTCTGAGGCGCTTACGTATGCTTGTCAGATATGATTTATACTGTACGGAGTACATCGGTGGATGTAGTACTCTAATAGGTAGGATATATAGGTAGTTAGATACTATGTGGTACAGAATAAACAATAGAGTATATCTAGTACTTATTATGGTACTAGAAAAGCAATATTCTTATTTATATTCTTATTCTTATATTCTTTTTTTTAATAATCCTGCGGGGCTGCACGAGCCGCTCAAATTTGGTACCTAGGCTGACAGACAACAGACTATGTAGTAGTATGCGGCATGACGAGCTTGATGACGACTGTACGGAGTATAGGAGTATACATAGAGGTATGGAATAGATACTACATAGTATAAATATGGTTGATAATAAGATATATTATTACTACCAGTATTCTACACATTATTCTCTGGTTACTAGGTATGCCTGTACTTACTACCTAGGTCTAGGTAGGTAGTAATACTGTAATGCGTAATGCGTAATGCGTAATACTAATACGTAAAAATACGCGGTAAAAGCTGACGACAGGGACACGTACCAGATGATGCCGCTAAGGCGCTAAGCACCAGGACCCCTACACTAGCCAGATGAGGATGATATTCTTTCTGAGTTAATGATTCTTTCTTTGAAATAATATATGTAGTAGATATAATATATATATATGTATAATATATATAGATGTAGATCTAGATGTAGATGTATATATATTAATTAATTAATTAATAATCTATCTCAGTATCTAGTATCTAGTAATGTCAGGTACTTCGATATACTCTAATCACTGTGGAGTGGTTCGTACGTATTCGCGGCTGTCCCCATCGGCTGGGGGGGAACCAGAATCGGATAGTCTTTCTATATATGCCGTGCTGGGGGGAGGCGCTACTCCTGTACCCTGAGATATATCTTACTTTTCCTTCTACCTTTCATCATCTGTCACTTGCATTCATCTGCATTTCTGCATTCATCTACGCCATCATCGAGTCCTTTCATCCACTCTCTCTATCTCTATAGTCAGGTGCTTGTCCGCTGGTCGGTCTGGTCCAGATTACAACTCGCTTTATCTATACTATAGGCAGCTGGGTAATCATCGACGGTAATAAAAGTGACGGTAAGTCATCAACTCGATGGGTTGTGTTTTATCCTGTCTTGCTCATTCCTCCTCTTAGAACCGTCCAGGTGATTCTTCATGATTGTGTTAAACATGTCGGGCTGCAAGACGAGTATCGTGTCGATACTGAACAATGACGACCATCCGTCGTTTGCCGTTCGATCGACCTCGATGCTGTCGAAACAGCCTTCGTTATATGGACAGCAACAGCAACAGCAACAGCAACACCACCACCAATATCATCATCAGCAGCAGCAGCAGCAGCAACAAACTCACCATCATCACCATCACCACCACCATCATCAGCAACAAAGATATCAACATCGTCCGGATTACTATTCCTATGCAGAATCGAACCGTCTCCCGCGTCTCTACGAGTCCATCCCCTCGTCGGAAACCACCCAGCCGCTCTCCCCCGGCTCCTCGGACTGTTCGCACGACTACCGGCCTAGCGGCTACGCTCCCTACCATCATCACCATGCATTCCCATACCTGCCTCCCGTAATCACTTCCTCGTCATCGCCCGTGTCAACACTGGCTTCCTCCTTCCCAGACCGACGCTACGGGCTCCCCTCGCCGCCGGACCCGCCCTCGCCGCAAGCGTCCCTGGTGAGCACAACGAGCACGGGGAACACAACCCACCACAATAGCAACAGCAACGGCAGCAGCAGCAGCAGCGCCAACCAAGATTTGGCCTCCCGTGGCACCCGCAAGAACAAGTATCCATGTCCCTACGCGGCGTCGCACGGGTGCTCCGCGACCTTCACAACCTCCGGCCACGCCGCCCGCCACGGCAAGAAACACACGGGCGAGAAGAGCGTCCACTGTCCGATCTGCAACAAGGCCTTCACCCGCAAGGACAACATGAAGCAGCACATCCGCACGCACCGCACACACCCGGACGAGGTTGCCTTGGGAATCAAGCGGAGTCCCGGACGCTCACCTTATTAACATCTTCCATCTTTTTTTTTTTTTTTTTTCTATCCACTTTATGTGATTGAACTCCTATAAAATTCATGTGTTTTAGCGGACTCATCCCCTGTGATACCTCTGTTGATTCTCGACAGTCTAATTGTTCGACTGGTCTGTCATTTCATCCTGTTATACCATTGCATGTGCGGCGTTGGATTGGCCTAGAGCGTTTTCAGCCTTCCTTTCCTTTTTCTTCTTTTCTCTATCATTTTCTTCTTATATATATTATACCTGAGCGATACGTATATATGCTTGATGAGGTATATACGGTCTGTATGTCTTACTGTACATGGAAGACATGACAGATTTGGCAGAAAATAAATAGTACCTGAATAGAACCATGGTTCACTGATCCAAACATAAATAAACTACTTGCTCTACTCTTACTCTGGTCTAACTAATGATTCTATTCCAACTTACTCCTTACTCCAACTATACTTGGTGTCTATACGGAGTAATCTGTACTGTCTCCTGCAAGATGACGTAACAATCAGAATCAGGTTCACTCGAATAATAAAAGAATCATGGTTAGGTACCCGATGAATCTGAGAAAATGGGGTGATTTGCCGTCGACGTCATATACAATATCATATAAATCTAGTATCCTCACTAACAGTCTTGTTCTGTGTTTCAGTGCTTCTATCTCCCTATTCCTCCTACCATACGGAGTACCTAGGTAGTAACTAGTAACTACCTATCTACTAGTTATCCTACCGCAATCCTCTAAAATCAGCCAATACCACAGCTGATAAACTCCTAATCGAATCAAGGCTATCCTCCAGTCATCCTCCAATCCATTCAGCCTTAATCAGAAAGTCTCACAAGGCTCAAGCGCCCAGTCACGGCGCCAGCTGAAACGTGCCGGGCAAAACGACCGACGTCACGGTCTGCCTTGCCCCGCCCTCGTATAAAACAGACGTCCCCTCCTTGAAAACCTCACACCACTCTTCTTTCATCCTCGACTTTTCTTTTCCATCAAATTTACGACTTACTATTCAACGACTTTTCTGTTTAACATGTCCCGCTACGATCGCTACGAATACCCCCCCTACGCCCACGGCGCCAGACACTCGCAAGATCTCGTCCGGCATCAAGACGACAGTACCGAGTCCGTCGAGGAGATCCAGCGCGATTACCCGCCTGGTGAATACGACGAGTACGGGTACGGCCCTCCGCGCCGCACGAGGGTCACCACCGTGCGAGATGGGGTGAGGCGGACGCAGTCGGTGAATAGTTCTCCCAGGGGGACTTATTACTATGAAAGTACTCGGTATGAGGGTGGAGGAGGAGGAGGAGGAGGTGGTGGTGGTCGTCGTCCTCGGGAATCAAGAGAGTCAAGAGAGTTCAAAGAGTCCAGAGAGTCCAGAGAACCCCGCGAGTCTCGTCATTCAAGACGATACTACAATGATAGGTCATCCAGATACTCTTCTGCCAGTCGGTCACCGCCGCCCTCGTCTTCTCGTCGGTATGGTAAGGGGTCATCACGTCATCACCGGTCTTACTCGTATTCACCCTCGCCGACGCGCAGTAAGAGCAGGCACACCCGCGAGAAGGACGAGCGGATTGCCCAGGCCGTCAAGGCCGCGTTGACTGCTGGTGCGGCCGAGGCGTTCCGTCTCCGCAACGAGCCAGGAGACTGGAAGGGTGCTAAAGGTCGCCGCATCCTCACCGCTGCCATCGCGGCAGGCGGCACGGACGGCATCCTCGATCGCAATAATCCCGAAAAGCACTCCACGCGGCATATCATCGAGTCTACCCTTGCCGGGTTGGCCGCCAACCGTCTCGTGAATGGGCCTCGTTCTCGCTCCCAGTCCCGCTCAAAGTCTCGTCACCGCTCCAAGTCGCGCGGCGGCAGCGGTGCCCTTAAGGATGTCGCGGCTACGGGGCTACTCGCTGCTGCAGGCAAGGAGATCTACGACCACGTGCGGAACCGGTCGCGGTCGCGGTCCCGTCCTGCGGGGGGACGCGGCCGCTCGAGTTCCCGGAATAGCGGTGCCGGCGATCACCGCGGCTCCTCGCGGCGCAGCAAGAGCGTGTCCGAATACATCAACAAGGGACTGGCAGCCTTGGGACTTGGCGAGAGCAGTAAGAATAGCGACGCGGGCGGCAGACGAGACAAAGACATGCATGACCGTGACCATGACCATGACCGGCCGCGACGGCGGCAGCGGCGGCGTCACCTCAGTGACTCTGAAGACTCTGGCTCCTCCTGGAGCAGCGATGAAGACTCTCGCGATGACCGGGGACGATCGAGGCGTGGTGATAGGCATCATTCTCGAGAAGTAATATCCCCCAGCACAGGCTACTCGTCGACTGAAGGTGGCCGGGGCAATTCCCGGCTGAAGAAGACGAAGAAGAAGAATAATGATTCCCATACAGACAGTGATTCTGACCTAGGCGACAGTTCTGACGAGAAGAAACAAGACAAGAAGCTCCGGCGCGATACTTTGCTGACCACGGGGCTGGCGACGGTGGCGACGATCCACGCCGCCCACAGCGTGTACAAGGGGTACGAGGGACGAAAGAAGCGCAAGAAGGAGGTCGAGGAGGGGGAGATGACGCCCCAGGAGGCACACAAGCTGCGCGTGCGGGCCAACCTCGCCGACGCCGCGAGCGTGGGCCTCGCCGCGCTGGGCGTCAAGGGCGCCGTCGGCGAATGGAAGGAGGTTCTCGAGAAGAAACACGAGCGAGACCATTACCATGAGGAATGTGCGCATCGACATGAGAAACGTTCGGCCCGGCGCTCCCAAAGCTCGGCCCGGCCCTCGCAATCCTCCGCCCTGCAGCGCCGGAATACTAGTCTCGACGGCGATAGGCCTTTGTCGCAGGGGTTTCACTATTACGATGGCAATCCGTATGGATACGGTGTGGAGGAGTATCCTCGTTCCCCTACTATCATGACTTGATATGACTGTTATCCATGTTTTATTCTTATTCATGCTTTATGATTATGACCATGAGAACACGAGCAACGAGAATCATCTTTCTATTCTTCACCTATTGTAGATGCTTTTGTCATGTAGCTCTTTCAAGACGTATCTCGTTCTCAAGAACGAGCAAGACATCCTTCCACCAGGTGAGAAATAGATTGCTAAGAGTAGTATAGGCCAATGAAACGAGGTTAGTTGGTCCCTATTTCCTCAGGATCAACACAAATAGCCCTGTAGCCCTCGATCTATCCTTCTTCACATGCAGTGACATATGGATGCGAGAGGGCTATGCGTCTACTTCACTACTAGAAGGGTAGAAGTCGTTGTGGAGTGTCAATCAGAGATACATTATAGTTCACTGTATCAATCGAGTGTAGCTGGTAGAAGAGCGTGAGGTCATGCTCATCACGCTGGTTTTCGCAGACCTGGATAGAGTATTCTTATTGACCTGGGTGTTAGGTAAAGCCTGTAACAGAGATGAATAGGACAAGACTGAAGCTATTCATATCAGACACAGACTGGCCAGAACAGTCGATGGATTCTTGGAATGCTAGACTAAAGATAGTCTGGATTCTTTGTAGGCCATGGCATCAAGTGGCGAGTCTAGATCTCCCAGTCTCCAGCTCTGGAATGTGGACACTGAGACCCTTTGCTAGACTAGACGCCAGTGAGAGTTCTGGAAGATGGAGGACTGTCGTCAGAAGGTATTGTAGGAGATAAGCAAGACGTCAATTCTGTTTCATAATTGCTCTGCGTTCGAGTTGCATTGCAGGTGTCATAATATTAGACTGTAATTCATATTAACATCCGTATGTAGCAAATGATTGATTCCAGATCCAAGTGCTAGTGTTCGCGTCTCCGTCGTTAATCGCGTGTTCTGGACTCGAGACGAGACGCACAGGACGTGCGTGTGGCATTCAGAGAAGTACCAGCCTTCTCCATTCCTCCCAGCCCAACACCACAGCTTCGATCTGACCAAGGTATATATGAAGGCGATGATGCTCGAGTTTGCCACTGATCAGCAAGATCATCCATCATCATTATTCTCCATCCCTTGACAGGTCATCCCTGACTTAAGAGGTCCTCCCGTGTCTGTCGAAGCAATCTCTCATTACCAATTCGAATACCTACCTACCTATCCAACAAAATGGCTACCTTCGCATCCATCACATATTTCCTGCTCACCATCTTGACGCTATCGTCGATGGTGCACTCTCTGCCGATTGTAGCAGGAGACAACACACGTACCAGAGCCTTGTACCCGCGATCTCCCTCTCCAGTGAGTGCCTTTTACCTTGAATAATATATGATCGATAGGAATTTGATTTCTAACCCTTGGAAAAGCGTCTTATTGAACCCAACGCCAACGGATTGCTCGCCAACATCATCGCCAACCTCGGTCTTGACGAACTGAGCAACTCGCAAGACTCTACCTCGGATAACAAGGACATCAGCAACTTCGAGATCGACGAGACCAAGAAGGTCACTTCGAAACACCATATCAACGATACCGTCGTCGATGCCGGTAACTTCACTTCGGGCAAACAGACAAATATCACCAATGTTGACAATCTTGTCAATGACATCAAGTCGTCCTTGGCGCAGAGCATCAAAGCGGCCCTCGACGACAGCGATGAGGTTTCCTTGAATTAAGCTAGATGTCTGATTCTCTCTCTCTCTCTTTCTGTGTGTGTGTGTTATTGTCTTATTCCATCACGATGGTCTGGCGTTTAAGGGTTTGATCTGGTAAGCGATTTGGTCTTGGGATTGGCGTTTGGATACATTCCTTTTCATGAGAGTACGACAGTATAGTGTGAGCATCTAGTTGTAGGTTTACTAGAACAGATTAATAAGAATATCAATCAATCCAATCAAGTACTATGTCATGATCATAAGTGCTGGTATGTGGCGTCTGATGTGAATTAGTCTTCGTGACCGGATATAAGCACCTACCTAATTCCGTTGGCATATCACCGAACAATCAACATGTGAGCCATTCATTCATTTTTACCCATGTGTATCCAGCATGGAATAGCCCTTCGGACACCGACTTCGATGTCCGTAAACTGAATCTCCGATCCTGTCATGGAGTAGTCAGTCGTGGAAACCGGCAGAGTATAAAAATGGACTCAGCTGCGACGGGGTCAAGGGAAGCGGCAACAGGCTACATCAGCTTCAAAGAAATCTCGTTTGGAAAGCTTTGGATACTACTATACCATCTTCGCCTCAATATACTTTCCGCAAAATGCCTTCTCTTGTTGGAAAGGAAATAGGAGCCACCGGCTATGGGATGATGAGTACGCCGCTTCCCGTCTGTCTGTTTGATTGATGCGAGTATTAAAATTATACCAGGATTGACTTGGAATACTCAGCTGCCGTCTGAAGAGCAGAGCTTTGAGACCTTGGACACAGCCTTGGACCTTGGTGCGAACTTCTGGAACGGCGGGGAGCTTTACGGCCCCGTGGACTTCAACTCTTGCCATTTGCTCAACAAGTATTTCACAAAGTACCCCGAGAAGGCAGACAAGGTTATATTGAGCATCAAGGGAGGCAATAAGGTCGGGGAACTCGTATGGGATGGGTCCGAGGCCAACATTCGCCGCAGCGTGGACGAATGCCTCCGGATCCTGGACGGGAAGAAGACGATCGATATCTTCGAATGCGCCAGACAAGACCCCAAGACCACCGTCGAGCAGACGGTGACTATCTTGGCCCAGTATGTCAAGGAGGGCAAAATCGGCGGGATCGGTCTGAGCGAAGTGGATGCTGAGACTGTCCGGCGGGCGTACGTGATTCTTTTACTCGCCTCTACATTATTGTTTTTTTCTTGTTCTATGCTGACATATGTTTTGGCATCTATAGGCACAAGGTCCATCCTATCGCCGCGGTTGAAGTAGAATTATCACTCTTCGACACCCATATCCTCGAAGATGGCACGGCAAAGGCCTGCGCAGAGCTCGGAATCCCCGTCGTCGCCTACTCGCCCTTGGGCCGGGGAATTCTAGCCGGTGCCTTTACAAACCTATCCGAAGTCCCAAAGGGCGAGTTCGTTCACTTGTTGCCTAGGTTCCAGGGTGAAGCCATGGAGCAAAACCTCAAATTGGTGAACGCGGTCAAGGAACTCGCCGCTCGCAAGAACGTTGCACCTGCTCAGATTGCTCTGGCCTGGGTCCTGGCTTTGAGCGAAAAGCCAGGTATGCCAACCATGATACCAATTCCCGGAGCCACTACCAAGGACCGAGTCACCCAAAATATGAGAGGCGTACCGGTTCTGTCGGATGCAGACCTGGCCGAGATTGATGCTATTCTAAAGCTGCACGAGGTCATTGGTGACCGCTACTAGCTGTCAAGCAGACTGTTACTCTAATCAAAAAGGAGAGCATGGTGGAAATGGCATGGAGAAATGATGTATTGATGAAGATGATAAATAGCCTATATTTTGAGGAACCTGCACACTATAATTCTATATTTTTTATTAGCTTCATGAATCCAATTTCACAGCAAGCGTAAAACAGGGAAAGAATGTAGTCAGGTCAAGTGTAGAAGAGGTCAACATGCAGTCTCACAATAGTAGGAGACTGTCGGCATTGCAGAACTCTTATTTTATTCATCATAAGGAAAGGAGGAGCTTGGGAGACGGAGAAGCATACCTTTACAGATAACTATATGACAGTGTTAAACTAACAAGACTTTAGTAAAATGATTCTGATATTTAATTATCGTCAAATTCTGATAATTCAAAATAGCAGATTGATAGCTAATCACGTCTTGTGGGTGTTTATTGTTGCATGGATATCGTGTTGTAAAGGGAAAAGGAGAAGAGAAAAAAAAAGAATCGCGCGTTTTGACAGGATTAATAGCCTCGTCACGTGGCTGACCATGCAGTATACTCGACGTTCTGCGCTTGCCAAAAGCCTCCCTCTCGACCTTGACGACCGGGAGGTGTCACTGACCTGTCCGTCAGCGTGGGCATTGATTTTTCTTTGAGGAATCCTCCCATCGACATTGCTCTCTCTCGCCCGCCATGGCTGACTCACCGGCTTCCTCTCTCTCGTCCATCATCACAGAAAGCTCATCCTCGGACCACGAGGAGGCAAAGCCCGACACACCCTCCGCCTCAAACCTCCCACCGTCAAAGCGTCGCCGCACGGGGATGGCTTCGTGGGATCGCCAAACTCCAATGTCAGCTCTGCAAGATGATATCCCTCCAAGCTCTCCTGCCTCGACCATCTCCTCCGATACCTCCGGCGAGCTGCCGACCGACCATGCGACCTTGGCCCTGCTCGGCAGTGCGATTGGGGACGACGACTATAGCGGCCAGGGGAATGACCAGGTCACCATATGCCGCTGGGAAGGCTGCGAGGCCGGTGATCAGGGCAACATGGACGAGCTGGTCCGACACATCCATGACGCGCATGTCGGCAGCCGACAGAAGAAGTACTCGTGCGAATGGGTCGACTGCAGTCGCAAGGGCCAAACCCATGCCAGTGGCTATGCGCTACGTGCCCATATGAGAAGCCATACGAGAGAGAAACCTTTCTATTGCGCACTTCCAGGTAAGACTGGAAACACACTCCCCCCCCCCTTCCCCCCGACCCAAGTGATCGATCGAGTTTTCTGTGAACGCACCCTTGGCAGCTGACAATGACCTTTTTCTCTCTCTCCATGCAGAATGCGATCGGAGTTTCACCCGGTCGGATGCCCTCGCCAAACACATGCGCACCGTTCACGAGACCGAAGCACTACGACCTTCGGACCCTGTACCGAAACATCACAACCCGGCCCTCCCTGCCCTTGGCGGCACCGCAACCCCTACCAGCAAACTGCAACGTATCAAGCTGAAACTCTCGCACCCCCCCAAAGATGAGGCAGATCAGTACGGCGACAGTGATGTGATTGAAACAGAGGACCTTGATGAGATCGAACTCCCCGAACTCGCTCCTGAGGTGGGGTTTGACGAGCACGAACTGTCGCTCCGCTCCATGGACCTCTACCGGCTGCTGCGCCGGCAGATCTTCTGGGCGGAGAAGGAATCCGTCGAGCTACGAAAGGAATGGGAGAGGATACAGCCCAAGCGCAAGGAGGCCTGGCGCGAGAAAGAAGGCATCTTTGACGACGTGATCGACGCCGAGCTCCGGCTTTTCAGCGCCATCGTCGGTAGCGAGGGTGTCGGAGCCCTGGGCGCAGCCGACGTCACACATGGCCTGGAGAAGTTCCAGCAGCAACAACGGCAAGCACAGCAACAGGCGGCAAGTGCAGCTGGTCCGCCATAGCGGGATGAAGGGGAGATATGACAATGTATTCGGTAATATCATTATGGATGGAGGAGTATCGGGGTTTTATCTTTCTTTTGGATTCCTCATGTACTGTATTGTTTTTTCTCTCTCTACAGCCATGGGATTAATGGCACCCGATTCTAAAATACTCAAACACACCCTTTACTTAGCTCTCATTTCTTTACGAGGAGTCCATCAAAATTCTGATTATGCAAAATCTAGTAGTATATGTCAATGACTTCTCTGGCACCCTTTCAGAACACAGTGGACAGACAGAGATCAAAGCAGCACAAGGCGTTCATCACATTTGACACTATTGGTATCAATGATATGCATTCCAGAGGACAATAGTCTCAAATCGCTTCTTTTATGGACAACCATTTTGGCAGAACATGAATATTTGTAGGAAAACAGAACCGCGGGCCCCAAGTTTTCGAGAAGAAAAACGGTCCCAGCAAGCCATGATCAATCCAAGGGCCCAAGTCTCAAAAAGATGAAACGGTCCCATTGGTCTCGTTGAGAATAAAAGGAAATTCGAAAGCAAGTGGCTCTCCCAGCATAAAGTACAACGTAGACATGAACCGCAGGGCCCAGCCAGAAGAGGGGTCCCAGGGCTTAAAAAATAGGAAAATAACGCAAGAGAGAAACAGACCCCCAAACATGTCATGCAAAAATCATTCAGTATGGACAGCGACCCATGCCGTGTAAATATCAAACTCATACCAACGCCCTGGCCATGCAGACATCCCAGTACTTTGGGGAAAAGGTTGAATAAAATGAAAAATGGCCTGGAAGTGGTCGCAATTCTGGGCCGAGTCTTGCAAACGGAGAGCAGACTCTAGGCCCCGTTCGATGAGGCTTTTTTGGCTGCAGCAGCCCGCTGAGCCGCCAGCAACTTGTCATACATCTCCTGGAGTTTCGAACCACCGGCGTCTTTGTTGGGCCAATAGTGGACCGCAACGTAGTGCCTATATTGAGCGTTAGAAAAGCTCCCTCTTCAACGGGCCATAGTCAGACTTACCAAAGGCGGGTTTCGAGGGAATGAAGAGATCCCTCGCCTTGTAAAGTGCGGCGGATGAAATCTCCGATCTTGCGGAGGAGATGGCGAAGCTCGGATGCACGCTCGGTTTTGCTCGGATAATTCTCCTTTGTGACCGAGGAGACGCGTCGAAGATCTTCGCGGATTGGTTTGAAAAATAGACGAGACATGTCTTCCTTTGAAGAAGAATTACCGTTCTCGCCCGATTTGCGTCGGCGGGCATCGTCATTTGATGCATCCGACATTCTATGACGAGGTCTCTCCCCGTCATGCACGGACCGGGGGCGGCCATCACGATTCGGAGTATGGTGACGCTCGACACTGTCCCGGGCACCATGGGTATGAGAACGTTGTCTGGTACGATCAACCTCACGCTGGCCCTTCCGGGAGCTTGGGGCGGGAGACGCGGAAACACTGGCACTTGTGTGGGCTCGCGAGGTCTTCCGGTTGTTTCGGTGATGGTTTTCAACCGCTCTCTTTGCTGTCGCGCTGGCCCCATTGCTAACTTTATCTTTCAGAACCGACAAAAGATAATCAGCTCGGCGAACCAGGTGGACCGCTCCGGGGGATTTGGTAGTCTTGTCCTCGCCGTTCAGTCGCTCATTCTTCCGTTCAACGCGATGTTCTTCCAAGAAGAGTTTATCACCCAGAGCTAAATCTGGATCATCTCGGATTTGTGCCCAGGCTCCGTAACCATGGCGGGCGATGCCTACACAGAGCATACCGTCTTCGCGAGCACCCCAAGGACAGCTATAGTCAGCAGCTTTAGTAGCCTCAGGAACTCTGAAGTTCTTGTACTCGGAGGCGGCGGAGGTTACTTCTTTGAGCATCCGCATTTCCTGAGGGCGCTCGACAATGGTATAAGCGTTGAGCCTCTTAACTCCGTGAAGATCAAAAAGAACAGCTTTCTTCTCCTTCTTGGTCGGCATTTTGCCCGCCTGTTCGAGAGCCTCCATTTTCTGCGCGTCTTCCCGGACAAGGGAGAAGGCTTTGTCGGTAATCTCACGGAGCGCAGCTCGCACGGTTTCCTTGTCGCGACCGACTAGGCGTGCTTCGCGAATAAGTTCGTCTTCCCGGTCGTCAATGTCACCATATCTCAAGTAGGAGCGGAGAAGATGTCGGTATTCCTTCTCCACAAGTGGTCGTTTAGGATCCAAAGTCGAGCCAGATTCGGACTCTTCATCGTTTTCCATGGCTACCTGTGCTCTCGCTAGCCTTTTCGCCTTGCGTTCCTCTCTCGAATCACGCTCGTCACTAGGAACATGACGTTTGCGTGGACGATTCTGCTCGATAACCTCCGCCAGGTAGCGTTCGTCGGCTTTCCGTTTCTCTTCTGCTTTAAGTTCATCGAGTTGTTCTTTGGGAATGATGTCATCCCAGGTCAAATCATCGACCTTGATATCGACGAAGTCGAAGGCTTTGAGAAATTCTTCGCCGCCGTCCGCTTGGATGCCCTCAACCTGTTCTGTCTGGTGGAGTTCGGCATTCTCCAAGACCGAGTCAATATCAAGCTGCTCCAGCTTTTTCTGGTTATCAGTTTGTTCGAACATCTTTTGGCCACGACGTTTGAGAATTCGAGAGATATCTTCCGTCGAATTAGGCTCCCCGAGGGTGATGCCGCCCCGGGCCATTTTGTTTTGAATCTCGCTTGCTTCCTTGTCCGTAACGCCACGTTGAATGGTGATGAATTCAAGAAGTAATTTGTTACGTGCTCTCTCGATAACTTCTTCCTCAACCGTGTCTTTTGAGACAAGACGATACACACTGACAGGTTTTGTTTGACCAATACGGTGGGCTCGAGCCATGGCCTGCAAATCTGCTTGAGGGTTCCAATCAGAGTCAAAAAGAACCACAGTATCTGCGGTCATCAAATTGATACCAAGACCACCTGCTCGGGTAGACAGGATAAAGGCGAAGTCGCTGCTACCGGGAGCATTGAAATGCTCGATCGCGAGGCGCCGGGATGCTGCCGGAATGGTGCCATCAAGGCGTTGGTAGGAATACCCGCGGAATTCCATGTAGTCTCCGAGGATATCCAGCATCCTCACCATTTGGCTGAAAATCAACACACGGTGGCCATCTCTTTTTAACTTTGCTAGAAGCTGATCCAACAGCATCATTTTACCACTGCTGGTAATCATGGCCCGCAAGACATCTTCTCTGCGAGTGCTTCCTTCGAGGATTCTGGACTCCGCATTGGGGAACATGAAAGGGTGATTACTGGCCTTCTTCAGCTCCATCATGATGTTTAACAGTGATTGCTTCTGGCCCTTGGTACCCTCGTTCAAGGCCGCATAGTTCTTAGTCAGAATGTTCTTGTAGTACTCGAGTTGAACATCGGATAATTCAACGCGGATGATCTTTTCAGTCTTGGGTGGCAAATCGGATTCAACTTTGGATTTAGTTCGTCGAAGCATGTAAGGTTGAATGGCCTTCGTCAATTCGGCAAGTTTTTCAGAAGCCGCTTCCGCGTTGAGATCCATGTCAGCATCGATATCGATCATTCCGGGATTCAGGAAATCGAGAAGGGCAGAGAGTTCCGCGAGATTGTTCTGGATGGGGGTGCCGGTGATCAAGAGTCTAGCAGGGGACTTGAACTCGAGGAGCTTGGTATAGAGCTGCGAATCACGATTTTTCAGTCTGTGAGCCTCGTCGACCGCCATGAACTGCCACTTGAACTGGCTCAAAAAGGCCGAGTCAAGAAGAACATATTCATATGTAGTCAGCAACACATGGAATTTGGCACGTTTTGGATTGCCGTCGATCATCAACTCATGCTCCCGAAGCACTGAGCGGGCAGCCTCATTCCCGTTGTACACGACGTAATTCAGGTCTGGGGTCCAGTTGTCAAAGGTTTCTGCCCAAGCTGGCATAGTGGAAAGAGGTACGACGACGACAAATGGACCCTGTTGGTTCCGAACATGGCGTAGCCAGTTGATGAAGGAAACAGTTTGAACAGTTTTACCGAGACCCATCTCATCTGCGAGGACGACGTTGCGATTCCGGACCCAGTTGAAAGCCATAAAATTCAGGCCTTTCACTTGGAAATCCTTGAGCTCTCCATTCTGTAGAAAACTCGGGGTGCCTTTGATGGGCTCGAAGTTGGCTCGAGTCGCCGGGTTTGATTCGGTCCTATCGGAGACGGGAGGGCGAGAAGAGCGGTCCAAATATCGGTCGATTTCGGTTTGGGCGACGGTACTGACAAGTCCCTCGCTCTCCCACGTGCAAGAGTCATAGAAGAGGCGCTTCCATTTGACAAGGTATTCAGTGGTGCCCTCTTCTGTCTCGTGCGAACTGATTACCCTCTCTACTTTCTTGTAATCTTCTATTGCTTCAACATCGCGCTCTCGGTCAAGATTCCACTTCTCGCGGTCCTCTGGAGCGGCATCGCCGTCGAGGTTGAGACGGATCTCTTGAGAAAGAACTTTTCGCACATAATTATCCAGGCGCCGGGTGCTGCGACAGTTGCCAAGAGTTTCTGTGGTCTCCCATGTTGCATGATAGTGCGACTTGCCCTGCCATTTAATGTAATATTCGAAATCGTGACGATCAACATTGGGACCTTCAGACTCGACATCAGCTTTCAAGCGATGATTGAGAACAACGTCGACAGCAGGGCGGTTATCTTCCACCTCGTTGACCCAATAGTTCTGAGCCGAATACTCCGGTTCATCTTCAAACATAGAGTCTTCATCATCTTCATTATAGTTGGACACCTTCGAGGCGTTACGTGTTGAGAAACGGACTTCGGCATGAACAGGTTCGTTGTTTTTCACCGCCTGGAGGATACGACGACGCCTGGCTTTGTTACGGCTGCCACCATACTCATCACTGTCCGATTCTGAGTAAGAGGAGCGAGTTGCGGAGCGTGAGGGGCGTTTAGACGACTGTTGGGAAGCGACGACACGTTTTCGTTTGACGCGTGGAGCGACGGCATCGGATTCCGAGTCCGAGGGAGAAGCGGCAATTTGGCGAACTATACGCGCACGCCCACTTCGACGGAGTCCGTAAAGGTCGGGATTCTGTCTGATATACTCGGACTCATCGACCGACGGTGATTTACGTTTCATCCCACGAGATGGTTCGGGTGATGAAGAGTTTTCATCGCTCGAGGGGCTGGTTCTGTCATCCGTATTTTCCATCTGGGAGTCATGGTCTTTATCGTCGTCATCATCCGCGACACTGGGTGACTCCGTATTATAAGAGTCGTCAGCAGCATCCGGCTCCGGTGATTCGGAAGGAATGCGATATTCGGCCGGCTGTGACGAGTCACGGTCGGCATCGCTCATAGGTTTGTCGGCAGAAGGGTTAATATCGCTGGCAATAGACGCGTCCGAGAAGCCATTGGATAAGCCTGCCATAGCTGAGGAAACGGGGGCAGATGGGATCACCATGCTAGTGGCTAGAGACGGGGACGAGTTAGCATTGAAGCTCGACACAGCGCTGAAGAGCGCCAAGAAAGGCAGTAGAGGTTTCAACACGACAAGGCGACCGATAAACCAGGGTGAGAGAACTGGTTTCCCCTGAGGAACAAGTAGAAATGAAGCTTTTGATGCAGGAGGGTGATTTTTTGATGACGCTGGGATGGACGCGACGACTGTGTTGGTGGAGGGAGGGAAGGTGCAACACGAGAGATACAATCACAAAACCAGAGACAGGGGATGCACTTCAATCAGTTCCTGAGCAAGAAACTCACTGACAGACCCCAGACACGAAGAATTAGGGAATTCATGAGCTGCTCCGGTGGGTCGAGAGCGTGGAGAAGTACACCAGCGGAGGAAATACGGACACGTCCAGAGAGGGCCAAAAACGCATAAAAAAATACTTACAGTCCATAGCTTGGTGACCCCGAGGCAAAGAGGGTCAGAGAATCAATGGTGACAGATAGAACAGGAGGTGGTGGTGGCGGATGGTGGGAGGAAGGGAGAAAAGCACTGGAGACTGCTGATGATTGAGGGAGCAGAAAGAGAGTTGTACGTCGGCTGGAGGTGAGCGAGTCGCAGTGAACGCCCGGGTTTCGCAGCCTGAGTTTCCAGGCCACTAGCCGCCATACTGTATGCAGTTTAGTGTGTCGGCAAGCGAGGCCCAAAGAGGCTTAACGCCCAGTCACTCGGGACGAGCGCTCGACCCGACTGACACCGATCAGGTGACTGCACGGTTGAAATAAAATGCGCCTGGAAGTTTTAGTGGCTTGATCTTGCGAGAGCCAATCACAGCAAGCCAAAAGCTGCTTGTTTCTGGTGCCTGAGGCATTCGCTAAGCCCGCGCCCACAATTCACTGGCATAGTTTTCTCTGGAGAACCCCTCTTTAGAAGATCGCAACAATCAACCATTCACTCTCTAACCCACCTGCCACCTGTCAGCGTTGCTCCGCGCAGGGCATCGGCCTATTGTTCTCTGGTTCTTGAATCTGTGGAGGTTCTATTGACTTCGGTACAGTTCGGACTGTTTGAGAGTCGTTTTTCTCGCCCATTTTTTTCGCCTGTTGTCTCGCAACCCGTGAATCTCGAGCAGGAAACGCGTCACTATGTCTGACAAACTTACTCGGTATGCTTTATTTTGAAATCTTGAGGAGTCTAAAATAGTCGCTAACTTCCTATATTCTAGTATTGCCATTGTCAATAGTGACAAGGTGTGTTCACACTGCCCCGCCTAGAGGTTCCGCCACCTGTATACAATTTTTAGGACTACTGCTTACACGAGTTATCCACCACGTATAGTGCAAACCGAAGGTATGAATGGAATATAACGCTTTGGGGAAATACAGCGGTACTCATTATTATAGAAATGTCGCCAGGAATGTAAGAAATCTTGCCCGGTGGTCCGCACCGGCAAGCTCTGCATTGAAGTCAGCCCGGACTCGAAAATCGCATTTATTTCCGAGCGCCTCTGTATCGGTTGTGGTATCTGCCCCAAGAAATGTCCTTTTGGCGCTATCCACATCATCAACTTGCCCACCAACTTGGAGAGCGAAGTTACCCACCGTTATTCCGCCAACAGCTTCAAGCTTCACCGACTTCCGATGCCTCGTCCTGGACAGGTACTCGGTCTGGTTGGTACAAACGGTATCGGAAAGAGTACAGCCTTGAAGATCCTCAGCGGAAAGTTGAAGCCCAATCTGGGTCGATATGACAACCCGCCAGACTGGGAGGAAATTCTGAGATACTTCCGTGGTTCTGAGCTCCAGAGTATGTGCAAGCGTTCCATGTAATGATTTTGCAAATGTCTAACCTGTCTAGATTATTTCACCAAGGTCCTTGAGGATAACTTGAAGGCTGTTGTGAAGCCTCAGTATGTCGATCAGATCCCCAGGGCAGTCAAGGGTCCCCTTCAGAAGGTCGGGGAGCTCATCAAGAGCCGCACTCAAATGGATAACATGGAGCACATCATGAAGGTCCTTGGTATGTCATCGTACCTATTTATGTGCTGATCTACACTCTAACAAGATGAAATAGAACTGAAGCAGGTTGAGAACCGTGAGATTAGTCTGCTTTCCGGTGGAGAGCTTCAGCGTTTCGCCATTGGCTTGGTTTGCGTGCAGAAGGCTGACGTGTACGTTTATTATCTCTCCGATGATCCCAGATCTCTATTCTAACAAGTCATTGCAGGTATATGTTCGACGAACCTTCATCCTATCTTGATGTCAAGCAGCGCCTGGCTGCTGCCCGCACTATTCGGGAGCTTCTCCGTCCTGATGACTACGTCATTGTTGTCGAGCACGATCTGTCTGTGCTTGATTATTTGTCCGATTTCATCTGTGTGCTTTATGGTCGTCCTGCTGTCTACGGTGTGGTCACTCTGCCTTCCTCCGTCCGCGAAGGTATCAACATCTTCTTGGATGGTCACATCCCTACCGAGAACTTGCGCTTCAGAGAAGAGTCCCTCACTTTCCGTCTTGCTGAGGCTGGTGACGACCTGATTGTCGACAAGAATCGTGGCTTCAGCTACCCTACCATGGAGAAGACTCTGGGCAGCTTCCACCTCAAGATCGATTCTGGCAAGTTCACTGATTCGGAAATCATCGTCATGATGGGTGAAAACGGAACCGGCAAGACTACATTCTGTAAAATGCTCGCTGGCGCTGAGAAACCTGATGGAAGCGCCTCTATTCCTCGCATGAACATCAGCATGAAGCCCCAGAAGATCACTCCCAAGTTCCAGGGTACTGTTCGCCAGCTGTTCTTCAAGCGTATTAAGGCGGCATTCCTGAACCCTCAGTTCCAGACCGATGTGTACAAGCCTCTCAAGATCGACGACTTCATTGACCAGGAGGTGCAGAACCTGTCCGGTGGTGAATTGCAGCGAGTTGCTATTGTCTTGGCTCTCGGTATGCCCGCCGACATCTATCTTATTGACGAGCCTAGCGCCTATCTCGACTCCGAGCAGCGTATTGTTGCCGCCAGAGTTATTAAGCGTTTCATCATGCACTCCAAGAAGACTGCTTTCATCGTCGAGCACGATTTCATCATGGCTACTTACCTTGCCGATCGTGTGATTGTCTTTGATGGAAAGCCGTCCGTTGATGCTCATGCCAACACCCCCGAGTCCCTCCTCACTGGTTGCAATAAGTTCCTGAAGAATTTGGATGTCACCTTCCGTCGTGATCCTAACAGTTTCCGTCCTCGTATCAACAAGTACAACAGTCAGATGGACCAGGAACAGAAGCTCAGTGGAAATTACGTAAGTACCCTTACATACAGCATCGCCGGCAAGAGCATATACTTGCTACAACCCTTTCCCCCCCTGCTCTTTCTTGCTGACTCCCAATCTAGTACTTCCTGGAGGAAGAGAACTGAAGGGGGCGTCCCTTATAAGCATCACCGCGAGCGTCACAGACGTGATGAGCGCGAGTCTGACTGGCGAAGAGATCGGCGTCGTCGCCGCGAAAATAATCGGTTAAGGGCGTTTCCCGGCGTTTCCGGCGCTTCCGCTTCTTGTACGAAACGACACTGTCGGCGGGCGTATCTACTTGGAGATGAAGCGAATGCCTCGGAGGATGATGATGAAGACGACAATTCCGACTCGGACAGCGGTCTACCTCCTGTCTCTGCACCGCTTCCAGTTCGTCTTATATTGTCAGTCATCTGAGAGCGTCATGCTTTTCGATCCTCATACGCACGCCTCGTATTGGAAGCCTTGATTTGGAATTTCTCTTGATATACTTGGGTTGGAGGGTTGAAAAGGGGATTGTCATTGAGCCCTAGGGCAAATCAAAAAGCATCAACGACGTTATGATAATAGATGGCTGTTTCATTTACATGATGGGACTTGCTTGGGAGAAGAGGTGCTAGCGGCGGGTCAAGTTAGGTGGCCTCTGTCATATCTGTGTGTTAGGAGTATAGTTAATTGAACATGGATTCTCAAGTTTATTTTTTGATAAATCTATTATTATATCTCTGCCACAAATCACCCAGCAAGCTCGGTTCTATGAAATGAGTCGGGAATATGTACAGTAGTACTCCAGACATCAGATTCTACATGGTGAATGATGCTCTTACGCATCTTCAACATTCCATGGCACATAAGTCTGTTTGTCACGCCCAAGGATTTAAGATATACATACAGATTACCAAAAACTAGTCCTCTTCAATCTCCCCTTCCTCGCTGCCTGAATGCACCGCTTTCTCTTCCTTCCTAACCTCGGCCTCACTGGGAGTAGGCTCATGAACACGATCTCGTTCCTTGTCACGCTTTGCGCCTCTGCTGCGCTCTCTCTCACGGCTGTCTCGCCTATGGCGCTTCGCAGAGCGACTTGCAACGCTTTCTGCGTCACTGTCGCGTCTACGCCGACGGTCAGTACTGACAGTGCTTCGAGTGTCCCCACCATAATCCAACTCGTCGCGACTGCCGCGCGGGTCGGCGCGGGTGCGATAGAGACGTTCACGCTCCTCCTCTCGTTCCCGACGTTCGCGCTCATAGTGGGCGAGGGGTCGAGAGGCCCTGTCCCGGTCTCGCTCACGGTCACGTTCGCGGTACCGATCCCTCTCCCTCTCGCGTTCGCGATCTTCTCGGCGTTCCCGAACCGGTGAGAGGCCGCTGACTTTTCTATAAGTTCGCTCACGATCTGCCTGGGCTTTGCGACGGTCCGCCTCATAGGCATCTGGCTCGGGGGTGCGGCTGAGCCGGCTCGAGGCTGCCCGTCTATCACCACGACTGCCGCGATGGTCACGTTCATGGTGTTCTCTCCGGCTGCCCCGATCCCGGTCTCTGATATCGCGGTCTCTATCCATGTCATCCTCTTTTTCTTTAAGACGACGGATGACTTTATCAAAGGCCGCTTGGCGGAGTTCATCTGAATCAACGGCCTTGTACTCGTCCAGCTTCTCTACTCGAGCCCGAACTTGGTCCCAGGTGTCAGTGACACGCACAGGGGGTTCCAGACGTTTCATACGAGAACGCAGGGCATCCACTGCGCGTCTCTGGTGACGATCAGCCGCGTGCTTCTCCTCCTCATTTCGCCGGACAGCCTTTTCTTGGATGCGCTGAAAGATCAGTCTGAGAATATCTGGATCGATGTTTGCTGTCCGGCGATCAGAGCCTATAACTGAGTTGAACTCTTCGAATGTCGTCTTGGGGGCAATCTCGTAACGTTTGTCCTATCACACAAACTCAGTAACCGCTTAGAAAATGGACCATGAAAGAGAAAACTTACATCGAGAACATCCAAAACATCGTTACGAGGTCCCCGCAAAGAGCGTTCTTCTTCTTCAACCATATCCCAGAAAAGATCAAGTGGAGTAGACCCCGATTGGCCTAGCATATTTGTATAGCGAGGATCTTCCTTGATGAGATGATAGGTATTCATCCATTTGCTCCCAGCTTTAATCTTGCCGTTCGACTTGAGTTCCTTGAGTAATTCCTGGAACTGCTCCCTGCTGTGACGCTCCTTTCTTGCCTTAGCAGACTTCTGTTGTTGACGAGCATCATTGAATGCTCGTTCAAGAGACTTGATATGGTTCTCAAACGCAGTAAGAATGTCAGATTTTGTCAGAGTTTGAAACTTATCGTCAGTTTGAACTCTCTTGTTGTTCTGAATAATATTTTGCGCCTCGGACCAGCGGGTGTATGGCTCCAAGTTCATAGACTTCAGAATTGTCACGAGTTCGTCCATCGCAGCCTTGCGCTTCACAGCCTCCTGTTCCACATGGGCTTTCTTGAGCTCGATAATGTATTCTTCAAAAAGCTGTCGTCTTTCATTCTCATCATCAGTAGATCTGAATATTGTTTCGCCCTCAATGATCGGCCGAATTGTCTTCCAGCGACTATAATACTTAATCTCGGGATGCGTCTTTAGCATACTATTGAAATCTGCTCTGAGCTTGGCGAATCTTTCCTTCGCTCGGTCCTTCTCTTGCATGCGAACCTCGACTGCGTATTTCTCAAAGGCTGTCTTGCGGTCACGGGGGTCTCTGATGGCCCGATACTGCGGGTCTTTGATGGTTGTACGCATCGTTTGTTCCCATGTCCAATCAGGTTGAACATTATGCCGCTTAAGCATCTTCATGAAAGCACTCTCGGCCTCTTCGAGCGAGCCGTATTCCGGGTCGGATTGCGCCGCAACAAAGGCAGGTGCCGAGGGAGCAGAAAAGCCATTTGTATCGGGCGCACCGAAGCCACCACGCCGATCGTTGAACCCGCGATTGTAATCGTCACGATCACGGTGCTGTGGCTGGGAAGGGAACGAACTGACACTGCCAGCAACGAATGTCGGGGCCCTAGAATCCCATTAGTCAATGGTACGGAAGAGCACATAAACCCAAACAACAGCTACTTACGCTGGAGGGGGTACCGGGGCCGTCTGGACCTGTGCAAGCGCATTCTTGTAAACATCTGGCATCTCCCAAGTGCTTTGCTTCGTTTCCGTGTTGTACCAATATTTGCGGCCACCCTCAGCAGTATACTCTTTCCAAGGCTGGTTTGACAGAGCTCTCTATATCAAATATGATGGTCAATAAACAAGTAAATCACTGAATTGAGAGGGTTACTCACCTCTACCGGCGTCATAAGCTCGGCAGGCTTCGCCCATTGTGTCGCCTTCGTCTGCACATTGTAATAATAAACCCTTCCTTCAGCGTTGCGAGCTTCCTGCCAGATAGCAGGAGCTGTCGACATACCGTTCATAGAGCTCATATTGGACCTGCTAGGCTCTCTTATGAGAGAAAAGGCTGCAAGAACTGTCTAATCTGATGCGAGCAGAGTGCAGATTCGGTCTGCGCGCGCTCTCAATTTCCTGGGCTGAGATCGCCCGTCGCCGATGTTTGTCCTGTTTGCATCACATCTCCTGTCCGACCCAAAGCACCACCGTCGCATGAACACATGGGTTTTATCCAGAGCTCCAGCAACACATACCCCTCCTTTTGGGGTCGCAATATCTTCTTCGAGATTGCTTTATTGATGGGAGTGTAGTTCCCCAAAACGGCCATGCCTGGCATTGAGACTGCTGGAGAGTTCCTAAGGCACGCTGTGCTGGATACAGTTGTCCCGCATGCTACTGAACTCGACATTGAGAAAGCCATAACTTCTTGCCTGGAAACCGACGCTGATGATCTGCCTACTATTCTATCATCTATCAAACAGCGCTCGCTGCTATTCTTCGGTGTGTATACAGTTCAGCTCCTGACCGAACTCCGTCTCTTACTCATCTAAAGCGACATAGATGAATTCTTGCCCGTTCGCGTTGTCCTGAGACTCTCCAACTGCTCAGAAGAGAGTTTGAAATTCAATTTGCAGAGACTGAAGGCGAGAGTTGAAGTATTTGCCATAGACCCAGCAGAACCCCCCCCTGAAAACGCGCCGCCGACACGAGACCTCATCTTTTCTCAAGTGCTGAGCGGAAGCGATGACCCGTTGGTGGTTGTGAATGCGTTTGAGGATGGTGAGCGCAGTGGGAACCATGTCTATGTTATATGGAACGTTGAAGCCTTTTTGAGTAAGTCAACACCTTCTTGGAGTGTGTTGGACCTCGTTTCCTGATATCGGGTAGGACGGCCTCGTATCCGCATCCAAAATCCCTCGCTACTTTTCCAATCTTCGGTCAATCTCAATCCCCCAGAGAAGCTACGAGATGAGTCTGAAAATGACGACTATCTTCCCCCTTTAATACCTGCGTCGGCGAACATCCTGCAGGCCCTATCTGCGAATCAAGGCTCGAGCCAAACAGACCCTTTTCTTCCAGCATCGAGACTGTTGCGAGTCATACCTGCGACCTATACAGAAGAGCCTGTACACAATATCAAACAACACCCGGGCCATCCAATACGTGTTGTTCCTGCCGCCAGTGCCAGGATCCGATATTCAAGACTAAATTCATTCTCCGGTCGACCCACCACTGTTGCAAGTCTCGATTTCGAAGTCACCCCTTTCTTGAACTGCGATGTTCTTTTTGACAAAGCCGACCTTCAATTGTCAGATGGAACCATTGAGACTCTGTCGGAAGTTCCAGAACTTACACCGCCAATTCTCTGTCGCCCACGAGACGACATCACTTTGGTGTACAAACTCATGCCTGAATATGGGCCGGATCCAAATCCATCGACCACGGTAATGGCCAGTACCCTGGACATATCATTAGGTGCTACCATTAAGTTGTCGGAGGATTGTAATCCGCGGATTTTCATGCAATGGCGAACCACCGTTGATTTTTCAGTGGCTCTCAACCCAACCTTTGGAGGTCCAAGCCAAGCGCTCCAACGAAATAACCGTCCAGCAAGCCTCCCGATGGCATCTCACCAAGCGAACAGCGCAAGCGGAGTTCCTCAATCCAATCGAAGCTCACTCAGGGAACGGGCCTATTCGACCACAGACTCAGGCGTCACAATCTCTTTCTCAGGGCCTGTCAATGTCGAGGTGGGGAAGCCCTTTTCCTGGGATGTCTTCATTGTCAACCGCTCGACTATACCGCGTAAATTCGCCATGGTTGCCATGCCCCGAAGAAAGCGGATAGATCCCCGTACCCATGTTGCTCGCCCTTCAACATCATCGATATCCAGTTTCAGAGGAGATGAAGTTGCCGAGGCAGTCACAGACGACAATATCATCCATGCCATGCAGAAGAACGCGGCTGGTCAAGATGCGGAAATCATCAGCTTAAACACAGATATTAGAGTCGGGTAAGTCAATTGGCCGAGAAGTAATGATGCCTTCACGTTTTCAAAATGCTCATCATCAATCTTAGGCCTCTTCTCCCCGGCACCTGCCATTCCTTTGAGCTCAAATTGCTTCCCTTGATGATTGGATCTCTCCACTTGGAAGCGGTGCGTCTGGTTGATGTAACCACCAACGAAACCACCGATATCAGAGATCTACCAGACATCGTGGCCATCGATGACAGAGGCTCGCTATTCGGAAGCCATGAATAATGCATAAAACCCCCCCAGCTGTATATACTTTTTTTTCTGTATGTCTTGAGAAGTAATGAGGTAATGCTGAAGTGGGATATGATAGACTCCAAATACCATAGAAAAGAATGTATGGACACCAAATACCTCTTGAACAAATACATATCCACGCAGCATACTCCATACTGTTAAATGCAGTATTCAAACTGGCAGATCATCTCATGCATAATATTAGCTAATTGGCAGGCCTCATGGCCCCATTTTTCTCTGCAAGGGTCACCTCAAGTGGCGGAAGTAAGCGGCTACCTAAATAAGCGCCGATAACGAAAAACGCCTCACCCTCCGTACTCCATCAACTATTGCGACCCTATCGCGGTAGAGTCGGATAAGGAACCTGGGGTCGTCATCAACCCTCACTGTGCTCAGATTTTCCATCTCCAGAACTGCCGTCCGGACTGAATATATAACCTGTGCAAAAGAGCAGGTTCTTCTCTTGACCCATTTCCCGCCGCCCCCTTTTTGCGTCATACTTTCGCCCACTATTGCCTGAGAACCTGCCTTCGCCGGAATTCGACCAGGCCAAGGGGGCTTATCTCTACCTAAACCCTCCTCGCCATGTTATCATCCATGAGAAGAAAAGTCCTGGATGGGCTCAATAGAAGATATATCTATGGTCGCGTGGTATGTCTCTCTCGAAATACGCTCCCTGCTGTGAAAGAAACTTGGATAGAAGAGGCGGATAGCCTCGCCTTTTTCATCTTGGACTACGAGTCGGCACTAACATCGTTCTCAAATGCATAGCCCTTGTTACATACTATCATATTCTTGATTGAGATGGCAGCCGCAATGCGTCTTGCATCTAAATTCAACTCCTACTATGCCGAAAAACCCAGTATGCAAGATACCCTGCCTCGGTCGCTATCGATTCCCAACTTTTCAAACGTTGACTGACTTTTTTTGCCTGTGATATATAGTCTTGACCACCATGGTCACTAACGCTGTAAGCTCTCCCGATATGCAGCCGATTGTGCCCAATTCTATGATTCACTAATCGCTGACGTTTCGAACCAACAGGTGCTCGGCGGGATCGCGGACACAGTGGCACAGCTGATTACGGCATTCAAAACTCGCAGGAGGAGGAGAGTATCAGATGCCGGCGATGATTTGATCTCCATTGAAATCCACGACCTTGGCAAGGAGAAGCCGCCTGCCGTCGGGGAACTCGGCTTCTCAAAGAACTCGCCCCCTCCGTTCGACTTCGAGCGCCTGACCCGATTCATGTCGTACGGTTTTCTCATGGCACCGGTCCAGTTCCAGTGGTTCAGGTTCCTGTCAACAACCTTTCCACTCACCAAAAAGAACCCGACGGTTCCAGTGTTGAAGCGGGTTATTGTCGATCAGTTGATGTTTGCTCCCATCGGTACATACTCCCTCTTCAAAATAGGTCCTAAAATCTAAATTACTAACTACATGTACCTTAGGACTTGTCTGTTTCTTTTCATTCATGACAATTGCCGAAGGTGGAGGTAAACGGGCTTTACTTCGCAAGTTCCAGGACGTCTATCTTCCTACACTGAAAGCCAACTTTATTCTTTGGCCTGCTGTGCAGATTCTGAACTTCCGCGTGGTCCCTATTCAGTTCCAGATTGTAAGTCTTGAATGATATCAAAGGGTATCAAAACTGTCAACAGATCTAACGTGGATGTGCATATAGCCCTTTGTTTCGACTATTGGTATCGCATGGACTGCGTATCTGTCCCTGACCAACTCCTCCGAAGACGAGTAACGGCATGATCTCGGGCTCGCAATGTCAGACTACGAAATTTGCCACGTATCTCCTTAGTTTTAGTTCGTGTCGTCCTTGTTTTGCTTTGCCTTTACAAGTATTCAGACAGGGTCTAGTTGTGTGCTGCTTAGTTTTATGATTTGCCTGTGGATTCTTCTCGTTCAAGTTGCGCAGCGAAGTTACGATATATTTTGAAGCTTATCAATAACCTGGGGAATATTGATTAATATAGGTGTGAAATGGGTACCCTGCGATTGTTTCTTGACACACCACAGAAGTATGTACCATGATCATATACGTGCCGCTCTTCTAACCATCATGCAATGGCCTTATTAGCCAAGCTCTTGACGTAATATGGGAGGGGCTATGCACTCTTCCACATCCATAGAATCCCCCATAAGCAACCCGAGGCTGTTGAGAGCTCTGGATTTGTGCCCCGGGCTCTTCCGTCCACAACGTTGTCAAACTTGATTAACCTCCCGCTACTCATTGACATCAGTCCCGCATCAGCCCGAGCTAGAAGCATCAACCCATCTGCTTCACCGGAAGCCCCACCACTGCAACAAACAGTTCCATACCCCGCCACCTTTGGGACGCTTCAGGCTTTCGGTGATTTTTTCCCTTCGATCTGTTTCTTTCCTCAATTATCTCCTTGTCTGTTATAAGGTAGCGTTGATCTCTGCATTACGTCTGGAATCACGGTTGAATACCAGTGTTGCTGACCATAGACAGAAGCTCAGTCGTCATGTCTCTCTCCAACAAGCTTTCGATCGTTGATGTCGACCTCAAGGGCAAGCGCGTCCTGATTCGGGTATGTCCCATGTTTCTATATGGAGAGCCTCTGCATGGCAATGGATGGCGTTCGATGCAGAAAAAGAGACGTTTGTTGAGTGTTGTTTCTAACGCTGAGGTTTGAACAGGTTGACTTCAACGTCCCCCTCGACGCCGAGAAGAAGATCACCAACAACCAACGTATTGTTGGGGCTCTTCCCACCATCAAGTACGCCATTGAGAATGGCGCCAAGGCAGTTGTACTGATGTCACACCTTGGCCGCCCCGACGGCAAGAAGAACCCCAAGTACAGCCTCAAGCCTGTTGTCCCCGAGCTGGAGAAGCTCCTGGGCAAGAGCGTCATCTTCACCGATGACTGCGTCGGCAAGGAGGTCGAGGAGACCGTGAACAGTGCCTCTGACGGCCAAGTCATCCTGCTTGAGAACCTGCGTTTCCACGCCGAGGAGGAGGGCAGCTCCAAGGATGCCGAGGGCAAGAAGGTCAAGGCCGATAAGGCTAGTGTCGAAGAATTCCGCAAGGGGCTGACCGCTCTGGGCGACATCTACATCAGTGAGACTCTCCTTCCAAGGATTAATTTATTTTCTTTGTAAATGACTGATGCTAACCGGATGATAGACGACGCTTTCGGAACCGCTCACCGTGCGCACAGCTCCATGGTTGGCGTCGAACTGCCCCAGAAGGCTGCTGGTTTCCTGGTTAAGAAGGAGCTTGAGTACTTCGCGAAGGCTCTTGAGAACCCCCAGCGCCCCTTCCTTGCCATCCTGGGTGGTTCCAAGGTTTCCGATAAGATCCAGCTGATCGACAACCTTCTGCCCAAGGTGAACAGCCTCATCATCACCGGTGGCATGGCCTTCACCTTCAAGAAGACTCTGGAGAACGTGAAGATCGGAAACAGCCTGTTCGACGAAGCTGGTAGCAAGACCGTTGCCGACATCGTCAAGAAGGCCAAGGAGAACAACGTGGAGATCGTCCTCCCCGTGGATTACATCACCGCCGACAAGTTCGCTGCCGATGCCCAGACCGGATACGCCACGGATGCTGAGGGTATTCCCGACGGCTACATGGGCCTGGACGTTGGCGAGAAGTCTGTGGAGATGTACAAGAAGACCATCGCCGAGGCCAAGACCATCCTGTGGAACGGACCTCCGGGCGTCTTTGAGATGGAGCCTTTCGCCAACGGCACCAAGAAGACACTCGATGCCGCTGTTGCTGCCGCCCAGTCTGGCACTATCGTCATCGTCGGCGGTGGTGACACCGCCACTGTGGCCGCCAAGTATGGTGCCGAAGACAAGCTCAGCCACGTCTCGACCGGCGGCGGTGCTTCGCTGGAGCTGCTTGAAGGCAAGGTCCTGCCTGGCGTCGATGCTCTCTCAAGTAAGTAAACTTCTTGCTTCTGGGGAGGCGATATTTATGATATACACTGCGGTTATTTTCTCCCGCAATCAGAAACCCTAAGGGTGGTTCCTTTTTTTCTTTTTTACCTTTCCAACTCTGTCCACAGCATTCAATGATGTACGCATGAAATTATCTAGCTGGGATATAGTATACGATGAATGTAATGTACCTCATGCAACCAATAAATCAAGAAATGAAAATTTTATCAAGATTTGTGTGGCGTTGCAATTTACTTGTACAGTTTACTCGGTACAGTTCTAACTTGGTGGCTTCAAACCATAGACACTCGGTCAAAGCTCTAGTCTTCGCAAGATATGTATGTACCAGATGGAGATAGATAGAAGCCTGGAAATAGCCTGAATTGATAGACTTTATACCGCTCGACCATTCATGTAGATCTGTTTGAGGATATTCGTGAATGACAGACTTGATTTGCCGTCTAGGGGGGAGCCATTTTAGCTTCTTGACGAGCCTCTCTTGCCAGAACTGAGATGGGTTTTGTGACCGCGTAGACCCGAGATATCCCGGACAGTCGAAACTTTTAATAAGATATTGTTGATCGTTCCATATATGTCTGAGATATCCTGAAAGGTCAACCGGCCGGTGAAAGGGTTGGCCGAAATCATTGTCTGCGGACTCATCCATATTTCCAGTTGCTTCATTTTTTTTGGTTTCATATTATCTTCATTGTTTGGACGCCTCGACTTTCTTTAGTTCCTCCCTATATCCGAAAAAAAAACGTCAGTTTGTGTTTCGTCGAGCTGGTTGGGGAAAAGAGGCAGGTCAACCAAGCCGCCCAATCAACGCACTTTAGCTGCTTGGAGAAATCCTCGCCGGCATCATCGTCATCCCAGCTCTCTTCCCAGAGATGCCCGTTGTTTCCATTCGCCTGCTCGGCTTCTTCTTGCGGCCAATCTAGCGGTATCACGGGTCTGTTAGCGGAGCTGCACAAGCAGAAGAGCCAGCAAGGCTGCGCAAGGGCAAAAATGGCTCACCCTCAACGGGGAAATCTTCGAATTCGTCGTCTTCCTCCAACACGGGGGGCTTCTGTTGCTGAGGCTGTTGCGAGGCTTCAGCCTGGTTTGTGGATTGTGTTGTGTTCGACATGGTGGACAGGGGTAGTGCGCGGGTGCCTGGATGCGTGGGTGCGAGGGTGTGTAGATGTAGTCAGGTTTTTTCCAGAGATATAAAAAAAAAGACAATCACCAAACTATCTAGACTCTTGATGTTTGCAAGTTGGCGGAGTTAGAAGACGGTTGATGGACAGATGCTGGCGGATGCACGGACGATCCCAGGTTTGGAGGTGTGAGGAGCTGGGCGGGCCACCCCTCTAGAGCTACTTGGTACGTACTTTGAGAGGGGGGCTTACTCTGTTAGCAGAGGCAGACTCGCCCACAAGGTATTCGATCTAGAAAAGGGCCTGAAGCCTTGGAAGGTCTCATCTCAGGTAGATTACTAGATTACAAGCTATTAATTCTCCCCGTCAATACGATAAACGTTCGCTGGTCCGCGGAGACTGGCTGGGAGCCATATGCCGTCGCAGTCGCCAGAAACCAGGGACTGTCGTCACTTGTACCAAAGGGTACGATCGCAGGGACCCGGACTTACCGGCTGTATAACTATAAGCGAATCCGATCAGTGAATCAAAATCTGACAGATTGTCTCACCCAGCCTTGCCCCTCAACTAGCCGTTTTTCAAAAAGTCGGTGCTCCAGAAAGTGTGCCTGGGAGCCTCACTCATCCGCGTGTTCCCTATCTGAGGATTTATAGCTCCATCCCACCGTCAACTTTGGAGACTCCTTCCTCTCAGCCAGACAGCTGTCAGGCGCAGGGAGATCACTGGTAACGGCTAGATCTTTCTTACCGTGGCCCTGATAGGTGTAAGACCCTCTCTAGGACCTCTTGCGACCGGTCAATATGTTTCGAGTGGGCACTTGGCTCTCTGGCAAGCGTCTAGGCTCCAATGCCTCGACGCCGTCGATCGATGTTTCGACAGATTTGCGAGACCGTAAGTTCTCATGGATGATCCGATTCACTGTTGCCCGAAGCTAATGCTTGTGTTTCACTCTCAGTGGAAGATGCCATGCAGTGTACGTTGTCGGAATGTTGCGGATAACGCTTCTGTGTGCGGGGGAGCTTGCGTGCTGATATGCCAGCGGATTAAGCGGCGTCGTTGATTCTCAACGATGACGTTGACGGGGCGGAATCGGGCCTTGCTGAAGGGGATTCGACCTTCCATAAGGTACCTTCTTTTATATATATTTCTGTGTGGAATTATGTCTATATGGTGCTAATGCGTTCCCTTCCGAATCCGTATAGCTCGGCAAGGGTGTTGTTGCGTTTGTTCGGGCGACACTTGGCTTCGAGCAGGAGGTTATGCGACAAGGTCAGTCGGACGAATTCTAAATCACACTTCATCGCCCCTCTGTCTGGAACTGTTCCTGATATCGATCAGCATCGGAGCGCTTGACTGAAGCCGAAAGCGGCGCTGCCAGTGACCAGTCCAGAGCACAGAGCCGTTCTCCTCACGCCTCTAGATCGGAAATATATGCGCCTGGTACCGAATATGTGCTCTGCCAGGCAATGGCACAGCTCATGGGTGCAGTGGTCGGGGTCCTGAACGAGAGCTTGACAGAGAGTATCCGAGGTTTCTATAAAATGAGAAAGGCTTATCTGGCTCTGGACAGCATTCTTCAGATGGAAGAGAAGTTTATTCAAGAGCGGGAGTCGCGGCTGTCGTACTCTATTCAGTCCAGCGTGTCCTCTCAAACAATGATTTCCTCGGCTGGAGAGACTGTCATGACGACGACAAGTTCCCTCACACAGGTCCAGTCCTTTGAGATATCAAGCGAGGAATCGCCCGACCCAGACTCGTCCGAGTTCCAGACGCCTCCTACAGAACCGCTTGAAGGCTCGGAATTGTCTGAAAAATTGGCTGACCTGGCAGTTGGGGACGCAGATGCTGATACACCCACATCGACTGGAAATTCATCCCCGAGCGTCGCGGCGATGTTTAACTATGACCCGAATTCTGATGTCTTCAAGAATAAGATGGATGTTTTCATTCACTCTGGAGCCAATTGCTGTTACGGTGTGCTTCTCTTGCTCATTTCGATGATCCCGCCTGCTTTCGGCAAACTGCTGGGCATCATCGGATTCCGTGGTGACAAGCAGAAAGGGCTGCGGATGCTATGGCAGGCCACCAAGTTCCACAACATGATGGGTGCCATTGCAGGCTTTGCGTTGCTCGGCTACTACAATGGATTCGTCCGCTACTGTGATATCATGGCCGACGTGGGCCCTGGGGAGGATCCAGAATTGGCGGGTTACCCACGGGATAGACTGACGGCTCTCTTGACAGAAATGCGCGAACGCTATCCGGACAGTCAGCTATGGATCCTAGAAGAGGCCAGAATGAAGGCGGCGAATAAAAACCTCAAGGGCGCCTTGGAAATGTTGACTACCGATGTGCACAGTCCCCTGAAACAAGTCGAGGCTTTGAAGTATTTTGAAAAGAGTCTGAACTCGATGTACCTCCACGAATACGAGTTGTGTGCCAAGTCTTTTATGAAGGTATGGCTTTCTATTTTCCCCTAAAATTGGATCATGAACTAAATTTTGATTTTCCTATCTTTTTCAGTGTGGTGAACTTAACAATTGGTCTTTGGCACTGTATAACTATATCGTGGGAGCTGCGCATCTTGCTCTCTATCGACAATTAAACAAAACAGATCCTACTACTGCGTCTAAGCATGCCGAGAAGGCCACTAAATACTTCAGGCTCGCTCCTACTACGGCGGGGAAGAAACGATTCATGGCTCGACAGTTGCCTTTCGATCGCTTTGTGACCCGGAAGGTTGCCAAGTGGGAAGCTCGATCCAAGGAATGGAAGGTACCGCTCGTTGACGCCGTTGGGGTCGACCCTGTGGAGGAGATGATCTTCTTCTGGAACGGACACAGCCGCATGACAAAGGAACAGCTTGAAGAGTCCTTATCGAAGCTGGCTTGGTGTGAGAGTGACGCCAATCCCCAGTGGGCTCTGGGAGGTATTGAAGAACAAGCGATCCTAGATCTCCTCCGGGCGGCCGTTTACCGTTCCCTGCGCCGCCACGACGAGGCCAAGGAGATACTTCAACACCGCGTCATGAACCACGACAAGTCGCTCTTCAAGGGGAATCTCAAAGACGACTGGATCCTTCCCGTCGCCCATTTCGAGATGGCGGCTAACTTGTGGATGGAACGGCCGACATACATCGCAGCCCACGGCCCGAGTGTGAAGCCCCCATCGTCATCCGATTCCAACTCGTCCACGAGTACCATTGAAGAAATGGATAGCTCTCTCGAAAAACGGAAGGTGCGCGAATGCAAAGAACACATAGACCAAGCGGCCAAATGGGAGAGTTACGAGATGGAGGCCCGAGTGGGGATCAAGGTCACATCTGCCCTTGATGCCATTCAAAAATGGGAAGCCATACACTCCACCGTGGGCAGCTCGCAAAACCTCTCTAAATAGATATCTACCGAGATTTCTATATATATTTTGGCCGTCACATTTTTGGTATTGTTCAGCTGGAGTCCTATTTTGCCTTTGGTTAAGGGGGGGTGTTTGTTTTCCTCTTTTAAAGAATAGACGATGTATATTGGAGATTACTATAAATAAGCAGAGTAATCTACATCAGGGACTGAATGACCTCCATTGGATGATTTCCATTGAATAATCTGTAGAGTCGTCCTGCCCTAAGAAAATCCGGCGCTCTTCTCTACACATGCCGCGCAGCCGAAAAGCCCAATCAACGCCTGTATTATCCTGTATTATCCTGTATTATCCAACCAATCGCCCCCATGCTCAGTTCGCCTATCACTTCTGACCGGATTAACGGCAAGGCATTCAGCCAGTCAGGGCACATGCGGAGGAGGCAAAGCTTTTATCGGGGGCCAAGCCTATCGCCGAGCCCAAACCGGAGGTGACGTCTGATGGAGTGCTGCTTTGGACAGGCCGGCTGGCCGAGAGCGGGTAAATTTCCGGTGTTTGAAGAAGCCTGGATTGGATATTCTTTCTTCCCTCTTTTTAAATAGCTTGGAATACCCCTGATGAAAAGTCTGCCGAGGGTTTTTTTATTTGAGTTGTTGCAGTGTTCCACGAGTTGGACAGTGACTGCTTATCATTCGTTACACCACTCCACGTGCTGCTGAATCGATAGGAAGATCACTACCATGCCAGCCGACGAACGGTCTGTCGCTTCGTCGGCAGCCTCGGAGGAGGAGTACGACTACTCCATAGACGAGGAGGGCCGATTTGAGCCCACGACGACGCCTGGAGCTGCAGAGGCCGCGCTGGAGAAACAGACCACGGCCGCATCGGGGACGTCCGCGCTCGAGCAGCGGGCGCAGTCTGTGATTTCGAGGATCCGAAGCCGTGAGCCGGGCCAGATCGCACGGTTCACGCATCCACTGTCGCACACCAAGACGCTCGACGATGTGATTGTCGATTTCGATGGGCCGGACGATCCGTATAGGCCGCTTAATTGGGGGTTCTGGAAGAAGGCGGTTACGACGGTGCTTTACGGGTTGACGACGATGGGTACGTTCAACAATACCAATCCGATGGAAAACTTGCTGGTTCTCGTATGAGCTAATGGATTTCTTGCTGTGTAGGCGCTACATGGGCAAGCTCTGTGTACGAAATACAACTACTCGTCCCGGTTCTTTTCGTTTTCGTCTTCGTACTGACCAAACTACCAGTTACTCGCCGGGCGTCGATCAAATTAGCAAAGAGTTCCATATCGGAACGGAAGTTAGCACACTCGGCATTGCGCTTCTGCTCTTCGGATTCGGATTAGGTAGGGACTTGAACCTGTCACAATACAGTTACTGCAGGTGTTTTATTCTTTCGGTTTCAACAAGCTCACGCATCGGTACGTCTTTTAGGACCTCTCATCTGGGCGCCATTATCAGAGCTGTACGGCCGGAAACCAGCGGTGCTTGCTCCGTATTTCGTGGCGGCCGTCTTCTCGTTCGGTACAGCGGCTGCCAAGGATGTGCAAACGATCATGATTACTCGCTTTTTCACTGGGTTTTTTGGCTCCGCCCCCGTCACCAATACCGGCGGCGTGTTGAGTGATATCTGGACGCCGGAACAGCGCGGGGCCGCCATCGTCGGGTACGCCATGGCGGTCGTTGGCGGGCCTGTTCTGGGGCCTATCGTTGGCGGCGCGCTCACGCAGAGCTATCTCGGATGGCGATGGACCGAATACGTATGGAATTCCCAATAACTAGTTCTTTGTGTCAAAACGAAGTAAGCTGTGATAACTAAGTCTTGGTTTCTTTCCAGATCACTGGCATCATGATGATGCTATTTCTCATTCTCGACATCATCTTTCTGGACGAGAGCTACCCGCCAGCCCTCCTTGTCGCAAAGGCTCAAAGACTGCGGTTTGAAACGGGGAACTGGGCCCTCCACGCACGCCACGAGGAATGGGACGTCAGCCTCAAGGAGATCGGCAACAAGTACCTTGTCCGTCCGTTCCAGCTGTTGACAACGCCAATCTGTTTCTGCGTCGCGCTATATGCCTCTTTTGTCTACGGCATCCTCTACCTCAGTCTTGCGGCCTTCCCCATCGAATTCGAAGAGATCCGCGGGTGGAACCTAGTCGTCGGCGCGCTTCCCTTCCTAGCCTACCTTGTGGGCATCCTCTTCGGTGCCGCCGCCAACCTGCTCAACCAACGGTTCTACGTGAAGCGCTTCAAGGCGAACAACAACCGGGCCGTGCCCGAAGCCCGTCTCCCACCCATGATGTTCGGCTCAGTCTTCTTCGCCGGCGGCCTGTTCATCTTCGGTTGGACTGGCTCCAAGGATATCCACTGGATCGGCCCCGTCATGGGCGCCGTGAGTATGGGCCTGGGCTTCTTCACCATCTTCCAAGCCGCCCTCAACTACCTCATCGACACCTTCCAGAAATACTCCGCCAGTGCCGTTGCCGCAAACACCTTCCTCCGGAGCGTGTTCGCAGGCACCTTCCCTTTATTCGCCAACGCGATGTTCCACAAGCTTGGCGTCGACTGGGCCGCTAGTGTCCTCGGTTTCTTCGCCATCGCCCTCATCCCCATCCCCTACATCTTTTACATCTATGGCCGTCGTATCAGAGCCAAGGGCAAGTGGTCCAGAGCATCTGTTTATTGATGTGCTGTTTCTTTTTATTGTGTTTTTTTTCTTTCAAAAAAAAAAATCAATCTGCGGATACCATTCTTGTTGATTTGGGTCTCTACCTACTTGCATCACTTATGATTGGCATGATCATGCATTAATTTATAGACAGCGTTGGTTTATTTATTTCTGGACATATTTCATGTATAGAGGCAGTCAATAGTATGCAGCATGCCCTCACTATTGGCACATGTAATTAAAAGCAGCAGATGTTGCACTATTCTTATATTCTACAAAAAAAAGATTTGAGAAACGACAGACACCATCACATAGCTTTAGTCTAGATGCCTAGCTAGAGTAAAATTACACGCAGATATGCGAAATGATGAAAAAGAAGAAACAAGCCCGGCCGAAGTTAAGAGAGGACCATCGTATCATCATTATCCGCCTCGTCGGCGTCCAAAACTCCAAACTCCCAATCCCCGCGTTCAATCCGGCTCACCCGGTCCAACTCGGCCTGGAACTCGCGGCGCAGATGGTCGAGCGTGACAATCACGCGCCGCACGGGTCCCCCAATATTGGTACCCGATCCCGAGGCCTTGCTGTCCCGACGACCAGAGGCAGGGGTATTAGACACCCTGAATCCAGTGCCGGAGCTGAGGCGCCGCCCAGTCGACCCGATGGACGATTTGAGATCCGTGTCCTCCATGAAGACATTGCCGTCCTCGTCCTGCTGGGCGGTGCTGCGCCGTCGTCCGTCTGTGGAAAGTTGTTGATGATGGCCTTCTTCTTCTTCCTCCCTCTCCACCAGGATGTACGCCTCGCTCTTGTCCACACAGGCAAGCAGGTTGATCAAGGAAAGCAGCTCCTGGCGGATTTCCTTGCTTTCGGGATCGTCTTCTTCAACGGCGGGCCGTGGCTCTTCTCGGTCATGTGCTTTGATGAGGGCACGGCCTGAGGAAGGAGCATCCCGGGCCTCCCGTAAGCGTTGAACATTCCGATACGCAACCTCCGCGGCGCCGCGGTAGTCGTTTCGCGCTATGCGGTACGCTTGCAGGAGCCTGGTGTAGTCCGGTGCATTACTCGCAGCTTTCCTCCCGCCATCTGTGAGCGAGGTGAAGGAGAATTGCTTCTTCGCTAGCGACACTAATGTTTCATCCACATGTGAGGCGATATTAGGCATCAGTGCAGTAGGGAAATGAAGAATCTCCCGAAGACCGGCCGTGCTCGGTTCAAATGTAGAGAGGATTTTCTCAATCAGAGAGCCAAGGGCGGCGCGCTGCAAGGCGACATCTCTGTATCGCGAAAGAGCCGAGTAGGCCTGGTCAAACTGGCAGGTTTTCAGAGAGGCATGGAACAGGCGCAATAGAAGATCGGTACGCATGTCGGTGTATTCCCGGTCCTGCTCGCTTCTGTTCTCACTTTCCAGTGCTTGTAATGCAAGGCTGGCAAAATCAGCCACATACGAGAACGCTCGAGCTTGCTCAAAGAGGGAGAGGATATGTTGGAAATATTTCGGTAGGCCATTGTTGAAACTATCCATGGCAACAACGTCAAGAAGCGTCGAAGACATTTCGTGTAGATTCCCGATAGCCCTTCCACAGGCTTGGGGGAAAAGTGTTAGCCAAAAAATATATATCTTCGTGAGCAAGCAACCGAAAACTTACAGAGAAGGTATGCGGCCTTCTGGAAGTAGAGCGCTGCGGTGTCGAAATCAGACATCGACAAGTATAGGCGGCCTTTGGCATAGGTTGCCCATGGTGTGCTGGGCTGGAATCGAAGGAAATCGTACGCGAGATCGATGTTGTTATTGGCAATCAAGTTGCATTGGATATGAACCAAGGCATTTGGAAAGGCGACTTCTCCCTGGCGAGTGACCCACGTTAACAGATCACGGATACCAAGAGTCAAGGTATGGCTCTGCGGGCTCTTGGCATTTGGATATGGTTTGATGGGATGGGCGAACATGTCCTCGAGGATCGTTGCCTCTCTCTCCTTCTTGCCCTGCCACTCTGGCTCCTTGAGCGAAAATGTCGGGGCAGATGTGTCGGTAGATGGTTTAGAAATTCTGCTCGAACACTTTCGAATGTTGGCCGAAAGCCAGGCCATCATCTCATACTCTTTCAGAATATCAACCAGAGTGATGTAGAAGTCCGCAAAATCAAAGTCAGAATCCTCCTCCTGATTCACTTCACTCTCAAGGAATGTTATGAGCAGAAGAAGATCGAAGAGGATTTGACGGGTGTGTAAAATAGTTTCTTGAGCTCCGCTGACCATCACAGCAATTCCAAAATGCGTTGATGAAAGCTCCGAGTCCTTGCCATGGAAATGGTTGGGGATGGTAGCTATGATGGTGTCAAATAGATTGCTCGGCAGCTTATAGATATTCATGTGTTGGTTCAAAGCTGCACATAGGCCGTCAAACGTTTTGTCGGAAATCCGCTCTCCGAAGTTGCATCGTGCCTGAAACTCTGCCATCCGGTCAGGAACAGAGACACTGGGATCAGAAAAGATCTCAACCTCTAATGCGGCCCAACAATCCGCCGCGAGATCAGCAGAAAAGCTTTTTCGGAAATCAGAGGCAATATGGATCAGGCTTGACGCCTGATCATAGAAATTGCCGATTTCAGATTCGACGCTCCTATGTTCCCAGCGATCTTGGATCCTGAGTGCCCCCTCTCGAAGTTCTGTGCCAGAATTGTGCAGCAGTAATTCAGTAGAGCTACATTCGCGGATCAACGCGCAGCTGTCTTGTAGGAGCACCCATAACAAGTCATTGTACGAGTCATACGCCAGGGAAAGTGCATCGAGTCTCCTTCGGTTAAGGTCTTCTGCAACCTGCCAAAACTGACGCCATTTCGTATCGACATCCGTCGCATACCGGGAAAAGTCCAAATCATCCTCGGCATACTTGCGCAAGGATACAGTGGGCGTGATGGTTGCGCATAAGCGTTCCTGAAGTGGTGTGTTTCCCTTGGGCAGACCAGAGGCAGAGAGCGGGTTTAGCGCTTCTTGATAGATAGCCAGAGCTGTCTCCAGGACTTCCGTAGGGTATCTTCCAGGCTGCAAGAAATACTGCATCCACTTCGCAGTTGGATCGACGGTATCAGACGCAAGTGTGGGAGGGGGATCCTCGCGACGAGTCTCCAGGGCGGTTGATACCCAATTGTTCTCCCAATTCGACACCAACGTTTGGAAATCAAAGTGTAGGGTGTAGATCTGATAGAGGCTACTGTTTCTCCACAAGATCCAGAACTCCATTCGCTTTCCTTCCTCCATCGACTTGATCTGGAAATCGGCAATACTCCAGAACATATTTCCTGACGGGTCCGGGTCAATAGGTCGCAGAACAGCCTCCGGGAAAAGATCTTCGATCACCAATTGTGTTGTCAACCCTCCCTTGACAGCCCAGAACTTGAAGCGGCCATCTTCAAACGGCGAATACGTGACCACAAAGTATCGATACCCACCATCAATGGCTCTCTCAGCGTTGAAGACACGAATGAACGACGACTCCGAAGGATTCAAAGAGTATTGCGATCCATCGTGTTGTTGAATGTCTCTGTCCAGAAGATCCCTCGACGCTACCAGCTTTTTTGTCGTAAGATTCCAGATTTTCAAAGTGTGGTTCAGGCAGATGGTGAACACATAAGTTTGATCGGATGTTGTAGCAATAGCATTGGCCACGTTCGGATCGAGGTTTCGTCCCTGGAACTTGATAGACGGTTGTGCGTGCCATTTAACGAGCCCGCGAATCGATGAACCCCAAGTCCGTTCGTCGAGAGTAAGCGGAGACCAGTGCGAGCCTAAAGTATTGCAACAGGTTAGATTGTGTCAATTGCAGACACGAGCATAAAGAACTAAAAATAGGAGGACCAACCATCATCACCAGCCCTCCTGGTCAAGTGTAGGAGCGAGCCGTTATCCAAGGCAACGAACAGTTCCAAGGGGCTGCTCGCATAGAGTCTATGAGGATGAGAAAACGCCAATGGCGCTGGAATGCACGACTTGCACCAGTCCGATACATTCTCGTCAATTGCCGCTGCTCTGCGGAAGATTTCCGGCCGCAGTGTGAGGGTGTGCAGTCGTTTTGAGACCGTGATCACAAACACGTTCAGCACCTCGTGTTCCTCCAAGTCTGCGAAGGCGACGCCCGCAGGGATGATCTCTTCCTGAAAATCCAAGCGCAGAGTATTGACATATTCACTGTGATCCACGCCGCTCTTCGCCAGATCCGTACACTGAATCTCTAGCACCCGGTTCCCTTCGACCACCCTCCATAGAAACGTCCGAGGGTAGATCTTGCGCTTGCGAAAGTAAACCGAGCTCTGGGAGGCCAAGAACCGTCTGGCAAATTCTTCTTCATCCTTAGCAATCGTAATATCGCGGCCGGCGAAGGGCGTCACGGCAAACCGAGCTCGACGCGGCGCGCTGCTCTCTTGTGTTGGGATCTGGATGTTGACGGTGGTCTTGGGCGAGAATGGGCGGAGGTCGACCCTGGTCTCCTTGTAAAGCTTCACCATTTTCTTTTCAAACTGTGACAATAAATACCAAGGCGTCCGGTCTGTAAGAATGGTTTTCTTCAGGAATCCATGGTCGGAGGTGCAAAACAAGTCGGTTGCCGACAGCAGAGCCTCTGAGGTGGAAAGCTGAAGCTCTGATCCCGCTCAAAAAAACATGGTCTTGGCGCGAGCCTGGCAACGCTCGACAACAAGTTGCTAATGAGCAATCTGAAATCAGATACTCTTCCTATATTCACTGTTGATTTTTTGTTATTGAAGTTTATATGACTGATTCAATTCTCAGTAATCTTTTATGGTAATTTATACATTATTTTCGGTTTATTTTATATCTTAGTCCTATGCAACTAAACTCACAGCTAAAAATATAGCAATGCCATCCATGAACACTTTCTAAAGTACTGGATATTTGAGAGACATGCGGTATCGTGTTTATCATGATGAGGGGTAGTGTTCATGAGGTACAACAGCCAGTTGATGCTATCTTTAATCATTCTCCATGTCCTTCGGGCTCGGGTCGCCGATGCCGTCCTCGTTGATGGCAAAGAGACAGTCGCTCTCGGGTAGGCATGGACTGTCGTAGATTTTGCAAATTCTGGTTTCGCCGCGTCCCTTCTTAAGACTCAGTCGGGTGGTACTGGCATGCGCGATGATATTCCCACCGATCGGCTTCTTAGGATCAGGGTTGAACATAGCACTGGGCCCACCGTCCACTTGGGCAACCACTTGGTTCGTAATGACGACCGCAATACCGAACTCATCAGCCAGGCGTTGCAGTGTACGCATAAATTTGGCCAGATGAGTCTGTCGATTTGAGAGCTCACCACGGCCATTAAAGTCTGTTCGATACAGCGAAGTCGCGGAATCGACCACGAGAAGCGAAAACCGTGTCTCACACATCATCTGTGATGCTTGGTTGAGCAGCTGAAGTTGGTGGTCAGAGTTGTAAGCGCGAGCATAGGCCACATTGTCCAAGACTTCTTCGCCGACAAGCCCGTAGCGCTGGGCAACGGCCAGTAAGCGCACCGGTCGAAATGTGCCCTCGGTGTCGATATATAAGCATTTCCCTTCGCCACCCCCCAGGTCAAACGGAAGCTGGCATGTAACCGCAAGAGTATGACAAATTTGACTTTTCCCCGTTCTAAACTCTCCAAATATCTCCGTGATAGAACCGGTCTCTATGCCACCGCCTAGCAGGGTGTCGAGCTGCTTAGAGCCGGTGGTTATGGATATTAGTTCGCTTCGACGGGCGTGCATCTCCGTAGCTGTAGTGAACCCCATTGGAACGAGTTTTGACGCTATTTAATGGCCCTGGTTAATCGAGGACTGGCCTTGAAGAGTGTAAAAACAATGATATCAGCTTACCTTCGATGAGAATTTTTGTAGCCTTTTGCTCTGAGATACCCTTGATTTGCTCCAGAACACGCTTTGGCCTACATTTCTATTAGAAAAAGAGAGCACTGCGATTTACAGATGCAACCGGATCGAGATAGGCTGACGGCAGAACACATACGTATAAGCGACAGATTCGACTGTGTGAAAACCCGCATCAACAAAAAGCTTGATATCTCTTGCTGTCAAACCGGAAATACCCTATGGACTCCTGTCAGCAACCGGTATATTCAACCAACAGCTTCAATAACCAGTACTCGGGTCTGATGTTCGGCTCAAGTCCAAGGGCCGGTGTGTCCTCACCTCCAAAGCTGAGAGCGGGGTAGGTGCTCCGGGACCTGGGAGACCGTTCTCATCATATTCATTTTGTGACTCCATTTCTCCGGCCATGGTACCAGCCAAATGGGTACGAAACCGACTGCCAGGAGCGTCTGTTCAATATGTCTGACCGAAAACCGTGTACGCGAACTGGCACGCGTCTTCACTTCAATTGCAAACAGTTCTAGCAGCACTGGCAAGGTTTGGCCAGATGAGACTTAAATCTGGTGTAAAGAAAATTAAATCTCTGATAAATTCGGCTCCTGTACTTTTAGAATTAGATTGTAGCAGTCAAAGTCGCAGGAGACTTTTTCTACGGCGTGAATCTTGTTGAGAGTTGAACGCGTCGTGGTTGTCACGAGGTCATGTGACCCGACCAGGCACCAATGACTCAGAAGTCAGGACTGTCGGGCATGTCAGATGAACTATAACAGCAGCGAGCATCGGGACAAGAAATTGTCTCTGATAAGCACAGACTTTTATTTTGGGTTGATAACTATGTATGGAGCTATTTCCAAGTGGTCCAAAGGCAACCGTCTCGTTTCTTGGTAATGCAGCCCACGCTGGTTGCATAAGGCTAAAATCTGGGCGCCCTCGACGATCTACTGGACACTTGATATACCCAAACAGCAGCAATTCAATGGTGCTCTTCTTGCAGACCTCGCTGCATATCCATCCTTCCACTGATCCAAATTTTCATTACTTTTCAATGTCCCGAGAACAATCTAGTTGTAGTTGCGGGGCTGAGACAAGATTTTGTTCAGTTTCTTTGATGCCAGGTTCAGTCATGATGAATACCACAAACCTGGTACCGGTTCCTTTTGCGCTGTGGCGACATTTGGATGATGCATCAAGACATGGTATGGGGTCTGTACCCGAAGTAATCGGCTGGCTCTGCTAGTCCCTGGCGTGAAGATCCTGGATAGTAAAATACTAACAGTTAGCCTTCATGCGGCATATCTTGCTTTCCAGAATATTTTATCACTATAGCATGTGCTCTAGAAACTCGTCTCTTTGCAAACCCTGACTAAGGGATCAATCGCCCTTTGTTGAGCAAGGAAACATACCTTCCATATTTGTCTGACATCGCGTGATGGTATTCGTACCAGGGGAATAATCGATCTCGTTTCTATTGAGGCGGGCATCCGTGCTGATCTGATCAACCTGATCAAGCTGCCTCAGCCTTGTGCGTTGTTGATTCAAGACTCCTCGGCGGTTCAAAGCAGCTATAGCAGGTTTCTCTACCACGCTTTGACTGCTACCGGACTGGGCCTCCAATGCTCCAGGATCATATGGCGTGAGCGGCTGGGATTCCTGTGGAGTCCCAGGCTGATACGGGCTAGGCGCAGGTGTGTTGTGGTTTGAAACCCAGATGCCTTCAACCTGTATTCCTTTCTCCAGGGCTCTTGCTCCAAACGGTATGTCGTTGTCTTTAGGTCGATGCGAAATCCCCTCGAGCTCCTCCTGTTCTCTCTGGGCTGCTTCAGCTGCGGCATACCTTCTGATTTTTCGCTTATTGTGGGCGAGAACGCAAAAAGAGTAGGCAAACACAATCACCTTTATTGTCAGCGAAACGGGATGGTGCCTAGGTGATAAGTTGACCTACAATAAGGCATCCGAGCACCTTCATTACCAAACTGTTAGTAAAAGGCAAGGGGCTATTTGGCAGTGGAAAAAAAGATCTTACAAAGGTCATCTTCTGCCATAACTGCCATGGCGTCCAAAACTGCATTATTCGCACCTCAAATGTTGTATGTGGTTGGAGGTTATATAGCAGGGGTTGACCTCCCTAGATGCAAAGTGAAGAAACCAGTGGGAAGTTAGGGGGTTAAGGATTGCTTCAAGGTGTTCTCTCGGCTCGAACGTGACCAAGTAATGTTTTCAAGATGGCAAATGATGCAGTCGTCCTTTCAGTGAATCCAAGTAAGCCTGGGCTGAATGACAAGATATGTCCGTTGTGCAACACAAAAAGGACAAGACAGAACAATCATGCCATCAGCTATATCTCAATACTTAGATATGGGTATCATCAGTCTAGGCAGAAGGGGCCATTGTGTGGCACTTTCCATATTCTTAATCCAAGGTCCACCAGTTGTAGTCCCAGTGCTTCGCTCTTTCCGCTACCATCAGTAGGTACAAGGAACTTTATGACAGGTACATATGCGCTTTACGGCCCTTTTCTGTAGGTTGTCCAGAGATCTACTTTGAGTTTTCAAGCGCTACAGGATCAAACTACAAGAGTTATATTATAGTACGTAGGTAGGCACCTAGCCAGTGCCTAACCTAGGCACGCATTTGTACGAACCTGAAGTTCCACAACTGGAGATTGGAATGATATACCAATATTAAATACGGTCGATCAGATTGTATAAATATTAGAGACTGACAAAGTCAGCCTGAGGGGTCTGTAGGTCCTGGCTAGTGATGAGGAGTGTTGGTTGGAGTTGAAGTATAGGGAAATGCCCCAAAAACATTGGTGTTTTTATTAATATACATACCACGGGTCCAAAAAAAAAAAAAGAGATACGGTTGTCCAGCCAAACGGCTAGCTCTCTTGTAACAGGGCGGTGTATTCTGGTAACGCCATCCCAGGGTGAAAGTGTCTTTGCAGAATTGCTTCCCTCAAGGGTCACTTTCATTGCTTAGCGCCGTGTAGCATCGTGGATTACTCGCACGAGTACAGCGACGACCCCAGGATTCGAACCAGGCACCAGTCCCTGCTGGTTTGCACCGAAGCAAGGGAACCAGCCTAGCGACTAGCCTTCCACTAGGTTATCCGTGACAGATTAAGAATCTTTCCAGGAACTAAAATATAATGTTATTTCAACAAAATATTCCACACTCCAATCCTTCCACTTGTAGTTACTCCATATCCGTACTCCGTTGAACAATGAAACTGGTACCTAAGTATTTAAGAATTGATCAATGAGTTGTGTAGTCTGTACAACCACTGCGTAGAAATACCCGAATCGTTCGGCAGATATCTATTCCGCATTATACTTCCAATGCAGATTCCTAAATGCGCCATTGTGGATGGTGGAGGAGTGTTCCTGGTGGCAAACGCAGTTCTCTCCGACGGGCGATCAGAACGACTGGCAAGAAAATCCTGGCGATTCAATTTTTAAGACCTAATCGATCGACCTAAGGGTCCAAGATGGCGTCAGTGACGTAACCCTTCCCCTCCCATTGTCGCGATCGCTGTGCAATTATGCTCCGGCTTGTACAGGGTCAGGGTTGTATGCTCTTTTTTACCCCGTCGCGGATATCCGAGACTCCGATCATGTGAGGCCGATCTCCATCTTGGGAGTCTGTTGTCCTTCGACGATCGTATTTGGACCTTCTTCCCGTTCCCAACCCACTCTCATTAAGTATCTTTGATTTCTACCGCTTCAGAATGCCTCCCTTCCGCAATTTCTTGACCAGAAAATCTGCTGCGCCTGCGGATGGACCGGATTCCCCCGTTACCGATGCCAGCGGTCGTGTCTCTATAGATAACCCGCACACCGGCCCACTGAGTATCCGGAAAAGCTGCGACGATGTCAATGAATTCAAACTGAGTGGTATGCTTTACTTTCAAGAGAGACATTCCCTCCGTAAAAGGTTAATTGACTCTTCCTTCCAGTCGTCAACGATAGTGGCGTCTATCTTCCGGTATTACTTCTCCCCCTCTTCCCCTCCCCCTCCCCGTCTGCTACTCTACGTTTCACGATACTGACTTTTCCCTCGTCAACAGCCGTCGCCACCGGATAGACCGAGTTTCTGGCGTAAATACCCAGGCTCATCGAAGAGTGCGAACCACCACCGAGATCTTGTTGACGAGAACGAACCCTTTTCGATATCGCGTGAATCGTTCGACTCTTATCGCCGGTCATTCGTATGGCTCATGGAATCGTGGATCTGCCAACCTTCAGAACATGACTGATTCGTGTCTCGTTAGGATATCTCCGCTCGGTCCCCGATCAGCTACAACGATGCATTGCCGCCGCGGACGTCGCTTGACTCGCGGTTCTCACGGCTGACGTCACCTCGCGACCGAAGATTCAACTGTCCCGAATCGATGGAGGAAGAGGCGTTCGAAGATGTTGGGCTCAACGACGATGTCAAGCCCAAGAAAAAAGGCCTCTTTGCTCGGTTTGGTGACTCGTACAGCAACAGCGGCCAGGGTTCAAGCAACAACCAGCGACCGTCTTCGTCCCTTGGCTTCCACGTTCCTGGAAGGAAACGGGGACAAAGCGCCGTTGGCTCGGAGCTCGGCGCCATGAATTCGCAGGAGTTTAACGACGCCTGAGACTTGACGAAATCATGGTTATGAGTACATATTCTGACGGAAACGAACCAGGTGTTTTGGGCGCAATGAATGGCTAACTAGCATATATCCCCATTCTATGGCTTCCGGCATCCCTCGCTTCTCGCTTTTCATCTGGCGTATAGATATACGCCCGAGAGAGTGGCGAAGGATGTCCTTTTAGTCTTTAATAATAAGTGTGCTCGCGTGCACATGTACAGTGGACATGAGGGCCATATGTTCTTCTCAAACAGCTTCATTTATCTACATATTAATACTAAGCATATAATCATACTGATTTAAATTAGACTGTAAGCAGTTTCATCTTCTCAATTTTTTTTCTTTTTTTTGGAATAAAAAATCTTTTTGCTGTACCAAAGGTATCACCCAAAAGCGCAAAAAATGGTACACCACTTATCAGTAGGAGCCAAACAATGCAAACACAGCAATCCCACCCGGCGAAAAACTTCCTCCGGCGGTGATGGAGCAAAAAAAAATTACCGAAGCAGCAGCGTCTGGAGCCCTTCGACCTTAGTTTCTTTTACCAATTCTACTTTTTCCCTTCTTAATTTTACTTTAAAGAAGCAATGGTCGGTGTCAAGCGTCGTGTTGACGCTGGGGATGAGCGTGATGGAAAAAGAACCAAAGTCAAGGAAAGTTCCGCTTCGAAGAAGTCCAAGTCTGCGACCATGAAGAAGACTGTTTCCAAATCCGGGTCAAAGAAGAGCTCTAAGCCTGCGAAGGTGGACAAGAAGGCTAGCAAGAAGAAGAGCAAAAAGGAAGTTCAAAAGGAGGAATCAGAGGACGGGGATGAGGATGATTTCGACATTGATGATGTTTCGGATTCCGCAGACGATCTCGACGAGGAAGCGGACGATATTGATATGGAGGATGCGAGTGGTGATATCGCAGAGAGCGACGAGGAACAATCGAAGAGTGATGAACCTGTGCCCAAGAGTATGTTGATATGACCTATTCTCAAATGAAAGGATGCATTAGCTGACCTGGTCGTACCCTACTTCAAGGTAACAACAACAACAACAACTCTCGCGAATCGCATGCCAAGCAAAAAGCCCTTCAGCAAGAACGCAAAGCAGCAAAGCCGAATTCCGATATTATCGAACGTTCGAAGAAGCTGTGGGAGCGTCTGCGCCGCAAGTCTCATGTACCCCTGGAGGAGAGAAAGAAGCTCATTGCCGAGCTGTTTGAGATCGTCACTGGACGCGTAAAGGATTTCGTGTTCAAGCACGACTCGGTTCGAGTCATTCAGACTGCCTTGAAGTATGCCAACATCGAACAGCGGAAGCAGATTGCTTCTGAACTGAAGGGCAAATATCTCGACCTGGCGCAGAGCCGGTACGCCAAGTTCTTGGTCGGGAAGTTGATTGTGCATGGCGACGCCGAGGTTCGGGATACAATCATCCCGGAGTTCTATGGCCATGTCAAGCGATTGATCCGCCACCCTGAAGGGTCTTGGATCCTGGATGATATCTACCGGACCGTTGCGACGAAGGAACAAAAGGCACGACTTCTCCGAGAATGGTACGGAGCGGAGTTTGTGATTTTCGAGGACACCACCAAAGATCAATCGGCGGATCTCTCCAAGATCCTGGCAGAGCATCCGGAGAAGAGGGCGCCCATCATGCGTTATCTGTTTGAGATGATCAACCAACTTGTGCAGAAGAAGACTTCTGGCTTTACTATACTACACGACGCTATGCTGCAATATTTCCTTAACACCAAACCTGGGAGCACCGAGTCCAACGAGTTTGTCGAGCTATTGAAAGGTGACGAGGAGGGCGACCTGGTCAAGAATCTGGCGTTCACCAAGTCTGGTTCGAGGCTGATGTCGCTGTCGTTGGCATATTCGAACGCCAAGGACCGCAAGTTGCTGCTGCGCTTTTACCGGGATACCGTCAAGATGATGGCCGGCGACTTGCATGGCCACACGGTTCTTCTGGCGGCGTATGAAGTCGTGGACGACACCAAGCTGACGGCCAAGTCCATCTTCTCGGAGCTTCTCAACCAAGGCTCGTCCGCAGAGACACGAAACGAAGAGCTACAGTACCAGGTCACCGACCTGACAGCACGGATACCCATCCTGTTCCCGTTTGCTGGCGACCGGGTCAAGTGGCTCCTGACGGAGACCGACCAGGCGGTGTTGGAGGAGGTGCGGGAGATCCGCAAGGAGACGTCAAAGAAAGACCCGGAAACGCGTCGCCAGGAGCTGGTGCAAGCGGCGTCGCCCACCCTACTCGAGTTCATTGCCGCTGCTGCGGACTCGCTTCTGGACACCAGCTTCGGCTGCCAGTTCGTCACGGAAGTGTTGTTCGACGGCACGGGAGACAAGAGCGCCGCGCTGGGCGCGATCGCTACGGCAGCCAAGTCCAAAGCGGACACACAGGACGCCGCCTTTGTCGGCCGCTTGCTCAAGTCCCTTGTGCAGGGCGGACGGTTCAACAGTGCCGAGAAGAAGGTCGAGAAGGTCCAGCCGGCGCTCGACTTCCACACCCTACTCTACGCGCAAATCAAGGACGAGATCATGGCCTGGGCGACGGGGTCCAACACGTTCGTAATCGTTGCGATGGCCGAGTCGGACGACTTTGCGCAGCGCAACGAGCTACTCAAAACGCTCAAGAAGAACAAGAAGGCCCTTGAGAAGGCTGCGGCCGTCTCTGAGACCGGCAAAGATGGCAAGAAGAAGAGCGGTCCGACAGCGAGCGGCGCCAAGTTACTACTGGAGAAGATCAAATAAACAGTAGTACTACATATGAAGTAGTATACCAAAAGTCTCTGGGGTTGGATTGTTTGAGTTTCTTTTCGTCGGAGTTTCCAGGCATTTATTATCCCCTGTTAGACACCGAATTTGTACAGTCTAGATAACTATACCTACATCGATGCAATTTTTCCTTCATATTTTAACCTCTTTCCCCCCTTGAACCTACTTTTTACCCCTGCAGGAGTGCATATGGTGGTCTACTACCTAGGTATATCCCATGGATCCTGACATCAGAGCACTCCGTTAGGTACGTAAGGACGCTTTAACCTCTGGATGCAGTGGGGCGAACCACTTGGGTCCTACTTGGACTGTTTACTACGGAGTAATAGTTCCTACACAATACAAAGTAGATCTCGATTCAGGAGATCGGGGTTGTTTATTCAGGGTTCCTTATTGTTGTGATATCTTGTTGATCAAGTCTACAGAGTACAGACTACGGAGTGAATATCAGAAATAATCTCCTATGCAGAACCCCTAGACAAGACCCACGAGACCGTTCTGAACCGATCAAGGGTTTGGCTTGATAGTAAAACACTCGGCACAGATCGCTGCCCCTTTTGGCAAAATGGTGTTATTTGGGCGCCCGCCAACAGTGAGGTCTGAGTCGACAGCATTCAGTCCAACGAGACATTCCAATCTCTTCTGCTTACTTTAATTCCTTTTGTCATAGTGAACTACTAGCCCACTACTTAGCCTGTCTGTATTATTATTGTGTGGTGGACCGTGCTGTGCTGTTCTTCATTCACCACTCTCTCCCTCCCTACTGGCGTGTTTTTTTTTTCCCTGGGCACCACCAACACGTTCTGTTCCTGCGTATGGCCCCGTAGCCCGCCCTTTTGCACCGGCTCCCCGGTCCTTGTCTACTGGTTTTTACCATTGAGACTGGTTCTCCCTCCTATCAATACGCGCCGGGGGAACAGTTTCATATATATATATATACTGTGTCGTCACCATGTCGCTCGCGGGCCTGCGTCACCCGGCGTCTGGCGACGAGAGCCACGGTCACCACCAACATTTTGCGGTGGTGCCCCCTTCACCGACCCTGACGAACCCAGATATGATCCTACCGTTTGATGACGGGGAGCGCGAGTCTTCGACCCCGTCTCCTCCCTTCCAGCTGCCGTCGTTGTCGTCCCACCTGCAGTCGCTACACGCTCCCAACAACAGCTACAACCATAACAACACGTTGCATCACTCTCAGAGCGAATCAGGCGTGGACGGGACGCAGATCGGCGTTGCGATCTCGGACTCCGGTCGTCTGCAGCAGCAGCAGCAGCAGCAGAAGAGGGGATTCCAGCGACATTGGATGCATGAAAGCATCGATGCGAGCCGCCGATTGTCCGACATTGGCGAGGAAGATACGACGTCACCGTCGCACAACCACAATCCGACCACAACGCGATATCTCGAGCCACGGAACCAGGCCCAGGGACTATCAGGCTCCCCGACGCTGCGCGAACAGCTCTCCATGAAGGAGTCCCGGGAGGCGGAGGGCTGGAGCAGCTCGTCCAGTTCAACCATCAGTGGTGGCAGCGATGCATCGTCGAAATGGGTGGCGGTTAAGAATACGGGTCGGCTGGAGGGCGTCGCTCCGGCGACATCGGAGAAGCAGGCGAACACTCACGTGAGAAAGTCCTCGGTTCCCCGAAATAATGATGGCGCGGGGGCCGTCGAGCAACCTGGCGCAGAACTGGCGAGGACCAGGGCCGTGTCGGCGCCGGGAGAAGGGCCTGGGGAAGACCTCTCATCGACGATTCTGAGTAGTGAGGCGGAGAGGATTCTAGAGAATGCGAAAAAGAGGCTTACTGTGAGTTGGATTTGCATCATGTTATTTGAAGAAAGATCTCCAAAACTAACTGAAATGCGCAGCTGATGGAAGGCAATCTCAGCCGGGCTCGGTCGTCGGTGCGACTGTCACCGTCGCTCTCTCCAACGCCCTCGTCACCATCCTCTTCCTCTCCGCTTGGCCTTCATCAGCCTGCTGGAGGACTATACCAATCTATTTCTCGTACGGATCGCAAGTCTTCTGTTCTCCGCCCCCGTCCCACTCACGTCACAACCCAAGATGCGATCAACAGCCTCAACAACCGCCATTCGAGAGTCCAGAGCGAGATCAATCTGCCGTCAGCTTCCCAGTCAAGCATGCAATCTACCCAAGCCACACATCTGTCCCGCTCGGTCAGTGCAATGGGCTCCACCAGCCTTTCTCACCTGCGTAGCGATGAGAGGTCTTTCCGGTACGACCCTAGCAGAGCCTATCTCACTCATCGGGCATCCACGTCGTCAATCCGTCCACCAAGTGCAATGGAGGGGCAAATATCGTACTTGGAAGAAGGCGTGACGTCTGACCTACCCAAGGGGCTTGGGATCTTGACGGAGCCAGAGAATGGGAGCGTAGCGCTAAGCGGGAAATCAACGCCCTCTGCTGCTGCTTCTGCTGCTGCTAACAACCCACCCGCACGTGCACAATCCCAACTTCAGGTCCGGGATCTCCAAGACCAGATGAAGGGTCTCCATATCAAGATCTCAACGCTCAAAGTGAAAACGCAGGAAGACAACCTTCGTCGACGCAGCCTGCAATCATTACGTGGAACCAGTCCCTTCACTGCGGCCGATCAATGGTATACAAACTCCATGGAGTACCGTGATAGCATGAGCGAATTCCATACCCATTCGGAGCAATTGAAGCGAGAAGAAGGCAGCAGCAAGCCCCAGGCTGAACACGACAAGAATTCTTTTGTAGAGCGCAGCTCAACCAGCTCCGGCTCCAAACGGACGAGCACTCCTATCAACACGGCAAGAAACACGCCGCGTGCCCCGTCGGCTACCGGGTTGACCCATTTTGATGACGGAAAATCCACCGTAGAAAGTCTGTACGAAGATGCCGAGGAAGGCGACTATGCTTATGACGGATCAGATGGGAGTATCGATCGGGAGGCACTTGAGAAGATCCTACAAGAACCCTACGAAGACGAAGACCTGAGCGACTCCTTGGAAGCCTTTCCCCCGGTCCCGCACTCGCTGGATGCGACTCCACATGAGGAACGAGAGGATGCCTTTGACTATGAGCATTTTATCCTGCACAGCGCGTTGGGGAGCTATTCCCGCGCGAAGCTCCGGCGTTCAAGCCAGAGCTCGACGGGATCGACAGAAACCACCAGACCAGCGCACACGGGGCGACACTCACGAGCGGACAGCGTTGCCTCGCTGTCCACGGTTGCGACCTTTGCCACTGCGATGGAGGGTGACGACGACGACGACGATCTTGATAGCGTTCTCTATTGGGATCGGAAATTCACTGCCGGTGAGAAGAAATGAAACAAAAAACAAAAAGCAAAGATTTGAGTTTTCTAATTGCAATAGAATTGCGCTCTCAGCAAAGATACGTCGAACCAGACGCTCATCGAAAGAAGAACGATCCCACTTCGCCGTCTGAGACGACGCCTCGTCTGGCCTGGAAACAGGCCGGGAGCCGTCATGCGAATGGCTTCTCTTCGTCTTCCGGGCCCCCCACGTCCCAATCTCTTGCGACATCGTTTGTGTCGATGGTACGAGCCGGATCCCACTCGAAATCCGGCACTGCCCTAAACCAGGACGACGCGCAGGTCCTGGAGCAGCTGTTCCAGAGCCTGGGCAATGTCTGCATGGAACTGCAAGCCATCACCGTCGCGCCAGACCATGACCCGAAGGCTGTCCGGGTTCTGCGGCGCCGGCTGGATGCCGCTCGCAGAGTGCTCGACGGTGAACTAGATGCTTGATTCTATTTTTTCATTCTTTTTTTTTTCATATGTAATCCGTTTATATATGTCTCTCTTTTCTCTCTTTTTATTTGATATATGCGTGTCGTGTCGAGCGTTTGCTAACGAGTTGATGTTGACGATGCTTCTCGTCGACCTGTGGTCTTCTTTGTGATACCCGATTTTGATTTGATATGAGATTTATATGCTTTTTCTGACTATACTCCGTATATAGCAATATAACTGCCTGGCTATAGTTGAGTACCTACATAGTACATAGTACATGCTCTAACTATCAGTTGTACTACATAGTGTTGAGAAGTACCTGATTGCCCCTCACCCCGCGCCTGGTCTAGCCAATCATCGAGACCCGATCAACACGTCTCAATCACGGTCCTCTTATCAACGACGCGTTTACAGTCTAAAAAAAAGGTATACAGAGGCATTGTACAGGAGTGTGCATAGCCTATTCCAGCATTGTCATATGCTCCCTACATGTAAGTCAGACGAGTCAAGTGGATGGACTAGACTGACTGTTCAATTAGCCGAGAGATTTGGGTATGCATAGTACAAGTACATGCTACATACCACAAAACACATCACCCACCATGTCGCTCGCACGCCGTCTTTTGATCTTCCAAGAAACACGTAACCCTCAGACGGCAGAATTTGCCTACCTCCCCGTCAACCGGCTGGGTTTACCAATCTGCGGGGACGGGCCAGAGCTGCCCTCCATCCTCGAGCTACCGTTGCGCATCCTGCGAGCGTTTACGGATATCTTCAACCAACCGAAATACAAGGGGTGGTAAGAGAATAAACTTCACGATAAGTCGTTTTTTGTACTGTTTCGTACTGATGATTCAGGGCCGTTGTATCAGCAGGACCGTACCATGACACCTCGGAAGAAGGCAAATTCTACGCCGTGATATTGGAGCAAACAAAAGAGGCAGGGACTGACTTGGCGAGAAGTGTTTAGATGGATGTATTTACTGACATGATACTGTATATTAATGGTAATCTAGAGGACATGGCTTGCTATAAAACAGCAGTTCTGTAACTCTTCTAGCAGTTCTGTACCTCTTCTCTTCTTCATTTCTACCATTCAGTAGGTTTTGATCATGGATGAAGCAGACACACCGAGTTTGACAACAACAGTCAACGCTCTCCTCTGGCTGACCATGCTAATATGGCATCTCTTTAAACTATCCACTTTTCCTGCTGCTCCTCCTTCTCCCAGCATCAACACTGCTACTCCTCGTACTACTCCTCCTCCCAACTGTCCGTCTACAATGGAACGAACCCTCCTGCTCTTCTCCAAAATCAACGACCAGTACTGGCTCTCCAACGCCCCAGGCCTGCGTTTGAGTCCTCACTCCCCCCTCCTCTCCATGTTCGCCAACCCAGACGATCCAGACTCGGTCCTCCTCTGCACCGTTACGGATCTCATCCACAACGACCATATATATCATGACTAGTAAGTTACTATATGCCCTGCCTTGCATTAATCCCACAATGGCCATCTACTCATACTCTTATACTCCAGCCAATTCGTCGCCTACGTATCGAAAGAAACGCACTACGTCCTCCTCGAACGCAGTCGGAGAACACCCCCCTCCTCACCATCTACCTGCAAGTCCTCAGCTTCGTTCAAAACCGTCCAGACATCACTGCATATCTGTCCGTTTCCCACCAGAGACGATATCGAACTCGTCTCCTTGTCACTTGCCGAGTCGGTGCAGATGGACGAGCACCCTTCTCTGACGGAGTGTTTGGCTTGGTCTAGCTCGGAACCCTTCGATCCAAACGATAGTCTCACTGTGAATATCCCTGACTACGAAGAGAATGATAACGAGTCCGAGAATGGGATTGGGATTGGGGTCTGTGAAGCGAGGCTGATTTGGGATCTTGCCTAGTTCTTTTCTTTACTATCAACTATCTCCTGTCTCCTCTCTACTGTCTACTTTCTATATGCTACTCCTGTAATAGCGTTTGCCTGGATTTGATATTTCACAGACCAAGAGTTAATTAAGGCTAGGGCTAAGATAGAAAGAACGCCATGAAGTTTTACATGTTTCCTTCTCGCGTTGCTTTTTGTTCTGTTCTGTTCTTTTTTTTTTTTGTTTTTGTTTTTTCCCCCCCCTTTTGGCAAACCCTTATGAAATTGCGTCCCTAAGCAATCGGAGTCTGAGTGGGATACAGCAGTTTTGAGCCGTACCGCAGATCAAATGAGCGGGAATCCGTTGGGTCAAAGTCGGCAGTCTGGCGTTGTTCGAGAAATTGCGCTAAAAGAATTAAAGAAAAAGAAAAGTCAATTCAGTTCCGGTCATTTTAAATCTTGGTCGGAAACTTACGTGTGATTTTGATCGTTTCAAACCACTGGGTTGCATTCTCGTCGCTCCCTTCAATCGCCTTCAAGATGCCGTTCTCCAGGCTCGGAGTCGCCTTCGGAGGCAGGCTGCGCATCTTCAGCAGCATGTGCAAGATGTCCGAAAACCGTTCGCCTTGGTTGGCATAGTAGGGAGGGCGTTTATCGAGTGGCCACTGCAAACAGTCAGATACGGGAATTGATTTTTGTTCCCAAAGCAAGACAAGACCTACTCGAGGCGCAAAGTTCTCATGCTCCCAAGAACGGAAGAGCCAGCAGGTTCTCTCAACGCAGTTGAGCAAAATGATGGCAACCAGGAAAGTCTCGAACCAGCCGCTTTGCTGGCGTTGGAGCAGTCGGCGTTCCAGATCGTTCATGACGGACTTGCTCAGCTGCGAGGCACGTTTCTCGGTCGCGGCGCGGAGCTGACTGCACAGCAGCCCGTACGTTTCCGGGTTAGTAATTTCGTCGACCGGGATCCGCCCGTCGTCCGTCGGCTGGGCGAGCGTGTGCATCGAGGTCGGTGGGAGGGTTGGGTTAATATAGGTCTTCCAGCGGAGTTCCGAGTCGACCAGAACGTGAGTTGCAACCCAGAGTTCCAGCACACGCTCTAGCAAGATATCCTAAAAACTTCCAGTTAGCTTCAGTGCTCCGTCCATATATATCTCTGAGAGAGAAAGAGAGAATGTACCTTCTTCTGCTGACTCAGCTCAGCCGCTTTCAACAAGGTAGGCCTCATAAATTCCGAGCTCTCACGCTCGTAGAAAAAGGGCGCGGTTTTCTTGATGTACATCTCGAGCTTCCCAGGCAAGTCATCGGCATCGCTGTCCAGCAGATAGATTTCGTGAGGAGGCGCCTGGAATTGTGCATCGTCCCCAAGCCCTTGGAGCTGAGGATCAAGCGCGGACACCGAAGGTTTTTGACCCTGGAGACCTGTGAAGGTGACAAACACCAAGCTCTCTTCAAAATGGGTGACTTCGATGCGGCCCGCGTAGTGCTCGAACTTGACCTGATTCCGCATCCCACTCACATCATGATAGGCGAGCGTGGCGTGCAGGTTGGCATTGTACAGCTCAAATTCATCGGCGATGCGGGTACGGATGCACGGGTGTTTCCACAGACGAGCGCTCTCCACGCTGGCACAGGTGGTACAAGGACTGTCGCCGGAGCACTATACGTTTTTCGGTTAGGCGAATGTTTGTAGCGGAGTTTATGGGGAGCAAGAAACATAAGACTTACAGGCTTCTTGAGCATGCGGCAGCGAATACAAGCCCCTCGCTTGCGCACTTCTTGCACTTCGCGACGTCGAGCGGCAGAGAATCGACCGCGCACTTTCGGCTTGGATGGCTTGGTCGAGTTGCCAAACTCATTGACAAATCCCTTGGCCTGCGAGTTTGGATTCATCGCGATAGGCCTGGGAAACGCCGCAGCGCGCTGGGTAGCGGCGGTCAAGGACGGGTCATGCTCCTGCAAGCTGTCAAAGAGAAGCTGCTCGTGGCTCGACAGCTGCTGACCCCACGGCGTGCCGCCCTTGGGGAGACCATCCGGTCCGATGGCAGTGGGGTCATGTTCTAGGGGCATGCCGTGAGGTACCATCTCGCTGGCGGATGCTGCAATCATCGATAGCTGTGACTGGCGCACGTTGGAGGTCGGATCCGGCGTGAGGGACGCGTCGGCCAACGGGGGGGATGCGGACGCGTGGTGGTCGATTCCTGCGAGGGAGGAGGGTTGAGGAGTTCCTGTTATTCTTTATTAGCCAGCTGCACACCGTTTCAAAAAGAAAAAAAAAACACGCAGGCAAGAAAAGCATCCCGTACCACTCCCATGGGTTCCATCTTCATCCATGTGGTCGCCCGGCGCATGTCCCTGGAAGCCCTCCGCTTCCAGCGCCGGGTCGACGATAACAGTCTTGCCCCCCACGGTGACGGAGTGTGTGTATGCGGGCCCGCGTTTGGTGTGATCGGAGGCGCCGACTTGTCTCGAAGCTTCGGCCAGCACGTTCAGCCCATCGAAATTCTGCCTGGTTGTGTAGGGCAGGTCGAGGGGTTTGCCGCCTTTACCGGCAGCCGCCAGGGCAGCGTCCTTCTGATCTCCGTCGGCGAGGTCGGGCAGCTCGTGAAGTCGCAGCAGAACGCGTTGACGATCACGCAGCGGGATGGCCTGGCACTTCTTGACGAGGTGGTTTGTTAAGCTGTCGATGCGGCCCTTGGGAAATTTCTCGCCGCAGGCCTTGCAAGTGTGCTGATAACGGTTGCTCGCGTCTTCGAGTTTCTGCCCTCGAATGAAGAACTCGAGGATCAGCTGGTTCGGCTTGCGACCCATTGTGTGGTCTTTGGGAACGCGTGAGTGGACGAGGCGCTGTCGGCGCGACGGACGTGTCGACGGGAATAAATCAGAGGATATCTAGCCTAGTCTGATCGACTGGTCAATTTCATTGAAAGGAAGATGAGGGGGAAACACTCACCAGTATTTCACGAGGGGGGGGGGGGGGGGGGTGAGTGATGTCGAAAGGCAAAAAAAAGGACCCCCCGGTTGGCACGTGGGCCCACCAACGAGACCAGAGGCCGTCGCTCAATCAACCTCTGGGCAGGCAGGCCAGCCAGTGGTTGAAAGCGCAAGCAAGAGACACCAGGACTCGCGAAACTCGCGTGGTGGAAAGCAGCAGGGCAGAGGAATGGGGATGGGCAGTTCCAGAGGGGGAGGTGGTGGAGGAGCAACAAAAGCAGCGGCAAAACGAGGGTTTTTACACGGGCGGTCTGGCAACAACACACACAAAAACGCTCTCCGCCTGATCAGCAGCAGCTGTGAGGCCCTTCACCGCAGAAAGGCGGTGATGAGATCGGTCAGTCACAGATTGTATGTGTATGTCGTATGTCGTATGTCGTATGCAGAGTGCACAGCAGTAGGAGGGAATAACAAGAAGAATAATAATAGTAGTAATAGTACCTAATCAAGGAGAAGAACTGGACTCGACAACGTAGCGTCCAGCTCAGCTGTCACCGGAGCTGCTGTGCGACTCGAGTAGCAGAGAGGAATGGTTAAGATTTAATACAGGGCAAGTATTATAATTTCGCGGTTTGATATCTTTGGTAAGCGATTTATGTTTGTTTTTTTAAGAAGGATTATCTCCCCGTTGGCTTACTCCTGCTATTACTTTGTGGTGACCTCGTTACGCTCGAGCCTCGAATCCTCGATCAGTGATGTCACGGGACCCGGGATTAAATTCCCCATCCTCTACAGTGCTAGGACAAGGACAAGGACAAGAACAATCCGATTGTCCAAGACTTCGGTTTGTTATCTAACTGGCATCTGCAACTACTCGTCAAAGCAATGGAAGGGGAAAAAAAATGTCGCACACAGCGCCGTGTTGGGCACGTCAGCATATGCGATGCTCGGGGGGCCGCCACGGCACGTCTAGCAGCTGGAAGATCCGTTTCTCGTCTCGGCTCTCGCACAGGCAGCCTGCGTTCAACTTCACCCGGTCAGTGCCGCGCAGCACATCCTTGAAGAGCCCCCGTTGGTTCAGGCACATGCCCTTTTTCCTCGCCAGCAGACGCAGGCTGCGGTTGAAGATGTCGTTGCCCGTAAAGTAGATCAGCGCAGCGCCCAGCTCCGCCCCGGGGACAAAAAGCAGGTCGATCCGTCGCCAGAGGTCTTTGCCCGGCAGCGAGCATGCCCCGTGCCATTTGGACCCGTCGTTCCGTGAAGTCGTCGCAAGGCTGGCTTGGAGGAACCCTTGTGCGAAGAGCGAGGGCACGACGCCGTCTATCATGAGCTTTCGGATTTGCTCGAGCGTCGCATTGTGCCCGGTAATGAGTAGATCGATGTCGCCCGAGTCCTTTGCGCCTCGGCGATAGGAGCCCCCGATGATGACCTGCATCTCCGGGGCAACCGCTGTCACGGCTCGGCGGACGATGTCGCCGTGCATGGTGACCTCATGTCGAGGGATGCGCTGGGCGAAATCGTGATACCGTTCCACCCCGATGCGCTGATTTTTGGTCAACGGCGCCTTTTCCTTCAAATCGTCCAGCGACTGAAACCCCTGCGCGATCCATTTTGACGCCTGTGCAACTCCTGCCCCGTAGACTCCTATAAATTTTTGGAATACAATGTCTTCAGGTGTAGCGTTCGCGTTCTCCAAACGACGGAGACGGTTTGTGCACACAATCTCCTCGATCTTGTCCGCCAGCCGCTCGCCAATACCGGGTATCGAGAGAGCTTGCTGCTTCGTTATGATTTTCTTCTGCTGCTTCTTAAGAGCACCGATGGCCTTTCGATACGCAATCGTTCGCCATGTATCAGCAGTCCTGGTGTAGTAGTCTAGCATTTGCTGAAGAATCTCTATTGTCCGATGATTCGGGTTGTCTACATCCACGCTTCCGTCATGCTTCAGCATGCAGGTGAATCTCTGCTGCCACGGAATAGACTCGTCGCCCATTTTGGATTGTAACTGTTTACGGAGGGGGTCTTTAGTTGGTGATTCCGACTCTGATCCTGAGGTCTCTATAGGATCCTCGTCATCGCCGAGTTCTAGTGGATCTAAGGGCTATGCGAATCCTGTCAGCGTGTGGAACAAGAAAAAAAAAATAAATTGCCTCACCAGATCTTCGGCTAACTTGGCCGCCTCTATCATCTCATCAAGAGCGTCACGTTTTTGAAGAAGAACGGGGTTGTGACTAATTTCTCCTCCACCTTTACCTTTATGCGGTTCAGGAACCTGTTCATCCACGACAGCACTGGTGGCGACTTGACTGTCAAGATCTTGTGATTGTGCTGGCAAGTAAGGGCGTTTATTTCGAGATGGTTTCAATGGCAAAGACTCTGGCTCCGTACTTTGGACCGGTGTTGCCTCTTTATCGCTCGTGGAAGATGTCGGGGCTCCTTTGACATGAAATCGTGTGTGATACGGACTAAGAACAGATCTGAATGTGATACATTCTGCCGGGTAGCCCTCGTTAACAACCGAGATTCCGACCTGAAAGTTTCCTCTGCGTCAGTGAACAGGTCCCAGTGCTTGCGTGTACACCTACCGGAAAAGACTTGATCTTGAGATACGTCACTAAATCTTCCCAGGTAAGATTCATATCAACTATGATGTGAGTGACAGTCCCATCATAAGCTCTCGCCCACCGAGCGCCGTATTCCTGTGCTTTTTGGATGCGTAGACGTCGTAGAGGAGAAATATCGTTGTTAGGGAAGAAGACTGACATTCATAAGCATCAATATACCGGATTAGATACCTCATGACTTACAGAATGTGAGATCCTTGAAGATTTGCAGATTCTCTGGGACTGTCTTGAAAGAAGCAGCGGTTTTCCTTCGCTTACTCGCTGGCACCTGAACCATATTGCCCAGAGACCTGGTTGGATGTGATCTCTGTATTACCGTGGAGTTTTCTATTTCAGATGAAAAAGAGTCCTGGATGACAATCGGCCCCTCTCGCCCAGAGCTCTGGGGGCGTGATATCACAGTCTGGGGTTCCGTTTTTGCCCGTGGGAGAATCGTAGGTGGAGGAAGATGGCCAGTAGACGTCGGACGTGATACTGCAGAACACTCCCCTATCCGGGAAGCTATGATCATTCTGGAAAACTCTTCATCCTCTTGGTCCTGGGACCCATCTGTCATGTAATCGAGCTTATCGAGCTCTTTGAAGAAAAGGGCTTTCTCTGCCTCTGCCTCTGCCTTTGCCCCTGCCTCCATTTTGGCGGTCGGATGATTCCTGAGGCGGTCCGTTGAGCCATGGATGGGACGTCAGCTGCCTGAACTGTGCTACTCGTCGATGCCACACACATAAAACTTCTGTATTAAGCAGTTTATTCGATGGCGAGACCGTATGCTGTTGTCAATACGCGAACTGGCCAAGGGCGCGTCAGATTTGCGCGAAAGTGCCACCAAATCACGGGACTCGGCGAAATCAATTAAGCTCCGCTCGGAAACGAAAACATTATTGGTATCTGCCCAGCAAACAAAGGCACGCCGCACTGCCAGGCCGCCATTCTGTGAGGATAAAAAAAAGTAGCCCAGATCCGACATGTGGAAGCCATTGGCCTTCTCCTTCCTCACGGAGGCGTCCGCTCTCCGGGGTGGCCGCTGTCTCAGCTGTCAATTCCGCCATGCTGCGACTACTCTGCACTCCAGGCAAGCTCTGCGTCACTACACTAGCAAGAACCAGAAAGGAAACAACGGAAACAGCAACGGCAAAAAGGCAACAACTGCTGCCCCCAGTACGAGGGTCCAGTTCAAGCAGAATCCATCTCCAACAGCAAATCCCAGCAGCAAGCCGGGCGATGAAGACTTTGTTCCGCCGTCACTCGACCGCCCGATAGGAACGGTGATTCCACCAGAGGAAGGGCAGAACACAGGAATTGATAAGCGGACATTGGGCGAACGGCGGGATGACTTTGTCAATTACGACAAGCACCTTGAGAGGCGGAAAGAGCTGTCAGTGATGTTATTCTGTGACGATACGACAAACAGATATACTAATTTTCTCTGTCTGATTATAGAACAAGACAAGTTGCGAAACCGTACTTCCGCGAATGGTCGAATATGCGCTATCATGAAGGCAAGACTTTCCTATCGAACCTGCGACTGTTTAAGCGCGAAAAGGCTCTCTATTTTCCGAATTTATGCGGGCATACGCTGGCGTCACCCAAGGAACCGCAGAATACCACCTCATTGTTACGCGGCAAGATCTCCGTCGTCAGTCTCTTCTCTAGCGTCTGGGCTGAGCGGCAGGTGGCAACCTTCCTGGGCCCCAAACAGAACCCTGGGCTCTACGAGGCTCTCGCGGCGGGGGGACCGGCAGTCCAGAAGGTTGATATCAACCTTGAGGAGAACCCGCTTAAAGCTGGACTGATCCGGATGTTCATGTGGAGCATGAGAAAGAAGCTGCCAGAGGAACAGCACGAGCGATACTTTCTCGTCCGCAGGGGTCTAACAGACGGGCTTAAGGAGGCTATCGGGATGATGAACTCGAAAGTCGGATATGTCTACCTACTTGACGAGAACTGTCGTATTCGATGGGCGGGGAGCGGCCCAGCCGAGGACGCCGAGCTGGACGCTCTGAACAAAGGAATCCAGAGACTAGTGGAAGAGAAGAGGATTAGGATGGAGTCTGACATGCCAGCTGAGGCTTGGGACTCGGCGGCCAAGACGGCCGAATCGACACAGCCCCGACCCCGGGTTGTCGTCAAGGCGTGATTTTTGGACATGAATAACACTTCTCTTCTCTGTTTTTTTTCCCTCTCACATGTACATTATATGTATAAAATTAGACGACAACGCCATCATAAAGATAGATCACCATGTATAAAGAATTATAGTAGAGTAGTACGCCCGCAAACGCCTCGATGTCCAGAACCGCTGAATATAAGACACGCATTGGAAGAGGGATAAAAAGCAGCGAGAAAAGAGCAAGAGCCTAACTGAAAAAAAGCAGCATGAGAAAACAGAAACCGATAAAGCCACCGAGGATGATCGCATCCCGTCTCCTCTTGGTGCCGATTTTGCCCATAAGCGTGTTCATGCCAGGGATATGGTTCGCAGCGCCGACGATGCGGCGGTTGATACTGGCCAGAGTTTCGCGCTGCAGACCGAAGCTCTCGTTGATCGCGTACGCCTGGCTGAGCACGCCGTCCATCATGTTGTGGCTGTTGTCGATGCGCCCGCGCTCCTCGAGCATGTACTCAGCCTCGGCGGCGGCCGGGTTCGACGCCCGGTACGCATCGATGTCTGACCGTACGTTGGACAGCAGATTGGCGCGGTCGCGTGTCTCGGCGATGGCGACGCCCAGCCGCTGCAGTTCCCGGCGGTGGTCGTGGAGCACCTCGCGGTGGCGGGTGAGGTTGTTCTGCTTCAGGGCGGAAGCTGTCAGAGTTGCTTCCGAATCGAGCAACCGGCCGAGTTGGGAGATCAGAGCTTCTCGCTAGGAAAAACAGTTAGATTTCTTTTTCTTGCTTTGGGTTTCTATTGCAAAAGCGAAGTAAAATGCTTCATCTCACCTGTTCAAGAAGATCCTTGAGCTGCGATTCGATCCGCTGCTCCTCCTCCGACGGCGTGGGCGGCAGCTTCGACATGGACGCATATTGCGAGTAGGTATGGAACAGGTTCTCCGTCTATGATGTTAACATCTTGCAGTAGACCATCGTAATGATTGCAGGTTAGGTCGATACCTGAGTCTCGAGCGAACGGGCCTGCTGCCGGAGCTGGGCCCATCCGCTGCCTGTCGCGGAAGCCATGTAGAGAGGGGGAGGGGGGGTATTAAGAAGATAATGTAGTATTTTTTTAGTTGATTCAGATGAATTTAAGTAGCACCATACGGCATGATCGCCGAATCAAATGGCCGTCTCGATGACTAGCATCTGTAGTAGTTGTAGTTAACTCTTAACAAACATACGACAGTCCTGCTACGTACCTCCACTCATATCCGTGGCTTGGCGATGGCCGGCCGGAGTTAGAAACTTAGAGTTGGGAGCGTCACGTGCCAGGCTCGCCCGCTTAGCGCGCAGCGAGCCGCACAGCGCGAAAGAAAAAAACCCTAGTCCCACAACGAACACCAAATTGACCGGTCCATCTTCAATCCTCACGTCGACAACCGCACGCCACGATTCAAGCCGCCAAGATGGTATGTTGTGAGATCCTAGAGAATGAAACGGTGACTTGGATTTCTTCGTTCGAGAAGTACTGACGAATTTTTTTTTCTCCTGTCTAGTCGACTTCCAAGGTCAAGGCCGGTCAGCTCTGGGGCAAGAGCAAGGATGAGCTCAGCACGCAGCTTGAGGAGTTGAAGACTGAGCTGAGCCAGCTCCGCGTTCAGAAGATGGCCAGCGGTGGCTCCTCGAAGTCTCAGAGAATGTGCGTTAATACCCATCCGATACTGTCATCAATCCATCGATCTATCAATCTATCGATCCATCGATCTATCGAATCCTATCGAATGAATGCAACAAAAGAGAGAAAAGGAAAAAAGGAGGAGAGGAGAGAATACTTTATGAGTCATTAAATTCGACATGGATTCGATGGATTCGATAGATCGATGGACCGGATTTTCATCACTTTTGGAATGATTTTTTTTTTTTTCGAAAGCTGACCATTCAGCCACGACGTTCGCAAGTCGATCGCCCGTGTCCTCACCGTCATCCACGCCAACCAGCGCGCCCAGCTGCGTCTCTTCTACAAGAACAAGAAGTACCTTCCTCTCGACCTCCGCCCCAAGCTCACCCGTGAGCTCCGCCGCAAGCTCACCAAGCACGAGTCCTCCCTCAAGACTGAGAAGGCGAAGAAGAAGCAGATCCACTTTCCCCAGCGGAAGTACGCTGTTAAGGTACGCTACAAACAATGAAGAATTCCTGATTACATTTTGTCTTCGGATCAACATGGCTAACGACATGGCTTATAGGCTTAATTGTGGAATTGTGCAAATTTTTTCTTTTACTTGGAATTAAAAAAGGATGTGTATCTTAGATGATGCAATCGACAATCAATGAGATTTACATGACAAGATGCGTAGAATAGATATGTACAGCCAAGGAAATACTATAAGCCTCGACATTCGACGATACTAGAATACTTCTTACTATAAGGCTAGGCTACCTGCATATAAAGTATACATAAAACATAACCCATGCCGACAAATCAACTATTATCCACCGGGTCCCCCGACCCCGACGCAAACGTCCACATCCCGCCACAGAGACAGGACCGCAAAATCCCCATCTTGGCAACCATGCGGAAGGAAAGCAGCGAGCGAGGGGTTGATATGTCGCCGGAGATCTCGCAGCAGCGAACGCACCGTCTGCGACGCGGCGGCGACGGCAGGGGAGTAGCCGTTGTCATCTTGCCATTCTCACCCTCGCAGGACGGATTGGGGACGACACTCAGGGGGATCTTTTTCAGGACATCCACGCTACGAGTCTTGCGGTAGAGTTCTGTGCGCCGGTCGTCCGTGAAGCCAAGCCAGCTATAGTCACACAGGTAGATTGCCATGCGGTCGATCTCGGGCTTCAAGGCCGGGACCGTCTGTTTGAGCAGGGTGGCCACGGCGGGGATCAGGACGGGCGGGATGCGCGCGTTGACCAGCAGCTCCTTTTCCGGGTTGGGGCGCTCTGCGTCCCCGAAGCCGGCGCCCTGGTAGGCGTGTCGCACGGCGGAATCCACCCCGGCGAGAAACTTCTCGTACACGTCGATCTGGACCGGGGAGGCGTCCAGCGTCTGGCAGATCTCCGTGTAATACACTCTTGCGTCGCCGGAGAGCGCCACCGCATTACTGAACCCGGCATATACGCCCCGTAGCCCGCGACAGATGTACCGGAGAAATGCTCGAGACATGCTCGACAAAAGGATGATCAGGGCCAAAGAGCTGGTCGATTTCACTAGCAACAAGACGTGAGTGATATGTTGGTTTTTTTTTCTATTGGAAGTTCAGGGAAAGACAAACGCTTTTGTGTAAATGCTTCTTGGTCGTTAAAGACACTTTCAAACTCGTCTACCAGATCGAACACCTCATTCATGATATAATGGGAAAAGTCAAGTGCCCATTTAGTATTGCCGAGAACCATCCGTAGAACATCTTCAGGCAGGTTAGCTAAATGGATACTTATGTATATTTAATTTTATAGAGTACTTACATGCGTCATGGGGCTCGGTCTGAGGGCCCTTGTTGTATTGAAAGAAGTAGACGAATAGGAGGGAGGCATGGCGAAGGTTAAGAATTGCCCATGGAACCGCCGCAACCAGATCGCGTGGTTTGGAACTAGTTTTGAACCCCAAGGCAGCCTGTAGACTGAGGCTGCGTGGGATGTAAGGGTGGTGTAGTAGCTTCTCTTGTTCGGCAGTAAAGTTACAGTTTATTGGTAAAGCCCGGTATATCTCGCTGATCAGTGTGTTTTGAGCCTCTGGACAGTACGTGTTAGCTAGCGAGGTTCGGTCAAATAAGAACATTTCCACTGACCAGAAGAGAGTTGCTGTAAGGTGAGAAAGAGAATATCATCAGTGTTTACATCACTGCCACACCCACGACAAAATGCTAATGTCAGAGATGCAACAGCTGCCGAAAATTTAGCTGTTTTCTGTTAGAGGTCGCCATTCAAGAACACCAAGAACACGATCGTGGAACGATCTAAAGATAGAAAAGAGAAGAGGAGAAAGCATACTGTCGTCGTAAAGCCCTTGTTCCGCACCAAATGAGTGCTCCATAACTCTCAGGTGCATCTGCCAGTCCCCATCCAATACAGCATAAATGCAAGCGTTCGGTGAGAATGCAACATGGAAACCTAAGACTGTAAGCTGCTAATGCTCGGTAAGAAGGACCTAGTGAAAGAGTGGGGGGGGGGAGGCAACCTGGTATCCCGATGGGATAGAGAAACCCTACTTGAGCCAAACTCGTCACTGTATTTGTATCGTCGACCCCGTTGAAAGTGGTCATATTCTTAGGGTCATAGAACGAGACTGATCCGTCATCGTGAGTGAATGCCAGAACGTTGCCATATTCCGTGACTTCGACCGAGATAACGTGTTTGTCCGAGTAAACATCTTCTAGCCTGCGAAGCTCGACCTTGGGCTGATGGGCTGGGTTAGAGTATTCCACCCCAACAAAGATATAAAGACAGAGGGTCGGTGGGTACCTTTGCTTGGATGCTGGTCTTCTTCGAGGCCACTTCATCGAATTTTGGGTGAAGGGTCTGGGAAGCAGTGTCTAGTTGCCACCTGACAATGACACTTGCTGAACCGTGCACCCCTGCGTGATCTGGAGACGCGCAAAGCGGGTTTGCGTAGACTGCAATCATATATGGACCAGTGGCCGTTCCGGTTGGGTTATCGAGTGGATTCTGGATGATGGTGAGGTGAGTGAGACAATAAACAGAGCTGGGGAAAGACGGGAAATCTTCCGACGATTCTCCTAGATTGCGATTTGGGCCCAGGAAATTACCCGGGGACTCTATTTTGACATGGTGGAGGCGAAAAGCTGGCGTTTGGAACTGAGCGGACGGTGGAGCAGGCTTCGGTTGGCTGTTGTCAAGTTGAGTCCAATTAATCTGTACGCGATAGAGACAAATCTTCTGACAAGACGAATAGGTAGCAACTAGGATACCATCTAGAAGCGTTGATTAGCCTTTTTTTTTTCTCACCTGGAAAGGATTAAGGGGAAGAACAAGTTACTCTGCGTGGCAACCATGGTGGCATGTGTAAGCAGTCTGTCTGAGTGGCCGGTGTTCTTCAACTCTGCAGACAGCTCGGCCCATCTGCTGTCGGGGTTCTGGTAGAGCAGCTTCAGTTGACCCGATCGAGACAACGTCAGTAAGGCGGGCTTGTTTCCCGGGTGGAAGGGCGGGGTGGGACGCCGCCGAAACGGCGAGTACGCCCAACGACCATTCATTTTGGCTGCTTGATGAAAGGCATGTACCTGAACGAACCCGTGTCAGCTTGCTATCATATCAGGCAGGGTTAAAGTGACGTACCGATCGTTGACTGTTCAGCCACATCATCCCCACGATCTGCGCCGCATCGTCCTCCTGGTCGAAGATGGCCTGGCGCAGGCCCTGGATGCTGTTGAGAGCGATGGAAACCGAGTAGATGGACACCCGTCCGGACGAGTCCGCGATCGCCAGTTCCGAGCCAGTTTCATTCCATGACAAATGGACGAGGGGATTCCCGCCATGGGCCTCAGTGACGGGGAGCAGGGGGGTATCGGCGCTCAAGACCCATTTGCCGTCTGACGGGCGACACTGGAGATGGCGGACATTAACGCGTAGGCCATCCTGTGATATACAGGCGATACAGCCCAGCTTAGACCATGCCACCTTTCTGCCTACAGTGTCAGTGGTCTGCGTTTCTTCTTCTTATCTGCCTGGCCAGCCTCTTCTCCAACAGCTATCATCAGACTTACTGGCAGCAGCCCAGCAAGCGCAGCTCGTCAATACGCTGGGCTAATCCTTTGGTAACCGACGAGGGTGACGGCGACGTCAATCCCAGCTCCAGAGTGGTCGACACCCCAAAGAGGTCGTCCACGGTAATTGAATCGTCCATCATCAGCGGCATGACGACGGCCAGCCCGGCCAGCCAAACCAAACAAACCCGCACAGACTCTCGACAACGATCAAAGCCAAGAGAATCCCTTAAGGCAGCGACTCCCTCATTGCTCTCATACAAGATAGTCGGGGGGGATTTTTTTCGCTTTCACAATCAATCAGTTTCGACGATGAGTAAGCAGGGCAGTAATTCAACGACTATTAGTTATCGCTCAGCACAGTCAACAATGACCTGCGATTGACGTTAAGGTCCCCTCGAACCCGGTCGATCAAAGTGATGCACAGGTGGAAGCGCGGGAAAAAGGTTTCCCAGGTTCAGACAGTATCTGAAGCACTGATCACCCTTGGAAAAAAAAATAAACAAAATCACAGCAAGCTCTCGCCCGCAGTCGGAGTTGACCTTCTTTCTCCCTCTGGGGTCCAGGGCCAGTCCCGACCGCTGCTGAGTCAGCTGCTAATCAGGTGACGGTGGAGGTACACTAGTAACACTACAGACTCACGGAGTAAAGGGATCGGTCGGAGTATCCATACTCCGTACACTAGTAACTACTAGGTACCTACCTGTTAGTTAGTTAGTAACTAACTAGTTACTAGCTACATTGGGTATGTACCTAGGTGTACTTGGTAGGTACACTAACAGGTAACTTAATACTCCGTACTAACAGTGTATAGAGGCTGTACTAGTACCAGGTAGTAATAGCAGCCTCACCAGGCAAGGTACCGCCGCAGCCAGTGGGTCCCGTAGCCCTGCCAACGGGGACTACAGCCAATCATTGCTCAATGGACACGGATAATTCCCGGTTCAGCCAATGAGGCTTCCGACTTCTATCCCAAAGCACGAGGCAAGGGCTAAAGGCGCGACACAAACTGAACAAACACCCGCATGCAGCGGATGAGGCCGTCATAAGAGAAGACTTTGATAGAGCTATATTTTATTACTGCAAGATTCAATACTGTAAAATAGAAATATAGTAGTATACCTAAGTAGTAGTATTATATATAACTGATTTATTAGATAATAATGAACCAGATTGCTCTCAAACAATTAAACCAATGCCATCCCCCTAGTCTCGCCTACGTAGCCTACCTCGAAACACAGAGACTGCTGCTCTATGAGGTACTCCTCTTAGGACTGCTGTCTTGACCTATTATTCTCTCTCACATTCCTGCCAGCGTGCCACTCGTCGCTCTGCTGCCCGTTGCTCTCGTGGTTTGCCTACTCTGCCAGGGAGCGAGTAATAGCGACCTACTAGCCAACAGTACGAGTGCCTACTGCCTACTACCGGGTAACTATCAGCCTTCGTGCCAGAGAAGCTACTCGCCCTGCTTGCTCGCCCGTGTTGTTCTCGTGGGTCAAACATAAACACAAAAGCTGGTTCCAGCGGACGACTCCCTTTTCTTCCCCCGTCACCCTCATCGCTTCCCAACAACTGCCGGACAATCGATTCACCTGGCCACCTTCTTCCCATCTCCCCCGTTGTCTTTCCTTTCTTCCATCTCCCACAAAACAATCCCCCTCTTCCGTTTGACACCCAGCAAACCCGCCCGCTTTGTCTTCTGTCTAGACTTTCCGCGTCAATGGTCTGGTTGAGGTGTGCCGTGATTCTGTACGCTGTTTGATACAGTTTCTGGTCTTTGGTTCCTCTGACGCCCGCCATCCGTGTCCCGTCATCTTTGTCCCTTTTTTTTGAAAAAAAAAAAAAAAAGAACAGAACGACCACTCGACAACTTCCTTTTCTCACCACCAACCCATCTCGAAAAATTTACGACCGTCATCTTTTCCATTACTACAGACAATGGACGACGGCCTTTCGGACGTCTCGGATCTCAGCTCGCCACCGGCGTCGCCCTGCGCGCCGCCAGGTTTTTGGCCCTCGCCGCCCCCGTCGCAGGAGGCAGATGAGTCCAGCGCGGCTCGCAGCCAGGATGAGATGCCGCCCGCCAGGAAAAGACGGAAAGTCACCCCCAAGGAACGCACAACGGTCCATCTTGATCTCACAAATCCGGGCGTCGATTCCTACGCCGACCAGCGGTCGCAAATCGATCTTCTCACCAAGACACTACGCCGCCATCGCAAGATCGTCGTCATTGCCGGCGCGGGTATCTCCACGTCCGCGGGCAGTACGTGTCCCC